ATACGTCCTATGTCACCTAATTCTGACTGAATAAACGCATACATACCTAAATTATTAATATGTGAAGTAAATATTATTCTAGGATTTAAGAAGCTTTTACGATAGAAGAAAACTCTACCTTAAATACCGACTCTATATTAGTAATTACAACAGTTTTAGATGTACTATTATTGATAGATATGTTTAATTTTGTATCATTACAGGAGGTTAAATCGCCGATCCAGCTCTATCTACATGTCAGGGAACACTACTGATACAACACTACCGTGAATCGGCTAGCTGAAGATCAATCTAAGCACACTGCCTTTGGTAAGACTCAACTAAGCGCAGATATCCAACTAGGAAAGTCGCACGCTCTAGTATTACTATCAAAAGATCGATGAGAGCAAATAGGCGAAACCAAACGTCAATTTACTAGGCATTGCTGCATCATAAATGGTTACACAAGGAAGCTCTGGATAAGAGTAGCTCGTTTGACTGCATCCTCAAGACCAACCCAGCCATCGCCTTCCGCTCGCCCATCAGCAAACGCATACAAACACTCCATGACATTTCTGGCCATAATAGGAACCTCAGTGTGTCTGTCGCTCCAGTTCCAATCAATATTCTCCACGCTGTCGCTGTCAAAATGGTGGACTTGGATGGTGACAGGCTCGTCATTTGCACCTGGCTCCAATGAGGTGGTAGACGGCGAAACAAGTCGAACCTCGCCATGCTCGCAGTTGATGGTCCAAGTTAGCGCAGGCGTGCCGGGGAAAGGCTGTCCGCGGCGAAATGAGTAGGAAAGGGTGGCATTAGGTACTGCTTGAGGCGATGACGCGATCGTGCCATGTAGTGACAACAGATCAGGGACATCCGATGTGATGTTTTCGACGATTTCACCTGTTGATGGATCTCGAATGCGGACTTGGGGTCGCTGGAGCTGAGTCTTGGACTGAACTGAGGTCACATCGAGATCTCCCACAACGGACAGGACTAAATCGAGTGCTAGCTTGAGTGAGCACGATGAAACCCTTAAACCTTGGTAAGGCAGATGTAATGAACTTACCGTGACCAGACCCGATTACAATCACATTTCCGCCAACCTCTTTCTGTGCAAAGTACTTCAAGCCCATTGGCAGAATCTCACGATCGTTACTTCCACCAAACACCCGAACATCCGCGCTCAACACCTTGCCCAGCTTCCCGGTCCCGCCGCTCAGCACTTCTTTCAGCTTCAGGACGGGTGGTGCCCACCTGCGCTGCAGGCCCACCGCGACCCTCGAACCACTCGATTTCGCCGCTTCGACTATCTCTTCGATATGTTCTCTCCTCGCAGCGATTGGCCATTCAACATAGACATCTTTGCCTGCGCGTATACTGGGGATAATGGTCTCGTAATGTTTATCGACACGAGTATTGCAGATCACGAGGTCGATGTCTGGATCATCTGCGAGGTCTTTTGGCGTGCCATACGCTTTAGTTTGAGCCGGCAGCTTATAGGTTTGAATGGCGGACTTCGCGGCATCGACGCTACTGTTCAAAAGAGCGCTGATGGTGATCTTTGAGCGACCAGTTGAAGTGAGAAGAGCGGGAAGATGCGCATTCGCAGCCCATGATGTCTTTGCAGAGGAGGATAGGCCAATGAGAGCCGCACGTAGGGGTTGGGGATGGACCATGATTGTGCTGTAATCTCGTTGTTCGGGTCAGCAAAGACTTTGTTTTATGTCATGCCAGTTGATTTGTAAACACGCTGTATTTGTAAGCCACATTGCGACAGCGCGAACGGTACATGTCCGTGATGGAGAGTGCGACGCATTGACGTTGTGGAAACTTTCAGAAACGTAGATGCTGGAACTTTATTCCAGAGCGCTGTGCCATTGTCTAGTGAACCTAGGGTTGCACGTGATCAGTATGCCATGGAATTCTACACCCGTCAATCGACTCGCCCTAAAGCTCCCTCATATAACCACAACCTACCAATGTAACACATACTCCGAACAACTGGATATTGTTCACCTCGCTGGTTTTGTACAGTCTCAGGCAAGGACAGTTGTCAAGCTGGCAAATATATTTCGCAATGCTATCGGACATATACACGTTCCAAAAAGACATCGCAGTCAAGATATGTCAATGGGGTGCGTGGCTTTTACCCGATCAGCACCATCCAGCGATCATAATTAGTAGGGTTTGCTCCGCGCCGAACGCATACCGATTCATCATCTACCCCACCCCATGAATCCGATGCTCCACAAGATTTCAATGATCCGCGGTTAGCCTAGCCTCTACCGGCCTCTTAGCAGAGTTCTAGCGCGACGCTAAAAGTTTCCTCAAGAGTGAACATCTACGCTAAATATAGCTATGTGATGAATTATCCAAACTCCTATGAAGTTTTGGTGCAGGAGGATAATACTGCTTGATTGTGTAAGATTATTGGGATTGTAGACTACCCACGCTAATTATCTATCCTGTGAACAACCGGCAGGGCAAGTATGCGAATTTCTCCCCGAGTTTCTTGGATCTCTTGGCATTGTAAATTGTGGAGTATCTGATTCATGAGATACGCGTCAATTACACCTAGCGGACCACCCCGGGGATAATCTCCCCTCTTTCTGGTCAATGGCATCGCCATATCAGCCATGACCACGGTCTTGGAATAGTGCGGGCGTAAATCGATTCCCTGTGTAGGTTTGGCTGCCGTCGCCAAAGGGGCGTTATTCGTTTGCCTAAGCCTTGCCCTCATATTAACCATCTTCTTGACATGACAATCGTTGACACGAGTCCCTAAAGACACTTTCGCTTTACTCCCGTTTACGCAATCCACAAACGAAGTCGCAGTCAAATTCCGTCTTTGTTAGATTCTTCTCCATCCCCATCCGGAGGTCTTGGCAAGGGAAAACCGAGAAAACCACTACCCACGCGTCGATCTTTAAGGCGTTCCGTATTTCCTTACTCGTCTCTGCATCTTCTACTATGCCACTTCCTATCATTTCAATTAAAAGGATTGGAGTCATCAGCGTCGGTTTGGTCATAATATGTATCCTGGTTTTTTCGACGACAAGTCTCCACAACACGAGAGTAGTGGAGAGACTTAAAGATTCTGCAAAGGGTCGCATATGCGACCATGATCGCCTCGTATTCGGGAATCCTACGATAAGCGATTCCTTTCAGAGCCTGTTTCAAGCCATACGCCATCCCGTATCTGCGCCAACATACACCGACGCATACGGGAAGGTCTTCGACACCAAGAAGGACGGGCCGTGGTGGAAAGAACCGCTTAGAAACGAGATATTGATCCTGGATATCGATACACGGGTTCCGCAGGGGAAGAACGAGCTTTGGAACGATGGCCGCCTGAACTGGGAGGCCATGAAGGAAGAGGGAGACGGTGGCTTGGTTAGTGCGAGTTTTATGAACCATTTTCTTTATGGTTAGTATAACGCTGCCATCCTAATGCTCGTGCTAGGTAGCTAACGCCGTCTAGCGCAAATACATGGGTATGATTACCGCTTCTTCAACGCGCACGACATGGAGGGATTGCACAACACATGGGTCAAACCACATGTGCTCTTCGACCTCTTGCATTCCTACAGATTCGTCATCTTTATCGATGCAGATGCGACCATTCAACATCTGGAGCTCCCTTTTGAATGGCTCTTCAACAAATGGGGCATTACACCACAGACCTCCATCGCCCTCCCTCTGGACTCTCGGCAGACCATCAACGGCGACGAACACGTAAGTGAGGACAGCAAAGGACGACTGCAACTCAACACCGGCGTAGTGGTTGCACAAGCACTACCCTACACCTTCGAGATGTTAAAGGCATGGAAAGAGTGTCCAGAAGAGAAGCGATACCCCGGGTGCGCTCTGTGGAAAGAGGAGTGGAGCCACGAGCAAAGAGCGTTCTCGGAGTATATTCGCTACGACTTTAACCCCACCGGCACAAACATTATCGAGATCCCCTGTGATGATGCAGTGGGGTATCCAGGGCTGGCGGAGCACGAGCATATAAACAGCAACTGCACGGGCCAGTTCATACGGCATCATACGATTGACAAGGCGATGACGAAAAGGAGTACCGAGGTTGCCATGTTGCAAGTCCTGACCGATTTGACGAGGAAGGAGTTGTTGAGCAAGAAGGAGACGTACTGGATACGGGAAACGTAATGAGAGCGGCACGAAGGCAATTAGCCGATGTATCGAAAAGTCATCCCGAGATTGACGGGATACAAGATTTGACTTACGATACCCTGGGACTGCGAAACATCCACGAGCTTTTTTCGGGCCCGGGAACTCCCTCTGTTTGGCATTTCGTTGGACGTAAAGTCCGCTTGGTGCTTTATACTAAAAGACAGTAAGACGGCGTCCATATTATTCGCCTCCACCTTTGGACTCGATTGCTCAAGTGCCTTGGCGGGCAAGGGAGATTTTGAATGCTGGTTGATAACTGCGAAATGCAGGATCCCTGGGGTAATGTAAAATAACAATAATTATCTATGTACATATCATATTCGCTCAATATTTACCAAATGATATCCCGGTACTTGAACGGCTGTGACACGCAAACGGTATCGTATAAGGTGTACGAAACAAAAAAGCTACAACTTGGCACGTCGCTGCAAATATTGCCTAATGCCAATGGCAGCTACCGGATGTTAATGACACTCATCACACGTCACAAGGCGGTGGTGACTACTTACCGACAAGAACAGCCAAACCCTTCAAGCCTAGCAGGCCCAGGAACCAACTTCCCCAGCCCAGCGTCTTCCCCTGGCGATCAAAGTTGGGCTTGATCTCGCTCATATTGGCAAACTTCTGCTTTTTCTTCAGCGAATACGGTGGGTAGCGGACATCGAGCATGCGGTCAATCCAGGCTGGTGTTGTAGTAATAGAGCGACGATGGGTAAAGGCTTCAAAGGAAGCTTTGCCATGGTAGGCGCCCTGGCCGGAGGATCCGATGCCGCCAAAGGGCAAGTTGGGGACGGAGCCGTGAAAGAAGCCGTCGTTGAGGGAAGCGCCACCGGAGCGGGTTTGGCTAAGAATTTGCTCCATCTCCTTCTTGTTTCCGAAGGCGTAGGTGCCAAGCGGCGTGTCGTCTACCTCGTTTGCGATCTTGATAGCCTCGTCCAGGTCGGTGACGGGGAAGATGGGCAGCAGCGGGCCAAAACTTTCGTTGCTGACTAGGCTGTCGTTGATGTCGTTGACCTCGACGACTGTGGGCTCGATGAATAGATCGCTCTCATCCATGGTGCCACCGACAACAATCTTGCCGCTGCTTGTGTCTAGCATCTGCTTCAAGCGCTGGAACTGCTTCTGATTCACGATGCGCCCGTAATCGGGAGATTGGCGAGCGCCACCTGGATAAAACTCGTTGAGCGTATTCTTCAACTCTTGTATAAAGGCTGGCACAACCTCACGATCGATGAAAGTGCAGTTTTGGCTAAGGCAGATCTGACCAGCGTTTAGCGTCTTTGCCCACAAAAGCCTCCTCGCAGCCAGTGTGATATTTGCGTTTCTAGTGATAATGGCGGGATTCTTGCCTCCCAGCTCAAGCGTCAGCGGTGTAAGGGTCTGGGCTGCCTTCTTCGCGATGATAACGCCGACAGTCTCGGAGCCTGTGTAGAAGATCTTGTCCCATTTCTGATCAAGCAGCGTTGTCGTCTCGGGGATGGCACCTTGGACGACTGTGTAGCATGAGGGATCAAGCTCAGCCACGATCTTCGCAAGTACAACCGCTGCATGAGGCGCAGACTCGGATGGCTTCAGAATGGCAGTACAACCGGCAGCGATGGCTCCAATGAGGGGGCCGAGGGACAGTCGAAATGGGACATTATAAGCACCAATGATCAGCGCCGTGCCGAGAGGGTCCTTTCTGATGCGCGGGCCCATCAGCTGGTTTGACAGAGCAATGTCTGCGGGCTTCTCGTCCTTTGCGAAGCGTGGTATGTTGTTGGCCATCCACACGCAGTCATTCATGCACCACGAGATCTCGACCAAGTACGTCTCAAACGACGACTTGCCGAGATCGCGCTTGCACGCCTCGGTGACGAGGGCCTCATTGTCCTTGAGCGCCCAGTAGAGCTTGCGCAATTGCTGGATGCGGAATTCGAGCGGGCGCGTCTTGTGCGAGAGGAAGCTGGAGCGCACTCGTGCGGCAATCGCGGGGATATCGTCGACGGGCGTGTGCTCGAAGGTTGGGAGCTCGGCCATGATGGGTCGTTGGGTGGAGAGGTGGGTGGTCGATGGAAGCTGAGATTAGCGCCACAGTACCTGTATGAGCAAAGAAAAGGGGGGCCTCAACCCTATAAAGGCTGATGAGCTTCGCCCTTCCCAAAGGGTGAGCTGACCCAGCGTCACATTCGCGCGGGAGACATGAGCCTCGGTCCCGACTGGGGTTCGCCCCGCTTTCCTAACTACATGGGGCTCTAGCTCAACGGCTCCGAGTTCCCTAGGTAGTCCGCCGGGCCGTCTCATGTGAATCACCATATAAGCTAAGCGCATGTTTCATGGACTTTGGATTTATAGAGGTACCATAACATCAACAAGATCCCGAACTTCCTTCGAGAACACCTCCTGGAACATACTGTATGCAATCGCATGTTCGTCACAGAGGCCACGTAGACTCTTTATGAGGTAAATTTGGCAGTCATCGCAAGCCTCTGGTTCTGGGCTGCTCTTAATGAACAGCAATTCTAGGCGAAGCAGACCCCGTAAACAGGTCCCTCGAGCGTGTAATAACTGCTTGGTCAGACTGAATACGTCGATCTTCCTGTGTGGGTAGTGTAGGATGTCGCTCAGATCATCTCGAAGCCGGAGTTGTTGCAGGGTTTCGGGTAGGATCGTTGCCCAAGGGAAAACGATATCATCTGGAACGTTAAGATGCGGCTCCGAACATCTGCCATATCGGGGGTTGTGTAACCCCGCTGTTAGATCACCAAAATCGGGCTCCCAGCCGAGGAGCAAGACCCAGGGTATCTCCAACTGTGTTAGCCTTGACATTCGGTTCAGATCAGTGACGCGTCCTATTAGGCCACAGAAAACCACACAATTCCAAGGGTCTTTGATGCTCCTATCCTCCTCACACGCGAATCGTGTCTTGAGCACAAGACTTTCAAGAGTGTTCTGCACATGCGCCAGTGCTTTGCTTAGGCGTGGGCCATGTATTAGAGCTTTGGGCCTCTCCACATCTTCGACAAAATGTGGCCAGCACTCCCAATGTGGAGCGCCACATTGAGCCATGCGGTTGTGGTCGTAGACGAGATGTTTGAGATTAGGTGTACAAGAAAGTATATCTGCAAGCGTGTCTTCGAAGGCTGTACACTTCCGTAAGATTAATGTCGTTAATGGAGTAGATCAAGGTGTAGCGGTTGGTAATGGCCATGCGAAGACAACCGGCTCAGTAAGAATAGTGTTAACAGACACTACACTCGGTAGAAAGAAGAATATTCGAAAAAGATCGAGGTTAGACCAAACACCTCTGGGAGTGGACGGACCATCAAGGCCTAGGCTAACGGTATGAAGGTTCTTATACGGTCTGGCCATCTTGAGAGTCGTTATTTGATGCCGAAAAACTTTGGGGGTGAACTTCGCATGCTGTATGAATCCAATTCCAAGGTCTAGCTGTTCGATGCATTGGCTTTGCATCAGAACTAGGGCGACGATGACGTCGATATTCCCTCTATCAAACTCCACATTCCATTGGTGCGCGTGGAAAGAGTCTATCGCTGAGATTAGATTCTTGATCGTCCGCATATCAGTGGGCAAGAAAGAGGGCTTCGGTCGCTGGCCTTTTGCCCATATGCTACGGGTGCGTTCAACAGCGCACGATGCTAAGCAGTCATCCCTACTGAAGCTGTGTTCCCACCTTCCGTCATTGGCAATAGCATTGCCACGCAGCTTCAGCACCCTGATGTGGCTAGCCAACCAAGCATTGTTGACCAGTGTACGCAGTAGGAGATCTAATGGCGGACAAGGCTGGTCATCTTCCCAAAACCAGTCAATTGTATAGTAAACCCGAGGCGAAAGGAACGCATGCAGAACCCTGCATGTACGGTTCAATCTGGAAAAATCCTGGATTAACAGTGGTGATAAGATCTGTTCGAGCAACTCTGCGGGCAGATCGATAAGCGAGGACATGCTGTCGGGGATTGTGCAGTTCGGCAGTATGATACAAGAATACTAGAGAGTTTCGTGACAGTGGTCGTAGATTTGGGAAGTCAAAGTTCGTGGTCATGGTGGTGAGCAGTTTGGGGCGAGACGAAGCGGCGTAGTCGAGTTATAGCGGGTCCACAATGTGCCTGCCCGCATCCAAGCATAAACCCGCGCGCGTAAGAGGATCACCGTCACCTTCGCACTCATGCAGCGCTAATCACTTCGATGGGTCCCTCTACGCACTAGAAGGAGTGTTTGAGAAGACTTATAGGCGGAGAGCCCTTACCGCCGGGATGGGAGGAAATAAGCTGGAGGCGCCGATGCCGCAGCACAGGTGTGCTTGGGGTGTAGAGCTGTTACGGCCAGAGGAAGTGAAATGTGTTTGTCCGTCGTGAGATGAGATGTATAGCAGTATCAGAAAGTCCAGGAGTGAGGTGTTGTTGCCAGCTTAGCGCTAATCGAGGAATCAACACAATAAGAGGAAGACGCAAGACGACGCATTCGCACGCCATCTCCCCGAATCACTCCCGAAGTGCTACACATGGCTCAAAGTAGTAACACAGTTCAGACGTACACGTACACTCTCTTACCAATCGACACTCCAGCTAAACCCTCAACCGCCTGTCCCACAACCACTCGTAATCCCCCATCGCCCCGTCCACAAACCTCACCAACCTCTCACCTAGCACCTCTCCAAACTCCGCACTCCAATTCTCCCTCTCCCGCCCAACATCTACTTCATCCCCACTTTGCAGCTTACCCAACACCACGCCCCGACTCTTCAACAGTGTATCCTTCATCCTCGCCTCCACACTCCCCATACGCTCCTGCTCCTCTGAACTAACTGCATCCCATTCAAACCTCACCAATTCCGGATCTAATCCCACAGCCACAGCGTATTTGCGCACCAGATCCGGGTTAGAAAGATCGGATGCATCGAGTATGAGAGGACGGTGCGTGTTTGAAGCGCGTGGCGAAGAAGTGAGGAACTTGTACACGGCTACGTGCCAGTGATACGTAGCTTCCCAACGCATAGCATTCTCTGTAGACTCTTCAAGTACTTGATCCACGCCTTCGTTATCAAGCGCCGAGCGGAGCAAGCTAGGGAACGTGAGCGCAGGATGCCGAACAAGGAACGTCGCGCGTACATTGTTCAGCAAGAAAACGTCCGGTACGCAAGTCGGATTGTGCGCGATAGTACTCTCCTCCCCATCTTTTCTTCCCTCGTGGAGGTAGTGCGATTCGGCATCGGTAGCTATCATCCAGTTCACGTGCTCTTTGATGAACGTGCCTTTCCCCTCACGCTCTGCTTGGTCAATCCAAGCTTTCCACGCGTCTAGGCTCGTTTGCAATGCATTGCGCATGCCGGTTTGCTCTTGTACGGTCCAGGATGCGATGGCGCGGCTGAAGGTATCGTGCTTGTACCGGTAGCTTAATGCAGGGAGGAAAAAGTAGCCGTCGCGTGGGTGTCGTGAGATGGATGGCTGGGCTGGGAGATTGAGCAGTTGCGTGACTAGGTTGGATGCTGTGCGTGGTATTGTGAATAGGATATTGTGTAGTGGAGGTGGAAGCGCCATGGTGAATGCGATGGCAATAAATGAAGATTTGCGATATGCGGTCTAGTTTGCAGATCTTGTCAAGGGCTCTTGGGGGGAGGTTCAAATAGAAGTTAAGGCAGAGCAGTTCCTCGTTTAAGTACGGCCGTTGGATCAACCGACGTAGATCTGCACAATAGGTGGTTGCCTGAATGCATGTCAGCGCACGTTTATCCACCGATAGCAGAAAGGATTCGTACTGCATGATCATCCCGTAGCGCTTCCGTGCTTACACAGCCTTACAAGCCAGCCTGACTCGCACGCAATTGAGTATGCATGAGATGGAAATCAAATTGTCACAACGTTGCAAGAGGCGAGTAGAACCTAAAATGCACAAGGATAATTCAAATTCTTGTCAAACTCTATACTCATGCGAATGCCTTTCAGCAATAAGATTACAGACGGGTGAGAACATTATAGTAGCAGTAGTTGAGTAGAACGTGACAGTCAGTGTAATTGAAAAGCTGACGATACAATCAAGACACTCAGCCGCCCAAACCAACAGTCGAACGAAGGTTAAAAAATAAATACCATACAATAGCTCATGGAGCCCATGCGACAGAGAAAAGAATCTAAAGCGAAAGAAAAGGGTATCTCGTAATCCATCATCAGACCGTAGTCGTCATGTTCAAATGCCAAAGCCAACGCGATGCTGATGCGCTATCCAATGCTCCCAGGGAAAATGCCAAAAAAAAAAACAGGGACCAAGGAAGACTATGCGATGCAAAACAAGGAAAAGGAAAAGGAAAATAGACAAAAAATCAAGTGAGACGATTACAGCAACGGGGAGTTCGCGATCAGATGCCCCACTTGTTCCAACCACGAGCTAGAATCCTCTCAAGCGATCCCGTCACACTGTCCAACAGCTCTCCCAGGCTTTCTCCAGGAGTGCATGTCCAGTCATCTGCCAAGCCATTCTGATCCTCGAGAGACACACCGCGGAGGCGGAGCTTGACCCAGAGAAGCAAGCTGATGCAGCCCGTTTGGCAACGCGCGATGTTCAAGGGCAGCTGGGATATGCCTTCAGAAGAGCCAAGGTCCAGCAGGGCCGTGGAGAGGAAAGTAATAGTGTTGATAGTAATTTGAGTGTGTGACAGCATCGTATTGCAGTCCAGCGAGGGCGGCGAGACGGGCGAGCTTGGCGGGCTAAAGATGGGTCCGAATGGGGTGGAAGTCGGTGTCATGGGTGGCGGATGGCTTGGAGAAGAATTCAGTATATGATTAGGCGTTGGTGGTAAGGATACCGACGAGTTGGGGCCAAAAGGGAGCGGTGACTGCGATTGGCGACGGAGAGGTAGCTGTTGTGCCGTCTTCTGGGGTCCCTTGGTTCGGGTATTTGCCGCAGTCGTGATAGCCCATAAGACTAGGGATGCAAAATAAATGCCCATATCAGTTCCCATCTCAGGGGTAATTGACTTTTGTTGCTCTTTCAGCGCGTTTTGTAAGATCTCGATGGAGAGCTTTAGAGCTTCTTGTACCGCCACAGTATATGCCTCGCCTACAGAGGTGGACCAGAGCTGCGAAAGCCATGCCTGAAGAGTGGTCTTCTGAACGGCAAAAGCCTGTGCAGAAGAGACCTTCTCGGATAGAACCCATGACTCGCCTGAGACAGCTAATAGGGCGCGAATGGGAGTTACCTGCACGAGCTTCGCAGTGAGAATCTGTCGCGTTGTATTCGGGGATGTATCGAGGAGTTGTTCGATGTCTAATGTTGAAGGCAAAGATAAGTACGGCGTGGGGGCATCGAAACGATTGTAGTGCGCTGCGAGTAGCACAGAGGACTGGAATGAGTCAAAGGGCGCCACCTTCGAGTCGGCGTTGACTTCGTAAACGTATCTAGGTGAATGAGAAAACTGGTGGACGGCAAAGGCCCATTCAGCTGGATTTGTTGCTTCCCATGAAGAGTTGTGTGTGGGGAAGGGGAGATCGAGGCCAGCATCCTGTATGATTGACGGTAAGGGCTTGCGCGCAAGTAGAACGGCTTGTTGAGACTCCAGGATGTAGCATGAGAGAAAGAGACGCTGCCAAGTCGCGAGCTTGATCCATTGGACCCATCGATCATATGTGGCCTGCTCGGGCGGGAAGACAATGTCAATGATTTGCGACATGAGGGGTTTGAAGTCCTCGGCCGACTGAAGCTGTTAGCGACGTTGTACAATCTATACCAAGAAGTAACCTACTTTGCGGTATACTCTTTCGAATTGGGGGGACAGGGTGTTTGCGCCTCGGCGAGCTCGGTACTGAGAGTATACCTCAATAAGGAACATGGCTTGGTAGTCGCACAATCGATCGGATTCTGCCACAAGATGTCGTTCTTGGTCTCTCTGCTACACGTTAGCTTATACACGCCTCATGCGACATGGTGACCTACCTGTTCAAGCAATTTCTTACACCGATCGTGAAGAGTTTTCGACTTTCGCTTGATGCTCGCATCGTTCGAGTATTGGCCGCCGAGAGCAATCATTGCGGCGTGAAGCATTGGCGACGGGCTCATGCTCTCAAAGGTAGATCGATGGACGACGGGGAAGGTGGGATGAAAGAGCCTCCAGTAATAGTCAAGACAATGTTCAAACAGGTGGGTGTGTGTTACTGGACCCATACCGTATGGCTGCTCTCCAAACAGGAATACTCCCTCTTCTTCATCCCGCTGCATCAGTGTCTTCTGCTCGAAGTGTCCATATATAGACATGGGATCAATGCCGGCTGAGATAGGCATGCTCGTCATGGGATACGATGTGCTCATATAGGCAAGGCCGGGGGCAGTGGGCGTCTTGTCGCTGGTGGACCACGCATACGCCAAATTTGAGGCTGTGGAAGTCGGAGATCGTGATAGATACGACCATTCTCCAATACACGATGCATTCGAGGAGGTGCGTGTCCGATTCGGACCGGGACCATATGGTGGGTTTGCGAAGACGTTGGTGTAGTCACCGGGACCCGGAATGGGCGAAGCATAACCCTCAGACGAGGAGTACCCGGGAGACTGACTGTAGGACTCACTCCAGCTGAGATTAGGCGTCATGGCATCGATTGGCATCGGGACCGCTACCGGGTGTCGAGCAGAGTAGGAAGCTCGCTGCTTGGTGTAGCTAAACGAGCTGTGAGTATGCATTGCAGTGGCAGACGCAGTATAGAAAAAGAAAGATAGGAAAAGTGCTAGGTGCTGTATAATGAAACTCACTTGGGGTCGGACGTAGAACTTGGAGAAGAACGAACAACATGATTGAAACTTGACGGAGCTTGAGGGGTTCGCGGAATTCGAGGAGTACGAAACGGATTGTAATTATACCTTGGAAGTGCACTCGTCTCATGCAGAGGGGAGACAGGCTGCGGAGTGTAGTAAGATGGAGTTGGAGGGAGACTGATGGCCGCGATGCTTGAGGGTACAAGACCGGGCACAGAGGTATGAGTTTCTTCAGGGGATTCCCCTTGGCTGACGACAGATGGCTGGCGGGACTCATTCCCGGGTTCTATGCTGTTGACTCTCAGTATGAAGAATGCAGCGTCGTAGAGGGGTCACTTACTGCCGCTCCTGGTGTCTGTGCAGGAGATCTATTCGATGAAAGATCTTTCCGCAATCGGGGAATTCGCATACGAGAGCATCATCCTGATCATGGTTCTTCTGATGTCGTCTACACTTAGTCTTAGTATGCTTCTGAATCTGGCAAGAGACAAGAGTAAACAAACCTTAGGTGTTCTGCGCGGGTATATGACTGGGGAAAGTTAGTCTCTTGTTCGAGGTGTTGTGTTGACAAGCAATGGCGTTACAGAGGAGAGCTGACATAGCTGATGGCTCAGCCAGCCTCCTTCAGTCGGGGCGAACTGAAGCGAAAATGAAAGGTATATAACTCACCCTTCCGCAATTTTCGCAGTTGTGCACCTTCAAACCTTTCTTCGCTTTGCTGACGCGGCCTGTCCTTGTGTAGTTGACAGATGAGAGATGAGACATCATGTTGGTAGGGCTGGTAGTTGACCGTTGATTAGAGCGGGAGGAGCCGGTGTGGGGGTCGGGTAGAGACTGTTTAAGGCTTCCACGACGACGGGAAGCGTTGGTAGTCTTGGATCCTTTAAGGCGATCATCCGATGACTGCGACGGCTTGCGATGCTTGGTGTGGGTTGATGTGGATTGATGGAGAGGGTTGTCTTCAAGTCGCTGTAGTTGCTTGGTGGGTGGAGCTAATGGGCGGCCGCTTGTCTCACTGGGTTCGGACATGGCTGACTGAAGAGGCGACAGAGGGGTATATATCTAAGCTGGAGGTGATGGGGCTAGGGAGGAAGAGCCTCAAGTGGAGAAGGGTCAAGATGAGCTAGACGTTCCAGACGGGTGATACTGCAGACGGCAACACGGACTAGTGGTCAGGTCATAGACGAGTCGGCGGGGTTTCCAGGGAAAGTTGATAGGCAGACGGAGGAAGACGAGATGAATTAAGAACCGCCGCTAGGGGAGACGATCTGGCAGTGGTGTGTAGTAGACCAGAAAGGGAATAACAGCCGTTCCAAAACAGGGTGGCCGCAACAGATGGAGAGAGCATGTGCTGCGCCTGGGTGAAATTGTGGAAAGGGACTGTAAATATCTGCGGGCAGTGCCTGAGCCAACCCCGAACGAGGAGGGTACTGAGGTAGGGGACGACGCCGTTTTGGAGGGACAAGGGCGATCAGACGCTGCAAGCCCGAGTGTCCTGGGTGTGGATATATGAGGCTTACCAGGGGAGACGCCAAAGGCAGTGCATTGGCCGATCTCTGAGCATGTCGAAAAAGCTTGAGCCCACGGGCATGGCTACGGGCGTACAACCGAACGGTTCGATCAGTGACACTGGGCGACGAGGCGTCCGCGCACCAAATTTGGGACAAGGGCTGGGGTTGTGAATGGGCAGTGGAAAAGACACCGCAACGCCAGGCTGCGGACCGTTCCCGCCCTCAAACCACACTCGAGCAGAGGACGGCACATTGTTACTAAGAGGAGCGTGGCTTGGTAGAGAACCCGAAATAGCGACTCTCGGTTGAAGCATGCCCGTGCTCAGCCCTCCTGCAACGGCGCACCCATGCTTGCTGCCGCTTACTTTAGACTACTACCCTCTGACTAGGATGCACGATATGCTGTCATCGCCGATACTTGATGCGCGTTGGAGGGACGCCGACGGACGACGATGGACGCCGACTCCTGAGGCATCGTAGTATACCGGTACAGGAGTCGCGCTGTGAAGGCATGGCTCATTGGTGGAGCCGCGAATTGTTCTTAGTGCATGTAGCGGCAGATGTGTAGTCCTGCCTGTAGCCCTACCGGGGGTGCCATGTCCAGCGGGAATCAGTACACGGCGACGTCGAATAGTAGACGGCGATGGACTGAACGGCGAATGATTTGGGACGAGGAGTGCTTGTTGACGCGGAGTAGCGATTCTGTTGGCCTTCCCCTGCTTATTCGTCGACGTTCCCTATTTCAGAGCGTAAGCTCGGTGAACAATCTCTCCGCGCACACCATGCGACTTGAAGTGATGCCGCGTCCCCTGACCCTTTTCCAATCTCCACACGCATGCTTGTCTGTGCGCTATGGGCGCAGGGCTGCTCGTGACGCGGGAGGCCTGATCATCCTAGCTGGGAACATGGCGACCAAGCTTTCTTCAGCCCTTCAAGGCTCTGGCGCAAATGAAACACAGCGGGCCAGCAACGGCGCACACTCGTACTTTTGTTGGTACGTTGTTCGATGCTTGCGCACCCACTTATCCGCGAGGACTGGGAATTGGAAGAGGCCCGTCGGTCGCACGCAGGACTGCTCGCGCGCAGGACTGCAGCCCGCACGTCACAGCCTTCACCGGTTTGTAAGGCTCAAGCTCCTGCAGTATGCGAGCTGACATGGACCGGAGCCTAATGCGGAAGGATCGTGCCGGATCAAGACGTGCCCCAGATTGATCATGGCTGTCGCTGTACACACATGGCACAAGCACTCTGTCGCACGTTGTTTGGGCGGATGGCGCGCCTTGCTCTCCCACTCGGTCGGGAGAACGGGACCCCAGAGCTGTCGTGTGTTTGATAGTCAACCCAGCTCCTCCGTCACCGAGACGCTGGATAATTGCAGTGGGATCTTCAGCAGCCCGTCTGACCTGACAAGGTGCAATGCAAATCGAAACCCGCAGAGTGGGTGCGAGACAGCCGACGGGCGCGTAATCCTGGGTGTGTGCTTGCTCCGACGACCACCGCTAATGCGCTCATCATTATGATTATTAGTTTATTGCAGTCGTGTCGAATTGCCCATCCGCAAGCACTCGATGTCCCGTCGATGCGGCTTTGGGCGAAGCGAAGATTGAGTTCAACAAGAAGCGTTTCGGCTGGGGCAATAACCATGCCATTTGCTCTTTTGGGCCAGGCGTCGTAGGTCCTCATAGTCACTGCGCAAGGCTGCCCGGCACGATGATCGCCACTCCTATGACCCATTCGAGCCTATTCTCCTGACGACTGCATTGCGACCTCCCGCAGACATGTCCAGCTATGCTTGCATCTTCGAGGAACGAAGCGAAGCTTACGGGGGTGCGAACGCAAACCAGCGCACGGGGAAGCAGGTATATTGCTTTTGCGCTTCGTCTGCGAGCCACAATATAGCCGGTCATCAAGAAGTCGAAGCATGTCGTTCAGCACGTGTCTGACAGAGTCCATGGACGCGTTGTCGGGAGTTTGGGTAACATCGGCAGATGCGGGCGGGCAGCGCAGGATGCGAAACCATGCAGAAGCCTGCAAAGGTGCTTGACCTGCATCTCGGTCGCCGCATCTACAGGTCGACGGGTTGGAGCCCGATACTTTGATAGTGCGGCTAGACAGTCGACGTTGGCCGACTAAACACCTGTGCTCTAAGACATGGCCAATCCAGCACTCTGTAACACTGACGAACGCTATCGATGCCCGTTGCCCGCCGCGGAGATCAACGTGATACGCAGTTGCGAAAAGACGTTGAGAAAAGGCGGGCAGCGTGTGCAGGGAACTCCAATGTCGCTTCGCAAGGGCTAGCGTGCGTTGTTGAGTGAATGGTTGATTTCCCCCTCATGTTAGCGGGCGCCATTAGTACCTGTCACCAGTCCGACCGACTCAGCTTCATGTCCATTTCTTCTTCTGTGGTCAATAATAATCAAAGTCAAGGAAGCGCTGCATTGCTTGGGCAGTAGTCGGTGGAGCAGAAGGGACACTAAGGGGTCGAGAGCATTGGTGATGACCGTGAGGTGTGCCGTCCCGCCCACTAGTCGATTGCTCTGGCGTCTGGCTCGCGCGCCTGCCGTCGAGGCCATCTGCACCGAATCTGCCCGACGCTGCCACTGCCAGATGTTCAGTGTGTTTGTTTTTACTCATACGCGCGATTGTTGTGCATTCAATTTCAGCGCGGCTTGGATGGGGTGCCGAGAGACTGGCTCGCCTCGTTCAGCTCATGCATGCCGGCAGTGGAACGACCATCGCAGCAAAAGGATATAATTACATGGGGGATCAATATCCAAGAGCTTATTAGCTCAAGATCTTTCTTACCTTCCCCCCTGCAGCAAATAGGCGTCGCAAACGGGTATGGCTTTATCAATTATCAGGGAATTGGTGCAATCAGAGTGGAGCATGTGCAGAGGCTGGCATGTCGCCAAAGCTGCCCAGTCGGGAAACATGGATGGTGGACTGATGGATCCTCACGCCTTCACAGTAGATGGATGCATCGGGGATCCTGTTGCATAAACTATACGATGCTCCATCCTTCAACATGGCATCCATCATGACGAGCCGTCAGGAAGACATACCCTGCCCTCGTATTCGATTCCCCCCACCATCTCCACGCGCGAACCCTCACAGCCTCACCGCCAGCCGCCAGCCGCCAGCCGCCCGTCTTTGCGGGGCAGGTGCACACGGCAGGCGCTGCAAAACAAGGCTAGTGCCCTGCTCCTTCCCGTTGCTAAACTTAGGCCATCCTAGTCGCACCTGCTCCTGCTCCTGCTCCTGCTCCCCCGGCTAAACATGGGTGAGGCTGAACGCTGCTCCATTCTGCGCGACAGAGTCTGCCTCGCTAAAACAATCATCGCGCAATTCTCACGATTAACTTCATCCGACGCTGTATGACGGCATTTCTACACCACGCCAGTTTCATCGCAAGCCCTACCCGGCATGGTGACATGGCAGAAACCCCCCATCCGCCTCGCCAAAGTGGACCTCCCCCACCCAGCCTAGGCCGTCAGCCTTGCCCAAAATAATGTGCTTTCGTAGGAATGCGCCATCTCAGCCGTACTATCAGACTCGAGGCGAGTGTCGGGCTTCTCTATGCCCCCTCAACCGTTACAAATTTATTCTGCTTTTGTCATTGAATTACTCCCGCGTGTGAACAACACGATGCTTCCTGGGAACCCATTGGGCTACCGTAAGCGCCGCCCAGACAGCCACCACGCAGCTACCCACTCACCTCAGCACCTTATTCGTCCTGCGTTGAATAAATCGCAAAAACTTACCACATATATCCTGCCCCACGACACCCTAAAAACCTCCATTTCCAAGCAATCGTGTGGTTTGGGCAATGCCCTTTCGGATTCCAAAATTGCTCACTGCTCCCCCCCCCTCCCAGCGATTCGAACATTAGCGAACACACTCAGCTCACTAAGATTTTACTTAGCGCCTCATAGTTTTTGCAGTTCTCTCTGTCGCTCGTTTCATCATGGTGCCACACCTTCTCTCTCGCTCTCGCTCTCTTCTCACTAATCCAGTACACACGTCCGAAGAGCCGCTAAACCCTCGCCTTCTGTGACAGACGCCACATACCCATACCCAAGCACGCGGATCCGGGCTTTCGTCACCCCTCGTCACACTAGGAACGTGTTTCGGGCTCACCGTGGCGAATCGTTTTAGCGCTTAGGTGAATAGCCGGCCACGTGATGGACGCTACACCAATGTAGAGTGCGATGCGAGGACCAACGTTAGAAAGTGAGACATTCCGAGGTGCATTAATAAAACGTTACTGAGGGCTGCAGATAGGGTCGTCATACGGCAGTCAAGGTTTGGGGACGCTATGCATTGATGGAGATATTGATAGGCATTCCAACACAGCCGCCGCCATCGTAGGACATGCGAGTCTTTGGCAGCCGAGTCTTCTCACCGCTAAAATGTCGATCGAACTGCATCATATGTTGCGTTTCTAGACTTCACTCCCCGCTCTTGATTGTATCAAGGCCTGTTGATCTGTCGTGTAGGGCCACATGCAAACAATATCCGCCCGGTCATCACGTGCTTCATCAAGATTTCCGACTACGCTACTTATGGTCTAGCGCCATCGATCTTGTCAGGCAGATCGATCGCATGTGGCTGCGAACAAGATGTGGTTGCAATAGCAGATTGTTAGCAGCACTCGTAGAAAGGCACAGTAACTTGGATACATGCCCATGCTATGCAATCCATATTATGGCACACCATGTGAAGAAGACAAGAAAACCTCGAAGCGGGACTTTTAGCTGTGACGTCATGCTCGACGTCTTGACAAAAAAAGTCGAGGCCCGCCGTTCCGGGCATAATCACTCAAGACCCAACAAGCACCGCGGTCTCGACCGCCACAGCTGGGTGGCGGAGAAAGCTCGTTCGCCATCGGGGTGCCTGTGGTCCTCAGTATTCCTCTTGGCTGCTATGTACATTCCCTGTCGCCGTGCAGCTCACAATTTGCGCGGGCTAACATGACAGCCCTCAATGGGGTGCCGCCTGAGCAGGGCATATCCTCTCAAGACACATGCGAGACGCCGACACGCTCCATGTGCTGCGTGCCTGATCCACAGAGTCATTCTTCCGAGCAAGAACTAGCCGCCATAACGCTCCTCGCAACGCTCGACCGCGATGATCGCCCCTCGTTCGCCTTCAATGTGCACTCGGCACCGGAGCACGATGCGCCCCTGGACATAATATACCACAATCCCGCGCTGGCAATCGTTGACGGGTTACTGGAGAAGGTATCTAGGCTACACGATGCGAACAGCATATTCGCCGATGTAGTAGTGGGCTCCCATGTAGCATTCCGGGACTGGCTCTGCGGCCGGGCACAGAACGATGACCTCGCGCGCAAGGGCAACGCCTACCTGTTTGAGGGACACGTCTGGACAGCCGTTGAGGTCGAGCACTACAAGCTGGTGAGCGGCGTTCCGACAGCGCTGCTTTGGGTTGATGTGGTGCCTGGACGACAGCGTGGATCCCTAAACTCGAAAGAGAGTAAGGTGCCCGAGAATCGCCCTTCTCAAAGCATAGCACCCAAACGACTGCCTGCAGCGAAACACGGCCCCTTCGACTACACACTAGAAACGCTCCCACCCCCGGCGGCTACCGACCCCCATATCGCCTATTTCCGCAGCGTCGACTGGGCGCAGACACCCCTCGGCCCTATGGCGCAATGGCCTGCCGAACTACGTTGCATTGTCAATCTCGTCTTGAACAGCAGCTTTCCAAATGTTCTGTTCTGGGGCGAGGAAGTGATTATGATATACAACGAGCCGTACATCCAGTTTCTTGGCGCCCTCCATCCAGGTATGGGCAAGAGCATACGCACTGAAGCTGTCGACCACTGGCCCTCATTCGAACCTCTGATCAAGCACATCAACGAAACGGGCCAGTCACTCGCTGAGGGCGATATGCTCTTGTTTATCGACAGGCATAGCTTTAGCGAGGAAACTCATTGGTCGTTTCAATTTGTTCCCGTCTTGGATAGTAATGGTTACATTGCTGGATATAGTCAAAGTTTTTTTGAGACGACAGACCACCATCTCCTCGAACGCCGCGTATCTGGCTTAGTCGAAATGGCCAGTCAGACGGCAAATGCCCGGGACTTCCACTCTTATTGGGATATCACACTGCGTACGATGACTTTGAACGACAAAGACGTACCATTCGCGCTTTTATATGCAGCAGACCGTGACGCTGGCGCCCATATGCCAGCTTTGTCGCCTTCATACACTACCACTCCCTTGGAAAAATGTCTTTTAAAGGGCTCCATTGGGGTTGATGCCAATCACCCAATTGCTCCGTCTGTCATCAGTATTCATCAAAGCTCCCACATTTTCCAGCCCTTCCTTGTCCAGGTGGTTAAATCTAAGAAAGCTACTATTGTGCATCTCGATGAGCTCGCATCATCCGGGGCCGTGTTGGAGGGCATAGATTGGAGAGGATACGGTGACCCATGCCGCACTGTAGTTATATGTCCCATCCTCCTAACCACCGGCGACCAAGTTGAAGGTTTCTTGATACTCGGCATCAATCCCCGAAGGCCATTCGACCAAGCCTACCAGTCGTTTGTCCAAGTCATGCTGCGCTTACTGTCTACGTCACTCGCTTCGGTCGTTCTTTTTGACGACGAGGTGCGTCAAAGAGAAATCGCCATTGGCCAAGCTGCGCGGATTCAGGAACAACTACTCGCTGAACTCAAATTAAAGGAAAAGAGATTCCAGAGATTTGCCGAGCGGTCAGACGTCGGCATCTTCATTATGGATCGTTTGGGCAAATACACTTATCGGAACAAGCGCTGGTACGACCTCTTTGAGATTGCCGTTGGAGACGACGATGTTATGGTTGCTTGGCAAAAGATCGCCTTTCCGGAGGATGTGAAATATTGCGAAGGACTTTTCGCAAAACTGGTAGTGGATCATGAGCCAATCTGTTTCGAGTTAAAGACAAGAATGATCTGGTCGCCGCCCGCCGACCTTGTTCAGTCCGAGTGTGAGAGCACGACGAACTTCAAATGGATCTTGTGCTCTGCTTACCCAGAAATTGATGCAAAAGGTCAGCTATGCGAAATTGTGGGAAATGTAACCGACATCTCGAAGCTGAAATGGGCTGAGAGCATTCAGAAGGTCCGCACCGACAGCGCCCTCGAGAGCAAGCAGCACCTCGAGCATTTCATCGATACAACCTCACACGAGATGCGAAATCCATTGTCTGCTATCATGCAATGTGCCGATGGCATAATATCCTCCTATTCACCTGAGGACAACGGCCAGTTGCCTCGATCCCAGACCTGGTCTACATTTCTGGAGCAGACAATGGACGCAGCACAGACCATCGCTCAGTGCGCACAACATATGCATCACATCGTAGATGACATCCTCACCATCTCAAAACTCGACTCTGGTCTACTCGTTATCACTCCTGTCGATGCCCAGCCAGAAGCAGTGGCTAAGCATGCCATCAAGATGTTCGAGGCTGAGGCTAAGGCCGCCAAAGTCGAGCTCTCCTTTTTAGTTGACCAGTCATTTCGCAACATGCAGATTGACTGGGTTTCTTTAGATCCTACCAGATTACTCCAAGTAAGTACTAAATATTTTCGCCAAGTGTCTACGTGCATATAATTGACCACATAGGTTCTCATCAATCTTCTCACAAACGCGATCAAGTTCACACGGCTCGAATCAACTCGTCGTGTAACGCTCTCTGTCGCTGCAAGCACCATAGAGCCTGCCTCTGTAGCAGGTGGTATTCAGTTCAATGAGGATCGGCTAGTGGATCATGATTCCCATTTGGAAGATGATTGGAAACAAGATCCTGATTTGCTCTTCATTCAATTTTCAGTCATCGACACCGGTCGTGGGCTGTCAGAAGAAGAGAGGGGCAGTCTCTTCACTCGCTTTTCACAGGCATCACCTCGAACTCATATTCACTACGGTGGCTCCGGTCTTGGCTTGTTCATCTCACGACGATTGACCGAGTTGCAAGGCGGCGCTATTGGTCTTGTGAGTGAGTATCGGAAAGGCAGCACTTTCTCCTTCTATATCAAAACGAGACGAACCAAGCCTGTCCTAGCCCGAAAGGGTAGTTTGCCAAGTCCATTCCCCGAGGATATCAGACACAGGTCGGACCCATCACTTATAAGCCCCGCGCGGCCACTCTCTTCACCCCGAAAACCGGCTGTGGAGAGTAATCTGCGATCGGACTTGCCGAGCCCCAAAGTACCGCGCCAGCTTCCCTACTCAAGACAGCATCCGATGACCCATGAGCATAAATCTCCAGATACCATTGGGGTGCCACCAGAGCCCACTCTACAGGAGGTAAAGCGCCCCAAGAGCACACCAGAGATCTTTCATGTGCTCGTCGTCGAAGATAATCTGGTGAATCAGAAAGTGCTCGCAAGGCAGTTACGGAATTTAGGATGCATTGTCAGTGTTGCAAACCATGGTCAAGAAGCCCTCGATTTTCTCCCCAAGACGATGTGCTGGGACCACACTCATCCTACTGCTCCTCCGACCTATCGAAGATCATCGTGCCACATACCGTCAACTGAACTCATTGCTAATCAAGAGGACGACACCCTGCCCATTGAACTCTCCCTGATATTGATGGATTGGGAGATGCCTGTTATGAATGGTCTCACTGCGGTCGCTAAAATCAGAGAACTGGAGAGGCGTGACGTGATGAGAGGCAGAGTGCCAGTCATTGGTGTCACAGCCAATGTCCGACAGCAGCAGATTGAGACAGCAATCGCAGCGGGTATGGACGATGTCGTTAGTAAGCCTTTCAAAGTTGCGGAACTGCTGGCGAGAATGAGAACCATCGTCGCTAGCATGGCCACGGAGACAGCAGGCCAGAATTCCAAAGGTGGGAGTGAAGGCACTGGAGAAAGTAGAAGCGGAAGTGGTGAATGAGAAAGGCCGCATGAATGGAGCAGAATCACCTGCTTCTAAGTAAGGAACCAGCTAGTTGAAGTGGATATTGGCCCGCAGTATATGCTGGGTTCATATCCATTTTCACTTAGGAGAAGACGAGCATGCGCATCCGAAGGACATCGACGTCCACTTACTCGCTAGGTGAAATGGCTCTCAAGCCATGCCGAAATTATACGGGCTTAGCGACAACCTCTAGAGACGGCACTGTTCAGGATTACAAAACTTCCCTACAACAAGCTCTCATCATCGCCACCAACACATCACGGCGTGATGCGTGTACATGAAGCACCGGATTTAGTAAATATCTACCGGTATACAATGTCTCGGTTAACTGTATATAAACATTGTAGTCGCTGGGATTGCAGATAACATCTGGCAACACGCCCACTCGGCAGGGAATGTCGTTCGCACGGCGAACCCCGTGGAGAGAAGAACAGAGAAAGGGAATGCCGTTTTTAAAGTTCGTCCAGATCTCTCTGCGAATTGTAGAGGTGGTCTTATAACAGCGAATGGTACTAGGTATCAACGCGGCTTGGAGCAACCGTAGAGCTGAATACAACACATGACAACGATGCTGCCGACAGCAGCCCGCAACGAAGCACGATTGCATTTGAGTGTATTACTAGACAACGGTAGAATACACGCTGGTCGTGTCTCAGAGTCGCGGAATATAACCTCCACTTCGATTTCGGGCACTTTCTTTCAAATGAGAACTTTTGGGGGGTCGCTTGACATCGGCTTGATTAGTATGGTTCATACAGGTCACGCTGAAATACGGTGAGCTGGGGGAGTGCAGAACTATGCAACAAGGTTTGAACGGCATTAATTATATAACCGATAAGAGCTTAAAAATCCCCGCCATGATGCAAATGTAACGACTACATTACTGTTGTCTCATTATTCATCACCACCCTGCCTTCTCCCACATCTATCACACTCGCAATCTACCTTTGGAGATGCATCGGTACAAAGGGCAACGACCGCTTCTGCAACGACGGGCTGTCCACCAATGGCTTCGTATCCGTTTCACAGACGGTTCCCGCTTTCGGTAGCGTGGCGTTGTTCAAATACCTTCTCAGGTGACCAAGCGTGCACAGCGACGAACCAGATGTGACCGAGTGGCCAACCGAGTTCTGCTCAAGAAGAACAGACCCCTCGAAGAACTGCAACATGTGCTTGGCGGACGCGATTGGGGTGATAGGGTCAGCAGAAGGGTTCATGAAGAAGATTGGAGTCTTCGTCTTGGTCTTCTTGAAGCCTAAGGTTTCGTTAGCTGTTATTCTGCACCAAGAACGGAAGAATGTGGGTGCGGGGGGTCAGCTTACCAAGGAAGCGTTGGCTCTTGGGAGGTGTCATGTTTAGTCCGGCGGTGATCAACACGTTCGTCGACGCATAGCCCTTGCCTGCGTACACGCTCAAACGCTCAACTTCACCTGCTACCTTGATGTAGTCGTCTACATTCTTGATCGGAGAGCGACCCGCTGCATCAACTGCAGTGACGAAGGTCAACACCTCCTGCATCGCGATAGTCGTATAATTGAATGGCCCGGGGTTTCCTGGCTGGTTCAGCTCCTGCTCGACAGCTATCCATGCGGTGGCATTGTTCTTTTCAAGACCGGCAAGCCCTTTAGCAAGGTATGCAAACTCTGTAAAGGGTCTATATAGCGTGCGGAATCCCACAGTCAAAACGCGGTCTTTAGTAACAATCTGCGGTCCTCTGCTGAGTAGCGGGTCAATATGTGTGTCGTTGAGGACGACTGGTGCCTTTTCAAGCTGGGCGAGAAGGTTGTCGAAGCGCTTCTTGATGTCGCTAGCACTTCCAGATTTGCCGGCGAAAGCGCACTTCTCCAGACCAGCTTTATAACAGAGGTCAAAGAACCATCCATAGCAGTCATCAGCGTCCTCGATAGCTGTTTTTTTGAGGCCGTTGTAGTGGTCCTCAGAATTTACGTTCGCGTCGACGACGATGCGCCCAATGCGGTCGGGATACATGGCAGCTAGAGTGTGGCCAATTACGGTTCCATAGCTACCTCCGATGTACCAAATCTCGGCCTCTTCGGGCTTTTTAACTCCATCTAGCGCAGCTTGTAGCTCGGTGAAGTGCATCATGTCCTGGACAACGGCTGAGGTACCGGCATACTTGGCGAATGTATCATTGTTCGCTTCCATACACCACTGACCCAGAGCAACAGCTTGGTAGTATTGCTCATTGAGGGACGGCAAGGACGTTTGCAGGGAAGCATAGTATGCGTCACGAGCCTCAGGGTTGTCGGGGAAGCAAGTCAAGGCGATCCCGCTATTATTTACGCCTCTGGGATCAAAGCTGACAACATCGTACTTGCCACCAGTAAAATTGACAAGCTGGTCACCTCCGCCTGAAAGGATATATTCAATGCCAGATCCGCCTGGTCCACCAGGGTTGAAAATAACGTCTTGACCAGTGCTATTGGCGGCTTTTTGACGGATGAAGGCGACAATGGTAGTACCAACGTCGGGTTCTGCGTAGTCTAGAGGCACTTCAAGGTTTGCGCAGTGATAACGATCGTAGCATGGTGTCCATTGGAGATCAGTTGAGTGTGGAAGCTATAAATCGCTGTCAGCTTAATGGCATCTTAATGATTCACAACACTTACATCCTCGAAGCTATAGATCATTTCCGTATTGTTACTGATTCGCTTGGTCCATCGCTCGGAGGAGGGTAGCGCGCTGACAGCCGATGCTAGAAGGCCAATGGCCACAAAGGACGCAATGCGACTCATGGTATCGTGAAGGTGTTAGGCTTCCGGAGAGGGAGGCGGCCGTGAAGTAGATGGTGATCTATCACGACGACAAGGCCACCGTTCGTCTTATATAAGGTCTCCATCTTGATGATGATCCGACCGGAACGTACAATTCTCTAGTCAGGATTATTCTAATCTGCGAGGTTAGCGTGCCATTCGTGTGCTTTGCTGGTGTAAGGTTTGGCCCACCTTGGCTGCTGACGCTCGCGAGGCTCTGCGGGGGCGCAGGACGAATCACAAAGCTAGCCTATACGAATGATCTCAAAGCCCCAAGTGAACGTAAGTTAGCGTAGGGCCCTGTCTCCAATTACCATTAAGCGTCGGGTTACCGTCCAGTCATAGTGAGCCCGTGTTTTTAGGCGTGCTACATGCACTGCCCGCTACAGCCGCCAGATCGTCGACGTCTTACATAACAGAGCGACCATGTGACAGCAGCTCTGCTGCTTCGACCTGCTTCTACCCCGATTTGATGCGATGAATGTGGACATAGGAGGGTCAACCTCGTCGGGCTGATGGCTGAGCCACCGCCTGTGGCTTGAAAGCATATTTTTCGCTGGCTTCCTCTGTGCGGTGGAACAATCGATGCCAGTTGGCCGCGCGGTCCACGGCAGCCATGCAGCAAGTCTGTCAGCCTGCACGCTTCTGTAGATCCCGATATTCCGGCCAGGCTTTTCTCTAACTCCATTTACATATGGGAGCGGATATGAGATTACCGCTGAGTCAGACGGCTAACGTGAGGCATGCCGCCTGCATAATCGCCAATGCCCACGTACGCGAAAAAGAATTGTCTTTCCACCGAAAGTGGAGAACTTGCTGCTCACATACCTGGATATCCAGCGCAACCTTTCCACATTCAATGCAGCTCAAAGTGCCATCTAAATCGCGCCGACCAACCCCTCTCATCACGACCTTTCTGTAGGAACTCCATTCGCATCTTGGACTATATCATCAAGGAAGGTGTCGCATTGGCGCTTGATGAGTTTAGATACGAGCCTCCGTCTTGTAGAAAGCCCATGATGGCATGCTCAAATTGCGAGCGACGACCGTTCACCACTCAGTATGTCTTATAGCAAGCTGCGCAAAAATATCGTCAAGTTACGGTGCAACTAGTACAACAGAGAAGAACCAACAGCTAATAAACACTGAGAGTCGATGCTGAAGTGGGGGTGTGGAAATGATAGTGCAAAGCAAATAAAGCGATACGAGAATGGATAGCATAATCGTAAACGTAGCTTCGTAGTAGTTGGAAATATGTTCTCGAAACCGAGGGGTAGTGTAATGTCGAAGATGAACGAAGGCACTCATAGGCTTACCCTATGAGTGCCAGTCGGTATAGGTACGATCGCCTTCCTATATGACCTATTGCGAGTCGTTTTGCTCCGAAAGGAAGCTCGTTCCTTTGATGTAACCTATGACGCCCAACTCCTATCCCAAATATACCATGTACGTATCTCATCGCCTCTTTCGTCCCCACTATCTCCTCGTCTTGACATTGAATGCACTATCCTCGGCTGACTTGAATGCATCGAACGTGAACAGACTAATCAGATACAACGCGATGAATCTGACTGCCACATCACTAAACCCTCCATTCCCAACAATAAGCCGTTGTAGCCCCGCGAACGGGCTCTCATTCACTGGTCTGCTAGGTTCTGAACTTGACCCGAGCGTACGTCCTTTCGTTTGAAATACGGCGGGGGAGGCGCCACCAGAGTCGCTGGCGGCTTTGCGAACGGCGGCTGTGAGCGCGGACGGATTGGCACCACGGATGGTTTCGACGACGGAGGAGGATTTTATGACGAGGAAAGTGGGCATACTGGACATCATCAGCTTCCTTTATTGCCACATCATGATATAGGAGAGCCATGACTTACGCAGACACACCATACTTGCGCGCAACTTCCTGCTGGCTGTCCACGTCCACCTTGACAAACTGCAGCTTCCCCGGCTTCGTCTCTTTCTCCGCAAGCGCATGGAACACGGGCGCAATAGTTTTGCAAGGGCCGCACCAGTCGGCATAGAAGTCGACGATCGTGTATGTAGATTGCGAGAGGAGGGTTGAGAAGTGCGACGATGAGGTTACGGAGACTATCTTGCCCGCCATCTTGACTGTCGTCCTAGGTTTGTGGTTTGGTGTGTGTATATGTGAGTGATGGGAGGCAATGAGTGTTTTGAGGGAGGCTTGGTGAGGGTAGTTGACTGCTATGTGGTTATCGTGGTGGTGTGGAGAGCTCTAGTGGGGCGTGGGGATGTGAACAGCTTGCGACAAGGATGCCGCCATCTGGAGGTTTGGTGGGTCGTGCGGCAGGGCAATCTACCGATTGGCCACCTCACCTGTCGTCCTTCACTCCCTCGTTCCTCACAGCCCTCAAATCTGGCATGGCAAGGATGACTATTGAGGTGCTTCACCTAGCATAAAGATCCCACGGCGTTCTATCAGAGTTGAGTAGCATTTTTTGTCACGGCATAGTATACGTCTCCAAGCTACATTTTAAGGTTCCATTGCTGGGAAGACAAATGACTGTCAACGGCTAAAATATTCTTTTAAGCTACACATATCCCCCTTGTAATTGTCAAGCTACCCGCCGTATTATCTGTGTCTCATGCGTCATCCGTAATCAGCCATTCTTTACGACATCCTCCTATTTCGCTGCCTTCTCTCGCATCTGCTCCGTCAGAGCCTGGATCTGGGCCACTGCTGGATCCATCTCCTCTTTCAAGGGCGTCTGCCTGCTCCTGGTCTTCCTGGGCACATACTCTTCTTCACTTACATCCACCTCATCGATGGCGCGCTTCTTGCGGCCACGCTTCGGCTTTGGAGCTTCTACTTCATTCTCGGTATCGGCATCGACATTGTCAGCCTTCTTCTTCGCTTGAGATCTCTTGGGTGTCGGAGCCTCTACCACCTCATCATCTTCCTCGTCAGTCACCTTCTTTTTCGTTCGGGGCTTCCTTGGTTTAGCCGCAGGCGCTTCTGACTGCAACGTAGGCGGTTCGACAATCTTGCCCTCCTTGAAAGTCTGCTCCACGACCTGCTTGTACTCGGCTCGAATATTTTCAAGGCCTCCGAATGAGTCCTGCTCGTAGTGCTCTTTTGCAGATTTGAGGTCGTACGGGGACATGCATTTCCTGCACAACGTTAGGACGGCTGGAAATACTTCAACGTGGTAGGGTGACTCACCAGTGCTTGTAGACCCAAGATCCATGCTCGCCATCGAATGGGACGGAGATACCAAATCTCAGCTCGCCTTTGGTGACCTTGATACCCTTAGATAGGCAATCTGCACCGCGGCATGCGGCAGCTCGCGTTGGGACATCGACTTGGTACCCATCAGCATTGAGATACTCTTGCGCATAGCGCGGCGCCGCCTTGGCTAGATCTCCACGGATACCCTTGAACTCCTTATCGACAGGTCCACCGTTCTCGAATGCCAGCCGAACTTGTTCTTGACTCTCGGTGCTAATGCGGTCGTAACCGGGTGCATTGGTGGGGTCGTTGTTGGTCGTCTCCTTCAGGCCTTTGATCTGTTGCGTGGTTGCGCAACCCCTACTATGGCGTTAGTATCATTGAGCTTGGAAACTAACTGGGTATTATGCTGGATAGACCGGCTGGTTTGGCAGGTGGCCAGGAAATGGCCTCTGGCACGTGAAGCTAAGGAGCCTTGACAGTCCCCGTCCCTGTTATTGAAGGGCTGCGATTCTAGTGATAGAATAAGAAGGAGGCGTAGACCGCATATGTCGCAGCCTGGCGGACTTCGTCGTGCAATACATGAGGTCGCTTGGGGGAAAATGAACACTTACCAGTGACGCCACGCATAATACCACCTTGATTCACCATCTCTATCGAAGAGCTTATGCGTACCGATACGCAACTCACCGGTCGCAATCTTGATGCCGTGCCGCTTGCAAGACGCCTGCTGGCACACAGCTCTACCGCTGCTTGCGTGCTCTACCTACATCAGCACAGTTTGTGGGATTAGAAGGACGACCTCACCTAGACACCACTTTGGGCTACCCCCGTCCATCGCGGCGTGTATGCGGTATTGGAGAAGTAAATACAGTGACCGAATTTGAGTTGAGAGATAAGTGGCGGGACAAGGTGGATGGGAGCCACTGCTCTTTACAAGTCTGTATGTCTTGGCGCAATGGCAGGAAAGAGCGACTTTCACACAGAGCGGCGGAAAGACAAACTCGGTTGCAAGACAAACATGGCACCATCACACACCTAGGAAGGAACTATTTTGATGGAATGAGGTCTAATTGGTTGCCGTTATAGACTGTCTTAGCCTACACATCCCTCGTCTCAAGCTGACAGCTTTGGATGCTTCTTATCGGTCGTAGGATTGAGACGAACCTCGATCAACCCGGCACCACGAGGATTGTAGTGCATGCTTAGGATCTCTAGTCTCGGGTCAACTTCCTCCAACAGCCTCTTCCAATCCCTCTTCGTCCTCTCCTTAGCTCCAAAGAGCGCCAACATGAGCAAATCCATTTGACGATGCTGATTCTCTTCTGCCCTCGTGACTGCACCCTCTGCACGCTCTGGTACGATGATATCGTTGATCAAGATTCTCGGATCGTCGCTGCGGTCCTCCAGCGCGGGAATCAGGGATCGTAGCATCTTGATAGAATCTTCGTCGTTGTGGTTGTGAAAGATGGCGCGGCAGAGATACACTCCTGCGTCATGGATGGGCTGGGGAGTGAAGAAATTGTACTGCTGGAAGGTGACACGGTTTTGGACGTCGTGCGCTTGGGCGGTGGAGAGCTGATGGGTGGACAGGTCTTGCACGGTGAAGGTCAGGAAAGGAAACTCCTGTGAAGGGTCAGTGTGACTGCTATGCGCCAGAGGATTAGACGAGCAGACGTTTGCGAGATCGATGCTGACATGACCATTGCCTCCTCCCACATCAACGACCTTGGCGTTCGTAAGCGACAACCAGTCGAATCTATCGCGCAGAATGGCGAAGTTGTCGTCAACTACAAAGACGTCAATTCGCGGTTATTCGATGGAGTGTGAGCTACTTACTCAACGACCATTCGTTCATGGCATTCGAGAACCTCGTAGCTTTCGCCGGATTCTCCTCGTAATGCCCATAGAATGTAGCGCCAAAGCGTTTGTGGAAAGCACTATCCTCTAGTCCCATCGAATACGGACTCTGCTCAATCCATGCATTCATCTCAGAAGTAGCTTTGAAGAAGTCATCGAGCGACGCTTCGCACATCGCATTGAAAGCGGATGTCCTAAGAAAACTCGAGCTGGCAGTGTGGCGGAACTTCCCATTTATCTGTTCTTCAAAGATGCGGTGTGTAGCTAGCATTTTCAGCAGACGGGTAGTACGGTCTTCGTCCATACCCGCTCTCATCGCTACTTCGGCTGCACTGATTCCAACTTTGTCGTCTGGGACATGCTCAAAGAACTTTTGACTCAGCGCGACCTGCGCGGCGGCAAGATCCATATGTGAAAAGAACAGCGTTCGGAAAGTATTCTTTGGGCCGTTGACTAGGCGTAGAAGATCGAGGGCGGAGTCATTAACTTGGTTCCTCAGGGCTTCAAATTCCGGCGTTTCTGGAAGCGCGACCGATGTGGGTGTGAAATCGGGTTGCCCATGGTAATTAGCATCCAGGTATGAGCTGACGCGCATCGATAACGCGGAGATGTCGGCGGCTAAGGAAGCAATTGAAACGTTGTTCTGATACGTAGGTATCCTGCATAGTACCATTGTGACTGAATTTCTTGAAGGAAGTGCTGGTTGAAAGCTGCAATGAGGATAGGTCTAACTGAGAGCTTATCGTCTTATCATATATTTATGCAGATGCTCTATTGACAGCAGTATCAATTGCTGGGACTCTAAGGGCGTGGTGTGAGAGGGGTACCCTTTGATTCCATCGTGCTTTTCTATCATGGCGTTTGGTGGCGTAGTAGCTCTACGTGACTGTTCATACCAGGTCCCCAAAGCTCTGTTACTTCTACCTGTCATAGAGGCGTCCAAAGCGGCGTACTAGTGCAAGGAGAGTGGTGATGTCTCGCTCTTTGTTTGCAGGATCTCCTCTGCTGTTACGGAGTATCTATAATTGTAATTGTGACTGTAAATTTGGTAGCTCATAGTAGAAGTACGGCCATACTAATCACAGCTAGCAGTACTTGTGAAGGTCCTAGTGATACCATACCGTCATGGTCTAAACAGTAATAGACAGGAGTAGATGTAAACCCTTCAACACGAGTCATCAGTTTCTATTTTTTTGATAACTATACCGTTTCGCAGTGTTTGTCTATCCTCCGTCCACGCCAACAAACTCGTACCCACATCGAGAACTAACGCAAGGGTTTGCCTGAGGATAAGAATGAGGCGTTTTGAAGCTCCCTTAGAGCTCTCAGCAACATGGAGGCAGTTTACAAGAACACTTGAACCTGACTTGATCAGTTATAGACTCGAACTTCTGTCGTTGCCGAACGGCCATCGCTTTCGTTCTCCCGCTGCCGAACGATGCCATTGCTACACACAATCTTCGCGGCATCTCTTGCTTCGGGTACTCATAAACATGTCAGAGGATTTCCAGTATACTGTTCTGCGATCCTGACAAAATCAGAAGATTACCGAGATCGTGGCGCATAATCGAAGAGAGTCTAGACCAAGTTGCTAGTACCCAGAAGGACATGGTATACAGCCCGAGTAGCAGTAACTTGCATTAATCTTTACCTCCTTGCATCTAAAACGTATTCATGCGCAAGCTTGAGATTCTCTTTGTTCAGAAGTGGCTTAAGGAACAAGAAAGACGGTGTCCCCGTTATCTCTTATGGCGGTAGTATCGCGTATTGTCTTAGGGCTCAGCAGGTGTTATTGCTGTCTTCAGGCAGGGTGACAACGTGAACTCTTTCAGATGAAGGGAATTTCAACCCTTCTCATCCTTGCGATTATCTAAGAGTTCGTTAGTGGTTGTTGAGATTATTGAAGCCTCCGGTCGGGGCTCCCTAACGTTGCGTAGACTATCATTTGTGATCAGGTAGCGGGCAAAACAATGTGGTCTCCGCGACAGTCGAAGATGGCCCTGTGCTTGAAAAGAGGGGGGAGGGCCGCCAAGCCTTTAACTGAAGCTGATCGGCACGGGACAACCCAATACAGAAACAATCCCTCTCATTAACACTCCATCACATTTTCATCAGACAAAGCGTTCTAACTTTAATATACACAGGTTCTCAGAAAATAGATAGGTGCTAGAGGTCGAGACTATGTAGGCCCAGCTGAGCACTGCAGTACGAACTATATCCTCCCAGGCTGCGACCAATCACGAGTCATTTCCATTCATCTTTTTATCATTTCTGTTATCGCTACACAATTTACACCATAGGCGTACTTCTGCAAAGCGTTATTGTGCAAACATATCCCCTGAATTCCGCCATCCCGCAACATAACCCTGGATACATGAATGCAAGGCCGACTACCAAAAATAGCAGCACCCTCCACCGATGTTAGCAATCTTTTGTCACAGATGACGGAGTTCGCTGCTCTAGCCCGCACTTGGGAGGATCTCCACTCTCAATCTAAGGACGCGTTGTGTTCCGTCTGAACTAAGCGAAGTCCGAAATCTACGGACGTCAGGCGCTTGAGGATGTTCACCAAAGGCAACGATCATTTCGCAGTGAATTTCTTCTGGTATGGTTTTCTGGATGCATTAATCTTCGCACGCTGAGGAGGACTACAGTTAGGTCACTGGGTGTGCGGATATTCACAGTGCCTTCCATGTTCTCTACCTCTTAATTGCGCCACGACGCATCGCAGGAACATGACATGCAGACATCTTCAGCGGTGAAGCTATAATGGGAGTACCGGAAATTGGAGGGCCTCGCATGCAAATGAGCTTCACTTAGCGGGATGGATTCGGGAGGCCCATCTCTGGCGTTTTCGGACAGCCGTGCAGCAGACGTTTTCATGGAAAATGGGCTCAATGCATCGGACTAAAGCTAATGAAAGTATACGCGTACAGAGGAGATTACGGCCTTCGTGCTTTGACACCCAATGACAGACGTGGCCATGGAGCTGCTATATATTCTGGGCTTCCTGTTATCTTTCAAGTCAATCCTATATTCCCGCTACTACTCTTCCCCGGTTGAAACAGTCTATCGCTCCACGAACCATGAATATGAAGCAGCTCTTCTCTCTCATCTATCTTGCCTCTTTCACCGCTCGTGGATCCCCTCTCGTCGGCCGAGATAGACGCGACGACGCTGGAGTGGCCAAAGATGCTCCCAATGTGCAAGTCCGACACAAGGGCTGGAAGACTCGTTCCTGGTACGATTACGATTACGATGACAAAGACCGATTCGCCTCCACGCGCACCGTCACAGTCACCGTCACAGTTACCGTCACCCAGCCAGTGGATGGTCTTCCCACGGACGGCATACCTGTGGGAAATGCTACGACGACTGTTGACGGTGGCGTAACGGCTACATCGACCGTCGACCTTGCTCCAATCACATTGATTGATATCAAAACACTTGTTTCGTCATCGGGCCCGACCTCAGGCAATGCTGCGGCCGCACCCACGCCGAATGATATACCGCCGATTACGTTGTTTGATGTTAACACGCTATCTCCGACTGCAGTTGCGAGCTCGGTGGATAACGCGGCGGCCCCGACTCCGAATAATCTGGCGCCGATTACACTGATCGATCTCAAGGCATTGAGCAGTGTTGCGGCGAGGGTGGCGTAGGAGACTAGAGGAGCTGAATGCTCGGTAAGTAACATGCATATTGGTGCCTACGCCCGTAAGCTAAGACCAATTTCTAGTTACTGCAGTCCTTTCTGCTTTAACAACGCCGCATTGAGCATGGCTGTTGATCTTGACGGATCGACTCGGAGCGCTTAAACGTTGCAAAGCAGGTACTTGTCAGTAGGACAGGGGATATACAAGGAGGGAACAACTCAGATACTGTAAATAGGCTGCACATCATTCATTCTCGATTCATTTCTTCACTCCGCATTCTCTTCGATCCGCTTCGAGCGCAAAAAGACGCTCGTTGCATCAACTATCCCCACAACTAGCCATTCTAGCGAGATGCACGCCTGTGACCTGCAACCAACAATCTCATTTGGAGAAATCCACATCTTCACTCTTCTACACTCATCCAAGCAGCTCTTTCCTCTGCATTCCATTGATTCCCCTCAAAGTGCATGCGCAAGCATATACACACCAACTCACCATAAACCTCCCCATCCCACAGCCTCAAGTTCTCTCTCAAGTATCAAACTACACAACTATTAGCATCATCCTCATCATCAACTCCCCACCCATCACAACCACCTACCCACACAAACCCACAAAAAGAAAAAGAAAGAATACACACCTGCCACTTCTGCAACCCCCTCTCCCTCTCGCCACTCCTGGCCGGCGCCCGACTCGCCATCTTAGGCTCATGCGTCTTATTGTACTCCTGCGCGAGACCAGCACAGACCTTCTTATGCGTTTTGAAATGCGCCTTCTGGCAGTCTTTGCTGCAGTAAGATACGCTGTGGCATTTTAGGCAGGGTTTGAGGGGTTTGCCCGTGCTAGAAGAGGGAGGTTGGTCGGGTTTGGCGCAGTGGGCGCATGTTTCTTCTTCTGGTCGTTGTTGTGATGAGGAGCTGGCTGTTGGCTGTTGTGTTTCTGATGAGTTGCTTTCTGATGGGTCTGCCATGGTTGTCTGAGTTGTTCTAGCGAAAGACCGAGCTGGGGAGTTTGGGTAAAAAGGATTGGTTTAAATGGGGTTTCTGATTCGTTCACGTGGACATGTCGCACAGGAGGATCACCTTGGAAGTTCAGCGTCACGGGAGGTGGGAGCCCTCAGCTTTTCGCTTAAGCGAACGTCTAGCCCATTCGAGCACTAGTGCATTTCAAGATCTTGGACGCCCATGAAATGCTTCTTGAAACTGATCGTCTACTCAGCAACCCAACCAAAGCTCAGCGGGGAGAAACATAGAGTTTCTATATTCAGCAGGGCTCGGCACGGAGTGTCGATAATTAGAATCATCCACTCAACAGCTTCACCTCAGGAAACTTCCCATTCTTCCCCCGCAGCACCTCATCCTCCTTCTTGAGCCCCAACGCCCGCCAAAAGAACGCGCTGACATAGCGCCCTAGAATCTCATACACCCTAGGACCATGCACAGGACTGATCAAATACTGCGCCGTTTCGCTTAGATTTCCCCTGATGCCTGCTACATCGACGAGCAAGTTGAGATCCCAGTAACTCGAATGCGTGCTGTTGACAATGCTAAACTCCTTCTTATAATCCACATACGGAGCTTTCGACTGCGTGTCCCAGAAAGCAGTCCACGAAGGTTCGCTGGAGCTATTGAGCCCGTCGCTGCCCCAGAGCATGAAAGCCTGAGGATGTATCGGCGAGCCAAGCGGCGTTTTGAGCACGGGGCCAAACATGAAGCCGTCGAAGTTGATGCCCGCGCGGAACCGTTTGTCGTTGAGCATGGACGTGGCGGCTGCGGCGCCGCCAAAAGATTGCCCGAAGATTGCCGCCGGCTTCTTCGTACCGAGCGTGTCTAGTACGAAGGAAGCGTCTTGCGCACGGACTTGCAGCGCATGTTCAACCGATGTCGTCGACCCGTTCGCTTTGTTCGGTGAAGTCACCCGGCCACCGTATATGACATCGCCGTTGGGGAAGACTACCACGTCGGTGTCGTATGGGTGGTCGATGGTCAGCACTGTGAAGCCATGCGACGCGACCTCCTGAGCGAGACTGGAGTAGAAGAGGCGCGTGGTGTTAAGCCCGGGGCCGAATAGCGCAATGGGAAAGTTGTCTCCAGAGCCGCTGTGTTGAGTTTTCGAGGGTTTGCAGACTTCCAAGTTGAATCGCGACCAGAGCCCAGTGGGGTAATCATAGCCCGTCAAGATCTCATCCTGCACTCTCGCGACTTCCGGCAGAAAGTAGGGTATTTTGGTGAGTTTGCATTTTGACTTTTGGACGGGATCGAGGCGTGATACCATTATTCGACGTACGTGTGAGGCATTGAATGGGTCTACACGCGAGCTGTCGACAAGCTCGAATTCGTGGTATGATACCCCAAACGGCCCTGTACCCTGTGGAAGTACAAGTGTGGCATTGTCAACGGCCTTTGTGGTGCTAGCGAGGAGCAGGAAGGCGAGTACATTGACGAACATGTTGGCCTCGCTGCGTGACGCCGATGTAGATTTGCAGCCGAGTGCAATACAATTTATGTACGAAGCAGCCATAATCTCGTGCGAATCCGAGGTACGAACAGGGATGCCGAGCGTACCTGCCTAAACCAGCAAGAATGCGAACCCACGTGTCATGTAGCGAATCCACTTATTAGAGATATTCCACGTCTCAGAGAATTCGAGTCCCATCGGAAGGCAACGCATCTAGATGGATGCCGTGAGTGTGGCTTGCAAGTGACATGCAAAGGGCGCGGTCGCTATTTGGAGAAAGCCAAGAATGTCCAGTAGAAAGAGTCGCAAATATCGCAGGAGAAAGAGAGACTTATAACTGGGTATTATCATTACGTCCTTCGCTTTTGTGCTATGCCCCAAGGTTGCTATGCCCTTAAATTTCGAACCGATGTTGCTAACGCCGCCCAATGCTATGCGAAACTGGGTAGGCGTGATGCCATACATGCAAAACCCGGAATCATCAACTTCATGCACCCATAACTGCGTATATCATAGCCATCTTAGATTCGCGGTGCTAATCGTATGATTCCGGTCGAAAAGATCGCTCGTGTCCGCTTATCGTAACGACAACTCCGCGTGCTATACGGAACCCGTCTTCTTGACGATAAAGACGCCTAGTTCCACACCTTTACGAGGGCTTCCATCCTCATACTCCCGTTTCGAAACGCCATCGAGCACTTCCTGGATCAAATTTGCGCCCGTCAATTCGCCAGTATGGAGCTTGTTCGATTTGCGGAAGTATTTCGAGATGACCTCGCGCACTCTAGGCTTCTCTTGCTTCACCCACATGTCATCCGCCCAGGATGATCTTTCCAATACCATCTCCTCTTTAGCCGCGTGGATAACCTCGTAGTTGGCTTTCTTGGCACCGTGGCCTTGTCGCTCGCCAAGTGCTTGACAAAACTTCCGGACATGCGCCTCTAACTGATCGTACTCGTCTAGGTAGTTGACGGAGCTCATTTGGCCTAGACTCCTTCCCAGCTCAGAGTGAAGATCGTGGACTACAGTTACGGTTCTTAGGAGTGGATCGAGAATGGGTCCGAGATACTGCTGCATAAATGTCCGACCACCCGTCCTAGTAGGGTAGATGAAGAGAAGGACACCGTCGTCAAATGAGAGTTCAACGAGGCGGTCGTATAACAAGGAGCGGCCTCTGAACGAGAACAACTCGGCGAATTCGTTGGTGTTGGTGGGGGGAATGTAACGCTCCACCACTGAGACGTTGATGCTCCCTGGCGGCACGACCGGTCTTGGGGAAGGAGGCAGGAGCTTGGAATCCAGCTGGTAGTCGGGAATCGCGACGGCGCTGTCAAAGACTTTGCTTGTGAAGTACGAATCTCCCCCTACGGCGGGTCCGGGGGTGGATGGTGGGGATTTGGGAAGATCTGAGAGTGTGTAGCGACCGGGGACGGCATGAAATACATTGATCCATAAGGTGTGTGTCGTGGTGCTATCGTGAATGTTGGCAATGATTTGGCCGAAAAGGTGGCCTGTTAGTGAGGGGCATGGCAATGCGTGCGACAGAATCTTGACGGAATCTAGGCTCGAGCAACCAGATTCGGTAGCTAAGATGTTTAGCAATTGCCTTTGAGATGGGGGTGGGGGCCTAGGAGCTTACTGATCATGTTCTTGACGTCTTCTACCCAGACAGTCATCCTCATAGCGTCGCTTAGGTCAGCGTAAGTGGGCACAACGATGGGAGCCTGGCCTGGAGACGTTGCACTGGCGGTAGTGGTGAGGTTTGGCGACACTCCTGGATCAGAACTGGGAGGAGAGCCAAGGCCAGCAGTTCTCACATTCACGAAGGACCCCCAATTAAACATGCCCGGCTCCCAAGGAGGCGTGTAGGTGGGTACAAGGTGTCCCACTTGGGCCCTGGCAACTTGAGGACTCTTGGTGTGGGTGCCGTAGGCTCCGTCAGCCTGGTGATGAAGGTCCAGTGGTGGGCTGAGTGCATGGAGAGGGTCTTCTGGCTTTGAAAGAGGTCCGGCGCCTAGGGGGGAGAAGGGGTGGTTTGAGCGAAAGGCAATGCGATCAGGGTGAGGTGCAGCGATACCTAGGACGTCAAACGAGGGTAGGCGCAGATTGTGCGCTGTTTTGATAACCGTGGGCGTGGGAAGCGAAAAGTTAGTCGAGGGAAGCAGGCTGTCAGCAAAATTCAGATCAAAGTGAGGGCGGTCGTCGAGGATAGGCGTTGGCAGAGGCTGGGGCGAAGCGAATGGTAGCGGGACGGGTGGTGAAGGGTCGAGTAGAGAGGCGAAATCGTCTATGGGAGCCTGGGTGGGCCCACGAGGTACCGCCGTCTCGGTGCAGGGAGCACCCTCCGGTGTCGCTGGGGTCGAGGAAGACGAGGGGGATTCAGCGAGAAGCTGCTGGGCGGCTGGGAGAGGCACACCATGGGAGGAGGAGAGGTGATGGATCATGTCATCCGACAAGGACGGACGCTGTGCCCTCGAGCGTCTTCTGGTGGGTGCGATATCTGGAGGGTGGCCCGCACACACACACACTGTCTGGGCGATAAGGTGGGTGAAGAGTAGAAGCACAGAGGACGTGGCTGAAAGATCTGACACCCAGGTACACAGACTGCAGACGGTTTAACGAGGGAACACGGTGGCTCCGCTCTCCCAGGCCGACAGGGTGCTTAGCCTGGTGAAGGGGTGGATGGGTGGGGGAATTGGTAGCCAAGCCTCGTGTAGTAGCGGCGGGGCGCGGTAGCAACGGCAGCGGAGAATTTGGGCGAGAGAGAGCAACTCGAGTGGACGGGTATGACAGAGGGCACCAACGGGAGAGGTTGAATGAAGCGACGACAATGGTGGTGGTGGGCCGGCTGCGCGTTGCGTGATGGCAGTGCAGTGCAGTCAGTGTGGGTGGTGCTGCTGCGTCTCTCTGCTGCAGTCTCGATGAAGGGCCGTCTCACCAATCACGGGCTGAGCAAGGCCCCAGGGTCCACCAGCGTTCCAGACCGGCACCGCCCAAGGCTTTTTTGGCACCGTAACCTCAGGTTTACGAGCAAAATGGCCTGATATGTTCAATTGTCCTCCCTGCTGCTTTGCAGAGCTACCAGCGCCTGGCTCTTCTATCTAGTCTGGAGCCCAAGGCCGCCGCCGATGCCACCCGTCTCCATCTTGGTTCCTTTATTAGCGCCTCTGCTCTGCTCTTTCTTCGGCGCGACACGTCGAGCGAGTGTGACTTTTCTGCCCTCCCTCCCTCCGCCGGATCAAAGGCGAGCCGACCCAGCGCTCCATGCCCTTTTCACTCACAGCCTACAGACGCTGTTGTTGCTACTTCGTAATAGTGTCTCCTCTACTACTCCTGGACTGCCCACGACTGAAATCCGAGGTTGCTTGTGACTTGGCCTACACTTCCCTCGGCTAACTTGTCCTACCCACTCACCTCACTCACCACCTGCACAACTGGAACGGGCTCTCTGCGTCTGCATGCTCTTGGTTTGGTACTAACACCACCTCGTCTGCTCTCACCTCATTAACCGTCCTTCCGACTCGTTCGAGAAGACTTCGAAACACCCGCAGTAGCCCAACCCAGCACGCCGGTCGTGCGCACCAAACCAGCCAGACCCAACTGCTGCCAACATCTTTGGCCCTTATTCGGAAGCGGCTATCAGAGCCTGGGCCCAGCAAACATACACTCTGTGTTGCTGATTAGCGTACACGGCTCGCCAGTTGACAAGTCCCGCGTCAGCTTGCTCTTGGCACATGCGTCTTTTTCGCAATACGGCGTTATCTCGTGGGTGTTTAAAGTGCTGCAGCGTTCCCCCGTCCACAAAGTTGGAGCCCTTCGCCGGCTCCGGAAGACACAGCTGCCATCTCACCCACCTTGCGATCCCTGAAACTTGATCACGCGGCAGTGTGTTATTCCCATCCGCCGTCAGACATTGTTTCTCTATAAGGTGATTGCCAAGAGCGTACATGCGAAGCATGTGTTACCGTATCGCAGTCGTCTCTTGGGCTGCAGTTGACCGTTGCGGCCCACATCAGTCTGCAGTAAGCCGTACAGAGTACTTCCCATGTGATCCAAAGCCTCTACGGCAAGCCCTGGAGGACCAGTCAAGGTTGAGCCCAGTGAACGCGCAAGCTTGTAATAGTACTAGTACCATAACATGAGCGATTTCTGCACGCCAGTCTCAGCCGTGCACCTGTACTCACCTCGTGTCTCGTTGGGTACCTGGCGCTAGTGTGTAGACACCCTCCAACTGCTGACCAGGTTTCTTGGAAAATGTACACAGAATAAGAATAGTTGAGCATCCATTCGCTCCAACGTGCGGATCGTCAGGTGCAATTTTCCCAACGGAAAGTTTACCCGGCGGCTGCCAAGGCGCTAACGCGAAAACCTACTCACACTCGAGCCACCACACCATGCTAGGTTGATATCAAGAATCACTACAGAACGGCCTGTGACTGGAGCAGCTGTACATGACCATTTGAGACATTGAATCCTCCAATTCAAATCCTCAGTAGGTGCGTTTGACGTCTCCATCGTGCCTGCAGCCGTTTCAATTCTTCAAGTGTTCCCAGTGGGAGACCCTCGCAGGCTTTCATTCGCCGTTCACCATCCATATATTCGTGTCGACGTAGCTGTCTATCACACGAATCACGCTTCTCCTAGGATTTTCTTCTTAGATTTCGCTCACCTTTTTTAGGGCCTGCCACTTCCTACGTCCATACATTGAAGGGCTCGTGACCCTGGGTGGGTTGAATCATTCAACAATAGACCGCCCAACATGCATGTAGGTATACTAGCTATTTCAAACCTCGGCCTTGTTATCCTCGCAGTCCTCTCTTCAAACTCACATCGCCGTCACGATACTCTTTTCTCACCAGTCCTTCATCTTCCGTCCCCTCACAGCCACATCACTAAGCACATCTTGGTCCAACACTAATCAGCCCAGATCAAAAACCCCCAATCAGCGCTCCTCTCCAACCACGAACTGCTCCTCCACATCCAAAAGGAAGAAGCAGAATACACCGGTGCCGATGGCACAGGCCGCTCACGGCCAAAGCCTTCTGGCTTGAGCCACATGCTGCGAGATGTACGTCGCATACAACTTCTCTCATACCCACTCACTCTATTACTCGTCATGTCCAATCACTCTATTACTCGACATACCCACCCACACTATTACTCGTCATAACGCCTCACTATCCACGCCACTGCTGTGCATCTACTGATGACGGATAGGGCCTGACATACCTCCAAACCGCCGACTTCCCCACCGGCACAATAACAAGCACACACCCCAATCGCCCAATGACTCTCTACAAAGGCCCACATTCCCTCTTCCGCGCTCTCGCGCCAAAATACCGCTTAAACAAAGCTGAGTACCTGCAACTCTACAACTTGCGGCCTACCACACAGGTCATGCTCGAGCTGGTAATTGAAGAAGTAAGCGCTTCCCCTTCCCTTTCATAAGAAACTATACTTCCTCTACTTGCGTCCTGTGTTTTTAGCTCCTTGACATCACACGCTTCCACCTGGCGATGTAGAATTGGCTGACGACCGACCGTGTGTAGGCTGGCTCGCGCTTCACAGAGGAGGAACTACTCGACATTCTGAATATAATCCAGCAGGTCTTTGACGAAGAAGAAGCGTTTATTCCTGCGGGAGTAGAACACCAGACTATGGAGAAGATCCCCAATAAGCTGCTGGGCGCTAATAAGAAGAAACGGAAAGTGCGCGCGAAAGCCAAGGCTTAGAGACGAGAGCTAATGTGTGCCGGAAAACGGAGAGAAGGGGCGAAGGTGGGCAGAAATGAGATTCAAAGAGAATCAAAGGCGTCCTGGAAGAAAATCCATGGACATGTAATTATAAAGCGGCGGCGTATGCGCGAGTGGATACGACGTCTTCACAAACATCACAATGGCAGGAGTCGAACAAGTGGACATTTTAACGTACGATTGTATGCAACTGGCGGGTATCCGATCCGCTCCCACCATACTAACCACTCCCCCAACAGCATGCAGCAGAAGATGAAGAAATGTACAAATGCCCCAAGTCCGCTGCGCCACTCGCCTAAAGATAGCAAGCTCAAACCCGAAGAACGCCTTGCCCATTTTCAGTTCACATGGCCAAACATACAGCAACATCCACGCGTTACACATCTCCTATAACCAAACAGCCTCATACATCTAATCCTTGCTCTTCTTCTGTTTCTGCTTCTTCTTCTCGCCCTTCTCCTCGCCATCATCCGCCTTCCTCTTCTTTGGCTCCTTTGTCTCTTTCGCCGCCTTCTTCGCTTCCTTTGCAGCCTTCTTCGCCACCTTGGCTTCCCGCTTAGCCGTACGCTGTGCTTTTCGTGCTTTCTTAGCTTCCTTCTTTGCTTCCTTCTCGGCCTTCTGCGCAGACTTCTGTGTGGACTTCTTGTCGCCCTTGGTGGCCTTGGTGACCTTCTCCTCAGAGTCTGAGTCTGAGTCCGAGTCCGAGGCATCGACGTCCGCCATGGTCTCGTCTTCGTCTGAGGACTCGACTTCCTGAACAAGCTTCTTAGGCGTTGTACCGTTGACCTTGTCCGTCTTGGACTTCTTCGCTGCGGGCTCATCACCCGTCAAGCCGTCAGCATCAGGATTGTATTTCCGCGCCTCCTTGACTTCCCACTTCGTCTGCCCACCAAGCGCAGTCTGGTTAGCGTTGGCTAGGCTCTTGAGCGGCTTGCCCTCCAGGGCGCGCAGTCTCCTTTCAATGTTGAGTCGTGCGTCGCGACCAAGTTGCGACTTCTCTTCCTCGGTGGGCTCGTTGGAGGCATCTTCGGATGCAATACCCCATGTGCTCAGAGCGTCGACGCGGAGACCGAGAGCGGACTTGGCGGCGAGCATACGAGCGATCTTGCCCTTGTTTTTGCCTGTTGCTTGACCGATGAGAGACGCGTGGTAGATCAGCTAGAACTTGTCAGCATGTACCAATCCGTGGCATCTTGGATATACATACACCGTATTTGGGGGTGTCATGCTTCGTCTTCAGCGCTCGGAACAGGGCCTTCTCAGCACCGAGAATCTGAATAGTGGAACCAGGGGATTTGGCGAGGTTCATGAGAGATCCAGCGTGCGCAATGAGGCGTGCACCGACCAGCTCACCAACAAGCGCAGTTAGGTTAGGCGCGAGTGCCTGCATGCGTGTGGTGAGGTAGTTGCCAAGGTTCTGACGATGTCTGATTGCGAGTTAGTACAGAATCGCACACATGAATTTTATCGTGATGCATACTCGGTAAGATCAACGACCTGCTCAGCCAATGCGCTGGTGGCTTCCAGATCCTCCTCGGTGATTTCAGTACCCATACTGATTTCAGCAGCCCCCTTGACAGCCGCCTCGATTTCCTCGGGCAGAATGGCTGAGAGATCCGTGCCTCGTGCGTTTGTGCGGAAACCCATCTTGAGCACAACCTTCGAGTATGCGAGGTTGTCGTTCAAGATCTTGGCAAGCTCGGGGAAGTGCCATCCGTACCACTCCTTCACTCTCATGGCGTAGGTGTTAAGCTGCTTATCGAGCACATCGAGACTAGCGATACTCTGAATGATCATGGTATCCACCTTATCTGGGGAGAACTTCAGTTTGTGTCGTGAGAGCGAATGCGCAAGACCGAGGCGGGTCGAGTCCATCTCAGCGGGGATGAGGTCTGGGATGAGCGAAGTGAAGTGTTCGCGAATCGCACGGTACACATCTTGAGTCGAAGAGTCGGAGATGGGCTTCAACGACAGGCCAGGGACTTGGGCAATAGCATTTGCGAGCTTAGGATCAGCGACGACCACTATCGGATGTTAGCCACGAACTCCTTCAAGCTGAATACAAAGAAGCGTACGCGATGCCTTGGTCTCGTCCTTGAGCTCCTGCAGCAGGTTAGACAGCATTGGGCTGACCTTGCCGTCGGTCAGGGCCGCGGCTTCGTTGAGCGCAGTAACAGCATTCTCGAATTTCTGGAAGCGCTTGAGCTTCAATGCCTCTACTATAGACGAGACATCCTTGACGAGCTCGTCGCCCTTTCCGAGCAGCTTCTTATCCTTGGACTTGAACAGGGCATAACCCGCACTGCACTCGATGATTAGCTTTGGTGGTGTTAAAGCTCTGCGCACACGCTGCCGTACCTCGTCTCGCTCAAAATGAACAACCCCATAGCTGCTACAGTGTCTGCTCTCCGGTGGAATGTAGTCGGTCACGGCTACCCTTCGAGCTGTGTGTTGACGTGGTGTGGGAAGTTCGCAACGGAGGATTGTGCGTCGTGCTTGCCTGTCGAGCTCGGAGAACTTTTTCTCAAAAGTTCGGCCTTGGCAAGACGCTAACAACGAACCCCTGGAACCTCAAGCTCGCGTATTCGATGCGAGGGCCCTCCCAACACCAACATGACATGACGTCGTCGCAAGCACAGAGGTGTGCTCGAGTAGACTATTCACGATGTCCAATGCAGCCGGCGAACGCAAAGTCTCGGCCTCCCTGAGCCGCAGCGCCAGAGGAACCACGCCGCGCATCGCAGACCTCGCTTCCACGCCCGAGGCGCCGCGAACCCCCCTCCTACGCTCCATATCCTCCACCTTTGGCTCGCCTGGCGGCAGCTTCCGCACAGAGGATGAATATGTCGTGATCGAAATCGGCGCCCGCTTTGTGCGCGGCGGCTTCCCAGGCGAAAGCGCCCCTCGATGCACTCTACCCTTCGGGCCTGATGAGCAGCGCAGAGTGGGCGACTACCGGCAATGGGATCCAGAGTACGCACAGAAGAGGAGAAAAGGGAATGTGGGAAGCAACTGGGGGCGCGAGCATGAGTTGTATAGCGTGGATCTGAGGGACGTGGATCTGGGGCTGGTAGAGGACAAGTTTGAAAGAGCTATGAGGGACATGTACACCAAGTACTTCCTGCTAGATACCAAGCCGCGAAGAATATTGCTCGCTATGCCGCCGAATATCCCGCATGCGCTCCTGTCCACCTTTTTGGATAGTTTATTCACGAGCTTCCAAGCCCCGAGCATCACACTCATGTCGACCCCTGTTTTATCGACAGTTGCAGCAGGACTACGGTCAGCGCTGGTCATCGACATCGGCTGGGCAGAAACACTCGTCACAGCCGTCTGCGAGTACCGCGAAGTGCAAGAGAAGCGCAGTGTCCGAGCCGGCAAGGCCCTTGGGCAAGAGATGGCTAGGCTGCTTAACACCGAGCTGGATGACAACGCGGATACTGGCGCGCCAAAGGCAGACATATCGTTCGAAGAAGCAGAAGAAGCGCTCACCCGCGTTGGCTGGTGTAAGCCACAAACAAAATCAAACCGGAGGACCATGTATTTTCCGGCACGTGAAGCACCCGTGTTTGAAGAGTTCGAAGACGCGGTCGAGTCACCGCCTCCTACCGTCACCATACCCTTTCCCAAACACACTCCTCCAACCGAGGTCAGGATACCGTTTGCATCTCTCGCCAAGCCCGCTGAAGACGCCCTCTTTGCACCAGACTTAGCACTCAGCGATTTCGACGACGAGGACCTTCCCATACACCATCTCATATACCGAACACTCGTCTCCCTGCCCGTCGATGTTAGAAGACTATGCATGTCCCGCATAGTTATTACAGGCGGTGTATCCGCACTCCCTGGGCTAAAGACTCGCATTTTGAAGGAACTTGACGTCCTGGTGCAAATCAGAGGCTGGGACCCCGTAAAAAGCTACGGGAGAGCAAGCGCACGGCACGAAGAGAAATTACTAAACCAGCGAGAGGATGCTGAGCTGAGACGGAAAGAGGGTCAAGACACGATACCCTCCTCTATGGACAATTCTGTCCCACTTTCCGTTGGTCTTCAGATTCCGGAAGAAGATCCGACAGATATCAAACTGGCAAATCTCAGCCTTCGCAATGGTCCGCCGCGCGAATGCTCTGTCGGTGGCGTCATTAGGGGCGTAGAGACATTGGGTGCTTGGGCGGGTGCAAGTCTTGTTGCGCAGCAGCGAGTTAAGGGTATTGTAGAGATTGAGCGGGAGCGCTATCTCAAAGAGGGGTTGTTAGGGGCGTCGAGGGAGAAGGAGGTCTCCGTCATCCAGCAGCGACAGAGTATGGGACCTGGAATGGCGATGAAGGGTGGGGAGAGAGCTAGCTGGACGTTGGGTGTGTGGGCATGATCGATAGATGAACCTTTGAAGAGCATGGCTATTCCCTGATGGAAGCCCTCGAAGAGCATTTGAGCGATTCAGCGTTACATCTGATATCATTTTCGTTTTATACCCATGAGATTAGCGAAACACGTTAGTTCTTGGTCTCTTTCGTGCTATTATCTTTTCTTCTCTCGTTTCCTATGTCCATAATATCATTTCCTACATCGAAACCATCGCATGTTATTTCAGTCAGTTAGGATTACACAAATCTGTGGCTGCACTAGTACAAGTGTACTCGTGGTGAGTTGCTGTACTAGCTCGCGATAGCGTACTGATCTTGTAGATTTAGCCGCAAATCCGCATCTTGAGACTCAGGCTGTCGGGCAATTGTCAATCTAGAACAGTGTATACATTCAAGACGAGAATGACGAGATGTCAGAGCCGACCGCCACTGGCCGAGTGGTGTTTCAGCCTTGTGCCCTTCCACGCAAAAGTTTAACCCACCACTCACGCTTTGTCGCGTGGTCTGCCAACGAAGCCGGGCGACATGGCCGCAAGTCCGCAAGTCCGCAGATACGCATCTCGGTGTGTCAGCGAATCATTTCGCCCTCAAGGTGCTGTATAACCAATGGTTGTTGAGTTGATCAAGTTTATATAAACACCGGGATGGGTCCTCGAGTCCCGCAATACATCTGCAGCCGGTCCTTCGACCCTTTTCGCTATGCCGTGGCAACATGACCCAGCGGATAGTCAGCCTTTTCCAGAATGGACCGGTTTTCATCCGTTTAGCGACTGGTCCACCGCCGAGGCCAATCCGCCCTACACCCCACTCGAATTTAACGGCCAATCTGCTAAACCAAGTCTCTCAAAAGCTGAGATTATTCTGCTGTCGAGTGTGAGTGCTACGTCCTTTGCTTAGTTCCATGCAAGCTTCAAATCTCTTCGGCCGCAACGAGCAATCATCATTTAGTGCCATATCCACTACTGGTGCTCCTAGTAATGCTCCACAGGAAGACTTCATCGAGACCCAGGAGAAAACCTCTAAGCGTACATTCGAATGCCCGCTCTGGCGCCTTCAAACGAATCGAAACCTACCACGATCCTGCAATGGCGCGGAGGAAGATACTATATCCGATCTTCTTCGACATTTGCGACGCAGTCACTGCTACGTAGAACGTTGTGTAGTATGCAAGAAGTTCATATTCGATCAAACAGCCTTCTTGGCCCATCATGGGAGGAACAATTGTACGACATTTCGGAAGCAGTCGAGGGGTGATGCGCTGGACGACGAGTATAAAGTCCTGTTTGCGGAAGTAGAGAAGATGGGTCCGCGTAAGTTTTCATATATCAAGGATGCTTTATATCGAAGTTAACTTCTGTTCTCTAGCTCTGTTCATTTCTCTTCAGTTGCCACCGGGTTCTTCCGCTCCCGCGGATAACAATGGGCGGTCCTCTGTAGCGGCAATGTCTGGTCTCACTTGCTATTCTTCCCCCTTATCATTCTCACCAGATCCGGCATTCGATTCCCGAAACGACTGGGGCTTCCCAACCGAACCCTGGCCTACATCATCTGCTACAATGTCGAGTGAGAGTTCTATCACATATTTGCCCGCCGTATTCAACAATACAAGCCTAGGCCAGCCGGACCCCACCACTACCCCCTCCCCGAACGTAAGCTTAGCCCAACCCGTCCAGGAAGATTCACAAAGCGTGAGTATTCCTTTCTAAGCCCAACGTAGCTTCGCTGATTAAACCTTCCAGTAGAAACATGCACAGTATTGGAAATCTTCTTATATATCATTAGTATGTCCTAAGTGCCCAGACAAACGCTACACCGGCACTTGGGCCCATCGAAACCTCAATCGCCACATGGAGTCAGTGCACTCACCTTATATGTCTCCAGACGGACTTCGGATGTTTCGCTGTGAAGCGGAGGGTTGTAATGTGTCATTTCGGAGGGCAGACGCATTGCTGGTGCATGAAAGGCGATCTCATCCAGAACTGAATCGGCCGCCACCACGAAAAAAGAAGAGATCTTGCGACCCATAATTATATTTAAAACAGGGGGAGTAATGCAATAATTTCATCCATACTCTTGTATTCATCTGAGCTTCTTACATCTTGATCCCTTGATGACTTATGGATGGTTCGAGCCCTTGTGCGACCATTTTCTTAGAGCAGTTTCATCCCCACTATTAATACCTTCCATTATCTATTTTCCCTCCGTAATTTCTACCTAACCCCCAAAATTCATTCCAAATGAAACACCGTCTACCCAGTTATCGAGAAATGACACTTCCACGAGGCTGTAGTAGCTGCATCGCTAGCGTGCAAAGTCAGTACAATGTGACACCCCTTTTCACAGCAACGATGTGTGGCAGGGGAGTGAAATGACTACAATGCAGGTGTGCAACTGAACAAGTGCACAGTTGTCGATCTAGGGAGGCAAACAAACCAGTCATTAGATCCTGCGCAGATGTTCACTAGCACAATTAAGCCGTGTGGTAGTGTGTATTGCACGCCCCCTTGACTGCCCTACTCTCTAACAACGTATCAAGATCGGGCATTTGCGAGTTTCCGCTAAGCCTCAGTAGTTGGTCTTAGGCGATTGGGGCACACGATAATATCACTTGTTGACATTGTCCAGTAACAGCCGAGGTCGTAGCTTCTTTGTCGGCAAAAGTCAGTTCAGATCAGCAGAGAGAGGGCCTGTAAGTGGATGGGTGGGCATGTGGGCATGTGGGCAAACATCTGGACAAGTGGGCAAGCCTGCAGTCATGCAAGCCAGCGTCTCGCTACGAGCTGAACAGCCAATCGAGCGCTCCCGGGTACCGCATATATCTCGCGGCCATGTCCCAGGTGCAATGTCCTCAAGGACTGCGCCCCGCGATTCCCTCCTAAATCATCATGGCTAACCAAGGGTTTCAAAGTCCTCCATCCACTCCAAGTGAGCCCACACTAGACCTCACAGCTTTCTCTCCGCAAACATTGCAGGACTTGAGCGATCATAGTTTTCTTGACGATGCGTGGAACGTGGAGGACCAGTCCTTCCATCCTTACATACCACTAAACCCGGAGTACGTAAATCACTTTGATCTCGGCAGAGGGCTTCATACGCTGGTATGTTCAGCATTCCGTACTTGGGAAGATGTTATTGACGATGCACCCTAGCCCTCGCCCCACACGAATCATAATCAGCCCTCAACGTTCGACATCTCAGCATTGCCATACTCACCTTTGGATTCCGAGGCAGTGGCCGTTCCAATCCCCTCGCAACCTGAGAATGACTTACACGATGCTTTGCACCCGACAACCGTAACTCTGCCACCGAGTCCGTCCTTCAACTCGCGAAAGAGAAAAAGAATCATGTCCGATCAAAATCCATGGCAACAGAAGTTTGCCTGCCCCATATTTCGAGCGGAAGTCGAGAACGGTCTTCCGCACAACTGCAACGGCAAAGGCGGGAACACCATGTCTGAAGTTAGACGACATTTGACACGACCTTCTGGTGGCTATCCAGCCCATCTCTCATTCCTCAAGCGGTGCACGACATGCAATAAAGATGTAATCGACAAGTCCAAATTCGCTGAAAGTCATGGCGCAAAATGTCACGATCCTCAGCCATTGAAGAAGAAGGATGCAGCATACGAGCAGTACCAAGCACTCTACAACCTACTAAAGGAATCTGCTATTGTTAAGTCCAAAGAAGCCAGTAGGTCACATCTTTCAAAGCCATGAAACTCTCTGACTAAAGTATTAGGCCCATGGGAACCCGAGCGACAAACTGATTCTGGAGTTGAGGCTACCGTGCCTTCAGTCGCAGATACATCCATTACCCACTTGCCCCTTTCCAGGGCAGTAACAACACACACGCCCTCGGTCGTAACACCACTACCTGATCTTGGCTCCAAGAAGTCATACTCAACTCCTTGGGCACTGTTGGACTCTGATTCAGACGACCCACCGCCCCAATACGAAACAGAAAACGTACGTCTTTGTTCCCTGGAAGAATTGCATTTCTGATTGATATTGTTAGTAGTCACCAGATGTTGAGGCAGTGACGGCCACGTACAACAGAGCCGGAGTCTCGGAGAGTAGGATGGACGTTGAGGACTGCTCGATACACTCGGCCCCAAGTTGTTCACAGTCACCTTCTACATGGATGAATCTTGCCTATGAGCTTCCGTGAGTGCCACATTAGATTCAAACGGCCAGTGCTGATTTTCTGATAGCCAGACCGCTAGCTACCAGTTCACATCAACATTCGCACCGCTCTCACCCGCATATTCCAGGCCAGACGCCGCAAGCAGTTTACTTTTCACCACTCTCGATCACTCTACCTCTCGTGAAGGTTTCATACCCACTGATTGGGGCCGTGAAGGGTCTCTTGATTCACATACCTTCCGGCATCCTCATAGTTTCGCTGGTGTCTTACCAACCCCAGACCCTTCGCCTATATCGCCTTTTGTTGCTTGTTCACCGACTCCACACAGCCCGGTCTTCGGGTCAACCAATGGTTTCCTGTCTATCCAGCCAAACCCCTTGATAGAAAACCTTCCAAGCAGGAAGAATCCCGACAAGGATCAATCGGCGGTCTTATGTGAGTTCTGCGGAACAGGGTTTACAGGAAGATATCGAGTTGGGAACCTCAAACGGCATGTTCGTTACCAACATAATAAGTCGGAAAACTTAGTCAGTAAAGCATGTCGTGTTTGTAAGCAAGTATACAATCGAGCGGACGCAAAGCGTAAGCACGAGTGGAAGAAACATCGGTTACTAGATGCAAGGCCTAACAAAAGGAAGAGATAAAAACAGTCAATGAGTATCTTGTAACAGGTAGAGCATTACTTCCGACGCTGTCTCTAACAATGTTAAAACTGTACATTAGCGTACTTTCACAGAACCAGCGATAGCTCAACTAGGGCGCAGGCGCTTTGAAAATCCTCTTAATCCTCTTACATTAGCTTTGCGCGCCAGCGAGAGACGAAGTGCTTGAGCAGGGTGAGGCATGAGTTCTCAATTCTAGCATTACAAGTTAACGTATTTTCGTGTTCATTAAGCTGGTCGTTATTTGGTACCTATGATCTGCTATTCGTCTCTAGCAGAGTGAGATCGCTTAATCCACGATCTTTGTTGGATTCGTCGATAAAAGCTTCTCCCTTCGACTCCCTTCGGTCATGACGATTCAGATACTATTTCGTACTTATCAGCAACTTCCTTTGAACGTCGGCAATGAGCTCACGCATCGCCCACCACCTTCCGATACACCAAACTATCCACCCACTCTCCCTTACTCTGCCACGCCTCCTTCGTCAAACTGTGCCTTACGAACCCCAGCCTCTCGGCTAACTTCCAACTCCCGGTGTTCCTCGGATCGCATTCAATTTCGAATTCCCACTTGCCTCCTTCCTCTGCCCCCCTCTTCCTCTTCGTCAAAGCCTGGATGAATGCCTGCATGGCTTCCGTCGCAAACCCCTTACCCTGTACAGAAGGTAAGAAGGAGAACCACAGATTCGCGTGCGTAACCTGCTTGATCGTGCTCTCGCCAGGGAGCTTGTCGTTATTGGCAGGCGAGAGATTGGCACCTACACGACCGACAAAGTGGCCTTGGTAGTCAACGGCGAGTTCAAAGTTGATGCGTGGAACGTCGTTGTGGTCACGGAGGTTGTTTATAACAAGCTGACGTGCCTGTTCCTTGGTTCTAGGAGGCCAGTCCTGATACCGCGCATTCTCCTCATTTGATTCCAGCTCAAAGTAGCCCTCTGCATCTGCCATCACGAACTCTCTCAGCAGCAAACGCTCAGTCCGCAAAGCGCTGAAATTCTCGCCTATCGTGTTCGCTTCCTTGATTGCTGCTAGCTCGTCTTTGCTCAATATGCCTGAAGCTTCGAGGATCTTGTTGACGACGACGCCTTTTGCTACCGTGTAGTCGATGATATTCGTGTTCTTTGAGGCCAGCTCCAGTTTCAAGCGCGCATACTCGTTCCGCAATTCAACATCGCGGCGCAAAGTGTCGCGCAATCCAAGATGGTTCCGCGTTTGCGCGACGCCGTCCACGCACACGTAAATGTTGCGACGCGGTGATTGATTGGGGTCCTTCATGACATGGCGGTAACGCAAGCCGAGTTCACCCAGGTAGTCGAAATTCCCGTTTGAGATAAGCGCGTCGATTGCAGGCTGAACATTCTCCTGAGTGACGATGATGTCTGTGTCGATAATGGGCTTTGCTGCGAGACCAGGTACCGATGTGCTGCCTATATGCTCGATTGAGAGGTATGCGACATCTTTCAGGTACGTTTCTAACTCGGATTTGATCGTCTGAAATTGCTGTGGCCACTCCGGATTATACTGCTCTACGGTGACGGACATATTGGTAATTGTTAGAAGATCGAATTTGAGGCTGGAATGCTGAAGAGGAGCTTAAAGTACTAAAGTCGGCTGTACTGGCCATTTCGATCAGCCTGTTGTTGGCGTGCCTGCGCGTAGAACTTGCAGAAGTAGACTATTGAATATGTAACAACGAAAATAAAAGGGCGGACGAATCCGATAGATGGTATGAACCGCGAGTGTTTAACTATAGTTACAAACAGCAAGGTTATCGCCTGCGCATGCTGCTAAGAACACAGGGCGGGGCGCCAGCCCCGCCCTTTTAATTGTCGCTCAGCCCTTCCACGCATCCACGGATACACTAGTCGCACTCCTCGATCTTGATAACAGGAATATTAGCATACGTCGGCGGCGCATCTTCGTAGTACGATCCAAGTAAGGCAATCTCCAACTCCTCTTCCCCGAAGTCCTTCTCTTGCTCTCTTTGCTGGTACCAGCGGCGAGCTACGACGAGGATGAATGCAAGCGATAAAGCCAATGGCAGCAGAAGAACGTTGTTCAGCAATTTCTCGCCCCAAGAGCCTCCCGCCTTGCCCATGAAAACGTTCCAGGTCCTCGACCAGGTTCCAAACTTGCCATGCTTGTCCCACTCATTGGGGTCGTACGACGTTTGGTCCATCGCAAGTTTGCCACACCTCATTCTGAAGGGCTGTGCCCGGTCTTTCCTCTCTACAACTTGCAAGTCCTCAATGAGAAGTTCACTGCTGTCGTCCTTCTTGCCCAATCGTATCTGGATCATCTTTTGACCCTCCTTATCCATCTTAACCGACTCAGTAGTCTCGCCGAAAGGGAGTCCAACGACGTTAAACTGAATCCAAGTCGGGCCGTTCATTTCGGTTTGAAGCAAAGTATGCTCATACTGTAACGGAAACTTCATGACAAAGGGCCATGATGGGGTCAATTCTTCCTCGAGAAGTCCCGCCATTAAACCTGTTGTAAGATGGGCGGGAACCTGTAAAGCGTTGATATCGAGCGGCATCGATCCGAGGGGTAGTATTTGGTGCCCATTGGAAGCAAGGCAGAGGCGGAGTCATCGATGTTGAACTTGAGTAGCTAATTAATGTCAGTCTGCGGTCCTCGCAAGAACAGGGTTATGAAATAGCCAGCATGAATCGGACACATGGGGTTGGTAACCGATGGTCGCGAAAACGATTATGTTGAAATAGTTCCTACGTACCAAAGCATTGTCTCGCGGCGGTTGGTCCCACGACACATTAAACTGAGACTTCTTCACCGCGAAAGGGCAGTCCAGACAAGCCAATTTCACCACATAGCTCTTGTGAAGCTCCACGACCGTGACTTCGGGTGCATGTTGAGGAGACGCTTCAGGGGTATCAGCCCACGAGTTTGGGGGAGCTGTCGCAGCTGCGGCCGCAATTGCGAGACTGAAGGACGAAATTAAACGCATGTTGAAATGATAGTGAGTAAAGAATGTAAAGAGTGACAAGGGTAGGTTATTGCGAGTTGCACGGCTATGATCAATGAGGTCGCTGGGTTGGGGGTCAAGGTTCGGGACTCGGTACCGCTAATCGATGGATGCAGGGTTGAACTAGCGTGGTATTATGCTAAATTTAGGTGCCTCGCGACTATCAATGTTATCAAACACTCGAGGCAGTTATTCACTCAGAAGATGTAACGGACAATAAAGATATATCGGTCTCTTCTGGTAGAAACCTATATGATACATTCATCATTCGGATTCATTCCCCGTCTATAGGTCGTCTACTATGGTACCGCGAACATGCATTACTGTCAGCCCTTACGCTTTCATAGTACATGGGTGAATATATTGATGAATGGCCTCTCATCATGCAGTAGCGAGAGATGGACAAGTACATGAGTTTGAGCATCTTTGCAGTTCATCGTGGGCCCAGTCTCAGACCCCGCGCAAGGACTCATACCCCGGTGATGGCTGTGAAGTGGGGAGGACGTGATGGTTGCTACGGTCGAGAGACTAGGGCGTTTCTAGTTGCTAGTCTGAGGCTAGTAGAAGAGTTCGGCGTTCCTTTTTTGTGGCTTAAGCGTGGATAGTAGCGTAAGAGTACTTGTGTAAGAGCTCAGAGCTGTTCACTCCTCTTCGCTCTCTTCGCTGCTGTTACCACCAAGCCCCTCCATCATCAACTTCTCAAGATCATCTTCATCTTCTTCATGCCCTGTCGTCCCTTGTCTTGCCGGCGGACCAATGTCCATAGGCTCGATATCCCTGTTGTTATAGTCTTCTTCATCCTCGTCTTCACCTTCTGCGTCCTCGCCTCCAAGGTCCCCAAAGTCGATCTCATCCTGCGTGTTGCGGTTATTGCGCGACGTAAAGGCGTGCGGATTCGGTGAGCCTGCCGCACTGCTTGTGGCGCTGGCAAGGGATATGGGCCCGTTCGATGGCGACTTCAGATAGCCGACTCCGAGGTTTTGACCTAGACCGAGGGATGCGAGAGCACCGTTACCTCGACGCGGAGGGCGTGCATCGGGGACTTCGATTTCCAGACCACCATCGTCGTCTGAATCGCCTTCCGCGTCTTCATCCTCGTTGTCGGACTGCTGGTCGTGTATTGGTGAGAGCGACGTACGTGTGGGCGCAGGAGGCGATGCTTCACCGTCGGCGTCAATTTCCGAGTCATCTGATGAGTCGACGAGCTCTTTGGACTTGATCTTGGAAGCTGGTGGCGCATCACCCTTGGCTTTTGATTTGGGCAGACTGTCAGTTGCGCGACGATCGAGGCGAACTGTAGGTGGTGGTTGTGCTTTCTTGGGTCTTGACACCATGGGGTTCGGCGTTGCGGTCTTGCGTTTCTTGGGTACGGGCTCTGTAACTTTAGCTTTGGCTTTGGGTGCTGGAGCCGCTGCGGGTCTACGGGCGCCAAACTGCGGTGTATTCGCTGCACTCCCTGTGCCAGTCCGATAGTCCGGCGATGAGGCGAAGTGGTACTCGGACTCGTCGCCACGTTTCTCCTTCTCCTTGCTCAAGAAATGCCGGAAGTCGTATGGGTTGTCAGCGTCTGGGTCGCCGGCCTCGTCATCTCCCGCCGCCTCGCCAAACAGATCCGCATCCTCGTCCTTGCTTTGTAGACCCCCCTCCTTCAGCTTCTTGGGATATATCTTGGGATATTGTGACGACACGTCTTTGCTGTTCTTCGAGGCAAGGTTGAAGGTGTAACTACTCGATAGAGGCTCTAGCGTCGCTTGCTGCGTCGAGGAATCGAAGACTAGGACGTACGACTTCTTGGGTGCCGATTTCTGTCCTGTGAAAGTGAAGACGTCTTTCTCGCCGGAGCTGTTCGTGTCTTCGAGTCTCAGATTGTATGTCTTGGTGGACGAGGAAGTGAGCTTCGTGGAGCGCTTTTCGGAGGTCTGCGCGGGCTTGTGGTTGTCTGAGCGTTGCATTAGCTAGCTGAAGGGTCATGGGATGACCCAACGACGCTCACACTTCACGCTGCTGTAGCTCCCCTCCGAAGCGTCGTGCTTCGCTATCCGATCGCTAATGTGCAGGCTGAAGTGTGCTTTCTTGTGAGGCTCGACCCGGCCACCTTCAACCATCGGGGATGCCATCGCGCACTACCAGTACAAGAGCCTGCTGTGCTGAGCGGCTACGAGAATGTGCAGAAACTGGGGCAAAAGAGCGAAGTTGCGAAGGGATAACGTCCAAGGTCTGTCAATGAGGGTCGTTTGTTGAGACCAACGGTTGTTGCTCCATTCCACGTCGGCATTCATCAGCCGATCCATCTCGAAATGGGATGCGCCGCTCCTTCCCGCCGCTAAACCCCACGCCCTGGTCCGCAGAACGGGCCTTGTATTTCCGCAGTTGGGGCCCTATATCAAGAAGTCCTACTCCATACTCACCACAAAAACACTCGGAGTTATACGAAAAGCGACAATGAATTCTTTCACTGCAGTCAGAAACACCTCTACTCAACAGTACGGTTGCGAAATGCAATAAACACTCGAGCCTGTCCAAGCCTGAGTCTCAGAAACTAGCTGTTGTGGGACATTTGGCTTGCTCTAGCTGTTCTAGCCGAAGACCGCTTACAGAATGTTTTCCCAGAGCATGCACCTCTGAAGGTCGAAAATGTCAATCCAGAGGGGTTGGCGCCGTCGCATGTTCGTCGTTTAGTTCAGGTGGGTGCTAAGATAACGAAGACGATCCGCAAAGAACAATGGGCGATACGGCACGAGGACCACCCAGACCATATACTGGCTGTCTGTGTCATGTTTTAAGAATATTTTCACAAAGAAGAGCATATGGAGAGCGAGCGCGCTGTCTCGGAAGGAGATCGTACTGGATGGGTCGACGCCTCTGCGTAGAAACAGCGGGCAAGAACATTCAAGATAGAAAATTGATACAGCCAACAACACAGTGCCGGAATAGGAACAACAGGTCTTTCTATGGCGACCAAGCAAAGTACTTCGTTTCAGAGATTTGCTGACAACCCTTCAATTACCCCACAGCTACGAATGTCACCAGCCGCTGGTCAACGCCACGAAATAACTCTCCGGCCTTGAAACGCATAGCACGTTTCAGCATCCCGTCTTTAGGAAAAAATAATATACCTTCTCGGACTCCACGATCGTACAGCCCAAAACATGGAGCCGTCCAAGTTCCTAGTCCTTAACAAGACCCTGAAGAAGTATAGTCGCGATGCGGACACGGCCCACGTCTAATCTCTTTCGTGGGGCCGTCGCACATCACGAGAATCACAAGGCTAGGGTTGCTGACCAGCTGGAGCCACTGCTCCAAGGATCAATGGGCGAGAGCGATCTCCTCGGATGTTTCGGCGAGTGTTCCTGAGTGAGGATCGATAGTCAAGCCTGAGGCTGGCAAGCGGCAGCAAATTTAAGTATACGTGATAGAAGATATAGTATAGAGGCCCCGCATCTCAAAGTCTCCCTTATTGAGTTGATCTCTTTTCTAGTCATCCTTTGGTTCAACTTCTGCTTCTTTTCACAGCCTTGACGGCGTACATTCGTTTCTTGTCATCACAACTAGCAGTATCGGTCTGCATTCCCAACTACTTCTTTTCAACTACATTGACCGTCATGTTTCGCTCCGCACTACTCACCCTGGCCATCACCACCCTAGCCTCAGCTCATACGGCAGCATGGGCACCAGGAATGTACTGTCGTGGCGGCGTTGATTCCAATGTTGATGATTCGAACACCAACCTGGCCGTCAACCCGCTCTACAACCTTGGAAAAGAAGATTGGTGGTTCCAGCATCATCGCGGATGCGACGCAGTACCCCCAAAAGTTGGCGAGTTCCTTGATGTCCCAGCAAATGGCAACTTCACTGTCGAGCTCGCGCATAACCGCGCGTTCACTACTCTCTCTTACAACGGCAAACTAGTTACAGATTGGCCCGATGGCAAACAACACCCCGAAGACTGGAACGGTTGGAATACGGATGGTACGCCGGCTGTTTGTTTGAAAGAGGATGGGGCGCTGCATACATATAATCAGAGTTCGGCTGGTGGAACGGCATTTGCTATCAGCTATCACTCGGAAATCAAGGATGTGACGATGGAGAACCTCGTTGTTTTCACCACGCTTTCTCATACTCCTTGGAAGAGGCTAGCTACGTACAAAGTACCTGACCTGCCTGCGTGCCCTGAGGGTGGATGTACGTGCGCCTGGCTGTGGGTCCCTAATGGCTGTGGACAACAAAATATGTAGGTACACCACCTAATCTCTTCCATCTTTAGCTACTTCACATGTCTAGTAGGTTCCGTCTCACTGACAATGGCACAGGTACATGCAAGGTTTCAAATGCAATGTCACCAACGTTTCGCCGACAGCAGCTCCTCTCGCCAAAGCCCAAGTACCCGTCTACTGCGAGACTGCACCCGAAAAGTGTGTCAAAGGTGCCAAGCAGATGCTCGCATGGAACCAGGCTACGGGCAACAATATCAAGAGTGCGGAGCGCGTCACACCAAACTACAACAAGAAGTGTGGATGGAACCAAGGCGCGCAGACAGATATCTTCGAGAAGGCACCAGAGCCCACGGCATCAACGTCGATGTCGGTTCTCGCTCCCCTGGCTTCTTATTCGGAATTCTTTTCGGCTGCTCCTTTCTCGACACCTAGTGCTGGGTCTTCGGGTGTGCTGGCTACACCGACATCCAGCACGCTTCTCGCTCCCCCGGCTTCTTATTCAGACTTTTTCTCCGCTGCTCCTTACTCGACACCTAGTAGTGGGTCTAGTACCACGACGTTGGTTACACGCGTGTTGCCGCCTTTGTCGACGTTGATTCTCGCTCCTCCAGCTTCGTATTCGGAGTTCTTTTCAGCTGCTCCTTACTCCACACCCAGTATGCAGTCCAGTGCTTCAACGTTGGTCACGCGTGTATTGTCAGCTTCGAGCGTCCTAGCTACACCAACGCCAGATACGAATGCTGTGTCTCCTTCATCTAGCCAAGCGACTTCCACATCTTCGCCGGATGTTTCTGCTGTTGCAACACCTTCCAGAACATCTTCTGCTGCGACGCCGACGAGGTCATGCACCAGGTGGCGACCGTGGCGTAGGTGCTAGAGCCTAAACGTTCCCCAAGCATTGGTTTCTTGTTTAGCTTTCATTTCTTTATCTTATATTTTACGGCTTCTTTATCCTGTCGCTAGACACCACGTGGGAGGACTGTCCTGATGGTGACATTGACACAAGTTCGACGAAATGAGGTCTAAATACCACCATTTTGACCGAGAACAACTGCATTCTGTAGGCTCCTGTGCATATAGCATATTTTCATTCAACCTCTAGACTGCCATGATCACGACAGTATTGTCGGTTTCTTTATCATCGCTAGTGGTATGGGGAATCAAATTTCCCATGTTGAGGCCCTAGCCACACACTAAGTGTCAAGCAAAGGAGGACGCCACTAGTGGCTTTGCTTAAACTTGATTAAGGCGCACGCGAGGCGGCTTGTTTGGAATTGGCCAATCTGAGAAATCTTCTCCCGCGGGCACTAGGCCGGATACGTGATGACTCTCAAAGCACGTCTCACTTGGTGCTCACCGCGCCCACCTTGCCTGCTGGCATCGCGCCCAAAGAGGTTGAAGATGCCCTTTTTTCCTGTCAACCCTGCCAAATGGTCGCGGCTAGATGGGCCGGGGGATGCAAATATGCACTTGATAGAAAGCGCTCAGAATCTCGCTTGCCGGTTTGGAAGGCCGTCGCGTTGTTTGCGATTCCTCGTCCTTTCTTTCACGATTCACGGCTTTTCACTGCACCTGCTCCAGTCGGCCATTCTACGGCACAGTCGCTCGTTTCCGATTTACTCGTTTGCGTGTTTGAGGTGTACGATTTAGTGTGTTTCGGAGCATATCAGTATCTACTGTCGCCTTTAACTCTAAATAATTCCACGCCCATCCTACAGACGCAGTCAATCGCCGACGATCAACCATGGTTTACACACGCTCACTACTGTTGAGCGCTCTGGCGGGCTTGACTGCCGTCAATGCGATCCCCACGATCGAGGTCAAGGGCAGCAAGTTCTTTACCAGCGAGGGCAATCAGTTCTACGTCAAGGGTACACATTTCCCGTCCTTATCCATGTGCTCAGTCCTGACCTTGCACTATCGCGAGACTCAGAATATCGATTGGAAGATCACCAAACTGACGACCCACAGGTATCGCGTACCAACTCGTTCCTGAAGACCCACTGATCGACGCTACCCAATGCCGTCTCGACGCCACGCTCATGAAGACCATCGGCACCAACTCGATCCGTGTGTACCATGTTGATCCTAACGGGGATCATACAGGTTGTATGAAGGCATTCGCGGATGCAGGAAGTACGTACACATTATGCTTTGGCAGACCTCTAGGCAGACCTGAAATTCGGGTTCTCTGGTGAGAGACGTGCTGCTTGATAAGGCCATTTGCTGACAATAGCTACGCTTAGTCTACCTGTGGCTCGACCTTGACACATTCACTACGCAAATCGAGCAGACAAGTCCCCATTGGAACCAGGGTCAGCGTGATTCTTTCGCCAAAGTCATGGACGAGTTTCACCAGTTCGACAACACCGCTGGTTTCTTCGTTGGCAACGAGATCTTGACTACAGGTAAGCTTGATACTTTTGCGCTCATACACACGTTTCCGTTTTGTCTGACAGTCTTTCCATAGCCAACGGCTCTGCAGCAGCACCCTACGTCAAAGCCGCTGCGCGTGACCTGAAAGCTCACCGCACCTCCAAAGGATACCGTAATATCCCCGTCGGCTACTCTGCCGCTGACATCGCCTCGCTGCGTCCCATGCTCCAGAACTACCTCGCTTGTGGTGACAAAGCCGCTGAAACAATTGATTTCTTCAGCTTGAACGCGTACTCATGGTGCGGCGGCAGCACCTACGAGCAATCCGGGTACAAGGTCCTCGAACAGAACTCCACCGATCTCCATATCCCTATCTTCATGTCGGAGACTGGATGTAACACAGTGCGCCCTCGTGACTTCAAGGACCAGGAGGCGATCTATGGGGAGATGTCGGACGTGTGGTCTGGCAGTATCGTCTATGAGTGGATCGAAGAGGCCAACAACTACGGTCTCATCAAGTATGGCGACAAGGTTGATCCGGCTGGCCCTTCTGCACCTCCAGATGGCTTCCCGCGCTCTGGTATGTTTGCCAGCCTTCTCCAACTTCTTAAATCGCATTTGTCTAATTCGTGAACCTAGGAACCCCAACGCCCATCTCCCCTGACTTCCCCAACCTTGGCAACGTCTGGAAAACACTCAACCCCTCTGGCGTCAAAGCAAGCAACTACAATCCCACGAACAAGCCCGTGGCTTGCCCGGATTTCACGAGCGGTGTTTGGGAGGTTAACCCGACATCTGCGCTGCCTACACTTGGGCAGGTGCATACCTTTGGCTCTCAAGCGACTGGCACATCAGGATCTGGATCGTCGGGATCGTCTAAGCCGTCTGGATCGTCAGCTACTGGCACCGCTGGTCAGGCGTCAGCGACCGCATCGCCTGGTGCTGCCCCTAAGAGCCTTAGCAGAGAGTTGAAGGGTATGGGCGCTGCGTTGGCTGGATTGATGGCCGTGTTCGCGTGGCTATGAGTGGTGTGAAGTATAGGCACCCATACTAGTTAGGACTGAGAGAAGGACTGCGACTTCGTGTCCATAATGGTAGCTCAATTAGGAAGGTCAGGATATATATATGGATAAGTGGGAGTTTAGGGCGATAGATAGGACCAGTATATACCCAGGGCGTCTTATGCATAGTAATGAACGAGTAGTTTCAGGGTTAAAGGTCACGTAAAGAGCAAGTCAGTCAGAGTCGATGAAAGCGAGGCGTGTATTTCAGGACTGGACTGTCAATTAAGTACAACCCGATCGCCAGCACAGGGCTTTCCCCCACAAATGTGGATATCTTTCCCTCGTAAGCGCACAGCATTGATCATGTTCCTTCAACACGCCCCGTTCCACAGAAATTGTCTTTGGAATCTGGTCAAATGGTCTCATATTTTCCTTTTCCGATCCTTGCTCCTACTCCGACATGCCGAGATGCTTGTCAATGACAGGGTATGATAGAGAAGAAAGACTGACGAAGATGCTCAAGACGTCTACCATTGGGTAGTGGTAGCCGGGGCAGCAGCAGTCTCAGCACCCCATCCTTCAGTGGTGGTCTGCTGCTCACCAGTCGCAGCCCAATCAGTGGTATCCGCATCCCAGCTAGCACCTGGCGCCGCAGCCTGGCTCGTGAACGCACCAGCAGACGCACCAGAGACCTCCCACTCGCTAGTGAAGCCAGCCTCAACGGCACCAGCGCCAACCTCGTCGGCACCGGGCACCTTGGCCTCCTCAACGCCAGTGGCGTCCTTGTTCTCCTCAGCCTCGGGATCGCGGTAGAAGTACAAATCAGTCATGACGTCCCACTCAGCCTCGCGGGAGGCGAGGGTGCCGCGCAGGCGGAGGACTTCACGCGCGAGCATCCACCAGACGAGACCGATGGCGTGGCGACCCTTGTTGTTGGTGGGGATGGCAACATCGACATACTCGGTGGGTGAGTCGCCGTCGCAGAGAGCCTAGTATATCATGTCAGTTCCTGTCCAATGGAGATATATGGTGTAGAAATGCTCACAATGACGGGAATGTTAACGTAGGAAGCCTCCTTGATGGCCTGGGCATCGGTACGCGGGTCGGTGACAATGATCAAGCGGGGCTCCTTGAACGAGCGGGTGATGTAGTTGGTGAAGTTACCGGGGGTGAAGCGACCAGCGATGGCAACGGCACCAGTGTGGGCGGCGAACTTGAGGACAGCACGCTGACCGTAGGGACGAGCGGAGATGACGCAAACTGTTCATTTTGTCAGTTGTAGCTCTCGTATGCAAAGTTATTTCGCCAATGGTATCAAGTTCGATATTGGCAGTCTTGAAATGTAGGATGGACGTACTGTCGGCAGGGTTGTCAATGGCGACAATGATACGCGCAGCGAGCACGATCTTCTCCCAGGTCTTGCCAACGTTGATGACATTGACACCATCGGGCCTGGTCTTCCACAGGTACGGCTCCATGTGCACCTGGAGGTTCTTTGCGCCGAGATGGCACTGAGCAGCGAGGAGCATCTCGATGTCCTGCTGGGTAGGGTTGAAGACCGCGGGAAGGTTGCTGGGAGCCATCTTGTCGGTTTGGCGCTGTAGAAGCTGGTCTGTATGAGAAGGGTGGTGTTGTCGTGAACTTAACTTTTCGACATGGAGGGGAGCACTCGACCGAATATCGTGTGGTGCGAGCTAGCCTGTTGGGGGTTGGTGCCGATTCAATCGCGGCGGTCGGCGAAACGTGGGGCCGCAAGCTGGTGCTCGCAAAAGATTCAGGGAAGGAGCGATCGCATTGCCTGGTAAGTCATCAATGCCGCCTCGAATACCCATATTGTCGTGCCTTCGGGCGTCGACGTGTAAGTTTACCAGATCTCTCCTCCAGCCCCCAAACTCACCGAAGCCCAGCATCATCTGCCCCACACCAATTCGCCCTCCCCATTCGAACCTTTGCCTCGACTTCCCTCCTCCAAGGCAAGACACTCGAAAGGTCGCAGAAGAAGCGCATTTCTCATGACCCGTACCTCGTCGCACAACGCAATCGCAAGAAAGCAGCCAATCTCTCCCGCCGTGCCGAGCTCGACGAGGCCAGAGTAGCCAGTCTTGGCAACCCTGTCCGCGGTGTATCGACACCTTTCGTTGAATCATTCGAATCAGGGAAACCTATTACCTACGAAGAGGGCAAGAAGGCGCCGAAAGATAGCCTGCATCTCAACTACGCCTTCGACCCGAAGATCGTCGAGAAGCAGCTAAAGAAGAGCGAGAAGCTAGCAGTGCCACTGAGCGAGCTTGGAAAGCAGAGCACCGTCGGGCCCTTTCCATGGAGTGATTCATTGCCATATGGAAAGGCGACGGAAACACAGGAGAGCACCGAGGAAGTTGAGCAGAAAAACAAAAAGGACCATGCGCGTGCCGCAGAAGCCATTGCCCGTATCACAGCCCTCGAGAACGGCTCGAGCAAGGACCGTATGCGCGTCAACATCACCCGATGCATCGAGTCTTTTGGTCGCCACAACACCGACAGGATATTCCCACCTAAAGCACCCGGCGTGAAGAACATCCAGGGCACGGAAGTACACCCAATACGGCCGGAGACGAACATCGCCGCAACAAATAAGCGCATAGGACCGGACACTGGATCTTCTGAAGTCCAAATCGCTATCTTGACTGCGAAGATCAAAACGGTCGCAGACTTTCTTGCGTCACGAGGAAAGGGCGACAAGCACAACAAGCGGAATCTGAGGCTGCTGGTGCACAGGCGCCAGAAGCTGTTGCAGTATTTGAGGAGGAAGGAGCGAGGTGGGCCGAGGTGGCAGCATTGTATTGAGACGTTAGGATTGACTGAAGGCACCTGGAGAGGTGAGATTTCGTTGTAAGAGTAGGCTACACACCACCCACAACAAGAACGTATCTGGCATAGCGAAGCATGTATTGTGTATATGTACATTATGGCAGTATAAGGCATTGCATTGGGAATCAACTGGAACCCGCCGAATTTCAACCAAGTGTCGGCTGCGATAGGACTTCGTTGACATGTTTACCTCCCATCTACCTCCATCACAGCAAAAACTGCACAACGATGTCTCGGCGTACCACTAGCACCCTTCGACCATGTGGAAAGCAGTGTATCCTTGATGAAAGATGCGAGATAATCTAGGTGAGTACTCAAGTCATTAGATGTTACAACGTACGCTAGGCTGATGCATGGTTGGAGAATCGAGGAATTGAGCATGTTGCACATTTCAAACTCACACGACCTCACAGAAGATCGCAACGGCTGCGGGGAGCAATTATCACCACCACCAGTCACCACTCCCGCGAGCCCATTTAGTTGGATTTCCTCCATCATGAGCGCACGTTTGATTGCAAATATAATCAAACTCATTTTAGCAAGATATCACTACAAGCTTGAGGAGTGCGCATGGGGGGCGTTGTCAATGCTGTGGATGCTATGGTGAAGCGTCCTCTACATCTCCCACATCTCTCTTCTCTCCGCGCTTATCGCCTGCTTGCTTTGATCTTCCCCGCGGACTTCAAAAACTCGATCCACCGCGTGTCAATCAACGTGGCCGATGCGCCCCAGATATTCTACGCTCAGCTGAAAAGATCGTTCTAGCTACTAGCGCAGACATGTCGTGCATGATTTCCCGTGCACAGACACGATTCATCGGCATGAGACGAGGCGAGGCGACCTAAACTGAGAAACAACACCCAGTACAGTCAAGTCCTACTGTCGAGGCTATAACACATTGTAGTGTGTTCAGGAGCTAAGCCTGGACCAGCTCCGCGCTGTGTATTTCCGCAACCAGTCAGGGTGTAAAAGGTTTGTCGACACTACGTGAAGACATGATCGGCTGCCGATTAAAAATTGATGGTATTTACTCTAGAAGTAAAGGTAAGTCCTCAGTCTGTACAGTAGCAGCCTTGCCTACACTGTTGGAGTGGCTTCTCTTGTTCTGGCATGACCGACTGAAAGACTCAGGGGTCCTTCAGCTCCCCCATCTCCACCAACAATCGTCAAATTCCCCGTAGCTATCCCGCGACTAGATCGACGAGGCTCGTGGTGGCTTAATGATCGGGCGCTACGACTGGGCCAGATTCTCTCGCTTAGCCTCGATTTTCCTACTCATCCAAAAAGAGTAGGGCTAGTGAACCAGGACCCTCGGCCACGGGGCTTCACTAACCACATCAAGGCGAGCAAAGCATTTTGAGGCTTGAATGCAGTGTATTGTGGAAAGGGTCAGGCAGCCTCAAGCACTTATGCCTATGCTACTAGGGATAACGAACTTCGAACAAAAAAGGTCCGACGATGGCTCTTAAAAGCGACAGCTGCGCCGCCCGTGGATCGATTCTGCAGCGCCGTCGTTTCCTCTGTCTTTAGAATTGCCCGTTAATCCCTTTCTCTTTGGGGGACGCTCGTCAAAGCACCATGAGGACCTCCTTCCTCGTCTCGGCTCTCGCCATCTTTTCTACGGCTGTAGCCCAGTTCGACCCCGAACAGTGTGGCGCTAAGGCGGGTAATCAGAAATGTAAAGACAACAAGTGCTGCAGTCAATATGGCTGGTGTGGTACGACTGATGCGTACTGCCGTTCGAACTTGGTAAGTCTTATACTGTCGCCCATGCTCTCCGCTTTGACTTTCCACTCACATCGTATAGGGCTGCCAAACTGGCTTCGGTACTTGCAAAAGTACTTCATCTCCATCTACTTCCGCGGCGAGAGCCTCATCGACCTTGTCTGCACCAGCTGGCACATCAACGGACAAGTGTGGACCCAACAACAAAGGCCTCATCTGCGCTGCGGGATATTGCTGCTCGCAGAACGGCTTTTGTGGAAAGACCGCGGCCTACTGCTCCACCGGATGTCAGACTGGCTTCGGTTCTTGCTCGGGTAGCTCCAGGCTATCGTCGTCGGTTGCTGTCACAAGCAGCACCCTTCGTTCATCTACACGATCGGCCACTCCTTCAGCTTCCACATCCCCAGTCTCAAGGAACGGTCGTTGCGGGTCTAGCTTTGGACAAACTTGCCAGGGGTCATCGTTCGGAGATTGCTGCTCTCAATACAACTATGTACGTCCCCACTTAACAACAGCGTTGAATGTAACAACTGACTTTCTCAAGTGTGGCTCCACTACGGGTCACTGCCAGACGGGCTGCCAGTCCGCCTTTGGTACATGCTCCGCAATCATCCGTTCCTCTTCCTCTTCCGTCGCTCGGTCGTCAAGTGTAACTCGGAGTGTGTCTAGCAGCTCTATCAACCGCACTGGATCTGGTAGCACTCTCAGCTCTTCAGTTACTTCACAGGGCAGTTTGAGTACCTCAGTCCGCAGTGTTTCCAGCTCCTCCCAATCCGCGAGCGGCTCTGCATCTACTAGCAACACCCGCAGCGTTTCTGTTTCCAGCCCAGCTGGGTCACCTAGTGCCAGCCAAAGCTCTTCTACATCCAGTTCTTCACAGACTTCCAGTGCAGGCCAAAGTACATCATCGTCCGCTCCTCCCTCCTCCCGCCCGTCGCCTTCAAGCTCATTGCCCTCAAGCTCATTGCCCTCAAGCTCATTGCCCTCAAGCTCATTGCCCTCAAGCTCATTGCCCTCAAGCTCACCGCCTTCATCAACAGCTTCTCGTTCAACTTCTGCATTGGCCTCGTCAAGTGCAAGCCAGAGCGACTCCAGCTCAAGCTCAAGCGTGCCAGTGGTTTCGCAGAATCCCAAGTTCATCCGGTCCAACACTATTACTTTTTCCTCGCCATCCGCTTCATCTTCATCGGCTCCTACAGCTACGTCCGCCTTCCAGAGCGACCCGCTCGCCAATCCCGATGCAGTTACCATCCAAAAGACGAACAACGTCCAAAATTCCTTTGTTAATGACCCTGCTAGTGCTCCTCCTGGCAGCAGTGGCACTTACTTGAATCTTGTCACTACGGATGGCAATGTTGCCTCTTTGACTGCGAGTACGCAGCCTTCGGTCCAGTCCGGAACCCGGTATACTGTAAAGGTGTGGTTGAAGTCCATCACCACTGGAGGGCGATGCTCGGTTGACATCGTTGTTGACTCAGTGATAATTGGCACAAGTGGTAACAATATCCCCACAGCTTGGACAGAGTATACGGCCTCGTATCTTGCATCAGGAAACACTTCGCCCACCTTGTCACTTGCTGTAACATGCCCTGCGGCTACAACTCCTCGCCTCCGTTTCAAGCGCCAGGCTGGCACCGGATTGGCTATGGGTAACCTTAGCGTGGATCCGGCTGCAAATGTGGTCTCCAGCTCCGTAGCCGTCAGCGCATCTCCAATCCCCACGTCGGAGACTCTGTCAGCCTCTGTCAGCTCCACTCCCGTTCCATCCGCAATGTTGGATTCAAGCTCTAGCTCGGTTTTCTCAGCTTCTTCCACCCCCACTCCTGAGCCATCTTCAACACTCTTCTCAAGTCTTGCGTCTTCCTTGTCCAAGAGCGCCCCACTCACGACCTTGCCCCCATCGTCGACAGTTCCCACCCCTTCTGGATGTACCCCCACCATTATTGATGGCAGTTTCGACAACTTCTCGTATCCTCCAGATGTAACGCCGACACTCGGCTACGGTAGCTCGAACGACTGGAGCTACACACGGAGCTTCTTCGAGACCAACGGCGGATTCTTCGCCAACGCCGGTTTTGGTCCTGCCTATACTGGGGATGTCTCTACCTCTGTCTACACTGCATACACAAACAACACCAACGATGTATTCTACGACATCAAATACAAGCATCCTATCTCCCTTTGCGCTGGCACGTCCTACGATGTTTCAGGATGGACGCGTGTCCATCGCCGCAACTCGCAGTACTCGGAGGGGTGCAGGGTGACGGCCTTCCTCAACGGACAACAAGCATTCAGCGACCGTGTTGCCTTCTACGACTGGAACTACCGCTATGTACATGGAACCATCACTCCGTCAGCAGACGTCTCCAATGCAGAACTCTACTTTCGGGTCTTCTGCCGCACACCGCAAATCGATCTTAACGCTCCTCGTGGTATCAAACTTGATGAGGTGGCCGTCGTGCCCGTCTCGCAGTGGTCGCTCCCTGCCGCAGCCGTGATTGCCTCCCGAACCACATCAGTCCGCGACGATACTACCCCGACGCAGATCTTCCCGTATCAGACCCCCTGCCAGCCTACAGACATTACCGTACCACGCACCGGCTGCCCCCTATATGTCGAGCAGCTCGAGGACGGCGGCTTCGAAGTCTGCTCCTACAGCCACTGGAGTTATCTCGAAGCCGGCACCAGGAACTACACTTTCAACAACCCGCTAGATCAACAGCTCACAGCCATTGTCTCTGACGCGCACTCGGGCCAGAACAGCCTGCGACTCGTCTTCAACAGCACCGGTGGCTCGATTGGAGTGTATCCCCGCGCAGTCAATGGGTGTGTCGAGCGCTCGTATGTGTACTCGTACTGGGCGAAACAGGCGGGTAGTGGCTGCACTGTGCAGTTCTACTGGCGCGACATCAACACGGGCACGTTTATTCCTCCGGTCGGTTCGTGGGGTAAATTCGAGGGGAGAACGGATCTGGATTCAACGGGCCCTACGAAATTGGGCGGATATCTTGAGGTCCGCGTTACTTGCCTGGTGGGTGGTTTGGAGAACGCTGTGTTCCTTGACGATGTCAGTTTCCAGCAGGTGCCGTATAACGGGCTGGTTGAGTCGCAGTAATATGGGCTAAGTAAGAGCTTTCGTTGCGTACTGTTATAGATATCGGCCTTCATGGCGCTTAGAAACTCATAATAACTAATCATTTGTTGACAAACTTGCTATGCATTAGGCTATTACCTTTTCCTGTTGTTACTAGTGCCACTAGAGTAGGGAAACGATTCTGGATCCAAGACCGTATGATGCTTAAGCCCAGAGAACTAAGAAAGTTCGAGATATCAATACCCAATCGTCTCGGGTTACAAAGCCAGCCCTTGCAGTTATTTTAGCTGTTCTACAAAATCGAAACGCAGCGATAACAAAGTCTCGCAGCATTTCATACGAAGCATCATCTAGCAAATCAAAGACCGCCGCTAAGCGAACTACTATCACCTCGTTGGACCTTGCGTTCGATGTTTCGAGCAAGGGATAGTAGTTAGCTGCGGGGTTTTTGGCGATCAACGTTTCTCACGAACCCTTGCTGGTACTTCGTACGATCAATTTACACACCCATGTCCAGCTGTATTGGATGACCCAGGACCCATCCACTTTTACAATTTACCGGAGTATTGGAAAAGTCCGAACAAGGAAAAAGAGGTTGATACGCGACCTTTTGCCGATCCGTCGAGTGACGTTGATCGCACGAGCTAGAGGGCGGGTTGTGTAGTGGGAGTGAGAAGGAGACTTGTTATTCCTTGCTCGTGTGTGCCCTCGTGATGGAGAGCATGTGCGAGGGCGTGCATATCTCATTGCGCGCGTGCAGGTGTGCGGCGTGAAGGTGGACGTGACGGTAAGGGAGGAAGGGCCGATGTTGAGTATAAGAGCATGTCGCCCTTCCATTGTTACTCTTGGAGAAGTGTAGGACCCACCGATAATTTAGCTTGTACAATCGTTTACTCTTGACGCTCGCTTAATCCACACTCGCTTTGCAATCATAAGACATGATGCGCTTTATCTTCCCATTTCTTCTCGCGTTTACGACCTCGGTCGCTGCGGCAGGTAGCGCACTTGTGCTGAATAACTCGACGAGTCCGATCTACGTCTGGTCAACTGGTAGCACTGTCGGTCCTCGACAGACGGTCATCGCAGGTTCGTCATGTGCCTTCTTTGTCGAGAATCTGCTGCCATTGAGTGGACATGAGAGCATTCATCAGCGTGTCGATTCCACCTCGCAAGCCTGACCTTCTTCCAACTGATTTAACATGTTGCTCTGTTGACTCAGCTAACGGTTACAGGTGGCTTATACATGGAGCCACTGCATCGCGACGAGAAGACGGGCGGTATTGCTATCAAGATTACCAAAACTGCAGACGGGCTGTATTCGGGCGCTCCACAGCAAGTCTTTGCCTACAACCTGGACGAGGGCAAGGCTCAGGTGTGGTACGACCTAAGCACCATCTTTGGAGAACCATTCCTCGGCCAGCGTGTGGAAGTAACGAGTAATACTGGCGGGTCCATTGTGTGGCCGAACGGAACGAGTCCAGGTGGTAGTCAGGTAAAGGTCACGCCGAGTGACGAGAACGTTTGGTTTACGGTCTACGGCACTCCTAGGAATCGAGGGTCAAGTTAAGAGACGCATTCTTCGAGCAATCGCTGGACTTCTTGCTGTGCAGAGGATAATCTATAGGTGTAATGGCGATGTGGTCTGATAAGTTTCATTGTTCATCGTCGTTTAGAACCAAATTGAGACGAACTAAGCCATCAACTTTCATTCGTCAGACGTAATACATGAATAGTCAACCAATTCTAGCACCGTGCATGATGCGGACATGTCGAGAAGCGCCGAGATACGCCCAAAGGCCATGGGTGAAGATAACGTTCGCGCTGTCGAAGACCCCGCATCCGCATGGACTGTTCTATAGGCTTCGACGGTCAGTCTTCCGTAGCCCAGCGGTTGAACTTGTGGCTGTTGAGGCAGGTGCGTAGGAATAATCTTGTAGCTGAAGATGGTTGTCGTGGGGGTCCGTCTGATAGTTCTAACCCCGTAGAGTTTGTCGACAGCTGGCTCTACGCCATCCGTCGACGATGCGATGGAAGACTGCTGATCACTGCTCGAATGGTATTGACGACAGGCATAAACACGTGGAATAGCAAGCCTCCTGCCACATCAAGTAGGTCTCGAGAAGGCCCAGGGGTGGTGGTCGAAGGAGGGTGGGCGGGTTACCTGGATAAGAGCCCTGCCCTGTTCCCGCGATCGACATGTTCGACCCAGGCGCGACCCTACCTCACCTCGACGTCGTGTCTTACCTAATTCAAAGTCCCTCTTGACCGAATATTTGCCTGGTTGACTATAGGTGCATACAGTCCGTGTACCACGAAGCAGAGACACGGCTTGTTGGGCATCGACAGCTGCCGGTGCCATGCCGCCAACGTCCAGACTACAGCAGTCCCAACCCAGTGCGGAGGCGAGCATCGAGTCATGGCACAACAGCATGTCCAACCTCATCAGCAGTAGCGGTCGCAGCTATCAACCGGCGGGCTGCTGCATATGCTACAAGCTGTGCCACAATCTGCTTTTCATATGGTAGAGCGGGTGAGTTGTGGGCTGAGTTGGTATTACTCTCTGGCCTGCCTCGGCTCTGGCTGACAGCATACCGGCGGAATCCTATCGCGACACCTCAACCCATATGCCAGCCACGCCGCATGTCTCTCGGATAGCAGCATGCAGGCGTGGGATCGCGCCCCATGAGCGCCTCGAGCCGCGTCCCGAGAGCGTCAACCATTGCCCGCCAGCTTCACGAGCTTCCGAACTCGTGTAACCCGCGCGGGCAGCCAAGTCCGCCTTGTCAGCCCACGAACGAGCGCCATACATAGCAAGCACTCTGCGGAGGTCTGTAGGCAGTAGACATGGCGTGCCGCAACATCCAGCCGCAGACGAGCGAGGAGCATCACCATCATGGATACGGGCTTTGATATCACGTCTTTTAGCCGCAGTTGGGTTCGGTTGGGAGCATGCGATGGCCCACTCTACGAACGGCCCTCCCCAGTGGTTATTGGCTTGCTAGTTTAGCATCCCGTCTCCCTGCGTCTTTCATTCGCCTTGTCGTGCTCCAAACGCATGCGCAATGGCTTATCATCCCCCGATCTACAACAAATCCCCCCGGTCTCAATTTCACATGGTGGCCGCTTTCGGGGCCACTGAGACTTTTCGAGCCAAAACGCCCACCTTGCCCATCCGCCAGCATGCTGGAGCCGGCGCTTTCCATGGCCATGCCGCGCGTAATTGGCCTCCAGCCCGCCCTGTATTCGCTACCACGCCGCTTGCCACATAGAGACCGCTTCCGACAGGCGGATCAACTTTTGTACTACGGTTTAAAGGCCGACACTTCTGGCCGCGCTGACGCCTAAATGTGCTGTCTCACCGGCTCCAGCCTGACAACAATCTTCTTGCGTCATTCGACCTCCCTCCATCCTCGACTACAGACATGATCATCATCCTACCACGGTTACGCTTCATTACGCGACGAAGGCCCCGTACTGATATTCTTAGTCTTTCAACACTGGGAACTGGCTACCCTCTGGCATAATGAGCGCAAGGACCCTGACCAACGTCGTGAACGACCAAACGGTTGCGCTCAATGCGCTGATATACGGATACGCGGGGCATTCCCTTGTCACCCCTCAGCATGCCCTTCAGCAGATTTGGTGGACAGACGAGAGAATTAATGAGAAAGTCACAAAGGATTTTGTAACTTCGCGTCTACAGCCGCACGAAAGGGAGCGGCTCACCCAGCCAGTGGGCTTCGGGGATTTGAGCGACGATACATACATCGAGTGGATCATGGAAAAGGCAAGACGATTGTTCTTGGTGCTGGCCGAGGTGGGCGAGGCAGACAGGATATTTACAGTAGTCGATAAATCATGGGATGACGATGACTTGCCGCTGGAGATGGACGACATCGAGCAACTCTCGCTTTCGAACCGACGCGATGCCCACGCAAACTCTCGCTTCTTTCATACACAGTTCACTTTCCTTCTACGAGAGCTGCGCGATGGCGTGCACATTGACTATGCGCCAAACGAAGAAGTGCCGCTGGAGCATGTCATGAATCTGCCCGTGGCGGTTAGCCTGCAGAATTGGTCGCGTGTCCACCTACCCAAACGGCCCAAGGAGGTGTATGTTCGAAGGCGATTCGCCCTTGGAAATGCAGACTCGCCAGACGCCTTTGAACAGGATTTCATAATGGACGTTGAAAGTGCAAGAATGGTGGAACATGATCACATTGCACCTGTGTGGTCGTCATATACTGCCAAAGGAGTCGGCTACATCGTGACCAACTTTGTAGGGCACCACACTCTTCGTACATTCTTTGATCATCGCAATCCGACCCAATATCAGAAGCTACCAAAGCCTGACAGGAGGTGGCTGGTACTGAACTGGCTGCATTGTCTGGCGGACGCCATTGCTATCCTGCATCAAAATGGGTTCTGTCATTCTGGGATACGGCCCTCCAACATCCTCATCGATGAGCACAACGCGATTGCATTTAGTGATATTGGCAGCTTGGAGACTTTCCAGAAGGACAAGAAACTTGATCCAATGGACGTTTACATTTACGGCGCACCGGAAGCCCACGCAACCCCGCAGCCTTTTGATGTGAATGGTGCTGCCCCTGCGCCCATCGTTCCGAGTACTCGGCACACTTCTATCATCAGCAAAAGCTCATCCGGATCCTCTAATAGCAACGGCTCGCAACGCCAGAAGCTGACCAAATCCCCGACAACGGACTTCTCGGGGTTCAATTTCGGTTTCAAGAGAGCAAAGCCGAAACCCAAGCCACGCTCGCGAGTGCATGAAACCGAAAAGGCAGACATATTCTCCTTGGGCTGTGTCTTTCTAGAGATTATTACCTTTATGATGAAGAAGAAACCCCATGACTTTGTCAAGCATAGGTCGACGAAATCGAAAATTAACACGGGCGGCAAGAACTCCCGCACGGATTCATCCTTCCACGCGAATCTCGACAAAGTTGACGCCTGGGCGAACGTCTTGGAAAAGGCTTCATTCGAGCATGACGATGATGCTTTCCGCGCGATACCTCATATCCTGAACCTTGTCCGAAACATGCTCAACAGAGCGCCTGCTGCTCGGCCCACAGCACGCGAGGTCCGCGACAAGATCTTCGACGTTCTCTTCAACTCTACTTCGATACCAGATATCCACTGCGGCGCACACAAACACGATATCGGCATCGCAACGTCGTCACGTTCTGATTCGGATAGAGCATCAAGTATAGCATCGCTTCGGACGATGTCGACGATGAGCTCTAATTCGAGCTCCGACGCCGATACGATTCGGTTGTCTACATCGTCTGGGATGCGGCTCAGTTCCATCCCCAACCACTACTCGGACCGATCGACGTTGGCTGGGATCGAGGAGGACGACAGTGCCTCCATACGGACGTTGGAGCAACCTGCATCCAAGTATGTTAGTACATCATACGAATCGCCAAGGAGAGCACCTATTCCACCCGGCAGCCCTCCTACTTCACCGCGTTCGCCGCAAACTCCCATCTCGCCTACTTCTGCGGCGCGACCACCGAGCCCATCCAGACCGACCTCTTCGGCTCAAAAGGCGAAGCTGTGGTCCAAGCCGTTCCTTCTGCTGCCCTGAGTTCGGTTCACTGTATCCGAGAGCACATCAGGCCCTCAGGCCCTCCACCAGTTGGCCAACAAAAGGTTCTATTCCCAGACACTCCCAGCTCCTCATGTGAGCTCATCTCCACTTTCTGGTGGCCTTGAGGTAGCTAGGCTACATAAGGCATCCCATCCGGTCCTGATCGCATGTCGGGTTGCTCAGGACAGCTAGACATCCACACCACTTGGTGCGCGACATCGCGGGGTTTGCTGCCCCGCCATTCGTATCACGCGCAGCTCCGAGCCCCACGGCAGTAGAGCAATATGAAAGGAAGGATGAGGAAGGTAGTATTCACACTTGGTTGGCGCCAACACTTCCTTCGTCATGCAAACGGCATGCTAGGCAAAGGAAGCGGCACCGGGCGGCAACAGGGCTGAGACATGAACAACAGCGCACGTAGACGTTAGCGGACTTTATACTCCAAGGAAATTGCGCATAGTTTGTAGTCTGTGGAACATTCGGCAAGCAGAAAGGCCGTATATTGGACCACTAGTCCTCGATAATGAAAAGGCTCTAATGTCTTGGCATGCATAGAGCTCATTGCCCGTTGAAGAAGGTGCTTCAAAACTATAACTATCGTTCCTTCCAATGAAGTGGGCCGCCAACCCCCTCTCCCGACTCAATCTAGCGGTGCGGGGGGTAGTGCCCGGAACCATATGCTCCTTACCCACACCACCACACCGCATCGACACACCTCCATCCACACCAGCGCCTTCCGTGCGCCTCATTGCTTAACTCTTCACATATCGAGATTTTTGGATCTTTTCATTGCCAGCTCATTTGCGTCATACCTTACCACCCGACCAGCGGCACACGACGCTGTATACGATGCGATGCTACAACCATGTCGCCATGCGTAAAGAAAGATAGGTGCAATAAACCATCACCAACAGTCCCGCTTGAGCCGGACGCGTAATCTTGGACCTGCTGCCGTGTTCCCCAACAAATCCTTCGCGTGGTGTTCAAGAAGAATTGTCGCAGTCTGGCCTAAGAGGAGCCGGGATTATGCGGGGATTATGCGGGGAATATCGACAGGCTCCCTTACTACTGCCTGCCGAGACGCTGATCACCGTTGGTTAGGGCATCCAATATCCTTCTCATCTGACGCTGTGCATTCCCGGTTGCACCCAACAGCGTTATTGAACAACCAGTCCGCTGGCCTCCGAGCCATGTCCCTAAAGCAGGGGGTGTCCAGTATTTCAGCGTTCCCCTGCGAACTATGTGCGCGAGTGGTCAGCCGGCTTCGCCAGATGACATCAACAACATCTCTACCGAGAAAGCCTCACTACTGTAGTGATCGGCTAAGGCGTCCAGCCACCAAGCTTACCCCCAGGCTAAGAAAATTAGCATGCATGGCGTGCAGTAGAGTTGGCAGGTACCATGGGACCATGCTGTCATATGCGAATCGTACATAAGTACCAGTACCATGTCTCACTTCCGCGACTATCCATCTACATGTTTCAGATCCTCAAATCGCTTTGTGGTAGTTTGAACAATAGTATCCTCGTTCACCAATATGCGGCTTTCCCTGGGAATCGCAGCGAGCCTACTGGCTTTAACTGCGAGTGGTGCCACACTTGACCATCGTCAAAGTAGCAATGATACAGACTACAAAGTTGGATTCACTCCCTTGAAAACACAGTGGACTGATACAGTCGGCACGAATCCGTGGCCTGAATTCCCACGCCCTCGTCTGCAAAGATCAGCATGGAAGAACCTCAACGGCGTATGGCGATACCGTAACACGGATAATACAGCATTGAGCAACCCGCCATTCGGTCAGAGACTGGAGAGCCCTGTCCTGGTTCCGTCGTGTCTTGAAAGCGCACTTTCAGGTAACACCCTCCCGAAGATCCCCAGCTATACTTTGCTGATTTGCAATCAGGCGTGACGGGCAAGAATCGCACCTATAGTTGGTATCAGACGTCATTCGACATACCATCATCCTGGCCTAGTGAGAACAAGGCTATCTTGAACTTTGGCGCTGTGGACTATGAAGCGACCGTTTTCGTTAACGGCAAAAATGCTGGGTTTCATAGGGGCGGGTATTTTGAATTCAGTGTCGATACCACACCTTATTTGAAAGCTGGTGGGGCGAACGAGCTGTAAGTTGGTGGCATCAGGACCCTGGGCTGCAAAGCTGACAGTGACGAACAGACTTATTCATGTATACGATCCAACGGTACGTGAAATGGTCTACTCTGCATGAATATATCAGAACTTCGCTGATTTATTATGCGCAAATTAGGACTTGGGCGACATTCAGATCCCAATCGGGAAGCAAACGCTGAATCGAGGCGGAATGATCTGGTACACGCCCTGCAGTGGCATTTGGCAGACCGTGTTCCTTGAGTCAACACCAACAGAGTACATCGCAAAACTAGATCTGGTTGCAGACATGAATGGACAGGGTATGTCAATGACCTTCTAAAAACCCCGTATCTAATGATCCGTAGTCAACGTCACAGTTCACAGCAGCACCAACTCTAGTTCTTCGTACGAGATCACGATCCATGAGCAAAACTCCGAGGACACCAAAGCGACAGCCACTGGGTCTAGTGGCGCTCCCTTTACATTCAAAGTCGACTCGCCTAGGTTATGGACCCCGACTGAGCCCAACTTGTACAACATAACGATCAAATTTGGCAGTGACACAGTACAAAGCTACACCGGATTCAGAACCATCTCAAGAGGCGTGATCAATGGCATTCAGCGCCCACTCCTGAATGGGGACTTTATCTTCCCATTTGGAGTATTAGACCAGGGCTTTTGGTACGGTATCCCCACATTGTTTCGCCTTCGTTGCGAATATGACTAACAGTCTCTTGACAGGCCAGACGGCATTTACACTCCTCCCAGTGTGGAAGCAATGAGATACGACTTGCAGGTATTGAAGCGCTACGGATTCAACGCTCTACGCAAGCATATCAAGGTTGAGCCCGCGCTATTCTACAGGGCTTGTGATGAGATAGGGCTGCTCGTCATCCAGGACATGCCGTCTCTGCGACCAGATTTGCCTGATCCAAACAACCAATGTGGATCCATTCGATTGAATCCAGCAGCACAGCCCGAATTCGACAGACAACTAGGATTGCTTATAGAGCAGCTGAAAAACTACCCGAGCATCTTTGCATGGACAATCTACAACGAAGAGTGGGGTCAGGGAACAAGCGCGCCGTGGCCTGAGTTCAGACTGACAGATTATGTCCGCTCTCTCGATCCGACTCGACTAATCAACGCCGTCAGCGGATGGACCGATCATACGGCGGGAGACTTTGACGACAACCATCACTACTCTACGCCTCAATGCGGAACACCCTTCTGGTCAAAGCAAGGCCCCGGCGCCGACTCCGCCTACGATGCGAGACGTATCGGACTACAAGGCGAATTTGGCGGTATCGGGCAATACGTCGACTTTGAACAGTAAGTCTCTACCCCAACCTCTTCAATGAAAAAGAAACGCCCCTAACGTCACCTAGCTCCTGGTACAAAGATCTCGACCACCAAACCTCCTACGAACTAACAAACTCCACCTGGGCATGGAACTATCGCTGCCAAGACCTAATGCGCCAGCTGCGCGAGCAAGTCGAGTTGTTCTCATGCTCGGGCGGAGTGTGGACGCAGACTACAGATGTGGAAGGTGAGGTGAATGGCATGATGACGTATGATCGTGCTATTATTCGCATGAATGAGACGATGTGGAAGGAGGAGACGACTAAGTTGTATGAGGCAGCGGCAAGGAGAGCGAATGAGTCGTCGATTGCGGTACGGGGTATGGGGTTGGAGGGGGTGCAGTATGGGATGCCTTGAGGAGAGGGATGGATAGGGTAATGAGTATGGTTAAAGAGTAAAAAGAGTGCTTCGATGATAATGCTGCCGTATGGCTTCGAATACAAACTTTACTCTGTGCCTGCAAGCTCCTATGCCTGGTAGTAGTGAGGTTTGCATTCTATGAGTACAGTCAATGACTCATGTGCCTCTCTTTTCTGGTGCAACGTGAGTATATCACATGAATCGTACATAGCTTTACACAGAATCAAAAAGCCTCGCGACCAAAGAAGGGCGGGATTAGAAAGGGCGCAGTTATTTTAATCTAGATAAAACTCCCAACTACCCACTAGACTCACATATCTACAACATCTCAAGTCCTCAAAAGCGAGGAACACACTATGTCGCACCCAACTCCCTTCTCCTCAGCGCGGCTCACCTACCACGCAATCCGCCAACCCGACGACCTAGCCCTGTTCAAAGCCATCAACGCCGACCAAACCGGGTACCAAAATAGCAACGCATCCAACATCAAGCTACCAAGCCACGCCGACGCAGAAAAATTCATGAAAGCAACCGCAGAAGAAAACCTCCTGGGTGCCGTAATATGGCTCGCGCCAGAAAACCAGCAGACCGCTGGAGAAATCAAAGCGCGCAGAAATGCGGGTGAAATCGTCGAAGCGTGGGGCACGGCGATAGGCGAACTCCACCTCTCTGCTCTTCCAGCACACCTCACGCACCACCGCTGGACGGAGCTGGGGATTGATATCCTGCCTGCGTATCAGGGGCGTGGGTATGGTGCTGAGGCTATTGGGTGGGCGCTTGATTATGCGTTTAGGAGGGCGGGGCTGCATAGGGTGAAGATTCGGGCGTTTGAGTGGAATACCGGGGCTATCCGGTTGTATAAGAAGTTGGGGTTTACGGTGGAAGGGTCGGAGAGGGAGGCGCTGTGGTTTGAGGGTAGGTGGTGGGATGGAGTGGAGATGGGGATGTTGGAGAGTGAATGGTGGGAGATGGAGAGGACGACGCAGAGGGGGGAGGAGGAAAGGGCTTGAGATGTTGAGAGGCGGGACTACTGGATTGTTTTTCCTTTTGGGCATATTGAAGGGTATACTCTGCTGTGTTTAAGATGAGGTTCACCCTAGAAATATACTCGATGGACCATGCTTGTAAGGCTGGACTTTGTCTTTGCGAGGATATGCCAATGATCCCGATGTACACTGTTACTATTTATACGAAGGCCAAAATGCAATGATTGTAAAGCCGGAAAAAGAATTGGTCTGTTGTGGATGTAAGTGCTGACTAAGCTAAATATTGGCGGTTTTTAACTGGGACAGCCGCTAATCTCCCTCCTAACAAAAGTCTTTGACGACTGATTACCTGCACGGATCTTCACCATATCTCTTCAAGAGTTGTAAAGTATCTCGAAGCTATCTAGAGTATAATACTCCTCTATCCGACGCAGAGAACGCGCCCTGCAGATCTTCGCACGACAGTTAGGGCACGGTACATGGTCAACGTGCACTCCGTTGACCAGTTTTCCTAAACACACGCAATGGAATAGGTGTTTGCAGGCGAGCAGCTGCATACAGGGCGACTTTTCTTCGGCCTCGGAACCAAAGCCGTCGTGACAGATTGTGCAGATTGTGTGGCCAGGCGGAACCTGCTTGGAGACGTCGCCAACCTCGATTTCCGGGCCATACGCTTCCAGCTCCACGTCGTCCAGTTCCTCGTTTGAGTTTTCGAAAGACACAAAAACCCCAATCGACGGGTGTCGGTAGAAGAGACGTGAGGCGTTCGGCGCTTCTGCTGCAGGGCAAAGGCGTTGTTGGATCAGGCCAGCGATTAGCCCACCCGGATCGATTTCGGGCGTTGTGGCAGCGTTGACGATATACTGGTACATTTCCCAGCCAAACATGCTCTCACGGATATAGCTCCCGGCGGGAGCAATCACGCTTGGGAACACATGGTTCACCAAGAAGATAAAATCGCCGCTGAAGTTGTGCTGAGCGAGCTCTCGTCGCACATGTAAAGGCCTCTTGTCCTGCCAATTACCAATTCGGTAACTGAAAAATGCTTCGATTTCATCCAAGGCGAATTCGAGGTGATGATCGTCATCAGCGAGCGCTTGGCCTCGCCGGATGCCGTGAACTTGCCAAATGTGCGTCCACATGCCTACGGCAGTAGCACCTAGCGATAAGTACTCCTGAAGTACTACGAAAACCGCAGCATCATCGAAATATTCGGCAGAGATGAAGCTGCGAAGTGTCTCTACTAAACTGGGAAAGCATGTGGATGACTCCTCTTCCTCCGCTTGACGGACTTGTCGCTCGTATCGCTCCTCTAGCTCTTCGGTTGGTTCGTAATCGGGTTGCTCGACAAGATATGGCGACCACAGGCGACGCAGCTCACCCTCAGGATCGCTATCGGGGTGTATCACGCACTTGACAACAAAGTGCTCCGCCACAGTGACTCCCTCGTGTCCTTGGAAAAACATGGTTTCTTTCGGATCCCCGACGATCTTATCGATGTTCGCATAGATGATGTCAAAGATGCTCGCGGCATCAAGTTGTGATAGGAGATGAGGACGCAGACGAGAATCTTCGGCAATACTATTATCCCAGTATCTTATCTGCTGCCATTCCAACATTTGTTGTTTCGTCTCTCTTCGCAGACGAGCGACTATTTCGGTATCGCCAAGGTCTTCGCTCTCATTCTTCTTAATCTGGTGGGCTAGGACTACGATGCGTGCGATGGCCTTGAATGATGAGATGACTTCATCCGAGGGCGCTCCATGGATGGCATTTGCAAGCTCGGAAAAATTTGCGTAGCTTGACATGAAAAAACTTTTATCTGAGGTTGTTGAATGATAGTTACAATTGTACGGTTTTATGCTCGTGGGCTGACTGTTTGCTTAGGTGTAGAATGGAAGGCCGTAGTACCTGCAAAGCGGCGCGCAGCCTTTCACCTGAACACCACTATAAAGAATCTGGGTTACGTGCGGAAGGGAACTTTGCTTTCCGAAGTGGTAAGAAACAACGAAAGTAATCCGGTATTCCTAATCAGCCTATAGGAGGGTAACCATACCTCTGTTGTAAGGCCAACCTTATTCACTAGTGGTCACTAGAAAGCACTGACTTTGATCGCTTGGAAGAGAAACAGTAAAGGTTGAAATTTGGGTAGCATTTCGCCATTTCAGACTTTTTGGATAGGGTTCGCTTACGCTATGTTTTCAACGACCAATATGCTATTGCTCTGATCTATTGGTAGGCCATCTAACCACGGATGCTTCTACAAAACTGCGAAAATCAAGAACATCTGGGAGCCATGGCCCACTCGGACTCCAAGTCTTGAGGTATAAAGCCCATCATAGTTCATTCCAAATACACCACATCTACATCACCCTCCACAAAAATACTACATCTGCACTCTCCTTTACGGCATATCAACATATCACCACCATGCAGAAATCCACACCTCTCGAGTGGCCTACAACCACAATTCACTGTCTCAACAAAGCCTTCTTGGACTATTCCAATGAGGATCTTATTTCCGGAACCCGGAAACTCAAACAGATTCAAGACATCATCAACCTCTTCGTGGAGTTTGTTTTCGCAGTAGCCAAAAACGGACGTACCCAAACCCGCTCTGTAGCGAGGGTTAAAGCTAAAGAGTTTTGGCAAGGGTTATGCTACACTCTGCTTAAACTCAAGTTCAGCAAAAGAAGCAAGCTCAAGAACACGGACCTGAAACGGCTGATGAAGATCGAAGTTGACGGCTTGTGGATTCTTGTGATGCGGAACATGGTGTTCTTCGGGATCCCTAGGGTGGACACATTCTGTAAGACGATACGAAAATGGCTCATGAGGTGTGCGCGCGAAAGCTCAGTCGATGACACGGGCAACACGATTCGAGAGACTATCGATAGGCTCCAAGGTCCCCTTCCAGTATTTCTCGACCCGCCCAGCAATTACGAAGACTTTACCAGAGATGGAGATCATTCGTTTCCAGAGTTGACCTACACTCTTCAGAAACTCAATACTAATGGAGTGCAATTCGACGACTGTGTTCAGGGCATCTTTCGCTTCTTTGTGGAAATAGGATTTGCAGCGTTGGACATATACACCTTTTTTCGCCCCCGTCTGGACGATCTCGAGCCTTGCGAGTGCAAGCTAGCTTACGGTATGGATAGATATATTAAGAGGCTTGCGTTCTATCTAGACGATATGCTTTTATTCCCAACACATGTATCCTGGACTGTTTCGAACATCAACTTGAGGGGTATATTCGATTACTATTTCAAGTTGGTCTTGCCATCCCTTTACGACGAGCGCTTGGCGCTTGAATCCCTGCTAGGAATCAGACTTTACGAGTGGCTTATAGACGCCGCAACGCACTTGAAGGTCGATGCTACTGATCGCATCGGTATTGTTATTCGCCGTTCGCATCGCCTACCTGAGGCCACTTCGACAAAGAGATACGGATTCAGGCCTTATGATGGGTATGTACCGTTTCCTATGGCTTACTTCGAACGCAAACGCGCAATTCAAGCAGCGCACCTTAATGGCGGCTTCTTTCCGGATGTACCAGTCATACCCTGCGGCCCTCACATCGATATTCGACTACATAGCTCCGCGGTTCCGCCTACGACAACAAATAACGACTTGGAGCAAAAGTGTACCATCTGCCAATATGCACTAAAAGACGAAGCATGCGTCAAGCTGGACACTTGCGAGCATACTTTCCATAAAGACTGTATCACAAGGTGGACGAACACGCAGACGAGAATGGTCACATGTCCAATGTGCAGGGCCAATATCTGTGAAGCAAGAACCACAAGAATGGGCTGCATGTATTGCGAGTAGGTTGTGTTAGTTCCCTCATCGGTCAGGTGCGCGGTGGTGAATATACATTAAGCTATCGTAAGGTCGGGCGCTTAGCTCAATAAATAAAGAACCTTTCCCTCACCTTCATGGGCAAGAATTTCTCTTTTCGAACATCCAAGTGTCTCGCACCTAGCAACATGAGTGTTAATGACTCATACTAACCAATAGGCAGAAGTGGAGTTCGTCGTCCTGGTGGGCTTACTTGCACCGCCACGCTTCCCAACCGTGGCGTAGACACTACCTGTCTCGACTGCACCAACAACCGAGACCGACTCAACTTGCAGAGACGCAACGGCAACCACATGGCTAGACAAAAACCAAGCATGTCTAGTAGCGACTTGGAACGCCCCAAGAAATGCTTCATGCTCGACCTTCCTGGAGGTGAGTGCCCGATCTGGTCTATAGACACCCTGCTTTCACTGACAGTGTTACACTCAGAAATCAGAAATCGAATCTACTATTTCGCCGCGGAGAAACGGATGGTAATGTTCAATCCGCGACGGACAACGGAGCCCGTCGACCAGTCGTCCAAAATTGCTTCGTCTGTGTTCAGCTCTAGTGAAGACGAACCTTTATTTACTCTCGGCGCAAATGCCCTGGAAGATTTTCCTTTTACAACCAAGGAGACAGACGATGAAAGGCGGAACAAGCGAGCGACCAGGCAGTTCCGAAGCCTCACACAGGCGTGTCGCATGATCCGGAATGAATTCCTCCCGCTTTATAGACGAAAGACAACGTACCGTATCTGCCACGTGGATCTGCAGGACTACCTAGACATGGTTCTTCTCCCGGAGCGCCTGCATATCAGCCAGCAGCTTGTTCCGATTCCCCCCGGTGACTGCATCAGTACGAAGGAATACTACGACGAACTCCGCCGTCAAGAACTTACGCAGCATCGAAATGTTGCCCGAACTCTGCTCATCGACTGCAAGTCGTGGGAAGAAAGGGATGGACTGCCGCAAAGTCCACAATATATGAGGCGCGCTACCGCTGCAAACATTCTCCCCTTCCTCAAGTTTTGCGCGATCGCGCCTGGTATTCAGGTACAGTGTGGCTTCAACGCGTGCAAATGCTGTGAGCATGACTGGTCTGGTAACAAGGATATTCTCAATGCACTTTTCGACATCAATAGGCGCCCGCAGCTCAAAGCCTGGTTGGAGGAGTCGGTAGCTACAGTTCAATTGAGGTGGCCACCCTGCCTCCAATTTGAGATGAAGAAGGGCTATGGGAAGAAGTGGATGGGTGATTGGTGTCAGTATATTGGTACCGAGATTCCAGGAATGAGGGAGTGGGTGGATGACGTTGGACTGAGGTTAGACATGTTTTCACATGGATCCTTGGGATTCTCCTGTGTAAAGTCTGATTGGGGGTTGGATTGGGGACTGGAGGAAGAGGACAACGAGCTTGTGGAGGATAAGGAATTCTGGGAACCGGTTGGCAAACATAATCGAGAGCGGGAAAAGAAAAAGCGCAAGAACAAGAATTTTGGTAGAAGCAAACTGGAGAGAATAGGGCGTGGGAACGGGCGATGGAGATGAGGTCTAGGATCAACAAGCGGTCTGCAGATGATCAATTTGATTAATGAACAGGAAAACATGTATTTTCACAGGAACTGAAGCGGTCGCGGTTTACCCCAGTGATCGCAAGGATTGAATCTCCAAATGCCCCGATGCTTCCTAGAGAACCAATATGCATTCAACCACGGGAGAAAGAACGGAAACGGCGGGAAGTTGGTACTCCCTGTGTAGGTCTTATCGACACAACCAAAGACCATGGGTATCACCAAATGCTGCCAGATTATATGCATTAGCCTTGATCACGTTGCGGTAGAGAAGGGGGGTATTGAGAACTCACTGGATCGGCAGTCTTTAGCGACTCCGCGACAGTAGCCGCCATTGCCTTCTTTGCTTCTTCGCCATCACACTTGTCCAATTTGAGCAAGGTATCAATTTCTTCATGTAAATGCTGCGTCAACACGGGTGCAAAAGAATCGATCAGCCCCGTCAACAGTCCACTGTCAAAGTGATTCTTCCCGTCCATGATCTCCTGGACATACGCAGCTGTCTCCGCTAACTTTGGCTCAAACAAGTGATGCTGGTCTACATTCGGATCCATCAACCCTTCTGCCACCCTGGCTTCTTTCGCTAGCTCCTCGAGCCGGGGAAACAACACGAGTTCTTCGTGCGAGTGGTGGATGTGTACTGTGTCCGCCCAAGCTTTGATGTACAGCATCAAGTCTGCTATATCTGTTGGTTGGGTAATCTTGGGGGCTTGCAGGTAGATCGAGTTCAGGCCCCGGAGGAGCATATTATGGACGTTTGCCATTTCGATTACGACGGACATTATGCCGGGGTTGGTACACTGGGGGAAATTAGCTTAGGAGTAAGTTGTTAAGTTGGTGACTGTTACTGATTGCGTGCCTGGCGTTCCAGGAATAGGGAGAAGCTCGAAAGGTGTATTTGCCCACGGTTTGGTCATTTTGAGAAGAGTTCGATTCTTGTGAGAGACTGCTGTGAAAGAGCCCGCATACGACACACATTTAACTCAACCGCGTTACACAATCACTATCATCTTCGATCTTCAGCCTTCTCGCAGCCCCTAGGCCGTACAACAAGGCTGAAGATATATCCAATGAGAACTGGCCCATTATCGGGTAGTGTAAGCAGTAAGCCTAGTGCGGTCAATAGAGCAGTCTGTAAAGTCGATGTCTAATCGCGGAAAAGAGGAGTGCATATGAGATGGCGTTGCCGACTGTTGTGGCCTGAGTTGGTTGGTGGACGCGGAGATGGGGCGCCAGTTTGAACCAGGACTGAACGTTCACCAAGGTTATCAAAGTAAGCATTTCGATGGATTTGATATTGGCATCTCATAGCCTAGTCACAATAGCTGTGACAGCTTCCTTACTTGGACATATAGCGCCTTCCGCTTGGTACTATCAAATTACAAGGCTGGCTGCGATGCCTGTTGAAAAGATACTCACAGCATTGTGTCTTGCCCTTTTCCTCCGTATCACGAAGTATTGGCCTTGAGAACGGAATAGGAATTGGCGTAAAAACGCTAGTTGCATCTTACAGCACACCTTGTTCAGCCTTCTAATGTTTGGGTTTGATTGTTTGGCGCCTCGCAGAATGTTAGGATCTGTAAGTAATGAATATGTGTATAAAGGGTATTCTTTTGCAAGTAACTTCGTCTCTCAACCGTTCACGAGGAGCTGCGTATTCAGACACGAGACGGTGGAAGGAGGGATAGAGACGCCAGTAAACCTGCTACCACGCCCTTTCTTCCTCAAAGTAAAACTGAAAAGATGTAATGAGAGATGCTTTAATGAATTGACCCCAAGCCCGTTCCTTCTATCGCTCCTTTTGGCGAAACCATCAATCAGATATACAAAATGACCCAAACATGCCAGCTAATGCTCGAGTCAGAAACACCCTACGCGTTCGCTCCACTCAGCAAGGTCCAGCTACTCATATTGCACCTCGCTATTCCACCGTCTGGGCGCCGGAGGTAATCCTCCGTTCGAAGGTCCATTCGCAGGTCCTCTTGACCCTGGCCTCGAATTCGATCCATCTAATGGTGCGGGTGCAGGTCTTATCGGGAGGTTCATAATGTTCTGGCTAGAGCTGCTTGACGTCCGTACTGGATATGAGGGTCGTGGAGGTGCTGAGCCGGAACCATTTGGCGCTTGTTGAGCTCTTAGGTCGCCCGAGTCTCGCCGTGACGGGGGCGATCGTTCGCGCAGTTTCTCTTTGATAGTTGCTGACGGCGGGGCAGGGGCCAAATGTGACTTGCGCTTGTTGTGCTCAAGCATGCTCACTGCCCAAGCCTCTAGGTCGACGGGTGTACGTTTCGCTGCTTGGAGGAAGGCGTCGTGATCCTGGACGCTGTAAGTAACGAGAAGTTAGCTGAGGCTAGATGAACTTACGTAAAGCTCCTTAGGTGTTGGCCGCTCTGCCGGGTTCTTCAACAAGCACTTTGCAATCATATCTTCCAAGATTGACGGGAACGCATCGCTCTTGGGTAGCTTCGGGGCTGGCTCAAGCACGATCTGCTGCAGAAGATCGAGAATGCCTTGAGGACCACCTGGTTCATCGTCGTCGGCGCCGCCAGAAAAGGGAAACTTGCCAATGGCCAGCTCCATCAACGACAGGCCAACACTCCACACATCCGACTTGACGGTGTATGGCGACCCTTGTATCCGCTCCGGAGCCATGTATGTGCCTGTTCCTACGAAGGTTTCGGCAATCGAACCTTCCAGTTCGCTTGAGACTCCGAAATCGCATAGTTTGATTTGACCTTTCGAGTTGACTAGGATGTTGGACGGTTTCAAATCGCGATGCATGATGCGGTGAGCGCTGTAAAGGTAGGCGAGGCCGCCGAGCACCGCTTCCGAGATCTTTCCGAGGACGTCGACACGGACAGGTCCGAATTTGCGGGACACCCAGTCAAGCGATCTAGTGGTCTGTTAGTTACCGCCATGGGGAAGTCTGAGGTGGGATGCGCTTACCCCACATCCATGTGCTCCATGCACATTATTACATCCCCGGACTCGCTCTGGAAGGCGCCGTAGAAATCGACAATGTAATCCGAGTTGCAGTCGTGCATAATTCGCAGTTCTCGTACTATTCGCTTTCGTACTTCGTTCTTGGCTTCAACGTGTATAATCTAGGCTTGTCAGACTCGATGGTATTGTCAGGCCAGAGTGGCTCGTTCGCTTACCTTCCTGGCCATGATGACCTTGGTAGCCACATGCTGCACTTTACTGACGGTTCCTCCGTTTCCTGAGCCAAGTTCCCGCAGCACGATCAGATCCTCTGCCTTCAAGTCAAGCCTGAACTCCACACCGATCTCGAGAGTGTCTTGCTTCTCATCGTTACCAAGAGCGCCGGGTATCTGGGCGTCGCCGGCGGAAGGTGCGGGCTTGGGCGGAGGAGCGCTGAGCGCGAGCCCCTTGACGTTCTTCCTCTTCATCGTCTTCGCTTTAAACGAAGATTCGGCCATGGTGGAGGGTTGCGCCGGGCGCTATCGCACGACGGTTGCGGGTATAGATGTACGGTGACTGAGGGGTGATGGCTATACAAGCGAAAGCAAACTGCCCTGCCGTACTAGAGAGGGAGAGCGCTGGTGACTGTTTCGAGTTTGCCGCCCGAAGATGGGTCAACGATAGCTCGCCAATCACGGCGGTATCCCTAAAGGAGGACAGCGTTTATTGGTTTTCCGTATTTAGAGCAAGTAGAGGGACAAGTCTACTGCGAGCGAGGTACAGGGCTTGATTGGGAGGTCGTCTTTTTGGGAAAAGGGAGAATGTCTTGGGCGGTGTTGGGTTGGAACAGCTCAGGAGAGTGAGTGCTCGGTGTCGGTCTACTAGCGGGGCGCGTTGGTGGGGGGAGTGGTGCATGCAGCAGCGCCAACCTAAACTCTACAAGGCTGCAATACCGTGGTCGGGTACGATATCAGCGATGGGAGAGAGAAAGACGTAGAGGAGAGCTCTGGCAGGGAGAGAGGGACGCTGAAGTGTGGGTTGCCAGCGCACGATGCAGCTCTCAGGAGGTTTCAGTGTCGCATCGCCTTCTTGTGACAAAGCTCCACCCTGTTATAGCGGCAGACTTGATAGCACGCGTGCTTGGTCGCAAAAACTATCACGACGAGGAGAGAAAACTACGCATAGCGACGTGATGCGAGGATGCTCAGAATACGCGTCATGCTTTATGTGTCTCGTCTTTCAGTACCAAGGGTGCATGCAACATGTTGAGGTCCCGCACCACCGCTTCCATGGGGAAGACTAGCTGCGTGGAACATGGCACGTGACGTCAATAGTCGGCCAAAAGTAGACGCGCGCCGAATGGGTCTGCGCGAACCTTTGTAGCCGTCGACTGCTGCTCATTCTCCTTTACTTTACCTCCATTGCCCTCGACCTTTTCTCCCGCTGGACCGCCGCGAGTCATCAGCGCAATCGCGACCCTGAGCTCCCTCGAACCGCCTCCCCAACCTCACCTGATCCACTCGCGCGTTTCCTTTGTCTTGATACACCATGGCGACGAGGGATCTTTTCGACACGATCGCCGATGTAGGCAGCGATGAGGAGGAAGATGAGGACTTTGATGGCGAGGGCGGCGCGGTTCGCCCCAAGAAGACAAATGGCGCGAATGGCGTAGATGACTCCAGCGAGGAGGAGGACGAAGACGACGATGAGCGGCTACGCGAGGTCAGCAACAGTGCTGCATGCTGACAGTGTGAGGTGGCTGACCAATTTTACAGGAAGGCGAAGGCTTCATCGCGGACGAAGACGAGGAAGAAGAGGAGGCGGCGCGCAAGCGGCGGCGCAGGAAGAAGCGAAAGAATCGCGAGGCCGACGAGGCCCTAGATGACGAGGACCTGGACTTGATTGGCGTCGAGGTGGAGCGCCCGGAGGAGACACAGGTATGACGCCCTTGTCACTGAAGTTCCGCAAGTACTAACAACTCAAAGTCGAGGTTCAAACGCCTGAAGCGCGGCCACAAAGAGCGCGCCAAGGCCCGCGGCATCGACGATATCTTTTCCGACGACGAAGCGAATGAAGACGTCGATGAGCCGCGGAGACTCGGCGACGAATTCGACGGCTTTATCGAGGACGATCAATTCGAAGACGAGATCGAGGACGACCGAGACGTCACACAGCCGGGCATAAGTCTCATCACACAAGGACTGCAAGCTGCTGGGCTAGATGAAGGTGCCGAGGAAGATTACCGGGCTGCCTTTGGTGATGGCACCGATTATGACTGGGCGCTGGACATGCAGGAGGCCGAAGAGGAGGAGCAGACGGGCGAAGGGCGCGAGCTCCAACTCAAGGACGTCTTTGAGCCCTCGCAGCTGCAAGAGCGCATGCTTACGGACGAAGACAACGTCATCCGCGAGACCGATGTTCCCGAACGCCTGCAGCTGGCTCGAAAGCCATTTAAGCAGCTGGAGCTGACACCCGAAGACATGGAGATACGTCTGAGCGAGGAGGCATCGTGGATCTCCAACATGCTCTGGCCAAAGAAAGATCTACCTACCTACTTCCAGCAGCCGTTCCAGAAGGCTGTACGCAAGGTCCTCGAGTTTATCAACATCGAGGACTATGAGGTTCCCTTCATTTTCAATCACCGCAAGGATTACTTGATCCACGCGCCAAGCGACAACGACGATTACGATGATCCCGACCAGCCGCCGCCCATGGATGCTCGTCCAGAGCGCTTACTCAACCAGAGTGATTTGTGGGAAGTCTTCGATCTAGATCTCAAGTTTAGGGCTTTTGCTGAGAAACGGGATGCTCTCCGACAGAATTACGAAAATGTGAGGAGCGTCTATCCTGACATCACAGATACTGAGATCGAGGATCTGTCCGCCAAAGCCATTACGATTGAAGAGATTCAAGAGCTCCAGGACTACCTACACTACCGGTATTCACAAGAGATGAACGAAGTTCGACAAGAAGGGAATGGGACGCAGAAGCGCGCCAACAACGCACGGAGTTTCTTCGACAAACTTCGGAGCGGTAAGGCGTACCAGTTCGTTAAGGCTATCGGCATCACCCCAGAAGACTTTGCGAAGAAGGCCGACGGGACAAGTAGAGACTCTCAAGTCGTTGAAGACCCTCCTTTCCAGGTCGAGGAACTGGCAGAGCAAATGGCCGAAGCTCCTGAGACGGGGGTCTCTCTTCTAAGATCTGCCAAGGTTTTGTTCACTCAGGACTTGCAGATGAGCTCCAGGCTTCGCAGGTTTTTGCGTGGCAGCTTCTACCAGAACGCTCTAATTGACTGCGTGCGGACAGATAAAGGCATGCGGAAGATTACAGATGACCACACCTACTATGAGTTCAAGTACCTTCGCCGGCAGACTTTCCTTGACCTTCACGGTCGACCGGATCTTTTCCTCAAGATGCTCAAGGCTGAGCAAGAAGGTCTTGTACACGTTCATATTTCAATGGGCAACTACAAGGAGTTCAAGGCTCGACTCTACGACAAGATTGTATCCGACAACGTCAGCGAAGTATCTGACTCGTGGAATGCTCTTCGTAAAGAATTGCTTGATATTGCGTTGGACAAGCTACAAGGCATCATCGCAAACGGCGTGAAAGAGTCGCTGCGGGCTCGATGCGAAGACGAACTGGCCAGCCGAGCAAGGGAAAACTACTACAACAAGCTCGATCAAGCTCCCTATAAGCTGAAGAGCGCCGCTATCGGATCCGTTCCCAACGTGCTCTGTCTCTCGAGCGGCAAAGGCCAGCGTGGCGATGCCATCCTATGGGCATACGTTGAGAACGATGGCCGTGTCTTAGAGCAGGGTAGGCTGGTTGACATGAGGCTAGGCAATCAAGAGCGGGGCATACCGGACGGTCAAGACATTGCCAAACTTGTCGATGTGATACGGCGCCGACGGCCGGATGTAATTGGTGTCAGTGGCTTCTCTGTAGAGACGCGAAAGCTCTACAAAGACGTCCAAGAAATTATTAGCCAATATGGTCTAACGGGCCCCGCCTACGAGGACGAGAATTCTGGCGTAGAGAGAAGCGACCCGTTGGAGGTCATCATGGTCAACGATGAAGTCGCCCGTCTATATCATGACAGCGGCCGAGCCCGCGCCGAGTTCCCCAAATACGCCCCCCTTACGAGATACTGCATTGCTCTCGGACGGTACTTGCAGAATCCTCTGGCCGAGTACGCATCACTCGGGAAAGATATCGTATCGCTACCCTTCGTTCAAAACCAAACTCTGATACCCCAAGACAAACTCTTGGAGCGACTCGATACCGCCATGGTAGATATGGTCAACCTCGTAGGAATAGACTTGCCAGATACTTATGACGACAAGTACCTGTCGAAACTGTTGCCGTACGTGTGCGGTCTCGGTCCGCGAAAGGCTGACAGACTAGTCAAAGCCATCCAGGCAAATGGCGACGAAATTCTCTCACGCTATGACCTCCTCGGTGTGTCCGAGGGTCGTGACTTTAAGGCGGCTATGGGCCCCAAAGTCTTCCAAAACTGCGCGAGTTTCCTGTATATTCCCTACGACTCGACCGAAGAATCGTCCGATTACCTCGATTACACCCGTGTTCACCCCGAAGACTACGAGCTTGCCCGCAAGATGGTTGCAGATGCCTTGAACATGGACGAGGAAGACGTGAAGGCCGAGACTGATGAAGGTGGCCAGAGCGCCGTCATTCGGAAGATGGTTCGAGAAGATACCACTGATCTGGTCAATGATCTCGCCTTGGAGGATTACGCTGCCGAGATTGAAAGGAATTTCGGCCAGCGGAAGCGCGCAACGTTGGAAACTATTCGAGCTGAGCTGGAAAACCCCTATGAAGAGATCAGGCAAGCCTTCCTCCTGATGCCCGGCGACGAGCAGTTCACGATGTTGACTGGTGAGACCAAGGAGTCTCTGTATGAGGGCATGGTTGTCCCGGTCACAATCAGGCGCACATTCCAGGATCACATCGAAGTCAAACTCGAGTGTGGCATTGAAGGTGGCGTCTCCGAGTCCGAGTTTCCCGAAGGTGTTGGTAGCGGTGGTCAGGAGCCGCGCCACGTATATCAAAACCACCAGGTGGTTCGCGCTCGTATCGTGTACCTCAACCGCAAGGCTCTCACCGCACAACTGTCGCTCCGAGACGATCTCATCCGGCAGCCGGAAAAGAAACCTTACGACCGCGCAGCTGGCGAGTGGGACGACGCACAAGAAGCCGCAGATAAGAAGGCTGCCGAGAAGGAGAAGGAAGTAGCATCTGGCCGACCAAACCGCGTGGTAAACCATCCCCTGTTCTTCGCCTTCAACACGATGCAAGCGGAAGAGTACCTCGGCAGTAAGGAGACGGGCGATTTGGTTATTCGTCCGTCATCGAAAGGTTTCGACCATCTGGTCGTAACCTGGAAGGTCTCCAATAACGCCTACCAACACATTGATATCCTCGAGATGAACAAGGCGAATCAGTTCTCACTTGGCAAGCAGCTCAAGATTGGCAAACTGACGTACTCTGATCTTGATGAGCTGATTGTCCTTCACATTGAGGCCATGGCACGTAAGGTGACAGAACTCACACGAGACGAGCGCTTCCAGACGGGCACTAAAGAAGATACTGGTAAGTCTCCATGACCATTTATAAACTAGCACTAACCCCTTCACAGAGCTCTGGCTCGAAAACTACTGCAGAGCCAATCCCACGCGTTCCATGTACGCCTTCTGCAGCATGCCCCGCTATCCCGGTCACTTTTGGATCTGCTTCCAAATGGGCGCCGATAAACCCAAGGGCGCGTGGCCCCTCAAAGTCGTCCCCAATGCGTACGAGCTCCAGAAGAATCTTTACCCGGACATGCTCGCGTTGAAGAACGGGTTCAAGATCCTAATGCAGACTGGAGCAGGCGGGAGGCCGGCGCAAGGTGCGATTCCGCGGCGATAAAAGATGACGTTGAAGTTAGTTGGCGTGAAATGGGGGTGAGTCTTTTTTTTCAGGCAGTGTCGAGGGCTGCGTATTTGTATATTTATAACTTGCATTCGTGCATTGGGGCCAGCGTTCACATAGCGTCAAAATTGGGGGCCTAACACGGGCTACTCCTACTTTTCTTTGGCAGACGGCGTCTAGAGTTCAGGTCAGGTCGTTCTTCTCAAAATTGGCATTTACAGCGCTTGAGTGTATGTGTAAATCGAGACCTACATTGATCGCAGAAGTTTCTTGGCCTATTCGGATGAATGAGATGTGTGAGTGAGCTCATTATTATAAACACCTCATTCGAATCCCATCTACATTTTTTTTGGTTTAGATCCCTTTCTCAATTATCTTGTCTAGCTAGGAGCAGATCTACCGTCGTGTGCAGCGGCGCCCGACTCACGACGCCAAGGCCGCCGTTCTTTCTGTGTTTTCACGCCAAGAAATATACGCACTACATGGTTTTGTGCGGAGAGGAATTCGATGTGTGTTTAGATGGAGAGGGAATGTAGCCTTTGCAAGTTTGAACGCAGCATGTGGTCGAAATGTGGGTGGTGAGAAATCGAGGTAGACCCTGAACGTCCTTGCATCATCCAACGTCATATGAAGAAAGACAAAGGTAGGGTTGAACGTTGTTCGTTATCAATTACCGTCACTCGAGGAAAGAACAAAGGTAGACTACCAAGATGATTACTTTACTCAGTTCACTCAGCAGCATAGATAGCAGGACAAGATATGATATGAACATTCAAATGATTATTTTGAAACCCCCCTTTCGGGTGGGTACAAGCTAGCTATATGATGATATGGACCTTGTGTCCGCCCTCACCGGCTCCATTGGGTATATAATGTCCTCCATGAGTGTGCCGCTGGTTGTGTTGTAATCTGATGATGAAGATGAAACAATCAAAACGCTGTCTCACTCTCTCGTAAAGCCCTCTCTCGTGAGAACAGGACATCTGGTTCCGGGTATCAAATCGCTTTTGATGAACCGGAGGTGTAGCGCCTGGCTTCTCTCGATGGTTGTGTGTGTGTATGTGTGGTAATTGGAATAACAAGAATGAACAAGCAAAAAAGGACTTTTGGGTTGTGGTACATTAAAGTTGAGTTGATGAAGCTCCGAAACGCCGTGCTGGTGGTGATGATGATGATGATGATGATGGAAAATGCTCATGTTCGACAGGGGTATGTGAGAGAGTCAGGACCAGCTCTCATGTCGAACAGATATTGATGACGATGAAACTCCCAAAGGAGACGGAGAAGAAAAGTCGTAAAGTGGAAGAAGAGATCCGAGCAAAAAGGCATCTACTGGTGAGAAAACTGCCTGCTCAGGCGCTTCCACGCACTGTCGACGCTGCGACGTACACCATCCTTCTCCGACTCAACTGAAGAGGTTGATGATGAAGAGTTCTGGCGCTGCGAGCGGGGCTTCATCTCGTCGACGAGGTTGCCAGCGCCACCGCGGCCAATGTGGTAGACGGGTGCTTGCTGCGATCGCAGGCGCTCCTGCTGTTGTAGCTCCTCGTCGAAGCTGAACATGGCGCGCTCGCTCTTCTTCATGTTGCCTGCGCCTCCGCGTCCGGTGGCGTAGAAGGCGTTGGTTGGGGGAGCAGGGAGCTTGACGCGCGATGCTGGGCCTGAGGCGGTTTGGCCGGGTGTGACTTCGCTGGGCTTGATGCGCATGGCGTTGCCGGCGCCGCCACGTCCGGAGTAGATGTAGGTGGAGCCGACGGAGGGATGGGGCTCGGTGATGTGGAAGGACACCATTTTGATTGTTTGAGGTGTTGTTGTTGGTTGTGGTTGTTGGGTGGTTGTTGTTGTTGTGTTGTGAAAGGTGAAGTCAAGTGGCGACTATAAACCTTTGTTCGATTTGAGAATCTGGGGTAAGACTGCAGTAGTAGTAGTGGCTGCGGCAGATGTGATGGTGTGATGATCATAGACAGCTTCACTGGGGTGCAGTCTTATATATATTATAGTGACTGACTCCGCACGAGGCTCACAAAGCAGAGCAAGGGGCAAGTTTGAAATTTGCACGCCATCCCGCCAGATGCTGACTCCAGGGCACGCATTGCTTGGAAGGCTCAGCGACACTTTGCAGTTAACGGCAATGCCAACGATCATGCGTCCAGTTTACGCGCAAACAAAGCAGCAAGAGAGGCGTCGGTGCGGCGCTTGGCTCCACTTTCAATAGGTAATAGCTCGCTTGTCTGCGTTGCAGCTGACCCGGCCCAACCACCAAGCTTTTCGCTAACTGGCCAGGCACAGTTTTCTGGGGGTAACAGAAACGCTGAAAAGACTTGTTGCAAATTTTCACAAACGAAGACGCGATCTGATCCAGGCCATGTGCCAGCTTGCCCGCCCGCACGCCCTGCTTCCCGTCGGTGACTGTGGAGGCGGGAAGAAAATTTCTTCTTTCATTCGCTCTGGGCGGCGTCATCCATCGTGATGCATCTCCTCAGAGACTTTGTTTGGTACCTGGTACCAGTACCTTGAATCCAAGCGCGGCATACTGAGGAGAACCGACATGCTGCAACAAGACAATGCTCTCTTCTTCTGTTTCTTTCTTGTTACCATGTCGCTCCACATACCTCATGTCGATGTACCGCTACGCCGCAAAGACAGTTACAGCTCGACCTCGCCACCACCACAAACTTGCTTACAGTCGACGCTCATGGGTAGCCGGGGGGTCCGCACATGACGTCGAGCATCGTGAAGTCTAGGCGCAAAGTCTAGGCGTAATGCCGAGGCGGAGATGGCATTTTTGCGCTCAGGCACCCGTCACCTGGGGTATTCTCGTCACCGCATCGCTTACCGTCCTTTCCACTCGGTGATACTCTCTCCCTGCGACGCGCGCCAATTTAGATTTAACCAGACTCATCAGTACCGCGTGCCCACTGCATGACATGTCGCCATTGCTTGCAATTGGCGTAGTGCATTGCATCTTGTGGTCACACCATAGCTGACGAAACTTCACGATCCTTGGCATTTGGACAGCAGAGTGACACTCTGCGCCACCTTCTCGTCCACGACATTGCGCTTTTGCCCAGCTGAATTGTCATTGTATTCACTATGCTCCAAAATCATAGGGGGTATTCCGTTGAGCTCACAAACGCCTTCCATGCACTCCTCTTTCCCCTCTCGCCCTCCACTGACGACTGGGGCCTTGCAGTCAAACCATGCGATGCCATGTCAAGCTTAAGTAACAGAAACTCGCCCAATTTGAAACTCGCTGTGCAAATGCGGGGAAAACATACTACGGTAGCTCACCCGTCAGGGCCTACCGGCTGACACGTAGATCTCGTCAGGTCCGCGGTAACCAGGCGTGCAGGGCTCCTTTGTGGTGTTTGGTCAACCGGGGTCTTTGGTTTCCGAATCCATGACTAACTGCGCTACGCAAGCGTCATGCACCCCTTCTCGAAGGTATGCGGAGGCGGGAAGCCCGGCTGTGGAGAAAGTATTGCAAACGGCAAATAGCAAGTCGGCGAGGCCACAATGCGCTGTGTTTAGGCGAACTTGGTGTGGATGATGTCTGGGTTCTCCTGCCATTCGTCCTTCTCTACCCACATCTGCATGCACGTGTCAGTTTGCGTGTCGGCGTTTGGGGAAAAGAGGACTATACCTTCTTGAAGGTGCTCAAGCCGGCCAGAATGCTACCGCCCGTCCACGTGGTGTAGATTCGCTCTGGCGGTGCTAAGATCTTGATTCGCATGTCCTTCACCGCCAGCCGTTGCACTTCATGAAGCAACCTATTACCGAATCCCTTTGTCAACGTGGAACCGCCAGAGAGGACAATGTTGCCGTATAGCGCCTTGCGGAGGTCCATGTCTGTCCGATGTATCGCTTCAACCACGATTTGGTGCACGCCAGGGTACTCAAGGCCGATGATTTCGGGGTTGAATAGAATCTCCGGTGCCCGAAAGCGCTCAGCTCCAATCTAGCCTCTGTCAGATCACGCTTTAATGTTATACGGCATCTGCACCTCACCTTCAGCTTTTGCCCGTCAGGCAGTGTGTAGTCGACGCTTTTGCCTTCTGACCTGGAGGAGCCTGACCAGTCCTTCTCTTCTTTTGCTGGGTCGAGCGCAACGTAGCCCGTGGTCTCTTTGATGTTCTTGACTGTCTCCTTCTCTGCGCTTGTGTGGAAGACTCGCCCGCTTTTCCTCAGCAATTGCTGCAGATGCTCGGTCACATCTCTCCCCGCCACATCTATCCTTCTAATGCTATTGGGTATTGCGAACCCCTGGAAGACTGGTACTGCGTGCGATACGCCATCTCCCGAGTCTAGAACGAGACCTGTTGTCTTTCCCGAGGCGTAAAGTGAGAGGACGGCTTGTACCGAACTATATAAAGCAGGGACGTTGAAAGTTTCGAAGAGGATTTGCGCTGCCGTATCACGGTTTTCTCGAGGGTTTAGTGGAGGCTCAGTGAGGAGTACGGGGTGCTAGAATCATTGGCAATTAGCTCCATGACCATAATCTCCGGAGCGAATCGCTGCTTCTGCGATGACCTTACTCACATCTTCGCTGACAGTCTTCAATCCTTCTGTGTAGACGTACTGCCATATCCTCTCCATATCATCCCAGTCTGTGACAATACCGTGCTCTAATGGGTAATTGATCTTGAACAGCCCCCTATACTGCTGCGCTTGTGGCCCGATGAACAAATCGCCTTCTAACGCACCGGCCATTGTCCGCACATGCTTCGGCCGCCCGACGTATGAAGGAAAGAAGCATTTCGGTACATCTTCGCCTGCAAATCCAGCTCTGATCGTTCCGCTACCGTTGTCGATGACGATGGGGGCATTGTGCAATCGAGAACCCATGGCGGGCAGAAGGGTTTGATAGTTCGGGTGCTAGCAGCTCGGGATGGGTTGGCTGAGCAGAGGTGTATAGGAAGATCGGCAGCGAGGAGAGACGGGAAGGGGCTATTGTTGCGAGTGCATCTCGAGTTTGGGGCTCCTTCTGAGTCGCGAAAGTTCACGACGCGCTTTCGGAGCCGGAACAGGGGTCCCCAGTCACATCACGTGCAGTCCATCACTACACCTCAAGCTCGAATCCGCCTGGTACTCTATCCTTTCGCCTCTCACTCGGTCGTCTTATCAGGAATCTATCTACGGGGTATATGGGTTCTCTATATCATTCCACGCCCATTGCTTAGCTCGGCTTGAAGGCTTTGAGCACCCCGCATCGCATCAGCCGTAACCAAATACAGCACAATGCCAGGGCATGCGGGAAGAATTTCAACAAGGTAGCGAATTCGTAAATATCCCGCATTAGCTTTCAGTATACTCTATCATCTTCTGTATCTTCAAGTTGACTCTTTTGACCCCTTCTACCCTCCAAAATATGGTCTCTGGTAAACCTGGGCCCGTGTATCAGGCCCCCGTAGCCGCCATGAACTCGGGAGCCGCCCAGCGTCAGCAAGGCGCGTTCTATAAACCTAGACAGCAAAATTACTTCTCCCCAACTCAAAATGGGACGTGGACGTCAACAACGACTCAAAGCCCAAAGGTGACATACACAGGGCCTGCTTCAAATCCGAAAGTCGTCCGCCTCATATCGTGGAACATCGACGTCCTAGTCCCTTTTGCGGAAGAGCGCATGACTGCTGCGCTGCAGTATTTGGATAGCTTAGTGTCCTCAACACCCGTGGACGTGCCAGTGGTACTATTCCTGCAGGAAATGGGCCTGAGCGACCTCGAGCAGATCCGAGACTCAAAATGGATCCATCAACGCTTCAACATCACCGAGCTCGACAACCAGAACTGGCCAAGTCCACACTACGGCACCACCACGCTCATAGACCGGCGCCTGAAAGTCAAAAACGTCTTTCGCGTCCCATGGTTTAGCAAGTTCGGCAGGGACGGCCTCTTCGTCGACATCTCCCTCTCTCATCCTTCGCATTCAAACTCAGACCGCAAAGTCCTCAGACTCTGCAACACGCACCTCGAATCTCTTGTTGCAGACCCACCTGTCCGCCCTGTGCAACTCTCCGCCGCAGCAACAGTCCTGCAAGAGACAGATGTTGCGTGCGCACTCTTAGCTGGTGATCTCAACGCCATAGAGCCCTTCGACCTAACACTGCATTCTGATAATCACCTCAAAGATACGTATCTGGAGCTGGGAGGCGTGGAGGGTGCCGACGAAGGGTATACGTGGGGATATCAGGTGCCGCAGTGGATGAAAGATAAGTTCGGATGCAGCAGAATGGATAAGATCTTGTTCAGGGGTGAAGTAAAGCCAAAGGCATTTGAGAGGATTGGTGCGGGTGTTAAGGTGGCTGAGGAGCATCGAGGGAAGCTGAGAGAGGCGGGGGAGCAAGAATGGGTCACTGATCACTATGGTGTGATGGGAGATTTTGAGCTCACCGGAGACTGGACGTTGCAGGAATAAGGTATGAGTGCTGATAATCGAGGCCCAGGCTTTCCTACTTGACGCATCCAATATAAACTCCTTGCGACGCATTCCGACCAAGCTACCCAGGCCCGTTCGATCAGTCGTCCGTCTTGTATCTTCTAGAAGCCCCGGTGGACATGAGTATCGTTCGGCAGTAGAGCACGCAAGATGTTTGTTGCATCTAGAACCTCTGGGGACTCTTAAAAGCTATGCCAGTGATTATGGAGACCCACAGACATTTAGGACGGCGTTCAGGCAAAGCCAATCGTTGTCATGTGTCTGGTTCTGCATATCTTTACGGTCCATGCCTTCTACTCGTACTCATATCTACACGGGACACAAATCTGCCGGCTTCTTTCTGGCCTCCTGTTGCATTTCATATTCTGCGGCAACCTTTTGTGCATCTCAGCGGCTTAGGTGTTTCATCCTTGCCTATCTCTCACTCATCCGGGCCCTAGCCAATCAACTTCAATCCCACACCTATCCATAAATTCAAAGAAGAACGCCCAGTTTTGAGCTCGTCGTCTGACTATGATGTGCGACATTATATCCTCCTCAGTTTGTCGGTCAATCTTGACATCGCTATTGTCATCATACCCCAAGGTCTTGCCGACTGTTTGGTGGGACTTTTTCAAGCGTTTGACGTATGCCTCCAAGAAAAGAGCATCTTCTTCCGATCCAAAGTTATTCATCCCAAAATCCTGGCTTCTTAAGGAGAGCTTTGTTCGACCGGCAAATTGTTTTGTAAGGTGGTTGTTGGCGCGTTCGACATACGTGAGAGTAGGAGCTTCGTGAGAGGTCGAGAGATCACGCAGGCGCCGTTGGACGTAGTAGTAATCGTAGTAGAAATCATTCAGGAACGCCTTCCAATCGAAAGAGAACGACCCCGAATGGAAATCTATCTCTAGTGAAGGGATCTCCAGATCGTTGACATACGACCCAAGGCGACAGGTCTGCGCCATTATCGGGTCGGCTGCAGACGCGTAGATATCCTCGTCGAACCTAAAGCGGAAGTCAAGGTTGCTATATCGCGATGCCTTGAGCATAGTGGCCTTGGAGTTGCTATAGAATCGCTCCTGATCTTCCTTTAGTTGTGCATTACAAGAATACCCTTCGCAGTGAATCACCGCGCTGAATTTCACCCGCTGGCGATCTTCACTGAGGCCCAAGAATTCTTTTTGTTCCACCTCGCCACCGTGGAAACCTAACTCGGCAAAGGGTTCACCAAAGGTTATCCAGGATTTAACATGCCATTTCATTCGTAGATTCGGAAGATGCGTCTTCACGAACTCTCGCTCAGCTTCTGCCTTGAGTACCGGTGACACCTGGCGGCAGATGACCCAAAGCGTGAAATCGTCGATGTGAGTGCAGATCTGGGCCCATAGCTCCGGAGGTAAAGGGCGACAGGCGACGGGGTCCGATTCGGACATGGTGGGAGCTAATGTGAGATCAGTAACAACTCTTAAAGGTTACAAATTGTTACTGACCGCTCAATCGCCAGTTGAACGAGATTGAAAAGTGCTGGAACCTTGTTCAGTATTAGGACTGCTTGTGGCAAATGGGTTGAGTGTGCTTTGTAGAGGTTGAGTGAGAGTTCAGGCGACACGCGTTTGTTATTGTGACGACGGTGGTGGCGCTAATTTCACCTTCACCGTGAGAACAGGAAAGAGCTACCGGCGGTGTCTAGGCAACGAGAAAATCAAGAAAACAAAGAAAATCTCTATATCATTTCAAAGTCTATGAGTAAAAGGATAGAACTCTATGTACTGTAATTCAAGCATCGTATCGCGAAGGCCCCTCTTACACTACGGAAATTATTCTTGGTCTTTCACCCTTCCATCAGGATCAAACTCTAATTTCCTCATACCCAGATGCCTCAGGCCTCGCCCCAGTCCCCAACGTCATACTGTCCTGCCTCGCGATCTGTTTCTGTTGCGACTTGACAAGCCGCATTGGACCTCTCACGAATGCCGACAGCAGATCGGTAATGTTGAAAGCATCGACGATGGCAGATAGCGACCCAGCAGCAGGGGACCGCATCGTATACTGTTGTGGCGAGAAAACGAAAAGTAGGAGACAAGCGAAGAGTGGCATTTCGCAGGCCAGGATAAGCGAGGAGAGACTGGTGTTGACGTCGTGGTAAGTGAGGTATTTGGAGGGTTTGAGACTTTTATTCCCGACGAGGATGGAGATGATGAACTATGCATCAGGTCAGTCTAACAGTGATGTAGCGTCTTCTTGCAGGGTAAGAGCTTACGGTTTGTAGAAAGTTTAGAGTAACGATACCATGGATTGTGAAAAGCTTCATTAGGATTTGGTGCTTATGAAGCTTCGCTTTGTTCTGTTTATAGAACTTGAGTGTGTTGACAATGGCCATGGTACTGATGATGCCTTTTATGACAGTGATCCAGATGTTGGCGAAGTGCACGCTGTTGGACTGTCTGCAGAACGAACCGACAGCAAGCGAGATCACTGCTGCGATCCAGAGAATAATGGATGTCGGTATGTACTGGAGGACGCCGTACCACATTCGCTGGAAGACATGTTAGCCAAGTTTCCTAAGCAGGTGGGGAGAAAAGGTTTCCTTACTTTCAGCCACAATGGGCTTGTACCGCTCTTGTCTGCGCCGTTGGACTTGGACCACGCCCCTTGCCCAAAGAGGTCATCGAAACCACCACGATGCGACAAAACAAAGTCGCACATCAACAGTAAGAAGGATGCAAGTGCAATTGAACATCCAAAGTCAAGCGATTCGGTCAGATAATCTCCCGCATCTTCCCGCCATACTATCAGGAAGGAGAATAAAGCCACCCATGGTACCAGAAGCATGATCCGAATAATTTGCCGTTGTTGGACGGGATTCGAGTAGTTGTGTGCATGCATTGCAATAATGAGTGCAACGACAAGGGCACTGAAGGCGGCGCAAGTTCCAGAGAGTATCATTGCGAATTGGTGGTAGGTAAGGTTGCCAATGAAGGGAACGATGGCTGGACCGCTCTCGTCCTCTTTCGGGCATACATGTTTTGAGGTGTTTCTGCGATTAAGGAGGCTTCTGGAGAGTAAGACAGCAGGATGCATCTTGAACGACGTGGATAGTTGAATGGGTTGATCCCGAGAAGTTAACAATGATGGAAATCCGCAGTGCAGTCTCTTGCTCTATATACTCGCGCCTATGGTTCTCTCGCTCGTAGGTACGTACACTGCAGCTATGAAGCCTTGTGACTGAGCAACACTCGACCCAATCACAAGCATTCCGCTCAGGATACCCTATTAGGAAAGGTGCGATAAAGTAAGCACTTAGATTGAGCTTGGCGAGGCTTATACCACGTTGACTGTGCTTGCAGTCACTATACCTATTATTCGTTTTAGCGGTCGGTCGCAGCTGGAGGAATTAGGCTCCACCGCTGTCAAATGTAGCGTGGTATTCGTCGGGAACAGTGCACGATTGCGTGTGAGGTTGGTAAGCGTACGCCGATCAGGATGATGTGTGGCTGTGCCCAGGAGGTCCACTCGCGCTGTGATCCATATTAGGTTTACAGAGCGATGGACCTCAGCCGCACAGAAAGTGACGTCGAGATTTGCACGTATGAAGGTGCGGAGTTGTTAAGTGGCGTAGTTCAGGGGCGGAGGCGCAGTCGCGTCGTTTGTTCACATCGTGAAGATCGGTCTTTTTCATTCTGGTTCCGCTCTCTAACCTATCTCCGAAGGAATATTACCCATTTCATCCGGCAATGAGTGATCCCAGAGAAGAGTTCCAGTTGACGTGTTGGCGCGACACTTTCGTGTGTTGAGGCCTAGTCATTCCTCTTTCCGGCAAAGCACGGCCCAGTTAGAGGTGCCTTCATTCTTCCGTGCTTTCCCGGTCAAGAAAATATAATAGACCGTACTAGGGTGAAGGAACATGCCCATAGTCTGCTCCACCCAACATTTGAAATGACAGACTAGATATGAGAGTATGGATGCGGTTTGGTCACACACACGTAGATTATAGTCAGATTCACGTGGTGAAGGCATGTGAAAAGATAGTCATGGTAATAATAATCGTTATTTTGTATTCTTGTTGCCTATAATGTTTAGTGGCATTGAGCTTACGCGATGCGATCAATGATACTCGATCAAGCTGTCGCAGCACGAGCATAGTGATGTACAATTGAGCAAATGGAAGACGCCGCCTCCAGTAAGTTCATCCGTAACCGTAACCGTAACCACCGCCGAACGCCAATTTGCCGAAGAAGAAAGTCCGTGAGATCGAAAAGCGTAAATCAAAGCAGGTGCAAAGGGAAACCGAACATGGCGTTGTTGCCGTACAAGAGTGGAAGAGGGACAAGGAAGAGAAAGGTCGAAGCTGGTCAACTACATTTCCATTGCGTCGCCAGCAGCAACAGCGACAGACTTGAAGGTGGGCTGGGCCGTAGCGGACTCCGATGGGGTGAGGTGGCGAGCATTGATGCGTTCTCCTTCGACACGGGGTGTGGGACCAAACATGAGATTGCTAACAGTTCGTTCCAGAGACCAGCCAACGAGTTGACACCACTGAAGGTTATCGGAGAATAACCAGTAGCCTTGGACACCGTGTTGCTTGGCGCGCACCAAATAAGCAGACAGCGACTCCTTCTCGAGCATGACGAGCGCATCAGAGAGGTCGAAATGGCGTTCAATGACACGTGAGTACGCGCGTGCGGCATCGCGTAGATTTGGGTTTGTCATGACGTTCTTCCAGCCGACGCCGAGCGATGCGATTAGGGCGTTGATGGTGGTGCCGTTTTCGTGGATGACACCTTCAGTCTTTGAAGCATCCATGTCGTTGAGCGATGGGACAGCAACGCTGGCAGATGGGCTTATCCGTACCGACTTGCGTGAAAGGGCAACAGGACGGACCGGCTCAGCCTTCTCTTCGTTCTCGTTCTTCTCTTCGCACCATGTGCCGGACTGCGATTCGGCAGCAAGGCAGAAGCCTGGCTCGTCAGGGTAGATGAGCGTCATACCGGGGCCATAGACGGGCTCTGGCTTCGGTTTGACAGGCAATTGAGTGACGATCGATCCGACAGGTTGATTCTCCTCTGGGTCGTCGACGTCGGCGATGGATCGTTTACGGCCAGCGGCGGCATTGGAGGCGGCGGCTAGATAGTTGAGCGATGGTGGAGTAGGGTATTTTGGGCGGAAGTTACCCATAGCTGAAGGTGAGAGGGCGCGTTGGTGGCGGGAGAAGTAGCCCTGCGGTTGCTGGGGCGGCAGGACCACGGTAGGCGACGAGGCATAGTAGTTGAGACCCATACTGTATGTTTAGTAGATTAGAAAGCGTAAAAGGTTGAAAGATACAAGTGTCTGTCTAGCAACAGAGCAGACGATTGAAGCATGCGACACGCAAGTAGGCTTAGGTCACCAAGAACGACGACGTGGATGGAGGAGATGGAGGATGTGAGGCAAGGCGAAGTGGTGTTGATGGGATGTGAGATGGATAGAGTGATGAAGGAAGAAGAAATGAGGCGTGGAATTGGCGGCGACAAGGGACGTGACGAGAGGCTGAGTGCGGCGACGAGAGGGCGCAAAGAAGTGAGGTGAAGGAGGGAAGGTGTGGAGGGCGCCAGAGCGGTCTTGTAAGCTCCGCGCCGGGTCCCGTGAGAGGCTGGCAGCTACGCGGTGGGGAGTGGCAGAAGGGTCGGGTAGAGAGAGAGAGATGACGGGCGATGCAGCTCCCAGGGCCCGCCGGGCGCGGATTGGCCGACTTCGCGAGCTGAGCGACTCCGGATGGGGCAGGCGCACGGACACGCCAAGCACTATGTAAGCCAGGCAGCGTCAGGAGACGTTAAGCACTACCCCAATAGTAAAGTATTTACTACCCTTCTAAAGCTTACTTGCTATTAGTCCTACGCTATTACTGCGCTATTAAAATACTAGTAGTTTTAATAGCAGATTAATAAATTAAAAGTATTTAAAAATTTTAACTAAGCTAACTATTATATTAAATAATACTAAATAATAAATAATTTATTTTAGTAGTATTATTATATTTTAATGCTTGCGCAATTAAATTAACTACTACTACTACTACTACTACTACTACTATGCTTATTACAATTACAATTACTGCAATATATTGCAATTAATTATAATTAATTAATTATAATATATTGCAATAGATTGCAGTAATTGTAATTATAATAAGTATAATAGTAGTAGTAGTAATAGTAGTAGTTAATTGCAGTAGTAGTAGTTAAATTAATTATATAAGTAGTAGTTAAGTTGCCTAAATATACGCGCGTTACTTATTTTATTTATAATAATATAATAATTTATATATAAATTAAAATGCTAAAAAGTAGCGCAGTGTGCTTTAGCTGTATAAATCTATACTAGATTTAGTAATAGAGGTAGTAAATACCTTACTATCGGGGTGGTGCTTAACGTCTCCCGGCAGCGTCGACTGTGCGACTGCAACCGGGACGGGGATTGCCGGAGGGCGCACGTGACTCGACTTGCGGGCAGCTCGGCGCGGAGAATCATAGTGGCGGTTGCGACGCGTTTTTTGGCAAGCAAAAAGTAGCGTAGGAGCTGGCAAGGCACCCGCACGAGAGATACCCCACGCTCCTCTGTTTTAGCCCCTCTTTCTTCTGCATAGTACCCAGAGGCTCCTTCTTTCAAGATGCAGGCGCCAGTAGTTGTCATGAGTATGTCCAGCGGCGGTGCCGAAGCTTCGACAGCCCACTAACACAACAACAGACACGCAAACCCCGGGCGGGGAGCGGCAGTTTGGCCGCAAAGCCCAGCTCTCCAACATCACAGCAGCCAAGACGGTCGCAGACATCATCAGATCATGTCTCGGTCCCAAGGCCATGCTCAAGATGCTGCTCGACCCCATGGGCGGCATCGTCCTCACCAACGACGGCCATGCCATTCTCCGAGAGATCGAAGTCGCGCACCCGGCAGCGAAGAGCATGATCGAGCTGAGTCGGACACAAGATGAGGAGGTAGGAGACGGCACAACCACAGTCATCATATTAGGTATGCAAAGGCAAAGCCCACTAGCAAGAGGAAGAGGGGCTAATATGAGGTAGCTGGAGAGATCCTCGCACAAGCTCTGCCGCAGTTAGAGCGCAACATCCACCCCGTCGTCATTATCCAAGCCTTCAAGAAGGCCTTGGCCGATGCCCTCGAGATCATCAATGAGATTGCCGTCGATGTCGACATTAACAACGACAAGCAGATGTACGAGATTATTCACTCCTCGATCGGTACAAAATTCGTCTCGCGGTGGTCAGAACTCATGTGTGGCCTCGCTCTCAAGGCTGTGCGAACTGTTTCGTTAGACATTGGCTCGGGCAAGCAGGAGGTCGACATCAAGCGCTACGCCCGCATTGAGAAGATCCCAGGAAACGAGATCGAGGACAGTGAGGTGCTTGATGGTGTTATGTTGAACAAGGACATCACACACCCGAAGATGAGGCGGAGAATTGAAAACCCTCGCGTCCTGCTGTTGGATTGCACACTCGAGTACAAGAAGGGCGAGTCTCAGACGAACATCGAGGTCAGCAAAGAGGAGGACTGGAACAGGATACTGCAGATCGAAGAGGAACAGGTCAAGGCCATGTGCGACGCCATCATTGCCCTAAAACCCGACCTTGTCATCACTGAGAAGGGCGTGAGTGGTAAGTTGGCCCGTGTCTGTGTTTCATACAGCTTGCTAACGCCCGAATAGATCTCGCACAGCATTACCTCGTCAAGGCCGACATCACCGCTATCCGCCGCGTCCGCAAGACAGACAACAACCGCGTTGCGCGTGCAACTGGTGCCACCATCGTCAACTCTGTGTTCGCAGCTACCGCCGCAGATATCGGCACTCAATGTGGGCTATTCGAGATCTCCAAGATTGGCGACGAGTACTTTACCTTCCTTACCAAGTGCAAAGATCCCAAGGCATGCACGATCCTACTCAGGGGCCCCTCAAAAGACATTCTGAACGAGATCGAGCGTAATCTCCACGACGCTATGGGTGTCGCCAGGAACGTGATATGGAACCCCAAGTTGTGCCCGGGAGGTGGCGCAACCGAAATGGCGGTTGCTGTCGGCCTAGACAGGAGAGGGAGACTCATCGAGGGTGTGGCACAGTGGCCGTACAAGGCAATTGCAGAAGCCATGGAGGTCATCCCCCGCACGCTCATCCAAAACTCAGGAAACAGCCCGATTAAGGTCCTCACTCAGCTGCGAGCGAAGCATGCGGAGGGCTACGAGGATGGCAAGCACGGTGGAAGCTTCTGGGGTATCGATGGCGAGGCAGGAAAGGTCGTAGACATGCGGACGTACAACGTGTGGGAGCCGTTGGCAGTCAAGGAGCAGAGCGTCAAGACCGCCATAGAGAGTGCATGTCTACTATTGAGGGTTGACGACATTGTCGCTGCGAAATCAGCTAAACAGGTCAGTGGGCCCATTGGTGGGGGTGGAGACGATTAGATAGGGCCTACACGCGGATAAATATCGTAGATCCAGCCCGATCATGAATTCAAATGAGAATGAAGACATACGAAACTCTCATATATATACCGCATATTGCCTACGAATGCGACTAACAGAGTTTGAAGAGATGATCAACAAATCGCAATTTCCTCAAGGAGTACCTTTTAATGTAATTATTTTGTCATCCTTTCACAAGTCTTGTCAGTTTCGCCCTTTCAGATGACAAAATGCGAGTACACGAGGCTGTGCATGGGTCTATTTCTGTAACCGCCCCCAACGCTAAAAGCCCCATCATGCAGGGGTTTCGCGCAGGCTGACATCTCCAATTGAAATATCCTGTCAGAATTCCAGCATGCCACCTCTTCACCATCGCCATGCTCAAAGACCTCGTCAATGTCCCTAAACGCTGGATCCTGTCATTAAGCACTCGAAACACAGTCTATAAGCAATGGAATCACGCAAACACCACGGAACTGCAGGTACTCTCCACGGCGGAACCGAACGACAACAAAAGCGAGTTGTATTCACTACATTCGAGAACAACAAAACTCTTCGGGGCACCCAAGGCTTGGGTTACTCGGTTTCTTGGGGCTCGTTTTGCGGGTTGGAGATTCGGCGTACTAAACTTCGCGACATGGGCTTCTATCGTCTTCTTGATCAATCTCATTGTCACGATTTGGGGCTCAAGCGCTACTACCAAAGGAAAAGGTGTCTTTTTCGAAGGAGACTGCGAGCGCGTGAAACGGCTGAACTCCGCACTCCATGTGCTCATTAACGTCTTGAGTACGATCTTGCTCAGCGGCAGCAACTACTGCATGCAGTGCTTGTCTGCACCCACACGGAAAGAGATTGACCGGGCGCACGGCAATGCTGGAGGGACATGGCTTGACATTGGAGTCCCGGGTGTACGCAATATCAAACACATTAGTCGCCGGCGACAAGCTCTATGGTCCCTACTTGCTCTTTCTTCACTCCCACTACATCTTTTGTAAGATCGCGAGTTCCTTTAGGAGACGTTTTTCGATCTGACCATAACAAGTTACAACTCCGCCGTCTTCAGCTCTCTCTCTGCAAATAGCTACTGGGCAGTCTCCGTCAGCCAGTCTTTCATCAACGACACTCAATGTCTCAATTGCACCAACGTGGACTACTATCAGACAGCTCGCAACCGGAGGCCGAGAGTAGACTTTTTATCTAGATCGGAGCTCAAAACCCTTTCGAAAACTGTGGAAACACTCTGGGGTCTAGCACGCGCAGGCAACTTGGACAGGCTGGAGCCCGCCGAATGTCTGAACCAATACGCCCAAACTATCCAGTCCAACAGGCGCAACCTGCTTCTCGTTGGTAAGGATAGTAACTATCCCCCGCCGGAGGAGAATTATTTCAACAACAGATCTCATATTTACTGGGCGGACATGTTCCAAGCTAGTTCGGCGGCATACGCTGAACAAGCCGCTGATTCGTACAGCTGGATTTGCGCCGGTCTAACCGATACTAGATCTTGCTCAAGTATGATAGAAAATATCAAACGTGTGCCCGATGCGTGGCAAGTTGGTTGGCATTGCCGCGGAGATACGCGGAACGAATGTGCCTATCCGCGATTTCCGGTCGAGTACTGCTTAAGTGAAAAGGCTGAACCGCACTGCAAGCTTCATTTCGAACCAAATATTGCAATCCTTATTACGGTACTAAATCTTGGTCAGTACTCCCGCATCTGTCTCTTGTGTCTTGACGACGCATCTTTTAGTTTTGATAGCACGGAGACGAACTTTATTCTACACTGAAGTCTCACTCGGTGTTAGACTCTGGATTTTATCTGCCCTATCTTGGTATCTGATATTCATCATTTCCGAACAAGCACTGTCGAATCAATTGCCCAAAGGGTAGTTTGTGTTCGCAGATGCGCCAACATTCTACTATGAATCCTGCTAACAATGTGCCAACAGTCAAAGCCGCTTTAATGTTCTATATCGCATTTTTCATCTCAGACGAGCCAATCATAACAATGGGCGATGCCATTGCTTCTTTTCTCGAAAAGAGTGACTCCACGACCAAGAACATGTGTCTCGTCTCTCTCAAAGACTTCAAGGAAAAGAAGGGCTACACTGCAGGGCCGCGGCAATGGGACAATAAGCGATATAAATGGAAAGACGTTACAAGTAAAACACGACGAACAGTTACACTAGTAATGTACGGCAGACTGTCTCTCCCCTTGCCATTTTGGGTTTTCTCTAACATGCTCAGGTTCCTTACAGCCCTAGTACTAGTCAGTGGGCTTCTAGGCTGGGGCCTAGTTAGCCTCCCAACAGGCACAACGCTCTCCCGCCTCGGATTCGGTGCGTAAATTCCTCGTGTTATTAAGTATGAACTAGAATATACTACTGACACTGCATCTCCTCCATAGGTATGGTCGACCCACGTACTGCCATGTCCGGCTTGCCCAATGACCTCCTAGCCAACGTCGTCCTAGCCAACACCCCGCAACTCATTCTCTCTTTCCTCTACTTCTCCTACAACGCGCTATTGACCGCTATGCTGATGGGATATGAATGGACTACGTATGCTTCGAAGCGGAAAGGCCTTCGCGTCTCCCATCATCCGTCTGGCCAACAGCGATCAACCTACTTCCTGCAACTTCCCTACCGCTTTGGCGTTCCACTGATGATTCTAAGTGGTACATTGCATTGGCTGGTTTCGCAAAGCATCTTCCTAATTTCCCTCGACTACTACGATGTGTTCGGGAATGCAGGGAGAGGCTATTTCAGGGGAGATCAAGATCTTAAGACACTAGGGTTCTCGCCTAGTGCAATCATTTCTGTCATTGGTTTGGGGAGTCTAATGGTTATTGCCATTGTTTGCTTTGGGTCTATTCCGTACAAGCGTGGTATGCCGCTAGCTGGGAGTTGCAGTCTGGCTATTAGCGCAGCGTGTCATGTATTGGATGGGGATGAAACTGATGGAGTTATGGCTGCGGAGCAGAACCTGCAATGGGGCGTGGTTAGTATCAGTCATGATGGTGTTGGACACTGCGCTTTCTCTACCAAGTGTGTTGAGGCACCGGTGGAGGGTGAGGTGTATGCTGGAGAGCAATAGAAATACTCAATAGTATCCTAGAGCGTAAGCGCTTTTGACATGTTTTCTGGGGGTTATCAAGGGTGGAACCATGGGAGCCTTATACGCAATCTGCAATCGCGCACTGATCATTAGTGTGTTGAACCGTGGTTCTTTCCTCGAAACCATTTGCGCTTTCCATATATAACCGCAGCGGTGAGAGACAACACCCCAGTTATTTTTATACCAAAATCACTTCTTCGGGGTGTTCTCTCTCACCAACAGCCACCACCATTGCCCCTAACACAGTCTTGATTTGTCTCACAGACTACAAACGCGACCAAAATACACGCACTAAAAACGAATACGCCGTCGTCCCAAGATGTCTCACAGCACCCCATCACAGCCACCAGTCTCAAGTCCATTTGAGGAAAGCCAGCTTTCCCCGCGAGCGTTACCACAGCCAACCCATCAACCACCTCCGGTATCGGAATTACCAGGACTGACCTACCATCAATCGGAATGGCCACGACCGCCACTCTTCTATGATATGGGGTTTCACGCGACACCTTCTTTCAAGATCTCTGCCATCGATACTGTAAGCCGCATTATCACCTCCAAACCCGTACTTGGCGCCATACTCGACCCTACACCTGGCCCAAGTGGTGCCATACACATACGGCCAACGGATTACTCTCATGCCTACAGAAAAAAACTAAAAGTCGCCTACGACCCACGGGAGCTATCGTGGGTTTATAGTTTATATAGGGCTGCGCATGTCTTCCCAGGCCAAACCCCGAACTCTGAGCTCCGACATGTTTTCCGCCACATCTACCCCGCGACACGCCGATTCTGCTGAGACACTTTGAGTGCGGGGATTTACGGTCGTGTGCCCTGGCATCAAGAGGGTTTCCAAAGCACCTACGCCCTAGTTGAGCTATCGCTGGTTCTGTGAAAGTACTTTGAGTGCAAACCTCGTCATCGTTCTCCCAATTGTTACCAAGTATCAATCTTCTGCTCTCAATGACTGAAGAGTCTGATGCGATCCGTGGTTGTATGCAACAGTCTCACGCCTACACACCGCCATGGTTTCTACGGTCCATGTCGTCTGTCGCTCCGTTTAAGGCGAACATAACAGAGATGATAGCCTGGGAAACCCATTTAAATACAGATTATATCATCTGGTACTTCGTCCTAGAAGTACGCTTGACGACAAGCACTCCAAGATAGATCGAGATGGTCGTCAAGCATGGTTTCAAAACTCATCAGAATACCCCGGACGGAAGAAATTGAACGCGTACTTTAAGGTTACTTTAAGAACTCTGAGAAGGGTGAATATCTCTAGCACTACTTGGTGCCAAGTGCAGATAAAGAAAAGGAACTGTATAATGTTGGAGCATCGCACCTGCAAAGAATAGGTGCTTGATGCAGATTAGCTAATAAGATCTCTCAACCAATTTGACTAGCCTCTGTGGCCCGTGCGCCATCGCTTAGCTCTCATATGTTTCTCCACCATCTAACACCAGCGTAGTATACAAAGCACATCTTGGAGTATGTCATTCACAAATTATATCGCTTATGAGGACCTAAAAAGTGGGCGGAACCGCATCGGACATTATGACCTCTCTGAGAAGACTATCCAGCCTTTGAGCTTCATATCCGGAACCCATCTGGACAACCTTTACCAGGTCATTGAAGTTGGCGAAGCGAACATCATCCCCTCCGGGAGCCCCTTTTCAGCCTCATCAGCGAAAATACTTCCTCCGTTCACGGGCCGCGATGTGCTATGTGTAGGCAAAAACTATGCCGAGCACGCCAAAGAGTTCAATAGCTCGGGTTTTGATAGCTCGGATAAAGTTGATACGCCGTCTCATCCCGTCATCTTCACCAAACGCTTCACATCGATCATTGGGGACGGCGAGGAGATCTTCCCACATCCGGAATTCACGCAGACGGCTGACTATGAGGGTGAGATTGGCGTTGTCATTGGCAAACCTGGGTTCCGTGTCTCAGAGGATGATGCGATGAGCCATGTTTGGGGTTATACGATTGTGAATGATATGACGGCGCGCGAGCGACAACGAGATCACAAGCAGTTTTATATCGGCAAGTCGCCTGATACGTTCTGCCCAATGGTCTGTTTACCTCCCGCGCCATGATTCTATTTCTCAGTTGACTTTCTATTAGGGCCCGATTGCTGTCCCTGCATCGAAACTCGACAAAGTCCTCTGCGTGCAGACGCATGTCAATGGCGAGCTACGACAGAATGCAACTACAGACGATCTAATCTTCTCGATTCCGTATCTGATCAAGACAATGTCTGAAGGGCAGACACTGATGCCTGGTGACGTTCTGGCTACTGGTACCGTAGGCTTAACAACTACCACATTTTGAGACGACAAAGTTACTGACTTCAAAACAGCCAGCTGGTGTTGGTATCGGAAGGAAGCCACCCGTGTATCTCAGACCCGGAGACACAATAGCTGTCTCAGTGACCGGGCTAGGCACTCTGACGAACCGCATCGCGGATCTGAACTCACCGAATCCTATTGTAAAGCGAGTCCAAAACATATCTCACTTGCCACAGACCAACACTACGAAGAGCGTTGATACCTCTATGCTAACACAGATCAATAACAAGCCTCTGTTCTACAAGCATCTAGGTGATAGCAAGAAATCGCCAATCGTGTTCATCCACGGCCTCGGCGGTAGTTCCGAGTTCTACACTCCATTGATTGATTCCATAGACTTAAAGACAGCTCATTCTCTTCACCTCTTCGACCTCGAAGGGCATGGTCTCTCGCCGACGTCTCCGCTCAACAGGCTCAGCATCGAGTCCTTTACGGAAGACGTAAATGGTATCTTCGAATCCGCGAATATAACGTCCGGTGCCAGCATCATAGCCCACTCAATGGGTTGTTTAGTTGCAGTAAATTTTGCACTCACACATCCTGGCAAGGTCTCCAAGCTCATTCTACTCGGTCCCCCGCCGTCGCCACTTCTAGAAGCCGATAGTAATGCGACTTTCGCTCGTGCTGAGATGGTGCGTACGAAAGGTATGGCGGCGGTTGTCGATGTTGTTGCTGCGGCAGGTACATCAGCGACGACAAAGGCCTCGAACCAACTCGCAGTAGCAGCGGTGCGCATGTCACTGCTCGGCCAGGATCCTGAAGGCTATGCGAAAGCGTGTGCGGCGCTTGCGGGAGCGAAAGGCCTAGATTTTGGCGCAATCCAAGCGACAACGACGACGCTGATTGTAACTGGAAGTGAAGATGAGGTTTCGCCGCCGCAGCTGTGCGAGGAGTTTGTCAAGGCGTTGAAAGGGAAGGCAAGCTTGGAAGTGTTACATAAAATTGGGCATTGGCATGTTTTCGAGGATCTGCAGGGTGTTTCGAGCGCGGTCAACGACTTCTTGAGATGACATCGCCTTAGGGAGAGCATAAACGAACTTGTGCGTTTCGTTCTACAGAGTCTGATTGCGTTCACCGAAAATGTAGCAGCCAGCGCGTACCTCTCCGTACCCACAAGCATCCAAGAAGTTTCAATAGACAAGTCTTGAACGTTCATCCATCGAGCTGAGCTCGCCGACTTTTCGCGAGCGACGTCAAGACATTCCCACCCAAGTGTCGTTCCTCCGAACACTGGATAGCGCGCTGAACTTGTGTCCACAGTCTCAAAACTGAGCCGGAGACTAGTTACCGCTAGTGCACTCGAGATCGGACTGTGATGTCAATGTTCGAGTCGTTGTACACACATTCGTATTCGGTTAATAATCCCGAACGCTCATGCAAGCATCGTATGGCAAGACAGGTCGGTGGTGCCATAGACGGTTTTGACAGCAAGGACTATCGATCTACAGGAATCCTTTTCTAGTCGTATCGCGGTGGAGCATCACAGTGCAATGCCAAGCTGGCTGTGATGGTCGTCATAGTGCCCCTCATCTTGTCAGAAAACCACACCCAAGCAGAAAGATCAACAATACTCGGGAGGACTCGTGTCACGTCGGCTGGTTTACAGCTGAGATCGACACGCTAGTGCTAAGAGCATGCGCAGCAGTTATCAGCAGGCGTGCGAAACGTTGATTGGTGCTGGTGGAGTGCAGGCACATTGTCTCGGGGCACCGATCGTCGATGGTGTTTAGAAGGGGAGGAAGATATAACCCCCCCAAAATGCCGTTTTGGAATATACAAGCAGTTCTACTTCTCGAGGCTGCACATCGAGGGTCGAGACTCCTGTACCTGCGTGAGTAATCTCAGGCCAGGGCCAGGACGAACGGTGAGCGAAAACGCCCTTCGTGTACGAATCGAATGATGCGAGACTATAGAGCCGAGGAGAAGGATTACGATGCTGCGATCTGCGGTCACAATTGTATGGAGCGGCTTAATGTTCCGTGTAGAACGCACGTGCGAGGATGGAGTTGTGATGGCAGTAATGAAATCCGATGTTTGGAGATGGAGGACTAGTGCCGTGGCTGCGCGGAGGCGGGAAGCCGTTTCGACGCTGACATCGAGATTGACGAGAAGTCTAGACCGTGCCCACCAACACGATCCTCGAGCATATTGCGATCCAGAAGGCCCGTTTAGCATGACACACATAGGGGTCATCTATTGATGACGATCAGCATATCTCCCCAGAGCAGTTCTTGAAACGGTTGTCGAGAAGGAAATGGGCGAATTGCATGTCGAGGGGGGAGCCCTCCGGCGGCACAGCGTCCATAGTCGACGTAACAGTGGCGACCGGAAGCAAGCCCCTAGCGAATAGCAGTTTTGGAGCTGCGTAGGTTGGTGTTCTGGAGGACCCCATGTGTCTGACAGCCGCTTTTGCAGTGCTCCAGGGTCCAGTACTGGCGCCATTGTGGCCGAGTCCATCACTCCAAAAGGAAAAAACCACATGGTGAAGAAGCCAGGGTATGCGAGGATGCAGCGAAGAGTAGCCTTCGGAAACGCCGTAGAAAAAGCAGGCTGATGAAGTCGAGAGAACAGACGGTGTAGCCTCGTCAGTATTTGAGGCCCGTAGCAGCGGAAGTCGGCTAGTGTTAGCGCAGGCTAAAAAGCGCGCCGGCCTGTGAAGGTCGAGACCGCTGCCCTTTTGATCAATCGTCTCTGGGCATCAGACCACTGACGCGCACCATGCCTGACCCCATTCAGCTTCCTTCGCCTGGCTTGCGGATATTCCCATGCTGGGGTTGCTTCTACAACCTTCAAATAACCAGAATCACCCAGAGGCCCATCCTCACTTACCACAAACGTCACCCGAGTCATGGCGATCGCTTCTCCTTCCAGTCCTACCATGCCGAACCTGAGTGCCGTACTAGAGCGTCTGGGACTGACTGAATATCTTCAACTTCTGCGCGAGAATGGTTTCTACAGCTGGGAGACGGTTGTCGACATCACCGAGGAAGACCTTACCGCCTTGAAGTTCAAGTTGGGCCACCGGCGTGCACTGCAGCGTGAGATTGCTACATTCCGGGGTTTGCCATCATCTCTGTCTCTGGAACCAGAACACAGCTCATTCGAACCCACCTCTCTCTCGACGTTGGCACTGGAGACTCTCACGAGGCAGACGTCTACCCCGCCACCACGTGAGAAGAGGAAATATCGACGACACCCTCGACCAGACAGCAACGCGCCCAAGAAACCAAAGACAGCGTGTATGCTTCCAGAGTATTTATTATAGACCCAATCTAACATGATATCAGACGTGAACTTTGCGGACCAGCTCCGCACGGATCCTGAAGTTAGCCAACTCACTTTTGTGAATATTGCAAGAGAAGTCGGACGAAGATGGCAAGATCTTCCAGCAGAGCAGAAGCGTATCTGGGAGAGCAATGCCGCGCGAGCATTGCAGGAGTTTGAAGCTCAGATGGACGAGTACAGGAGAACGGAGAACTGGCGCAAATACCAAGCCTACCTCCATGACTTCAAGACGCAGCAGTCACAGTCAACGTTCACGGGGAAGCGCCCCGGGAACAGCCGTTCAACAACCGACACCTCTAACAACACGAGGCAATACTCACGTGCCAGCCCTAGCTCTTCCGATAGCCCGACTTCTCTACCTTCCAGCTCATGTATAGGGATTGAGGCTGAGACATGCCACAATGCTCTCACATTAGCTTTCAGTGAGTTAGTCACGCTGAGGGGCGAAATTCTCAACCAGGGACCACGTCCCTACGACGAACATCATCTACCGTCAGAAGACTTAGTCCGCCGGGCGATGTATGCTTTCATTGTCGGGACCGGATCACTCCTGTTCATGTGGACGTATGAGCAGGCTGATGAAATACTGGACCGCATTTACAGGCCGCGGAAACCGGTAGATGCCATGACTCTTGCCGAATGCTTCACAGTTGCTGCCATGGGTGCCCACTACGACATGGAGTGCTTCCCTGACCGGATACGACAGGTTTTGTACGCATCTGGGTCTCTTCATTTCCACGAGCAGACCGCACGACAGGATTATCTCCGAACAATGCGTCTGCTACTTTCCATGTCTTTTTATGCGCTTCTTGAGAAGCACATGAGTGCAAGATATCTGATTGGTGAGTTGAGACGAACTGCTCTTGGACACCATCAACTAACATATCATAGCGGCTGGACTCCAGATCGCTCGCTGGAAGTGTCCGCCCTTGCGCAACCCCAGCCAGATGAGCATGGACGAAAATTGGAGAAAGATATTCCGGAGCTTAATCTTCGTTGATTGCTGGCTGTCCTACACACTGGGATATGCATCCGAAGTTACTTCTAGCGATATACAGGTAGGTGGGCAGTCCAAATAATACTGTTCCATCATTGACAGCAATAGATCGTTAGCAGCTTTCACCGTCTAGACTGCATTCCAATAGATGAACTCATTCACACACAGACGAGCAAAATCACCCTAATCGCTGCTGACATTGCAAAGACGTTGGCCTCTCCAGAGCTTGCTACCAGGGAGAACATCGCAATACTCAATCAGAAGCTCGACGGTTGGCGCATACAAGTACCACTTACCCTGCAAATTCCGGCCCTTACGTCACCCAATCCACCAGACCTAACACTATACCAACGACGAGCGATTCTCATGGTCCACGTACGTACCTCACGTTAAGAGGGTTTCCGACTTGCTAATTCGTCCAGATCATGTACCTCGGTGCTCTCGTCCTATTATACCGTCAACTCCTAGTCGCAACAGCCGAAAGTCAACTAACAGACGGCGCTGCACACAACTCCAACTTTGCCCTATCCGACGCCCGGATCTATCGCAACGAATGCGCTGTAGCAGCCCAGCAAATCGCCCGCATCCTAGCGCTCATTTCCTTTGACGGTACACTAACAAAACGCTGTTGGATCATCATCTACTGGGCTTTTTCCGCAGCAGTCGTCCTTCTCTTCAGCGCAACCACCAAACTCCTCGAAGGCCAACCAAATAGCGTAGATGCAGACCTTGATTACGCGAAAGCTTGTATGGACATGCTTGAACCCTGTCGCGCCTTCGAGCCCGTAGCAGCACGGTACCTGGATACGCTTTGGCCTTTGTACGACTCGTTGCGAGATGTGCACCAGAAGATACTCGGGAGGTCAAAGACTAGCATTTTCGCCCTCATCCAAGCAGATCCTTCCACCATGAGCCCCCAGATGGCCGTGTCAAAGCAAGACATGGGTCCGATTGCTGAAAAGCTGAGTTTGCTGCTTACGGATCCTTTCGGGAGGAAGCAGAGTTTGTCTGATGGGAGTATGAGGAGGTCTCTGAATGCTGATGGCTCCTACTCGGTGTTCTGGTGGAAGTGAGAGAATCGACGATAGCCGTTACATGCCGAGAGCAGCGCAAACAGACGAGGAGACGGTATAAAAGCGTTCTTGAGCACGGGCATTTCCATATTGTCCTTCAAACGATCCGTTTTGGATGCAAACCCGTTGCGGCGTTAATGGTCAATATCGTTATGTCAGCCACGAAGCAACATCTGACCACGGCACCGACTTCGACGGTTCGCAGATACCCTACTGCGACATGTCGTCACCGAGGCTATCTATAGCGCCATGAATTGACCGGACGACAGTACATAATCACGCCATGAGGCCTTCAGTACCAGTCTACTTGTTCGGTTCCTAACGAAGAACAGCTACCGAAATGAAGTAGCTCGCTTTAGTCGATGCTGGTAAAATTTAGCCGAAACGCGTATGTAGCTATTGGAAGATGGCAAAGCATCAGGGCACCTTTGAAGGTTTCGTCAACAAAAAGGGTTTATACAATGTATGCCATCCGAGATATGAGAGGCGAAAGCGTATGGACTGGATTTCAGTTGCAGCGTTACAAGTCATTACAAGCATGAGACCGGTGTTGATATTTATGAACATAAAGGTTGATATTTTAACATGAACCTGATTTATGCTATATTATGGTAGATGACTAGTTCTTTAGGTTTCGGCTAATGCATTATTACAGTGTCCCACCTGTGTGCATTGCCGATGCTGGGAGCGCTGGTAGCGTTGACGCTATCGTTGATGAATCCACATGTGCAGCAACTGCAATTGTATAACACTTCGAAGCCCCTTACCACGATCCATTATAACCACTCACTCAGTACATATAATCAATCCGGTAGAACCTTGCACAAAGGTTCACAGGCCTTAGGGCGATATTATTCATTGATGTGCAATTCCCATGGTGCACGCGAAATGCGTTCTTACCAAAGCGTTGGTACTGTCTCCACAAATCGTTGGACCGCGTTATCATTGCTAGCACGCCATCAGGAATGCGCCATTTGAGGCCACTCAGTAGCCAACGCTTTCGCTCACGCGCAGGGCGGGTGGGTTTGATCTGCTCTGCTGTCCTTGATTGTGGATGGCCAAAGTGCATGGTTGAAGATAAGGGTTTGTGGTTACAGCACAGCAACACATGGCATATTGAGAATGCCAGCGCGTAATGCTACGTAGAATTTCTTTTAATGCCATATGGCGTCCGCTAGTTGGTTTATTTTTCTGGCCTGAAGTTTAATGAGCCAATCTTGGAAGGGCGAGTGCAAAAATGGACAAGGGCGAGTGCGAATGAGGAAAGGGGGTTGTGGAGAGCGTTGGGCCTGGATCGACAGGGATGCGGGCCGGGTGGCGGCACGCGTCACTGGGGGGGGAAAGGGAACTCTCCCAATCCTTCCCCTCGTCTCCTCTTGCCTGTCCTACTTACTCCCTCTTATCTCTCCATAATCCCTTGCTGCAGTTCCCCTGTACTTGATTCTTGATTGCTTTCAATCCCACCTAGGCGCCTTATCGACGAAATTCAATGCTAACATCGACCCGGATTATTGTCGTGCGACCAATTGTGGACGAGGAACTTGGAAAACATGGAGCAACACTACACCTTGATGCGGAGCCCCTTTGCGATATCACATGAGGACATTGGAGCGCTGAATGAGTCGCAAGCTTTTTGCGTGCTGAGGAGCTATCTTGCGAGGGATGCTGAGTATGTATTTCCACACTGCTTGTCTTTATCTCACGGCCCAAGTGCCTTCCTATACCACTTTTTTCTAGACATCAAATTGAAGTATATATGGCTGACTGCGATGTATAGCTTCTGCACCAACCATACGCCATGCGACCCAGAGGCTAAAGAAACGTTTATCCTCCACCGCGATATCCTCCATGCACTTATAATGCCTGTCGTCGCTCTTTTTTCGCGGGCATCTGCTCTCGCCTCAGCCGCTTTATGCACGCAAAAGAGCGAGGACCTAGAGCTAGCATTTGCTGGAGAAGCACGGGGCGCATTTCTATGCCTCCAATGCTTCATCACAGAGGAGCTTGACTGGTGTCGAACGAGGGGATGCCCCGCTTGTGTTGTGACAGCAACACTCAGTACCGAATCGCATATCCGACTCACAATTGCGGCGAGCTTACTTTCGACGGCGAGTGTTGCGAGCCCGAATTCGTCACCGGCTAGCACTCCCTCGACTGAAGAGCCATGTGCCGTGAATCGCGCTCTTCCTCCCCTTCCGCATATTCTCCCCGCTCTCCGCACAGCGCTTTCCTTGGACCCATTCTGGAAAGACGAACACGATAATTGGCCGTACTTGCTCTCGCGCGCGACTCAACTTTCAGCGGGTATCCAGGGCCTCATCGCTGAATGCGTCAACCTCGAGTCGCTCGTGTCTTCTCCTACCACCGAACGTCCATCACAGTTACAGAAGCGTGGTTTAACGCATCCCATCGTCCCATTCGCGGCATCTGGGCAGGCGGTCGAAGAGAAGGGCGTCAAGCTAAGAAAAAGTAAATTGGCGAAGAGACAGTTGAGATTGAAAGACGAGGAGGTGGAGATGATGAGGAGGGTGGTGCTGCAGTGTTGGGCGAGGGCGAGAGTACCGAAGCAGGTTAGAGGAGAGGTACTGGGTGTGGGGAAGAGTAATAGGACCAGGTCATTGACTTGTCCGTAAGCACGGGTCATGGGTTCGAGCCATTGGCACTAGATTGAGTCTTTTGGCGTTTAGGGTTGCATATGATACCACAGCATCAGGCTCCAGGATCGGAGACAGGGCTCTCGGGCGAGACACTCCTTTCGGTATTTTCTAGACCGGAGGACAACCTGCATTATTTCCCTTTGTACTACGTTAGACATTGCTGCATCCACCTGATTCTTTAGAGTTTTCAATGGAGTCCCCATCTTCTACGCACACACTCTCCCTTCACTGTGTGGTATGGGCCAGTAAAGGGGTGATGTTCTAAAATCTTCTGGTGCGAATGCCACCTAAAAATTGCCTAGATATCATTAATAATTTCTAGACCAGCCATGACAACATAATTTTTGTGGATTATTAGACGGAGTAAACGATCTCACAGTAGGACGGTGGGGAAGAACGATGCACCGAGCCTCGGTACATGCATAGCTTTGAGCTTCCGGCGAACTTCCGACGACGAACGTCTACCCCAGTTCGCAATGCTTGCTTCACGACATCTCCTTTTCTCCCTTTTAGTCTTCTTGAAATCTCAAGTCGCCCTTCAAGATGGATAACAGCAGCCTTTTCGATGTCAAGGTAAGCTTTATCCGGCTCTGTGCTTCTATCATGCACCATATCTCCCAGGTACCGAGGCTGATGCTTCTCTAGGGCAAAATCATCCTCGTAACCGGCGGCGCGAAAGGCATTGGCCGCATGATTAGCGAAGGCTTCGTGCAAAATGGCGCTACTGTATATGTATCCTCGAGAGACGCGAAGGCATGTGAGCAAGCATGCAAAGAGTTGAATGCGCTTGGAAAGGGCAAGGCGGATTATATCACAGCAGACCTCTACAAAGAAGAGGACCTGACCAAAATCGCTGAGGAGTTGAAGAAACGGGAAGGAAGTGTGTTCATTCATTCTACGGGTGATCGAGAAACCTACTTGCAGTCTGTAGTTGAGCTAACATGGACTAGAACTCGATGTCATAATCAACAACAGCGGCAGCAACTGGGGCGAGTCTTATGACTCTTACCCCTCGACAGCATGGGATCGTGTCCTTACCCTGAATCTCAAACGTGTCTTCCAACTCACACAAGCTGTGACACCGCTCCTCGAAGCCGCCTCCACCCCCGCATCCCCTGCTCGCGTAATAAACATCGGCAGCATTGACGGACTACGCGTACCAGCGCTCGAAACCTTTGCATACTCAGCAAGCAAGGCAGGACTCCATCATCTCAGCCGGGTGCTCGCGAGTCATCTGGGCAAGAGGGGGATTACAAGCAATACGGTTGCATGCGGACCGTTTGAGAGCAAGATGATGAAGGCGACGTTGGAGAAGTTCAAGGACGTCATTGAGGGAGGTGTGCCGTTGGGCCGGATTGGTAGCCCGGAGGACGTTGCCGGAACGTGCATTTGGCTCTCAAGTAGAGCTGGAGCTTGGGTTAATGGCGCGACTATTGCGCTCGATGGTGGAAGCGTGGTTGCTTCGAAGCTGTAGACTACGAGGCCTGTTTCATATATACATACAGTAAGCTCTTGTCCATGTTGTCCTTTCCCTTACTGCCAACTTGTTATTTTATTCAATCTACAGTGCCGAGTCTGCTCTTTCGCATGGAACACCGCGAAAGCTTCGAGATATTTTGTAAGATCAAGAGACGCCGCATATACCCGGGAAGACTATGAGGCTATTCCAGATCTCTCGTGAGGTAGAGCTGAGTTGGTTATACGAAAGAGCCTTTCACCAAGCTGATGTCACTAAATTACCTCGCTGTCATCTCAGCCTTCCAACGCGGGACCAAAAAGATCACAAAAGGCCAAATCAAGTCCGCGACCTGAATAGATAAAAGCACAAAAAGAAAGGTGCGAGAGACTACACGCCCGCCCCCCGGGCTCAACCCTAGCTGGACCAGGCATCTCCTCCGGGAATCGAACTTGCGGCCTCTCGCTCCAGGAATCAAACCTGGATGTTTAGAGGTGCAGGTGTAGAACACCTATACCTCTGAACCTAACTGATAACAAACTCATAGATTAAATATGTTATATACGAGAGTAATATACAGACTTAGGTGTGTAGTTGTGCGCGATTCTGGGAGATGGAGGGAATAGTGTTTGCGTAGGAGAGAAGAAGTGAAAGTGTGCGCGAATTATGCAGGATCGCTTTCGTCATATCTCGACTTTCACACAAACGTATACTGTCGGAGGTGAAGGACGCGTGTCCTGAATGCCGAGAGTGAAAGCCCGCCACTACTCACCCGACTATTCTTCTCAAATATCCCAAGCCGCGCTTCCTTCTCTTTCTCACATTCGCCGACCCTCCCTAACTCAACTCCCACCTCTGCTGCGTCCAACAGCCGGATCTCGCCATGTCAGACCAACGAATGGAAGACGCAGGCGAAGCCCCCGACCACACCTCGCTCAATAACAAGGCCAAACAAAACTTGGACGTCGTGTACTCCTCGTGCCCGACAGCGTGATCAAGAAGCCTGATATCAATAACATCTACTTCAATACGCGCCGTACCGAGGTCTCGATCGTACCGCGCGGTCTACAGCTCCCGTGGTTGTTCAAGAACTACAATGAGGTAAGTTTCAACGCATTGTCACAACTACGGCCAGCTGTATAGATCACCGCGAGGGGCGTTAGGCTGCGGTATGCAGAGAGACCTCCTACCCAATTGAACTTGCCCGGGAGGCAAGCTGACCACTGCCGAATTAAGATTGAGATCAAGCTAACATATACTGTCGTGATAGATGGCTCGCATTGGTTTCAATGCGACGCGCACTCAAGACCCCCAGCTCATGCGCGGGCTCTGGTACTTCGCTCTCGACTACGAGCATTCCTTCTCCCGTTACTATGAGCTCACACGCTGGAACCTCATCGCCATGGCCTACGTATGGGCCCTCGACTTTCCCCCCGAGCTCTGTGGTCCTGATGAAGAGGTCCACGAATTTGTTCTAGCATACATTGGAGCATGGTTCGCATACATGAACGATACCGGCGATCATAAGAAGACCTCTTTCGAAGCGCAGGAGAAGTTTATTGCGCTGTGGGAGGGTAGCGATCTTGATCTGTTCACCATTCGCGATATAAAGACACGGCGAGGTGTGCATAATCTAGTCAAAAAGTTATATGCCCAACCACTGCCGCCGTCTTTACGAAAGGTTGTCAACGTGGCAGCGAAGGACATCATATACTTGCGACAGGAGGGTCAGATCTCGGACATAGAGTACGTATATTCAGAGCGTCTTCTTTCGCCTCCCCTCCCTTGTTGCTGCATTGTCATTATCTGGAGCCACTACATTCACAAGGTGGTGCTGATCACGTACCAACTATAGCTACACCAAGTACGGACCGGCTCTAATTCTCGAATGCGTTGACACAAACACAAAGCTCGGCACGGACGTATTTGAGGCAAATCACAACCTCTCCGTGGCAATGAATAACCTCGAAGACCTCCGAGAACGCGAGAGGGCGCACCAGTTCGCTCGGCGCAAAGGTGGTGATAACCCGCTTACTGCAGTGGATTGGAGTTCTGAGATGGTGGACTCTCTCCTCAACGCCGTCGACCATACACTACCGGATCCAAAGACCAGCATCAAGCAACGCCGGCCCGATACTACTCGCACGCCTTGGATGGATGTGGATACGTTCTTCGGTATCCTTCGGTCTGGATTCGAGGAGTTGAAGAAGGAGGAAGAGAGCATGGTCCTGGGTATGGGCGAGGTTTCCCTAGGCTAGACGATGCTTGTAGTCGGCTTGGTGGTAAGGTGGTTGGATGTATACAAGGTGGACTGGGGCTATGGTCAGGTGTTTGAACAGGAGGCAATGCGCCGACAAGGTGCTCAGGCGTTGTCGTTTAACATGTACAAACTACCTAAAGCGTATCAGCCCCTCTCTATCGGCTCAACGAAGTCAAATGCACTATCGGCGAGGAGCCATTCACCAACATGAACGCACCTGTCATCCTCCCGGAACCACCTAGTGATGGGCATAGAAAAAATGACATGGTACAATCAATAGGCAAATGAATCATGGGATGAAAGAACGAACACAAGGTCCTCACTACTCACCCTGTAGCCCACACACAACGAATGAGCATGACATTGCAAGCTGGCTAAGTAGGGTTTCCTTCTCCTTTGCCACGTATGAATTATACCAACCATGCTGCATATAATCTGTCGCTGAGAGGGGGGCACTGGTGTAACAGGGCCCGTTGTGGGGTCTGAATTGGGTATCATGGTTCTATCGAAAGCTTCCCTAGAGTACATCTCACACGGCGCCAGCCCTTCTCTTCTCTAAGATCTGCTGCTTTAGTCCCTCGGCCGCCACCTCCGTCTCCAGCACTCTCCCCACGCCCTTCTTCCACGTTTCTTCTAGTGTGGTAATCTCGCCGTGAACGTTCTCCTGTCTCGACCGTCTGATCATCTCCACTTCCTCCTGCTGTTTCCGCACATCGGCCAGCTCGGCCTCAATGCCCTTCAGAATATCTTCCAGCTGCGAGTTCCCTACCAGCCACGCATTCTTGCCAAACTTTTCGAGTAAGCCCAGCTGTGTCAGCCTTCCTTGCACATACTCTGAGCTCGTGTAGGCTTGTTTCAGCGCCGTGTTCCACCGCTCCAGCAACTCTGGCTTGTCCTCATCGCTCGTGGGGTCTGTGTTCTCTGGGGCTTCGAGGTCTTCGTAGCGCTTCAGGTCGATACCTGAGAGCTTAGAGGCTGGGTTGTCGTCTAGGCGGGCGTGTTCGCGCTCGACAAAGTCTGAGAAGATGGGGTTGTATCGTGCGGCGGGTATGAGGGCGGGGTGGAGGGCTGAGGTGTCTATGCCGGCGCTCTTGATATCGGCATTGATCACGGCTTGCGCAGCAGCAAGACTCGGCTCGTCGAGGTGTGTGTCGACATCTGCAACAAGTTAGCCCGTGATAGTGCACATGCAGCACCTCACGCGCCCAAGATGCCTGCGCATTGCGCATCGGACATTGGACAGCTTTGGGTAATTGCATATTGCACTTACAAGGTAGGGAGTCGTATGATTCAGTAATGAGGGGCATGTTGGCAGGCGACGTGTACGATAGGAGGAGATTGAAGCGGCTTGGAAAGGATTCCACTGTCGAAGTCGTGAAGCTAGATGGCCGACCCGCAAATTTAGGCGCAAAGACCCCTGGCGCCGATCTGCCAACCAGCGATCAGCAACCCCCGCAACGTCATGCGACTATCGCCGTTGGACATTGGACAGGGCAAGCTTCAAGATTCCGCGAGCGTACAGGGCCTATCAAAGCAAAAGTACCAGAACGACCTGCCTCATACGCGTATGCTTCTTGTGCCTCCCTTGTACACTCCTCATCTACTCATGTCTATTACCTGACCTCGACCTCCCCGATGCGCCACTGTCTTCTGCTTCCGCACACTTCCGTCTGCGACGTCTGGCTGCGTGAATGGCGCGCTCACACATCGCCGTCGCCTTGGGCGCCGCCCTCATTGCCTCGCTGATTATCGGGCAGCTTGTCATAAACCTAGGATTCCCCTCGGTCGACTTCTGGCACTGGAGGCTGGATCAGACCTATGGTGGAGTTCAGCAGACACACTTTCTGGGGGAGAAGCAGAGTGGCGAGCTGGTAGACGACCCGTCGTCGTACCTTATTGGCGTAGGCAAGGCGGACATCACTGGGTAGGCAGCTATCTTCGCATCACACAGTATAGTACTGACCAAGCGACAGACCCGTGGTAGAGCTCAATCTCATGGGCTATGCGAACTCGTCCCAAGTCGGTACCGGTCTACGTCAACGTCTCTACTCCCGCGCCTTCATTGTGGGCAACCCGAGCGACACCAGCGAGCGCTTCGTATACATGGTCTTGGACACCCAATCTGGGGATACTGCGATTCGCAATGGCATTCTGGAGGGGCTTAAGGAGCTGGGACCCGAGTACTCCGTATACACCAAGAAGAACGTAGCCGTAACCGGCACACACAGTCATGCTGGACCTGGAGCTTGGTTAAACTATTTGCTCCCACAGATCACGAGCTTAGGGTTTGACAAGCAAAGCTACCGTGCCATTGTGCAAGGAGCTCTTCTGTCGATCCAGAGGGCGCACCAGGGTCTAGCGCTGGGAACCATCAGTGCTGGAAGCACCAAGATTGCCGACGCGAATATCAACCGGAGTCTGTTTGCATATTTGGCAAACCCGAAGGCAGAACGAGATCGCTACACAGACGATGTGGACAAGACGATGACGCTGCTGAAGTTTACGAGAGCTAGCGACGGCAAGAGCATTGGCATCTTGAACTGGTTCGCCGTCCACGGTACCAGTCTGCTTGGAAATCAGACGCTCGTTGCTGGAGACAACAAGGGTGTGGCTGCATACCTACTTGAAGAACACATTGCGGCGAATGCAGGAGCAGCGAACGCCGCTGAGGGTTTCGTCGCAGGTTTCTCACAGGCCAACGTCGGCGACACAACGCCCAATGTCCTTGGTGCCTATTGTGAAGATGGGACGAACCAGCAGTGTAGGCTCAACGATAGCACTTGTGGAGGCAAGAGTCAGAATTGCCACGGCCGTGGCCCATACTATGGTCTAAACGACGGGGGCGCCAAGTCATGCTACGAGATTGGAAATCGTCAGTTCCTAGGAGCGAAGAGCATCTACGAGTCTACTGCCTTCACATCAATTTCCGGCAAAGTGCGCTCATTTCATACCTTTGTTGACTTCTCCAACTTTACATTCACGCTCAGCAACGGTTCCGTTGTCCACACGTGTCCTGCGGCCATGGGTAACTCCTTTGCAGCAGGCACATCTGACGGACCGGGCGCCTTCGACTTTGTCCAGAACGACCCTGGAGCTCCCGAAAACCCCTTTTGGAATGTGGTCGGCGGCCTCATTGCCCCTCCAAGCGAAAAGCAGAAGAAGTGCCAGTACCCCAAGCCTGTTTTGCTCAATGTAGGAGAGGCGAATACACCATACCCGTGGTCCCCGAACATTGTAGACATTCAGGTCCTTCGTGTTGGCCAATTCGTCATCATTGTATCTCCCGGCGAGGCGACGACCATGTCCGGCCGTCGCTGGCGCGAAGCAGTCTACAACTCGGTCAAAGCCTCGAATATTGCTTCTTCACCCATTGTTGTCTTGGGTGGGCCCGCAAATAGCTACACGCATTACATTGCCACGGAAGAAGAATACAGCATCCAGCGGTACGAGGGTGCATCGACGCTTTATGGTCCACACACACTCAACGCGTACATCAACTCCACTTTGACGTATTTGCCCTACCTAGCTGATGGTGCGACCGGCTCCCCACCAGCTGGCCCTAGCCCGCCAGATAACCGTGAGAAGAGCATATCGCTCATTACAGGCGTTGTATACGATGGCGCCGGCCTCGGTCGCTCTTTTGGGCAGGTTACAAAGGATGTCTCACCCTCGTATGCCCGCGGTGCTCTTGTCACCGCTACCTTTGTCGGTGCGAATCCGCGCAATAATCTCCGTCTCGAAGGGACGTTTGCCGCTGTAGAGACACAGCAGAGCGATGGATCGTGGAAACAAGTCAAGAACGACGAGGACTGGGAGCTCGTCTATCAGTGGAAGAGGGCCAATGGATTGACGGGGACGAGTGATGTAACGATCACGTGGGACACGGGTGTCACTTCCCCCGGAGCGGGGTCGTATAGGTTTAAATACTATGGGGATAGTAAGGCGGTTGGGAAGCCTATTAGTGCGTTTGAAGGGACGAGTGGTGTGTTTAAGCTTACTTAGTGTGTGTGTGTGTGTCTGTGTGGGTGCTGTTGAGACTAGTTCGGTGTATAGTGTTTAGCTTTCGCGAATGAGATTTAACGGTACTACGTCTTCTCTCAAGTGTAACACTGGAGTGATGGTACCGTGGACGAGACACGAACATATAAACTTGTACACCACTTATTGTCCGTGTAGGACACAGTCATTGTGATTGAGACAAGGTCTCACGAGGTAAAGATGCGGAGGCGAGGCTAGTCTTTTCATTACAACTATTTACTGCATGTATCTGGTATCGGGGTACTCGTAGAAAGATAAAAAGGAAAACAAGACAAAAGATTAAAAACTAGCCAGCCATCCTTCGCTCATCTAAAAACCGCACACGCACAATCGTTACGAAGCGATTTTATGGAGCCAAACACAGGACCAAAACCAAGTGTGGGTATGTGTATGACCCAAGGGATGTAATGTGATATACTCCGTCATCATCATCATTCCATTAGCATCCCCGAGGGTATCAAACTCCAAGATCCGTCCAATTTTTCTTCCCCCAAACTTCCATCCGCATCGTCTCACCACTAGTAAACGATTCTCTCGTCGAATACGGGAGCTTCTCTTGATTTTCCATCGTCCACGCCGTGCCAGTACACCTTGCCCTTCTCGTTGAAAGTGGCCTGCTCGTCGGTCATTTGAAGGCCGGGCACAGCCTTATTCGAATCCCTAATCTCGCGTGCACTAATTCCCATGTCATCGCGCACGATCCACAAAACGGGTGTCGGGCTTGTGACGGACGGGTTGAAGAAGGCACGCTTCTGGATCTCAACGGGGAGTGGCTGCTGAGGCGAGTGGTAGAACTGGTCGAGCGAAGCAGAGAGAGTGTGGATGGAGTGGCGCTCGGGGTTGAAGATTTTGCGGAGGAAGGCGGGCATGCGGGAGGCGCGGGGAGTGAGTTCCGAGGTGTTGCTGTTCTCACCGGTGACTTTTTCGCCGTTCAGGCCGTCCTCGTGGTGTCCGTTGGTTGGGAGGTGGTTGAAGGCAGCTGGGTCAGTGTATGCGAGACGAGATTCTTCATGGCGAAGAGCTGCTCCAAGAGTAACATGGAAAAGAATGGTAAGGGCGAGCAAGAGAGCCATGATCGCAAGAGGACCAACAGCCTGAATATTATCGGCGGTGGCAATGGCGAACAGGCCAATCAAGCAGATCTCCGAGAGGTACACACCAGTAAGCAGCTGACGCAAGGCCTTCTGGTATGCCCCGCCCTTGGTGTCGAGGTCGGTTTCGTAGACGTAGAGGAAGTTGTACCTAAAGGCAACGTAAATGAGGCTGAACCCCACAAGAGCAAACCCCAACATGAGCGGAGCAATGCCGGAGTAGGTGATAGCAATAACACCCAAGTTGGTCCACTTGGGGAACTCCGAGCCCCATGAGGGCGCAGAGAGCTTAGTGAGCTTGTCGAAAATCTTGCGAGGAGTCTTTCCGGGAAGAACGCGACCGAGGAGTACAACTACAACGAAACCACCAATGTTGAGAAGCGTTCCAGCAGCGGAAGAGAGCCCCAAAAGGATGAAGTAGCTGATGTAAAAGTTGGAAGCCTTTGGCAGGTTCCGCGCAAGGAGCTTGAGGACAATGCCGGGGTTTTTAAGGACGTCATTGATTACGGACGTAACGGCGCTTGTTAAGGTAGCGACGAGGAAGACCTGGACGACCTGGAAGGCAAAGTACCAGCTCTGAGTCTTCAACTCGATCTGGCTGTACGTGACTATGGTTTGTTAGCAATGCATCTTCATTGAGATGGAGCAAATGGAGATGCTCACCATAACCAGCCAGCTTGGCCACGAGGCGACAGAAGATGGGTACTAGAGCCATGAGAACGGCAAGCATAACAGCAGGTAGCAAACCAGTGATGACACCAAGAATGACTTGAGGAATTTTGAGGATCCATTCAAGCCAGCTGAAACGGTCGGCTAGATAGTTGATGTTGGAGATGATACCAACGAAACCGACTATATGCGGTCAGATGGGTAGCTGAAAGCCGGATAGAGATGATCTTACCTGGAACCGCAAAGAAAATGATCATGACACAGATAAAGGCGGTTGCGGCAGCCCATCGGACGAAATGCTCGGCGGGCTTGATGCGTAGGTTGCCCCACACGACCTCCTGAGGCATGACACCAAGCTGGCGAGCTTGTAGCTTGCTATTGGGCTTCGTCTTCTTCTTTTGCATCATCAACCAAGCGTCCTGGGCGTGTCTCTGCGTATCGAACTCGAGGAAAACGGCACCAACAAGGGCGCCTTGTCCGTTCCAATGCTTGTCCTGCTCTTGCGTGATCTTGGGAAGGAGTTCGGCCAAGTGCGATCGTCCGTACTCGATGGTGTCGACCTTCTTGCCGATAAGGAACTTGAGCTTGTGAGTGGGTCGCTTCTTGGGGTCAATCCACTTGGTGCCGTCGGCCACGTCTCCTGCAACGAAGTGCTTCTTGCCCTTGTCGGCCTTGATTCTGTTCAAGTTTGCATCACGCGACAGCTGAACCTCGGCTGTTTCTAGCTTCAAAGCGGTCTTGTCGCGGTCTTCGACCAGCTTGTCCAGCTCTTTGGTGTTGGAGGCAACCCAGGCGTGCTTGACACCCGTGAACATCTCGAACAGCGCCGACTGCGAAAGTGTAGTGGGCACATTGGTAAAGAGAATGGTACGCGAAGATAGACGGCTAGCACCGTAGGGCGATCGGCGATATGCCTGGCGCAGGTTGACTGTAAAGAATGACTCGCGGGCGACGACGACGAGGATGAATCCAAGGAAGATGAACGAGACTATGGCATGCGCATAGTAGCGGTTGATGTTACGACCATCGGTGTTGATGTTGCTCATAGAGAGTAGGTCGAGCTGCTGCTGTCCAGCGCCACCAGTGGCATTGACGGGGAAAAGGACGGGCCATGTGATCAGACAGCCAAAGAGGGTGATAACGATGAGGACCTTGAAGAAGCGCACAAAGAGGTAGCCGTCAATTGACTGATGATCCAGGATGTACTCGTCTTTGAGGTTCTTGAAATCTTTTATCCAGCCAAAGAGGCCCCCACTCGGCGCTGGCGTCTGCCTCTGCTGGCCCAGGTGGTCAAGATAGGTTCTTGGCGCGTACACCCTGCGGAAGTACTTGCGGGCGATGATGAAGGCGACGACGAAGGCGCCTGCCAGAAGTGCAGCAGGTATCAAGGTCGAGATCATGCCCGACAGGGAGTTTGACGATTTGTTGGTGGCATTGCCAGTTTGTCCACCCTGCATTGTTGTGATCAGCGCGTAAACATACTGCTACCCCATGCAGCTGTACTCACGGTAGACGACATAATGGGCGATTTGGCGGTCGCGCGCACCCTAGGGATATCGAATGAGGAGACTTTTGCGTAGTAGAAGATGGACGCTCTAGGAACTGAGCAGAGCAGGCTCGCTGCACACAAGACGACGCAAAAGAAAACCGGGTGCAGAAGCTACAAGTATCCAATTTCCCTATGACGTTGGCCCCTGCGCCAATCGGCCCTAGCGACCGCGCCTAGCACGTGATTGGCCAACGCCAGCCTTTCAGCTCCAGCTTCTCCAACCCATCTGGACCGTCCCAGAACCACACTATGCACCACACCAGCCTCAATCCGCCTCAGTTGCGGCGCAATCCATCAGGACATGCCGCGAGTGCATCTCGGCATGCCCGTCGCCTGTAGCTGGACATGTGAGCGCCCGTAGGTCAAACACACGAAACGCGTCGAGTCGAGAAAAGTCTCCTTGGTTGATGCGAGGCTGGGGCTTCATGGTTAGCCGACGGGGTACACTGGCGAGTCCATGTCGAATCCGGGAGATTAGGATATGCCAAGCGCAAGCCCTCTGGAGAATCAATGGTGATCGCCCAGAAGCGGTGGACAACATTACGTCGTTGGTTTCGAATTGGTATTGTGATCTGTGCTGGGGTACCTATCCTGGGTCTCGAGTTTATCGAGGGAACCAAGCTTGCCCTGAAGCGACTATTGTTAGTGACTAGGAGACGACTAAACAGAGCACAAAGCAAAGCTGTGCGCTGTCGTTAGTCTGCATCGCGCCTGGATCGAGCCTTTGGATGCCCTTGCGTAGTGCGTGGAGCACAATATGACGACACCCACCGCGTGCCCCGGCCGCTACAACACATGCCAATCAATTCACGAGACCTGTCTTTGTCTCCAACAATCGCTATCGCTTGTTGGGTTGATTGCACTCCGCCCCAGTTTATAACCTGTATCTACCAGCCACAGCGGGAGCGTCAATGTGCCACCCCCCTGCGATAGCCGCCCATCTGGACCAGCCACTGGTGAGGTCATGGACTTTCACCCTCAGAATCTCAGTGCTCGGCCTGCAGCAAGACATTTCCAACCGCCCACACGTGCAACACATGATTGCGCTAATCGTCTAAAATTTTGGTTTCAGCTCACACCCCCTGTTAGCATCTGCAGGTAGTCGTGGGCGTTACCACCCCGTCTAGGGTGGAATGTCATGGTTGCCATGTGCACAGCCACATCGTTGCTGGCGTTTTCTCCATGCACTCACGCTATCTCTTCTGCGGCATTTACGCCCCTTCAGCCACGAAATGGAAGTAAGAACGACACGGGACCTGACAGTGCGCAAGCAATGATGCTGCTTGTCGAGGTCGAGGGAAGACCACTAGTTTTCCAAACACGATCAACGCGCGGCATTTCCTGCAACACCGTCCTGAGCACGATGGCTTTGTTCTTCCTCAACTAGTAACTGAGTAGAGCACTTCTCAAAACCTAATGCATGTGGTTAAACGTTGTGTCTTCAGCATTGGAGTCATAACATCGCACGGAGTTTCAGCTACAAACAGAACTGTCAAGGGGGTTACAAACATGACGAACACATTACTGCAACCACGCTGGAGGGGAGCAGCGCCCAGTGTGATTGTTTCATCGGCTGCTTACAATCAACGTTAGTCCCTTGTGGAGCCATGAGAACAGGCGGTACGAGCTTCTGCTGGGTTTTCATATCGACACCATGCCTCATCTACAGCGACGTGTTGTGTCGTTCACACCACTCGCAGAACTGCTAGGTTAACAGTGGAAACATAGGTAATTCCAATCATTCGAACATCGTACTCTAGCCTGGGTGTATGCCACTTCCTCTCCGCGGTTTCCAACGACAACGTCACAGCGAACTGCAATACCAGATACCGATCTGTATCAACAACGCTGTTGTGTCTTCTCATTATCATATATGGAACCTCTTCACACTGGGTCCAGGGCTACATCGCCCTCGGGAAAATTACGGTGTTTCATTCCTAGTCGTCGAGAGGAATCTGCGGGCCGCTATGGGTTAACGGGAATATTACTAATTACTTGTGTGCCAGTCACTGAGAAGAATTGAGCAGGTTCGAGGCGTCTCGCAGGTACTTAAAGGTCGGACAGAGTCCGTCTGTCGAACCAACTTATATCTGGTCGTGGTGCCTCACGCCGAGCGCTTGCCCAGAGGCCTATGCGCAGTCAATCCACACTCAACGACATTAGGCAGCCGCTTCGCCTTGTCAACTCATTTCTCTACCTCCCAAGACTGTCCGCACATGTCAGCCACCACCGTCTATCGCCCTGACCGCCCTTTCGAGTGTTTGTGTTACTGTCGAGCACAAACCCCGTCCTACCATCATTCCTAAATCTATAATGATGTAGAAATTCGGTTGCAGACCCTGTTCGAGGCTTAAACAACAGTTGCAGCTATGAACAACTAACCAAAGAGATGCAATGAACGTTTGGCGAGGCCTCGGCCCAGATGAAACACCAAGAGCGCACAGGCCCGCAATCTCCCCATCAGGATTCCCGTTTCATAGCTTTCACAACCCGAACGGAAAAATTCGCCCCACCAGACGCTATCGTTTGACGCTCTCCTTTTCAATTCGTACGTTCTGGAACGACGTCTCCAACTGAAGACTGTCCAAATTTGGTGAGAAACGCTACGGATGTGTCGGCATTCTGCCATGCATTGAGAGGTATCGCCCTCTCGCAGAGCATCATGAAACAAACGACTTCATGCGTTTCTTGGGGGATCGATTTCGCATGAGCTCATGGCTTGTGTTGGCGCTTCGATGCATAATGTTTCGCCAAACGCCCAGGCATGATATTGGATTCCTCCGCTCAAGCCTTCTTGACAGTTTCACGTTTCTCCAAAATTCTCATCCATCATTCGATGCCTCAAACCTTGGACGGCCCACTTCAAGGGACATGCATCGAACCAGCGCCCTCCAAATCTCCCCATGGCAATAACTCATCAGAATATTTGGGTCCGTAGGATCGATGCCAGCCTCGATTCAACGTTCTGCGGCAACTAGGCGAAGCCACTCTTCCTCAACGGGCACTAGCGCACGCGGGATAGATGACAGGTACATACTTGGCATCAATCCATAAACCAGGGTTTCACGATGTCATGTCAGTTGTACGCTAGCGCTGTCATGAATGGTGGGGAGTGTGCCGTGTACGCGGGCAAGGTATAAGAGCAACATGTCGAGCCGTTAGGTGGAAGGTATCAAGCTTGAAGCTGACATTCATTTTCATACGCTCTTTAGCATACACTCACTTTCGTCGATTCTCCATTCGTCTATCATTCATTCGTTCATTCTATCTTTGAATATACTCTTACTTTTCCAAACAAAACAACCGCCACCACAACTATCACAATGAAGACCGCCGCTGCTTTCGTCTTGGCTGCTGCCAACCTTGTTGCTGGACATGCCACCTTCCAGAGCTTCGTCATCGGAGGAAAGGACCAGGGTCAGCACTTCGCTATTCAGACTCCCGCCAACGGCAACAATCCTATCACGGATGTTACCTCCACTGCTATGGTCTGCAACGGCGGAAAGGCCGTTACCGACAGGGTCGAGGTTGCTTCCGGCTCTTCCCTGACCTTCCAGTGGCATCACAACGACCCTGCCACCGTTAGCGGTGACAACGATGAGCCCATTGCTGCTGTAAGCTCTACCATCACCTCCCTCACACTGATGCTCCTGTGCTAATTCACATGCTAGTCCCACAAGGGTCCCGTCATGGTCTACATCGCCCCTGCCGCCTCCAACGGTGAGGGTGCCGTCTGGACCAAGATCTACGAGGACGGTTACACTGGTGGAAAGTGGGCCGTTGACAAGTTCATTGCCAACAAGGGTGCCATCACCATCGACCTCCCCAACCTCGCTGCCGGCGACTACATCATCCGCCCCGAAATCATCGCTCTCCATGAGGGCAACCGACCCAACGGCGCTCAGTTCTACAACGGCTGCGGAAACATCAAGGTCACCGGCTCCGGCACTGCCACGCTCCCCAGCACTGGTGTCGACATGACCAAGGCATACAAGGCCACTGACCCAGGTGTTCTCTGCAACATCTACAGCGGTCTCACCTCATACGAGATCCCCGGCCCCAAGGTCTGGGATGGTGCTTCTTCCGGCACCGCTCCGGCTCCCACCACCCCTTCCAAGACTGCTGCCCCTGTCTCCTCGTCTGCCCCCTCCCAGACCGCTACCCCCACCGTCATTGCCAGCCCCTCTGCCACTCCCATCAAGGAGGCTGAGCCTGCTACCCCCACCGAGTCCCAGGCTGCCCCCGCTCCTTCCTCCGGCTCCGGCTCCACTCTGCCAGAGACCTTCACCATTGAGCAGTTCATCAGCTGGCTCAAGACCACCACCAGCACCCGCAACGCTCGCCGTGCGCACCCCCGTGCTTTCCAGTTGTAAGATGTTAAGTCTTTTACAACTATGACGGGTTCTTCGTTGAACACCTCTGCATGACCAGGCGTCGGACTTTGTACATTTGGATTTTGAGAGTATATATTCTTAGATGGGTCAGACCCATACTTTTTTTTTCTTGACGGCTGCTAGATCGGCCCCACCCCTTCTTTCTGTGTAAATAGCATTTCATGACGAATGGAATTCGAAAAGTTTCGCGCTTTAAGCGATAAGACAGTGTCTAGTTTTCTTTTCCATTCCCATCTGACCAGTTTTTGTCTTCTTGCATTTGCTGAACGTGAACATGAACAAACTCGTTGAAGATACTACTTTTGCTTATTTCGAAACTGGCAATATCAAATGACAAATAACTTACCGCCTAGTTTATAATTCACGGATGATAAGGAATGGCAGTTGGAGATGATTATGGGTGAGATGGGGTTCTTTGAGCAAGTGCTGCCATTTGGGTGAATCGGGTTTGATCGGCTGTGATGTGAATGCAGGCGAAGTAGTATCGAAATTATTGCCATTGCGGCTAATTCATTACGGCGTACATCTACTAAAGATGTGTATGCATGCGCTGAAACTATGTGCTCGAGCTTCCAATCCCGATTAGTCCCGTGTTCCCAATTCCTTTTAGTACCCATGGTATCTCAGAACTAAATTACCAACGCCCAGTGCATGGCCAGAATCGACCTATTATATTCCAAATTCCAAAACACTCCACGCTTGAGAGCTAAGCTTACGCCAAAAGTATGCCAACGATCGCAATAAAAGAAGCTACTACCCAGAACTGCGCCCCCGATTTGGATGCAGAGCCCTGTCGTTGACTCGTCGCTGTTGCTCGTCCATCACTTCCACTTGCGCCTGTACTTGCGCCTGGGGTACCCGTCCCACTCTGACTTCGTGTCGTGGTAGCTGGGAACAGGGCGGTCGTGGTGCTATGTCCTGAGCTCCCGTATATCAACTCCGTTGCGCCAGGTGCAAGGCTGATCGTCCTGCTATCTACCGTAATCGTGCCTCCGAGCGTCAAAGTCTGCCCGCCAATAACGTAAGTTGTCCCAGACAAGGCGGTATAAGTCTGCGAGCCAATGGTTAAGAGGGGCGCGTTCGTAACAATAGGCAGGGCCTGGGGTGTGATCAGGCTTGTGTACCCATCAATTACGAGCGCTGTAGCTCCACGCGCGAGAGAGATGGTTGTGCCCGCCACAACTATGACACTGCCCGCAGTGAGTATGCTGGACCCGATCAAATAGGACGTGCCGGATCCTGGGAGTGGTCTAAAGACGCCATTTCCGATGGTGAGGGGAGGCGCTGTGATATGTGTGGTGGCAGGCCTGGCAATCGTGGATGTCACACCATTGATTACTACAAAAGTCGCAGACGGTGCAAGTGAGATGGTAGTGCCTGACACGATGATGGCGGGACCCCCTGGTGCAAGCGTCTGGTCTGAGATGATAAAAGTTGTTCCAAAGCCAGGAAGTGGGCTAAAGACCTCGTTGCCAACAGTAAGACTGGGGAAGGTATTAGCTGGAGCATTTGGAGTAGCAACGGTCGAAGTGATGCCGTTAACAACAATGAAAGACCCCGAAGGTGCAAGCGAGAGAGTCGTCCCAGAGACAGTGATGACAGGGCCACCAGGCGATAGAGTTTGATCCGAGATAACAAACAAAGGACCCACATCGGGCTCGTTGTGATCAATATGATTTCCGAATCTACCTGATGTTGGCTGAGCGGTAATTGTCGAGCCACCAACAACAATCTCTGGTGGGCGGGAGGCAACTGGTGCTGGTGCTGAACCAGGTGTCGGAAGCATCTGCGTCGAGCCCCCAATGACAACAAATGTGGCCGATGGTGCAAGGCTGACGACTGTGCCGTCCACTGTCACAACACCGCCTGGAGTCAGTGTCTGCCCTGGACCAATGAAGAACTGAGTGGCCGCATTTGGTGTAAGCGTCGACGAGCCAATCGTTAGTAGTGGCGGTGGTCGAATTGGAGGTAGAGTAGGAGGGTTGAACCTTTGCGGTAGCTGGGACGTTGTACCGCCTACAACGATGGCAGTAGCTGATGGAGCAAGAGACACGGGAGTTACGCCTCCTACAGTGATTGCTGGTCCTCCTGGTCGCAACGTTTGTGAGCCAACAACAACTTCTGATGATGGCCCAATTACTACTGGATCTGTCCCAATGGTGCCGACGGTGACTTGCGTGGGGTGCGGTATGTTTGGCACCAGCGGTGCCTGGCTGCTAGCGCTACTGTCTTTGTCATTGTTGTTGTTCCTGGAGAGTGTTGTAGGGACTGGGTCAGGTCGTTGGTTCGGCATGATACTTATTGAAGTAGGTTTGCTAGGAACGCCAGAGAGATCCCAATCTGCTATGGTCAGTGGCGGAGGCCGAGAAGTGCCATCGTCGTTGATGACAACAGGCGGGTCATCGAAGCCAAGAGCGCTCGATTCGAAATGGACGATGAAAGGATCAGCATTGGGCCAGTTTTGGTAATACAAGTCCACCACAATAAGCACAGTGACAAAAGCGCGGAGTTGTCCAGCGTCGCATGCTGACTGGGGAATCTGCTCAAGGAAACCCTCTGGAAGTGAGCCTGTTGCTGTGCTTTCGTGCTCAACTCCTTTCAGCCAGTAAGGGTATGCACTGGCAGAGCTTAGCTGTACCGTCTCTGTTATATTGCCAGACTCAACTTCGTAAGCCGTGAAATAAACGAACGGAGTGGCAGACGTCTCAGTGTGCGTAATATTGGGAGCAATCGAGATGGTGGCGGTCGCTGATGGCTTTCCATCGGTATTTAGGTCATATAGAGCGGCATCCGAGACAGGAATAAGACCTCCCGATGGGAAAGGTACGGCAGCCGTCCGATAGGCAATGGATGTGGCTGCTGCGGTAGGCTTCTCCGTGTAGCTCATGCACATGGTTAAGATGTAGTCCCATGCTGACACGTAAGATTCGCTCGAGGTACAAGCAATGTCCGACTCTAGAGCACTGGCCGCATCAAACGTAGTCGTATGTGGAATCAACGTATACGATTTTGCGTTTGTGAAGTTCGGTGCAGCTGTGGTCATTGTCCCAAGTACATGACTGTAGATAGGAGGATACCACCAGTCGATGCTCGCACTTGGAATATTGACGGTACATGTTGCATTGGAAAGCCTCCTTGATGCTGATGATGTCGCACTGGGAAAGACATAGGGTGCAGACCATGTCGAATTAGGAGATAATGCTGCTGAAGTAGAGATAGGAGAGACATCCAATGGCTGTGATGTTGCGCTGATAGATGAATTTACCGCTGAGGGTGCTGCGGCTGCGGAATTTGTTATTGCGGATATCGCAGATGATCGGACGTGGGTTTGTTGAGGACCTCCATCTTCGCTAGTGGAATCTGTTTTGGAGCTATCGATGGAGTACTCAGGGGGTGGTATTTCTTTCAATGTGGTCGATGATGTCTCTGGAGGGATTGTCGAGACAGGAGCAAGCACACTTGATATAAGAGTGATGTTTGAATACGGGGCTTATGGCTTAGTTAGCACGGGTGAATACGACCCGTGAGGCTTGACGGATTATGATCTTACCAGACTCGTTCACGCTACCACGAGGATGGAACGCTACTCCCGCTGGGATTAATACAAGCCATAGCGAAATGAACGAATGATATAAAAACATGCCTTTGCAGAGTGCTGCTCAACCAGGCATTCTACTCAGGATAAAGAGCGTGGCAACAACTATGTCGTCCCAAGGGAAAGGTGGACGTGCGAGAGTGCAGGTAGGGCAATTAACAGAGCGGGCCAGCGCGTTTTGGCCCTGACAGACGGGACGTACTCGATGGTGCCGACTGAGGCGTTAGTATCGGCGAGATCAGCACGGAAGGATGCTCGACCCAGGCCCACTTCGCGAAGTCCGACGCAGACGTAACATACAACTCCTTCTGCTCAAGTGCAAACTCGGGAGAGGAGCTACTCACGTGAAATGCTCTTTTCCACCAATCACCTACCCATGTCTCGCAGAAAACTTCGTTTTCGATCATACTTTACGCGCAATGCGGCTGACTGCAGGCCTATGTCCAGAAACCACCTACTGGTTATTGACTCTTTCCAGGTGTGGGGATACAAGCCACTAATCCCAGTCGTCGCCCTAGCCAGCATAGGCTATTGCTTATATTTGTGCGACGCCTCAACGCCTGCTTTCAGCGGATCAACCCAGCCTGCCTAAACCTTCTGTCCGATCTGCATGCTCTGCAGGGCCAAGTCCATTCGAACACTCAAGTTAGGAGCCGGGATGCCTCGTTCCATAGTGCTGGCGTAGACACACGCTGGTTCTGCAGCTCACCTGCATGCTAGGAACGTGGCGTGTCAATGTGTCGTAGAGAGCCGCAAGGCGAGGGGGTGGACAAGACGCAGTCCAGTGCATGAAGCGCAATCAAACACCTGCAAATGCTACGGCGAACGAGGGACACATGAACGGGTACCTAACATTGGCACGCAAGCGCAATGACTTGATTCGAGTGTTTCGACTCCTGCAGTCGGAGTGGCTGTTGTATAGATCCGGAGAGGCGTGTCGTGCGCTGTTGGTGCTCGACCCAAGAAGCCATGAAAAAGCCACTCCGGTGAGGGTTCTGCGTACCCACAATTTGCGCGAACGGGTGGTAGACGCTGTATGGATGAAACCAGGGGTTGGCTCCTCACGGCACTCATCTGCCTTCATTAATGAAGCGTGGCGGAAGAAATGCCGGATGAAAGCAGCGGGTAGTGACTGTGAGCGGATTGTACGAGTACCAGCGTATTGTGCTATCGGCCAGCACAGTGGCAACAGCACACCTGGGCAACGACGTACAGCCAAAGCCCGCTAGAGAGACCACTGACGCGGCATCGCGGAGAGAGAGTCAATGTTTTATCGCTAGTTGTAGCGAATGGCGCGGATTGGAGCTCCAAACAGCAGCTCCCCGGCCAGGTGACAAAGTTCGTTAGGGGCAGAAAAGCGCAATATATTCCTTGGCCGGTCGAGAGAAGCTGAGGAGCCAGGGTCCAAGTTGGTAGATTGAACCAACACCATCCGGTTCGCCTTCGCATGGTGACACCCTTAGCTAACTCTTCCTCTTCCTCTTCCTGCTCCTCCTCCTCCTCCTCCTCGTGCCATCGGCGGAGCAGACAATGCTGCTTGCTGATGCTGCTCAGGTTGAGTGGCTCTCGTCGCGTCTTCCACACGTCGCTTAGTCACCGACAATGATTCCTTCGCAAGGCCGTTGCGTCCTGCTCTCGTCGATATGCGCTCTGGTCGCCCCCACGCTGCTCCTACCCTGCCTCGCCGCCGAATATGTGCAGCAGAATCTCACAGATTCTCCAGGCTTCAAGCTGCTATCGGGAATTTCGTCTGTCCCGGCACCTATTCGAGTTGCGCCGGATCAAGATTGGATGGGGACGGACGGCGCATGGAATACCTTCAGTCTGCTCGTAGGCGACCCACCCGAGAACGTACGAGTCCTGGTATCGACTGCAAGTCAGCAGACATGGGTGATAAACCGCCAGGCCTGCGTATCGAATATAACGGACCCCAAGACTGGGCAAATCGCCCAGCTCAATGCTTTCAATTCCGACTGCGAGACTAGTCGCGGCTTCCTCTACAACAATACCGACTCGAAAACTTGGCGCCGGAAAGGGTATTATCAACTGTGGCTGGAGAAGAATCTAGGGCTCGTTGGGAATGGACTGTATGGGTTCGATTCGGTGGGCTTGGGGCTGCTAGGGGAGCAGGGGCCGTCCGTTCAAAACACCACAATCGGTACACTGGTCACGGCAAACTTCTGGCTCGGTCATATTGGACTCCACCCGAAGCCCACCAACTTCTCTGCCTTTGAAAATCCCATCCCAAGTTATTTGTCAGACCTATTCACCCAGAAGAAAATTCCCAGTCTGTCGTTTGGCTACACAGCGGGGGCGCAGTACCGTAAGTCATTGTGTTGAACTAGTCCATGAATATTTCGCTCACTACTCCCTTCAGACGGTCAAACTGTCCTCGGAAGTCTGACGCTTGGTGGCTACGATGCATCTCGATTCATCCCCAATGACCTGACCTTCATTCTTGCACCCGACAATGAGCGTGACCTTGTCGTCGGCGTTGTCGGTCTGACAGCAAGCACTACGACCACGCAAAATATTAATCTCTTGAAACGCGATGATGTCACCATGTTCATCGATTCGACTGTTGCCGAGCTATGGTTGCCTGTCGAGATTTGTAAAGCGTTCGAAGAAGCCTTTGGTCTGAAGCATGACGCAGCCACCGATCTCTACCTCGTAGACGATGCTCTTCACCAGAATCTGATGACACAGAACCCGAGCGTGACCTTCACCCTGGGTCAGAAATACAGCACTGCAACTACACTACAAATCACCTTATCCTATGCTGCGTTCGATTTACAAGCCTCACCACCCTACCGGGGCCTACAAGAAAAGACCAAGTACTTTCCAATCAGACGAGGCAATGATTCGAGTCAATGGGTGCTCGGTAGAACATTCTTGCAAGAAGCTTATCTGACCGTTGATTGGGAGCGGCAGAACTTCTCCCTGTCGGCAATTGATTGGACCTTCGGCAAGCAGTCCGATCTTGTTCCCATTGTTTCGCCTCAGTATGCAGTGCAGCATTATAGGTCCCCCAAGAAGCCGGGCTTGTCTACTACCCCCATAATTGGCATCGCAGTAGGTGGCGGATTTACCTTTGCGCTGATCATGTGTGCAATTGGTTGGTGGTTCTGGCGCCGTCGGCACAAGCGCAAGTTGGAGGTGATCAAGGCGAAGTATGAGGCTGATGTTGCTGCTGCGGCTGCAAAGAAAGACTCTTCAGAGAGGTCAGCCAAAACCCCAACGTCACCTGTACATGACAGTGAGGAAGCAACGAGGGTGTTCCCCAAAGCCGAGTTACCTAGCCACTCGGCTACGCACCACGAGTTGGGTACCGATCTCAAAGAGAAGAATCCGATAGCGATCAGTGAAGCGGACAATACAGAGCGGCCGATCTACGAGATGCCTGGAGACATGCCAGAGCGCCAGGAAGCAGGCGGTCGTCAGCTTTCGGAGAAGGAAACAATGGTGGTCCGAGAAAGGATGTACAACGGCATTGATCCTAATGGTAGCCCTCTTGTATCGCCACTAGGAGAAGAGCCCCCAAGGCGACTGGTGCCCATATCCCCGTCCGAGGTTACCACGCTGAGTGGGAGACATCCCAGCAGCAACAATGTGTCGCCCGTCACGCCACGAACACCACGAGACGGCGCGCATTTGGAGACGACGGATACTTTTTTCCAGCTTCCACCGTATCGTCCACCACGAGATGGTAGGCTGAATGAAGACATACTTCTCTCGCCCATTTCTCCTCTTGAAGGGCCCACGGACACGTCCCGGCGGCGGTTTTCTTACGAGTCATGAGTTTGCAAAAAGTTGATTATTTAGCGACATAAATAGGTGGCGTTCATTTGGGTTGGTACACCTGGCGTGGCATTTGCGGCCCAGTGACGGCAGGACGATGATATGACGGTTACGGCGTTTGATTGGGATAGGATATCTTTGATGCCTATAGGAATCTAGAGTGCCTGTCTCGACGGGCGTATGGCAGACAGTACCTTATGTTTGTGGAGGTGATAGCTGGAAGTGCTGGATATGATAGAAGGGTTGCGGGACTGTTCTGCCCCAACCACAATCTCGATTTTCTACTCTAATACTAGTGCTGCTACTTTCGCTCTCTACGGTAATCTCCTTCTTCTCCTGTTCCTACCTTCCTAACCTACAGTTGAAGCAGCGTCAAACCTTCCAACCCAACCAAGGAGAGGTAGAGATTCAGCGTTAGTAGACGGGTTGAGAAGGTAAAGGCTACCGTAGAGAACGAAATAATGGGCACCGGTGACGAGCAGGAAATTGAGATGATAGCCAGGGGAGAATAGTGCTGCAACACCCCTATCATGAATACGAAGCGCCCACAAGAGCGGCATAATCATTACTACCTAACGATCCATAAGCTGCCCAATGTATCGATTTGGTCCACTCGAAAACCTCTCACTTCATTCAGCAATCAATCACATGCCGTAGCAAATGGGTGGCTAAAGGGTGGTGGACCTCGATGGGGCCAACCTTGGGTAGGGCAGAGGCTAGCAAAGCGGTCTGAGATGGTGCTAAACGGCGCGCCTTCCCCCATGTGGCACACCTCAGGCCCCTCTCCACGCTTGCGACTGGCGCAACACCCCACCATTCCAGGTCAGAGGCAGCGAAGAGGCATAGCACGACCGCTTTTCTGCACCGTCACCTCGTCAATCGTTTGCCTTTTGCCTCGACCCCCCTGGCGAAGAGTCTGCGCAGCTCTCCCCTCCGTACCCGCCAGGCCGTTTCGACAGCCGCCACACCCCGCTTTGTGTCGAAGCAACAGCAGTCATCACAGCGCCGCGCGCCTAGCCCTACCCATCATCGTATATTAGCCCAGCCGCCGCCTGCTTTCTTCTCCTTGTTCTTCGACTTTCGCCCAGTTCTATTGTTGCCCGGTGCGCATAACAAACTCTTCTCTGGCCTCCTCCCCAGCTACCCCGCCACCTCAGCCATCATGGGAGATCTCGCAAACCGCAAAGTGTTCAAGGTGACTTGTGGCCCCTGTCTGTGTATACAAGGCACAAGTTGACAAAGAAGCAGGTGTTCAACCAAGAGTTCATCGTCGACGAGCGCTACAATGTAACCAAGGAGCTAGGTCAGGGTGCCTACGGCATCGTCTGGTACGCCTCGAGCAACGGCTGGACACATGCGTAATGCTGACCTTGCCCGCTATAGCGCGGCTACCAACAACCAAACGGGCGAGGGCGTGGCCATCAAAAAGGTCACCAATGTGTTCAGCAAGAAGATCCTCGCAAAGCGTGCGCTACGCGAGATCAAGCTGCTGCAACATTTCAGAGGCAAGTCAACTTGCACCCACCGGCAGTAACACGCACTAACACACCTTGCAGGACACCGCAACGTAAGACAACCCGACCACGAGATGCATTTCTCCACATGCCTTGGACACGAAACTGAATACCCCCGCGCAGATAACATGTCTCTACGATATGGACATACCCCGCCCAGATAATTTCAACGAGTGCTACCTCTACGAGGGTACGGCCTGCTTCCACAACGTCGTATAACATGGTGCTGATATTGCTGTAGAGCTCATGGAATGTGATCTGGCGGCTATCATCCGCTCCGGTCAGCCACTGACTGATGCCCATTTCCAGTCCTTTATCTACCAGATCCTGTGCGGTCTGAAGTACATTCACTCGGCAAACGTCCTCCATCGTGACCTGAAACCGGGTAACCTCCTCGTCAACGCCGACTGCGAGCTCAAGATCTGCGATTTCGGACTGGCCAGAGGTTTCTCCATGGACCCTGAGGAAAACGCGGGGTACATGACCGAGTATGTTGCTACCCGGTGGTACAGAGCTCCTGAGATCATGTTGAGCTTCCAGAGCTACACGAAAGCCAGTAAGTACTCGCGCCTGTGTGTCTTACCTAGACTTGTTCAGAGTCTCTGCGACTATAAATAATCTTCACTTGATCACCCCGCTTTTCAATTTGTAGGCTAACTCTTGTAGTCGACGTATGGTCTGTTGGTTGTATTCTCGCTGAACTGCTGGGCGGCAAACCCTTTTTCAAGGGCCGGGATTACGTCGACCAATTGAATCAAATCCTGCATTATCTCGGAACACCCAACGAAGAGACGCTGTCGCGCATCGGCTCCCCTCGTGCTCAGGACTACGTTCGTAACCTACCGTATATGCAGAAGATCTCGTTCCAATCCCTCTTCCGAAACGCCAACCCAGACGCTCTCGACCTCTTGGACCGCATGCTCGCATTCGATCCTTCAAGCCGTATCTCCGTCGAGGAGGCTTTGGAGCATAGGTATCTGCACATCTGGCATGACGCCTCGGATGAGCCATCCTGCCCCACGACATTTGACTTCCAGTTCGAAGTCGTCGAAGAAATCAACGATATGAAGAAGATGATCCTGGCCGAAGTCAACCGCTTCCGCCAAATGGTCCGCGTACAACCCGGCGCTGGCGCTGGGCCCGCCCAGGCACCACAGGTCCCGATACCCAACAACTACGACCGCGCAGGGTATGAGGATCCACGACCCCAGGAGGCGTTCAACCAGGGTGGCTGGCAAGGAAGCGACCTAGAGCGCGATCTTCAGGGCCTTGATGGGAGGTTAAGATAAAGGCAATTAGGTATATACATTGGAATTGGATCAAGATATTCTCGTTAGCTAAAACGTGTATGTGTGGATGCGATCTAGTTAGACTAAACTTTTGAAACTTCTGAAATGAAAGATCTCATTGAACTATAGCCTGAAGACGCTCATGGTACTAACTGGAAATCAATCGATAGGAGAGCCTAGAAACCTTTGCAATACTGACATCTCTACATGCCTCTGACTCTGTATACGCATACCTCCTCTCGCTAGCATCCTGCTCTATAGGTGTAACTACATTTTCGCCTATGGACTTTCATCCTATTACTAACGAATTTTCAATTCCTTGTTGACAGGAGGTACATATTGAGGCCGAGCCCAGGTCTAGATCTGGGATTCAGAACCGAAGCAAGATCAGCCTTTGAGACACCATGACGCGAAGTGCGATAAATCTTATATTCCTCGCTTATCCTATCGCGCTCTTGATACTTTGGAATACTCTAGCTCTACTATCTTTGCACAGCATCTAGTAAATCAGCTTCGAGGTACTCCAACAGACCTGGCGCCTCTCCCTTGTATCCGAAGAGCTTTTCCGCCCTCTCCGCCCTTGTGCGAGAGTTGCTTGCAAACAGATACCGCGCCAGTCTCTCGAATCCAGGGCTATTGGCCATGCCATCCAACTGCTCTAGGCTGATTTTCACGGGCTCGGCGTCTGCTATAACGCCGTGCTTATGTAGTATCTGCCCCGTGACTTTAGCCACGTCGAGGTGCGAGTGTTCCTGCGTTGCAGCAAAATAGTACCCGTTCTGATTGAAGTACTCGGATGGCTTGGACGGGTTGGAGGCGGCGGTTTCCACAACGTTCAAGTACACCTTCATCAGATCATCGATATGTACCCAGCTACGCGTATTCGTCCCATCTTCGTAGTAGAATACCTTCCCGCCTAGATTCTTTATCTCTTTGACGAACGTGGGTGTGAAAGCGCTGTGCGTTTTCACTAGGCCTTTTCCTTTCCCGTAGATATCAGGAGGGCACATGACGGCGATGTTCACTTTGTCGCTGTGCTTTTGCGCCGTGCTGTGGAGGATTTTCTCTGTGTTGCGGTGCAATTCGCGGTCCGGGAGGGATTTGATCTCCTCCAGCGACTTCACATCACTCCAGATTTTGGGATTTAGCTTTCCGAGGTAGGTTTCGTCGGCCCAGTCACTTACGATCCCTGTTCCGGAAAGATGGAGGAGGTAGCCAGGGGTGGAGCGCTTCAATAGTCCAGATAGGATGGCGTTCAGGGACGGTTCGTGGTCGGAGTCTCCGTTATGAACGACTATGTCGGCGTTTTCGGCGGCGGCGGCGATGGTGTCGAAACTATCGTAGTCGCCTTGGATGATCTTGATCTTGGGGTAGGTGGATGCGAAGGTTGAAGGGGTTTTGCGGAGCAAGACAGTGAAGGAGTATTCTGGGTGGGCGGTGTAGAGGGTATGGAGCACGGAACCACCTATGTAGCCTGTGCCGCCGGTGCTAAGAAGAATCAGTCTAAGAAGCATAGAAAGAAGACGGAGAGGGAAAGAGATCGTACAGGAAGATCTTTGGACTCATGATAGCTGTTAGGTGTTGTTGTGTGTTACAAGTGAGTAGTAGAGGTGGATGGAGAGAAGAAGGAACGGCGATCCAGCTCGTTGACTTCCAACTTAATCAACGACATCATAGGAAGTTACACGGCTCCACTTTGATTGGTAATCTAGATAGGACGCGCATTCAACTTGACAAAATTCGCCTTAAGTCACTAGTAGGAAGAATCTGCTGAATCGGTTGATCGCCTAAATGCATGCCTCATTAGGAATAACATCAAGCACTTGGACATAGAGTCGGGTCAAGTCATTCTTATCTCCGGGAATGCTTCTGGTGCATACATACTAGCAATAAAATATTTGGCTATGAGACCAGAGATTATGTGTTAGTCTACGGTGAACTGTCAATTCAATTCAGCAAAGCACAAGAATGCTCATCAGCAGGAAATTGATATTTAGTACCATGGGAGAACGATGATGAGGTTTGGAATCATGGTTGGCGACCGTCTCGAATGCAGCCTACCCTGGAAGAATCAATGTAATTACAAACATCTCCACACTTGAAGTACTTTTACAGAACTAGTGATAGCTCAACTAGGGCGTAGGCGCTTTGGAAATCCTCTTATGGACTCGTTAATACCTCCTGGGCGCGGCTTTCCTAGGTACGATGCGGAGATGCTTTGGAGCGATACTAAGATGAGACTAGCGTATATCGGCGGATTAGTTCCATCCACCGACTCGAACTTTTTTCTTGGCTTTCGAAAAAAGTTGCCCATTTGCGACAGCCCAACTCATCCATACATTTCGAAGACGATACACACCATGACGGCCGCCGATATCGAGACCAATAAGCGCAAGCGCAAGCACAAGAGCAAGAAGGGCGAGGAGGCGACCGCACCCACGGCCCATACTAATGGCGCCGCGACTGCTGAGAAGTCCCGCAAGAAGTCGAAGAAGGCGCACACCCCAGAACCTGAAGTAGAGGACCTTGTGGCAGAAGCCTCTGCTGATGGCGCAGAGAGCGAAGTCGAAGAGGACGAGGAACAGCTGAACCGTGAGCTCAACGAAGATGAAGAGTCGGAAGAAGAGCAAGCCAGCGGGGCCAACGGTGAAGCGCTGGGCACATCAGACCTGATTTCGGGCACGTCGATGCCTACCATGGAGAACCCCACGCTGTTCTCCGACTTGAAGCTTTCCGACCGCACAATGGAGGCTATCAAGACGATGGGCTTTGACACCATGACTGAGATTCAGCAAAAGACGATACCCATACTATTAAGGTGAGACCAACCACCGATATGGAAATGTGTAATGCTAATGCAAACCAGTGGAAAAGATGTACTTGGAGCAGCCAAAACCGGAAGCGGAAAGACGCTCGCTTTTCTCATCCCCGCCATCGAGATGCTCTCCGCGATGCGATTCAAGCCGCGCAACGGCACCGGTGTCATCGTCGTGTCTCCCACTCGCGAACTGGCCCTTCAAATCTTCGGAGTCGCGAGAGAACTTATGGAGAAGCATTCTCAGACGTTTGGTATCGTCATCGGAGGCGCGAACAGAAGGGCCGAGGCGGAGAAGCTTGCGAAAGGTGTGAACCTACTTATTGCGACACCCGGACGGCTGTTAGATCATTTGCACAATACCCAGGGCTTTGTTTTCAAGAACTTGAAGAGTCTAATCATTGATGAGGCGGACCGTATCTTGGAAGTTGGGTTCGAGGATGAGATGAAGAGCATCATCAAGATTCTCCCTTCGGATAGGCAGACGATGCTGTTCTCGGCCACACAGACTACCAAGGTCGAAGACCTGGCGCGCATTTCGCTGAAGGCTGGGCCTACATACGTTAATGTAGATTACCGAAAAGAGCACTCGACTGTTGCCGGATTGGAGCAGGGGTACGTCATCTGCGACTCAGATAAACGCTTCAGGCTGCTCTTCAGCTTTCTCAAGAAGCACCAGAAGAAGAAGGTCATAGTGTTTCTATCGAGCTGCGCGTCGGTCAAGTTCTACGCTGAGCTCCTCAACTTTGTGGACTTGTCTGTCTTGGAGTAAGCATTCCGTGCCTCTATCCGCGCCTCCGACTATGTCACTGACACGACGCAGGCTACACGGGAAAATGAAGCAGCAATTACGGACAAACCGCTTCTTTGAGTTCTGCAACGCCTCAAGCGGGGTCCTGATCTGTACCGATGTTGCAGCACGAGGCCTGGACATCCCAGCTGTTGATTGGGTGTTGCAATATGATGTATGATAATATCCTGCCACTCTTACCGCATCTGCTAATTGATTGATTCCCAGCCTCCAGATGATCCTCGAGACTATATCCACCGTGTGGGACGTACGGCAAGAGGCTCAGATGGCAAAGGCAGAAGTTTAATGTTTCTGTTGCCGTCTGAGGTAGGCTTCTTGAAGCTGCTGAAAGATGCCAGGGTCCCCCTTGTAGAATTTGAGCTCCCAGCAAACAAGATCCTGAGTAAGGACTCGGTGCCTCTATCCGTGCCTCTGACTATGACACTGACACGACGTAGACATACAATCCCAGCTGGAAGCCCTCATGTCGAAGAACTACTACCTCAACAAGTCGGCCAAGGACGGCTACCGCTCGTACCTCCAATCCTACGCGTCACACAGCTTACGTTCCGTGTTTGACGTACACAAGCTTGATCTTGTCAAGGTGGCGAAGAGTTTCGGGTTTTCGACTCCACCGCGGATTGATATCAGTCTTGGGGCCAGCTTGAGCGGAGAGAGGAAGGTGGAGGGTAGGAGGGAGTATGGCAGTCAACCGCAGCAGGGCAGGCGTCCCCAGCGGCCTAGCAAGCGATTTTGAGGGAAGATGGTATGGCATTGTCGGAGTTTGTGGCGTTGTCGAAAGAAGAGCGGGCGGGCATTCTTTCTTGGGTAGCTAGACGTAGCTCACTTGCACAGTTGAGAGGATAGTAGGAATGTTCATGCTTGGCATCTCAACCATGCAACTTGTTATTTAGCCATACCGGTGAAGGTTGGCCTGAACAGCATCAGCCATTGAGCGTCGTTGTCGCACCCTGTCTAGAGAGGCTCAAGACTGCCAGTTCATCGCTCGCGCATCATGGTAATGTAATAACAGATTGACCATGAGAGAATACCTCAGATCAGCTATGCGATTCGACAGACTAGTCTTGAAAAGCCAGCCGCTGTTCAGCCCTACTTGTACTGCAAAGTGCAGTCAAGGTGGTTGTATGGACGATGCGTTGGCAAGGCTAAGCAGCTCCATGGCCAATGACGTCGCAGGAGGGTGGGACGACGAGCGGAAGCGTCCGCCGGCCGCCCGCTCGGCAACATCACCCTGGTAACGAACGGAAACTAGACGTTAGGACAAAGGCACGATTGTGAGAGAGAGTGTGTGTACACGACCTGAATTGACTGCTTGGTTGGTTGCTTTCTTCTTGTGGTTGCTCACCGCTAGACGAATACAAGTCTGCTTGCTGGTGTGGGTGTGTGTGTGGGTGTTGCGGGTTGGACGAGGCTTTTCGTTGGTGGAGGGGGTCCTCCGACAGCTTCTCCCAGCCACCGTGAGAGAATGGGCTGCAAACTGGCTGCACAGCGGGTCTGCGTATGCATCTATAGGCCCGCTGCGTGCATCTAGTGGTAAAAATAAGCTGGAGGCAGACCACAAGGTGGCTGGTCGGGTCTATTATCGATACCCGCAAGTGACGACGGACGACGTCCTTCTGGAGGCACACACACACCAAGATAGCCAGCGAGAGCGTCGCATTGCCGTGTGTAGCGCCCATGTCGTCTCCCTCTAATGTCAATTTCCACCGTCCCTGAAGAGCTGGCCCGTCGAGTAGTAGGCCTTGTTTCCTCCGTGAGACTGTGAGAGGCAGCCCAATAAGCCTCACGGCTGGTAGCGCCTACAGGGATTGCTGTTCCATGGTCTTGACCCGGCTGCTCTCCACCGCAGTCCACCACCTCCACCACGCCCCCCCAGAGCTCCTCGAGCCATTGTTATCCGCAAGACGCTCCTTGTCTGCGGCTGTTCCTGGCGTCGGTACGTCTCTCCGCTACTCTCTGCCCTGCCCGCACCGTGCCATGCCATGTGTCTGGTGCGGCTCTGCCTTGCTTGCGCTGCTGCTAACTTCGCTACCTCTTCAGCTCTCGCTACGACGGCCAGCGCCCACCTCGCACGCCGCTGCGCTGCTTGCACATAGCCCACCGCAGTATATACACACGGCTATGCCCTGATCGACGGCACTTCTCCACGTTCGCTGTCTGCGCTCGAGCGTGTGCGCCCCCTCGCCCCCAGTGCTCCCAGCGCATTTCCCCGTTGCGCAAACGAGAAACAGCCACGCAACGGCCCTGCACTCCCTCCCTAAGACGTCTCCTTGCTCCCACCCGATTACTCGAGGAACCTCTGCGCCCATGTCGTCGGCCGGCTTCCCCACCTTCTAGGATTCTTCAGATCCAACAATGGGTCTGGACACGAATCGACCCCCTCTCCCGGCACCTACAGAACCCTCGACTCTCGACTCGGCAGACGACTCCAACCTTCGAGACGACGTCTACACAAACGTCTCCACGCGCACAGACAAGACCTCGTTTTCCATCCCAGAAGACGGCACCCCGGTGACTATCAACACCACCAAGCAGCCCCAGGGCACCATCCACAAAAGATACCCCTCGCAGACCTCGCTGCTCATCGAGTACTTTGAAGGCGGCAAGACCGAGGGCAAAGCCCACTCGCGCCCCAGCGTTCGCGTCCGCGTCACCCCATCGTCTCGCAAAAGCAAGGCCAAGGTCGCAAACGACCACGTCCAAATCACCCAGACCAACCGCTACACGCGCAAGCCTTCATACACCCGGCGCATCTCGCTCGGTAGCAAGCCCCGCGACGAAATCATCGACACCCGGACCACCACTGATTATTCAGAAGACGGCTCCAACGTATCCTCTCTCCCACCCGTGGAAATCGAGCTACTCCCCAACCACAGCGACGTCTCCAGCAACGGCGGCCGCTTTATCCCCATGGCTTCAGACGTCTCTTCCATGCCTACTGACAGCATGTTGGGAGGAAAACCAGAAATCCTGCCTCCAGGACGGCGCAGAAGCCGAAGCTTGGAGAGGGAAGCTGTTGCCGAGTCCATGGCCTCTGAGGGTTACGACACACTGAAGGCACCCAAGCATCAGCGCAGTAGAAGCTTGAGCAAGGATCGCATTACACAGCGCGTCATGGAGAAGCTACAACAACAGACAGGAGACGGCGGGACCTCCAAATCAAAAGAGAGCTCCTCAAAGTCGAGGGATACCATCAAGATCAGTAAAGACGAGCTGACTTCACCCCGCAAATCGCACCGAAGAAGAAGCAGGGACACGGAAGAAGTAAGCGCCATCAGCGGCACCGAATCCAGTCTTCTCTCTTCCAACGCCGATCGTCGATCTGGCATTGCGCATTCAACCCGCTCCGGCGTGTCTGGAGCCTCGTCCATCAACAATCCCAAGTTGCTCGCAACGGTAGAGGATGCAATCAAGCGTCTCATTCTTCCAGAGTTGAATGCTCTGAAAGAAGAAAACCGCACTTCAAGAAATCGAGACAAGTTCGAGACCACTCGCAATAGTGGTGCTACGTACGACACAATCGATTCTACCAGCTCCCGCGAGCCGTCCAGGCGTCGTGTCTCAAAGTCTTCCAGCGCGCCTAAACTGCACGGCAACAAGCCAAAAGTCGTCCTGAATCGTGACGGCGAAGATCCAGGAACCATCCTTTCTGGTGGTTCCAGCCGCAAGGGTGAGCGGCGATCGAGCCGAGGCTCCATCTCTGACCGGAGCTATGCTGAGTCGACGACTCGCGAAGAAAAGACGACCCATCGGAGAAAGAGCAGCAAAGACAAAGAAAGCACGTCTGCACGAGATGCTGCGTTAGCTCTCGTCGCAGGAGCTGGCCTGACAACCGCCGCTCTGAAGCACCACACATCACGCGAAGAGAAGGAAGAGGAGCGCAAGCACAGGAAGCATCGCTCATCTCACAGCAGTAGAAGTCGTTCTGCGAGCATAGCTGAGAGCGTGGAGGAGAAGAGCTATGTGAAGCAGCGTGTACCGCCTCTGCCCTTCAATCACAGCGAACTGCAAGGCTCAGAAATGACTCGAGATTCAATCTTGTCGGCCGAAACCGAGACGAAAGAAAGACCGAGCTCACGGTCGTCCAGGAGCACTGGTGTCGAGACACCTCTACAACAAGTGCCTCGTGGCTTCATTTCGCCATCTCCCTTGTCGCCATCCCCTCTCTCGCCGACGCGAAGTCCTAACACGTTACAGCGGAGTTTCGGAACAGCTCATAGCAATCACTCAACAGGCGAGGTCCGCCTGAGTACTCCAAAGAGTGATCGCAGCTACTCTTCCCGCACTAGAGAGGTTAGTAAGGTCAGCCGAGAAGCTGCAGCCAAAGCCAAAGCTCGTGCTATCGAACGTTTCGAGCCTCAGGCATCTCAGTATGAGATTGAAAGCGAGACACCGACCCGCGGCGTGAGCCCTATTCAAAGTGAGGCTAGTTACCGCGGGGGCCTAGCTTCTGGCTCGCCACGACATCTTCGAAGTGCTCATAGTGGAGCATCTGTATCTTCTCTTGGCCAACAAGTTGAACGACCGCAGTCTAACCTCTCTATTGCGTCTTTTGAATCGACGCCTAGCACCAAGGCGGCGCGAACCCGTAAGCGACCACAAGGCGTCACCCTCGAGAGCAAGAGATCCGTTCTGGGCGAACCGGACACTCCTCGAGATACAGAAGAATTCTTCGAAAAGAACCATGAGCAAAATGAGATGTACCGAAGAGAGCTAGAAGATAGCGAAGTAGCATCGCCTGTCAACCACCGTCTCACCAATTACACGGACGACAGCGCTGAAGGCATGTATCTTGATCGCGAGGAGAAGATGGATCTCCAGGATCTTCAGAGGGTTGGCTCGATCCCAGAATATGTACATACGCCACTCGCAGTCGAGTCCGCGGTTGCCTCTCTTCACGATCCATCCAGCATCAGCGTCCGATCATCGGGAGTGTCGAGTCCGCTGAAGAAGAGCCATCTATCACAAGTAAGCCCTAGTCCAGCAAGCTATACCGTGCAGACAGATCAGGTACCCAGCCGCGAGCGATGGGGTGCTATTCGAGATCAGGCCGAAGCCCTAGTTCAGCAGGCGCACACTGAGAATTCACCGAGACAAAGCATTGCAGAGTCCATCGACGAAACACCTCAGATGCACCACAGTGCATTCCCAGCAGATCATGATGAGATGATGCCTGAGATTGGATATGGTGTGGACGATGACTCTGATGTCACCACAAACCCGTCCATCATCCAGGGACCGCTCGGCGGAGGAGACGGATACCACGACCAAACCGATGAATTGTTTCTCAGACAAGAAGAACGGGAGCGTACGCCTACTTCCACTAGCAAAGGTGCTGCCATTGGGGTAGGAGCTGGAGCTGCTGCCATTGCCGCTGCCGCGGCTCACCACCTGCACAATCAGAGTCCAGACTCCTATGACGAGCGACACTCATATGACGAGCGACACCAGGCCACCGTGGAGGAAGATTATGATCGCCCTCATACAGGTGAGCCCCAATACGAGCAGCCAGGCTACGCACAGAGCAATCGCACTCCATTGTCTCAGGGCCCCTCCGGCTGGAAAGACGAGGGTTACCAGTCGGCTAACCAACGTGAAGCCTACACGCCTCAGAACCGCAATCACCCAAAGCTCTTTGACGATGATGGCTTTGGTGAGGATTACGATGAGACGGATGACCTGTTTGCTGCTAATACCAAACATAACCGACACGCTAGTGGTAACTCTCACGGCATGGCGTCTCCTCTATACGACGCGGCTACGGGCAAGGGCCTCGATCGCATTCAGTCAAAGGATATCGTGGCCCTCATGGACCATCTCACCGTCAGGGACGCACAGCGTAATGCACGCGACACCGAGATTTTGGTCACACTGGTTCGAAGTGCGGCTGAGATGCGCAACCAGCTGGATGAGATGAAGCAGTTCATCAAGACTCAAGATAACATGATCGTGCAAACCACAGACAAACGCGTCGGTCTGGCTGAGCAGCGGATACTAGGCGGTCCTCGTCCACAGCCTCTGGGATCACCACGCGTCAACCGGTCATCGTCAGATGACATTGACGTGGAGGCTAAGAAGAAGAATGTCTTCAAACGTGCATTGAAGGGGTTGAGTTTGAAGGGTGACAGCGACATGAAGAACATCGAAGCCATGTTGGTCCAGCTACTCGGCGAAGTTGAAGGCTTGAAGCATGTTCATCAGCTATCCCTAGATCAGCAGAACAGATCAAACAGTCTCACCTCATACGAAAACCTGCGAGCGAGCGGCGACGCTGGCTATGAGCCGGAAGGTCGTGCCAACACTGCCTCGTCGCCAAATCAGTCCGGCTACCTCTCAAACCCAGCTTCGTCGGGTCGACGTATCCAGGACCTACACTCTGGCTACGACGTCATGCCAACTAACCGTATAAGCACGGTAGAAGAAGTCAGTGATGAGGAATACGATGAGCGTGACGCACGATACGAGAACACTGAGCGGATGACCACGCCAACGCAAGAGGCTTTCCAGAACAAGAATGTGTCACAAGAGACCCCTCCACAAGCGTCGAGAGCCGTTCGAGATCCGCAGAGCCAGGAGAATACGCCCAAGCGTAAGCACAAGTCGAACTCATCGTCTATTTTCGGCATTCCCAAGATCTCAAGATGGTCAAAGACTACTTCTTCAACCAACCCAGAGAGCCTCCCCCGCAATAGTGGGTCTGGCGAGAAACGACCCTACTCCACTCACTCCAGGTCCAATTCACAGGACGATTACTACGATGACGATGAGGAGTTGTACGAGGTGCGCGATGATGACAGGCTTCGTTCCAACACATCGCTAGCAAGGGACGCTCAAGCTTCAATTCGGTCCGCTCGCTCACCATCACCACTGATTCCAGATGATCTTCTTGAATACGAGATGGAGGACCCGAAATACCAGGCTCATCGCAACTCATTGAACCTGCAACATCCTCAGCCCCGCCCTGGTCCGACTGGCCGCCATCAGAGCAACCTGGAAACTCAAGCCCAGATCTACGAGCCCCTACAATCTCCAGATTACGACCAGTGGGGAAGTATGCCGGCTTTGGCGCGCAACCGTCTCTCCGGTGGGAATGCATCTCTAGGCCAGAGCAACATGTCGCCCATCTCATCCGACGGCGGATACAGCCAACACTCTGCTTCGGAGCAACAACAAGCGGGCCCACCTCGACCGCCCAAGATCCCAGATGACGGCCCACTCATCCCGCCGCCGCAGACGCTTGCAGGCTACGGCCAGACAAGACAAATGTATAGCTCCCCGAATGAGTTTGGCAGCCAGGGTGCTTTGACGCCCTTAGCGCCTATTGCTGAAGTGAGGTATTCGCTTGAGACGGATAGAGGACATCGCGTAGGTTCATAGTATCACTATAAACGCTGAGACTAACTTACGACAGATCACGCCCACGCCCTCGCCCCACCCTAGCAACCAGCACCTCCACACCAACGCTGCGGCGAACAGCCCGCAACGCAAAATCACGGGCCCCAGGCCCATGGGTAGCAGAAGCCCAAGTGGACAGCAGGGTCTCAGCGGCAATGCAGGGTTACAGCATCAGGATACAGTTGTAAGGAGGAAGCCAATTGCTGGTAAGTCTACGCCATGTCGTCTTTTGGGTGCAATGGAGCTAATGCAAAGACAGCGGATGAGGAGTCCCTCGAATCGTACCGCAGCAGCCTCGACTCGGAGATCTTCTAGGTGAATAATCTCAAATCGGGCACTATAGTTGATCTACGCACCGTCGCTGTGGAGTCTTGTTGGGCACGCGATAGGAAGGTCGGAGACGCACGGTTTCTTGCCCACTATCAATCAACCACGAGTAGCCACTCTTCCAATAGTGGTTCCCGGTCTGCTGGAGGCGGTAGTCGAGTGCGCAAAGCTTCGCCACTAAGACATGTAGTCAGTGCCGATGAAAAGTAACGAACGGGGGGAATGGGAAGAAACAAGAGATGGGACTGTAACTGGGCGGCACTTTGCATAAAAACCACACTTTCGAGCATATTTTCCGGGTACATTTTTTTTCTTCGTCTCCCACTAGCATGGCGTTTATACATTTGGGTATTGGCAGACGATAAGACCGAGGAGGAGGAGGAGGAGGAGGAGAAGCGTACAGTCTTCTTGTTAATCTCATGAGTACCCATGAAACTTCATATGTTTTATACGAGAGACGACGGTTCGGGTCTACTACTGGGCTTAGCAAGCGTGTATAGTTGATTGGCGCATGCGCGGATATCAGGATTTCTCGCAAATCATGGGATGACAGTATGAAATGGCGTATTCTTGGTTCTATATTTTCTGCATCTGCACTCCCCGCTTTTCTCTTTTCTCTTTTCTCTTTTTCCCGGCTCTTGGAAGATTCCACTCTATCTTTCTTAAGATTTAGGGTTGGTAAAGGTATGGTGTGGGTGTTGGTATCGAAGTGAGAGCTAACTCCACTAGACTACCTCAGTATATCCATGAGAACTTTCTGTTGCTCCAATCTCGATGGTATATTAACAATACGCCTGCAGCCTTCAATCCTCGGTTCGGTACTATTAGAGTGGTTGAGTTCCAGTGGTTCAGATTGCAACACTAGCTCTACGATTAACCAACCAGCTGGACAGTAAAGCTTCCAAGGCCACGACGAGAACATGAGGATAGATATCTATGTCTCAAGAACACAGAGACACTCCACACGTTACGCAACGGAGGGACAGAGTCGATGATTGGCTTTATGAATTATCGAAATACTACAAGGGTCGTCACTCCACATTCCAGCCAGTTCACCTTAGCAACCCCTTGTGACCTCATCCTTAGCACGATTCGAGTTTATTCGTCCACGAAATAAAGAGAGAGTCGCCCACATCCCCTCCCCAAGACATGTCTTGGGCTTCTTTTTCGGTAACGTATGGGGGTGGCCGCATCGTATCTCGGGTTTGCTCCTTTTGCTGACACACATTCTCCATGTTCACGTCGCGACCCGATCGGTACCGAGGGATCCTGAGACATCGCCATGCCAACGAGGGTGTCTGAGGGAAAAGGAAGTCGGTTGTATGATGTGTAATGTAGTAGTATTATAGGTTTCCTTCTATAAAGCAGAGCAACGTTGTAGTCTGGCTTGCTTTTGCTGCGGTTTCGGCCCCACTCCTTAGGTCCCACATGTAATGCTGGGCTTGCACTTGCTAGACAAAGCACCTTGCGGGGATTGGAAGCACCAATCTATAATCTAGCAAGATCTGGTACTCTGAGAAGTAATCGTGTGATGCCCATTGCCGTGGTACCGTCTCTGGGTCTGTCCATCGCACTAACCAGCTGGTTGAAGCTTAGCCTTCTTTCCCGTCTTGCCCTCCCTTGCTTATAGAATCACTTCCCAGCTTCCACATAAGATGCTGCACGTCGTCACTCGGTCTGGGAATCTCACACTGGGCATCACTCCAGGTCATAAACCACAGCAACACTCCTACCGGCTAGCCTGAACCGACCCTCGGTGTCTCTTTCCCTCACGATGCACATCAGCATGCTTCTCAGCATGTTCATAGCGACAGCCCTTGCAGCGCCGTTCGACCAAAAGGAGACCCGCAGTACCGGAAACGCCCACGACTCTCTCTGGAAACCAGCAGCCGGTACCAGAGGGCTATGCAACAGCGCCTCGGACAAAGTCATCAGCTTCGACACGGGACCCCAGCCCGAGACGATAGTCAACAATGCCTGCGCCGCCATGATGCCCACTTGCGCATACCAGGAGCACGTTTCACATGACGTTTTCTGCATCCAGACCGTAGACTGGCAGCTCCCCGGGCCGAAGAACAGTACGCAGCCCGCCAATATAGAGGCCAAGGCGAGCAACGCGGTTGTCAACGGGTGGGTCATCAAATGTAAGTCGCTGCTACACTAACGCAATGTTTTCTACGAGGCTGACCTGTGCATTATAGTCGCTGTAACGCCTGCTCAGCAGCCACCAGAGTCAGCCGGCGTATTCTGGACTGTGGCAGACTGTTATGGGTACTTTGTCTACTTGCTGGCGGGGTGCCATAGTCAGCAAGGCTTTGGCGTTGGCAGAATTGTCGTGGGCGGCAACACTTCGCTGAACGGGACTATGCTCGAGACTACTATCGTGCCAGCATAGTAGCATGTTTTGTCTGCGTGCTTTGTTTTATCTGTCGCTTCTCTTCTCCTGTTGTATCTCAGGGTTATAGGCGGTAGGACGGATTGAATTAAATTGATGACTCCGGCTTTGTCGATTCACCTCTTCTGAACAAGTAATGTGGTTCTGGGATAAGATACAGTGGTAGATTTGATAGTCTGCTGTATGTTTCAAGTTTGCTATCGTGGCTTATTACAATTCGAGATGGTGATATGAAGGTGTAGTCTTGGTGGCATTCTGTATGTCAAATCACTGTGCTTCTTGCCATCGCACTTCTTGCTACCACAGTTAGATACCCCCGATCAACTTACGATGCATAAAGACACTATTGGCAATTCGGGAACATATCAAAAGCCTCTACGCCATTCAAGCTATCGCTCATTCTGTAAAGGTACTTGAGGCGCGGAGATATTTGTGGTTATATTGTATCTTCTAGGATGTGTCGAGCTGGTTGCTAGCTATGGTAGTAAACCTTATCATCATTCTCCTAATTGGTACCAGCTCTTGGGATGCTTTCCATCGAAGCATTAGAACATGCTCGTGCCAGTGGTCTCAACGACAATACTAGTGTATCAATATACTGCTGAGATGGGTATATGAGCTTTGTGTTTGCGTAATGAGAGCTGATATAGAGCGACGTCGAAGAATGGGGGTTGTTGGGTGCTGAAAGTGTCCCCACGATGATGATCGCTCTATTCGACAGGTATCCGTTTGGGACGGCCCAACGGACTATCTGGATCCCGCTCGACCTTAACATACTTTCCTCCGCTACCGTCACCCCACATAGCCCAGACCCAGGATATTCTATCTTCATCTTCCCATGGAAGCCATCCCCACTGACTCCACCTGCTGGCTCCCGACCATCCGAAACAAGGATTGTAACGATGGCGCGGGGTAGGCCGTCCCCAATAGATACGATCCACAAGAGAGCAGCCGTAGTCTATGAGTGTGACTCGCATGTTAGGGGCGGCATAGTTTGAAGTATTATCTATGATAATGTTCCTAGGTTCCAAGTCATAGTGTTGGACGCCCGCAAGACGAAGATCGTAGTCTGCTTCTATGACTTTGCGCATAATGTTCTCCCGCTCTTCCTTTGTCAGATCATCGGGATCAAGGTCCAGCATTCGCACACCAGGCACATATTCGACCAGTATCATTCGTACTGCTCGGGTCACGGGCGCGCCTCGGACCCGCTGGGTGATGTCTAGGGTCCATGAACCGAAGTACTTGGGAATGACACTGCCTTGAATATCGGGGTCGACAACTTCCATGTAGGCTGCTGCTTCGATTGAATACTCCGAGTCCGCTAATGCGACGCAATCGAGCTTCCTTCGAGGGACATTGTACAAGTGAAATTCGTAGTATAGTGGGTCGTATATCTTCGCAACAAGGCCAGTGTCTGTAAGCAGGACCTGAGCGCCACAGTCGTCTCCCGTGCGGATGATGTCAGTAATGGTGATGCACTGACGGTCTTCCAAGAGTGTCAGTCCTTGTGCCGGGGGATGTGATTTACACCACTCGAAATGATCAGAATTCGGCAAACCATCGAAATACGGTATAAAGTCATCGGAGTAGATCCCTCCATATGGCGCCGGCGGCTGATGGCGCATTGCTACAAAGCTGGCACCAACGACGTACGGATTAGGCGGCTTTCCGGTCGGCGCGACAGGCAGCGAAGACAGGCCGTTGGACTGATCGCTGGAGAAGCTCGACATGTTGAGTGATATGTTTCGGTGGTTGAGGTCGTACTCAAGTGTGGATTGTGTTGCAACACCGCAAGTGTAGAGTGTGGTTTATGCGAATAACTGTTTTGTGTCATCCATGCGGGGACTGTGTTAGGAAAATGAGAGAGTTAAGTGATACTGTTCTCTCCGTGAACGGGCATCTGTTCATACAGAGGGGAAGCAAAGAGGAGGCCGTGCACTAAGCGAGGTCGGGCACATGATGTTGGGTGCGTGAGTGAAACACGTGCGATTAATCTAAACTACCAGGTGGGTGCAGGTGGAAGCTGATTTGGAGCGCACTAATGGGCCAAATATTGACTATTGGCATGGGGCAAGTCGCAACCAATACGAGATACTGCCCGCATGGTTCGGCTTCACCCTTTACATTGCTAATTTCGTTGAGTACTACCTTTATTGATGGCCTCCTAGAATGAAGGCACTGTAATGGACCTAAGTGAAGCACAAGCGGCCCATCGCCTACGAAGATTGTCGCGTCTAGTAAATCCAGCGTACGATGATGGATGAGGGTTCGTCATTTCCTCCCCGGTAACAAGAGAAGAAACAATACCGTAACGCAAGATCTAGCCGAAGGGAACAACAGCCGGGTCTTGCTAGCATTGTTTTGAGGATTGACCCTGCTAAAACCCAAAGAACCGTGATGACGTAGTCACAGGCTTGGATTGGTCGTGCGTGGCGGTCGGTTTGGATGCACCAAATATTTTCACGTTCAATCAAACGGGCTATAAATATGCATAAACGTAGTCTGTGCTAAGATTCTCACTTCATGAGCCATAGTACATTTAGTGTTGATTCAAAAAGTAGTATTGCCCTTTCTGACTTGCGCAAACGCATTCCAAGTCGATAAGCCTGGCAAAAGATAAACGCGCCGTTTATAGGGTATCTTCTTTCATCCTGAATAATTTTTGAACACCAGTATTCTACCAAACAAACCCTTGATACTGGGAGTAGGTAAGACTTATGTGGTGCGCGTGGAACTGCTGTAGCTACAGCGCTCGTCTGCCCCCTTTGCCTCACTGCTGACACTAACACCCGAATCCGACCCGTTCACCAAATCATTCCACCCTTGATAAACTGGACGCTTTTCTGGGGTATTGGGATCCCAAATGACGGGAATAAACCGCTCATCTTTACGAAAATGTCTCCACAACCACTTGTCCGCCTCCCTACCTGAATCTGAGCACCATCCCTCGGTCGAGAACTCGGACATGTGGCCAAAGTACCGCAAGATTGGCGATACCAGCCTTGGATGCCACTTTTCTTTGAGCAGCTTTCCTTTCCCGGCGGACCTACGCTTCTCGTAGTAAGGGTGATTCACGACCGAGGCGATATTGAAGTCAAAGACCTTGACCTCGACCTTGATGTCTTTTATCGGAATGTTCGGGTTGGAGTACTCATCACCGAGGACGATGATGTTGCGAGGGCAAAAGTCGCGGTGCATAACACCAGCATTACAAATGATAGCTTCTGCATGCAAGGCTTTCTTGAGAATCAAGGACCGCACCGGCCGTCGCAAGTATGCAGTACAGATATTCTCCATGCTGTCACCAAGTAGTCGTTCGATGAGAATGAGTCGTACGTGTCGCCTGTTCGTCTTTTGCTGTCCAACCTTCCCAACTACCGTCTCAACTTCGATGGTCCATGTGCCATGAAATGCTGGGGTAACGCCCTTCGCAGCTGGCGAGTTTTGAAGCTCCATATAAGCGGCGGCTTCGCGGCTATAATCACCATCGGCATTTGTAATAACGTCTTCCCTATAACCAAACTCATTGATTCCCTCGTAGTAAAGTGGATCGTAGATTTTGGCGACCATGGTATCGTTTACCACCACAAGCTGCGCACCTCGATCATAACCGGTTCTTATAGTCGAAGTGATTGTCAGAGGGTTTACTTCGCCTAGATACGTCTGGCCTTCCAGTAGAGATTGGGAAAGACAGTATTCGGTTTGCGAGAGTAACTTCCAGTTCTCCTGCACCAGAGGGGACTCGGTACTATAACCTATGCCGAAGGGCGCCGGCGGCTCGTGCCGATGTGCAGTAAAGGTGAATCCTTTGACATAGGGCAGTCGCGGCTTGCAGTCATAGCCATAGTCGCTCTCTTCCGACTCGCTCAGATCATGGTCCGGGTTCTGTGCTGTCAGGCTAAGTGTGGAAGCGATCGAGTGAGGAGATGAGGTCGTGTTACAATCAGACATCGGACTTTTGCGCAAGGGCTGCGAATGTTGTGCGTCTGCGCGATTATTACTCCACTGAGTTTAGGGTTTTGGTTTATGTGATACAGTTGAGTTGTTGCGTGAGTGTGAGGATGTTAGCTTTAAAGAGTGTGGGGCGCCAAGATCCGCTTACACAATGGCGCGCTATCACGTGAATGTTCATTCACCGTGGCTTCATATATCTGCTAACAATTCACCATAGAACTGCCACTTTGACGCAGCAAGATAAGAAAAGCCCCCAGTTCGTTTTAGGCAGCAGGGGCTTTTTCACAGACTTCGGGCTGTGTCAACAATGTCGCGTTTTCACAATGGGCGACGCAGCATGGTGGAAACCAATCATTTTGGAGAAATGCACAATGATACCCAATGTGCATTCACTATGGTAGTTTATCTACAAACGGTATCAATATAGCTGTTGCTGGGGCTCTGATTCATGAAGTTGTAGGCAGTCATAACCGATTGCTTGTATCCAGCGAGCCTAAAACACATATTGTGACCTGGTAGGGGCTTGGAATATAACATTTACCTCTACCAAAGCCCATACGATCCGACGACTCAACCATCGAGTATACCGGCACATCCACCCCTACTGGTATAGTGAAGCAGTATGAGCAACCAACGTGCTCCAGCTTCATCACCGCCATCGCCAACATCCTTACTTGAATGCTTCGAGCAGAATCTTCCACGCCTGGGTTTATCGCCAGGACCGGTGTACAAGTCAGTCAAACCATCGGGCCGGACTACTGAAAAGGCAATTCCACCAAAGGTTCTGTTGTGTTGCACAATCAACCTACTCGAAGATTTCGCAGACTCTACGCTTCAACAAGACAAAAAACTGAGAGACCGACTGAGCACGAGAGCCTTAGCTACGAGCCTTCCTGAATTTGCCCTAGAGACTGAGGCAGACGTTGTGGAAGCGTCTGCCCTGTACATCTTGGCACCGATCTACGAGATTCTCCATGAGCTGTACGCTGGCAAATGGGTAAGGTCAGCAGAACGCACACATGTAACTCCGAACGAAGAGGCAGAGGAGAAGGAGTGTGTTCGTTACGATCTGACCTTCCAGACTCCATCGTACAATGGAATACAGGGCGAGACCATTGCTATTCTTGAGTACAAAAAACGAAATATGATCAGATACGACGACTTTAAAGCAACATTGCTTAGCGCCCACGCGAGTGAAATCACTATTCAGAGTCTTAAAGATGAGATCGAAGATCAAGACAAGGAGACTTATCTTCAGCGAAATGCTCAAGCGTATTCGAAACAAGTTTGCAAATACGCAGCCACCAGCAGATGTCAACATGTTGCACTCTTCAACTGGGACAACTTGCTGCTCTATCGTTTTGATCGAGCCAAAATAGGAAAAGGAGATACAGGGGATCAAGCTAATCTTACTTGGGTGAACGAAAGTGGAATTGGAGGCAAGTTCGTACAGAAATGCTACATTCGTAAAGCTATCCTTGGTTGGATTCTGAAGGCATTTGAAGATGCTCATATCAAGCGTCGTTAGTTTAGCTATTACGATCCGATACTATGTATCCAGGATCGGCGAGAGACAGCATAGTCATGCGATCGCCAGGGGACCTATTCGCTTGATAGAGATACGGTGTCGAAGACCTTTAGGGTGATGAATTGTATCTGCCGAGGCTAGAGTGGCGTATGTACCATTCAAAGTAAGGGCTAGGGCCATCACAAATCGAAATGACTTTACCAATACGAAGTCGCAATTTGTCGCTACACAAATTACTGTAGCCACAGCCCGTTGAGGATATGCGAAATGTTGAACGATGCTGGTAATCCACTAAAGATGTCAAGTAATCGGGTACTAAAGGTGACAAAAGACCAAATAACTTCATAAAGTGTAGTGCATACCTCTAGGTGCTCTGACAAAATGCGCTCGGGGTTGCAGAGAAGCCTACGTGAAAGCTACTGATGGCGATGCGAGCCAAAAATTGATTACCTCCAAGAGTTGATGAGCATTAAGCAAAGATGATCTAAGCGACTAATTCCACAGCTACTCGTCTTAGCTGCAAACATCTACGTGGTTGAATTTGCGGCCGCAGTGCGCTCCATATAGTATCTGATAGTGCAATGAAGGCATATCTACCTTATGAAAGGCGCAGAGAAAAAGAACTCCCTTCAAATAGTGTGATACATTTCATCAACTATGATTGAGTTCGTGCCGATCATTGTCAAGGAAAGCTGTAAGCAAGCCTGTACGAGGCTCTGGACGAGGATCAAGCTATCAATAGGGGGTTTTACCTTTGAATCATACAAGTGAGTTAGTTGGTGGATTATTGCACTTATCTCGAGACTTTGGTCTTGTGCACTCATGTTTCCATAATCGACTCAATTGAAGGCTTCTAGGGCCATGATAGGCGTGACCAAGGGCATGTCAGGCTCAAGGGAAAATGTGAGAATGGTCACCAAGGAGTGGAGAAATAACGATAGTATGAGGGTGGTGTCCGCGGGCAGCTGTTCAGGGTGCCTACTTAGATCTGCTTTAAGCGTATTTTATGTCCTTTGCGCGATCATACACGAGGTGCGCAAGGTGATCTGCAGGCTTTGCGGACACCGGAGCGCCGAGCTATGATGAGTGTGATAAGTGCAATGTTCAAGGACACCCTAAAAATCTCTGGTATAGAAGATGTATCGCTCTGGGCTGGGCGCGGAGACCTTCATAGGGATGCTGTTCGGGTTCGCTATATCTTGTGATGGGTGTATTGTGGATATGGAAGTGGGGGCTCAAGCTTTTAGACACCCAATGGGTTTAATGAAAAATGAAACGATTGCATTATATCCAATTGAGAACGCTGATATTTACTGCCTTGTTTCTGTTGTCGGTGGTGGGCTGTCGGTGGTCATGCGGTGGGCACCATGGGTGTACACGTCAACATAGCGACTAGTACTTACCACTAGTAATGATTTATACCACTAAACAGAATTAAAGGAGTATTAGTCGACTCGGATGTAATAGTTGCGCTGCAGGAAGATGCCTTCTCAAGTGACAGGTCAGGTCTCAGACGCTGAAGTGGTTCTTAGCCACCTGCAACCTTGAACCGCGACATCCTTCTTTCTGCAACACTTGGTCCGAATATTATTGGTTTGTGAACGCCTCCCAACATACTGAGCTGAGATGTCGATTGTGTTTGGACGCTTGTCGAGAAACTGACCTTGGACGAAATACTCCTATCAAGAAGGAGGGAACCAACCGAAGTCGCATAACCGTATGGCATCTCGGGCACATTTAGTCTCCCGTTGAGGATCAATCTTTGCCTATGAGGATATTTATTTGGACATTGCGCTATAACAAATCCATGGTACTTCTACAGAATGTAGGTCTTCAGTGGGACCAGAACTGCCAGTCCGTTGAACTCCCACCGAAGCACTCAAAGAGACGGTCAAGATCCTGTTCGCAGATAAGGCATCTGCAAAATAAGACTCCCAGAGTGTAGCCGTTCTCAATGAGACCAACATGCAGGCCGATTATGCGAGCATGGGTTTACCCGGTCATCCTACCATAGCTCAAGGACGAGCCCCTTCCAATCAAACAGTTCGGTCATGTTCTGGAACAAACAATTGACCGGAAAAGACCTCCAACAGACAACATCTTACTTTCCTAAATACGACGTGGGGTTCTGCCTTACGCAAGTGAAAAGTAATAGAGCGCACGTGGAGTTGCATGTCAGATCCGGGAACCAGTCAGGTTCACCATGCACTCCTGCCGCTCGCGGATCTGGCAGGCACCAGCTCATGCAGTATTATAGACCGCAGCTAAGCGATGCTTCGAAGCTTGGCATGAACCCCTGTTGAAGTGCTAGTCTAGAAGAGCACGAGAAGGACATCGTTTCGAACCATAGATACGCGGTACCAGCTGACTTTTATCTCCACAACAGAGCATGGCCTGAAAGTTGGGCAGATTGTTCAAATGCCTTGACACTGGAATAAACTAAAATTTGCTACGTTAGCAGTCTCGCTACTAGGTGCTCTCTCGGCTCGACACGTTTCTTTTCACACCCTATTTTTACTAGGCGACCTACTACCTTACAGCGATTCTCTCTTGGTGTAAACGATCGTAGGATATGAGAAAGATAAGACAGTTAATGTCTTCTGAAGTCCAATTGGCGGTCGACTGTTCTTGGTTGTGCTGATGGACTTGATCAAACGTGGGGGATATTACGAGGTACGCTCGATATCCAAGCTTCATCACCAACAAACACATAATGTAACAGGATTCGACTAAGCCCCTCTGTTCTTCCGGTCAGATGCTGATTGTTGGCAAGTATGCCAACCGAAGATGACAATGTGGAAAGTAGCCTCGATATGAGGGAAGTATAAGAACGCAGCTCCATCTCATTCTCTATCCTCATCTTCAGCACTCAATAACATTGAATATACGCTTCAAAAGTCTCATTCAAAGCCCCGAGTCCTTTCAAATAATTAACATGTATGCCCTTACTCTTATTGTGGCGGCCCTCGGCCTCGCCACTGCGGCCCCGTCCCACGACTTCGAGGTCCGCCAGGCTCCTACGGTTGCCTCCATCGACCGCTATACTGCCTCAGGCTGCACTGGTACCATATGCAACAAGGCAGGCGCCGGGGATCTTCATGTTGGATGCAATGTCATCACCGACCAATGCCAGCAGAGCTTGAAGCTCAACTACAAGAACGCCAACTGCAAGGGTGAGTACATGATTAGTTAACCTAAGATGCGAGACAGGAGACCCATGAGAACGTCCACTAATGGAACATAGTCACCATCTGGAGAGATAACGCTTGCAAGGATACCAACCAGTTTGCTAACGTCACGAGCTTCCAATGCTATGAACTTGGTCCCCCTATCAAGGGTATCTCTGTTGACTGCTAGATGGTGGATGTGGAGAAAAAGGGTGCGTTGCGAGCTGGAGCGTTGATCTAGGGAAAGCCTGGGAGACGATATATGGTTCTATGGGTAGAGTTAGAATTTGCCGCAAGGCATGTGAAGATTACGGAAGTGCCATTCAACATTGCAGTCCGTAGCGGTTTGCAGTAATCCACCACATCATATGTACTCGTTTGATATGAGTTGGAGGTTCTCGTGAGACTTTTCAGTGTTTTTGTCTATCTGCTGTATAGGTCAGGCGGGAGGACTTCAGTGTGAATCCACCTGCCCTGCTGACTCCGATAATCCCTCGAATGTATACAGGACCCCTCATTCCCACTCCGTCTGATCTCACTTGCTAGCCCCAAGGAACGACATGCCCTTGATGCGCTCGTTGATGTCGTCCATGCCCGCGACCTTGCCCTCCACCAGATCTATCGCCGTGCTCGGATCCATCCAGAACTCCACCGTCTCTGGGTCCTGCACAACCATGCCCCCATGCACTTCAGTCAGCAGCGCCTTTACAAGCGGCTGCTGGAACATCTGTTCAGACAGATACCCAGGAGCGGCATCGCCCATGCCCAGCTTCCCGAAACCAGCAAAGAAGTCCCCGTGCTTGAGCGACTCCTGGGCGTCGTAGTCCCGCTCCATCTTGTCGATGACCTTTGCCTCCTTCTCCTTGTAGATGACGTACTGCATGGCCCATGCTGGACCATGCTTCTTGTACTCATCGGACGGCATCGAGCTCGCCCTAATCCAGAAGTCCTCGACGTCAAATGCCTGTGGAGGCACAGAGGCCTCGAGCGCCTTCACCGCCTTGCTCATGCGGTCGCGCGTACCCTTCGTCCACTGTATGAGGTCGTACTTGCCCGACTTCCAGCACTTCGCGATCCAGAAGTCGCGGTTCTCGTCCTCGCTGTGGTCGACACGCATCGCCGACTCGAGCCAGGCGTGGATGAAGACTTGGAGGAAGCGGAGAAGCTCAGGGTCCATCTGAGCGCGGGAATTGGGCGTCTCTAGGACGATGTGGGCGAGGAGGACATTGAATCGGATCTCCTTGTGATGGTAGGAGAGCGAGTGTTGCTGGTCCATCTGCCAGTAGAAGGTCGCCATGGAGACGACGAGGTCTTGCTCCTTCTTGCGCGCACGGAACCCAGCGACGGCGAACTTGTTGTAGTTCTCGAAAAGGAAGAGGAGTCGCAGGTTTGGGTGAATGTCGGGGGTCTGCAGGCTCTCGGCGTTCGTGTAGACGTCGGTGATGGTGGGCTTGCGCCCGGAGGGAAACACACGCGCGGGGACCTTGCGGAGCTTGAACTCTAGGAGCTGCGCGGCTTGGACGTGGAGAGCGACGAGCTGGTCGTGCGTGAGAGACATGGTAGGTACTAGTTTGTCTGTCGGGTGCTGTTTGTGAAAAAGGTCAGAGGACGGTAGAGGGGGAAGGCGAGGGAATATTTATAGGACGTGGGTGCGATTCAAAAGTCGAGGTGAAGTGAAATCAGGTGCGATGAAGTCGACGTGAATAATGATTCACGCAGCTATTCGAGCCTAACCAACATACCGACAATGAGGTGAAGCGCTCTAGGCTGGCGCATGACGCGAGGCAATAAACGCTTGAAAAGACCTCAATATACCTAGCCATATCTATAAATGCTGCGCCAATGGCGCCTTTTAGAGACAAGGTGTAGCTATTAGACTTTTATATCTCCCGCCTCTGAGGAAAAAAAAGCATATGAGCTGTTAGATCACAAGCTCATGCAGCAAACAAAAAAGAAAAGCAGCTTACTTAAAAGACACAAACGCGGTTGTAATTAAAAAAAAAAAGCGAGCTAATTTCCCACCACAGTCGGTAGCTGGGCCACGCAACTGTAATGGAAAACTTCGCCCTAGTAGAGACTCGAACCGGCGCAGGCAACGTCGGGCGGGACCAATGTAGTAGCAGGGTGTGAGCCCGCTAGACTAACTTCTCAATGACATCAGTCCCGGCGTGAATCTATGGGATACTTGAAAAACTTATGCTATATATACCCAGAAAACCTATACAGCCTCAGGTTGAAAGTGAAACCCGCGGGACGGGCGCGGGCGTGGCGGATATGAGAGCGGTAGCTGTGTGCGCGTACGCGTAGCGAGTCGAAACTGATAGCCGAGAGAGTTGACGAGGTGAAAGATGATATCCCGATGACCAAGTGTGGTTTACTTCACCCACCGGATACTTTTCTGCGTAATGAATAGCGCGCATGGATTAGGCAGGAGGCAGTAGACAGGTCGACTTGTGTATGATGAATTAAGTGGACATGTGCGTGTGTAGATTTTACGTAGTGCATACAAGATTGAGTCCAGTTTGAGAGAAATGTTGAGACTGAAAGGTGGCAATGATGAAGTGACGTTGCGTGAAATTGAGATTGAAGTTGAGATTGAAGTAACTGAAGGGAGTCGAGTGAAACTACGGGAAAGGTACCGAATAAAATCCAAAGTAACAGTCCAGGCAATGGCAGGGTGAAATATTGGTGGGGCTCCGATCAAACTAATAGCATTGGACCTCCGGGCTAAGTTGTCTGTACAGACGTCAAGAGGCCAGCATCCATTCCAGTATCCGGAATCCAGGGCTGTCACGGTGCGATAGGGTGGTGGCCGGCACCTTGTGATACATTATCTCATTTCATACTTTACTATGCCGCGAGAATCGCTCGAGCGGAGTTACCAATGTGAGTTCATTACCCTGATGCGTAGATACCGATACATGCAATCCTTACGCCTACCATGTGTCCGAAAGTTTACGCACTTGGAAGTCTCAGCGCCTCCAGCTTTTCTACCTGCCTTTTCAGCATGACCGACGCACCCAAGCTAATCTTACGAAGGCCGTCGCGCTCTCCCTCCTCGCTACCGCTGGCGCTACCCTGCACTGTTTCTTTCGCAGCTTCGATTGCTTTGTCCAGAAGCTTGGGCGCATCATTGGCCTGACTCCTGTACAAGTACTCCAGCTCTTCCTTGAAGGGTGTGATGTCATTTGTGAGGGCATGATGAATGAATGCGCGGGCGCGAAAGTATGCACGTTCGGTATATAGGGCGCTACTGAGTTTCGTTTCTGGCGCCGAGCGGTGAACGTCGTAGCCTGCTTCGTTATAGTATGGTTCTTTCACTAAGACGAGCCCCATGAGTGAGACCAAGACCTGAAGTAGTGTGCTCTTTGCGGGACTCCAGCTCTCATTCCGCTCATCAGTGTGCCACGTTCCCAACAAGCTCAGACATATCTTCCCATCCTCATACAGATTAGGGTTGACGGGACCGTTGCCGTTGGTCCAGCTGTGGAAAAAGGCTTCGGGGGCCACTTGCGGGTATGAGGAGTCGAGGTGGAAGTCAATGACAAAAGGTGCGTATTCGTAGGGTGTGTCATTGGGGCCGATCATCAGCACGCGCAGAAGGTCTAAGCGGGACTCCCAGGTGCGCACGAAGATGCCCGGAGGTAATGAGTTACGTAGGATCTTGTGTTCTTTTGCGATACGTCGCATTAAGGCTGATGAGGATGCTGATGATTGTGCAAGGTAATGGTGGTTAGCCGGCGGAGGTGCGTCGAGGATAAGAAAAGATGATGGCATTTCTGCCACTGGCTCTGGGTTATCTTGGTCCATGAGTGAACTATCGTTTTGTGATTCCTGTGGTGCATCTTTTGGCTCTTCTTTTGAGAGGGGTGACTTGCTCTCGGGTGTTGTTTTTGATGTGTCAACGCCGTCTGCTTGTTCAATGAGATCCGACATGGACTCATCGTCATCGACATCCTCCTCCTCTTCGTCCTCTGTAGACCAGTCTTCTTCATCGCCGACAGTGTGTTCACCGTTCATACCCTGATACTCAATCCACATCTCCTTGTAAGTCGGAGAGTCGGACATGTCATCTTCTTCGTCCGAGTCTTCGATTGAGTCACCGTCCAATTCCTCCATGTTCATAAACTCGTCCGCCATGTCGCTGCTATATGCGAGAGTGACCGACTCATAGGGCACCTTGACGTCAACCACCGGCTTCGCTGCGCCCAGACGAACGGTGAGCTTACCGTCTAAGCCCAAGTCAATGACTTCTCCAAACCAATCAGGGCCAGCAAGATTCAGTGGTGCCTGCAGACCTTCAATCGAATCTGGATGCACCAGGACGAAATCACCGCGCCGTCGTGTCAAGGCAGGGAATGAGTAGATGTCGTACAGGCTGACGTCCTCGATGGCTTCATTTAGCTCGCCCGTAGTCGAAGGTCGAAGCAAATCCGGGCCAAAGAATTCAACAGCAGGGTTCTTGAACCAGCGTACTGTCGCAATTCGATCACGACCTTTGACAGCTTGTACGACACCAACTTTGGCTGGTTTCTTTGTCCAGTTCTCTTCGGTGCTTCTGCCCTCGCCTACCTCTTTGGAGAAGACAATCTCTCCGGGCCACACCTCATCATCATCCTCAACATTGGGGTCCGGTAGTAGTGTTGAGCTCTGGTCGTCGGTAATTGTAAGGTCCTGCCATTGTACAGTGACTTGGCTGTGAGTCTGCATGACTAGAAACACGTTCAAGTCGTAGCCTAGTGATTCAGTTCGTGCTATTCGTGTTAATTTGCCTTGGGGGTATCCGTTTGGCAGGGTACGGGTACCGTCATATTTGACAGCGGCTCCGGTGATGTCCTTGAAGCTGACTCTGTCGCCGACGGCTACATCGGCGACGTGATATGATCGATCGGTGCCGTTGGCGGATATGGGTAGGGTGGTGGCGGTTCCTCCTGATGCGTCGTACTTGTAGAAGGTGGAACTTTCGAATTCATCGCGACTCAGGGTTGCTGGGGGCTCTTCGGCGGAGAAGGCAATATCGCGCGCTCCGATGCTCCTTGCTAGCCACTGCACGTCGATGTCGATTGTCCTTGTCTCCACCACCATGCCTTGTGGCCGTACATTCGGATCGAATGCGCCATATCTCCAGCGGCCTCTCCTTAGGTTGCCCTTTTTTGTTTTCACAGTGTCGCCAACACTGAGGCGCTCGACAGTGATATCGTCCTGCTCCAGCTCGCTTGGGTCCTCGACGATGACTACCGAGTTGTTTGACAGCTTGACAGCCACCTCATCGTAGACGTTCTCGATGCGGCCCACCCAGTCCCCGTATACTACCAAGGCACCCTCGACAAACTCGTGGACGTTGAGAAGCTCGTCTGCGGGAACGTTGCGTATGGAAAGGTCGTCGGTGGTGGTTTGTGTGATCTGGCCGCCATTGAACATGGTAGCGGGGAAGAGGGTGCAGACTGCCTTGGTCCCGATGACGGTGCCGCTCATGTGCTCGTCCGCATTTCGTTTGACAACATCACCCACATACAGGGCGCGGTCAAGCAGTTGCAGTTTGGCCTCGGGTATCAGCTCAGTCTTCAATTGCGTCTGCCATGAGACGAGCACTGTGCCCCGCGGTGGTATGCCACTCTTGATGAACTTGGCGAAGTCTTCTCTTGGCACGTCAGCATTCCGCTCAATCTCCTCTCCATAGTCTCGCTGTGGCCGGGGCTCGTGTGAGTCTACGTCGCCAAAGGATCTGTCTACGACGCCCACGCTGTACTTGTCGTCCTTCAGGCCCACGGTATCCTCGACGCAGAAGACGACATGCTGCGCGCGCTGCATTTGCGGTTCCAGCGAATCCTGGGGTGGTTCAAAGACACTGGCGGCGCTGAAGAAGGGTATAAGGGTGTTGGAGGGGTGAGGTTGTGCCTGGGGTTGCGGCGAACTGGATAAAGGCTGGTCGTGCGCGAGGCGTTCGGATAGGAAACGGTCCTGGAACAAGTTGGAGAGAATGCGCTCGAGGACGTTCTGCTGGTGCTCTTGGCTATCTTGGTCGTCTGGATTATGGTGGTCGGGGGGTTGAGGGTTGTCGCGGTCCATGGCGATAGTGGCAGCAGCGTGCATGTGAAGAATAGCTGGTGGGTCGTCGTCACATGGAGTAAAGCGCCGCCAAGCGACAGAGCGTCATTCGCGCCGCGTCCACCACCTCCGGCTGATGTCCGCAAACACAACGAGATTACTGGGCGTGCTGGGTTTGGACGTTTGGACCCCAAGCACCGCTACGCTGTTCGACAATGGCAGACCCGCTCTACGAACTGCTGATTCCCTATTTCGATGCCCAAGACATCGATGCACGAATACGCCCCTCCGCGAGTGATGCTGTCACCAACGCCTATCTTGCCCGCCTCACCACCCTACCTCTGGCTGCTCTGACTTCCTCTGAGCTACAGTCGCTATCCCAAAGTTCGCATTCCATCCTACGATCACTCCAGGCCCTCTCCAAACGCTCACATAAACCCATAATATCTTCGACGGACCACCTATCGCACCTCGCTCAGACACTCCCACAGATAGGCCAGCATGCCGCAACAGTACAAGCCGAGCTACCAAAGCTGGAGACGGCGGCACAGAGCTTCGCGGACAAGTATAGCAGAGGCACGGAGAACGCTATACTGGACCGCCGGAGGAAAGCCATGCTGCTGTCGCGGAACGTCGACCGCGTCTCCGATGTACTAGACCTACCTACGCTCCTCTCGTCTGCCATATCCTCATCGACAGCGGCCGCACAAGCTACCACATCCGCTGCGTCTGCAAATGCAAACTATGCTTCCGCTCTAGATCTCCATGCCCACATCAAGCGCCTGCATACACTCTACCCGAACTCTCGCCTCGTATCCTCGCTCACCGCCCAAGCCGAACAGGAGATGAAGACCATGACGACCAACCTCATCAGCTCTCTCCAATCGCAAGGCATAAAGCTGGCAGGCGCCATGCGCACCATCGGCTGGCTTCGGCGCGTCGCTCCCGAACTAGACGAATCTTGGTCCACCAAACAGGCCAACATTGGCAGCGGAGAGGGCACATTGGGCGCCTTGTTTCTTGTATGTAGGCTAGCTTCTTTGGAGATGATGCTAGCAGCATTGGATCCCCTCCGCGAGCTTGCAGATCACGAGACAGAGAAGCGTTTGAGCAAGACAGCCAAGGGCGATGTAGGCTGGGCAGTGGGCCAACAAACAGAAAAGTACCTGAAAAAGTACCTAGAGGTGTTTCGAGAGCAGAGCTTCGCCATCATATCCATGTACAAGAGCATCTTCCCTTCGGCATTGCCGGCCCCAGGGTCAGAGGAAAGCGCACCTGCCGTCAAATCGGTCGCAGACCCAAACCCCCTACAACCAATACCTTCAGCTCTCGCAACCTTCCCACTACAACTCGTCGAGATGCTCTTCGAAGCTCTTCGCGCATATTTACCCAACGTCCAAGATCGCTCGGCAAGAGACTCGCTTCTCACACAGGTGCTGTACTGCGCTGGTTCGCTGGGAAGATTAGGCGGTGACTTCAGCATGATGATTGCGATATTAGAGGATGACTTGAGGGCCGAGTTGGAGCAAGAAGTCGATGAGACGGAAGAGCACGAGATAGAGGAGGAGTGGGTCGAGGTCATGAAGAAACACCGTGTACAAGCATCAAGACTAGAGCTGCTCGCTTCTGGAGTGGGTACTGGAAGGTCAGGCAGCCCTGTAGAGAGATCCAAAAGTCCTCTGAAGTAAAGGCTCTCCAATCGTAGGTCACGCGCCTCGGTAATACCAATGAATAATCCAAAGTTGTCGCCGACTCTGCAACCGGACGCCGAGATGGTGCAGCAGGCGCCGCCTCCAACTCAATTCAGGTGGTACAACTATGCATGAGCAGAACCCAATCAACGATGGCTTGACGACATTATTTGAACGCCACTCGTGTTAGAGGAGAGGACTACCGAAACCGCATCGCCTTGCATATTGCATGGACATCGGCAAGGTGAGAAGTTGGGACTTGTCTTGACGCCAGCAACCCTCACGTACCCTTGAAGACCTCCAGCATCAAATCGATGACACATCTGCAAAACATACAGCGCGCCTTGATGGACCTCAGTGTACCACGTTGGCCGTTATCGTTGTTCCTGGTCACACTAAGGACCTTCATGCCAGCCTATCTAATGCCTCTCTGGTGCCGGCTTTGAAAACAGCTCCGAATTTCATCACTGGGCCGAGCTACTCCAGATAGTTCAGTAAGGTGAATCAGTTTCTCGAGAACGACATGGCCGGAGCATTGATTTGCGGTGCTCCCACACCTCTTTCAACTCCCTTTTCAGACGCTGGCATCTTAGTTATCTAGCTGCCTCTCTGTGAGTGATATGAGACGTCGACTACACGGCAACAAAGTGCTTGAAAAGCAGGACAGGAGCACAAAGTCAATAAAAGGCGCGGGAAGTGGCTTGCCGGCGGTGGTTCACATCTTCTGTCCGTATATTATAAATACCATCGAAGAACTCTTGTTGAGATCCATCACCCTCAATCTCACCATCTTTCGCAGCTTCCAATACCGAAGATGCATTTCAACGCTGCCTTCGTCGCTCTTCTTCTTCCATGCTCTATTTTCGGTGCGAGTTTACTTCCCCGAACGAGCACAGTCACAATCAATGCATGTACATCTTACTTAGTCTGATCTCTGTCAATTAACAATGCGACAGTTTGACAAGTTGACCCCCGCCCCCCTCGGAGGCGTCACGCTTGTCGGCCAGACCGAAGGTCTCGACTTCCCGGCCTACGCAGTCGCCGCTCCCAACGGTGTTGGTCCAGTCGCTCCTTCTCCGTCCAACATCATCAGCACAAGTTTCCGCCCACAGGTCCTTAGCGGTATCACACGATTGAACCCTCTCATCGATACACCTTACTTCACTGTCAAATACCCTAAATCGCCCTATAGCACTTTCGATCTCTTGAAACTGCGCACCGCGTGTATCGCCGCAACAGCAGTTCCAACCGTTACTGTGACACTCAATTGCACCTTGAGGTTTGTGGGGGTACAGAAGAGTGGCGCCGAGAAACCGGCGGTTGATTATACGTATACAGCAAAGCAAGGCTATAGCAACTTCGATACGGTGAACTTTGAAAATGCGTTGAAGGGTGTGGAGTATGTGAGGCTGGAGCTTATATCTAGTGTCTTGCCGGGTTCTGCGGGATTTGTAGCCGCGGCTGTTCTTTTTGACAATTTGGAAGTTGTTTTTCACTGAGTCTGAAACGGGTGGATTGGCGGTTGATGGAGGACTGGAAGATGGGGGTACCTTCGTTTTGCAACTTGATCTTTCTGGCAGCAGATTATCTAGCAATTGACCCAAGTCGCTCGTTCTAAAATCACATTGTTGGAAATATATGCAGTCGATATGTATATCATTGCTCGACATTCAGGTAACTTGCGTGCATACCTAAGCGACACAATTCAAAGCTGAGAAAAGAGCAATGCTAGACAACTCGCTTTCCGGTCGGAGAGATTCAACACCCTCAAGTTCACGGGTAGCTTTCTCTCACCGCCCAGTCGTGCATGTAATCAAAAGCGATTCAGGAAACCCGTGCTTGTGATGGTGCAGTCGGCATCCAGTAAGAAAAGACACATCGGAGGCTGAGAAACAGTACCGGTAGTGTCGCACTGCGGCTTCGGAGGCGCAGGTGTCGGAAACATGCAAAACCCCGATGTCGCTCATAGTTGGTTTCTGAGCATTTCAGCTACAAGATTAAGTTCTTAGTATCGAACCGTCTTTGGGGGTTTTGTTTGGAACAAATTTGTGCCGTGGGATTGTTAAGGTAGCTCTACGCATATGGGCTAGACTCACGGCTCGCTCGCGTGGGACTGCCTTCCATACGATAGGGATCTATTCAGCTCATGCATCATAACGTAAGTAGTAAATTTTCCATACCAGCGCTAGACGTTCAGCTAATGCTACTCGTATACACGAGCAAGTACTTCAAGCTTCATGTTTTTATTGGTGTCTATGCGAGAGACGCACTTGTCAGCTTTCAGGCACTGCTCATAGTAATGCGTGATAGCATGATTGTCATGATATATCAGAGTATCATCATGTCGATATAAGCGTCAAGGGATGAGATAAAGTTGCGGTCTATTAAAGTGTTACTCACATCAATAGTAGTAGACAACCAAAAACTTTAATACTCGAACACGTGTCTCGTGAGGCATCTTCTTGCTAGTATGAATGTGTAATGGGTATGAGGGAAGCCCTTATTCAGAGATGTCCAGGCCAAAATCTACTCTTGTTGTTATCCGCCCAACCCCTGTCATGTGCAACGACAACCTCCACCTCCACCTCTGCACCACCTTCTTCCCTAACATTCCCCTCCTTGAGTAAGCGCGCGATCCTCTTCACTGTTCCAGCCGCTTGGTCTGTATCGGCGTGCACACTCCTCAGCCCACCTTTGCCATCATCATACATTGCGATTCCCTTCTCTCCACTTAAGATCCGTGGATCATGACAACAATCGCCCCCAAGGTACACCCATTTATTCGGGTCTATCCGAGCAAGGAGATTGACATGCCCAACAAGATGACCCGGCGCGTCGATGATATATACCGAGCCGTCACCGTAGAAATCCACTGCAGCGGGGAAACCCGCCAAGGACGACCAAGTGTGACTAGTTTGCCGTGTGAAAGCTTTCTCCTTGTCTTCTTCACGAACAGGTACGAGTTCACGCGTCCGCTCAAGAGGTAGCTCGTCGGGGTTGAAGAGCTCGGCAGGGTACAATGGCCCACCGCCATTAGCTAGTAAATGCATCGTCCCACTTCCCACTACAAACTCCGCATTTGAGAAGTCGCTCGGTGTACCGACGTGATCCCAATGTACGTGGCTTAGTATTATCGTATCCACGTCCTTGGGATCCAAACCCCCTTTTCGGACACTATCGGCGGCGTCTGGACTCACAACGGTTGGCTGACGCTGTGAAATATGATGGGCTTGTGCTTCTCTGTAGCCAGAGAAGTCGCGTTTGAGGCCGAGGTCGAAGACTAATTTATCGGTGTTGGAGGAGTTTTGATTCGATGTATGTTGTATGAGAAAAGAGAGGGATGGGACTGTTGCTCGTTTCTCAGGGTCGGCATCAGTGACAAACAGCTTCTCCGGAAGTGTAAGATAGCCGGCATCGAGAGCAGATATAGTCACATAGTTTTGAGGGTGTGCTGGCGCTGGGAGTGTAATAATTTCTGCATCTGTAGCCATGGTCGAATACGGGTTGCTGCTGGTAGGCGATAAAGTCGGTGTTGGTGTGATTAGGTTCTAAATTGCGTTGAAGAGAAGGCAGGCAATATTCATCTCATGCCATACATATGAGGTAGAATAACCATTACTAGAGCCTCGGCGAACTTTTGGTGTTTTTGTGTAGCCCCACCCTAGTACCTGTATACCCCGCTGCGGGGATTATTGTGGAGCTTGGGGAATAGCGTATGCTCGAACGCAACGAGCGACAGGCCGACTGCTCCAGTTTAACATTGTTAACGTATCTGCAATTTTCCTATCCGAGATTTTTCTTTATTGAATTCTTGATATTAATGATGGCATCCAATCTACCAACCTCGATGCAAGCGCAGTTCCTTGAGAGCTACAAAACGCCCTACAAACTGCGTACCGTCCCTCTTCCCAGCCCTTCAACACCACACGATATCCTCATTAGAGTAGACGCAGCGTCATACTGTCACACGGATTTTGTCCTTGCCGAAGGACAGATGCCAGGTCTGCCAAAGAGTTTCCCTCACATTGGATGCCACGAATTTGCCGGCACAGTGATTTCGCATTTCAAATCACCCAGTGAGAAAGCAAGCGAGCTAAAGGTCGGCGCAAGAGTGGGCGTTCCAGGCCGAGCGTTCCACGCTTGCGGAAATTGCTTTGAATGCAAGAAAAATCGACCAAAAGACCTGATCGCAGAGGATGATGAGGGTTATTCTGTGCATTGTGTCGATGCCGAAAATAATGGGTTGAGCAGACATGGTGGATTTGCGGAGTACGCTATCGTTGATGCACGACAGGTAGCTCCGATACCAGACTCTCTGACAGCGGCTGAGACAGCGCCGCTGATGTGCGCTGGAGTTACCATATACGCGGCATTGAAAAGGTGCGGGTTACAGGTGGGCGACAGAGTGGGTATACTCGGAGCTGGAGGGGGGCTGGGGCATCTCGGCTTGCAGTATGGCGTACATATGGGATACAAAGTGCTAGGCATCGAAGCAGCAGATTTTCCTCTGGCGCTGGCCAAAGATGTTGCCCAGCGCCTGAATCCACAGCCTCATATTGTGGATGCAAGAGCCGAACAAGCGTCTGTATTAGTCCAGAATCTCGGTGGTCAGGATGGCAAAACACATGTAGGGGAGATGGGGCTCGACGCGGTCGTCATCCTTCCGGAGAGCCAGATAGCCTTTGATTACGGCATGTCAATGCTCAAGACACACGGAACCTGCGTTGTGGTGTCTTTTCCGGAGAAAGGCTTCCAGTTCTCGGCTCGGGATGTGGTATTTCGAGATATCAAGATTCTCGGCAGTCTGGTAGGAAGCAACAAAACCTTACGCGAGATGTTGGACTTTTCTGCCAGACACAATGTTCGTGCCATCTCAAAAAGCTATCCACTTGCAAGGCTGAATGAGCTCGTGGAGGAATACAATAAAGGCAGCGGGGGAAAGTTGGTCGTGGATATGACACGAAAGGAGTAGAAGAAGGTTGGATTATGAGCAGTCCGATCAAACGTACTCCGCCTGTTGTATTAGCTTGGGAACAGCAAGCGCAATTTTCAAAATGTGAAGCCCGTTGTAAGCTCCATGCCTTGTTCATAGGTAATGATAATGTGAATTGGGAGCAGCACCTGAAGAAAAGAATAGGACTTCAGTCAGACTCCAACATGTCAGCATACAGATTGAGCGCAGTTCCGATGACGTCCACGATCGCCCAGGTTTGCGATCCTTTGAAGATCATCGCCCAAACTCGAAGTACACCTGCACTCAGGTGTTTGGTATAGCTTGGCGACCCGGCTGGAACCTCTGGTGGGACTGCAAACTCTGTCTCATCCAACATGCTCTTTACGATTGCGATGATCCTACTTTCGTCTTCTGTGGCCGGTGGAACTGGGTTGGGTACGGAAAGCACTTCCAGCCATTTACTCATAAGGTACGCGCACTCGAGGGTACAAAGGGAATGCTGTATCGACCAGATGAAGGACTGCGTCTTTGCGACTAGGCGGTATCCTATCTTAATGGGTATAGAGAGCGCATGAGCCGAATGTAGCACAGCTCTAGTGATCTTTGGGGACCGCTTGATGGTCGGACCTGCCCGGAATGCGTTCGCTATAAGCATGGGATCCCGCGTCTCCAAGGCTCGGCCCGCTGTATCAACGTACAGTCGAATATAAGCTAAACGAAGCAGCGCAGTGGAGTTGAAAGCCACTGGGCCATCTGGGCTTACGGGGTCCAACGAAGACTCGGGATTTTGACGCCAACCCGTTTGCCAGTTCCGTAACGCTAGCTCTAGTGCGGATACATCCTCGAAGCTCAGGTCGCTAGGACCGTCGAAGCGACAGCGAGCGACTTGACGAAGGAAGAAGATTTGCTGTATCAACGCGTGGATCAACGCGTAATTACCAGAGGATGAGTTGCCTTCCGTGACATCTCGCCCATTCTTTGAGAACAGCCGCTTCAACGCGTCTTGGAACAGGACCTCAGGAACGCTCTTCTTTCTTGCTTCTTGCCACAAGGTTTCAGTAGGTGCCTTGAACTCTGCTGCACTACAAGGTAGTGGTAACTTGACTTCTGACGTAAGTATAAACGGTGGTATGTTGTACACTATACAGTGTAGATTGGAGAAGCCATAGACGATGAGTTTGGTTCGTTTGATGCTTTCTCGTCGAATCCAATCCAACCAAGGAATATCTTCGCGAAGCAGATCATCTTGCAACCCGTCATCCCTGATCAAAGTTGCGATAATACTCTGAATGGCAAGTGCTTCTCGAAGAATCTCTTTGTGCTTGGCCCATGTGCACAAGGCCATAAGGAGCAGCAAAGCCTGCGCTGTCTGCATGAGATCTTCTCCTATACCAGAGCAATCTATTTCAGATGGAAGACCAAGAGGCCCAGAAATGGAGCAACTGCGCTGCGGGCTAGGCATTCCTGATAAACGGCCAAAATCTTGAGACGATGCGCAATCTTGATCCGAGTGACGCTGAAGGTGGACAAGACGTGCGTCCCTCCTTCGAATGCGAGATGTAGCAATTGCTCTGCTTACATGAAAGAGCTCAACACCTCTTTCTCCTTCGAAAGTATACTGAGCGCCTACGGCTGCCAATGCTAGGATGAGTTCAATGGAGCAAGTTTGAACGGACATGCTAGGTATGTGAAGAAAAGGCATATGTTCGTGAAAGCCATTGATATATCCAGCAATGTACCTACACAGTGCCAGTCGCGTAGGTAGCTTAAAGTCGTTTGGGATGACAGAAGCAAACTCATTGAGCATTTCTGAAATCTTCTGTCGATCATCATGAGAAATATCAGCTATCGATCGTCCTCGTAGTCCATGTTCTTGTGCAATATCATCTGGCTGCAATGAGGGAAATCGAGATCCAAACCGCGAGAACGAATGTGATTCCTCCGCATGGGTCGGTCTCCAACTTGGTGTAGGCGCTGCCACTGTCTCAGCCCCAGGCAGTAACTCTTGGCCATATCCTAATGAGTCTGGCGAAAAGAAAGGCATAGGCTGCTCAGTGTTGATCAAGGAGGTGAAGTGATAGGAGTTCAATGGTTCGTTATCGAGGAATGACGTAAGGCTGTCCAGTGACTCCTCCATAGTAGAGCTATACGCGTGCAGTGGCGAGCCATTATGTACTATGGAATGGGGCTCCCCGACTGGTCTTGAGCCTGTGTCGGAATGCAGAGGAAGTGCGGTTCGCAAGTCCTCCGTTCTCGAACTTCCATTCTGCATGTTACCTTGCAGTGCTTGGTACTCTGCAGCCATGGAGAGTGCGGTCAAGGAGTACTCGTTACTGTGGTCAAACGTCATGGAGTCAAGCGATACCGCAGGGTGATGTTGTGAAGCGTGCATCTCTAGGACAGTAGGTGAGGATATCAAGGTGGATATTACTGGCGCAGGGCGTCCGGCATCGTTGCTAAAGCGCATGCGCTTCTGTGGCCGAGCATCGACTTGAATGTCATTGTCTTCGGTAGAACGTCGTTGATGACCTGGCTGGTTGTTGTGGTCCTTGCGGTGGGTCAATCGCTCATGTCGGACAAGCAAGTCACTTTACTCATAAGTCGACGGTTTCCAATTGCTGAAGAAGATTCGTACCTGCGAGTAAACGAATAGTTACATTCAGCGCAACTGAAAGGTTTCACGCCACTATCTTGATGCCTGTCAGAAGCATTGCGCAATCGCTTGTAGTGGTACTTACGGATGCGCTCATGCCGCTGTAAATGTTCAAGTCTAGCGAATAGTCTTTGACAGTGAGGACACTGGAAACGCTTTTCCTTCTTCCCCGCCTGGGCCTGTGACACTTGCTCACTGTTGGCGGCCGTTTCCATGGAGAGTGATGCGTCTCACACACGGACACGCCTAGACCACCAGTAATCCAATAAGGCCGTTCGAGACAGCTTCGAGGAGCTGCAGAGAGATTTGGAGGCCGTCGGTGCAAGTCGTTGCAGTCGGGGATAATGATGGCAAGAATGTGGGGAAGTGGAGGAATTGTGGAGTTGGCATGCGGGGTTAGATTGCATACTACCCGAGGCGTGTTCCGAGGTTTTGAACAGTTACTAGACCAAATTCGGTACAGTTCGGATATTCAAGATACCATACGCGTAAGTATCGGTGAGTACAGGTTAGAATAGGTCTGTCGGTGATCCATAGGCTGTAAGTACATAGGATGAAATATCACGTCGAACTGAAAAGCGGGGAACTCTGTGCAGGTGGTACTAAAAGCCACAGTCATCAGCCACCAGCCTATCATGCTTGATGTACATTATGCGTTCGTGTCATGCTCACACATCACATTTGAAGAGTTATAGAAAATCAATGTATTGTGAGGCTTCAGCGCCAAGAATTCGAAATTATATCTTGCCAGCTCGCGTCTAGCACGGCCCCTCGGCAACCGAGACGCCGCCGCGCCCTCAACCTTCTCGCGACATGGTTTATGCCCTCTCGCTCCTGTTCGCCAGCTCCCGGGGCATCTCTCCCTTCTCAGCCATGTCATTGAGAACCTTCTCGGCTGTTTTCATAGCATCTACGCCCGCCGGAACGCCGCAGTATGTTGTTGCGTGAATGATGGCCTCGCGGATCTCGAGTTCAGATAGTCCATTATTCCTGGCGCCTCGAATATGGACAGCAAGCTCGGGGGCGCGATTGAGCGCCATAAGCATGCCAATGTTGAGCAGACTTCTCTGCTGTTTTGTGAGACCTGGCCGCGTCCAGGCATAACCCCAGCACCACTCTGTTACGATCTCCTGGCCAGCTCGTGAAAACTCCGTTGAGCCATTCTCCAATGCGCGGTTGACGTACTCGTCCCCCACCACACTCCGTCTCATTTTCAATCCTTCTTCAAACATCTGCTTGTGGAGTTCATCGTACTTCGGGTCGGTCGACATGTTGGGCTTGTCGGGCGATATGCTGGTGGGAGAAGTGAAAGGTGAGAGGTGTACGGTTTGAATGTCAATGACTACTAAAGCTGGGCTGAAATTTGAACGAAGATTCTCAAGAGAAGTTTCTACATCACGAACGTCTTTGAAGGCCTCGAGACTGCCCCTCACTAGGTTGCCGACCCTGGTGGCTACCCCAAATTCTCCAACTTCTCCAACACATACACGATTGCATTATCCGCATAATCAAATCCTCCGACTTCAGTTGAATCTCGGAGTAATCTGCGAAATATATTTCGAATTGAAATTATAGCATCCGCAAAGTGGTCCAAATGTTCCTAATCGTGTGGTGAAACACCCTTGCAAGATAAAACTCCAAAAAACATGGAGCTTTGCAAAATAGTTACTTGGCATTCGAAAAGTCTTATTGAGTTTAGAATTAATAGATCAAGAACCATTTAACCTCGATTGCCAGTCCTCTTCTCCGCCGAGGTAGCGATAAACTACACGAGAGTCTAGATCTCGACAACGAGGATCATTTGCAGCACCATCATACGTCTCGAGGCCGATCTCGCCTAGTACGTTCCGTGAACCCACACGCTTCGCCATGTCAACTGCCAGGCCAAAGTCCTTGCGCATCAACTGCACCTTGAAGCCCTGCTTCCAACCCCCCGACGATGGAGCTTCAGGATACACGTGAGGAACAGGACAGAATTTGTCACAAATCGCGTTCTGTGCAGTACCTGCTGCGTACACCTTCGCGAGTGTGCGAGGATCTAAACCAGATCGCATACCCATATCGAAAGCTTCGGAGCAAGCTATCGCAATGATTCCCGACAGGTAGTTGTTCGACAGCTTCGCGGCAAGACCAAGCGAAGGACCACCACATGTTATGACTTGCTTGCCCATGAGTCTCATTAGATATGTGAGGCGTTCCAAGTTTGGGTCCGATTCTGCGCACCCCAGAAAGAACGCGATTGTGCCCTTGATGGCGCCCACTACGCCTCCACTGACCGGAGAATCATAGAAAGATGCCGAAGGAAAGTTCTCCGCAATGTGGTTCTTCACTGCAAGACTTGTCGCCGTGTCTATCGTAGAGCAATCGATGAGCAGTTTGTTTGAGATATCGGTACTGCATACGCCGTTATCAGCGTCGAGATATACGGAGCGGACGTGGGCGCCTTCAGGCACCATTGTGACTATGGTATCCTACACCTTTGTCAGCGCTCACCTCGCCTAAGCAATAATTGCACATACCACTTGTTGCGCAACATCCTTTGCGCTTTTCCCCCTCAGCACTCTGTTTGGAAACTCGGCGCATACGTCATTCACCGCTTCTTCGGCCACATCGTACACCCATATGCGAGACTCTAATGGAAGCTTAGTTGCAAGATGCTCTACCATTGGCTTGCCCATGGCACCGAGACCAATGAAACCCAGCGTCTTGAATGCGTGTGACTGAGCCATGTCGCTACACCTAGATGGCGAAAAACGCAGAGGTATGTCAAGATACAAAAGTAGCTTAGAATTATCGAAGTCGACCTGTGCAAGGATAGAAGGAAAAAAAACTTATGTTGACGGGGCTATCGCCTCGAGAGTCTCAAGATTGGACTGAATTACTGTGTACGCAAGTGAACCACCACTGTACATTGGATAAACAGCGTGGGGCAATGCGGGGTAAAGCTTTCCCCAACATTGCCCTGCATCTTCAATCAAGTGGATACCCGCCCCCAACAATGGGATATTGGACATGTAGATGCAAGTGGTTGTCTACCCATTGCGCCAACTACGACAACTATTGAAGGAATAGTTCGCCTCCACTTACCTTAGTCGAACGTTTTACGACAATCAAGTCTTTAGTCGGCCTCGTTCTTGGTGGGTTTGAGGAGAGCATATGCCTCCAACCTTTCTCAGGTCAAAGTCTTGAAGGCCAGGATGGATCCTCGAGTTGACATCCCAAGGTCTAAACCTATACGTCTACTACAGAACAGTGCTACAGGCACTGTTTCCGTGCACGCCCTATCTTCTGGACACTTCACTCTTCCAGAGTATCAGTTTGTTCAGCCCGTCTCGCAAGATGCACGCCGAATGGTTCCGTCGCTAGCATTCCTTATTCAACATCGCAATTCGAATAACGGCAAATTAACACGCATTGTTTTCGATTTAGGCTTGCGTAGGGATGTGACGAGATATGCACTTCCCATACAAACACATATAAAAACGAGGCAGCCGATGACTACAGACCCTGATGTCATTAAGAGTCTGTCAAGGGGTGGGCTAACATCTGCGGACATTGACTATGTCATTTATTCACACGTACGTATACGCTCTCTTCAGCTATATACTGTAGTCACTAACCATTTGTCAGGTACATTGGGATCATATTGGCGAGCCGCGCGACTTTACCACTTCAACGTTTATTGTTGGCCATGGGGCGTGTGCATTACTAAGTGGCACATCTTCGGCTCTGCGTGGAGGTCATTCATTTTTTGAATCTGACCTCCTACCGGAAGGACGAACTATAGAATTATCGGATCCTACACATTCTATGAAGAAGCGCGATCTAGCAACAATTCCCGACGCCGCGAACTTCAACAGCCCATGGAAAGCACATGGCACCCTTCCCGAGACTCTAGACATCTTCGACGACGGATCCCTCCTTATTGTAAATGCGCCCGGCCATCTCCCGGGCCACATCAACCTTCTTGCTCGAACAACTGGAGATCATCAGGTATATATGGCGGGAGATGCGTGTCACGACAGACGGCTGTTGACCGGTGCAAAAGCGATCGGGGAATGGAATGATGCGCAAGGTCATATATGTTGCATACACGCGGACCGGAAACAAGCGGAGGAAACGATTGAGAGAATCAGGCAGTTGGAGAAAGAAGGGGTTGAAATCATTTTTGCGCACGATGTTGAGTGGGAAACAAACCCAGCGAACAAGGCCAGGTTCTTTGGCGCTTCAAATAATGACTCTTTATCATAGGTTAAATCCTGTCAGGTGGCTGAAAGCCTTGTACTCAAAGAACTGGAATTATCTGTCGTACTTTTGTACCCCTTACTCTGTAACACAGAGATCTTGGCCTGTTCCCGCTTCCGACCATGTCCGTCTCAACCGACTGGTTCAACCCTGAAAATAAACCCTACTCCAATGCGTTACAACTATTGGACCGTTTTGAAGCATGCGACGTCTATCGACCCCGCCTTCCCACGGAAATAGTTGGAGAAGAGGTGGGGCTTTTATCCTCCAACCACTACTCCAACATTTGTGTCATGAACTTGATTATCAACGGCAACCGTATGCACGCTAATTACCGGTGACAAATCATATGCTGCAATCAATTTAACACCAATCAAGCGATATTGAGCTAGCCACAGCAACCAAGATCTGTTTCACGTTGCCCTTACCAAAAACCACCAGCATACTCAATTTCAAGTTCACCACCCAATGTCGTTAACGCCTGAACAGCAGAATCTCAAGCAACGCTTCGATGCAGAACTCGGCCCAGCCGCCTTCGACGAAACATGGTCTCGCATGCTGAAACATGCACCTGAGATGTTCACTGCAAGCTTGCGACTCACTGGCGTGCCGAAAAAGAAAGGCTACCTCTCACCCAAGGTACAAAGCCTTGTGTCTCTTACAGTGAGCGCAGCATCAACGTATCTACACGTCCCTTCAATCCACAGGCACACCCGCGCCGCGCTAGCCAATGGCGCAACAAAAGCCGAGATTGTTGAAACCCTATGCCTAACCTCAACTCTGGGTATCCATGCCGGTACTACTGGCATTCCCATTTTGTGCGAAGTGTTAGAAGAGCAAGGAAAGGGTATCCCAAAGGGTCTGGAAGGCATGAACAAGGGACAGTTGGCGTTGAAAGAAGACTTTGAAAAGAAGCGGGGTTACTGGAATACTATGTGGGAAGAATTCCTCAGACTGAGTCCCGAGTTCTTTGATGCATATACGGAATTTAGCTCCGTGCCATGGGTGAATGAGGGGGGCAAAGGAGTGCTAGAACCAAAAGTGCGTGAAGTTTTCACTCATTCTCCTGTTTTTGTCTATTTCGTGTATGAGAACACAGCACTAAGCAAAGCATAGGTCAAGGAACTCATATACTGCGCGTTCGATACAGCTGCCACTCACATGTACCAGCCGGGGCTAAAGCTCCACATGAGGAATGTGCTCAATTACGGAGGGACAGCAGAAGAAATCATGGAAGTTCTCGAGTTAGCGTCACTGCTCAGTATAAGCACGATGGATGTTGGGTTAGAGGTCCTTGATAAGGAACTGGCGAAGCAGTCATTCTGATATCACGGATGTTCGATATCTTTTCCATTAGCAGATGTTCTCTATCCATCCGCTATTCCTAATCCCAAATACGAGCGTTAAGATGCCTAACTCAACAGTGGGGTTTTCTCCGGTTAGAAGCACAATACAGAGACTGGCTGTCACGTCACATGCACTATACCAGTGTCTAGATTATAAGCTAACTGTGTTGATGTTACTCCCTGGTTGTTACTCGTTGCTACCGTGGTCCTTTTTTAACGGTACCTCTAGGCTTGCATTAGACTTTATCTTTCATCTCACATCACCTTTCTACAAATCATTTGTAATTTCGCAGAATGCTACTACTCCCGCCCGCTCTCATTCAACCATTTATACACAACCCTAGCATCCTTCCCTTTATATCTCTCGTCCTGCATCGCCTCACCAAACGCCTCCAACGTGGGCTTATCCAGCACCGTCTTTGCACCCACCATCTCCGCAAGCTGACTTCCCATTCCCAATACCTTAGCACAAAGCTCAATCCGAAATCCGCCTTCATAATCCCTTGAGCTTGGCACGTTGGCCTGAATACCCGGTACCGGATTGCTCTTACTTGTGACCCAGCACTGCCCTCCACTCACATTGATCACGTCCGTCAATAGTTCTAGGTTTAACCCCATTTTTGCCCCAATGTTTAGCGCTTCGGATGCTGCGAGGCTGGTGATGGCGGAGAGATAGTTGTTGATGACCTTGAAGGCTGTACCGGACCCGATGTCGCCACAGAGGAAGATTGAAGATGCGTTGCCCATGTATGAGAGATAGCCTTTGACAGTAGGCCAAATTGATTTGTTCGATAATCCGGCCATAAAGGCTAGTGTGCCGTCCTGGGCACCCATGGGACCACCGGAGACAGGTGCGTCGACGAAGGTGACGAATTGGCTCACGTTGGAAGATTCGACTGCTTTTGCGACTTCAAGAATAGTGGCAGTCTCGATGGTCCCGCACTCCATGATGATATTTCCTTGCTTTTCTGCACCGCTGCTCTCTGCAAATTTGTGTTCAGCGCCAGCAAGTATGCCCGTCTTGCTGTCCAAGTAAACCTTGTTCACCACCTTCGCATCCGGTAACATCGTGATTACAGTATTCGCCTTTTGAATCGCCTCATAACCATTCTCAACGACATTTACTTTGCCATGGCCTTCAGCGTCTTTTTGAAACCGTACAAGTGCATCGGAGGAAACATCGCAGATTAGGAGGGTGTGTGATTCATCGAGACCTTTTCGTAAATTTAGAGCCATGGGATAGCCCATCACACCAAGCCCTAAATACTGTCAAACTTCATATTTCAGTTTGATAGGATGGTGAGTAAAGTACCTATGAAGGCGATCGTCTTGTTTGAAGTAGCCATCTCTACAGTGCTTCACCTAGATTATCCGTGTCTCTTGAGTGCGTGATGTAATATTTGAAAATATCGCGATAAATTTGACGCTAACTTGTGCTTACAGTAGAGTGATAGTAAGTTTCATAAGTCTGCAAAGCTCGCGCATTATAAAATTATGACCTCCCTCCGCCCTCGAGAGGCTTGCTCTATAGTGCATTGTCATCGTCCCATGCCTTTTGCAGGTAGACTGGTGCACGGTTCCTTCCCCGCGCGACCCCGCTTCAGGCATCCTTCCCCACGTGGAGAACATCTTCCATGCTCCTTGCGACCCCTGATTTCTCCAACACTCAGAAGACAGCTGTAGGATTTGCGCTTGAGCTGGAGAGATTTGGTATCATGGATAGTGACCTGTATCTACTTCAATGTCACGTTTGGTGATACTTCCTTTATTTTCTGGCAAAAATGGCGGCAATACTCCCACCAACAGAGTCCGGAGAGAAGATGGAACAACTGCACCATAGCGAATACCTCTCACAAGACGATATCGGATTGAATATTGATGCAAAGAAGAAAGAAGATGCATTGCGACGGAAGCTTGATCGCTATGTTGCACCAGTCATGATGATATTGATGTTGATCAGCTATCTAGACCGAGGTAACATTGGCTTTGCAGCGACACAGGGCATGACGAAGGATATCAAACTAAAAGGGAGCGAACTCAATGTATGCTATCGGAAGCAAATTTGAGATGGACGCTTCTAATAATATCATAGACTGCCGTCTCTGTGTTTTACATCTTCTATATTCTCGCCGAAGTAAGTATCTTGATCTATCTACCGTACCTGACTAACATACTCATTGCGTAGTTTCCAACATCGATCCTGGTCAAGCGTCTCCAATTCAACCGCGTTATTCCTACCATCACATTCTGTTGGGGCCTGGTATGTCTCTGCACGGGTTTTGTGAAAGGCTTTGGAGGCCTCGTCACGTGCCGTGTATTTCTAGGCTTCTTCGAAGGCTGCTTGTTTCCTTCCATGACCCTCTTCTTATGTAATTGTAAGTGATTAAGCTTTTATAAGACACTCTAAGGAGGGTCCTAGGTAGTATTCGTATCCTAGTTGAAAAAGTGCTAATCGTGTCGCTACTTTCAGGGTACACAAGGGAAGAGCTCGGCATCCGAATCGCATACCTATTCATCGCAAGTGCTTTGAGTGGAGCCTTTGGTGGGCTCATTGCCTTTGGGATATTATACATGGACGGTGTTAGCGGATGGGCTGGGTGGAGATGGTGAGCTCATTAGACTCCCAGGTTGCAATCAGAGCTGACGCATTTATAAAGGCTCTATGTCATCGAAGGCATCATCACCATTCTCTGGGCTTTCTGCTGTATCTTCCTCGTGCCCAAGAATTTCGAAACAGCGTACTTTCTGAACGAGGAAGAGAAGGAATTGATGCGCCAACGTGCTATACGCACGCAAGCTTATTCAGACTCGGCTGGAGCAGGTCACCACGGCAAGGCAGATATCAAAGAAGCCGCAAAAGACGTCAAGAGTTGGGTGCACGGCTGCATCCAAATTGCTGTTGTAACCATCCTGTATGGTTTCGGAACGTTTTTACCTATAATCATCAGGAACGGCTTCCATTATTCGACACGGCAGGTACGAATAACCATGAAGAAAACTGGCCTTCTTCAGCATGCTAATACTATATAGGCACAATATCTTGTCATCCCAGTCAACATCTGGGGCGCAATCGTTTACGCCATTGGCGCATTTCTTTCTGACCGCTACCAAACCCGCTTCCTTCCACTTATATTGGCGGCTCCCTTTGGAATGATTGGATACGCTATCCTCCTATCACCTGTCAGCCCCGCTGTACAATACTTCGCAACACACCTCGTCTCTACCGCATGCTTCCTTTGCACAGGCGGAAACATCACCTGGCTATCAGCAAACTGCGCGCCAGATGGAAAGCGCGCGGCATCCCTCGGAATTCTTCTCACTCTAACGAACATAGGAGGCGTGGTGTCAGGCCAAATTTACCAGACTAATGCGGCGCCGAAATATACACTGGGACACGCATGGAGTTTGGGCTGCTTGGCTTTTGCTTGGTGTGGATGGTGGGTGATTCGAAGCATCTACAGGAAGAGGGACATAGAAAAGAACAAGAAACTTGCAGAGGGTTACGTGAAGCCCGAGGGAACCATGTATACGGATCGGGAGCCCGACTTCCATTATCAGACCTAGGAGTGTCCTCTGGATAACCAGATTGGTCACACAAATCTTCAATACCCTTACTTTGGGTGTGGGAGCTGAAAGTTCTCGAAGTAAAACAGTGTTCTAGAAAACAATTGAAGAACTTTCTCAAGGAAATTGAAGGATTCATAAGTGTGAATCACAACTGTTAATGTGAATCGCTAAGAGCGCGACGGTGAGCCATGATCGAAACCTGGGAATGAATGACCCCATGCTTCACAGCGGCAAGATATTCGCCGACCGTTAGAAACCATCACCCTATCTACCTCCACCAACATCTTGAGACTCTTTGTATAAGTAAAATACGAAGGCAAGCCCACCTTCATCAACTGTAACATTGCAGCCATGCTCTCCCAAGACACGACATCATCCACCTACTTTGCCGATCGGTCCGAGCGCTTCTTCACTCTAGTTCGAAAGCACGAAGATGCGGTGATCGAGCAACTTCAGAAGCTGGAGCACCAAAATAATGAGCAAAAAGACAACATGGAAGCATTACAGGGTGCCGTTGACGCTTGTCAGTGCGGTACTGCCAAAGATCCAAATAAGGACGGGTATATAGAGTTCCTTCACGGCGAGTTGCATAGCTTACGGCACGAGCTTCAGGAGGTATCTGAGCAGCGCGATGAACGAGCAGAGTATGACGAGGATATTGGCAAGAAGATTCGAATATGTGAACAGCTTTTTCGGGATGAGCTTTCTGCACATCAGGAATCAAGGGAGAAATTGAGAGAAGTAGAGGACAAATTAATTGTCGCGGAAATCGCGAACGTGGAACCCGTGCAGATATCAGGTCAAGTACATACCGAAGGATTGGACCAATGTATTAAACTGTGTGTTCCTCTGCCGCTAGGGAGGAGGTATGTGGAAGATGAGATGCGGTGGTTGGCACACTGTCCGTTTGAGATCCATACCGAGTGCCCAATGCTCAGGCTTGAGGAGCAAGGTGAAAGTGGAGAGAGTAGGATTGTAGAGACTGATCCGTATCGAGGGGAAATTAAGGTGGGAAGGCTAACAGAGGGCGCGTGGAAGGGGTTGCTAGTCTGGATCAGAGACCTAGAGGTGCAGGCATAAATCTAATGGGGACATGATGATTGTAAGTCATAGGTGGCGTTGATGTGTACGACTAGTGAATGTTGCCTAAATCAAGATAATGAAACCTAAAACTCTCAATACCATCACCTCCTGCAAGTAGTGCAAACAATGTGCCGACAGACTTTTCATTTGCAACGCCGTCATACAGTCCGCGGTTTCCTGATTATTCTGTATGCCACCAGAAGGCTCGTGCAGCGAGGTCACCTGCAGCCATGCTTTGTCGAGTGTTTGCTATCCCCATTGAAGCGCAAACATCAACACTTATAATCATGCCACCCACCCACCACATCATTGATCACGAACAGCCAACACCAACGAAGATGACGACGTCTCCACGGAGCTCCGGCAATTCCTTATCGTACGAAGATCTGCTGGAGAGGTACCAAGCCCTCGAAGAGCAGTTTACCCAGGTCGACAGCGAGAACACCGATCTCCGCAACGAAAGTGACGAGTATCGGAATACCATTGGCAACCAAGAAGACGAAATCGGCAGGCTTCGGGAGCGGTCAGAAACAGAGGTCGTAGATGCTCTCTTGTTGGTGCAAGAAAATCTCACATCGGAGTGTCGCCGCCTTGAGGATCAAGCGTTAACGCTACAAGCGATCAACGAAAACCATGAAGCGATAATCCAGCAATACAAAGATATGACAGAGACGTTGACGGGAGCCGCAGAGAAACCGGGTGCGGAAGAGAGAGACCAAACCGACGATGCATCAGGCAGTACCGATTTACAAACTGGAATTGCGGAGCAAAGACGCGCAAACTTCAACGAGGATTACGAGATCGCTCTCAAGAAGCGCATAGACGTTGAAGCTCTTCAATCGAACCAGGACGCTCCCCAGAACTTTTCTTCGCGAGAGTCGCATGATCTCGACATGCCCGGTCCTGCTCATAATCCAGACTTGGAGGCGGAACATCAGAGGCAAGCGGTGAAATTGGCTCGGTGCCAGGCGTTGCTCGAGCGTTCAGATGATAAGCTTCAACATTGTGGTGAGCAGAGGCAGCAGCTTGAGGATAGGCTTAGGCGCGCCGACGACCATATCGAGCACCTTAGGGAGAAGTTTAAAGATGGTGGAGTGAAGAATGCGGAGCACGATTGCGAAGGCGACTGTCAGGAACTGAGTGCGAGGCTGTGTCGGTTGGTTCAGAGTATCAGTGTGCATGGCCAAGCTATAGACGATGTGATTGGAGAGGTGATGGTTGGTGTGGACTGTAGCGAGGTCAGGTATGGAGAGTCAAGGCCTGGAGACTGTGGCAGTCGCAATAAGGGCGGAGATGGCCGTGAAGGCAGGCGAGGAGGTTAGTTGTGCCCGTGCAAGTTTCGTCGTACTATGCATTTGAGAGATGGATAGTCAGATATCGGATGATGTAGCTTCGACATGGAAATATTGAGGACGCCGAGAAATCTAGAGTCGCATCGTTAGCCTAGCATCAATGGCATATGGCCACCTTTGAGCTTCGTGCTGTCTCACCTGATATATTTTGCTCGAACCTTCCTTAAGCGTTGGGCAGAAATGCAGGACCACTAAAGGCATGCAAGCTGTCGTGAAACATAGCGCTATGACCCCAATTTGATACCCACGTTCTCGTGCTCGGCTATTGCCCAGAGGCCAGATATGTTGAGTGGTGGTGTGGATGCAATTATTGTTTCTGCTGTCAACATATGGACGATAATGACAGCTGTCTGTATGCACCCTACGACGTTGTAACGTAGTGATTACGACTGTCAGCAGCGACTTTGTTGAGACCCTACGAGAATCTAGTATAATGAGCCTTGATCGCATGATCTCGATTATGTTGTGCCTAGAGTTGGTATCAGGCGACTTACTCTGTACCGACTACGGAATACCATAAGCATGCTTCCCACGCGACTGACTTCTGTGTGTTGAGAATGATGATCTGCTCTAGTGTTGACTCTACTTTTAAACAAAGAAATACACGGTTCGATGCTTCTGTCTATGTGTCATGGTACAATAGTCGAACGTTGAGTATCCGTCATTAGTGGTAGGCGCCGAGAGCTCTTCTGCTAGAGCACTGTTAGCCCGAGACCATATTAAACTACCTCAGAGTCAGTGATTACCCTCTATTCTCGTCGCCGATAATAGAAACTCTTATGAGGCAAGCAAGCATCCAGCAGAGCTCATGCATAGGAGACAGTAATAGCCCAGTACCCACACTTGCAGGCTGACCGCAGAAGAAGCACATCTCGTACAACGTACCACTTCATTTCCACCAATCTGAAAGGTTCCACTTGTTTCCTTTTCCAAATCTGTACCACGTCACGCAAACAGATCTCCCGCCCTCGCACAGACGGGTGTTATAGCCCAGCGACCAGGCAACTGGGTAAAGTGGGGCTGCGGAGATCGCGCTGCACGATGCCCCTAGCCCGGAATGTCCACTCCCTTGGCACGTTCACAAGTGAGATGAAATCATCAGATGACATGTGCAAGGTTAAATTTGTCACTGGGAGACGGCGACTAACAGGGTTCAATGGATGTTCTGCTCGACGAAATCCTTCGCTCAAATCCTGCGGTAGGGTTTAGCGACGCGATACAGGGTGTGTGCCGAACACGAGACGTAGCCTCGTATTTGGACTGCACAATCGCGGTGCGCGTGTATTGGATTGCGGGTTGCGCCATGCACAAGAGCGGTTCAAAGCGGGGATCGAGAAGAGAGCGCTTATCGTAGTGTACGTGTGACAGCATCTGCTGTCGATAGGAGCCGTATTCCAAATCAGGAAGGGATTTGGGGTCTTTAATCAGAAAGTGCCCGTGTCTTACAGCTGAGAGCCTTTTCAGAAGTAAGGGAGGAGGCGTTGCATGCTCATTAGCATTGCAGTCCATCCAATGCTCTGTGTCGTAAACGCAGAACATCATGTGACTGGCTACACATCCGTATAACGTATTGCTAGTCCGCGCAGCAGGTTTTTTTATTAGTGCCAACCACTGCCCCAAGCACTATCAACCCAGCTCTTTGGACACATGATTCGATCACCCGCAGTCGGAACCGCACGCTCGGTGTCGACGGCCATTGCGCTAAGACTCTCAGTTGAACGATCGCAAATGCCAGAGATTGAAAAAGCAATCTCATGTACAGGGGTGCGTGCATGGCTGAGCTGAGAGGCCTCGTGAACTCCGAAAAAAGTGGCGTCTGTCAGGAACATTAACGCTGAATGTTCACTAACCCGCATGATATCGACTGCTTGGAGTAGCGAAAGGAGCCCAACAACAAGGATGTAGCAGTACTGAACAGGAGAGAAGTTCCAGCACTGGTTGACGTGTGACAATGATTGCAAGCCATGTGCTACTGTGGATTGGTGGGTCCCGCACGGCCCGGAAGAATCGCTCATCGCATCCGAATCGAGAAATGCTCTAAGTTTTCAGCCAGGCACACGGACAGGTGCTTGGCAGGGGAACAGGCTGTGACGTGTTAAGGGAGGCCTGGGGAGCATGGCTCCATGTACACATTGCGGTGATGATGATAGACAGCTTTAATTACGAATGAAGGGTTGATGCCAGGAGTCGGCTTGAGTGATATCGAGCAGTGTGTTCACTCTACATGATCTCAATTCGTCGCTGCCCTAGGACTCTGGATACGGAAGAATCGTCGTCTGAGCAATAATATCGGCAGCCATGGGCTCCATATGGTGAACTCAGGGAAGGGAGGCCCCGCTGCAGGATAGGTCGATCCGGTGGAGGCGTCAGGGTGGAGATACAGTATTTTGCATGGGTACGTCGGCGAACGCGACCACGTTTCGAAAAGAAGGCATGGGTGGTGTGCGGTCTGGCCGTCATGAGTCCCACTGCGCTAATCTCTCCTTTGATATACCCGTCATCCACTGGATGCCAGGACTTCAGTCTGAGCGAGGGTGTATACACCCGGGCAGCCTCACGCCTCAGCGCCCAGGATCTCTCATGGGGCCCCTGCGTTGACGGGAGCTAAAATAAACTAGCGCTGCAGCTAAAACGCCAGAACGCAAAGATATGGAACTAATAGAAGGATCGTAGACATGGGCCACGTTTGTGGGTGTGATTGCGAACTTCCCCGGGAGACACGGCGTAGGCGGCGCCAAAGCGTCTCTCTCTTGAGTGCGCGAGGTCTCCACAAGCTGAAGTGCCTGCCTGCTCAGCGATCTGTATATAAGGTTCACCCCGCTTGCTAAATTCCTAGTTCACTTACCTGCAACCTCACTAAATCAGCTTGACTCGACAGCAGTGGAGAGGCAATCAACACCTTCGACCTCTCACATTCAAACATCGTCGAACAAAATCACCTCTCAGTCGAGTAAGCCTAGGAGTCAACAATGGGCCTCAATCTTGGCATGAAATCGAGGACCCGGGTACAATGCGAACAAACTCGCCTCACTGAAGAGAACTTGCGTCTACATAGTTGTACTCGTGTCAAGGTATGTGAACGGTACTGCCGCTGTCCAGCTCCAATACTAACAAGTAATCAGAGTGACAGCGCCTGCGATTTGAGAGAAGCGCAAAGGTGGGCCTCGGTGCCCGAGCCTTACAACCAGTTCGATGACGACTACGACGGATCCGACGACGGTGACATGGACACGAGCAGAAGTGACATCGCCTTCAGGAGAGCGGCGTCATTGGAGGCGCTGAAAGCGTATGGGGGATGCTTCGCCTCTGGATTCTTAGCAATGCAAGATCCACTTCCTTGGACGTCGAGACGAAGTGGTCACACCACGAGACCATTTTACGAAAATGCCGAATGTCTCGATCTGCAAAAACTGGCATCGGAGATGGCATCGAACGAATCGCAAAGTGCGAAGACTACGTCGAGCCACTCACACAGCAACGCTGGCTGCCCGCGACCGGACTCTGATACCTTGAGCCATGCAGACATTCAATCACTGAAGAACGAACGAAAATGGAGCTGGAGGAGTATCGGAAAGAAGAGGCGAAATGTCGTCCAGAGAATTGTGTAAATCTGCAGAGCATATTGATATTTCGGATTATTGTTGGTTTAGCGAAGGCGTTTGGGTGCTTCGAGCAAAAATTGCGGTATGCCTTTCTTTTGTCATGGACGTCTCTCAAAGACATTTTCCTTTGTTAGGGATGACAGCCTTGTAGTGTATAATCTTAGTTTTGATATGTAGTGCATGAATGCACTAACGAGATATAGCGCAAGAAGATGGGGTCTATCTAAGTGTGCTCTGCACTCATTACGCGAAGCAATATCTTATGGAACAAATCTCTTATTGCCATCATATTACAGTATCCATGAAATTTCCATCCAAAGCGAAACTCGGTATAATTTGGTAAGAACTTATCACGGCGTCTAGTTTATTCAAGTAGTCGAGCTCATAATCCAGAGAAGGTCATTCTGGACCCACATCTGCTGGAAAATATTCCGCAGCGCATGCAAGCTCTTCAAACTCGAGGATGTCGTCGCTCTTTCAATATACTCCAGAATTCTCATTCTTTGCGCATCTGTCCTAGCCTCGCACCCGACAATCAGCAGTGGAAAGGTCAGATTGCAAGTCCCTAGGTCGTCGAAAAATAGATATGCCCTCTGAACCAGCTTGTCGATATGAGGGGAGATTCCTGAAAAGTTTCGCGATGCTCTTTTGAGGTAAAGTAGACCAGCTAGTTTGAAGAGTTCCGTCGTAGCTACTGTAGTCAAGCTAGATACAGGATCAGATATACCTCCTAGTACTGACGGAACAATATTGATTGTCCTACTTTCGAGGCAACGCAAGAAACTTTCGTATTCGTCACTGTGGTGTAGCGAGTTCATTGGATTTTGGATTATCCCGAACGTGATATAGAGGTGTCGAAGAATCTTGTGTGAGTAGTACGAGACACCTTTGACCTGTTTCATGTCAGCTAAATAATCGATGCAGATGTGGACTTTTATATTCTTCAGCCTCACCTTTCGTGACGGGAAAGTTTCCGATTCTATAGGTGTGGAACGTCTGATTTCTTCCACAAGCTCTACGTTTATATGCTAGTGTCTAAGGCTAAACCGGCTCATTACCATGTCATAATCTACCCAAGCTATAAGCCTGGAGAATTCCCGTAAGAATTTTGGCTGTCAACTCCTGCGTTGTCGATTTGAGTATTTGGCTTCCACTAAATGGCCTAGAATGCAAGATCCAGATTAGCAAGGTCTTTGAAGATTCAGGCCACCTAGTTCAAGAAAGTATGAACAGATAGACTGCATGTCACTTTCAATACCACAGAGAGTCGTTATTTGACATTTCAAGCATCTTGAGAGCTCTTTAGTTTGTTATTTTGAACGATGTGAACAACGAGAGTGCCAATGCCGATTGTAGCACAGAAACGGAAGACGGTGAGCTGTCTGAAAGATCCAATCGCACCAAGAGACTCAAGAATCCGTTCTTGTTAGGTTCGAAAATGGCTAGTGTGGAAGGTGCCGTACATGTGACTGTAAGTGTTAGCTTGATCAGATTTTACTAGTATCATGACGGTCGACCCTAGCTTCCGGGAACCAGAGATGACAAATGCGCTACGGCGGAGAAGGTAGCTGGAGCATAATTTGTAATTCTCGCTTAAGTTTCCACTTCAAGAAAATCGGCAACTATCCTGTCTTGGTGTTAACCTTGGAAAGTGGTTGGGAGGATCTACATGTCTTCCCGCTTTGAGAAAACTGGCAACTTTTCTGTCTTGGCAGTTCAGAGTTGACCTTCGGTTTGGAGAATCTAGGCGTCTTTCTGCTTTGAGAAAACTGTCAACTTTTCTGCGCAGTTTAGAGTCAAGCTTCGGTTTAGAGAATCTACACATGGAACTATTACGAGTGATTTCAAAGCAAACAGAATATCCCAGTGTTCTCAATTTTGTATATATATGCCTTCAAGGACTCTCGTTTAGCAAAATCAACATTGAGGAGCATTACTTCTATTTACCTAGATTTACTACGCATGGTCGATCCGACCGAGATTCGTGCGGTGGCTGCCTTTCTCGCGTCGCAGGACAGCAGCGAACCTCGTCCCTCAATTATAATGGAGGGGCTGCTCGTCCATTTGGCGATAGAGGGCGAAGAGGACGTAGCTTGGAGGACCATAGGTGATATGCTCTGCACATACGGGGGACTATGGTAGTTTCGTAGTCTGCAAGATTTTAATATCAGCGCATGTCTAAAAAAATTTGCTCCAGTGCCAAGTCTGCAAGTATAAAGTTAACTCTTGTTGCTTAGGATTTAGAGTAACGGTCCATACTGTTGCACTATTAGAATGACTAGTTTTACAGGAGACATGACCTATGAACATTAGCTAGAACCAGTGTAAAAGTCATAGGACAAGGCTTCGCGTCGGGCTTGTCCAATCTCAAAGCATATGATTACTACACTGTGAACTGTATGTTTCTATGTGATTTGCGCACTCACGGTTCGGCCATGCAGAGTGATCGGGTCGAATGGAGAGCCGAATGGGCCAACCTTGCATCTCATCGCGGGCGGCCCAAGTACATTCCGTCGGGCGGACGAGGGGTTCGGTCCAAGTTCAAGTGAGATGCAGCAAAACGAAGGTCTCACAGCTCGTGCGGGGATGAGACTCTGGAGCTGGGAGAGGGAGGGCGTCACGATGGTGGTTCGTGGGGCTGGCAGCCGCCGTGGGGGACAGCTGCAGGCTGACGATTAGCTGCGCCTGACCTATGAGACGAGCCAGTCACAGCTCAAGGGCTGGCATTGAGAAAGACCCGAAGCTACAGGGTTGGAGAAAAATGAAGGCATGGCACAAAGAGCCATTGAAGCTCAACAAAGCCGTCAAAGAGGCCCAGTTGCATTGTTATAGGAGGTGGGTGAGGCGTGACGTCTGTAGTGGGTCCAGGCGAAAGTGTGGCAAGCTTCGGCGTGGCAGTCGCGATGGGATGCGCGAGCGAGGGCAGGTGCGAAAGAGTCGAGCGAGGAATGTTACACGAGACCTCCCATGAAGCATCGTCGCTGAAGCCACCCGGCATGTTCAACAATGCAGCGGCTCACCGCCTGATGGTCATACCTGCACAATATGAGGTGCCTGACTCACAATCGATGCCTGCTGCTGTATTATTGACGGGTGTAGGAAGCCACCGGCGGACCTGCCGGCACGCATGCGTCCAGAGTAAAGTCCCTCTCGTCTCATCGTGAAGCACTTTTTTCTTTGCCTCCAGTCCTCCACCGCACTTCACTACGCCACACGCACTAGTTTGTATAGCATCTTCGTCGTGTGCTCTCTTGTCCTCCGTTCCTGCAACGAAAAACATCTTCAAAGGTCCGCCCACGCCCGCCCCCACCACCAATAGCGGGTACTTCTGCCATGGCTTGCTAACTCCGGTGCCAGTACCAGTACCTACGCCATAGCAACAAATATCTTCACCGCCCATCCCGTCTCATACAACATCGTTTGACGGCTGCCCCCGCCTACCACCCCCCGTAGCATGAGCTCGCAACCTCTGAAACCTCGTCGTACCTCTACCGTACTCGACCCGTACGCTTCACCACAAGTCTACTACGGCGAAAGCCATTCGTCGCGGCAGCACATCAGAGCGAGGACCTACTCGGCGGTAAGTCTTGTTCCTCGCCCAATTCGCATGCCAGGCCTAACAAACAAGTAGCACGTAGATCGCTCCGGTCGCAATGCCCCAATCTCAGAAGGCTTTTCCCACGGGCGCCGCATCAGTCACGGTGCGTACTTTGTTCAAGACGCACAACCGCACCCCCATGCTGACAGCCAGCAGATGAGGCCTCCATGCAACCGCGCCGCTTTCTCGTCCAGGTAGAGCCTACACTCAAAATGCTTCTCTCTCGTGAGGACTCGGACCAGAACCACCAGATTACCATAGACGACAAGGGGCCCAAGGTACGCTTCGATAGATGCGACAAAGAACAAGCCAGTTCATGGCTAACTGTGGAACAGGTGCTTTCTCTTGGTACCCTCGCGTCCAATGCCCACAACAAATTTGACGTGCGAGGCACCTACATGCTCTCGAACTTGCTGCAGGAGCTCACCCTCGCCCAAGACTACGGCCGCAGGACCATTGTCCTCGACGAAGCGCGTCTAAACGAGAACCCCGTAAACCGCCTTTCTCGATTGATCCAATACTCGTTCTGGGACGGCCTGACGCGCCGTATCGACGGCTCCAACATCGCAAAGGTTGGTGTCGACCCCAAAGACTGGACAGACGACCCACGTCCCCGCGTATATATTCCTCGGGGTGCTCCTGAGCAGCATGAATACTACAGCCGCATTGCCAAAGAGAACCCGGAGATGCGCCTCGACGTTGTCTGGCTGGCCGAAAATTGCGACGATCCTGAGTATGTGAGGGACCTAAATAAAGCACCTGGGCTGCTCGCAATCGCTATGGAGGAGTGGATTGATCCCGTCACCAAGAAAAAGGACTTGCGGGGCCTGCCTTTTGTTGTCCCTGGCGGTCGCTTCAATGAGCTCTACGGCTGGGACAGCTACATGGAGTCGCTTGGGCTACTTATCAATGACCGTGTCGACCTCGTCAAGTCCATGGTCATCCATTTTTGTTTCTGCATCAAGCACTACAACAAGATTCTCAACGCAAACCGCACCTACTATCTCTGTCGGTCCCAGCCCCCCTTCCTCACAGATATGGCATTGCGTGTCTACGAACGAATCAAGCACGAGCAAGGAGCCTTGGAGTTCTTGCGGGAAGCCATTCTGGCAGCCATCAAAGAGTACCACTCGGTCTGGATGTCTGCGCCTCGCTTGGACCCCGTGACTGGACTGACACGCTACCGACCCGGTGGTTTTGGTGTTCCCCCTGAGACAGAAGCCACTCACTTCGAGCACATTCTGATGCCGTATGCGGAGAAGTACGGAATGACTTTCCAGGAGTTCGTAGACGCGTACAACCACCGGCGAGTGAGCGAGCCTGAGCTCGACGATTACTTCCAGCACGATCGCGCTGTGCGCGAATCCGGCCACGACACCTCTTACCGTCTCGAGAAGGTCGCTGCCGATCTCGCTGTGGTTGATATCAACGCTTTGCTCTATAAATACGAAGTCGATATTGGCCGTTGTGTGCGGAACCATTTCGGCGATCGGCTCGAGGTCCCAGCAGAGTTTTGCGCTGGCGACATGAAACCCGGCCAGGTTGAAACTTCAGCTGTCTGGGAGCGCCGCGCTAGAAGACGCCGCGCTCAAGTCGACAAGTACCTCTGGGACGAAGAAGCCGGTATGTATTTTGACTATAACACCGTCAAGCAGGAGCGCACCGGCTACGAGAGTGCCACGACCTTCTGGCCCATGTGGTCCGGTCTCGCTACTCCACGACAAGCTAGCATTCTTGTGGAGAAGGCCCTGCCTAAGCTAGAGGCTTTTGGCGGCATCGTCTCCGGTACCGAGAAGTCTCGCGGCGAAGTTGGTATCGATCGTCCCAATCGCCAATGGGATTATCCGTTTGGATGGGCACCGCAGCAGATCCTCGCCTGGGTCGGTATGCAGCGGTACGGATACGATGCAGAGGCTCAGCGACTGGCTTATCGCTGGCTGTTCATGGTGACCAAGGCCTTTGTCGACTACAATGGTGTCGTTGTTGAGAAGTACGATGTTACGCGAAAGATTGATCCGCATAAGGTCGCAGCGGAGTATGGTAATCAGGGTAGCGACTTCAAGGGCGTTCCTCGTGAAGGGTAAGCTCCTCATACAGCCTTGCCAAGAGAGAAACTACTAACGCACGATAGATTTGGCTGGGTCAACGCGAGTTACATCTACGGTCTCACGCTTCTCAGCGCTCACGAGCGTCGTGCTCTTGGCGCTCTGACAGACTGGGACAACTACGACAAGGCCATGTCGGATCTCGGCATGAAGTAAACTGGTTTCAGCTGAGTTACGACTTGATGATGTGCGCTTGCATTAGATGCTAGATTATCGCGTTCGCCCCCTATGGCTTTGCGGCTTCCTTTATTAATTGGCGCTGTGGAAAAGAGCTCGGAGTTGCGTGATCGGATTTGCGTCCGAGATCCAACAGGCATGAAGCTGTGATTCAAAGTATGCTTACGGAAGCCGCGGGGTAAATCAAGGTAGAATATTGCATTATGGCCGGTGTGGTGTTATATGGAAGTTTCGGTTTGAATGCGACGAATAGTCGTTTCTATGACTTTAGGTAGCCCTATGAGCAGTCAATAACATCGAGAACCCTGTAACACTCCATGTCTCTTCGTTGCACTCGGCTCCTAAATGGAAGCATTAGCTGAAGGTTACTAGACAAGAAGCTTTGAGAAAGGGTTCAAAGCTGAAAGCTGCATTCATTTTTCTATTCAAAGACTAGACATGTTCCGCACCAAGCACCAGCGCCTGTCCACAAAGATAGGAGCAGACACCCAAGCATTAGGTCAATAGTACAAGTAAAGGGCTTGGAGCGGGGATTAATCTGCCTCTTATGACAAACGAGTCTCTCATTGGGAAGGAGCGACGACGTATACTGAAGAGGGTAAAGAAAGGAGCTTCTTCCTACTTCAACGGAAGGACATGTAGAGCAACGAAGAGCTAGGCTGACGAAGATCATGGCAGGCCTTGAGATGCTCAAAACGCTCTGCAGTCGTAGATGACACGATCTCTTTCCAAGAGCATCCTTTGTTGAACTATGGTCGTCTTCAAACTGTACCTCTGCAGCTTGAGGGGGTATTGTGGATAGCTTTAGGCATCTGCTGAGAAGTTCGGACTTCGGCCTTTTCGGCTGTCGTTTTTCGCTGGAACTAGTGGAGCTTCGCGTCGTGATAGACTGTGGTGATCGAGTAGCTAGGGTTGGAGAGAAAGAGGTAAGCAGGATCTGAAAGCCGTGAAGGTTCAGATGAGGCAGAGCCCGATCATTTCGCCATCGATTCATCGACGCGCAATTTGCGTACTTAGCCAGCTGCTATGGCTCTGGAAATAACAATCCGTATGCTACAATCTCTTAGTGCTCACACGCCGCACCAGTATTGATGGGCCAGACACGCAATAGTTGTCTCGTATCTGAAATGGCGAAGAGTGGCCGTTTGGTGAGGAAGGGCGGAAGGGCTGCGAGCGGAGGATTCGGACATGGAAGCTTCGAGAGACGCTGGCCTAAGCGAGACTAGCGCGTGCGGTGACCTCAGACTCCGCTCGACTCATCGCCGCCTGGCGACGCCCTTTGGACCTTTTCTTAAGTCAACTGCTCGATCAACTGTTTGTATTCTCTTCACATACGATTCCACGCTTGCCGACTGACAACTTGATAAGCAAACGCAGAGTACAGAAGAACGCTTACACCCCGCCATCGCACACGATACACCCTCAGCTTCTGTCTCACCCAACGACATCAACCTCAACTCCTCACGACAACAATCTAAGACCGCACCTTCAAGATGTCTGAAGACTGGAACTCCGTCACCAAGATCGGTAGCCGCACCCGCGGCGGTGCTGCTGGACCCCGCGAGGCTGTTGTCAAGGGCAAGTCTGCGCTGAACGCTGCCCAGCGAAGTGGCGCTCTTATCTCCACCGAGAAGAAGTACGCTTCTTCCAACGCTGTAAGTATTCTCAACATCACTCTATAGCCTCAGTCTCCCACTCTCGATCTAGCGACACCCTTTCCTAATGACGACCCCACTAACGCCCCCACCAGGCCTTAGCTTCAGCCTCCCAAGAAGGCCAGCGCCTCACAAAGGTCGATCGCTCCGACGACATCGTGAAGCCGAAAACCGTCGGTGTCGCCGTCGGCCAGGCCATTTCCAAGGCGCGCAGCGAAGCCAAGAATGACAAGGGCACCACCATGACGCAGAAGGATCTCGCCACAAAGTGCAACAGCACGCCGACCATCATTGCGGACTTTGAGCGCGGTACCGCCACCCCAGATCAGAAGCTATTGGGGACAATGGAGCGCGTGTTGAACGTGGTGCTCAGAGGCGAGTCTCTTGGACAACCCAAGTTCCCGAACAGGAAGAAGTGAGCGCGAGGAAAGTCGCTCAAGCAGGATAGTACCCTCCGCACATTGCGTCGCGGACGAAGCTTCCGCTGTGATGGATCTCATATTCTGGATTAGCGGGCGTGGATTATCGGGCGTTTGATGGAAATCATGGAAGAATGACCAAGCACGGGGAGATTCGACGAATTTGACGGAGATGGGTTTATGGCCTTTGGGCTGGAATCTTTACTTCTGTTATGCCTTCCTCGAGTATTCTTAGAAAGAAGGTAGAGAAAATTCATGATTCATGACCGCTTGCACAAATTACTCCCACTTCCTTGCATCGTGTGCCCTATTGCCTAAGTATAAATAAAAAGCGAGCCGTTACTGTGGGGGCTTATCACACAGAGGCGGTGCTGCACTTGGCTCTTTCGGTGGCTTCTCTCGTTCTCCACGTACCTTCTCAGCTTTAACAAGTACGGGTATAACGCCGCCCGTCTCCAACGCAAACGCTCGATGGCCGAAGACCTCCAGAATACTCGCTATAGCACCCGAGTGTGCGGTCAGCGAAAGAAAGACGTTTTCGTCGTTGGCAAAAACGTCGTCTAGAAGGAGGGCAAGGCGATACCGGCGTGCAGTGCGCGGCTCGCGGTAGTCTGCTTCCCACAACTCGTCGTCCTCGGAGAAGCCTGGTTCAAACGTGACGTGTGGGAAGTTCTTTTCGATGACGCTTTTGGCACTGCGTCGATCGCACGTGTGCACGCCGAGTGCTTCTCTCAGCAACTCCTTGATGAACGGCTTGTATTCTTTCCCGGGGGGCAGATCGAGTTCTTGGAAGCTTAGGTCTGCTGTCTCAATGGTCCGGGTAAGCGGGCTGACGTAGTACGTCTCTGGTGGCGGGATGCCGTGGGGTAATTGTTGTTTCCAGAGTGTGCGCACGTCTTTGGCTTGCTCCTGGCCTGTGGAAGTCAGATTTGCGTCGGCCCAGATGATGCCGTCTGCGCCATCGAGGGCGGACCAGTAGCACTGTGAGACTGAATTAGTAACTCTGTACCTGATACTCATGAATCGCCTCATTTTCGGATCAATTCATGAGTGTTAAGGTAAGCGCTGAAGCACAGGAGAAATGCGTACATCCCAAGCTTCCGTTCCATACTTCGTCTCGGCGACATTATGCCACCCTTGCCCATGGCGGCCCAGGAACAGCACTTTGAAGAACTCGCCGTCTTTTGCGCTTTCATTCTGCGTCCGAACATACCGTTCGAAGCGTTTCCATTGCTCTTCTGCCTCCTCGGCTGAGTGATCGGTATCGTAGCCTCGGTTTATCAGGCCAAAGTTGCTCTTCCTCTGGTAGACATTAGAAGGAGAAACGAAACATCAGGCTACTTGTAGATCAGGTCCTAAGGAAGTAGGAAACGTGACTCACAAAGTCGAACTCTTTATCGTCCGTGGAGTCTTCGGACTGGAGGAAGTAGCCTTTTTGGACGGTGTATTTGAAGTGAGACTTGTGCGGCGGTTCGGCCGGCGCGGGTATCTGAGTGCTGCTGGCCATGATGAAGTGCAGTAGGATCAAGGTACAGAATACGAGGAATATGGGACTGCGAGTTGTTAGTGTCTTAGCTTTGGTGCTTCCTTGTTGCTACCTAGCGAATCACCCTCGAAGGATAACAGAGGCTCACACAGAAATGCCAATGCCGCAGAATCTGGATTTGTACGTGTTGGAGGCGAACAGCATAGCGGGAAGGGCTTTAGTCTATCATCGTTGCAGTTGGCCGTGGTATTGATGAGGTCGTGATCCTAGATGTCGCTAAGAAGAACTGATGTCAACCAATCACAAAGCGTGAGCCAATCACGACGTAAGAAGATGCATGTGGTGGAAGTTTGACGTTTTCAATTCTCTCAATATATGGAGGAACATAGCTCGTAGTCTCTCTATCTGATCTTTGCTCCTTCAAAAACTTTTGGAGAGCCAGACCAGCCTGCCGGAACGCCATTGCATGCATGCCCGATCATTCTAGACAACCATCAACCCTATGCATTACAAGTTCGCCTGCGCCGCCTCCCGCTCTACCTCGTACAAGAAGTCAAAGTAGGGCTTGTCGAAATGATGCACTCTTACGTATCCGTCCTCTCCACCACTGCAGTAGCTGGTACCTTGCGGGTGCACAGCAACGTAGTTCAGCGGCCCGAAATGACCACGTACACGGCCGATTTCCTCTGCGAAGATCTTGTGGTAGAAGCGCGCTTCGAATTTACCCTGGCGCGCAGAGGTGGTGGTGACGTCCATGGCAGCTTGTCCACCGCCAAGGATAACGTAGTCTTTTACGGGGGTGATGGCGGCACTGTTGAGGGGTGTGTCGGTAGCGTAAGACTTGAGGACTGTGAGCTCTTCAACGTCAACGAGCTGTGCAAAGTTAGTGGCCATGATATATTCGTAGTTGAATTTCCCAACTTACCTTTGCAGTCTTGTCTTTGGAGGCCGTGATGAAGTATGTTCGGTCTGGTGCCCACTGGAGATCGGTGACTGCGCCATGTTAGCAATGCCTTGCGGTCTTATTAGGTGTCCTGCTCACTCTGCATATCCGGTTCATGCACGTCGTAGTTGCTAGTCAAAAGTTCTCCAGTCTTCGCATCCCACTGTGTGATTGATCCATCCTCGTGTCCAGAGATGATGTACTTGGCCAGGTAGCTGAAGCCTGCAACGGTTGCCTTGCTCTCGTCGCACACTATCCTCAACAGCTGCTCGTCAGACTGCTGTGCCTCTGGGTCCGGGTTGATCTCGTAGACGCAGATGGTCGAGAGCTGGCCGGATCGCTTCTCCGTCACACCAAGTAGTTGCCTACCGTCTGGGGAGAACTCGACGCGCTTGATAGATGTGGCGAACTCCCATGTGTGCAGAAGCTTGCCGGTCTTGACCTCCCATAAGCGCATTGTGTTGTCTGCGCCACCGGTTGCGAGAAGTTCGGATGAGGGGTTGACGTCAACGGTCCAGAGAGCGCCCTGGTGGCCATGGTAGGTTCCTAATCGCTCGCCATTGTGTGAGTCTGCTTCCTGTCAGCCGGATTCCTTCTTCTCTTGCGCAAAGGCCGCTACTAACACCACGCGCACACAACATGATCCTTGGACACCGAAAAGATGATGTCGCCGTCGGCGTTGTATTTGACCTGCGTGAGCGCACGCTCGTGTCCCGAGAGTAAAATCGGCCTCATGTTGACGATGTATGTGGAGGTGAAGGTGGTCGGGGTATATGTGGCGGGGCAGGCGGCGCTCTTAAATTTCGGTGACTGATCTCATATATCGAACGGCTTGGTGTTGAACCTAGTGTGGGTTGTTGTCTAACTGGATGCAGCTCTAGCGCAGAACACTGCCCCGCATAAATCGCCCAATCTGCAGAACGACCACCTGCATCTCCCGAGGTCTGACTGCAACATGGCTCAGACATTTGATTCAGACATCAACCGCCAATCAAGACGGATGATCTTCCAATGATTACCTTTGGGCTAGTCTAATCTCAAGATGAGAGCATCTCACCGACTATGAGTCAACTCCGTCACCCCTGGTCTTCGTTCTATCCGGCGCGCACCGACATACGGCGGGTTGATGCATACAGGAGGATGAGGAGTGAGGCCTTCGATTGAATCACAGATGAACTTGATTGCAAGGCCAGCCTCAAGCCTCCCTCGTATTATCAAGCCTCGCTTGTAGGTCTTATCACTAGCTCACTTTCCGCTTGTGGTTGCTAAGCTGTGTGCGTGCGTGGCATTTGCTACACGTCTTTCTCGGATGGAAGCATCCTGCTCTCCTTTTGCTTGACTTCTTACAATGCCTCATGTCAAGTGAGTGAATCATTCTCATGAACGAGGCAGTGTTGGACAGAAAACGGTTCATGGCTTCGCGCATCGGACTTATGATTCATGGTCATAGAAGCCAAAGAGATGAACAGCTGTCGAGTCCACCGTGGAATTTCACGTATGCAACAGCAGTTGATCGCAGTTATGGTTTTCATTACAGGCTTGGCGCAAACGCGTGCTTGCCCTCAGTGCTTTGCAACCTTGCAAGATCTCACAACCGGATGCCACGGACTCCAGACGCACGATAACAGACAGTGTGTGTATTCCTGTTCATCTGGCAGTGGCGGCGCACAGGTCAGCTATCATGGCCTTTGATGAATCACCAGATGTAGTGGTCATCGCTACCGCGCTCACTCGACTCGAGAACCTTGCTGCTGATGAGTACATTATAGCATTTGGTCCAGATGGCAAGCAGTTTTGTGGCACTCCGAACGGCTATTCTGCGTAAGTAAGGCGAGCTCGACCGGGGACATCATGAGCTAAAAGCGTTGCTGTAGCACTCACCTACCGGCAAAGGTACTCTCTGAAGTATCTGCGGGCCACATCAAGAAGATAGTCTGGGCTTCATATGGAAGTGACGCCGAGTCCTGGTTCTTTGCCTTCGAGACAACAGATGGCGCCAATGCGTTCCAGATCGGTCACAACACGCCAATAGCGCTGCGCCAGTTCATTCTGCTGCTCAGTGAGTCGGAGCACCTTCTCGCTTCCCTTCGCGTCCAGCTTGGAGACAAGGAGTCTTTTGTGGTGTGGACGCATACAGTTTGGGCCTGCTCTGATATTCCTCACGCCTTGCAAGATAAGCTGTGCCAACTGAGCTCCGCTTTCCGGGAGTCTCACGGCGTCACAAAGGGCTCTCTTAAGAGCGGCACGCTAGACAATGTACAATGGCATCGTAATGGAACCTTTTACGCTAAGACTCCTAGTCGTCACACGGGGTTCTACACAACAAAATTCATGCTCGCTGCATGGAATGAACTTTGGAAAGAGAGAGGACCCGAGCAGCTAAGTTCTAAGATACAGAACGAGCTCGCAGTACGTGACAGAGCTATCCAAATTGGACACGACTGACTTGACGTAGTATGTTGCCATTGATACTCATGCACCCTGCGGAGAGACTTTCGCGTTTTTTAAGAAGCAACAGCCCGGAAAGGAGGCGCCCTTTGTTATCCACTTCGGCCAAGAAGGCCTACGCACCAACCTGGTATCCAGCGATGAGTATCCACCAGCCACGAGCATGCAACATGTGCCTCAAAAGCCAGATGAACCCGCTCACTATCAGTGGGCGGTGAGCAGGAAGTCAGGTCGACCGCACGCAAAGGAATCATGGGAGTTAGATCTCAAGAAAGGAGAGAAGCTCAAGGTCTTACGAGACATGGGGCGGGACTGGCACGTTGTCGAGGGTAGCAATGGCATCATCGGCTGGGTGCACCGCTCATGGTTGGACTTTGGCGACCGCAAGCTGCACACAAACGCAAAGACTGCGTACGTGCAGTTCCAAGAGGATCTACAGAAGCTGCTGGTGCCCGGTCAGCTATGCAACTTCCCATCTATGGTCAACTACATGGACGCATGCACCAAGCCTGAGTGCCAACTGCTGAAGGAAGACGTCTCGTCGCTGGGTATATGTCTCCACGATTTGATGGTTCTCTTGGAGGGCGCTGGTAGCTATTCCTATGAGTGGCTCAAGGAGGGACGAAACATGTGGCATCCGGATAGATTCGCTCGGTTCTGCCATGCAGACTACGCAGATCGTCTGAAACCAATGGCAGAGCAGATGTTTGTGTTTTATGGCATCCTAATGGACATGTGCAAGGTGTAGACCAAGGTCTTCAGACTTGAAGAGAGGTTTGTCGCCTGAATCGCCCTATGGCGTATACCAGGGGTTGGTGTTAGTCGATCACCGCGGAGACAGGCAGGAACCGACATGATGGTAATACACTGGTGGAATCAGTACAAAATGGGAATGAATTCCCTAACAGGCCATGTCTCGTGTGGATAATCTCCCCCTAAGGAATGTTGTATCAAATGCCCGTGTTTAGCCCTAGTACCCTTGAGTCGTACGTAATAAACTGCGCGCGAAAAAAACTTTGGCGTCGGCGAGGATTCATGGCGTCCCGCAGCTCAAAGGGCAGGCGCACACGACAGACTGAGTCAGCGCAAAGATAGAATTGCCTGCGTCGACACATCGCACCTTTTCCACTAGACTTGGAAAAGATTCGCTGGCTCGGCTGCTGGAGAGCGATGAGTTTGCTTCCGATGTGCGGACGCACTCGTGCTTTTGCATCCCGTTGCTTTCCGCAGGCTACAGCTACCCCGCCTAGAAAATATTGTCGCGCCCCGTCACCCCGCCATCTCTATACCGCGCTGAAGACGGTGAATCGAGAAAGACACTTTTCGAGCACCACGGCCAGTATGACGGCACAGAAGATCGATGGCACCGCCATTGCGAAGACGATTCGCGGGCGGCTGGGCCAGAAGATCAAGGAGAGACAGGCGGTCAACCCACGATATAAGCCGAGCCTGAAGATTGTGCAGGGTGAGTCGCGATGCCATTGAGAGACAATATGAGACATGTAATGCTAACAGAAGCCAGTCGGCGACAGGTCAGACTCGACCACCTATGTGCGCATGAAGCTCAAGGCCGCCGAAGAGGCCAACATCGACTGCGAGCTCGTCCACCTCCCCGATGACACCAGCGAAGCCGACCTCCTGTACCTGGTACACGAGTACAACAATGACCCTTCGATCCACGGCATCCTCGTTCAATTGCCCCTGCCCAAGCACATCTCTGAGCACACGATAACGTCGGCCGTCGCAGACGAAAAGGACGTCGATGGCTTTGGCATCCAGAGCATTGGCGAGCTAGCGAAGCGGGGAGGTAAGCCTCTGTTCACGCCATGCACGCCCAAGGGAGTCATGGTGCTGCTGCAAGAGGCGGGCGTTGACATCAGCGGCAAGAACGCCGTTGTGTTGGGACGCAGCGATATTGTCGGTAGCCCCGTGAGCTACCTGCTGAAGAACGCGGACGCGACCGTGACCGTATGTCATTCGAGGACAGCGAACCTACCAGACGTCGTCAGGCAGGCCGACATCGTGGTCGCCGCCATTGGCAAAGCACACTTCGTCAAGGGAGACTGGCTCAAGCCCGGCGCCGTCGTCATCGACGTTGGCACCAACTTCATTCCCGACGACACAAAGAAGAGCGGACAGAGGCTGGTGGGAGACGTCGACTTTGAGTCAGCAGTCGAGGTCGCGTCGCACATCACCCCAGTGCCGGGCGGTGTTGGACCCATGACAATTGCCATGTTGCTACAGAACCTTGTCGACTCGGCAGACGCGACGTTCGATAGACAGAAGAAGAGGAAGATCGCGGCACTGCCCATCAAGATTGAAGACCCCATCCCTTCAGACATCGCCATCTCCAGGAAGCAGCACCCGAAGCAGATCACGGCCGTAGCGAAAGAAGTGGGCATTCTGTCACACGAGCTAGAGCCATATGGTTCGACAAAGGCAAAGGTCGACCTATCTCTTTTGAAGCGACTCGAGCACCGCCGCGATGGACGATACATTCTCATCGCTGGTATTACGCCCACGCCGCTAGGAGAGGGCAAGTCAACGACCACGATCGGCGTAGCTCAGGCTCTGGGTGCACATCTCGGCAGAATATGCTTTGCCAACGTCCGACAACCCAGCATGGGTCCCACCTTTGGTATCAAGGGTGGCGCCGCCGGTGGAGGATACAGCCAGGTCATTCCCATGGACCAGTTCAATCTCCATCTCACGGGCGATATCCATGCCATTACTGCCGCAAACAACTTGCTCGCCGCTGCCATTGAGACTCGCATCTTCCACGAGAACACACAAAAGGACGGTCCTCTGTACAAGCGACTGGTACCGGCCAAGAAGGGCAAGAGGGAATTTGTGCCCATCATGTTCCGTCGTCTCAAGAAGCTCGGTATTGACAAGACAAATCCTGATGATCTGACAGAGGAGGAAATTCGGAAGTTTGCCAGGTTGGATATCGACCCCGAGACCATCACATGGCGCCGCGTACTTGATGTCAATGACAGGCATCTACGAAAAATCACAATTGGCCAAGCCCCGACGGAGAAGGGCCAGACCCGTGAGACTGGCTTCGACATCTCAGTCGCCAGTGAGTGCATGGCTATTTTGGCCCTCAGCAAAGATCTCTCAGATTTGAGAGAGCGACTCGGTCGCATGGTGGTTGCCAGCTCTCGCGCTGGCGACCCCGTTACTTGCGACGACATTGGCGCTGGCGGTGCATTGACTGCTTTACTCGTCGATGCCATCAAGCCAAATCTGATGCAGACACTTGAAGGCACACCTGTATTCGTACATGCGGGTCCCTTTGCAAACATCAGTATCGGCGCTTCTTCAGTACTGGCGGACAGGCTTGCTCTCAAGCTGGCAGGTACCGAACCTGATGAGGACCACGATGCGCAGACTGGTTTTGTAGTAACTGAGGCTGGCTTCGATTTTACTATGGGCGGCGAGCGCTTCTTCAACATCAAGTGCCGCTCCTCTGGTCTCGTGCCCGACACTGTCGTCATCGTCGCCACCGTCAGAGCGCTCAAGAACCACGGCGGCGGTCCAGACATCAGCCCTGGCGCACAGTTGCCAGAAGTCTACCGCACCGAGAACATCGAAACTCTCCGCGCCGGTTGCGTAAACCTTAAGAAGCATATCGAGAACGCTAAGCAATACGGCGTCCCTGTCGTTGTTGCTATCAACCGTTTCGCAACTGATACTCAAGCCGAGATCGATGTTATCCGCGAAGAAGCTATCGCTGCTGGTGCTGAGGACGCCATCTCAGCGAACCATTTTGCTGAGGGTGGCAAGGGCGCGGTCGATCTTGCGAAGGGCATAATCGCCGCTTCCGCGAAGCCAAAGCCTGATTTCAAGCTGCTGTACGACGTCGACAGCGGTACAGTGCAGGAGCGCATGGAAATCATCGCGAAGAAGATGTATGGCGCCAGCGCTGTTGAGTTCTCTGAACTCGCACAAAAGAAAGTCGATACCTACGTTAAGCAAGGGCTTGGCAACCTGCCTATTTGTGTGGCCAAGACACAATACTCCTTGTCTCATGACCCGAGCTTGAAGGGTGCGCCAACCGGCTTTACTATTCCCATCCGAGATGTGCGCATGGCTGCTGGTGCGGGCTACTTGTACGCTTTGGCAGCGGACATCCAGACAATCCCCGGCCTACCAACGGCACCCGGTTATCTTAACATTGATGTTGATGTCGAGACCGGGGAGATTGATGGCATGTTCTAGATGAGAACAGTCTTGGATAGATAACGAGGGAGAGACTTGTACGGTGAAGAAGTAATGTGTTCAACAACTATTACAAGGATGGGTCATGGCGTTATGGGACAATGGTACTCTTGTCAGAGCGGGTTTATTCAACACGGAAGCATAGCGTTATTATTACAGTCGATTCAACTTAAGACGGGTCGGTTGAACGAAGGGGGAATTAAAACACTAGACGCCATGCAACTCAACAAGCATATATCACAGTCACAGTACAGTATAAATCAGACTAGAGAACTTTATATGAGAGGTATGAAGATTCCGTGTTTTGTTCAAAAAGTTTTCCAGTCGTTTTCTTTTTGAGTTTCTCCTCGTACCAAGTGATTGGATTTCAATCACGGTCCTCTCCGCCTTTCTGATCTCAGGCAGGTTTCGATTACCTGATTTGCCTGCCTATCATAACACACCTCTCAGCCTTGTCCGCCTAGTCTCTGCCATAAAAGAGCTCCAAAAGTTCGTTTTCCTTCGGTTCATCACGCCGTTCCCCCACTCCTTAATCAGAATCATCATTCTTGGCCTTGATCAACCTCTGCCGATGCTCATCCCTTCCACACCAGGAGTGGTACCAAGTAGGCTCACCGTGCTTGATGCGACAGTGCTGGTCCCATCGGCCTGAGCTACTACCGTTCTTCATCCAGTACTTGACATCCGGGTCTACTCCCCTGGGCAGCCTCGAATTACCCATGCAATCAATGCAGAGGCCGTCAAAGTACTTGCTCGTCATTGTCTGCGCATGCTCTACCGCGGGCTCCCAGTCCACCGTGCAGATACTGCAGCACCCTCCCTTAGGGCAGTAGAACTCGTCAAGACGACTAAGCATCGTGTTGATGGAGGCCCTTGCGCATTTCAGTTCGATGGGGTAAACATCGGCTGTATACAATGCGTAGAAGTAGTTTGCAAAGGACTTCTCCCAGTGCGTGCATGTTGAGGATCTCTTGCCGCGATGCATAAGGGTCTCAGCGCTCTTCCAGAGCTCTTTGTGCAGGACGTTGCGAAGGCGGCCGCGGGAGGCGTTCATGGGACCTATGAAGTTTGTGTTAAAGTCAATGTCAGAGCAATGACTCACTGTACTTACCGACGAACTCCGGTGGTGCCAAATGCAGATGCTTCCATTTGAAGCCCGGGGGACGTTTCTCGGTAATGTGTCCCTCGGCGTTGTAGGCAAGCCACTTTGTCACGTCGGCGAAGCCCTGCGCGTGGTCGAATACGTAGCAAGGAAGGGCAAGTTGCCGCGCAAAGTCGACGCCCTTCTGATCCAGATTGTTGTTCGCAGCATACCATCGCTTGAAGAAGCCTTGCAAGATTTCTCCATCGAATAGGTACTTGTCGCCCATGTTGATGATGTGCCAGATGCAGTCGATATCTACGCGATCGGCAAATTTCATAGATTTGAAGAAGGTGTCTTGACCGGCCGCATCCCATTCATCATCCGCGTCACCTCTCGCTTTACCTCCAGGCCCTCTCTCGTGCACATAGTGCATATACGTGAACCAAACTATCAGCGAGTTCGCGTGGTCGTCCATGAGTTTTATCTCGGCATGTCCGTTCTCGCTGTTGAACTGGAGGCTCTTGCGGAAGTACGCATCTGGGCCACTGGTGTTGATGAGTGCTTCTTTCAACACCTTCATCTTGGTAGCAATGCGGCTACCATCGTGTTGCTTGGGACTGTAGACGATAATCTCGAGGTCTCCATTTGGATCAAAGGTATGGGTTCCTTTGCGCGCCTGGCTGGCCGGCGCTGTCGCTGACGAGTTGGCAGGTCCTGTCATGTTGCAGGTGGGATCGTAGAAAATGGTGTTTCCTATCAAGTATCGGATGTTACCAAACGATTGGACAGGCGATGGTGGTGGTTGTAAGAGGAGAGGTGAAGCTCGGCCGTCTGATAAAGGTAGAGTGGCGCAGGTGATGGACTAAAGGTAAAGGTGAGATATTAAGATCAAGGTGAAGGTGAGATGATACGATGAAATTGAAAGCGTCATATGCACTTCAAGTCATAAAAATATATTCTCGACTTTACCATCGCGACCAACTTGCACACGCAAGAAAAAACATTGAAATTGTTCCTCATCCTTGTACAAATCTTCATTACAGTAGTCAAGAATAGAGGTGAGAGAGACGGACCTTGTTTAGAGTACTCTTCTCCAGGTTTACAACTCCGTCATGTAAGCACACGTTTCACCCTCAACAGTGACAACTAACCTGTTGAATAGCACCTCTCTTTGGACAACATAGCTACTCCACTCTGCGAGTTATTCTATTCAATACAAGCGAGTTGCTTTCATTGAACACCATGTCGACTTCTACCACGTGTAAACCAATCATCATCGGTCTCTACGGTGTATCTGCATCTGGAAAAACATACCTTCTAAACAGACTCAAGAGTGCTACCAATCTTCAAAACGAGCACTTTGCCTTCCACGATGGCTCAGCACTCATCGATGGCATCACTACAGGCGGTCTCGCGGCCTTCAACACCCTGGATCTGAACGAACAGGCCGAGATCCGTGAGTTCGCGCTCACAAAGGTCACTGAACAATGCCGTGCTCGAGACGAGGTAGCTGTGATCGCCGGCCATTACACGTTTTGGCCCAACGAAGCCGAGCCCGCTGGTCAAATTGTCGGAACCGCCAAGGACTGGGAGACGTACACGCATGTTGTGTACTTGCACGTTGAGCCAGAGATGATCGCTGAACGACAAAAGTCGGACCGTGACAAGAAACGAACCAAGCATTCTATTGAACACCTGCGCAAGTGGCAGGATGAGGAGATGGCTGGTTTGCGCGAGGTATGCCTAGCGAAGGGTATCTTGTTCACTACGCTATCGAACAAGACTTCGACTGAGGCAAGTATTCTGGAGCGGCTCGTGGCTCTACTGAAAGATTTCCAACAGCACGGCGAGGAGTTGAACATTCAAGCCGTGGAAGATGCCGTCGCCATAGTCACTGCAGGTCAGAATCAGATGGATACGATGCTGATGCTTGACGCTGACAGAACGCTCGCTCCCCAGGACACTGGGTCACTCTTCTGGGACGAAGTTGGTCCTTGCAAAAGGCTCCCCAATCATCCCTTGAAGCGTATCTTCGATAACCAGGGCTACTCGTACGCCTCTTTCCGCCAAGCGACGCTCCTCTATGAAGAGCTGGCTGACGAGTTCGACGCTATATGCGACAAGGTCGTTGACAAGGTTGAGATGTACCCAGAGTTGATTACCCTCCTTGCCCGCGTGGCGGAAACACCCCACGTTGGCGCCGTTGTCGTAACCTGTGGTCTTCGCACTGTCTGGGAGAAGGTCCTCGAAAAGAACGGCCTATCGCACGTCACGGTTATTGGCAGTGGACGCATCAAGGACGGTTATGTCATCACCGGCTCGACGAAAGCTCACATTGTCGACAAATTGCACGAGAAGAGGCTCAGCGTCCTAGCCTTTGGCGATAGCCCTCTTGACATCGAAATGTTCCAGCGAGCAGACGGAGCGTACGTTGTTGTTGGCGACAAGGCAACCAGGAGCACTTCGATGGACCAGGCACTCACAACAGCGATCGAGCAAGGCCTAGGCGCTCTTCAGATCATTCTTCCCAAAGACGCCGGGCACAGGCTAGATCTCGACCGGCTGCCGAAGGTCAACCTGGGAACCGCCGAAATGGACTTCATCTTCCGTCGAAGAGAACCGTTGGACCGTTTCATGCACGCAACCGAAAAGAACGCAGCGAAGCTGATGATGACGTTAAGCCGCAACGCCGGAAATTCTGGTCACGATCTTCGTGAGATCCATGCGCGCATTGGAGACTACCTGGCTATGGAGTACGTCAGCGAAATCGTTGGCCTCGAGGAGACGGCCATTCCACACGTTCAGAAGAGGCCTACGGACGGATTTCGATTCCGTCACGAGAGAAACACGTTAATCGTTCCACTGATGCGGGGAGGGGAACCCATGGCGTTCGGCGTGAGCAAGGCGATGAAGCTAGCCAGCTTCGCTCATGCCAACGCATATGAAGATATCGATATAGGGAATTTCAAGGGAAAGCGAACCATCATCCTGGTCGACGCGGTAATCAACACCGGTGCTTCAATTCTCGACTTCGTGACGTCGTTGAGGAAGGATCTTCCAACGGTGATGGTCATCGTGGTCGCTGAAGTCATTCAGGCGCAGTTAGTGGATCATGTCGACGGTCGGTTAATGCTGGCGTTGGAGAAGGATCGCAACTTGTACGTCGTTGCACTGCGCACGTCCAACAACAAGTTCAAGGGCACGGGTGTGACGGATACAGGTGGCCGGCTGTTCAATACGACCTATCTAGCGTAAGATTAGGAGGCGGTAGCGGGGTGGCGAGCCGCATGGTAGCGGCAGAGTACAAGATATGCATGCGGGCAAGTACAAGGTACAGGTACAAAAATCCAGGGATGCGGAATTTCTTGTTAAAGAGGGTACAAAAGTAAAATGGGTATTTGGAGAGCAACACTACCAAGGATACAGCGGATACATACATCCAGGAGGCTCATGATCACATGATCAAACCCGGCTTTCAACACGAGAAGAGTAGTAGGTATAGTGAATCATTTAGTTGAAAGAAAATTGGGAGAATGACTTGCAGTAATCTCATAGTGACCTAAAGAGTTTGATTGAACATAGGTGAAAATCCACACCACAATGACCTAGACATACAAATCTCGAAATGCGCAAATAGGGGGTATCAAGCGAACGTCCTCCAAATCAAAAACTCCCCAGTTCAACAGAACCGTTTACAAATACAACACAAGCATAGAACAGATCTGTCCACAGGCGAAAAATGTGCGTTGCGTAGATGGGGGTGAGTGCTCTCACATCCTCGCCGCAACAAGCACCTCAATCTCCCCCCTCCACTCCACACCCTCAACCCTCTTCTCCCTATCCTTGACAAAAGCCCTAGCGAACCAGTTCTGCACATCGAACCCCAACTCTCCACTCAGCGCCTTCAACCGCCCCACATTCCTGATCCCTTCATCTCCATACGCGAGACACTGCAGCGGCGCACCAGCCTTGATCATCTCGCGCTGCTGGAACTTATTGCTTTTGAACGCGTCAAAAGGCGATGTGCCGATGACGAGGAAAAGAAGCGTGATGGCGAGAGACCAGAGATCCGTGGTGGCAGATGGGGAGGCGGGGCAGCGGGTGCTGAGGAGGGAGGGGTCGAGGTAATCCCAGGTACCTGCGCCGACAGGGGAAGGTTCGACGGTAGTATCAGACGTCGGGGATGTCAGGATAGTAGAGGAAAAGTCTGAGAAGACGGTAGTAGGGATGGTGGAGGAGGGGCGTGAAACGAGGATGTTGGACGGCTTGATGTCGGCGTGGATACAGTGCTTGTCTTGCATCCAGATTAAGCTTGTGAGGAGAGACCTTGCGATTGCGGGGAAGACGGTGGCGAGCTTTTGGGCGCGCGAGGTTTCGTCCAGCGTGTTTAGGTGCTGTTCGATCCAGGTCTCTAGTGTGCCGTCCATGGCTTTTAGCACCAGTGCGCCAGTCCGGGTATCAAGGCCATAGAATGAGACGATGTGGCGCGCTGCGTCTGGGAAAGAAGATAGGTGCGACAAGACTTTTGCTTCTGCGGCAAGGACCTGTTTGGCACCAGTCGAGGCTGGGACCTTGATCGCGTAAAAAAGGGGGAAAGCCGGTAACTGATCTATCGCCAAGCTGGAGTCTTGCGAATTTATTGGCGTGAGAGGAGGCGTCATAGCAGCACCGCCATGCGCGGTTAATGTACACTGGTTCGTAGGCTTTGGCAAACTCAACTTCGCCAAGTACACATTGCTCCACAGACCCTTGCCAATAGTCCTTCTCTTTCCCTCTGCATCTTTCATGAACTCGTACTCGGTGAACTGATACGGGAAGTTGATCGTTTCGGTGCTGCGAGGCTTCCTGGGCATATCGAATGAAACTCGAGGGCTTGACCGTGAGGATGATGTCGAGTCACCACGGCGTAGACTCGATAGCGTGCTTAGGTAATCTGATACTGAATCAGACCTTGTGCGTGAAGCGCTGGTAGGTGTGATGGGAGGCGTCATGGCGCCACTGTCGTGCAAGCCCAGTGAATCTTGTGCACCCATGTTTGAAGACCGAAGCCTCGTTGGCGAGTCCGGTGGTGTCGAAATGGTCCACGACGGCTGAGGTTTAGAATGCCTCGTATGAATGACAGCGGGAGTATACCCTTCACTTGACTCCGTGCTGGTGGAAAGTTGAAGCTGTGGTTGGATCCTCTTCTCAGCGGTGGTGGCTGGTGAATCGAGCAACCCGTCTGTTTCCCTGGATGTATAGGGAGCTACAAATAGGGGATGCGCCGCCATTTTGCTTTGCAACTTATCCAACGGACTGGTTTTCCTTGAGACTGGTCGAGTCTAACTGGTAACGGCGGGCGGGTATACGGTGGCGAGGCAGTGTACACCTCGAATCTTGCAACGCAACGCAAAAAATGGGTATAAGAATGAAGTCGCGGAACAACGCAAGACAGGAATATATGTTTGAAAAAACAATGCACAGCCTGCGACGTGTGAAGGTACAATGTTTGAGGATACGTCTATATCGGGATCTCTCCAACCGTGAGGATCCGGAACCGGCTCAACAAAGAAAAATACAGATAAGAAGATAGTGCTACAGATATTGTACAAGGGGAGATAAGGAGTAGACAACCGCGGTAGCGATTTCTCACGTAGCGGGCACCATGATCGAGTACAAGAACGTAGGGCGCGCGTGGAGTGAGCGCAGGAAAAAGGTGGTTGTTTGCAAGAAAAAAGCCGAGCAGCTTCGAAGGGGCAGCATCGGACCACCCGTCTTCATAAGAGAATCGCACGAACCGGACCGGATAGTCCGGCGACAGGTGGGACCTACCTTGCCCTGCCGATGTCCACCACAAGAAGCCCAATCTTAGCCCGCGTGTTGGATTAATAAGATGATTCGCATGGGCAAACAAGATCCATTCACTGGTCTTTCCTAGACCGGGTTATCAACGCCGCGCTGGATTAATGGCCGAGCGCGGACCCTTGGCCTCGGATCCCCAATCACCATCGAGCCTCGCGTGAACGTGCGTCGTTTGATTGGATTGCGGGACGTCGCTGATGCGCAAAAAAGGTTTACGTTTTGTGCTGTGTGCAACATGCATGCCGCGCATCAAGTCGAGCTCTAGCTACACCTAGACAAGATGATTATGCGTTGACGAGTACTGCCCCTGGTGTCTGGGGAAATCGGTGGCTGCTGCGTGACGTCGTGGGTAGCGTGGTGTGTGGATATGGGCAGCTGATTGCGGAGAGGGTGGAGTGTCACTAGGCCGAGACTTGGTTACTTACGTGAACCTGTGATGCTCGCCCCTGCATTATCCGGTATTGACAGAAGCTTTGATGCAAACTACCCGTCCGTTCTTTCGGCTGATGGCTGATGAGATGTGTAGGTATTGTTTTCGTGCGCGCGGAAGACTTTGGTGGTCGCTCCCTTGCCGTCTATCGGGCCGTGAGGGAAGTCACTCGGCCGTTTGGTGCCGAACAACCAATGCTATCTTCCAAGCCACAGGCGCAATGTGCTGACGTCGTAGTCGTTGTTATCCAGCAGCCAGCGGGAGCTTGTCAAAGACTATCTAGCTGCAAGCCTCAGCGTGCGATGAGCTCTACACGTGAGCTATCACCTCCAACATGCATCTTTCTCAAGCCGCCTTGGCACTAGGCTTAAAAAGCCGTGGAAGAAGGCAAGGATGCACAGTTGATCTCTACTGACTTCTGGAAACTGCTGTGTTACTAAAAATGGTCGATATAAGCATGATTCTTCACCATGCACATCTGCCGTGGACATGCTATTCTGCACACCGAATTGATTGCTTCTATGCACTTCTCCCTGCTCCACCACGAGCGCTCACGGCGCTGTACTCAAGGAAATAGTGGTTGCAAAAGCAATGACTGGTACGCCGTATCAGGTCGACCAAGATCCTACAAGACAGAAAGAAAAAAAAGAAAAAAAAAGACAACGAGATAATGCTAATAGAGGAGATTACATATACAAATATATATATAATGTCGCCCGGAGCCCCAAGTCTGTACACTATATTAGTGATGCACTTGAAAGTGTAACGCCGCCTTTCATGATGAATCGCTGTCAATGTGCCTTCCATGCCACCAAAAGATGCTTGTGAAATTACAGTATATGGATACCGAATATATGCACACACATATAAATGTCTCACCCCTTATTCTTCTGCTGCTGCTGCTGTTGCTGCTGGAGCATCGAGGAGCGATATGAATCAATGATCTGGCCCACTTGCTCCTCGTGCTCTTCCTGGCGTCAATGCTGCTCATAACCCGCGCCTCGCTGCCATGGGCTCGTGCTATTCGCCTGGCGATATTGTACATCGTTCCTTGTGCTGTCTGGCGCCCCATACGAGGGCGCTGGGCTGCGGCGGTCGTAGAATGAGGGCGGCGATGGCGAAACGCTCCTGTCCCCTCCCTGACTCCGCGGCGGTACGGGCTGGTAGTGCTCGCTGAAGCCGCCCTCCTTGGCAGCTATCTGGCGCTGCTCTTCGGCCGACGAAAAGTCGTCGTCGTCGTCGAGGCGCGATCGAGACTGGTGACTGCCCTTGCCCTCGCCACGTGCAGTCGCACCTAATGCGTCGAGCTCTGTGGTGAGCTGAGTCTGCGACTTGATGAAGGAGCCGCGGTCGTCCCTCATTGGTTGGTAACGCGTGTCGGGGTTCTTGGTAAAGAGGGCGAATCCAGACGAGACGAGGAGCATTAACAGAAGGACCAGGGCAAAGGCGGCGTTGACGACAAAGAAGATGACTCCCATAACACCAGTGACAATAGGCTAGATCTGTTAGCACGATACTGAATCGAGTGAGACGTAGAACTTACGGGCTGCTTGAAGATTTCCGTAAACATGAATAGGAAAAACGCGCTGAGGAAGTTGATAGCGGCAATGGCGATGTTGAAACCATTCGTCTTCTTGTCCATCCAAGGGCGAAGAACCGAAACACCAACAAGAAGGCCGAGCTCGATGATGAGAATCGAGATAGCCTGAGCCTTTCCGCTGCCTTGGGCAAGACCAACGAACATGGCCTTGATAAGGAGGTATCCAAGCCATGGAATGATGAACCAGTACGCGGCAGCCTTGAACTGTACGTACAGGAAGCCCCACTTGTTGAGAGCGACAGGATCCGAGTAAAGGATGTAGGCGGGGTTCTTGTGCATGGCAATGGAGCGCTGGGCAATACGGACGACCTTGGAGGAGGCCCAAGCAAGAATGCCAATCATGGTGAGCATACTGAGAATAGCCAGGACAACGAGGCCAGCCGAGTCACGTCGTGTGAGCTCCCAGAAACTCAATACCGTCATCTGAGGGAAGCCGATGAGGACGACACGGAAGAGGATACCCTTCAAGACGGTTTGCCAACCGTTGCGGAAGTCGAGGAACTTGTCGCTCTTCATTCTGCCAGCCTTGGCCAGACCTTCGCAGATGAACTTGAACGCAACCACGCCAATGACAGTGAAGAGGACAAAGATGACGAAGAAGACGTAGCCAGTGAAGAAGATGTTGGTTGTCTCCATGCGGGCCTTGAAGCCGACACGCTCGATGCCGTGGAGAACAAGACGTCCGCCGCCTGCTTGAGCCTCGGTGGCAGCAGCGTTACTGCGGGCCATGAGGCGTCCAACGGAGCCAGTAGTGAAATCCAGGGCACGCTTCAGCATCTTCCTCTTCTGGACCTCGACCGAGACAAACGACAGCTGCGAAAGGTGTTTTGTGGGGGTTCCACCAGTCGCACGCTGATACCATGTCGCCATCTTCTGGAGGAAACCGACGCGGATTATGCCCATGGTCCATTGGAAGTTCTGGGTCCAGGCCGCGACAATAGGAGGGAGGGGCACGGCGCACAAGCCGAGGAAGGCCTGGGCCTGGAAGTAGCCGAAGAGCGACATGGCGTTGGCGGCGACGTGCGCTGCCGTGTTGGAATGACCCAGGCCAGAAGTAATGGCAGATGCAATCAGACCTAGGCCAGCAATGATACCCGTCGTCCATGCAACCGCTTTCTGGTGAACCGAGTGTCCGTTGGACAGCTCCGCCTCGACACAGGCGAGCTGCTCGTGCGTCGTCTTGTCTTTGATCTTGATTCGGATAATAGCGTCCAAGTCGGGGATGGTGTAGGCGATTCCTGTTGCATGTTAGCGAAAGGGCCACCATGAGGCGACGCGCGGCTTACCGGGAAGTTTATCAATAACGTCCTGGCTGATGTCGAGAAAGTTGGACTTGATGGTCAGTGGCCCAGCATTCATAGGGCACATGCCCTCGAGCTCTTTCGAGTTGCAAGGGTCAATCTTCTCATTCATGGCTGAGTAGCCGTAGACCAGCAGCTCCATCTCGGCCTCGATCTTGCCGGCAATGTTGGAGATGCCCTCGATCTTGAAGTCCAAGCTGCGGTTGCCTGGTGTGAATGCGACATTGAAGAGCGTGGCCGAGAAGCTGGAGTTGGACATGCAGGGGTTCAGCGACTTGGACTCGATGATGCGCTCAGCGGAGACGAGCGGCACCGCGGCCGCTGCCAGCCAGAGCAGCGATTTGGAAAGTGAGGGTAGCATGGTGTGTACGTGTATAGCGTAGTGGTATTGGGTATTAAGTGCGAGGCCGAGTCGAGTTGTACTCGCAGCGAGTACGGCGAAGGGGGTTCGACCAGTCCAGCGGCGATAGTTGTTCCTTCAGCGAGTGTTCCAAAAAGTCGTGGTAGCGGGCGTAGTAGGTATGTAGTGAAGGTGCGAAAGGCGCGGCGGGGAGGAACGAGCGGCAGTCGGTAGTGACAAGTGTATGTGGTGGTGGTAGGAGGAGGTTGAAGTTGAGACGGGTGGTTGCGCAAGCAACTGGGAAACCTGGCAGGGCAGGCAGGCTGCGAGGCGGGTGCAGGTGCTGCCGGTAGGGGAGTGGGTCTTCTCGGCTTGGGGGGAGGGGAGGCTAAAAGAAGGGGTTGAAGAGGAAACGATTGGACAGGTGCGCGATCGGCGGATCTGCCACTCGACGCAACCCAAACGAAAAAAAGAGGATAATTAAATGGCCGTGGCAGGACAACCTGGGTGGTTTTGAGAGTGCCTGAGGAGAGCGAGCAGGTGGTGGTAGGTAAGAGGATCCCAGCGGGGCGTCAGGGGAGCGAGACAGCGAGAGTGGCAAGTGGGCCTCTTTGGAGACAATACGATACACGCGGCTCCTGCTCAGCGCCCGGGCTTAAAAGACTCTGCCCTTCCAGCGAGCCAAGGTGTGGGCGACGACGAAGTTTGGCTCGACTACGCTGCATGCGGCCGGTCAACGGGTGCCGCTGTTGAAGGCGGCTCTTTGTGCTCGCCTGGTGCTAAAAACAGGCGCATTCTCCCCCTTCACCACGGCCGGGCTCAACACTTGCAGGCGCCGGATGGGGAAGGCGCAGGGAGCAGGGGGCGACCGTCAGCACCACCACCAGATGCTCCGCCACACTCACACACGAAGCGCAATCCATGACCACACGCAGGAACAATTTCGCAAACTCGGCTCCAGGCTGCCTCCAGCCAATCGCCTGCGCGATCCGAGCTGGGCAAATGGCACACGAAGAGGCAGACTGGAAGGCTGACAGCCTGTCTGATGACTGATGATGGGTCGTCTCGCGTCTTTGATTCCTTTCCACCATCGCCTGCTCGTATCCAACAATCCACCGTATGCGAACTCCGGGCTGTCGCGGCAGGAGATGCTGGCCTGCCCGTGTTTCCATTCCACACTCAAACACGGCCCATTATAGATTTTGCATTGCCTCTTCACAGTCCCTTGAGGCGCCTTCAGTTTCAACGTCTCCCCATCCGTGCACACGGGAGTTGCGGAAGGCGCGCCCAGGGGATACAAACAGTGCAACCCCGCCAAGCCTTCTAATCCAGTTGCCCATCAGGCCAGTATCTTGGCCCTTGGCCTTGGCCTCCTTCAAACATCTCACATATTGATTGACTTTGAAGAAGAGCACCCCATTGATAGCCAAGACATGTATGTGAATATATGGTTTTAATCAGGATGAGATAAACTGGCTGAATTCAAGGGATCGCGAATCTTTTTGGTCCAATGAGAAAAGACTACTGAGCGATTACGAGCATGCTGAAGCTTTACGATGAATACTGACCATGAATATTAATGATGAATAAGAATATCGCACAGAGCTAGTCTAATAAGACGATTTACATTCCTCCCAAATTTCGACCTACTCGTCATCTCACCCACCGCCCGCCCCTTACGCCCATCTGAAACACCACGTCAGGCAGCCCGCTCATCTCACAGGTACCCGTCCCATCCGCATCTCGCAATACACAGCCTCCACCCCACACTATGTTGCGAGGTTTGACTTTTCCTGGTGATCCTCATTTTCGCTACCACTACAAAACTGGGCCCGCCCCACCTGGCTTCGAACGACTGTTTGCACGACGCGTCACCAATCGTTCCCAGGAGAACATCAGTCTTCTAGTTGGGAACGCCTCTCATTCCAGGTATATGTATTTACTTGAAATCCGATACACAACACCGTCTATTGCAAAGGAGATACGATGGGAAATGATCATGTCCCCACTGATGATGCTGAAGCGTGTTCGGTATACTCATCTACGTATACCACGTGGGCTCAGGTATCTCATCCAGTAACTGAAATCTCCCCAGCTCCCGATTCTTATACGACACAGGATCGTGCAGCGTGTGTGTACGCACATCTCTCCAGAAGCGATCGAGCCCAACCCCCTGGCTCGTGGCTTTGGCTCCCGTTACCTCAAACACTCCCGCCGTCACACGCAGACCAGTGTCAGTAGTCACCACTTTGGTGCTGGCCACCCACTCGGCAAACTCTCCACGCTCGCGAGCTGTCAGCTTCGCCCGAGTGGCTAGATCGCCCGAGTATTTCTTGTAGATGTCGTTGGCCTGCTCGCCTGCGCGATCCGCTAGGGCTACAGCGGCGCGTAGATGAGCGTGAAAGTTGCCATAGCGCTCGAGGATGTAGAATTCCTCCGTGGCCTTGTCCTTGTTCTATCACATGGTCAGTACAAGTTTCGTGCACCACTACCTGCAAAACTTACATCTCCACCATACGGCCATGCTCGCGTACCCTTCAGCGTATACTTGGACGCGTAGTCTTGCGCACCAAGAGCAATTCCGAGATAAAAGTTGCTGAAAACGAGCTGAATGCTTGGCAGGAGCAGCGATGCAAAGGGAATCTGGAGAGCTGCTGCATCTGGCTTCTTCTCCGCGACGTTCCAGCCCAATGCATCGGTCCACGGCACGGCCACGTTGGAGATCTTCACGCTGCCAGACTCGGTCAACCGGAGCCCAATATTATTCCAGTTGTGTGAGAATTGAATGCCGGGCTGGTCTGTTGCCGCAAACGCGAAGATGTGATGGTCGGTTCCTTCATACACGCCTTCCAAAACAGTGAGATCGGAAATAACGCCCCCTGTGTTGAAGTGCTTGAAGCCATTGAACACGATCTTGTCGCCATCGGATGAAATGGAGAGATCGCTATCTCTGGGATTGACAGCGCCGCCAATAAAGTAGTTGTTCTCGATAATCAGCTTCTGGAAGCGGTCTGCTTGCTCAGCCGATCCAACAACATCAGCTGTAGTGGACCACAGGAGATGGTAGCCGAGGAGCATGCCAATCGATCTGAAACACATGTTCAGCACAATAGAGTATATTAAAGAAGAAGCTGCTCTTACCCGTCTGCTTCGGCGACCTTGCGGATGAGCTTGTACCCCACGCTCCAGGGCTCACCACCACCACCGTACTTCTTTGGGCCAAGGACCTTGAGTAGGCCAGCATACTTCAGCAGAGCAACCTCTGCCCGCGGTGACTTGTTCTCTGCGTCCCTGACGACTGCATCGACTGCCAGGACATCGGCTACTTCCTGAGCCCGACGGAGCCAGCCCGCCTCATCCTGCGGAAGTGCCGTCCATTTCTTCTCGTATTCTGCGTAGACTGCCGGGTCACGGTAGGAAACGTCTTTTGCATTGCCATGCTCATTACTCGTGGTGCCATTGGTGCCAGCCATTGTCCGTAGCCCTGCGAAATGACTTGGAATAGATACTCTGATCGAAGTTGTGTTGTTTGAGTAGAAGAAGGCCTACGTCAGTGTGCATTTTGCCAGCTATATAGCTCAGACCGAGGGCATTGCATGTGGTCGTACTACAGATTGCGTGATATGTGCCCATCCTTTACCCATCTTGCGAGGCTGCTCTAGTCTCGATGCCGTGCTATTCATTGAGCAAGCCAATCTTGTGCTGCTGTCGTCCTAACACGCGTCGAGCGCGGGACAGATGCGCACCCAGCATGATGCGCCGAGAACCACAGTGCGGCCAGATAGTAAACTAAATGATGCATGGCCAATGGCCAGTTGAGGTATATGTTCTGGTGGGGTTAGTGACTGGGGTTGTTGAGGACACACACAGGTGTCAGAGTAGTCGCACATGTCAGGTAAGCGCGCCCAGCTACAAGTGGCTGCTCGCGCCCGCCCGTCGACATTCGACTATGAGCGCAATGCCGGACGGGAGCATAGCTTGCAGGGACCTCTTCGCTCAATGCAATAGCGCCGATAAGATTCGCAGCTCTCCAGCCGTCGAGGTCCGATTAGAGGTTCATGAAGAGGGGCTACTGCTAGTTCGACTCAATTCGGTAGGATACATATGAATTTGCGACCTAACCACTACAGTTCCTCTAACAACTTCTACACTCGCCATCATCAACCTCAATCACACCATCTTCAAATCGGCCCTGCATTGATCGCAATCCACTTTCGATGATCTGCGACCCCACCTACTTACACCCCTGGTATATCTAGTCTCGCAGGCAGAGTTATCACCGCTATTGCGTCTTTCTACTCTTCGCGAAGTACCTAGACGTGTCGCCTAGCGGAAATTCCACGATGGAGTCTTTCAATAAAAGGGCGAATGTCAAATACCTGCTTATGTTAATCCATAGTACCATGAACATCTAATCTGACTTACCATCCAATGATTCCTGAAACAAAGCAAAACCCGCCTCCGCCCTTTTTCAGGGAAACGGAAGCAGCGGCATGTCCATCAGCTGCTGCAAAATAAGATGCGGCGACTAGCATAAAGCCGAATTCGACTGTGAAGAAGATTCCGATGTACACCAGATTCGTTGGCAGCGATGCTATTAGAAACGTCAAGGCGAAGACAGTCCAAACTGCAGTCCCATTAGCGACATTTCAAGTCCAATAGTTGGTTTCGATACTCACGCATCATGAAAAATCCCAAAGCGTTGTTCAACTGCTCAACATCATCCCCATAAGACGCCACCACTCCAAATGCTGGCGTCAGAATTGCACCGTACCCGGCGTAGAACAATCCTTCGTTGATCAGATTTAAACTTCCGCAAAGATGATACAAACTCACCAAAAGCACTGAAGACCGTATACGAAAACCCGTTTCCCACGGAAAGTTCCCACTGAGCAGTTACGACTAAGCCAAATGCCGCGGCGAAGAAGAAGTTCGCTACAAACACATTATTCGTTGTCACGCCTCTCCATTCCATCAAGCTGAGGGAGAGTGTTGTCAAGGTCGTTGCGAAGACACCGATGGGAAGTGCTGACTGCAGGACTTAGCATGTCTCTCAAGGTCAATGAACCGGAGAACTTACTCCTGCACCCAGCGACGTGCGAGCGATTGGAGCAGCAGTCACGAAACCTTCATGCGTGGGTTGCTTCTCGATATCGGCGTGGGCAATGTTATTCTTGCCATTGGACGCCGTTGATGGTGAGGCAGACATATTGCTAGTGGTAGAGCGTTGTAGATTGAGCAACTTCAGTGACATTCTCGCCTTTCATCTATAGTACCCTTCTGTATAGCGAACATCTCTGCCCTGGTCTCGTTGCGCACAATCAAGAGCACATTGCGTGCTCCTTCCGCGGGCGCTCCGTACGTGGTTTGTCCGGCGCTTCAATGCGCTATCGAGTGTTTTGAGGCTACATTTGACCGAACGTGCCCGCCTCCCATGATACTGTATTCTCTATGCCTTGCACACTAGTCGGCCCTTTATGTAGCCCGTGCAGATCACCACAACAGTGGGGTTCGGTACATATCGACCCCGCATACACCATGATGTACACAGAGCACGCCATGCACACCGCGCATCCTGCCCACCCGAGGTCGGATAGTATGATGCGATCGCCCAGAATAATGCAGGAACCGTTCCCTCTGAGAATCTGTCATTCTACAGGAACTCCATCAACATCAATTAAACTAAATATAATTCACTACAAAAGTGTTCGAGGAAAGAAGTCATGGCTAAGCCAAACACACGCAAGCGACTACCTACCAAGACAAATGGCGAAATTTCAGAGGCAAATGGGAAAGTCCAGCCAGACAGTTTGGTAGACGAAAGTGCTCGCAAGAAACAGCGTCTCGAAGCCGTACCGAACGAATCTACCACCGGCCAATTCACTCCCACAGAACCCCTTGAGATCAACCAAGATCCTGATCGGGTCTTATTTGCGTGCGTATATCCATCAACCTCATGAAATTCATTCCACTGATACTCAGAATAGATACTGGGTCCCAAATGTGTCCGGCGGCCTCGTCATCTCCAAGATCCCCCAGAAGACCAGCTGGGACCTTGCATCCAACGTGCGCTACGCAAAGACCGCCGAAGAGAACGGCTTCGAGTACGCACTGACACAGATTCGCTTCACAGCTTCATACGGAGCCGCCAATCAGCATGAGAGCGTCTCCTTCTCGCAAGCCCTGCTGCACAACACCGAACGCCTCAAAGTCATCGCTGCGATTCTGCCAGGTCCATGGAATCCCACCGTTGTCGCTAAGCAAATTGCAAGTATCGACCATTACACTAACGGTCGCATTGCGGTAAATATAGTATCTGGCTGGTTCAAGGGCGAGTTCACCAGCATCGGCCAGTGGTGGCTTGAGCATTCAGAGCGGTACAGGCGCTCAAACGAGTTCATCCGCGCACTGAAGGGTATATGGACCGCTGGCGAAGAAGGATTCACCTTTGGCGGAGACTTTTATCAATTCCGAAACTACAACCTGCAGCCAAAGCCGCTGCAAAACCCGCATCCAGAGATCTTCCAGGGCGGCAATAGCGATGATGCGCGCGACAACGGAGCCCAAGTCAGCGATTGGTACTTTATGAATGGGAACGATCTCGATGGGTTCCGTAATCAGATCGCAGATGTGAAAGCGCGCGCCCGAAAGGTGGGGCGGGAAGACCATGTCCGCTTTGCGGTGAATAGCTTCGTTATACTGAGGGACAGCGAGGAGGAAGCGATCCGTGTTCTACAAGAGATCCAGGGCAAGGCCGATGTCGAAGCTGTCTCGGCATTCCGCGATGCAGTACAACAAGCTGGAGCCAGCACGGGCAACAAGAAGGGCATGTGGGCGGACAGCAAGTTTGAGGATCTGGTACAGTACAACGATGGGTTCAAGACGAAGTTGATTGGCACCAAGGAGCAGATTGCAGAACGCATACTGCTCTTGAAGAGTTTAGGGGTTAACTTGGTGTTGACGGCGTTTTTGCACTATGAAGAAGATATCGAGCGGTTTGGCAAGGAAGTTTTACCGCTGGTGAGGAAATTGGAGGGTGAAGGGAGGGGAAAGGATGCTGAATACGAGATTGAACGAACAGGAGACATTTATCGGAAGGAGTAAATACTTGTCTTCATAATCAAGAGAGGATTTCAAAAGCGCCTGCGCCCTAGCTGAGTTAGTCAGCAGGCCTACCTTGGAAGATTCCACGTAATCACAAACATCTCTTCCCTCAAATTATAACTCTACAGACCAAAGATAGCTCAACAGGGTGTAAGTGCTGATTATATCTTTTTTAATTGGGCTATCGCTGATTCTGTGAATGGAGTATGGGTGCTATCTTAATAATCTGGACAGTTTCAATTTTAGATTATATACTAACTATTAGCTGCATTAAGCCTGCAGCTCTGCGCGGCTCTAATGATGCACATATTACTTAGTGTGGCGTTCTTCTTACGTGTATAACGTCATTTTAGAGTATACAATTCGATCGCGTCGAGACTTCATTTGCACCACGAGCTTCTCTAAATACAGTTTACCATCTCCATGCATTCAGGTCAAGTACCCTGGTTATTACCAAGAACGACTTCCGTCGACCATTCATATCTAGAAACGGCTGGGCCAGAAGGGAGCGAGAATATCTAACAATGCAGACCCATGGACTTTAGAGGAAATGACGTGGAGATTCATGCAGCTATGCGAACCGTAACCTTTGCAGGTTTCACGAAGTATATTGCTTCTCATGCAACCCTCCTCATTTGGTTACACATACGGACTACTGATAGCTTTACAGGTTGCATATTGCTTTCGCGCTCCCTCAATACGTTCTTGAACCATCTGATATACAGATTTATGGCTTCACACAACACTATGAAGACATTTGGTCTCTTTACCGTAGAAGAGAAGCTTAGATATAGCCATTGTTTGCTCTCATAGGCAGGTGGTGTGTGCCGGAGTGAAGGTATGCGGGCTCCCGTCTTTCACCCTAATCACTCGCAGCTTGCAAGTACAAACAGTCTCTGCTCTTCTCGCTTCCCCCAGCTTGAAGTCGTCTCTCCATATTCATCTCGCAACTATTACACTTGGAATACTCAACTATGGCGCAGAAACTCACCGACAACGTTCAGCATCGTCTTGAAGACCATGGGTACGCTCATCTTGAAGTGCTACTCAAGCGCAAACTCTCTGGAATACCATCTCACCACGTTCCCGACCTACAACTTTCCGACATTATCTCTCAGACACCTCGCGCTTTGCTCCTGCACAACATACCACCAGACATTCAACTCGCTTTCCTCCTACGCAACCGCGCTTTAATCGACCAGCATAGCGGAAAACCGATCAAAGCCGAAGACAAGCAGTCGCTAGATATAACACGAGCGATCTGGTACTACCGTCTAGACGCAGTGCATCAATTCCAGCGCTATCACGACACGGCACGCTGGAACATAGCTCTATACACCGCGCTCCTCTCACTCCCCTTGGACACCACTCCACCAGCCTCGCCCACGTACCCATCTTCGCCAGCGAATACGCGCTCAAAGGATACCTACATCCCACCTGCCGCCCGCCGTTTCATGACGCTCTACCTCGCTGCTGTGCTAGAACACCACCATCACACACCCAACACCACCACATTCACCGCACGCGAAGCCTTCATCAAGGTGTGGAAAAGCGGCATCTGGGATGTTTTTGAGGTGCATAGCTCTGGGCAGAAAAAGCTTCTCAAAAACGAGATGAAGCGCCTGACCAGGGAGTGGGAGCTTGAACTGGATCGCGCGATGGGTAGCATGGAGCGAGCAGAGTACCAGGCGCGCATTGCTAGGTTCGTGGGCAGTTTGTTCCCCGGACGAAAAGATCAGGGTCTCGTCTTGCCTGCGTATCTAGGCAAGGTTACGCCGTCGCTGTCGCCTGAGGTGCAGATGGGGGGTGATGTGGATGTCGACACTGTTTTGGTGGTGAAGGAGGAAGGTGAGGCGAGCAATGAACTACTGGAAGCACTCTGTGTGCCTCTTGACGAGCAGAGTCGGCAGAAGCATACGGAGTTCCAGGAGACGACTGTGGTGACGGATATCCGGTATGCGATTGGTGCGGTGAACAAGATGCATCCGAGGGATATGCTCCTTATGCTTATGCGGTTATTTCCACCGAGAAATGAGTGATGACTGCACTTGGACATGTTGATCGATGGAGATTGGTGATTGACTATATCGGATATGATGTCGTCTACTTGGAGCTTGACATTTTGGATTAGCGGGGCTTGGACGATTAGGCTGGATGTAGTTGGCCGTGTTTGCTATCATGAACATCGACGTCAAGTTTCACTAGAATGGAACATCAACAGCAGCAATCGTATCATTTTGAAGTCATACATCATGTTGATGTCATATGAAATATTACGCTCGCTTTAGAAATTCCATCTCAAAACATGAACAACCGTCTACTGCGGCTTCAACACACCCCTGTACCTCATCTTTCCGTCCTTCAGCGTTGACATGGCCTCCTCGATTCCCTGCTCGCTCATTGGGAACTCCATGATGATGGGCTTGATACCGTGGAATGCTGAGAACTCCAGCATCTTGCGGTGGACAGCACGCGCTGCAACGATGGAACCCTGGATCGTGATTCCAGACTGGATGAAGGGCAGATGCGGGATCGCGAAGTTGTCGAATGCTACAGTCAAAGGGAAAATCGTTGAGTTGGGCGCCATGATGGGGAGTAGGAGGGACCAGTCTGATGTATTTGTTAGTCATAAACTTATTGAGAGTTTTGCGAAGATGTAACGTACCAGGGTTGACACTTGAGCAGACAAGTAGAGCATCAAGCTTGCGGCCAATGTTGAGCTCCTTCTTTCCCTTCATTGAGACGAACTCACTCGCTCCGAGCTTATGCGCCTCCTCTTTCTTGTTGTCGCTTCCTGAGAAGACGACGACCTCACAGCCCATCTTAGCGGCATACTGAATAGCGAGATGGCCGAGGCCACCAACGCCTAGGACACCAACACGGTCGGTGCTCTTGACGCCGTATGTGTGCAGGGCGTTGAAAACAGTTGCTCCTCCGCACATGAGCGGCGCAGCCTCAGCGTCTGTCAATGCATCCGGGAGTCTGAAAAGGAAGGACTCTTTCCATACACCGTGCGAAGCGAAGCTGCCCTGGTCGAGGTTGGCCTCACCATACATCTCGCGCTCCGGGCAGTATGTCTCCCGTCCACTCAGACATTGGTCGCATGAGCCGCAGCTGTTATGTTCGTAACCCCAGCCGACCCTATCGTTTTTCTTCAAGTGCCTCACGTTGGGGCCGACCTGGTCTACGACACCAGCACCCTCATGGCCGAGCGCAATTCCGGCGCACTTGTAATGCTCATCGGTACCGCAAATTCCGGAGGCGGTGACTTTGACGAGGACTTGGTCGTTGGTGAGATCAGGCCTCTGGGTTTCGGCCTTGAAGATTTTGCCCTCCTGGGTGCCTTTGTAGACTGTGAAGCTAGGCATTTTGGTGTTGTGTGATGTGAACTTTGTTTAGGTAGGTTGATTGCAAGTCGGAGTGTGGTTGAGATTGAATTAGAGCAGTAGAAGATAAGGACGACACGGTTATATATACTTCGGCCAAAGATAGTCTCCAAGTTGTGCTCCACGCGAAATTCAAGTCGAGCTATCCAGGCTCTAAAACTTTTCCCCTATGACGTGCAGCTTGATAATGCGCTGGCTGCCGGATCTAGCCTTCTGGTATCGCCGTTTCTTTACACTTCCGACGCATTGACCGGCACTAGTCAGTCAATCGGTGAAGCGCATTATCTTAGGACCTACTATGAGTTGAGTAATCTAAATTCTGAAACTCTCATGTAACTCGATCGATGCGAAGTTTGCAGCAGTGTAATTATTCTGCAGGCTTTGCATGTCAAATGAAATTCTGTATAACATAGATGATTAGAAATGTAGGCTGGAGATAATGCTTCGAGCGTTTGGGGGCAAATGTCGACGAAAATCGGCAAGTCTCGCCCAATCAGATCGACCGAAACGGACATCGAAGGCCTCGGCAAGATGGTGCTAGTATTTGAAAAATTGCCATGAAAAGTAATCTCACAGCTAGTGTACCTTGCGAATGTCAACGGAGACAGAACAAGCCTTGCACAGCGTCGTCAGAGATTCGAGGCGCATGACGCAATGGCGTTGAATCCGAGTTTTGCCCAACATGGCCGAGATAGTCGGTCCTTCTGGATAGCAATCGCAGATTTTTTTTCTGGTGCCAATCTGGCGCATTCCAGCTGCCAGTATTATGACATATGCAGACAAGCTAAGTCCTAACTCCGGGGCATAGAGAAGTCGCCAGAAACAAAAAGTCGGCGAAATGCTCCAGATTCGCTGTCATTAACTCCACAACTCACGGATCTCCGCATCCTGATGCGATATCGTTCTGAGACGAGGGAGAACGAGATTACCCGGGGCAGCTACACACAAACTTACGACGTCGATTGCAAATGGCGACGGTGCCGTCAACTCTACCCGATGAGAAATGCCTAGCACACGTCAACTAATCGCCTATCGCAATACCGTCGTCTTACTGACACGAAATGTTCCGGTCGCACTACCGCGCACTGGACCACCGCATCGATTCTCCTGCGAAACTCTCAATATGGCCTACTAGGACGCTGGAGGAGTAAACTTGGAAAAATTCGCATCGAGAGCGTATCGTTTCGGTGCAGAGTTGTATGTACAGAGGGTAGAGAGGCAGCCAGGCAGGAACGGAACTCGGCGCCCTTTTGAGTTCCGCCCCGACGGGGTTCAGTCAGAACAGCACTTGATTGCCCTTGCCCACCTCATGTGGCCGAAGCACTCTCTTAACACATATCTGACGGACTTGTTTGCAAATGATGCACCATAGCCGCTCAACTGTTTGAATTCCGTGCTCCTTCCCTAACATGACGCCTCACGAGGCTAACAAGCGGAAAGCCTGCAAAGCATGCACCACAGCAAAAGCGAAGTGTTCGCCATATGAAAGAAGGGAAGACCTGTGTCAGCGGTGCGAGCGGCTAGACAAGGAGTGTGTCTACGAAGAGTCGCAGAGGAAACGGGGTCCACGAACGCGCTCGTGAGTTTGCAGTTTTCCCTTTAGGGACTTGCCATCGCACCTGAACTGTCGCGTAGTGTACCCTGCCGATGTTACTCATCTATCATTGACATCTACGTGGGTAAGAGTGGGTGTAGTCTGATACTTCTTGCGATTGTAGAGCCCCAGCAAAATACGGGCGCTTTGCCTCGCGAAATACAGTCTTCATTGCTAAGATATTCCAATCAGTCATCAATGTGTGAATCGCGTACTTCAATGGTCATGTTCAAGCATTGACACCTAGCCATAGACTGACATCAACACTAGGCGCATGAAACAGCTAGAGCAGCGAGTTGAGAGCCTCATGGACATGCTCGCATCAAACGGCCAAACGCCCACCAGATCGTCAATGAGCGACAATACTACGCCAGTCGCCTTGATAAATTCCAACAATGTCCCAAACATTGCAGCAAACCAAGTCGACCCTAATCGGCCCTCTAGAGAAACACCTAAACCGACTTCACCAGATGCAGATGTTTTTACAGCTTACGACCCGATAAAAGCCGGGATTCTCAACGAAGACCAAGCTGACGAATTGCTGAACGACTTTCGAGATTCCTTTACGCAGCACTTCCCCTTCGTTGTTGTTGATGCTTCCATCAATGCCAGTACTCTCCGTCTCCAGCAGCCGTTCCTTTTCCTTTCGATCATGGCCGCTACGGCATACAGCACACCCACCAATCAACGTATACTAGCCGAAGAGTTCAGAGACCAGGTAGCTATTCGTATCATTGGTCGCGCTCACAAGGGTCTGGAGATCCTGCAAGGTCTTCTCGTTCATACTGCTTATTACCAATACTTTTACGAACCAGGCAAGCAACAGCTTGCGCTTATGATGCAGCTGTGCGTTGCGATGATGCAAGATCTCGGGTTGTCAAAGAACACGCGAAAGCTGCTTGATACGGATTCTACGCTAGAGAGGGCTCCGGCAGAGAAGCGTGCTATACTTGGCACGTACTACCTCGCGGCAGAGTAAGTATAGGCTGTGCATATGTGTATCACTCGTTTTTCTGATGTCGCTTAGATTTGCACACACGTGGCGCAAACGTACAACAATGCCTTACACGCGTGCTCTCGCTCGTCACTGTCAGTCCTTTGCCGACCGTCCGGAACATCCTCCAGACGTCCTGATAGCGCCCCTTGTTCGTTTAAGCGAGTTGAAGTGCCGGATCAGCGACTATTTTTCCTATGATGAGATTGAGTTCTCGGAGATAAATGGCGACTCGACACTAGATCTGTCGACCGGCAACTTTCGTAGCGAACTTCAACGACTAGAGGAGTCATTGCCTGAGGTTGTACGGCAAAACAGTGAGTCCATCATGCATGTGGGCATGTTTGTCTACTGACGTAGGATATTAGCTACCATACGTCTAACCTGTGATGTTCTCGGGGTTTGGATACATGAGTGCTCTCTGCACAGCACACTATGGAACCCATTACACTCTGTTAAGCCAACAACGATCACGCCCACCCGAGTCCGCATGTTACAACGCACATTCACCGCATCCCAAACCTTCCTCCAGAACCTACTTAACGCGCCCTCAAATATGCTCCACCACTACACCTTTCCGATCTGGGGAGGCTGGTTCTACTCTACCCTAGTTTTCGTGAAATTGATCTTCCTCCACGACAGCGGAGGAAGCGGTGCGTTGGGCATGGACAATTTAATACGCGAGGTAGGCGATATACTTCCTCGCACCGAGGGTGAAAGCGTATCGCAGGATGTCTGCATGATAAATGCGTTACCAGGCACCGCTTCTTGCGATTCAATGCTTGCAGCGAGAGAGGCAGAAGTCATTAAGCTTTTCCAAGAGTTCGTCAACAAGGCGATTTTGGCTGCTGCACGATACACATGTGATAGCGGGCCGGAGGGCAAGAGCCTTTTGAGGTTGATGGCGACGTTACAGCAAGGTTTGTTAGCTGGGATTAAGAAGAAGATCGAGAAACAAAAGCCGAGAGTCCCGCCGTATGCAGTCTCTGGCTTGGACGCTTTTGCTGCGGCGACTGCAACACCACTCAATGAACAACAGCCCGATCAGCAAACCCAAGTACAAACAGTGCATGGTGGCGACCCGGTCAATTTTAATCATTACGATGACGCAACACTGCTGGATGGTCCGCAGGTACAAATCGACGACTGGATGTGGGACCTAGTTATGGAAGATGTCAATATGTTTACTATGTAGCGATGTTCATGGGAGATCTCTGTGGGACTCGCAAACTGCGTGTACGATGCGCGATTCATTTTGAATGCGTTAGCAGCCAAACATTGTCAATCCAGGAGCCAATCCCTCTTACACCCAATAGCATTCCGGGTTCGCATGCTGGAAGCAGTTATTATTATAAGGAATTTACACAATGTAACTGACTTCGCAATCCTTATTAACTCTGTAACTATGATTTTCGTTCCAAGATCGCAAGTTTGGACTGCGAAGTAGGAGTGTCGGCTACACCTTGCCCGAAATGGTGTAGCGCAAGAACTCTATCATCACTCCCGGAGTGATGCAGAGTCTTCTCCCCTCACATTCCATCACGCCAGACTTCTATTTTATCTTCAATCTTCGTCCAGTGGGTTCTTTCAATATTTCAAGCCATCTAAAGGCTTTTTGCACATAAAGCGATGCTTTCCCGTAAGGTTTGAGTTTCGCATCGTGGACCGCCATAGCTCCTCATGCCTGTACTGCAAATGGTAGACAATTTCTCCCTATTCAATATGCACTCTGAATCAGAGTCTTGCATATCTCATTTGTTGCCCATTAATCATGTTTCTATTGTTCATTTCAATGTGATAGTCACAGCTGCCCTCCGTATGACATTGCGCGCAGCAGCCATCTCCTCTCTTACTTAGTCACACCTCTTCAAGTCCCCCCCCCCCCCCCCCACCCCCCCCCCCCCCCGCAAATCTCTCACTCATTCAATTTCCGTCGTTGTCGTTCCTGTATCACGGTAAGATCCGAGTACCCGTCAACTATGGCTGAATCTCACCCTTGCCGATGCCTGGAAACCCGCTGGACTTAGGTATTACCATTGCCCTCCTTTATGCCGCTCTCTGGACACGAATGCTACGTTATTGTGTTCCGGTGCTGTCGCTATGGCATGCCCTCATAACGGAGTATAGTTGCTGCAGCCACGATTCGCCCAGCGCTTTTCACCGCAGCACTTATCGAGGCTTCCTGTTATCACTGCAAGAGGCGTACATAGGGCATATCGTATTGGAACCTTTCACTCAATCGATCCCCGCGACCGCGCTGCAGGTGAAGGCAGCTGCGACTTCGGTAAGCGACAGCGCCCACACAAGTCTCTCACTTCTCAGGATATTGCGACCTCAGATATTTTTGACTATATAAATTAATTTATTGATGTAGACAATCACTAACAAAGCAGGGTAATAAAGGTAAGTCGACCCAAACTCAAGCAGCCATACTTACCGCGAACAGGGGCGGGTTCGAGCGCAAGTTCGAGCCCGCCAACAAGCTTTCGCTTGAGTTTAAATGCCCAATTTGAACTCGCGAAGGTGTACCAATCACACCACAACATTTGAGATCAGCTAATAGAAACAGAGGGGACGACCCCAATCCCCCCCATCTTTTTTTGACATTTTTTCCCTCTCTTTTTCTCTCACTACTCTCTTACCTGAGAACCATTAGGACACCCGCAATTAAGCTTACTTATATTTGTGTTACGTCACTTCTAATTCTACTTACCTTCACCTTGACGTAGTGCTGCCTGCCCCGTGATTTGCAAGGCCCCCGGGCATATAAACTGTCCGCTCCCACCTGACTTTCTCTAAATCACAATCCACCGACATCCGTTTACTCAACCTCACTTCTACCAGCCAACTATACTCTGATATGGCTTACACCTTCTCCTACTCGCCCGCAGACCTCCTCCATGATAGTGACCGGGAGGCCTTAGAGTGTATCCTCGAGTGCAAGACCAAGGGCGTGCCCAAGGGTCTGCGACACGATAAGGTTCTTCCGGTCGACCTCATCGCCCGCGGCACCGACCCTCGGACTGGTCTGAGCTTGCGCATTTTCCCCCTCCCGCCGTAGGTTATTTTCATTAGCTACGTAACCTGTCATACTTTCTAACACTCGCTCTTAGGAATACCCCGCTGCAAAATGCCCCATTTGCTGCTACTCTCGCCGGTCACCTTCACTATCGAGGTGAGATCATGAACCACGTCCGCGACAATCTGCCGCTGTCGCAATGGAGCAACGAGGTCCTCCTCGCTTACTTCACATCAAATGTTGATCCGAACCGCAACTTCGCCAAGTTCTTCGAACAGACACGCGCGCGCCTTTACGAGATCCTTTGTGACCGCGCTGGCGGACAGAAGAATGAAGTACAGGAAGCCTACCTGAAGGCATGTCTGGAGTACAAGGAACACACTAGCGTTCTTGATCCTCAGCGCCCAGTTCAACACCAGATGCAGTTCATAGCACTGCTCAAAGCGCAACCAGGTCATATCACAGTGCGCACGCATGCACACAATCAGCGCCTCCTCAAGCTTGCAGCCAAGCATATTGGCATACTGCGTTCCAAGCATTGGGACAGTGTCGATGCTACGTCGCGAACTTACCTCGACTTTCTCGCCCCGCCCCAGACTCAGCCTAAGAAGAAGAAGAAGCATGGACCGCGTGGCAAAGGCAAAGGTAAGGCTACAGCTGCAGATGGAGATGAGAAGGAGAATGAGGATAACGACGATACCCCGGCTCCTCCACAGGACACCACTGCCATCGATCCCGCGCACCGCAATTCGCGTACTTCCATCTACGTCAACGTTGATCGCATCTCCCGTTGTACCGTGAACAACCCTCTTCTGCAAGGGCTGATCGCTCCTATGCCGGGCATGGCGTGTGGAATCCAATTCATGCTTGACTTTGGCGAGGCCTTCGACATGGCAGAACTTTTCGCGGTTCTGCCTGGTGCGGAGGATGATGAGGGGGATGGAGATCATGAGATGCGCTATGATGGAGATCAGAAGATGCACGGCGATGGTGATTGGAAGCCGCCCTGCGATGGAGATCATGAGATGGACGACGAAGACGAAGACGAAGACGATAGCAACATGAGCTACATAGAGAAGTTCGAACGGCGCCTCAAGATGTTAGATCTAGACATCATGATCTTGTAGAAACAGCGCGGATGTCTTCCGTGTATTCTACATCTTCAAATGAGCGGCTTAGAGCTCAGTCCAGCGTCTACATGGGTTCTATAGGTGTATTGGATTTCTCTCTGGTTTTGTTGAGGGCCTCCACTGTCTATGATAGGTACAATGAACGTACTATACGGTAACAGCAATAAACCCTTCACAGAACCTAGCTTTATCCTGCATGCCTATGATAGTCTGAGTTGGGTTTGCACGCCCTAGAAGAAAGAATGCCAAATATGCGGGTGGTATACACGAGCACGCATTTGTTTCAGCGCTATAGCTTGCCTCGCTGCCACCAAGTCGAATTCCCTCTAGTCCCGTGAATACACGTTGAATCAACTGCACAGAAATCACATGGATTCTCTTCTCGTGGATTCGCGTGATAACGTAGACAGTTGAGGAATATCGTCACGAGAAGTAGGTAAGAGGGCATATATATCATTAGAAAAGCTAAACACATGGGCATGCAAGCAAGACATTGAGCGGCGTGACATGAACCGTGAACCCCATAACGCCATCCAGTCCGAACGTAAAAGCCTTGACGGCGTGCATGCTCTCCTGCTGTCATACCTTCCTCCCAAACGCCCTTAAACCCATAATCCTCATAAATGAACTCTGAAAAAGGAAATATGATGGTCGTGTCACTCCGACGTGCCTTGCCCTATCGTTAGACGCCATGAACCTCAACAAATATAACGGAAGTTTGCACATTTCCAACATTCCAGTCTACACTCCAAAGAAGGCGTCTGGAAGAGTAGAAAGAAGCGTAAAGGAGACCACGGCACCAGCTGCGCCGAGAAGGGGATAAGCTGCAGTGTTGAGGACCTTGCCAAGGACTGATCGTGGTTGCTTCTTAGGCCGCTGTGCGATGATGGCGGCGGTCTGGTCGGCTGCCTGAACAGCGGCCTGAGTAGCCGTAGTGTCAACGGGCGTCGACACAGCAACGTCCTGTTCTTGGATTACGGGGACCTCGTCTTCTTCGAGAACATCCGCTTTGCGCTTCATGCTGTTGACAGAGGTAGGCGTCGGCGGCTGTTCCTCGACAATCTCCTCGATGGAGACCTTGGTCCGACGATTTGGCTGCAGGGGCGAAACGGTGGTGATATCCGAAGTGGGCATTGGTGGAGGGGTCTGCATGCGGTCTGCTGATTGAAGAGCGCTCAAAGTGCCCCCGAAATGGTGGGTTCCCACTGGCTCCTGTGTTGGAGGTGGAGGCGGAGGGCCGAAAATGGAAGGTCGATCACCGAAGTTGGTCCCAAGATAGCTTTGGTGAGCTGCCGTGTCGTCCGAATACCACGGTGGGTTTTCGCTATGTTCTCCAAAGCCCGGGAATGGCGTACTGGCCCAAGGCGGTGACTTTGCGGCCGAGGGGCGTGGTGGCAAGGGTGGAGTTGCGCTGGCGGCGAAGGGGTTGCTGTCGTATTGCTGGTTGAATACCACGAACGATGGCAGTCCCGGAGCTTGATTGCTTGTCGTCTGCATATTGAACAGATCTCGAGGCTGAACAGTTGGCGGGAGTGTCATTGATAATTCCTTGTAGGAACTGGCATCATCGACGGGCTCTTCGTCTTCCGAGTCCTGCACTTCGCGCTCGGATGAATTATACTCAGGCTCCGAGCTGCCAACGCTGGCCGCTTCGCTATCGAAGTCACCTTCGCGAGGTTCCTCGTCTTCGCTCTGGCTTTCGTATACTACAAGGCCATCCTCGTCGTCGGAGTAGGTCTCTTCGATGACATTTGCACGCATGGCCGATTCCGGGTGTTCCTCGTAGACGCAGAACGCTTCGGTAGCCGCGGCAGGTTCTTCGTGGTGGGTGACGACCTCTAGCATCATGGTGGTGTCCGCTTGGTCGTCGTCAGACTGTTCCGAGGCGGCGTCGGAATCGTCTATCATGAGCGGGTGGAGCTGACTGCCTCGGCGCCCATGAAGGTCAAGCTCCTCGTCTTCGCTTTCGGCGTCCGGGACCGTGAATCCCATAGAAAAGGGGCGTGACAGGCGAGACTCGAACGTGTATTTGCGGGCGACGAAGTACTCTGCAGGGAGGTAGAAGTCAGCTTCAAACGATTTTGGTCAAAGATGGGGGAACCCTACGGAGAGACGTACCCTCGTTACGGTTGACATCGATTCCGAACTGCAGTACATCACCAGGTACGAGCTGCTTTGGGGTATTCGGGACCAGTGCGTAGCCGTTCACCATGGTGCCGTGCATGGAGCCTTGGTCGGTGATGTAGACGTGCGGGGTTCCGCTGCTGGCGTGGGCGGAGAGAAGGGCGTGCTCGCGGGAGATGACGGGGCTGTCGATGAAGGCGTTGTGAGGAGCGGGCATCAGCTCCCTCTTGGTAGCATTCTTGGATGCGCGGCCGATAGGGAAGGTTGCGTTCAAGGGCAGGTCAAACTCGCGTGACTCGTACGTGTCGTACTGGTTGACGTCCTGGAGGACGATGTGGAAGACTAGGGAATCAGTACTTGACTGCGACATGTCGGATCGAGGAGACGCCTCACTGTCGGTCATGGCGTCGAGCTGGAGTCGCTGCAACCCCCAGACGTGAGCAAGGCAGACGTGGTGGTAGTCGTCGTTCAAGAGTTGTAGCGAGGTTGAGACAGTAGGGGTCGCCAGCAAGCAGCAAGTGGGGCGGAGCTAGTGGTACTATGGATGAGGAGAGGAGACGAGAGAGAGGAGAGGAGGTAGCTGCAAGAAGGGGGTAGTGATGAATATAAGGGAGGTTAGGTACGAGCAGCAACAAATAGCTCGTCCCACTATGGACGGGGCAGGGAGGGCAGTGAAGGAGAGGTGATGCTCGTGGGCGTGGTCGCAGCTGCCTGTTGGTAGCGGGGGTGGTTGCGCGCCTTCCCTCAGGGTACTATCAGCTTATCAGCCTGCATTAGCGCCGCATTACCCGGCGTAGCGGCGGGAATGTCCCCCACCCAAAATCTTCAGAGGCGCGACTGAGGAAAGTCACCACCAACTGACTGCACTACGCCCTCGCTCATGACTCTCGCCGCAACGACCATGAGAACATACCGTGAATACGACCGCCGGTAGCACGCATTCAACTCAAACCAAGGATAATTCCAGAAGACGCTGCCAAAATGGAGGCACCGCGCACCTCGGCCAAGCAGCAGGTCGTGGACCGCATCCCCGCGCGCATCAAGCATATCCAGTTCGGCATATAGTAGGCCAACTCTGTGGTGCTGAAGCTCAAAGCATAGATAGTAACCCTCTGCAGCTCCAACCAAGACATCGTCAACCAGGCCGTCCTCGAAGTCTCCGACCGCAATGTCTACGACCTCGCCCCCGCCGCCGACAACACGCGCAGCCTCACCGCAAACGGGCCCATGGACATCCACATGGGCATATCGAGCAAGAAGGGAGCATGTGGAACCTGCGGCGAAGGCCTGGACAAGTGCAATGGTCACTTTGGACACATCAAGCTGGCCCTGCCTGCATTCCATGTGGGATACTTGAAGCACATTATTGAGGTGCTGAACTGCATATGCAAGGACTGCTCGCGCGTGCTGCTGGACGAGGTGGAGCGACGCAGGTATCTGCGGAGTATGCGCCGCCCAGACATGGACACGCTGCGACGGAGTGCCGTCTCCAAGAAGATTGTTGAAGATTGTCGCAAGAAGAAACTGTGCCCTTACTGCAACGCCCTCCAGGGCACAGTGCGGAAAGTGCCCGGCCATCCACTCAAGATCATCCACAATCGATACGATGCCTTCAACCGCTCTACTGCCAAGACCAAGAAGCCGCCAGCGGGCAAGGTCGAGTTCGACCAGTCGTTCGAGACTGCAAAAGCTGCCAATCCAGACTTGGACAAGCACTTGAAGAAGGCAGTTGACGACATGCACCCTCTAAGGGCGCTGAACCTTTTCAAGAAGATATCCCCAGAAGACTGCGAGTTGCTAGCCATGATACCAGAGGATGCGCGGCCGGAGATGCTGATTTGGGAGTATATGCCGGTACCGCCTGTGGCGCTGCGACCGTCAGTCATGCAAGAAGGCGGAGCGACCGAGGACGACGTGACGAACAAGATCGGAGACATTTGCCAAATTAGCAGCATTATTCGCGCTGGCCTGGCCCGTGGCTTTCCCCTTCAGATTCTGATGGAGCAATGGGACTTTTTGCAGCTGCAGATTGCCATGTACATCAACAGCGACGCGCCCGGTCTTAAGCAGCAGGGTCTCCAAAAGACTATGCGCGGTTTTTCTCAGAGGCTGAAAGGCAAGGGCGGTCGTTTCCGTCAGAATCTGTCTGGCAAGCGTGTCGATTTCTCCGGGCGAACTGTCATCGGTCCAGATCCAAACTTGAGCATTGACGAAGTAGCCGTGCCAGAGCGAATAGCCAAGACCCTTACATACCCAGAAAAAGCAACGAGATACAACATCGAGAAGCTGAGGAAGCTCATCCGAAATGGTGCTAACAAGTACCCTGGGGCAAACTATATCCTAACCGACGATGGCCCAAACAAGGATCGGGGAAAGATATCGCTTATCGCTCTTTCGCGCCATGATAGGCGCGGCGAACGACTGGAAAAGCCCGCAAAGATGCTAAAGGTTGGTGATATTGTCGAACGCCACATCGAAGATGGCGATATCGTCCTGTTCAATCGACAGCCATCCCTACACAAGCTCAGTATCCTCAGCCATCGAGCCAAGATTCGCCCCTGGAGAACATTTCGATTGAACGAGTGTGTGTGCAACCCTTACAATGCCGATTTTGATGGCGACGAGATGAATTTGCACGTTCCACAGACCGAAGAAGCACGTACCGAGGCCACCGAACTCATGGGCGTAAAGTACAACCTAGCCACCCCGAAGAACGGAACCCCCATCATCGCTGCCATCCAAGATTTCATTACTGCCGCATATCTTCTTAGCAACAAGAACAACTTCTTTGACCGGCGCAGTTTCTGCCAGATCGTAAACTACATGTTCAACGGTGACGGAGCATACGATCCCGACACAGGCGAGACGCTGCCCATCGACATACCACCACCAGTTGTGTGGAAGCCGGAAGCGCTCTGGACGGGGAAGCAGGTCTTCAATCTTCTGATGAGACCGAACAAGAAGTCCAGAGTGCTTGTCAACCTCGAAGCTGCCGGGAAGCAGTTCAAGAACACTCCCGGTCAAGCCCCTGATCTGAACGAGAATGATGCCTACCTAGTCATTCGAAACTCTGAGGTCATGTGCGGCGTCATGGACAAATCGACGGTTGGTGATGGTAAAAAGGACTCCATTTTCTACGTCATGATGCGAGATTTCGGCCCCGATCATGCGGTCCAAGGCATGAACAGGCTATCGCGGCTTTCCGCACGCTGGCTCACTAATAATGGATTCTCCCTCGGTATCAGTGATGTCACTCCTGGTGACAAGCTCAACAAGAAAAAGCAGGACTTGGTAGAGGAAGCGTACGCAAAGTGCGACAAACTGATCAAGGACTACAAGGAAGGAAAGCTGCAGCGAGACTCGGGTTGCGACGAAGAGCAGACCATGGAGAACAGAATCGGTGGTATTCTGTCTGGTGTTCGTCAGGCGGCCGGTGATATCTGTTTCGAAGAGCTCAGCAGATGGAACTCACCCTTGCTAATGGCTAAGTGCGGTTCAAAGGGTTCGAATATCAACGTGTCGCAGATGGTTGCATCCGTTGGACAGCAGATGATTGGTGGCGCACGTGTTGCAGATGGCTTCCATCATCGGACGCTGCCTCATTTCCCGAAAGCTGCGCGTCAGCCAGCTTCAAAGGGATTCGTCAGTAACAGCTTCTTCTCCGGTCTCACCCCCACAGAGTTCATTTTTCACGCCATGAGTGGTCGTGAAGGTCTAGTCGACACAGCTGTCAAGACTGCTGAAACTGGTTATATGAGTAGACGATTGATGAAGTCTTTGGAGGATCTTTCCGCACAATACGACGACACTGTGCGGAACTCGTCAGGAACCGTTGTCCAGTTTCAGTACGGCGATGACAACTTAGACCCGGTGGACATGGAGGGCAAAGCAAAACCTGTGCACTTTGACCGCACATTCTCGCACGCCGTGACTTCAACTTGGGATAATACCGAGTCAAGTCTCAGTCCGGAAGAAGTCCGCAAACACACCGAGGCCAAATTAAACACCGAGCGCAACAAGTACCCGCGATACAAACTTGACGGAGTCACGAAGCTTGCTTATCGCGACAACAGTGACGACGGGATCGACCAGAAGGAGTCAATGCGAGACTTCCTTGACACGGTGCAAGACTACATCTTCAAGAAAGCCCAGAAGCTCGAGACAACACTCATCTACCTGGGTGTCTCAAAACCCAATAACAAGGACCAGTTGCCAGAAGATGCAGAAAAGTACAGCCTTGCTGACGGAATCGCTAAACTCTCTCAGAGCGCACTGGATACATTCATCGACCTCTGTTTAACCAAATACCACCGGTCACGAGTGCAGCCGGGACACGCCGTGGGTGCCATTGGGGCCCAGTCCATCGGTGAGCCCGGAACGCAGATGACGCTCAAGACTTTCCATTTTGCTGGTGTTGCTGGCATGTCCATCACACAGGGTGTACCTCGTATCAAGGAAATTATCAACGCGTCCTCGACTATATCGACGCCCGTCATCACTTGCGAGCTCTCTAACAAGGTCTCCGAAGCCTCGGCCCGAATGGTCAAAGCACGCATCGAGAAGACATACCTCCGCGACATCATCTCATACGTGGAAGATGTCTGGCACCCCCATGGCGCCTACATCTCTATGCGCGTCGACTGGGACACGGTTAACAACCTCTTCGTCGACGTGCAGCCGCACGAAATCATCCATGCAATCAACAAGCACAAGCCCCTCAAATGGGGCAAAGCAGGCGCCAATGTCCGCATCACATCGTCAATGATCCGTGTCGAAGTTCCCGATCCGAACTCCGCCAAGAAACGCCCTGTCAAGACGACGAGGAATCATAAGGAGTTCTTCGAGCGTGTGCAGCAAGTCAAAGCGCTTATTCCGGATGTGGTAATCAAGGGGTACGCCGACTGCACCCGCGCTATCATCAAGAAGGAAAGCAGTCCGAATGCGAAGGGAGAGTACGAATGCCAGTTGCTAGTCGAAGGCTACGGCTTCAAAGACTGCATGACCACTCCCGGTATTGAACCCTACAAGACTAAATCCAATCATGTCATGGAGGTTCGTACTGTCCTTGGTATCGAAGCCGCAAGGGCTACTATCGTCCGCGAAATCGGGGATGTCATGGGAAACATGGACATTGATCCGCGACACATGCAGCTTCTTGCGGACGTGATGACGTTCAAGGGAGATGTCTACGGCATCACCCGCTTCGGTCTACAAAAGACGCGCGATTCCGTCTTGCAGTTGGCTAGTTTTGAGAAGACGCCTGATCATTTATTTGAGGCGGCTGCGAGAGGTAAGATTTCCGCGTGCGAACTGCTTTGAGACAAACACTGACCTTTTATTTCTCTTATAGGCAAAACAGATACCATTGACGGTGTATCGGAATGCATCATCATGGGCCAGTCGATGAAGCTAGGCACGGGCGCGTTACAGGTCGTCAGGCCACTCTACCTAGGACGTGACGATAAGGCAGAAAAGAAGCTAATGTTCGAGGAGGGTTGGGATGCACTTTAAGCACAGAGCATGGAGTCTTTGCGCGTAAGTAGGCTGTGGGAAGGTAATGGCCACACTAGGAGGGAGTTGGAGGTTGGGAGTAGCATATGCATAGCCTTGGCGTTACCTGATCTTTGCTAGCTGTATAGGCACAGCGATGGTCGGATGATTGATTATTTTTCAAGTAAAAGTCTTATTTCCCTAGCTAGAGCTATGAAACCACTCTACATTGCAATGCATATTACTGTATTTTGCAATGTACCTCCCGTTTCCCCCCTTCCAGCACTAATAGCCGTCCAATCATCACGCATTCCACCCTCCCTACCAATCAGCCTTACTCTCTGTCATCTCTCCCTCACAGCCCCCATGTACCTGACCTACAGCTTCCAGGGCTAGGATGCGAGTGGGCTGCAGAGTAAGCAGACACTTGAAGGTGACACTAGCATGGGGCGGAGATACCGCTACTTGTAGCACGGTGGGTGGCAGCGCCTTTCTTTTACCCGGGGTCTTGGGATGGCTAGAGATGTTGTAGGGCTGTAGGGCTGAGCAGCTGACTAGCCGCTTCTCCTTGGATCTCGCGGTATAGTTCAATCGATTATATCTTTTGGGGGCGCGCGGGGCTTGTGGATGTTTTTTCTATACGCACGCAGTTAGACGGTAGGTTACAACCAAATGCGAATATTAGAATCTACAGTTACTCTACGCCACTGCCTCCTCTTTCTCTTCTCCTTCTTCCCTTTCCTCACTAAATCAGCATTCAGGGGCTGCAGATACATGCTAAACAAGATCCACACTACACAGTCCCGTCCAGAAAACTCTCAATACTTCACCACCCCCTCTATAACGATGAGTTCCATATCAACCAACATTCATTTTAAGCGGTAGCGAGTCGGGCTGTGAACAAAAGCAAAGCCACCCAGCCAAGCCCCGCCATGGGTGCATGCAGTTCGGTTAAGCCGAAGGATCCTGTTCCCAGTCAGCCCTATAGCGGCAGGCGGCCCAAAGAGAGCTAGAACGTTGTACCCGCCCACCGCTCACGATACCACACGTGCGTGTGTGCCTTGCCCTGCATGGTCTGCTTGGTAAGATAGCATCTCGATAGAACATTTCAAAGCAGGGCAGGGTGGGAGCATACAGTGTTACAAATCGCGCGCTAGGGACTTCATCCAGGCACAGAGTTTGGGGACTTTTTTCTTCATATTTCATCCTGACTGCGATACTAAGAGTCAGATTTTCATGGTGACGTGACAGTGCTGCGATGCACAAGATTTGTAGGAAGCACCATGTAATTGGCGTGGTTTATTACCGGCTTACTACGGCACGGCTTTGACTTGCTCGGGCATTTTGTTCACCACGTGTGTAAGCATGGGGGCCAGTGTTTAGAGAGGTGATTAGTGGGCATGAGTAAGCAGGCATTGTCAGGGCGTGTGGGGCTCGATTAGTTATGGGTGGGTGTGGGTACTGTTGAATAGCTTGGTGCTCGATGTATGTATAATTTATTGGAATATGGCTATTGTGCGTGAAAGTGGATAATAGTACACAGATATAATGCTAAGAATGGCAAGATACTAAAAGCTCTATGGGTTTAAACAACGCGAGATAGATGTAAGACGACTAGCTGTGTGATACTTCATGACCCGCATGAAGCGTAATTCGATACTACGACAGACTTGAAATGAAGGCTTGTTACAGTACAACATCATGAAAAGTAAACGAACGTGATATGCATACCCAGAACCCCCTCTTATGCATCTATATGCTAGTCCAGTAAAAGGAAACGCCGCTGACGATCCGTACGAAATCGAAAAATAAAGAGAAAATTTCCTTATAAGGATATGACCATAGAGAAATGACAGAAACAGCCTCCAGTGGGGGAAGAGCAAAGAAACCCTAAATCAGAGTGGGAAATGAAGTACAGTAAAAGAAGCTTCGAAGAGAATAAAATAAGTGGCAAAAGTGAGCCCACCTCACTGACTCACTGACTCACTGACTCACTGACTCACTGTCTGCGATCCGATGTTGATCAATATGCAATAGCGAATCTGTAGCATGGTCCGTAACGCCTGTATTGTGTCATCAGCCTGTTCAAATGACACCAAAACCGACGCCCGAATCGCATATAGCGCGAAGCACTTCCTCGCCCATGCTGAAGCGGGCGAGGTCTCTTCACCTTCGACACCAGAAGCAAACCGGGCTGCTGACCATGAAGCCGCGCCACCAACTAAGCATACCCACAGAAAGACGCCGCGCATGTCGTTGCCCCAGCAGCCTCTCGTGTCTGTCCGTGCCAGCGCTTCATGTAGGGCAGAAATTTGCGTCGTTGATTCCGGGTTGGGGTCGCGGCTCCGTGCATGCATGATATTTGCTGATTCTGCAAGCGTTACGCCATGGACAATCGATCGACAATAGATGAGGGCAGCGAGGCGGCAACTCTCGTACATCCAGTCGGGCGTAGGTTCGTTCTCGGATGAAGGGCGGCGTAAGAGATTGGCGTAAATCTGCTGTAGTTGAGCATCGCAAGTGGCCAGATGCGGATCGGATGCTGGTGGTGTGTCGCCTGCATGACTCCAGTGTGCTAAAAATAAAGCCGTGCACGCTTGCATGTCACGTACGATTTCGAGTGTGCCAATAGAGCAGGCGCCGTATATACGAGATATATCTCCATGTGGTGCGTAAAGTGGCGAAACTGGGCAAACATTGCTCGACAGCGTAGGAGAAGATTGTCGCGGCATGTAATCTTCCAAGACTAAAGGCTCAGCTTGACCGCGTAGGATGGCGAAAGTAAGCATTACCCTAACTGATATTAGAATATATCTCCCTTCTTGCGGCGTGATTATGCGATCACAATCGGAGTCGGAGTCAAAAGCCAAAGCCACGCGCGTAGACTTACAGAATCATGAATTGTGGCGACGCTACTTGGCTTACGCCACCACGCTGATGAATAATGCGCATAACTCCCTGCATGTGGACATCGAAAACGTCTTCGTCGAAACCGCCAATCTCACTAACAAGGAGGTGCAATATACTCACGATAGTGGTATCATCTAAATCTAGGCGGTCTGTGATGGCTCGAAGAACTTTGGTCTAAGACTGTTTTAGTAATATTCTCAACAATTTTCAGCTTTGGAAATTTACCTTGGCGTATACAGTAAGGGCGCTGTCTTGTAGGAGGCCCTCTGCAAGATCTTGATAGACACATGTTACGCTGACATGGCTGAGGAAGGACAGGCGGTTATTGCAGATACGTTGCATCCATGATGTGTCTAGCAAATTAGCAGCTCCTCAACCGGTTAGAGCTAGCCACTGACCATGACAGAAAAACTCTGTGCTATTGATATACTCCTGCCGTAGCTTTTCCAACGATTCGTGCCTCAGCATCGTGTTCGCGGGGAAAGGATACTCGCAGGCCTCTTCGAACACTGGAGGTGCGCTTCGAGCCGGTTCCGCCGTTATTGCAGATATGATACGGGCGGCAAGTGACCGTGTAGGGTCTGCTGAAGGCGACTGTATGCTGTACCTGTAGAAATCCCTATCCCATATGGTACTATGGTGTCGTATTGGCGTGGGTGCGAGGAAGTTGTTGTCCTCTAACACGCCGTCCGAACTGGTCGTCATCAGGCTCGGAGTCTGCATTGTCGTCGGTGCACTGCTCCCCTCTCTACTCTTTGTTCTATCTGAGGGTGATGATCCACGCTGCTCTCGATGTTTGTACATAACGTGTGACCGTACATTCCTCATAGTCTCCCCTGCCCTGAATTCATCGGGATGAGTCGCAACGACAAACTGAATGGCAGGCCCTTGTGCGAGAGGTGGTAAACGTTTCCTTCCAATCCGTTTTTTGGAGGGCTTCGGGTCGCTCGGCGACGCCATTTTGACCGGCAAGAATAGTCGAAGGTTGAGATGGATCCAGAAACAGGTCAACAGAAAGGAAAAGATGCGCCTGGTGCTGCTTGCAGCTTTCGTGGGCTGAAAAAGAGTGTTCGCGGTGGATATATGAAGAGTGAGTCGTGACACGCTAACGTAAGACTCAGGTACTGTATGGGGTAACCTGGACATGGTGTTAGTCCCCATCGGACCTACAAACCACAAGCCACAACGGGGGAGAAGTGATCGATGTCAACCGTGGCTGGACTGCTCGTGTGGTAATCGGCGAAAAGTATGCACGATTAGAACTGACGACCACGTTCTATGACCTTGTCCAAACCGAAGTAGGTCAGTGGTAAGGATAAAAAGCGCAGCAAGAAGCACAAAAGACCGTAGTTGTATCTAGGTGTGAATCTTGGTCGGACACACCGGTACTAGTAGATTCTGCCCCGGCGCAGTAAATGATTGTAATGAACGGAGCTCCGCGCCGGACAACTGTCGCCTATCTTGTCGAACGCTGTCAAAGCTGATAGACGCGCCGATATGCCACTGGGCTAGATCATGATATTCGTATCGGGGAAGCTTAGTAGCGGTTGCCTTACTGCCTTGTGTGGCTGGTGCATGCATTCACCGTTGGTGCGGCGACAACGCCCGCGTGGGCAAAGTCATATTGATCGACGAGAAATGGGCGCGCCGAGAGGCTGGTGCAAATGGCTGTCGTCTCTATTACAGTGATGATGCCATCGATCTCACATGTAGACTTACCGTAGTGAGGGCACCAAATGGTGATGTGTGGTTGATATGCTGGGCCCATTGGCGATCTTTTGGGGGTCCCGTAATTTTTTTTCGCGGGGTCTCCCTAGACAGTGTACAAGCTGAGAAAGCAAGCATCTGGGTGTTGAGCCAAGCCAAAGTGTTCCTACTTCCATAAGCCCATTTGCCCGGTTTGGTCCTAGCGTCCGCCACCTTCTGTCGCTGCACATAAGCCGCAGGGCATGCGGGTAGGGTTCAACAAGAGTTCCCAACTATTGGCTGTTTCGAGTTTCTTGAGACGGCTTCAAACACAGCAATGCCCTGCGGTCAGCTGAGATGGCCAACTCAAGATGGACCGATCTCCGCAACAGACGTCATTGAACGTCCTGATCACAACTGATGCCGCACACTGCGCTACTCTTAGGCGCGTCTACCGTAATCCGTCCAATTGGGATTTTGTAAAAGAAAGCAGTATGGCGACTAGACGGTATAAGCCACAAGGGGTCGCCGGTAGAGATGTGGCGGAGCCTTGTAAGTATTGCGAATGGCTTGCCAAGGCTGAGATCTGGAGTCGTTTACGAGTACTTTGATTGATCTGAAGGACCGTAGGGCGGGTCGCACGAATGGCCGTCTAGGTTCTCAATGGCCGTTATCTCCAGTTGTGTTCCAGTCATGAAAGCCTTTGAAGCTGAAGTCTGCCTCGAGGGTAGCCATGGAGGATCACCAGCTTCGGAAGAGGTATCACTAGAATACTTTGTGCAGAAAGGATGATTGCCGATGGTATAGTCTAGATGATTAGCGACCAGACACCCTGGAGCCTGGACAGTCATTAGTGAAGACGTTAACTAGTGAATTGTGTAAGGTAAATTAACAGGCTACTTGATCCCATTTCATCGTGAAGATGCGAAAAATGCTGAGATCAACAACCCTTGCATTGCGAAGTTTTATGAAGATGTGTGTAAACAGTGACGCATGTTGTGTAGGAAGGAGGGCCGCCCCTTCGCGCCGTGCACGGACCTGAGAGCATTATGTCATGCGCGACCAACTTCACCAGCAGCATTAAGAAGCCATTCACGCGCATTGTAGATCTAATCTTGAATGTCATACGCAAAGTAGAGTATAGGTATGAAGCAGCCCACAAAGCTCGTTCCTCGCCCCAGAATCAAACCATCTCTCCCTCCAACTTGGTGAGCGATGTTTAGTGACAGTAGGAAGAGGAGTAGGAATACATGCGAAAAAAGAAAACGCCAGGAAAGTGAGATCAAAATCGTCCCGAGCCGCACTTATAATCGTAATCAAAGGAGGTCCTTGCTCCTTGCACAACCCTTCATCCAACTCCAGCATAAGCACACCTATTTTCCCCCGTTCTATATCGGCCCATGGTGATGGATGCTTACGCGGCCTTTGAGAGTGGATCTACATGTTCTCCTGCGAATCCAGCCTTGCTCGGGTCGTTCCGTCTCATGATGCCTTCCACGGGCCCCAGCAGTCGCTGGAAACCATTCTTGCCAAGTGTTGCCACCTTGACTTCAGTCCTGCTAATGACAGAAGCTGCACGAGGCGCGTCGTTGAGTAGCGCGAGTTCGCCAAAGTAATCGCCCTTTTTATACTGATTGACTGCATTGTCTATTCCGCGCTTGAAGACCTGCGCTTCTCCCGACTCGAGCAGGAAAAACGACTCACCGACATCGCCCTCCTGGATGATGGTGGTGCCGGGAGGGTATTTCTTTGTTTCAAGCGCGTCTGCGATCTTGGAACGCTCATAAGGCGTTAGGGAAGACAGAAGAGGCACCTCTTCCAAGAAGCCTTCGTACATGCGCCGTCGCTGGAAGGCACTGTCCATGAGAATGCGACGGAAGGTGATGCGGTCCAGGGCCCACAGTGTAGATGAGTCGGTCGAGGTAACCGTGGCGGCACGAGGCGCGTTGTACATGAGCGCCAGCTCGCCGAAAGAACCACCAGGGCCCACCGTGCCCACCTTGTCACCATGGCCATCGGGGCCGGCCTCGAGCTTGCCCGACTTGTTTACGTAGATGTCAAAGGAGCCTTTCTCGACGACGTAGAAGTAGTCTCCGACATCGCCCTGCTGGATGACCTTTATGCCCTTTGTAGGTATTGGCTTCTCGTGCAGCGCACCAAGCACCTGTGACGACTGGTCGTCGTCCAGGTGTGAGAATAGAAAGTTGCCCGACACGGCGACCTTGAGGCGCGACAGCTGATCGGGTGTCTTCTGGTGGAATGGCGGGCTGAAGCTTTCGCTGGCAGACGTGGCGGGGTTAAGTGACTCGGCGGAGACGGAGGTGCGCCTGTTGGTGTTGTAGTTGCTGGGGAAGTTCTGGCCCTCACCTGTAATAGGCGGCATCTGGGTTATGTTGTTCTTGGACGAGCCGCCAAAGCCCTGGAAATTGCCAAAGGCGCTCTCGCCGGCATCGTTGTTGTTTGTGTTGCGAGACTTGCCAAAGTCGACGGCGGCGAAGGATGACGCAGTGGGCGAGGTCATGACGTCGTTTTCCTCTTCTTCCTCGAGGCGCTGCATGGGGCTCTTTGTGAAGCCGCCGGCGCTGGGGGAGGAGCTGAAGGGGTTGTTGCCGGGAAAGGTGTTCTCAGCACGGCCTTGGGGGGTGGAATGGTGCTGCGACAGCAGAGCCTCGGTCCGCTGTGACTCGAGGCGGCGATTGAAGAAATTGGCGCAGAATTGGAGGATGTCGTTTGGCTTGTGCTTTAGGATTTCACGGTCGAGGGAGGAGATCTCATTGGCGTAATCGGGAGGGAGGGACATTGGGGAGGTGGGTGGTGAGGGGTCAAGCGCGCAGCTCTTTGACGTTGGCTTTCGCGAGTGGTGGTGCAGGGATAGCAATGGCGGGAGTACTGCGAGGGGGGGAGGGGGGAGAGGAGAGGAGAGGGTTCTGAAACGCAGCGTGTGCGCGCAGGAGGGTGGAGAAGTGCAATTGTACGCCGAGTAAGGGTAGTGTAGTGTAGTGTAGTGTAGTGTGGTGTGGTGTAGTGGTGAGAAGGTGCAGTTGGGTAGTGTGATGACGCGTTGGGACAGGAAGAGGGGGATGGATGCGGGCGGGCAAGGCAAACCAAGGCAAGGCACCAGGCTTATTACCTACTACTACTAGGTAGGTATCATGTCTTCCAGAAGGCGTCTAGAAATGCACGTCTTGCTTCTGGCGCGCTGCTGTGGGCCATGCACTTCAGACAGTCTTGGGGAGCGGGCGACGGCAGCCTACTGTCGCTCTCACGCAATTGGGCGCCACGCGTCTCATCAGCCAGCAAGAAGCACGTATATCAGGTGGGCTAGAGTGCATTGTTTTGCCTGTGATGCTATGCGATGCGATGCTAGAGACAGCTCCATACACCTCTATCAGGTAGCTCCCGCTTCACGGACTGCGTATGGGTCGAGGCTTGCAGCGCCAAGGGCAAACGCTCAGAGAAGTTACCATGTACTCGAAGACATGATGCACTGCCGATAGCCGTCGATGATGTCTGTCTTGAGGTTGAAATTATGACGGTGGGCACTTGCCATGTCGACTGGCTTGTATAGATGGGGTACTGTCGTCTGCATCTCGTCCTAATACTAATCACACGCTGCGCCGCCTCGACTCCGACCGTCTGTGAATGAATTTCACAACCTGTCCGTCGGCCCTCTGAAGGATCGTGCAACCTTGGAATGGGCGGTGAGCTACAGTACCATATGGCCCATGTGTTGAGACGCAGCATGCAGGAGAGGCGCCAAAACTCGGATCAACCAGACTTGAGCCGTCTATTCATGACCACAGCAGAACAAGCTTCTGTTGCGCACATGTCAATCCAGATGAATTGCCCCCTCTACCACCTGTGTAACTTGCCACCCGTCAGACCAGACTAGACAGACTCTTTCACTGGCCATGACGCATGTGCACGAGCACGCGACGCAGGGGGTCCTGCGAGCTGGAGGGGCTGCCATCGACTGTCTTGCCAGAGCAGGCCGTCAGTGAATTGAGAGGGCATCATGTCCTGACGATGCACCTTGGCTGAAGAAATGCAACAGGGGAGCTGCAATTGAACGAACCAGGTACAAATGTAAAGTTTCGTCATTGCACATGCTCCAGCTTGCTCACTCAAGAGTGCATCGACTCCCAGCACAGACGCTAGGCCAGTCGCTCGTCCATGGTTTCTCCACCTGCAGAGGCGCAAGGAAGACGGCCAGCCTCGCCAATTCTGCATGCATTTCCCTACTGCTACTTCACTTGTCCGGAATCTCTGCACTTGTACTGCTACACCGCCTGTCGCACGCCCTCCTCGATTGACTTTTCAGACAGCTGCAAAGCCCTCACCACCAAGATTATCCGAGGCGCCGCACTGCCGCTTGCTCTAGCTCCACCCGCCGTCGTAGCTCCTGATCCTTCCCAACCACCTCCACCGACTACCCACTCTTTGCGAACAACCCACCCTCAGTCATAAACCTCACATCCACAATCCCTGGCTGCAAGCATATTCTTCCGCTGATATGGGCAAATACACGTTTACCTGGTATGTTCTTGGCCCTCTCCATGACCTCTCTTGCGCAACACCTCACACAGGCGCAGGGAACACTCGGCCCACGACGTCTTCGTCACAGGCACCTTCGATGACTGGCGAAAGACTGTCCAGCTCGACAAGGACGGCAGCATCTTCAAGAAGACGGTCGAGCTGCCCAAGACCCACACACAATACAAGGTACGTCTCCGCTGCTTCTGCGCAAACCCTGCTGACAGTTGGCCTTGCAGTTCGTCGTCAATGGCAACTGGTGCATCAATGAGAGCGCGCGCAAGGAAGACGATGGCCACGGCATAATCAACAACGTCCTCCTGCCAGAAGACATCGTCGACGAGCCCGTTAGCGCCCTGTCCTCGGCTGCCCCCGAGTCCTCGACCGCTGCGCTTGCCGGAGCTGTGCCCAAGGAGGAAAAGACACGGTCGGAAGACTCCCTGATTCCTGGCGCCTTTCCCCAGACGCCTGCTGCCGAGACACCTGGCAGCGAACCACAAGCTTTCAACGTCAACCCGCTTCCTGCCACCGCAGGCCTCGGCAACCCCATCAAGCTCGCGCCTGGTGAGCCCGTCCCTGACGCCAGCACCTTCACCGACAACACCGTCCACTCTACAGTCAAGCACGACAAGGAGCCGGAGGAGGAGGCGACAACATTTGGCGTTGCGCCCATTCCAGCCACTGCGGGTGCTGGAAACCCAATCCACCTTGCCCCCGGCGAGAAGGTGCCAGACTCGAGCACCTTTACTTCGAATACCGTCAACAACACCGCCACAACTGACCCCGCTTCGTACGACAAGTCTGATGCACTTCCCCCGCTTGCCTTTACCCCTCAAGCTGAGCGGGAGGCCAAGGGCGGCATGTTTGGCTTGCCTCCTGCCCTGGGCAATCTGATTCCGGAGTCGAGTCTGCCCATGGGCGTGGATGCCAAGGTCGAGCAAGATACCGGTGTTGCCATCCAGTCCGCAGCTCCTACCAGCACCACCGCTGCCCTTGCCGGCCAAGTCCCCAAGGAACCTCGTGGCGTGCCTGAGACAGTGACCGAGAGTCAGAAGGAGGCCGGTTTTGCTCCAGAGGCGGCTGCAAACTCGGAAGCTGTCCTAGAGAAGAAGGAAGTTGAGCAAGAGCTGAAGGAGAAGGTTCCCGAGGCGCCTGCTGCGGCGGACAACTCGTATGCCTCTAACATCAGCTCCAGCCTCGGCACCGCCGCCACTACTGCGGCTGCCGGCGCAACGGCTGGTGCTGGTCTGTTTGCTGCAGCCATCTACTCTGCCAAGGACAAGGCTGCTGAGGCCACTGGCTTGGACGCTAACTCCACTGTCACTGACGTCAAGGACAAGGCTGCGGAGACGGTTGGCTTGAACAGTTCGGCCCCCGCTGGCGACGTTCCCGTTCGTGTACTCGAGAGTCAAAAGGAGGCCCATGTTGCGCCTGAAGCTTCGAGCAATGAACACGCCGTTCACGAGAAGAGCCAGCTTGAGCAGGAGTTGCTCAGTGAGGTCCCGAAATCGAATGAAACCGGTGTTTCTGCCCCTGCTATCGCCATCCCAGCAATTGTTTCCGAAAGCCAGAAAGAGGCCCACGTCGGCCCCGAGGCAGGCGCTAACACCTTCGCTGTCGCAGACAAGAAGGCAGTAGAGTCTGAATTGCTCAGGGAGATCCCCAAGGCAACTGAGGCAGGCGAGCCGGCACCTGTGTTTACTGCCGCGACCACAGAGACTGCTCCTGGTGCCCCTGTTGCCCCCGTTGCAAACACCGAGACCCTTGCTCGCGATGTACCCGAAGTTGTCGCTGAGAGCCAAAAGGAAGCTCACGTTAGCCCCGAGGCGGCCGCTAACGCTGAGGCTGTAAGTGAGAAGAAGGCGGTCGAGGCTGAATTGCTCAAGGAGGTCAAGACAACCGACGCGACCGGCGAGCCAGCTCCTGCTACGATAGCGACTAGCACATCTGCTGCAGGCTTGTCAGACGAGGCGCTTGTAGACTCCAAGCCTTTGAAGTCCTCCAGCGAGCCAGATGCTCTCAACGCCCCTGCATCCAAGCCTGCTCAAATATCGTCCTCGAAGCCAATTGACTCCAACACCAATGTCACATTCGCGGGCAAAGAGCCAACCACAACGGAGCAAACCAAGCCGACTGTTACCACGGGAACTGAGACCACCACCACCGAGGCCAAGAGCGCTGCCCCTGTCGCCCCTGAGACTCCCAAGAAAGACGCTAGGAAGGACTCGGACGTGTCCCCCAAGGGCACTCCAGGAAGCCAGAGCATCGCCTCTGCTGCCGATGAGAAGAAGAAGAAGCGTCGCTCCATCTTCGGCAAGCTCAAGGACAAGCTCTCCAGCAAGCATTAGACGATGTACCTTTGCCGTGCTGTACATGCAGGCCCTCGTCGCTTCATGGCCTTTGTGCCTAATACCCGGGATCCGGACGTTGTTTCTCTGCTCATGTTTATGGAGTTGCCTGCTTGGTCTATACCACTTCTTTTCGTGTTTGATAATGTCCTGCCCCTTTTGTGCCTCATTTCCACCGATGTATACCCTCTATGGTGCGTCTTTTCGCTAGGAAGGATGAAGTAGATGGCAAGAATTTGTGCTTGGGTGTGATATACCTGGTTTGCTTGTTTCCATGCTATATTCGGCCGAGACGTGGAGGGTGGCAGTCGTAGGTGTATGTACTTAATTCGCTAATTGAGATGCATTAGATTGATCTGAACACCTTGACTGGTAGTACATGGCGAGAGAATTCCAAACCCTGCGATGGGTCATCGAATTGCTATAGGATTTTAGGAGGTGAAGTGGCCTCAGGCTGCAAATTGCTTGCCCTATGTTTCTTGAACATTGACCACATCATCGTAACACCCAGCACTCCATAAAGTTGGTCGTCGTACAATGTCTACCATCTCTCACCTGACGGATCCTACAACACTTCACGTTCACTCACAATCTTCAGACGCTTTCCACGTACAATGTCTTCACAAAACTCTGTTTACTCACTCTACGCATTCCCCTGTTCTTACCCTGGCTCCCCTAACATCTTTCTTTTCCTTTTCCATCTATTCCTCTTCAGACATACGCAGCATTGACCACCACTCAGAGCATACGCGCAAACATGTCCCGTCGAACTTCCCAACCAGGCGATCGCCGACAGGGCCTCACCCGCGATCTCTACGGCATGATTGATGAACATCTCGCATGGCAAATGGATCAATCTGAACGCGAGCGCCCAACGTCCTCGGGCACAATGTTCGTCGACTGGGATGGAAGCGCGTCGCCTAAGATTACGTATCGGAACTCGAAGAAGCTAGATGCAGAGCAGCCAGAGCCAGAGCGAGAGCCACATGCAGCAGAGTCACATGCACCCCGACCACCAGCAAAGTCCAAGCCGAAGCCAAAGCGTGCCACTCAGACGCTGTCTCGCCACGACTCACTCCTATCCAACCAACGCACCTTCCGCAAGCAGACCGCCCCAGCGCAGACCATCCATGCCAGCAGCAGCAGCAGTGACAGCCTACAAATCACCTACTACTCCCCCCCTCACTTCTCAAAATCCACAAACACGCTCAAGGCCGCAGGATACGTAGCCGGCTACGCGCCCTGCCTAGACGCTACGTACGATTACAACGGGCGCATCGTACACGTGCATCGCGACGCAGCGAGGCGCGAGGAGAGGTTCTCGGAGTACTATGCTGTGGATGCGGAGGCGTATTCCACGGCGGCCAAGCTGGAAGTCGTCGACGTTGACGCTGACGGTAACGGTAACGGTGTGGGTGCGGGTCCACCGATAGAGGAGCGCAAGAAACGTGATCGTGTCGTGGGGTTTGTAGAGAAGCTACTTCACAGGCTGGACAGGTTGGGCTTTATGGCCAAGTTCCGGGCTGAGCGGCGGCATGCTGCGGCGGCGGGGGGTAGGAGCTGGGTGGAGCACGGGTATGTGACGTGAATCTTGTTTTCTTTTTTGAGGCATCGAGTGTGTTTCACTGGAGTAAGCTGTGTAATCGGCCGTGATGGGGATGTTTATTGAGCTTCTAAGAGCTTCAAACCCGGTGCGTCTCATTACTTCTTAGAGTACTGCTGGCGCGACCGGCCTGGCGTGGCTGTAAGAAGAGCCCGTCAAGCCCCCTGGGTATGAGTTTGGTGCTCAACGAGCTCTAGATCAAATTTGATACAACTCAATCTCACACAGAGGGTAGCTATCTAAAGGCTTGCCCGTATCTTAGCTCAGTGTAACGTTCATTACAAAGAGAACTTCCCTTTGTCATATCACACGAGATTAGTGCATGGGCAACGTACATATTAATTGCATTCTTACGAAATCAAACAGGACTAGATAAATCATTATTTTCCATTCTCAAACTACAGACTTCTTATTACTCGCTACAACGACAGGACTTTTATCGATATCCTTTATTTATTGTTTGTTCCAATTCATGGCCCATTGTCCGATGAGCTAACTCAAACGATTGTCATACAGCCTTCGATTCGTGGACCCTTCTTGCAAGCCCTAGCCTAATAGTTATAGCGATATGTTATATTCTCAACGGACGAGAATCTTCAAACTAGCATAGTGATACGCAATCACTACGTTATTCTCAAATTGTAAGTGGTCAATTGCATGGAGTTGAAACAAAAAGAAAAGAAACCCAGGGTAACAGATTGATTTGGATCGTAGTATACATGCTTCAACCCCTCAATGAGGAAAATCAGCCAATATAGGGTCAGCATCGCTCGATATAAGATCGATGATATTCCATCCATCTTTCAACATTCGCGTTAGCAGAGCGCCTTTGTACAACGCTTCGCGCGCTCAAGCGTAACCACAGACGCATCAATCTCACCCGTAACAATTCGTCTGTCATATACCCTTCTAGTCTTGCCCTAATTGAGCTCGCGTGGGTACATTCCAAGTAGGTAATCTTGGTTGGACACGCCCATCCCCACCATCTTGTCCCGAGTGAAGTTGCGTTGAAGTTGATTAGCTTGGATGGCACTCATGCGGTTAGCGTCGCGAAGATATCGAACAAGGCAGTTAACGTATCGCCGCTCGGCTGTGCCGCGACTGGCCCGGATCATAGGTAGACTGATGCCAGCTGAACCCCTAGTAAGAGCATTTCGCTCTTGTACGTATAGGCGTTGTAAATTCGTCTTCGCCTGACTTAGCTCATTGCCTTGAACCTGCAGATATCCAGGGGTCATTCGGATGATTACTCGATGCCTCGAGCCTCTAAATTTGAAGTATTTTGTATCAGAGTAGCTCGCGTTTGCTCGAGGCTGCGTGCTTCGAGGTGCGGCTCGGCGATTCGTATGTGTACCTTGGCGACCTAAAGTATCGTCCATGATCATGTCAACGATATCGACTCCTATTGAAAGTAAACGACTATAATTCAACAAGGGTACCTCAAGTATAGACCCTACCTGTCGGATGCTGACGCTCGATCTCGAGGCGGTCCTTCGCCTTTGCACATAATTTGTCGACATCAAGGCGACGATGGCCTGTGCGAATAAGCGCCGTCTTGTACTCAGTCACGAGAACGTCTAAAACATCTTAGAAGTGTCAGCTGTGCATTTCTTGGACGATTGCTCTTCCCTTCATTACTATGGTTCAAGCAGGAACTTCGCGACACCTACCAACACCCTGATCTTTAGCACGAGCCATACGGTACCGAACCACTCCGTGCCTCTTCCAGCCACCAACGCACGAAGGTCGAGGCTCCGCGTAATCTCTAGGCTTGGGAACATGTCCAAGTACAACGTGTTCCGGGAGATATCGATGCGGCATGTACTCCTGCTGGTATGAATATTCGAACCATTTGTACGCATCGACTGGGTTGCCCCAGACAGCGTAACAGACGAGCTTTCGCAAGGCGATGGGAACAGGCCGGCCCATAGCGAGCTTTTGAATATTCATGCTTACCACCTGATCAATCTGGTCAATGATGTCGTGACGGTACTCGAAACCATCAAAGAAGTCGACTAGCTCTTGGTCATACTTCTTTTGCAAGGGGCAATATCGATGGTCCATGGGTAGCTGGAAATACTCAGTCCTGATGATACCGTCAATGTACCTGTGAACGGTCAGCTTCTCTCCCTGACAATACATGCGAGTTTGCATCCAAGAATACAAAGCAGTAGACAGCCACACAATTAATAGCCCTGCCCAAGTAGCCATGGGCAGGCCGATCAGGCATGCAAGAAGACGCTCAGCAGAGACTGATATATTGCGGGTTGCCCACACAACATATCTGGCCCCCATATCCAGTTGTCGACCATGTAGCACTTGGATCTCAACCTACCTAGCTGGTCGGGTATAGCCTCTCAGGAAGTATTTGTATGCTTCAAGCGGCGGAAGCGTACTCAGTTGACGGAGGGTGCTACGACCTTGAGCGCATGACGCGATCTCTGGGTGACCTCGAAGAAATAGATCAATCTCCCGAAGAAAGTCTTGGGAGATCGAGCGTTCAGCGAGGTATGCGTCGAGTTCAGCGTCGTTGCAGTGGGAAAATGAGCGGACCTAAAGGCTCTCAGCGGCTGTATTACCAAACCAACGGGAACATTACATGGAGATCGTCATCACGCTGCCTCTCAGCCCATGGTAAGGGCTGGGTCGTATTGTTGAAGTCAAAGGCACCTTGGGCAGGCGTGGGTGCTACGGTCGCGGGGCTATCCTGCCGATACAGTCTCCAAGATGCCCTTCCAGGATAGACACTGGGCGCTGGTAGTTCACGGCAATCACTGCCAGAGCTATCGTGAACAGACTGACCAATGTGGTGACCGTTGTCTGGTCTTGCGCCGGCAGTTGGCGGTTCAGTCCAGATTCCGTTATGTCCCATCCCTGAGGCATATGCTGGACTCACCTCGCCCTCCTCGCGATGGTGCGAGGTGACGCCATTGCTGTCCGTTCGGGACATGCTCTGTCCCATCGGCTTACCTGTTAGTATGTAGAAGATCGAATCGCGCAAAGTTCGAATGGCGAAGAATTTGGGGTGAGGCTTGCAGCGAGGTGATTGTGAAGTGGGTGGAACCGACGACAAAGGTAAGTGAGTGTTGTTCTTGGCAGGCCGCAGGAAGTGAAGGGGAAGGCACGCGTCCACGACACGTCTGGACGTGCGGGCAGGGTCAGAGGGCAGACCATAACATACACATATGACGCAACAGTTGAGCAGGTGAAGGCATGGACGACAAAACGGCGAAGATGTACACTCTAATGAAGTTGGATATACGAACCCATCCCTAACGCCACCCAAGTCGCTCATGATGTGACCAAACATACTATTACTACACAGGTTATAAAGCTCAGAACACACTGATGTAGTTCCCGATGCGCTCCTTTTGGTTCTGCGCGATGCACTCGGCTATCCAAGTGATGTTTCGAATTTCCTGATGCGTAGTTAGTAAGGGAAAACACGTGATTGTTGGCACGTCGCATACCTGCTCGCGCAGCTTGACCCATGCGTAGACGATGGCGTGGGTGAACTGCCTCGTAAAAGCAATCTTTGAGATCTCCATCTCTTTCTGATAGAATAAATCTTCCAGACTCCTCGTCTCTCCACCCGCACCGCCTGCCATGTTTCCGACGCCACCACCGCCACCTTGACTCAACCCAGTTTGATCAAAGAAGGTCTTGTAGTCGGCCACGCTCTCTACAGCAATACGCACGCCTTCTACATCGTCTGCCCTCGAGAGCATCAGGGTTCCCTCTGGGTACAGTTTGCCGAAGCTCGGGTAGAGCTTCTTTCTGTCCGCCTTGGAAAGCTCGGTTCCAAAAGAGTTCAGCGAGATGTTGATGCTCCTGCGGTCCGCCTCAAACTCCAGCACCTCAGTCATGACATCTGCTGTTGGCGTACCGGCGATATCTGGAGCAGAGTTGACCCACTGGTGAAAGTCCTCGAGGTAGTTCTTGTAGAGCGTATTACGGATGATCTCAATGTTCAGTTCGTCCAGATCCTGGTGGCTCAGCGAGCCCTTGAAGTACGGCGCAAGCGGTGTCTCAATCAGAACAGAGTTGTACAGCTCCTCAATGTTGGTTGCCACGCACAGGACTGGCATTGTCTCGAACCAGCCAAGCGGGTGACATCTTTCCAGCAACTCGCGGGTGTCCCTCTCGTGTAGCGTACCCGTAATCAGCAGCGCCACGTTGTCGATCATGTATCCGTATGTGAGGTATTCCATAAACTTGGAAAGCGATCCGGTAGCATTGGCCTGGAGATAGCGAAACTCGGCCACAAGCTTGTCGGTGGTTTTGGCGGCAAGGGCAGACGTTGAGGGGTTCGGTGGCAGGGACGAGAGAAAGTCGCCGTACGCTGGCGAGAGTTGTAGCTTGACATCTAGATGTACGTTAGAGCCTGAAGATGCTGACGCGGTGAGCAGACATGCCGTCAATCGTGTCGCACTGGGTCAAGTTGTTGTAGTTCTGGCTGGTGAGCAGCGCATTGCGGTACCCACGCACGATGCCCTCGATGTAGCTGCCGACGGGAATTAGCAACGGCCAGGATTTCCTTGCAGACAAACGGCATACCCATATTTGACGTTGTAGTATAGGCCTTCCATGATGCGTGATGCGGACTACGACGGTCGCCTTCACGCCGGCAAGAGCTGTAGCTTGGTCGTCATGCCAAGACATGGCCCGTGTGCTCCTTCCTGCTTCGACTGGGGTGCCACAACATCCATCAGCCTCGTAAACAACCCTTGCACGACTGACTAACCGGACCTTCATCCACAACTTTCTTAACTCCAGCGCAACTTCCCGCCCTTTGTCTCAACGACACTGGCACCAACCACCACACCCATTGCAAGAGCTATAGAAGCCGTCGCATCTCGCAACAGATTACTGCTTGAATCGGCAAGTGCCATAGCTCTTGTTGTAAGTCACTCACCCAGCCGCGCATCGCTGCTGCTCATCTCAACGCAGGACAATGTCGACTCGCCGCTCGACGCGTCGCATCGCAGCCTCCGCTGAGCCTGCGCAGCCTGCGTTAGAGCGAGGGTCGCATACAGCTGCTTCTCCTCCTCCCGAGCCTCCCAAGAAGAAGGCCCGTAGAGGCAAAGCTGCCTCAGCCCAAATCGAGTCCGAATCCGATACGCAGGCGCAGCCCGTCCGCAAGGTCACCGCTACGACACGCGCGGCTTCCTCTTCCAAGACCACAACTACGACTACGACTGCCACCTCGACCTTCTCGAAGCGCACCACAAGGGCATCCAAAGCAGCCGGAGCTGGTTCACCACTTCGCGCGCTCGGTGAGACTGAATTGAAACCCCAGGCGGACAAGAAGCGCAAGCGCGCCCGCCAGCAGCCCGCCAGTGCAACCCCAGAGCCAGAGCCCGCACGATCGGAGCCTGCGCAAGACGAGAATAACGATGAGCACGGCCTCTTCTTCTCGCAGAGTGAGCCAAAACTTTCTTCTCCCCTACAGAGCACACCAAAGGGTCCTTCTGAAGTCGATTATGGTGTATTGCGCAACAGGATTTTCCAGCTTGAAGCGCGTATTACTGAGCTTGAGACGACCAATGCCTCTCTTGTTGACGAGAATGTCGTCCTGCGCACTCAGCTGCTTGCTCAGCCTACCGCTCAGCATTTCTCTACACCTCCTCGTCAACATCTCTCTCCGCGATTGGAGTATTCCTCCCCGCGATCATACAATGTCTCTCAAAACCTCTCACAGGATCTGTCTCCACAATTCTCTCCACTCTCTCAGCTCCGGACCGGTCAGGTCTCAGCTAACCACCAACCTCCAGACTTCGACCACGAACTGATGCACGTCGAGGAGGCATCACCGGCACAGCCCGTCTTTGTAAATAGCAGTGAATCCGCTATAGCTCTCCTGCACAAGATTGAGAACGCGGCGAAAGAATCTACGTACGTGGAGCCGTCTATGCACGGGGATGGTGAAACCCACTTCAAGGACGTTACCATGGAGGCTTCACCGCAGCAGTCCGCTTCAAAGACGCATGCCAACCAATCTACTACACCGGCACAACCCGTGGCATCGCCGTCCAGCTTCTTCAGTAGATCTTTCTCTGCAATCAAGTCGAAGCTCGGGTTTTCAGTTCCAATTCCGCAAGCACCTTCAGTCACGCCTCCAAAGCCGCTCCCACCTCCCAATACACTCACCGAAGCACTTTCGGTCCCACCTACACCTGTCGGCGAACGCGTCCATACACCAACAAAGAAGAAAAAGACGAACCCGGTGCTCAGAGCACTCTTAAGGGGGGTCGAAGACAAGGACAGGCCTAAAGCAGAAGAGTGGGCAAGAGAAGTCATCCCGCAGCTCAAGAATCATCGCTCTTTCCGCGAAAAGCGCAAATACCTTGAGACACCCATTCTCTGCAAGGACCTCAATCACTTCCCCTCTTCCAAGCCCTGGGAAACTGGCTTCGGTGATCCGCTCGCCGATCTGGATGATGAGGACGTCGTTCCAGGCTGGGCTGTCTACCTTGACATGATGGCGGAGGAAGAAGAGCACAGGGCTAAGAAACACAAGACCATCCATGAAGTCACTATGGACGATGATGACATCCTGTCCATCAACGAGCAGTATGCCGCCAGCGACAGCGCGCATTCATCGCCAAAGCTGCATGACAGCCATGGGCAGACTGCCTCTCTTCAAGACTTCCACCCCCGTCGTTCAATCAACCCCTCTCCCATGTTCGACACTCCGGTCTCTCATCAACGAGGCGGAAATGTCTTCAGTGAACTTCAGGGGCATGACACCGCGGCACAGATACGGGCCAATGATCGCGAATCTCTACAACAGGCGACTAAACAAACTGTTCACACCCATAATCCGGACATGGGCTCCTTCAGCGTTCCCGACGATTCCGACGATGAAGACTCCACTATGATCAGCGAGACTTCCGATGGAGATGCAGCCCCGCTTTGGACGCAGCCACCGCCCCCTGCTCCTGTCCCCGCGCACGCTCCGCTGCCAGGAGGACCCACAAGCGATACATCTTCCGTCCCTACGGTCCAGCAGCCAGTAGATGAGATCGAGCGCCAACGCCAGAGGTTAATGAAGCATACACCCGCTAAGCCTAGTCGTCTCCGAGAGGCCACCTATCCCTCACCAAGCCTCTTTTCAGACGCAGGCAACGAGTCGATTCTAGCGGCCACACCTGCCCCCTTAGCGGCGTCTACGTCGTCTATGGCATCCATCTTCGACGACATACCTGGCGCTGAACCACTCGACATCGACGATGAAGACCTAGCCGCTGCCAACGCTTTCATAGCGTCCGACGAGTGGAAGCAGCAGCTAGCTACTAATCCATGGCCGGCTGCTATCCTCACCTATGAGTCGGATGAGGAGGGCCTTAGCCCCGAGTAGGGTGGATTTGCATTTTCTGGTTCAAAAAGCATTGTATAGGAGACTGGATCGTTTAATTTTGTTTCTTTTTGGCGTTCACGGTTGGCAAGCATTTACGATTGACGACGGCGCCTTGCTAGCTGTATACCCCCCGACGACAGTCTTTGTATAGTAGAACGGGACTGGGTAACAACCCCTGTTCTTTACCATTCCGTAACATAATCACGGTAACATAATCACGATTACTGAGATTTTATCGCTCCCTTTGCCTGTGAATGTATACCATGCTGAAGGGCCTCCAGCTTAATTCTAGTTGTTATGTGTCAAGTAGTTGAAGACGTAACAGCTCAAGTATACTCCATTTGATACTGAATGCGAAGAGTCGCTTATCAATCTATCTACTGACCCACCTCGACTTCATCCAGCCCTACCCCTACAAAACCACCATACGGACACTCTCGACAACCTTCTCCGCATCCCCCACCTCCGCCTCCAACCATGCCCTCGCCTTATCGACGACTAACTCCCAACTCCCCTTGAACTCTAGCAATTTGACTTCGAAGATGACGACTACAATGGCGGTAGCGAGATGCTTCTGATGGACTCCAGTGGAGATTCTACGTTCAACGAGTGATTTGTCCAAGTTGACTGACGCTGATTGAATCGATGCAACGACTGTGTCACTCCATTCCCAGGACCCTTCGAAAGTTTGCAGATCGATGAGGTAATGCAACAATTCCTCCAACGTTTTGGGTGCAGGTGCGGGTGCAGATGGAACAGAAAATGCCCCACTAGGCGGGTTGGTCTCCGCAGTTGGCGTAGATGTAGTGTCAGAAGTCGGTGAATAGCATGCAAATGATGGAGATCCAAAGTCTTGAACAGTGCCAATATCACGCTGAGAATCCCTACCAGGTCCTAATTCTTCATCCGCCGCAAGGAAGGTGTCGAAATCGAAGTTCTCGAGCACTGAGTCGTCGTTCGTACCCGAGTCGAAGAGGCCGAAACCTTGGTCTTCATCTTCTTCCTCGTTTGTAATGCCAAAGGCTGCGCTCGCAGCTGGCATGCTAGGCACAGCTGGGGCAGGAGCTGGAGCTGGCGCTGCGGCGCCGAAAGCGTGGGACGACGTGCCTTGAGGAGCAGAACCGAACAACATACCAGGCGACATACCAGGCGAGGTGGTAGATGCTGCTTGAGGGAGTTGTTGATTATTATCAACTCCTTGCCTCAGTATGAAAAGCCTGTCGTTCTGTTGCTGGAGAATCATACACTGCGCCTGATAATCTTGGAGAGCATACTTGCCTCCAGAAGATTGAGTGGAATTTACACTCTGCGCTTGAGCGAATGCTGCAGGGCGTTTGATCTGGTTCGTGCTTCCGAGCACATATGAGCCGAAGAGACTGCTGCTAAATGCTTGCTGCTGTTGTTGTTGTTGTTGTTGTTGTTGTAGTAGTTGCTGCTGCTGCGCTAACTGCGGTAGAATCTGAATGTTGTGGCCGTGGTGACCACTGCCGACTCCACCCCCAAAGCCCGCGGGTGGCTCTGGGGCTTCGTCTTCTAGCCAATCCCATTTTTCCATTCTCTTCTCATCTTCTGCCTTCCTCTTTTTGCTCTCCACGGCGACGAAGGAACACCATTTGCCACCGACTTGGAACTGCACGCCCAATCGCACTGCTTCGCGCTCAATCATGTCATCAAAGCGGCCTTCTAGTTGGGTCTTGATCAGACTTCCAGCCTCATCTTTGGCTTCGGGAAGCCAACCACGGCCTTGCTCCAGCTCGGAAATCGCTTTCTTGGCCGCGAGCTGGTGGATCGTTTCGCCAGGTACATCGAGGATCTGGATTGGTATCTCAAGCTCGAGAGGACCATGGGCGCTGGTCCCACGAAGAACAACTGACTTTGGCGTGGCTTTCGGGGCGTCGGGACCGAGTAGGAGGTAGACTGTTGTTCGGTTGAAGGCGAAAAGTGAGGGGATATTTTGTGGTGCCTGGAGGACTCTAGGAGCAGGGATCTCTGGCAGATGCGCATATCGCCCCTCGCCGGTTTCGTCGTATGCTGACGGCTCTTGCTTGTCTAAATCTACAGATGGGTCGAAGAGCGAGATTGGCTTTTTCTGGTTGTAGTTAGTAAAGACGATGCGCGTTGCCTTGGGTAGGTAACCAACAGTTATATTTTCCACCTTTTTCTCCCCTAGATCAAGCTTGATTTTCAGACTGTCAGTCACCCGCTCGATAATCTCGAAGTCATCCTCTTCGTCCGACGACGCGCTATTTGAGTACTTCACTTCGAGTGTGTAGTCGTTGATGTGCGGAGATAATGCTCCCTTCAACATGCGCACGACTTTGCTATCCATCTGCTCGCCCTCACCAACAGTTTGCGAAAAACCATTGCCTGCTCTCGCCACGCCCTCGATCAGCGAGTGAGAAACGCCATTGCCAATGCCAAGAGTAAAGATCCGGATGGGTGCTTTGCTGTCGGTGATGGACTGATTGAGATATGTGAACAGAGCTTGTTGATTCCAGATCTCGCCATCAGTCAGCATCACGACCTCGAGTGACATATCCTTGTACCGCTGGTCAATGGTCGCTTTTAATGGGTACAACATCTCGGTTCCGCCATAGTTGGCAGAGAACGTATCCGCATGCCGGGTGGCTGCATCGAGTGTTTCCTGGCTATACGTAACACTCTTTGGCCAAAGGAAAGAGTGGCTAGAGCCAAATGAGCAGACATTGAACTTGACCCCAACAGGAAGTGACTTGAGGAAAACCTTGAGTGCTTGAATGACGAGCTTCATTCTGCTGCCTGCCATGCTTCCGCTCCGGTCACAAACGAAGACAACTTCTGGCTTCTCCGCAGGCAAGGCAAATTTCGGAACCAGTGTCGCCATCAAAGCTCGGTGTCTGGCAATTGTAGGATGGTTCTCTAGTACAGCTTTCGGGACGCCCGTGTCTTTTGCAACAACCTGGAGAACGAAGTCTGTGTCTAGCTGGGCGGTCCCCAGTGTTAGCGTTGCCGAAGCCTTCAGCATCGTTGGTTCTGCGTTCGGTGCCAAGGAGGTCGTGCCCATGGTCATCGAGATGGGATGAGTTGGTGATTGGATCTTTTGGATGAACGATCCCTCTGCCATCTCTGCGTCGACGGTAATCGAAATGCTGCTGTCTACAGCATCCGCAGCTGGACTGGTCTGGAGGTTTCCGTGGTATTCTCCATATCGTGGACAAATAATGTTTGGAATTGTGAATCGGATACCATCTACTTCCATGTCGTGCTTAAGCTCGCCGAGGTATGTGATCTTGATGATAACTCTCGCACCTGGCGGTATATTGCCAACTGACGTGGTGAAGACATCCGCAGCATCCGGCAACTGTTCAAGCAAACCTGCTGTCTCGCCCCTTGCGACAGCTTCCCGGAAGACCGCCTTCGCCTTTTCCTTCTCTTTTACTTCGCCAACGATGGTGCGATCTCCGACGTGGCATGTGAAGCCAACGACACTTACGCCATCATACAATGGAAACGTGTATCGAACCTCCTTGATACCCTTCTCTGTCGAGGGGTTGACAAAGGTTTGGGTGAGAGCCGTTCGTGAAGTCGCTGCTAAGATGGTAGCATGTGCCTGGAGCTCTACTTGTGGAAGATATCTCTTTTGCAAGTAGCCCTGGCACGGAATACTGTAGTACAGGCCACAGATATGGTCGCGCCAAGCTGGCTGATGAGAGCCTGATGCGTTGAAGTTGAAGAGAGACATAATGTACGAAAGGTTAACAACGAGGAGAAGACGTATACTGAAACAAGAGCAAGTAAATCTCTCGCCTGAGTGGGCGATACTGCTAGCAAGAGTGTAAGCGTGAAAAGGTGTACTGAACCGAAGTTTCCACAATGATTGAGAGTATGAAAATTGGAGCAAGTAGCGAGATCTGTTTGCCTTCAAGTATGCCTCTGGTGCCTAGAACACTCGTATCGTCCCAGATAGGTACCTTGCGCACAGCCTATCGCACGCATCTATCCATGGTTGGAGTCACTAAAAGTTACTAAAAGCGAATATATCTGCGTCACTCCAATAGATTGAACGCATGATCAGCACGTCCCCGAGACTCAAATGTGGAGAGAGATGGAAAGTTGGTTCGAAGAGCAGGAGCTGAATGGCTGTGGCGTCGGCATCCCTGCCAAAAGGGGGCGAAGCAGCGGCATTACTCAGCGGTCAAGGACTGCGGAACACGTGCTACCGTTCAACATCTCGAAGTCCATGAACTATGAGCGCAGAAGCCTGGGAATCACTTGTGGAGATTGGGAAAGATGCTGGTAAGATCAGATGCTGGTGGAGATATCGACTTTCCTTCAAGCGGCTAGCCGTCCGTCGGACCCTGAACGTCAGGCCGCAGAAAATGTATGACAGTCATCAAGTATCCCACCAAAGATGCAACAGCTATTCACCCCGCTGCCCCACGTTTTTCCAGAGTTTCAAACCTCACTACACCGACTCTTCTGTACGCGGCGCAACTTCCACAAACTCTCCAGAGTCCCTCGGCGCGTGCAATTGCGACAAACATACGGGAGAAAGACAATGGCGAATGGGTACGAGGCCTGGTCACAGCAACAGTTGATTGCGCGGATACAAGAGTTGGAGCAGCAGATTGGAGGAAATGAGAAGGCCACCACCAATGTTGCTGACCCAACCTCTGCCACGTTTGCCAGCTTTTCAATACCCTCGCCAACTAATGGTTCCAAGTCATTAGCATATCGCAAACCGCCGAAAGCGCCTCCAAAGGCATTCGATGCCTCAAAGTACAGCACACGGCTTATAGCTTTGAAGTTCGCATACCTGGGACAGAAGTACAACGGGTTCGAGCACCATAAGAACAACTCAACACCGTTACCTACCATCGAAGAAGAGCTATGGAAAGCACTGGTCAAAACAAGATTGATCAATCCTATACCGACTCAGGGGGATACGACGGAATACAACAGGATAGACAGAAGAACCTTTACAGCCTGGGATAAGGAAGGAGCCGATGTCAATTGGGAAGGCTGTGAATACTCGAAGTGTGGGAGGACTGATCGGGGGGTAAGCGCGTTCGGCCAAGTTATTGGGGTGCGTGTTCGTAGTTACAAACCTCTCCCAAGACCGCAGCCTACTGGATCCGCAGAAGAAAGGGAGGGAATAGACCAGGAAGATGAATCATCCCTATACACAACGGACAACAAGCCACAACCCCCTTTACAACCTTTCAATGACCTCACCGACGAACTGCCCTATATCCAACTCCTGAATCGCGTCCTTCCACCCGAGATTCGCGTCTACGCCTGGTGTCCGAACCCACCACCAAACTTTAGTGCACGCTTCTCCTGCAAAGAGCGGCGCTACAAGTATTTCTTTACAAACCCCGGTTTCGCTCCCGTCCCCGGCTCGCCAGGCCTCTACAACACCAACACTGAAAGCAAGCATACTATGCGCGAAGGCTGGCTCGACATCGAGGCGATGAAAGAGGGCTGCAAAGAGCTAGTGGGATTACATGACTTCCGCAACTTTTGCAAAATTGACGCGAGTAAACAAATAACCAACTTTAACCGCCGCATATTCCATGCAGACATCGAGGAAGTCTCGCACTTATCTGTACCCTCCTACATTTCACACGCCGCTCTAAGTTCGCCCTCCTTTACTTGCCCGTCACAAGGAGAGCCGAAGATGTACGCCTTCACCCTCAATGGCTCTGCATTCCTCTGGCACCAAGTTCGCTCCATCGTCGCCATCCTCTTCCTGATCGGCCAAGGCCTTGAGTCGCCTTCTGTCATCCCCGCGCTCCTTGATATTGAATCCAATCCCCAAAGACCGAAATATGAGATGGCGTCCGATGCACCACTCGTGCTATGGGACTGCGTGTTCCCGCACGAAAGCGAGGTGCAGTCTTCAGAAGAGAGGGAGCGGGGTTATGAGGATCGGCTAGAGTGGGTATATATTGGCGATGAAGGGGCCGTGGAACCGAAGAGTAAAGGCCTAGGGAAGAAGGGTGGGGAGAGTGCTGTAGGGAGGGGCAAGTGGGGACGTGGAGGGGTCATCGACGATGTCTGGGAAGTCTGGCGACGGAACAAGATTGACGAAACACTGTCTGCGTTGTTGCTTGATAAGATCGCTGAGCAGGGACGCTCGACGCTTGACGCCGAGCTAGGTGGTGAGCAGAACATAGGCATTGCTAAGGGCGGCCCAAGGAATTTCGACGGCGGCGATATTGGCCGGGCGAAGGGCAACTATGCTCAACTTATGAATCGCGAAAGGCAAGAGTCCGTTGAGGTGGTCAACGCACGGTTCTTGAAGAGGAAAGGCGTCGACCCGAATAAGAGTCAGACGAGAGATGACGAAGCCGATGAGTAAATGGTGGTCGATTCGGATATGCCGTGCTCAAGATACCCCAAAGTACATTGTAGACCAAGTCTCCGATGGAAATGAAGCCAAATTTTCTCAATTTTACCACGGAATATCCGCTGACTATGGGGTATCATAATTTCCTTCACCAATCTTGCCTGCCTTTGCCCTCTGCCTGAAATGAACACCTGCTCCGTCCTCAAACTTGCGTAAGAGCCATCCTAATCGAACCATGTCCTGCCATACAAGTTTGGCAATTCGACCATTCCATCTCAGCGCTCCAGGAACTCCAGTCTACTCAGTCACCAGTATTCAGTTCCAAATCGATCTGCACCCCGTTGCTGATCGAGTAATCCGCCAGCGTCAGCTGATCGTGGAAAGGACGCTCGCCCTGTCGTTTGAGCATGATTTCGTGCACTGGTCTTCCGATCCTGCAACAAAGTCAGTATAAGTTGCCTTGCTTCACCTCGCGTCATAGCTAAACGCCTGTCTTTAAAAGTCACTCTTTACTTACTTCGCAGCTACCATGGCCTTCAGTATCTTTACAGGGTCGCTCGGCAAACACGGTACTTGTGTCTTCGTTCCCAGGCGATCGTTGACAGTAACGATTATCATGGCTTCGCCGCTTACAGCAGCTGGGGGCGCAGGTGCTTTCTTCTCCTTGGAGTCGCGAGACTCGCGAGGTTTGCGATCGCGACGATCGTCTCTCCGCCTGTCGTCGCCACGTCTATCGGGGTACTTGTCGTCCCTTCTCCTGTCATCTCTGTCGTCCCTCCGTCTATCTCCTCTATGGTCGTCTCTTCCACCAAAGCGATCACCGCCCCGCCTGTCATCGCGGTCTCGCCTCTCGTATCCGCGGATTCGATCGTCTCTTAGCCTATCGCCCCTGTCTCGGTCATCCCTCTTGTCATTCTTCCACTTTAGGCCCGAGAAGTTCTTGGGTTTGCGTGGCGGTGAACTGCGGCGGGGGGAGCGGGATCTTGAGCGTGTGCGATCCGGTTGTGGCTTTCGTTCTGTTTCAGTTTCCGTTACGCGCTCCTCGGCGCGGGGTGGTGATGGGGACGGCATGTTTGCTCAAAATACACTATCGCCGTAGGTATTGAAGTGAGTCGTCAAAAAGTGGTTCGTTGGTTGCAGGCCGGGACCTCAGTGATGTCAAGCTGCGCCTAAAATCTAAAGGAGCTTGGGCCATTCCATAAGGCTGAAGCGCGTCATGTTTAGTCTCCAATTTCCTCCCCGCATTCCCGTCACACTTTCGAGTTTGACAATGATCCTTCGGTGACAATGTTAGCTCTCCTACAGCGGCTTACCTCTCCGCCTGCGCAGACACTCTATACACTACAGCCCACCCATTCTACTATCCAATACACAGTTTCGACGCGTCCGATCACCCAAACGATTCCCGCGATTCTAGGGTATATTATCAGTGTTTTAGTCAGAGTTCTATTAGGCCTGGTTACAGTGCTGTCGCTCTGGACGAAATGGCGTACCACTCTCGAACAGCCAACAGCTCCCTTATTATGGATCTTAGGTTCCGATAGAGAAGTGCGACTATTTGCGCTCGCGCATAGCTGTCAATGGAGATACCTAGCTCCCAGCGCGTTTGTCGTACTGTTCCTGGTTTTTCGTCGAGGCTACACCGGTATGATAATGAATCATCACTACGGTCCTTCTCATCTCTTGCTGACCTCGGTGTAGAGGAATCTCTGACCCTCCTACGTGGCCTCGGCATCCAAACCTCTACCTCGTCCTCTACATATCTTCTCGGACCAACTACACGCTTCATTCCTACCACAAGTATTCAAGATATCTTCATAAATGAGGCATTCAAAGGGTTCGAAATCCGGTTCTACCTGGCGATTGTGGTGGAGGGAGAGGAAGACGTGGTGGTTGTGTTTCCGAGCTTGCTCCCGAGACGAGGGACATTGGAAGTGGTTTGGAGGGGGGCAAGGCGTTGTTTGTGGGAAAGAGAAGGGGTGGGGAGGGAGAGGCTGCAGGATAGAGAGAAAGAAAGCGTGGACATGTGAGATATGAATCATGATATATTGCCATGAAGTGCAAACTACCAGAAAAGGCTTTGTGCCATTTTAAACTGTCCGTGAACCGTGAAGCCACTCCTTCACAATCTATAAGATCCTCGAACGCCTCTGGAAACCTCATAAGCAGGCATTTCCATAGAATAACCGCCATCGCGGTATAGCCATACCTTCAATTTCGCCATGCGCCAACTGCCATGACAGACTTCCTCTAGTCGTGGGTATCCGTGCCTGAGAAGTACTTTTGTCTCAAGGACTCCGCTGCTCGCTCGATGCTGTTGCAGTACATCTGCTATTGTCGTATCGTTGTGCCGTTTCTCGTCGGCCATCGCTCAGCCGACTCAATATCTGTAGCGCGTGCTGTAGTCCTTCGGGCTAACCACAAGACCCCGTCCCTTCTTCGCGCCCCGATAGACAGTCTCGACAATATCCACCATCTCGCCCTTATCCTCTAGCACCCAATTCAATTTATTATTGTTACCCGTCCCAAAATCACACATCATGTGCTTGTTCCTGAAGAAGAACATGACCGTACACGGATCGTACAGTTCGTACATGGCTTTGAAATCCGGCACTTCGTCGAGATCGCAGAGGTAGATTGCGCAGAAGTTCTTGACGCGGTCGGCGATTTTGTAGAGCACTTCGTCTTGCGCCATGCAGTCGGGGTCGCTGTCGCGGCCGAACCGGATGAGGACGAGTCGGTCTTCTTCTGAGAGGATGGCTTGATCGACGTGCCAGCCTGTGCGCAGGTGGGGAAGAACTACTGAGCCCATGGCTGTGGTGGTTGTTCGGCGGGGACGATCGCGAGGTTGGAGTGTGTTTGTGACTTGACGTGGTATTCGAGAGTCGATTCCAGTTAACAGAAGTTCAAATACTGTGTGACTAGAGTGTGTGTGGTGCAGTTCCGGCGCTGGTTTTGAGGTTTTTCGTTGTCGCGGAGTGGTTTGCGAGGGCGTGGATTTATTGTAGAAGATGCAGGCAGCTATTCTCGTGATCTAGAAAGTTCGCCCCACTCTAAGCTTTTGTGTGGGCCAGCTCATTGATTATCCAAACTCAAACTTTATTCTAGTCCTATACAAACCGTAACTACTTTGGCTTTTGAAACAATTTAACATAAGCACGTCATTCGCTGGTCGCAAGAGTTGGTCGGTGATTGTTATACTTATGTTCTACATACAGATGTATCGTGTCATAACTCAAAGATAAGAACTCTATATCTTTGATGAACTAAATCACATTTCTTCATTACCGAAAGACTCATTTGTTATCGGACTTAACCTTCGGCGAGTGGATGTGGTTCGTATTCGTGGGCATTCCATGGTTGCGTTCAGCCTTGCGAGGCTGATACTCATGGTCGCTGCAGTTTAAGGCACTGGTGGACTTATTCGCCTATTCCTCACGATTGCCTTGAGGCGCAGCCACCTTCCACCTCATTAGCGTATGTATACGTTGCGTCAAATGAGTATGCGTGGAGATCAGAGAGTTGAGGGGGATAGTATAGTGAGAAGATGGGTTCAAACATGAAGAGAAGGTCCATAGCTTGGGTTTCAGTGATTTCTCTTGCAAAAGCCTAAGATCAGCTAATTGCCAATACGCACTTCAGCAAATTCTGCCTGCTTCATCCTCAAGCCTAGGTTTGCGATATGCGGCTTTCTCTCGCCCGATCATGGGTCACATGCGACATCTTGTATCCTTCCCGGGCATGGCTTAGCCGCGTTTTGCTCCGCCTCTTTGTCCTCTGTGCTCCAAGGACATACGAGAACTTCTTCGAAACATCCCAAGCGAGCATATATTTAAGAACTCGAGACATCTCCCGAATTTGTGTTCTGAGAATCCAACACTCTCGGCGTGGAGTTGCCCAGAGCCGAATTTACCAGTTCAAGAGCGGAACAGTTGCGGCCCGAATACTCCAGAATCTACCAATAGAGCGAGCATGACTGGACAAGGCTCACGGTCAACGGAGAAGGAAGAGGAGCATGCGCCAGCTTACGAGGCCGTAGGGTACGACTCTCACCTGCATATAATCTATTGACATGATTAACATTGTATTTGCAATAGGCAATCCGCACCGCCTCCCGCATACGAGGCTGTCGCAGCGAACATGCAATCTCTTAGCATCGGTGACCCAGCAGAAAGCATCAGTGTTCCAATGGTCATGTCTACCGAGCAAAAGCGCAAGCGAGACATTTTCCTACCTGGGGGCAAACCTGGCAAAGTGACACAGTCTGTTTTTGTGAGGAAGATGACGCGCGATTATTACTTGAAACACTACGCGAAGGACGCTCAAGGGAACTACATTGGGACTGAGAAGGCGGCTGCGGATGCAGGACTTGTGTTTGTGCCAGGGAAGAGCTCAAACGAGGAGATTTTGGAGCAGGTACGGAAAGTAGCGTTTGGCAAGCAGCATGACAATGCAGATTTTGCGAATGGGTGGGCTATGGTGCAGGCTGGTGGTGGGGCGATGTAGGGATGAATATGGGGGTGGAAATCGAGAAAGTATAATAACAAGAAGGCGGTGAACATGTGCTTTGAATTGAAGCATGCGATTATTATTATTTTGGTTAGGCATTCCAATGAGTGAGAATCGATTGAACATTGATCGCCCTTTTGACACTTGTGCAATACAGGTTAGAAAACAGGGGTTTTATCAGTCGCTTCCATTGCTCCGCCTAGTCACACCCCCATTTGTAGCCCTCAAAGCCTAATTGCGGTCATGCCCAACGAGGCGTACCGACTCACCGCCGGCCACGCTGCACATGAAGCCTCGTATTCACGTCTTGGAAGGCCAACAAACAAAGCATCACCTCCTATCTTCGCGCCTTGCAGTACCAACGTATCGGATCATGGGAGGCATGATCCCGATACACCCCACGCCATCCTTGTGCACATCAGAGGACAGCTCCACCAAAGTGTGCTCAATTGTGGGAACGACAGCCGCGCGCAAACCCCGCAAAAGGCTGTCGGGTCATTTGCAAGGCTGTCTCCCGAGAGCGCGATTTATCATTGGTCCGATAACTTGACATGCGGATTAACAACTGCCCTCCCCACGCGGCGCTTTCAAAGCGACGAAGTGGCTTGGTGCGGGCGTCAGCATGATGGAGATAAGCCTTGGACGAGCTGAGCGGTGGAGGACGATCTGCTGCGCAATCTTAGGCTCCACGTCGCTCGTCCATGTCGTCGTCCGCGCCTCTCTGTTTTCTTTTCCTCTCTCTCTCTCTCTCTCTCTGCTGAACCGTCTTTCGGTGTTTCTCTGTGCTCACGCTCGTTTCTGCTGACCCTACCCCGAACCACGCAGCATCCAGCCCATTTGGATGCGCTTCCCTCACAGAGTCATTTTACAACATGAGCCCTCGACAGCCGCATCTTCAAACCCTCAAACGGCCTAACGGATAGCGACATTTTGGCACCGACTGCGGCTTTGCCCGCTCTACGTCTCGACCATGGCTATGCCATTTAATCAAGAGTCGTGGGTATGGTATACTGTTGCTGTCATGATGATCGCTGCGAGGCTGTGAGTACCTCTTCTACACCCCGGTTCGACTGTCCTCGCGGAGAGGTTGGCAGTGCTATGAGCAACGACTGACAGTATCGACCATACAGTACCTCTCGGAAAATGTTATTTCGCTCGCTAAAAGGCTATCAAATCGACGACTGGATCATGGGATTCTTCGTCACCGTATGCTACACCGTCCTAATCGTTCTGTCCAACAAGTGGCTCAAAATGCAGTCCAACCTTGTTCCACCGAGTTTCGATTTCAGCACCCTTACCGCGGATGAACTCTCTCGACGTAGGCTCGGGAGCAAATATGTAATAGTCGTGGAACAGACGCAGATCGCCGTCATCTGGTCGTGCAAAGCATGTCTACTTATCATGTACTACCGGCTCACGCGTACGGCACTTCGCAACGAGAACGTGGCAATCAAGCTCCTCTCCGCCTACGTGGCACTCAGCTTCGTCATCATGGAGATCCTATACTTCGCCGCCTGGTGTCGCCCGTTCTCTGAGTACTTTGCCGTCCCAACCAGATCCAAGCAATGTAATGCTCTGGTGCATCACCGCATCTTCAAGGCCGTCTTCAACATTTCCTCAGACTTGATAATGCTTGTCATTGCCCTCCAGATGCTCATTCGCTCCTTGCTACCGTTAAAGAGGAAGCTGATCCTGTGCGGCATCTTCTCCTTGGGCATATTCGTCGTGGCGGCGAGTATACTGAACAGCTACTACTCATTCAAGAACCCATACCGCTCGACGTGGATATATTGGTATGTCCGCGAGTCATCGACGGCAATATTAGTCGCCAATCTACCGTTTACCTGGACGCTACTCCGGAAGACATTCGAGTTGGGCGACTTCGACGAAACCCATCCGCCGCCATGGACCTACCATTCTGCTCGTACGGCGGGCGGACGAAAAACAGCCCATCTGATGCAACAGAGCAGCAGTACCAGGGGAGTCATCGTAGGCAAGCGTCCATCACCTACCGACAGCAACGGAAGCAAAGGCACCACCTCCATGTCTCTAACAGGCAACTCAAGCACGGCCAAAGGCCACGCAAGTTCCTCTGTGAACAGTCCGCCGAGCTCACGGTATGAAACGGGGCTACTCCAAGAAGCGATCCGCCCCCACGATTTCGCACCCGCTTCATTCTCACCACTTGCCACCGACGACCTTACCGACATGGATTGCGAACAAGGTCTTGTCCTAGACAACTTCAATTCTTCTTCACCACCGAAGATCACACAAGACGGCACGGGCGGTTTCTACATGAACAACCGGCCCATCTCCCCTCCCCCGCGCGCATACCTCGTCGCGTCGTCCAATCGCTCGCGCGAACCGAGTATAGCGAGCCTAGATAGGAGACCAATAAGTCCGTCACCGAGCCACAGTAGTTCGGCAGTGGGTGGCAACGGTCGGCCAGTAAGTGCGTCGAGTATTGGAGGCACCGGCACAGCGGGAGGGGGAAGGAGTGCACGAGATAGAAGGACGAGGACAAAGATAAGTCGAGATTCGCACTGATGTTGTTTTACTTTTTTCCTACTAGGCGTATTCCAGGGCTTGATTTGAAACGATGGAGATAGATACCCAGTGACGGACCCTCCGTTTTCTAAGATACCACATGTACTGCACACACATGGCCTTTTCCTTTTTTTCATCAACATAGTAATCAACCATATACACATGCATCATACGTCTTGAACAGGAATGATGACCAACAACGGCCCATGAAGCCGTGCTATAAGCTTACTAGCAATGAAACTATACGACACAAATGCCGAAAATATGTTTTTGGTTTGTTACGCCGTATCCCAACGCCGATCCCATGCATTATGCAGCATGCAACGAAGAATACATTTTCATGTCCATGATAGTACCAGTCCCCAGCGGGTTTATATGAACACGACTAGTAAACAGCAAGCCCAGATTAACTGTTTACGCACAAGGAGACACTGAAATCTCCTAAAGTCTACATGGCACAGCCCCAACCCCTCTAAAGATGTTTTCTAAGTCTTTTTTTTTTCGCTCGCTTTTTCCACAAGTAAATGGTACTAAGTGATGCAAGAACCGAAAAAACTCGGTTGTATCCAGAAAAAATAATCAGACACTGGACCACAGGTACTTGGGAAGACAGTACTAGCTGTAGTCGAAAAGCACACTGATGCTCTCGCCGTGGTGGACACGTCGGATGGCCTGTTTGAAACTCGTCAGTCGCTGTCAAAATCCCGGGTCATGGTGGGAGAACCTACTTCAGCAAATACATTGCCAACCTCGAGGACCTCCAACTTGGGGCATCTCGCCTTGTGATCCGTCTGATCTACCGTATTCGTCACAACCACCTTGTCTAGCGCACTAGCATTTATGCGATCGATGGCGTCGCCACTTAGGATTCCATGCGTGATGAGCGCAAACACCTCGGTAGCGCCCTCCTTCTTCAGCAACTTGGCCGCACGTGTGATTGTGTTTGACGTATCCGCCAGATCGTCGACCAGGATCGTTGTCCGGTCCGCAACATCGCCGACCAGCATCATGGTCGCATTTTGCCGGTCTTTGATTTGTGTTGGTCGGCGCTCTTTGTGGATGAGGGCAAAGGGCATGCCGAGCGCGTCAGCGATGGCGGTAGCGCGTTTTGCGCCGCCAGCGTCTGGGGATACAACGACGGCTTGCTGGTAATTGGGGATGTTGAATTGTATGTATTTACGGAGGAGATGGCGACCGTAGAGGTTATCGACGGGGATATCGAAGAAGCCCTGGTATTGAGGGTCTGGCTGTCACATTAGCACAACTGGCTTTGCCTTGTCTTGTAGGAATCCACGCACCATGCAAATCCATTGTGATGACGTGGTCCGCGCCAGCGCAGGTGAGGAGATCCGCAATCAGAGTACCAGCCTGAGCGACCCATTGCCGGTAACCGACCTGGGGCTCAAACGCAGGAGGCTTTGTAGTTGTCTGTCTCACGAGGCCATTTATGCCATTGGAGCCATGCGAACCATTATCTGACTTGTCTGACTTGTTCGAGTCGATCGTCTCAGTGCGCTTAATACCGTTCTGTTTGACGGGGCTAGTAGGATTCGAGGGTCCGCCACTGCGTTCGTCGAGTTTCATGCGACTCAGCTGGTGATGGAGAGCCGCAGTGCCGTTTGGCAGACCCGCGCTCTCCGCCTGTCCGGGGTGCGGCGTCTGCGGGCGCGAGTCGAACGTGTATGTGCCGGTCCTTGAGCGGCCAGGGACTTTTGCGAGAGGAGCGCCAGTCTTGTTGTAGGGGATGTCTGATTGTCGCGAGTAAGGGAAGAGCGGTAGGACGGCGGTGATGCGCTTTGCGGAGGCGGTTCGGCAGGCCGAAATGGCAATGAGAAGTCTGGGAGAGGGTCAGGCACTTGACTCAACTAGACCACGAGGATGGGCGTACTCCATCAAATGGTCGTTGACTGCACGCGACAGGCAAAGTTAGCGCAGTTCTTCGAGGAAGGTAGTATGTGTAGAAAAAGTGAGGGATATGGGGCATTCGTACCTTTACCGCCGCCAGACTGGATGATGAATACATCCTTTCCTCGAACGCTCTCTTCAATCTCGACCCTCGTCTCTCCGCCCTTGAACTTGTCAAGGAGCACCTTTGCAGGCGGTATGCCGAGGTGGTTGCAGATTGTTCTGTGTCCGAGTGAGCGGAAGATATATTTTGGCTATTCACCAGTCGCGCCATACTCTGTGAGCTGCGGATGAGAGTTCCCACCGAGGACGACGATATTGCGGACCATGGCGTCGGTGGTGGGGGTTCCCTTGTTCAATCAAGCTGCAGCGAGCGAGTAGGCAAGCAGCGTCTGGGCAGAAGCTCTGGGGCTTTGCGTGGTAAAACGCGAGGTAGGGAAAAAGAAGAATTAGGCCTAGTCGCCGGTGGGGCGCTGGGGTAGCAGAGTGTCAGGAATTGGGTAGCATGGTGGATAAACGTCTGTGTCGTCGACGGCGAAGTTTTCTACTGCCCCCCCCCCCCCAGGGTTCAGTTCGCTATTCTCGGAAGACTTTCTTTCTCTGCCGACGCCCCAAGCGCAATTTTGTTTTTAAGCTTCCAAGCACGAGATGGTTGCATGCAGTCAGCCTGAGAGAGTCCTATGGAATGCCATATTGCGCGATATTCCTGCAGCCACGCCTTTGCCCTCTGCTGCGAACGAGCTGTTTGCTTGACATTGACACGCAGCCGTCCGTCAGTAATAATGGCGCCATTCTGAATGGCCGCATGGGTCAAAGGAAGCTTGCCGAGATCGGCACACACGTGCAAGCATCTAAAGCACCCTGAGATTGGTCTAGCCGTTGCAGCCTTTTGTTGAAAATAGCTCACCGGCGTTGGAATGTTTGACAGGTTACACACAATATGCGGTTGTGTTCGTATGCGGCGTTGTGCGCCCTTTGCCCGCGAGCCTCATCGCCGCCCGTCGGTTGCCTTGTCCTCAGCCTGCGAAGACATGACTACAACGCCTCAAGCGGCTACCATTCCTCCTATCCGTCACAATGCTTACTATTAGAGATGAGTTCAATCTACCTTGGTCATAGCGTTCATATCATTCTCCCACAAGAGAGGACACAAAGGGTAGGATCAAACTCGCAGCTGAACAACACCGTGACACAGCATGAGACTCACAGAACGATCTCGTAGCACATGAAACAGATCAGCGTGGAGGAGAACTAGAACAGTTTGTACATTCTTGCAAATATGACCTTCTAGTCGGGAGAATCAAACTACGAATTCGACCACCTCATTAGTTAAGCATGTTTATCATTCTCCTACATTACACTTCCAACTCATCTCGTATATGCCGACATCCTTCCTACGAGGTCCATCACAAATACACCGCGAAGCTGACTCACTCTGCTACCCTACGCAGCAATGTCCCTCTACACCGTCTTTCGAGCAGCGCTTAGAATATAACCTCTGCGCCCTTCTTCGTAGCCATCGAGTGTGTTCGCGACCATATACCAGCATCTTAAACTTTCCATCTTATAATTCCCCTATTACTCCCCAGCCCTCATCTAATCCCATCCTCCCAGCGCCCCACACCACTATCTTTCCGCCCACCTCCCCGCTTCCCCCCCTCACCCTCCCCATCCCCAGGCGTAAACAACTCGGCGCTCAACACCAGCACAGCCGGCACAACAGCCAGCGCATCAATCGTCCCGCTCCTGCCCCGCTTGTTCTGATGCTTGAGGTCCATCATCGCATGTACTTCTCTGCTCTTGACAATGTCCTTGCGTATCCGCGGCCACTCCTCCGTCTCTTTACTCCCACTCGCACCTCCTAGCGATGAGACCGATGAGCTTCTTCGTCGGAAGGGCGAGAGAGAAGATAGGGTTCGTGATCGGCCTCGGGACTTTGCTGGTGGAGACGACAATCCTAAGGCTACAGACGAGGACGAGGACGATGCCTCTGAAGGCCTGGAGGGTTTTGCTTGGGGGATGTGTGGAAGAGGGATGTTTATCTCCGTGTACAGTGGCTCTTCGTATCTTGGGTGGAATTCATATTCTGGTGTTGCGAGGACTGGCGCGTCCAAGTCGTGTTGTGGGCTTGTGGGGGCCGAAGGTGGTGGTGACGCCGTGGTGAAGCGTGTAGATGGCATGATGTCTTGCTCCAGTGTATAATACACCCGGGGAAAAAAAATCTTGACTGGGAAGATGGAGGAATCGACGCTGAATTCGTCTCCAGAAAGTCGCGGAATAGTGATGACTTATTTGTTCCTTGCAAGGGCTTACTGCAGCAGTAGCTATAAGGTCGCTACACAGCCCCTTAGGCTCACGCCGCCCAACTTTTGTCCGAGTACTCAAGTAAAGGGCAAAGGTACAGATACAGAAGGACCAGTCTCTCGGTTAAGACACTGTTTTAGCTGATAGGATTGCCCTCAATGAACTCAAAGATCTCGTGTCGCAAAATGAAGCATGCAAGTGTCGCAGACGCGAACGGGTGGAATTGACACCGCGCGACCGCATCCAGCAGTCCATTATGTACTTCCTTTTCAGCTGACCGCCGAGCCCCGTCTCAATCATAACACAAGCCACGTTCACGTTCAAGCTCGCGTTCGCTCAGCCGCGCTGGGCGGTCGGCGCCCGCTTAGCGGTGTCTGACATCAAGAGGATCTGCGACGGTGGGGGCGGTGCAGGGGCGTGTGGATGCTGCAGGTAAGATTAGATGAGTTTATGCCAATTTCACAAACCAGAGGGGTTGGTTTGAGGTTCCGTGGGACTGGGAGAGAACTGGAGATATCAGTACAGGGGGTGGTGGTATGTGACAGAGTGAGAAGAGGAACCGTGGCTCCAGGTGGGTATCGGGCACGCGCAGAGCTACCCTATCCGCTCTAGACTGATAATTGGCCGGCCCAGTCGCTATAGTCATGCATACAAGCAAACTACAACACACATTAAAAATGATGTACTGAACAGAATGAACAATCATAATGTATGCTACGTTAACCTATGTCGTATCTCCATGCAATGCCAACCTATCATCGCTCTAACGCAACAGCAAAATCCAAATCGTACAATAGATCGTCCCACATCGTCCTCGTTGAAGCGCAAGCTACCGCCTCGATATAAAAACCGTCGTCCCATAATTATGTACGTGCTCGGGAGTGGTGAGAAGCGGCATCGCTCATGAACGAGGCTTTTGTATGTCTCGCGCGACTTTCATGTGCCCCCCATAGGGGGCACATGCAGAAAAATCAGATAGCCTCCTTTTTGTGCAGCAAAGCGAAGCGAAATTTTGCCTCAACTTCAAGACGGCGACCCCATAGCCAACAACTCACCAGCGCTCTTCCGTCTTTTAATCTCTCGCTTGCTCATAGCTTTTGGTGACTCCCCAGTAAACCAACCATGTAGTCAGAACTCTTCATCTCTTTTCTCCTCCTTCCCTCTTTCGTCCTTATCCCTCTCCCGGTCCCTGATAGCCCCTCTATCCCTTTCCTTGTCCCTGAAAGAACCTTTCTCCCTCTCCTTATCCCTGAAGCTCTTGCCTCTCCCATTGTCGCCATATACACCCAAAGCACTTGTACCACGTCCTTCTCGATCCGCGCTTTTGTCCCTGTCCTTATCTTTGTCCCTATCCTTGTCCTTGCCCTTCTCTTTGTCCCTATCCTTATCCTTATCCTTATCCTTATCCTTGCTCTTGTCTTTCTCCTTATCTTTACGTTTCCGCTGGAAAGGCAGCACGCCCCTAAATCGTTCTCTGCGATCTTTATCCTTTCCTTCTTTGGAAGAGAATGCCGGAAGGGCCGTTGTGTATTCTTCCTGTGTACTGCCGTTCTCAGAGCCTTCCATACTCTGCCCTCCTGCACTTCGGGGTGGTCGCTCAAGGGAAGTGGTAGATAAATGGGCGACGTTGGACATGTTGATGTGGACATTTGGATTGCTGTAGTTGAAAGAGCCTGTGGAAACGCATGTTTGGGTCAACGTCGGCGGATACGCAGGAACAGGAGCCATATGTAAACCATCGCTGGATCCCGGTGGTGTATCCTCAGTTGCGGAGGCAGAAGCACTGGCAGAAGCAGAAGCGGACTGTGAGGCGGACACGGAGTCATTTCCGGATGGTGCATAGCGACCCGACAAAGCCTTGGAGGCGAAAGGGTTCGTATATGTAATAGTGGTAGAGCTATTACTCTTGAGAGAACTGGCAGACGCTGAGATGCTGGAAGTATGCTGGTGCCTTGTCTTGGGTGGTGGCTTCATGGTGATGGGAGTGCTTGTTGAAGACGACGAGTAATCTTCCCCATTCCCAGGGGATGTTGGTGACTCTTCCTCTTTGATCGGACCTCGATAGTTCCTGGTTGCTGCTCCTCGTCCCGATTCAATGAAGCTTGTTCCCTGCAACTGCTCCACCAGCTCCTCCCATTTGACGCTCAAGGATGAGGAGGGGCGCTCTGCGGGCTCCGCTCGGTTCAAGCAGTCCTTTGTGCGCTCGTTGAGCGACACGCAAATGTTATGGAACCGCAAAAGATCGCCGTCGCCCGCTTGTATGTCCTGTGCACTTTTCTGGGTGTTTTCTAGCCATAGGTTGACCAACATGGCAAAGTTGCGTGAGTGGTCAATTAGGTACGGAAGCGAAGGAAAGCCTTCTTTAAATGTAGGAGGAAGTCGGTGAAGGATAGCAATTGGCGTGCTGTACGATGGTGGGATCGGAGGTGCGGGTGACGATGTAGTCGAGATTGAACAAATGTCATCAAGGTACTTCTTGAACTCCAGGCGATGTGACGTGAGGAAGGCATTCATCGGTTCCATCCAGGCCTCTTTCGTGCCGAACGAAGTCATGTTGGCTAAACCTTGCAAGGACTTGGCGATGAGGGTAAAGGTTCTTCGAGCTTTTGTCTTGGGATGGTCTACATCTTACTGTCAGTAATTGAACGATTTACAGATTCCAGGAGCTGTCTGTCACGTACCATTGAGCAAGCCAAAGAGTTTTGGGTTGAGGATTGCCGGAACAAAAAATCGCAAGAACAAGAACCCAGAGACACTGCTATACTGCACCGTCCTGAGAAAGTCGCCATATCGATCGTCAGCGCATGCCCGGATGTGCCTGAAGATCAACCTAAGCTCTTGGGGACATCGCGATACCGAATTATAAACAGCCCGCCAGACCTCTTCAGTGCAGTTAATCAATCGCCGCCAATTCCGGTCCAGTTCATGTTGGGAAGTAACTTTGTTCGGGTCCACTTCGCATTCGGGATCCTTTTCGTTGATCTCCCTTAGCTTATCGCTCAGTGTCTCTTCCAGATACTCCTTGCCTAGTCGCTTCATGTGAAGATCCAATGATTTTGTCAATAGAGTATTACCGCGGAAAAGGAGGTTGGCCTCTAGTTTTGCATTATTGCCCATGTCTCGAACGAAGAGCTCTCGATCGCTTGCTGAGCCGAAGGTGCCAATTGTAGACTCATTCGACTCGCTCGATCCTAGTCTCTTGCTGAATCGAAGTCGGCTTGCTGGTGACTCCTTCAACGTCCCGTCGATTTCCTCCTCGACCAAGGCACAGATCCACTCTCCGGCCGCCCCCGACACTTGGAAGATATTCAGAAAGTACTCTGACAGCTTCTTCAGTTCGTTCGGGATCATCTGCGCGATCTGTAATGTTAGGCTGTTTGAGAAGCGATGGAGGAGCTCTGACAACGGATAATAATCACGAGCCATGAGTATCGCGCACTCCTCGCTGCTGACTCGAATGAGAGCCTCGCCAATATTATTACCATACATATTGACAAGTGGCCACCACTTCTCCATCTCTTGATTCGGACCTAGGTCGTCGAGATAAATGTCGGTCTTCCCTACCATTTGATCAAATGATATGCCGGCATAGCCACCCTCTGCTCCATATGGATCGGAGCTCAAAGCAGTCTCAGACGCGTTCTTATCGTTTCTAGAGTAACTTGGCGGTCGCCTTTTCAGGAATATCGAAGCTGTGTGAAGTGCGGGAAGGTCCAAGAATTCGAATTCTTCTCTCCAGAACGGATTGGTGCCCTCGTTTTTCACCGTAGTCCGGGCACGTGTCTCTCCATCCAGTAATACTTCTACAAGGTATCCCCCTGGGTTTGTTGTGGCGGATGACGATGGCCTGATGGGCGTCGTATTTTCAGAGACTTTCGGGCTGACAGGTGGAAGCAGTCTTGCCTCGATGACTCTGATAAAAAGGGACTTCTCCATGCGAAACATGTCTTGCGTCCCAAACGACGGTGACAACGTGCCCTCCTCGTTCAAAGCATCACTAGACTTTGGCCCATAAAGTTGTGGAACAGTAAAGGCGCGCAGCAGGACGATCCAGACTTCATACAAAACTCGTGAATCTAGGGATAGAAAGATGGGCCGTAACATTGACAAAGCCGAAGACGAGGCGGTATACTGGGGATATATGGCAATACAGAACTCGTTATCCAAAACAGAAGGGTCTAGTCGCTGAACGGCGCATCGCGAAAGCTGGGAAAGCTGGACAGTGGAAACTAGGGTGACATCAGTGTCAGCATAGAGCTTGAGCTCTCCGTTCTCGCGAAGCGTGCAAGAGACTCTTCTCCACCGGCGAGAACCATGACTCTGAATTCGGTATGCATGAGGTCGGGAACCGGAACCTGTAGCCTTGGGCGTCCCTGTGTTGCTGCTGTACGTCACGCCAGTGTCCCAGTATATCATCTTCCCGACTTTGATGATGGGTGCTTCTTTTTTCGGTGTTTCTTTAAGTAGCGACACTTCCGAGTGCCGCCTGCTGTCGGCCAACCGCCGCTCCATCATCACCGGAGCCTGCGGTTTTGCCATTCTGTTCTGGATGCCCTTGGGTCGTATGGGGGACCAACACAGCAGCGCAGCAAACCAGGAGTCGAACTCTTCTTGTGTGGGCGGTCGCAGATGCACCTCGAGCTTTGAGTTGTGTACCACGACATGGATGTACGCCGTGTATGCTTCACCGTCATATGCGCTCTTGACATGGCAACCTCGCAGGTCTGGTATCAGCGTCCGGGTATAGGAGGTGTCGTTCTTCGGCTCGTATACCAGACTGCCCAATTCCTCGTTGATGTAGCAGTAGGATAGCGCCCACGGATTCGACTCGCCCCGCCGGAATGCCAACAAGCCCTGCATCTTCCCACAGGTAGCGCGCATGAGCGCCTTCAGCTTCCTGAGGTCTGAGGCCGGCACAGGCGAGACCCAAGACTCTGGCTGGGCATTGGAGGCCGAGGTAGCGGGCGAGGCGGTGCGTGGGGGCTGTTTGATGAGGCGGCTGCGGCTGCTGGCGCTCGATGTCCGTGGCGGAGGCTGCTGCGACTGAGGCGATATGGTAGAGATATGGCCTATGGACGTCACGACGGACTCCTCGAGGCTCTGAAACGTGGACGTCGAGCTGGCGACGGAGCCAATGCGATGACGACCCGTCACAAACAGGGACGACGGCGACCTATCCCTTGTACTCCTCTCCTCCAAAGTCCTGGTACGCGGTCTTGTTTGCTCGCGCGCATTCCTGTAGTCTGTCTCGCTCGAAGCGCGGGCCACAAAGGCACGAGGGTTTCCGCTGCGTACTGGCTGACTGTTGTGCGAGCGGGGGCTATTCGGCGGTGACAAGTTTGGGCTGGCAATGCTGTCCTCAGGTATTGACTCTGGCTCGGGGGTGACGGTCCTGATGGTCGCGGGCAGGTTGCGATCGTCTCGTCGCCGGTCGGGCCCATACGCCGTGGCCTCGGACGCGCTCATCTCCCTCCTATTGCGTCTCGTCTGGTCCATACTCTACGAGTAGGGGCGGCGACCGTAGTTTGCCGTATCCGCCCGTGTTTGCTTTGTGCGGTCATTGACGAGCAGCGGATGTTCTAGTTGTGCCAGCAGGTACCCGCCGCTACGGGAGAGTCTGAGAAGACGACGGATGGCGCTGTGAGACAGTGGTCCAGTGCGTTGTGGCGCATCGCATGCCTTGGTTGCGCGGGCTAGACGGACAGTAGTACCTGAGGTTTGGAGGTGGCCCTACGGGACCCTAGCGAGAAGCGTTGCGGGCCTAACTAACACTGGCTGGGCGGGGTGGTTATCAATCGCGTAAATTAAACCGCGGCGGAGCTTTCGTCGTTTGCTGTCTTTAGCTAGACTTTTGCTTTGCGGCCTGGGAGAGATAAGGGAGAGAGCATGAGTGTGAGCATGCATACGAAGAAGATTCACGCTGCTGAGAGCCGCTTGGGCCACTGTACGATGCTTGTGCCTGACTGTTCATCTATCCTGCAGGTGCAGTGAGCCTGCCACCCTGCCAGCTGAGCTTCTCCCACACCCTCTCGCTGATGGAGGAAAGTTGGGCCGAAGACCAGGGCGTCCTAGCGAGACGGAGGGGAGAAAGAAAGACGGCAGCTTGCAAGCGATGGGCAGCCTGGCCTGTTGGGCCTTTGCCACGCCCATGTACGATCGCTACTCGCTGCAAGGGGCGGGACGGTGGATGAGCTGCAGGTGCTTGTACGAAGCTAGCATTGCTGACGGAAGGAAAAGGACCATCATCACGTTGGCATAGATCCATGCAGCATCCAATACGACTGTTGAATTCCTTCTTGCAATAATAATGAACATACGCAAATGACTCTGGCCAATGGCTAGCCTAGACGGAAATAGGGACGGTGAATACAGTGCTGTAGTAAAAAGCCATCAGCAAGTGACCAAATCGCTTGCCATTCATTTCGCCCAATCTTGGCCTCAGGCTGCATCTCCACCAGCTAGAGAGAAACGTCGTCAGCCGCCCCATAAATCGAAACAAACTCCAAGCCAACCCCCCTCGAAAAAGTTTCCCAAATGGATATCAAGTCGACCAATAAACAGACGAAACCAACAAAGGACCATATATCCATGTATTCACGCTCACCGCATACAACAATCGACAAGTCCCTGTCCGACTCCACATCAAACGTGCCTTTACTTGAATGGAGGCTTGTCAGCTGCGTTGTCTTCCAGACTGACAGCGCTCAAGGGTTGAGATCGGAAGCCACTCAAGTCGCCAGAATGCGTTTTCCGCAGCGCCTGTCGCATGGTCTCGATCTGAAGAGGCGGCTCTCCGCCTAACGGAGGGCTGTGCGTGCCAACAGCTGTAGGAGAAGTAGGGCTACCAGGAGATCGCGTGCTTCCGTGATCTGCCACCTTTGGAGACGCAGCTCCACTCAGGGGTGGGGATGCGCTCAATCCGTGCGAGGATGCAGGAGATGTCACGGGAGAGGGCGATCGATTGGCCTTTGCCGAGAGACTTGTGAATTGCAACGCGTCGTTGGAGCCCAACATCTCCTGTCTGTCCTGCTCGACGTGTTCTGCCTGCACCACGTCTGCGAATGAAATGAAGCTCAAACGGCGCGGATCAGACATGTCCAGTGAGCCGTAGCCTGACGCTGATTCGGTCATGTCAGCATGCCCGGAAGCCGAAGTGTCTTCATGCCGGAGAGACGGCGAGTACACCGACGAATCAGCCATGCTTCCAGCGACAGCTGCAGAGGCAGGCTGATGTGCCGAGTGCATTACAATCTCCACCTCATCGGGGTTCAGGTGGTTGTCTGTAATCGCCAACGAAGAGGCGTCCAACGCAGGTGGTATGTAGTCTTCAGTTTTGATATGTGCTGGAACATCTGCCGATGGCTCGGGCTCTTGTACGTTGCGCTCAAAGATCGAGGACGAAGACGGTGAATGGAGGCCGGGCGAAGAGGAGCGATTGATGCGGCGATTGGGAGATGCGCCCACTGGTAACATTCGAGGGCTGCCCCGAGGTGACGCTCTTCGGTCCGTCGGTGACATGGTGAGGGGCGGCGAGGGTAACAGCGTTGGCGCAGAGGTTGGAGACATGGTGCGTCCAGTCGCTTCTGCCTTTTCAACATGTTGGTCTTTAGCACCTCCCTGCTTCTTGCCGAGGCCAAGAATCTTCTTTCCCTTGGCCAGTATACCTTCGTCTGCGGCCGGCTCGCTATTGCGGATAAGGGGCGCGGCGGCTGCGGGCGGGTTGACTTGCGGAGAGATTGTTGTGCTATCCATGGCGCTCATGGTTCCACTATGCGATGATGGGCGGTCGAAGTAGACAGATACAACTAGCGCTATAAGCACAACTCGTTCCTAGTTTATATCGTCGTGTAGTAAGGAGTCGTCGCGGTGGTTGTGGGTTCGAGGCGTCGCGTTTCAACCAAGTTGCGTAGGTGGTGGGATGGACCCTGGAAAGGAACCAAGAGCTGACTTGAAGCTTCGTTTGCGGACACAGGGACCAAAGCTCGCAATGAACGGTATATCTGCGCAACAGTACTCACAGACTGTTTTCGACAGATCTCTAGTCAAGCTGGGACTGAGAAAGCAAGATATTGGGCTTCATCGGCCTGCCCTTGGCGGTTAATCGTATCACGTGTACCCCTGCCACCGGTGACGTATCTCCCCACTGGTTGATGAAGCGTTTTAGCTCTCAGGCACAACCTGTCAAGAGTCTTCTAGCCAATCTTGCTATTTCTATCCACCAATGACGCATCTCTATTACCTGTCTCTGTACTTGACGAGCGCAGACTGAGATCCCACAAACGTTTCAAGCCATCTAGGGTAATAAGGCATGAATAACGTTTTTAGACGCGCGGCCAAACAGTCAATGCGTTTTGCCATTGCTGCCTCGCGAATGCAGCAGACATTACAATTGACCCCGACACCGTACGAACACCCCATTATCACACGCGCTAAAGGTATCGAGGTCCTCTTCTTATGCAGATATCTTCAGATGATGAAGATGAGCTCAGACCAGGGCAACGCATCGCAGCTTTTTGCATCTACCACGTAGAATTGAGCCGTGGCAATCCGAGTCAGCCTCCTGGACTTACCCCCGCACAGTGCTCCTATGTGCATAGCATACTAGTAGGTTGATGGAGAGGAAACAAGGAATGGGGTAGTGAGTGCTTGGAGGCGTAATAGCTCGAACGTGACCTCTTCGCGAGACAAAACACAGCAAGACTCGATATTTTGCCGGTGGAACGCGATAGGCTCTGTTTCAACCTTCGACATCTGACCTGCGTGCCTTCGCCGGCTGCGGCGAATCATTCAGAGACTAGGGTTGTCGTTTGAACCACCGCCTTTCTGTCTTCTTCAAGCCCTCTCCTAGGTCTCAGGGGAGCTTCATGCTCGCCCAGTCAGAAACGATAGACTGTTCACACCAACAACGAGCTAGTGCCGGTAAAACACATCTCACATCAACACGAGGTAGACGGGCCCCACCGAGTTTTAAGCACGGATGGACAAGCCATCCTGCTGTTCACTGATGAACTTGGATTAGTGTGGGCTGGCACTCTTGGACCTCCAGGCGTACAAACTTCATTTCAGTAAGCTTGAAGACCTCGCTCCGGATCCATCGAAGTGTATTGGCATCCAGGTTATCAAGGCCATAATATTATTACATACATGTGCTGACATGGAGGAGCAGTATGGCCTGGATGTTGAGCTTTCCAAGGAATGCAGTATCGTGCCCACATCACTACCATCTAGCAGTAATGTGTCCCATCGATGGGTTGCGCTTCGACCGGATAACCTGGAGGCAATCTTCATAAACAGTAGTAGCGCATGCGATCAGTACTGGCGGCAGGGCGATCAAATTCTGATAGAAACAGCACCTGGCCATGCGACGACTCTATCATTATTGTTGAGGTCTGTGCCTCGAACTCCTCTTTTCTCATGGACGTCAGCAGGCAAACGTGGGGGTGGAATGACTTACATCCTGGTAATGCCACGCGAGAATGGCAGATCAGCCGTTCCCCAGATGCTGATATACGTCGACCTTGCACTTGTATATCGAGTTTACTACCTCAATACTGTTCTACTAAAGATATTCCTTCAACATGGGTGCCGTCAAGATGTGTATGTAACGTCGGCGTACGGACTGCATGGGGCACATTACTGACTTGGTAATTCAACTTTTAGTCACCCCGTACGATTTACGCCCAACTATCGAGATTACGGCATTTGTACTCACAGGTGTATCTACAATGGTAGTCGCGGTCAGGTCAGTCTCTGCCTATTCCTTCATGTATCCACTGCTAATGGCTCTAGATGCTATTGCCGGGTGTGGATTGTTGGACGACTCAAGCTTTATGACTACATCATGCTTGTGGCACTGGTATGTTTGGATGCTGAATTTACTACATAATTCACAACTGAATTACAAACTGCTGTGAAATTTCCACTTACTCGTGCAGCTCTGTACGTGGGGACTATGTGCCTGTAATCATTACCAGCTCATGTTTGGTTCCGGAGCTCAAAGTGGGCCAAAGGGCATGCCAAAGGTGAGTCAACGTCTCGATTTGAGTGCCCCAAGCTTTCGTTAACCTTATGAGAAGAACCTACTTTTCGGCTCAGCTGTCAGTTGGTACGTCTACCATATCGGTTACTCGGCGGTTATGGGGATGATCAAGCTTTCAATCCTGGTCTTCTACCTCAGCTTCGCCACCCACCGGATGTTTCGTATCCTCGTACACATTTCGATTACCTTTGTCGCCGCTGTGAGCACTTTGATGATATTCATACTGGCTTTTCAGTGTCCTAAGAAGCCATCGTACGCCTTTTCTCCTGCAATACTCAAGGACCGAGGAGCTGGTCATTGCTTTGACTTACGGATCGTGTTTTACTGGCAAGCAGGCTTTAGCATCGGATCGGATCTGGTGATATTAGTTCTGCCGATGCCGCTTCTTGTTTCGCTACGTATGAATACGATGAAGCGAATCTCTCTCATGGCGGTCTTCTCAATCGGCCTACTGGTGCCGATAGCGTCGGGTGTACGGTTGTGGGGTCTGATCCTTTGGGCGAACAGTGGAAAATTGGCAAGATATTACGGCGGATACCTCATTTTCTGGTCGCAGGTTGAGATCAATACCGCGATCATATGCGCTTCCGCACCGTCGCTCCAGCCGCTGGTCACACGCGTCTTCGACAAACTAGCTCGATTTCAAAGTCCACGAGGGGCATACTATTACTACGGCGACGGTTCCAATTCGATATCAGAACCATCTGTTGCAGAGATGATTCGGAGTTTACCTCGTGACAGCATTAGTCTTCTGGAACCCCCGGATCGAGTGTATTACCCATCAAAAACACAAGTACAAGAAGAGTTCCAGACACAGGTTGTCATTGTAAAGCGTTCCCTAGAAGAGGAGGATATCCGCAGTCGAGTGCGCGCATTCTCAAACCAATCGCCGGTACATTCGCACTCCACGCCACCCTCTTCTGCATTTTCGACACCCTCGTCATCGACGGGGCCCAGCAATATGCTTAGAAGCGGCTGGATATGAAGAGCGCTTTCCAAATTTCCAAAGCATTGGATAATTCACCGAAATTCTTTTATCCGACCATGGTTTCTCATACTTCCGTATTCAGATCGCGCTGAATAGTCCCAAGGACTGCAGAAAGTCACCCTACGGGTGCAAGAAAAGCCATCTTGGAACAGTCCGGTCCTGCTCTCTGGTTGCAATGATTCAGTCATGAGACCCTACACTAGACGATACACTCGGAAGCAGACCCGGATTCTAGGCAACTATTATGCCGCACAGCCTCCCTCCGAGGAACTCGAGCTGCGGTCCTTCCACCTGCCCTTAAATATCAGCCACTCAGCGTGACCCCGCCTATCTGACAGTTCTATGCGCATGGGCCTCGCTTAGCCAAGGAGCCACCAACACCTCGCACTTATAGGCTACTGAGTCTGGGATGAGATAAGCCGCCTCACGGCACCGAATACTGTGTAACGAAGGCTGTGTAAAGGCTCTTGATAGCGTGCAATGATAGGGACACACATCCCTTTTGGTAAATGGTGGTGAGCTGAGGGGCGATGCATGAGGGGTCGAGAGCTGTAGGAACGTCAGCGAGCTGAATGGTGCAAATGAACAGAGTGAGATTGATGTATGATCATATTGAAAGACAGATATAGTCTTGTTCTTCCATGTAACTGGATGATCTACCCTACTGGCCGCAACCTGCACTCACCAAGTCTTGGCTCATCAACACCATCATCTTTTCATTGCTGATATTTGTTGAGCAAAAGGTTGTTGTAGGCGAAGATCTCCAAGCTATCATTTTCTCCCCCCCCCCTTCTTTTCTCCGTACAGTGGTCCCTATACCCTACTCGATAGTACACAAGCAACCTTTTACCACATCGCCATTCGCGATATAGGAAACTGGCCGACATGTCTCCCTCTGCCAAGTCAGGAGCCGAGTCATATGCATATATACCAGGCTTACCCCAACGTGCCCTCATCTTCATCTACAAAGGCATCAACAAATTTGTACCATGGCACAGACTTCCGACATACATCAGCGTCTTGAATCTTAGCGCCTTCCGGTATGAACTGCGAAACCAAAATCTGCACGATGTCTACCCTACACCAGAGGCTCAAGGCACACCAGGGTGTCCTCATATGACTGATGATCAGTACTTACATACGCGGCATTCAGATGGATTATATAACGACCTCTCAGCACCGAAGATGGGTTGTGCAGGAATGCGTTTCGGCCGCAATGTACCGCGAGAGTACACCACTAAGCCAAGCGATGAAGATGTCATGACCCCCAATCCTAGACTAATTAGTCAAGAGTTGTTGAAGAGGGATACGTTCAAACCAGCTACAATTCTGAACTTGCTTGCGGCAGCGTGGATTCAATTTCAAGTTCATGATTGGTTCGCGCACGAGAACTCTACGACAGAGAAGTATGGTATTCCACTACCTGATGGCGATCAGTGGAATGCGCCAGATGGGAAAATGGAAGTGGAGAAGACGCAGGCTGATGAGCCGCTCGATGAGACCGATAAAGCTGCCCCAGCATACAAGAATCAGAATACCCACTGGTGGGATGGCAGCCAGATCTACGGAAGCTCCGAAGCGCGCACCAGAGAGTTACGTGGACAGGCAAAGAATGGAAAGCTAGAAGTCGACGAGCAGAAGTTGGTCACCTTCTTACCTCGCGACGCGAACGGAATACCTCAAACTGGGTTCTCCACTAACTGGTGGCTGGGGCTTGAGATGCTGCATACGCTTTTCGTTCTAGAGCACAACGCTATATGCGACGAATTGGTGAAGGACTACCCCGACTGGGCGTCAGAAAAGGTGTTCGATACCGCGAGACTGGTCACCTGCGCGCTGATGGCGAAGATACATACCGTGGAATGGACGCCCGCCATCCTAGCACATCCGGCGCTTAAAATCTCCATGGAGGCCAACTGGTGGGGTGTCTTGGGCGAGAGATTGTATAAGCTGCTTGGCCGCGTATCCAGGACTTCAGAAGCCATCTCCGGCATCCCGGGCTCGGGCGCAGAACACCATGCCGCACCATACGCACTCACCGAGGAGTTTGTCAGCGTATATCGCATGCATCCGCTCATCCCAGATACCGTTGCCTTCTTTGACGCGAAGACCGGCTCTCATAAGTCAACTTACCCAATCCAAGATATCGCCTTCAAGGATGCGAGGAAGCCATTGACGCAAGAGGGCATGGGATTTGACGATGTCCTTTACAGCTTCGGCATCAACTACCCTGGTGCCGTAACACTGAACAATACCCCTGACTTCCTTCGTGACTTGCACACGCCCGATGGTCGACACATCGATCTGGGGACGATTGATATACTGCGCGACCGTGAGCGCGGTGTGCCTCGCTACAACCAGTTCCGCCGGCTCTTCCACATGCCTGCTGTTACTTCCTTCCTCGCTTTAACCGGAAATAATCCAGGACTCGCCAGCAAGCTCGAGAAGTTATACGAAGGTGACTTGGAGAAGGTTGACCTACTGGTAGGTTGCTTGTGCGAACCCCTGCCCAAAGGCTTTGGTTTCAGCGACACAGCGTTCCGCGTGTTCATCCTTATGGCTAGTCGACGTTTGAAGAGCGACAGATTCATCGCAGGTGATTGGAATGAAGAGACGTATAGTAAAGTGGGGATGCGGTGGGTGCAGAACAATGGAATGAAAGATGTGCTAGGAAGGCACTTCCCTGCGTTGAAGGGTGTTCTAGAGAAGAGCGGTAATCGTAAGTTTCGGTTCAACGTATGAGAGAGAAAGTAGGCTAATGATTGACAGCGTTTGCGCCCTGGACAAAGATTGAGAAGAGTAAAGAGTACAAGGGACAGGAGACGAATGCTTAATAGAGGTATCGTTTAGCATCTGGGCAGGAAGTTACTGTCTGAGTACCACAAGAGCCTATCAATGGTGTGTTGACGCATATGAGCTTGCTGTACATTTATTAAAACGCCCCTCGGCGTTTTCTACCTTAATAGTTTCTCAAAGTTCTCAAAGTCTCCTCAACGTACGCGTTCAATTTCTTCCGCCTAGGGTAGTCTACTTTCAACTATGGTTTCCTAACCAGCCTATCTTAATAAAAATAACGCTAGCTTTAGTTACCTAATCTCTGCTCTTGCATCTAACTAAATACTAATTTTAAATTTTTTTTATTTTTTTAAAGTAATTTAATTTTTTACTTAAACTTCTACTATTGCTTTAGCGCTTATAGCTTATATAGCTTATATAATTATACTTTTAGCGTTTTCTTAAAATCTTTAAAAAAGTTTATATAATTATAATTTTTTATAATTTTAGTTTTAGTAATTAGTTTTTAAAGTAGCTAGTAAAAAGCAGCTATTTTAGCTACTTTAATAAGCTTAATACTTAGTATAGCTTCTATTATTAATAAATAAATATAAAAAAATAAAAGCTTTTTACTTATTGTATAATTTTAATAGAAAAAAGCAAGCTGTACTAAAGCTATATTTTTTTTTATTTTTTTAAGCTACTAAGCTTTTTTTATAATAAAATTATTAAAAAAAAGCTTTTAAAGTTTTAGCTAAAATAAATTTAAAAAATTAATATTAAAGTAAATAAAAAAAAAAGAATTTGTTTTGCTATTATATATTAAAAGTATAATAAACAAAAGCTAAAAACTATAAAGTAGAAAAACTTTATATAAGCTTAAAAAGCAAGTAACTTTTTATACAACTAAATTTTATATTAAACTTATTAGTAGTTATAAAAAATAAAAAATTAATATTTAGTACTATAAAAGAATAATAATAAAATTTAAAACTATAATTAGCAACTATTTTAACTTATTTTAAAAAAATTAATATAATTATAAATATTTTTATATTTAAAGTACTTTTACAAAACTAGTAATAGCTTAACTAGGGCGTAGGCGCTTTGAAAATCTTCTACCTTAATAGTGCTTTCGCCTGCGGCAGATTTGTTAAGAAGTGTATTGCAACAATTTATAGGATTTTTCGAATTCGATACTGAAAGAGATCTTATAACTATCTCTCAGATGTGTTCTCCCCGAAAGTATAGAAGTCATAGTGGAGCGATTGTCAGATGCAAGATCTGCCGGCTAGATCGTTTCGGGAATCCTGATGCATGTAGATGTCACGAATACGGCTTAGCGCCGAAACACCTCCAGCTAGATCTAACACCTATGTAGCAGCATTGCCCTCTGATTCTCAATCGTCACGCGTTCTTAAGACTACCTCCATGTGGACTGCGGTGCAAGGCCGTAACGGCCTTTTCTCATTCATTATCTCTGGCGTTATCCCGTTGATTCCCTGTTTTGTTGGTAATGGGTGGCGAATATGGCCATTGCTTGCGATCTGGACCACTGGGTGTGGCGTTCGGCTGTACCATGCAGATCGCCAGGTCGTGACAGATTGCTTCATATTCGGAACTGTCGCTTCATGGCTGGCGAGAGAAGATATATTTGAGTTTACAATCAAGAGATGGAATGAGTTAGGTGTGGCTGCGAGCCCGTCGACGCTGTTTCTCGCTTCTAGCGTCACGGTCGTGCTTGCCTTGGCTACCCTTCCGTGGCGCGCAATTGGCAACACCAAGAATACACCAGAAGAGCTGTCTCCGAATGCTCGCAAGTGGGTGTTGGATTTTCCGAAGCCAAGGATTTTTCCATGCCAAACAACGCATGCCCGCATGTTCCCAAAGAGACACGCCTTCAAATATTCGTACCTCCAATGTGGCTTCCCTATCGTTCCAACTTCGACTACAGCGGACGGAACTGATGTTTCTGATGGGAGAGACCAAGAACTGGGTAGCTGGTGGTTACGAGTTAGAGCTAATGACTACTTGGAGCGAGGCAATGGAGCGCTCGGTTTTTATGGAAAGTTGAAGTTGTACTTGAGAGAGCAGGTACGTACAATCCATTGCTAATCCTGTTCCGATATGATGCACATGGTCTGATAGAGCGTAGCAGGTCAAGGATTCAGACTGGTCGTATGCCTACCTCATCACTGCACCACGCTTTCTCGGCTATTCCTTCAATCCGGTCTCCTTCTGGTACATCTACGATCGCGAAAGCCAGCTTACGAAGATGGTCCTCGAGGTGAACAACACGTTCGGCGAACGACGAATGTATTTATTGGATGGATCTAGTCCACCTAGCCCGCCCCGAACATCTGGATCCCAGAGTTTCCCTGTGTCGGAACAATCTGAATCGGAGCTACCGGACGTGGTGAAGGCGCGCTTCACCGATGTTTGGACGAAAGACTTCCACGTCTCTCCATTTAACTCTAGGAAGGGGTCATATGCTCTGAAAGCGCTGGACCCGTTTCCTTACGTTTCCTACGATGCCCCGATCATTGATAACACAGTTACTTTAAAATCTTCCAAGGACCACGCAAAGCTTGTTGCCCGCTTATACTCTACCGGCCAAGCTTTGGATCCAAGTCAACTGGGCTTTCTTGGAACTGTTCGACTTGTCTCAAGCTGGTGGTGGGTTGGCTTCGTAACTTTCCCACGTATCTTGAGGGAAGCTACGAAGCTCTTCTTCAGTAGGAAGTTGCATGTGTGGCTCCGTCCTGAGGTATTGACTTCGAGTGTCGGTCGCTTTCCTACCGCGTCAGAAATGTAAGTTTATAATGTGCGTTCACCAGGTTTGTACGCAACTAATCTTTGTAGCACGTTACATGGGGTCTTCAAAGATTACCTAATCCATCTTGTGCACGGAATTGAAGACCCATTCTGCATCACGATGAAAGGCGCGATTCCCGACATCCCAACAGAGACGGTCATGACGAGACTTGAAGGCGGCCACGATCGAGCCATGACGAATATCGAGATTCGTGTATTGACACCTGCTTTCTACTCGCGCCTTGTTCATTACTCTTTCACTTCCGAAGCCTTCGATCGCGAGTGTGTCTTCACCGACGAGCGTAACCGGACTCTGTGGGTGTGCCGACCACAATTGCTAGCAGCGCTCCTTTTAGAAAAGACGACTTTACAAAGACAGGGCAAAGGCTTGCCCGTGGTGAACAGGAGTTACCTCGATGAGCTTAGATGGGCAGTCATGAGGAAGCTAAGATGTCCTCCCGCCGACCCTGTATACTCAGTGACCCCAAGAAACTCGGCATTCAACGTTGACGACATCCGCTCTCGACCGTACTCTGAACTGGATAACTTTGTGCGGTCTTCCAAGGGTCGCTTGTACGCGGGCGAGTATAGAAGAGTAGTCACAAAGCTCTTTCTGGCGCAGCGCTTCTGCCTAGGATTCCCAGAAGTTGCCACATTGGTGGACTTGTTCTTAAGAGTGTTGCTGTGCTACCTCGCTGTTCTGCAGCTCAGAATCTGGGGTGGAGGAAATGAAAGTACGGGACAATTGGAGGTCCTGGAGAAAGCGATGAACCGGGAGAGTTGGTTGGCCTACTTTGGTTGGCCAGCCTCATGGAGCGCTGTCGTGTTGTTTGCATGCCATGCGTACGGATTATCGAAAGGCTACAAGTAGACCCCTAATCAAAATATGATACACTGTAGATGTATTATCCCGTACTGCAAGCCAGTCTCGGTGGTGCACGGCACCTCTTGTTCGTAAATACCGTCTGGTTGCTTGTTGGATCTGCCGAGTTCGCCGCTGAGGTCATTGATAACCCCGAAACATTTATACGACAATTCTCACGTGCTCGAAAATCAAATATGGTGGCTATTACAAAAGGCTCACCTGTTCCAGACAGGTGCAGGTGCCGATCAGCGGTCGCTCTAGCCTTGTCCGGTTTGACTTGGGCCGAGGTTAAGTCGCGGACGCTAAGTCGGAAATCTGGGGCTCACCGGCATGCATCTTCACATGCATAGGGAACACAAGCACGCGTCAACGTCGACATGTGAAGCTGCACGCGGTCGCGTGCCATGGTAACACTGCCTCCAACTCAAGCAGTAGATCACAGTGTGAGATGTTCGTTGAGGATAATGCAGGCAGAGTCAAAAGGAGAAACTAAGCAATTGGCCAACGTCATTTCTGTCACAGTTCCGCTGGTCCCCTCACCCATCGGATCTGCAGTCACGTTTGCAAAACGTCAGTTCCCTTTGGGCCGAGGGTAGCTGGAACAACGGTCTAGCTGAGCATTCCGCGAATAGGCCGCTACAGCTTCCTGCCAGCTTCCTCGGGTGCTGCTGTCGGTCCAATGGTGCGCTCAGCCGGCTCATCCCGAGTTTTATGACTGGAACGTGAAAGCTGGGGGTTGCAAGCTAGCTAACCTTGAATATGAAGCTATACTTAAGACTAAGTTTCCCTGGTCAAGCTCGTGAAACTGGTTACTAAGTTCCGAGGCTGCTTCGTTGACATCGTCGCTTATCATTCATCAAAGAAATCTCCCCTCTTTGCTTCTGCTCTTTGTACATACACGACGCATCGAGAAGACATCTTACGCTCTTGTTGCTTACTTTCGATTTTACACGTCATCTTTTTATCTCTGAACATTCTTCACAATGTCGAATATTGATGCCGAGGAAGCACAATTCCAGAAGGAAGTTGAGGAGGTCAAGCAGTGGTGGACCGATTCAAGATGGAGATACACGAGGAGAACGTTCACTGCCGAGCAGATTGTTGCCAAGAGGGGCAATCTGAATATTACATACCCCAGCAACAGCCAATCAAAGAAGCTATGGAACATTGTAGAGGGACGTTTCAAGGTATGAAGCCTTCTTCGAATCTTGAAAGACTCTGACAACGGCTCAGAATAACGATGTGAGCTATACGTACGGCTGCCTTGACCCCGTTATGGTCACACAGATGGCGAAGTACTTGGATACAGTATACGTCTCTGGCTGGCAATGTTCGTCAACAGCTTCTTCAACCGACGAGCCTGGCCCAGATCTAGCAGATTACCCCTACGTAAGGCAACATTCTTCACCCTAGGGAATACGAGGCTGACTTTCACGAGACTACCGTACCAAACAAAGTCGGACACCTTTTCATGGCACAGCTCTTCCACGACCGAAAGCAGCGTGAAGAACGCGTAACCACACCGAAAGCTGAGCGCGCGAAGCTTGCCAACACCGATTTCCTACGACCGATTATCGCCGATGCAGACACTGGACATGGAGGTCTCACGGCTATCATGAAGCTCACAAAGCTGTTCATCGAGAAGGGCGCTGCCGGTATTCATATCGAAGACCAGGCACCGGGGACGAAGAAATGCGGACATATGGCCGGAAAGGTGTTGGTTCCAATCAGCGAGCACATCAATCGTTTGGTCGCTATTCGAGCCCAGGCAGATATCATGGGCACAGATCTCCTAGCTGTTGCCCGTACTGACTCTGAAGCTGCAACCCTCATCACATCTAGTGTTGATCCGCGCGATCACCACTACATTCTGGGTTGCACTAACCCTGCGCTTCAACCGCTTAGCGAGCTCATGTACACCGCGGAGCAAGCTGGCAAAAATGGCAACGAACTTCAGGCAATTGAAGATGCCTGGACAAAGGAGGCCAACTTGAAACTTTACCACGAGGCTGTGATCGACACCATCAATGCTGGCGTACATGTCAACAAGCAAAATCTCATTAACGAATTTCTGGAGAAGAGCAAGGGCAAGAGTAACGCAGAGGCACGTGCTATTGCGTCAGGCTTGACCGGTGTGGATGTCTACTTCAACTGGGAAGCTGCAAGAACCCGTGAAGGATACTACAGGTATCAAGGTGGCTGCCAATGCGCAGTCAACCGTGCCATCGCGTATGCGCCGTACTGCGACATGATATGGATGGAGTCGAAACTTCCAGACTATGCCCAGGCCAAGGAGTTTGCTGATGGGGTTCACGCTGTGTGGCCTGAGCAAAAGTAAGACATTACTCCCTACGCTTTCACTCCGCAGCTAACATTTGACAGACTGGCCTATAACCTCTCACCCTCATTCAACTGGAAAGCCGCCATGCCTCGGGAGGAACAAGAGACTTACATCCAACGTCTCGCTAAGCTCGGTTACTGCTGGCAATTCATCACCCTCGCCGGACTGCACCAAAGCGCTCTTATGGCCGACACCTTCTCCAAGGCGTATGCCAAGCAGGGCATGCGTGCTTATGGCGAAATTATCCAAGAGCCGGAAGCGGAGAACAAAGTCGATGTGCTTACACATCAAAAGTGGAGTGGAGCTAATTATGTAGATAACATGCTGAAGATGGTCTCTGGCGGTGTTAGCTCGACAGCGGCTATGGGTAAGGGTGTTACGGAGGATCAGTTCAAATGAAATAAAATCTAGGTATCGTAGGTACGCAGACATGAAATATGGTTCTAACGCATCGCAATGCAACCTTACTTTCATATTTCATAATGTAGCTGCACTTGGTGCTCAAACTCGCTTTCACCGCGCATAGTGACTGCACGATCTCGGATCTCAAATCTCTATTCACTACTGCAACGATGATCCTGCCAAAGGATCAACAGTCAGATCTTTCCTACGAAACTATCTTAGCCATAAGTCACAAACCTCAATCCGATATCAGAACACCATGTCACAACCGCGCAGCAAATTCTCGCAACAAATCAAGGACCAGAAGGAGCTTGAGATCATTGAACTCGACGAGTCTGCCTTCGTGGATGCCAAGGGCTTCGAAGAAACAATGGGTAGACCCATTTTTACTCGCGCGTTGATCGAACAAGCGGCTAACGATGTCGAGCAAGCTCGTGAAGGAGTCAGCCGGACTGCAAACCAGTTATCCGATGCATCGCTCGTACTTGGTGCCGGGGCAAGAGTAGGCCAGATTTCTCTGCCAGTCAGTTATATGTACTGGGTGAATACATTCACTCTGGCTGAGGGAGGTAACACGGTCGCACCGCACCGTCCGTACTATATTGGTAGTAACAACGAGAAAACTATATTTAGTGCGACTCCGACGTTCAAGCCTAATGATCCAGATCATCCGCTTCGAAAGCACGTGGCTAGCATGCCAGATCCACCCGAGCTAAAGCTGATCGAAGGCTACGAAGCAGCTCTACTAGCGAGTCCGTTCTGGGCCGGCGTACGACAGCGTCTAGACAACCTGCAAGTCAGGATTGAAAACATCGTATGTATGGCTCTGGGTACTCCTTTCCGATACGATGACATGGGCAACTATGCAGAAACAGTAAGCGATCGCCGCTGCACACAGCACCTCCTTGCGTGCGCGATCTCAAAGTACCTCTCCCAGCGCTACTATGCCTCTTCAGCACCATCGCCCTCGTCGCAGACCCCCATTCCAATCGTCGCTCACGACCCCTCGTACAACTTCAATGCGTTGAGCATCCTCTCCCGCCTTTCCCCACCTATAACCATCGTCTCAGACCCACACCAATACCTCTCTATCACCCCATCTACGCTAATCATCGCAATCGGTATTCCCGTTTTCGTGCCTATCTATGAGATTGCAGCAGACATATGCTTCCCTAGCGGACCGGCGGCTCTCCTATGCTATGAGATTTGGGAGCATCCGTGGCACAAGCAGGGGAAGACGATGGGCCTCGATCAATGGACGCCGCGCGTGGGCAAAATGTTGGAGTTGTACGCTGCAGAGTGGCTTGGTAGCGAGGCTGTCGATGCTGATCCGGAAGTTGCTGGTGAAAATGCAATCCACGCGTGGGCGCAGAATTTGTTTTGGTATGCACGGAAGGAATAGCCTGGAATGATTGACTGTTGTTGGGGTTAGCCCTTGCGAGGCGCCCATTGATGATATGCAACCGGGTTGAATAGTGAAAGCACTGATGTGTCTTGGAACCTCATCTTAGAAGAGAATCGGGGTCCGTTTTTGGCAAGTAGCTCGCTGCATTTCGGTGGCAGGTGTATTTTAACAGACAATGTAACAGAAAAGTTGAGCTACATTGTTTCGAAGGTCATTGGCCGTGTGGTGAATCATTTTGGCCGGTTGTTCATTTCACCCATTACGATCATGACTCATCTACCAAATATAGGTCCTGTCAATCTAGGGTCTCTTCAGGTATTTCGCTAAGGGATTAGCCCCTTTGCGTTGACCAAAATACAAACGTCCCGCAGCTCCAGTTCCAACGTTCGCCGATATCGAGTTTTTTTCCTTGAGAATAAGCTAACCGGAAGAGGTATTCAGTCCGATCTGGGCTGAATTGAGGTTCGATAGGGAGACATGAGTTCTAATTTTATTTGTGTCATGTAATTATTGTACCCTCGAAAGTTCACCCGGTAAGAAATTCGCTGCGCCTTGGCCTAAAACTCTTTCGACTGTGCCACATTTTATGTAAGCAACGCGTCGGCGCAGGCTCCGACTGAGAACGATCCAGATGACGATTTACGATGGGTTATGCGTAACCAAGCATCTTATGTATTTGCTGCTTGGTTGTATGACATAAGCATGGCAGCTGTTGGATATGCATTTAGGCGTGATCGGTGAGCCTGGTCTAGACAGATGATGGATTGCCAATGCCATTTTAATCGATGACTGTGTTCCTAGCGGTGGAATTTGGACTGATGGAGGGTCCCAAAATCGATCACTGGCCGATTCAACTAAAGGCTCTACCATCCCCAAAGATTGGGTCGAAAATGTAGATTGCGCTGGTGTTGACCTCCATATATGCTTAGCAGAGCTTTAGAAGCCTTCTTGAATCCTAGATCCGATATCTGACGTGGAGATGTGTATTTGAGTCAAATGGAGACGACCCAAAAGTAGAATGAACCAATTCTAGGTCGGCGTATTGACGAAGAAAGGGACACTCCGGAAACATTGCAACGAACGGGGCCACTACTCTATTCAAGAAGCTCTGCCGGGATTTGGAATTCTTTTGTAATCCGAGTCATGTTGTTGACGAGGTCGTTCACGTCAATCGTTTGTGAACTGCTCCCATTTGGGCTAGTAAAGCCGGGGCCAAGTGAGGTCGGATCCTCCATTTTCGGTGGGTTGGTATCAAGCTGGATGGTGACCTGGATATAGTCGTTAGTAAGTAGGCTTGGGTGAAGTAAGCGCACCAGAGAAAGCAATGCTGACGCTATACCTCACTGTCCAGGCAGGTATAGTCCAAACCTACCGGCCCGTCGTTGATCAGAGCAACATCCATATTGGCTGCAAATAGCCCGTCCTTGACCTTGTCGGTTTCATACAACTCTCCCACTTCCTTGAAGAAAGCTTGATAGAGCGTCTTAGCCTTGACGCCGCTTGCTGAGAGATGGAAGTCTGGCCGGTTTCCCTTCTTCATTGATGCGAGTAATGTGAACTGAGAGACTGCGTTGTTCAGTGTTCATTTCATTCTAGGCTCTGATGAGGACATACCGCAAAGAATTTCGCCTTCAACATCTTGCACGCCGCACTTCCACTTTCGAGTGTCAATGGGTCGCTCATAAACGGGTGAAGAGATAAGCACTCACGCGACCTGGCGGTTCTTTGGTATCGTCATCCCATAGCTTTGCCTTCAGTATCTTGCTGGCCATCGACGTGACATCTTTTTCAGTGTCATCTTTGGAGATTGCGGCCAGCACCAGTAGGCCCTTGCCAATGGACGATATGAGCTGTCCGTCGACAGTGACCGAGGCGGACTTGACCCGCTGCAGTACCGCTATGTGTTGTCAATACTGATGTTTGGGTACTAATGCTCGTATAGCGGGATGGTACGTACTCCTCATTGTGGCGGGGTGGCTGGACGGGTTGATGCGGAGATGAGGGAAGGAGGCAAGTGAGTAGCCAACAATATGCTTTTATCGTGGAGAGCTGCAGGACACGGCTAGGGAAGAGCGACAAGGGTAGCCATCTTTGCTTTGTGCTGTGGTTGTCTGAGCATCAACGAGACGAATCTCGAGTTTGAAGAAGAAACGCGCTTACGAAACGTTGACGCGTGCGTGGGGCAGGCGTGAAAAAGAACGGCTACTCCTGATCCGGCGCTAGCGCACCAATGATGCGCAGCCTTGGCCGTGATCGCGCTAGGCTTTGCGATACGCATTCGACCTCCGTGTTCGTCAACCCGACGACAAACAGTCCCCCGCCCATTTGCGACCGAGCATACGCACTCGCGCGAGCCGACCGTCGAGCCGTCTCCCTCACCCCGAACGACTCGACTAGCACACTAGCCCACACCAACCACACGCAAGCCCTCACGACGAGGCTACTCCCACACAATGGCAGCTCGCAAGCTCCAGCAGGAGATCGACAAATGCTTCAAGAAGGTCGCCGAGGGCGTCGCGACCTTCGAGAGTATATATGAGAAGATCATGCAGACGGGCAACCCTTCACAGAAAGAGAAGCTGGAAGACCAGCTGAAGAAGGAAATTAAAAAGCTGCAACGGTCGCGAGACCAGATCAAGACATGGGCGGCCATGGGCGAGATCAAGGACAAGAAGCCTTTACTGGACCATAGGAAGCTCATCGAGACCGTAGGGTAATCGTCGTCCCCTCAAGTGATAGTGTACTGATGCTTGGCAGCAAATGGAACGGTTCAAGGCGGTCGAGAAGGAGATGAAAACGAAGGCATACTCCAAAGAAGGCCTGCAATTAGCCTCAAAAATCGACCCAAAAGACAAGGAAAAGATGGAGATGGTTGATTTCCTGGTGCAAATGAACGAAGAGCTAGAGCGACAAATAGAGACAATTGAGGCCGAAGTCGAGGCAATGCAGGTTAACATGAAGAAGGGAAAGAAGGCAGACAATGCAAAAGCTGAGCGGGTAGCAGAGCTCGAAGAGGCAACTGAGCGACACAAGTGGCATCAAGGGAAACTAGACCTACTACAACGAGCGCTAGAAAATGGCAACGTGGAGACGGACCAGGTCAAGGAGATCGAGGAAAGCATCAGATATTATGTCGACAGCAATCAAGACGCTGACTTCATGGACGACGACACAATATACGACGAATTCAATCTACAAGAAGAGGAGGCTATCTTTGGCTTGGGCAACGAATTAGAAGGCGTATCATCGCAGGATGCACAGTCAATAGCAGACGACACGCCGGAGACAGAAGGGAGACCATCGGCGCCAAAAGCAAAGTCTACAGAAGCAGTACAGTCCAGTACAAGACGGCCATCCACGCAAATGAAATCGCCTTTACCAGCATTAGCGACATTACATACGCCGTTACCTGGTGTCTCAAATGCTACAGCAAGCTCCATGAAACCTGCTCCATTACCAACGCGAACGCCAGGGGAACCATTGAAGTATGCCTCGGCGGCGGCGGCAGCAGCAGCAAGCGATAAGAACGGAGTAGGCATTGCACCGCTACCGCCACCACCGGGAGCTGCCACAACACAGTCTGGACTGGCTCCAACTGGTGTACGGACAAGTGCAACCGCGTCACCGGCGACTTCACACCCGCAGCCGGCGTCACGTGCGCAGCCACCAGGCGAGTCTATACAGCAAGCACCGACCTCGAAATCGCCTGCCCCATCAGCAAGTATACCGGCTACACCTGCTTTGGAAAATGAGACTCTTTCGCGTGCTGCTTCGTCTGACGATGCCACAAAGGCTAGCAGAAGAACGCCGGCTCCCGAGCGTGTAGAGGAAGAGGAATCACAAGCTGCTACGCCGCCTTTGACAAATGGTGAATCACATGCTGAGGACGAAGACGAGGAGTCGGTCTACCACCTACCTTCGAGTTTACAGGACCTGCTAGATTCATTCGAGGCGACCAAGAATGACATAAATGCGTCGGTATCAAAACCTCCGGATGAACGTATGCTTGCAACATCCATGGCTACTGCACCGGATTCTGCGGACACCGAGGCACCGCGTCATTACCGCCCACAAAACCCCTACCCGTTCACGCCTTCACACTACCCGCAGGAACCGTTGCCTATTTTCGACGATCCTCGCCTGTACTCCCGGATCGAGACTGATGCCCTCTTTTATGCGTTCTATTACCGCCAAGGTACATATCAGCAATATCTTGCGGCGAAAGCACTGAAGTCGCAGAGTTGGAGATTTCACAAACAGTATCAAACATGGTTCCAACGCCACGAGGAGCCAAAAGCGATCACCGAAGACTACGAGCAGGGAACGTACAGGTTCTTTGACTACGAAAGCACATGGTAAGCACTCGATTTCGTTGCCGGCCTCTCCGCGTAGGGGAGGCCTGCTACTCTATTCCCGCACGTCATACAGTTGATCTGACAATTTCTAGGATGAATCGACGGAAAGCGGATTTTCGGTTCGCTTACAAGTTCCTGGAAGACGAACTATGAGCGTCATAACGTCCTCTCTTGCTGAAGGCCCTTCTCGGCTGTGATAGTTACATTCTGTATCAAGTATTAGGTAGTCCTGGAATGGTCCCTTCATGGGCAGATTTTGTGCTCTTCGAAACCAAAGCGCCCCCCCCCCCCCTCTGGAACGAGTTTACTCCCTGACTAATACGCACTGGGAACGACTCCATATAGCATGCGCATAGCAGGTTACGGTGAGACAAGCGTGCAAGGATGACATATTGAGGCTCATCAATCTAGTGCATAGTCCCGCCATCTCATCAGTTGAACAGTCAAATTGCACCTGTCCACGCGCCGGGCGTATTCTTACATAAGGTGGCTGAAGGCCGTGCTTTCGCTCCATTGATCGGGCGACGGATTAGCTCCTTCCGCCCCCAGTCGTGTGCCCGAGCTAGTACTAGCGAGAGACTTCGTTCCAAGGTTCCGTAACGTCTACTGTACCTAGGTAGCGTCGTTGCGCCCAACCGACTCGTCCTTGACGCCCCGATCGACCCGACCGACCTCAGTCAAGCGTCGTCTCCAGCAGGCGGTTACAGCATCAATCATCCCGCGACAGCTACACCTCGCTTGTGGGGAACACATGGCCAAGACTATTATTTCCGCGGGCAGAAATGCAGATAGAATACAAATGCGCACATCGGGCGTTTGATGACAGGTAATCCCACTATCAGGCTAACCACAAGGGTCTCTGCTCTTTGTTGCTGGGGTTTTGACCGTACACTCAGGCCTCTGGGCACCCCTCGTGGAAAAAACATGGGCACTAAAAGGTTCTCCCTATCCGATCGTAGGGTACAAGATGCGTTTCGTATGCAGCAAACCTCCGCTACTCAACTCTTAATTTGCATCGCACGTTGCGCAACTAGGTAGCGGAGAGACTCCGGGGAAAGTGTAGGCAACTACGAGCCAGACAGACCAAGTTACAGGGTGGTCCGCGGTCGTCCCGCGTCCTAGTCATCGGTACAACAGCGGCCCACTTAGTCTTGAAAGCGCCACTACTGTCAGGGACGCAGAGACGGACGGTGTAGTATTACGGCTTTACTGCCTTACGAACTGCTCTAACGAATGAAATGCATCTAAATAAGGTTCTATCCGGCTAGTCGTATAAAGACGGGAGGAATGGTGCACGGATCGACAGATCTAACAACGTCCCATTCACAGGTCCCTCTCTTTCCGGCAACCCATGGTCACCGCCTCGTTCTCACAACATCTCTATGCCAAATTGGACGGTGGCCCAAACTCTGCCGCACGCCACTTTGCTCTCATTCTCCCACTTTCGCCCGGATGTCAAACGTCAGCTTTAAACCGATAATCCAACTGTAGAGGACCAAATCGCCGATAAGGCTGTAGCAACGCCATTACTCGCCAACTCAACTCTTAGTCATCAAGCTTCTTTCTTGACCTCTGGCGTAATAGACGAACACCGCCCTCCAGTATTACGCTAGAGACACGCGCCCAGCCCCAGGAAAATTGAATCCGTGTGCCATATCGCCCATTTGCTGAACATCATGCTGGCACAAAACGAATCCTATGGCTCCTTCGGGCATACCAATGCCTGTTCTTTGTAAGTTCACAGCTTCCATCATGCTAAGAATGGGGTCGCAGTGAGCGGCCAACTGCAGTCGAGGTCTCTTATATTATTATAAGGATAGACAGCACGCCTTGAGAGAGAGACTCTAAACAGAAATAGCGCGTCCAATACTGACTTAGTAGCACTCTTGAACACCTTCAGCTCCCGCGCAGAAGACTAGCTACAACTCGAAGAACCATAAAGTCCCACAAGCTTCGCACAGTTCCACCTGCAACACCCGCCTACCGCCCGTTTCTAGCATCAGGCACTACCCGCGCGAAGAAAGCCATACGCCCAAAACACGAAGCCTTTTCGCGCGACATGTCTGGTCACAGTGTAAGATCTCGACGATGGTCTCCTCTTCATGTCAATCTACTTACACGCTAGCACAGTACTCGTCTTCTGACCCAGACAACTACTCATACGCTCCGGCCTACCCATCAACGGTACCTCAGTACACGCAAACACAGATTAATCAATACTTCGCACAATACCAATGTTACCCACCGCAGCCGTACCATGTTATCGCAGACTACTATACTCAGCCCGTCACTGTTGCTCATACCAGCTATCAGCCGGCAGTAGCGGAACTTCCATATGACACTGCGCATTGGCAAGGACAGGCGGATAACCTTGAATTGCCCACCTCTCAAGGACCTACAAGGTGAGTAACCTTCTTCTTATAACCCACTCTATAAATCAGCAAGGAACTAACGCATACAACAGGAGTAATAGTAGCACAAGGTGATTCTACCAACACAAGCTTCCCACGTACAAGTTGTTTACACAGCGTCTTCAAAAGCCACGCCAATACACAGACTAACCATCCTATAGAACATGGACATGCGACATTCCCTCGTGCACCTCCGCCGCAAACTTCACCCGCCTCGCCGACCTCCAGCGCCATCAGTCGACCGTCCATGGCGTGGGCACTCCAGAGTACCCCTGTACTGTACCCCATTGCAACCGTGTAGGCAACAAGGGTTTCACACGACGAGACCACCTCATCGAACACTTGCGCAATTTTCATCACATCGACATTCCGAAGAGGCGTCCCGGTGAGAGATCTGCATTCCCATTCGGGTTTCCCGAAGGATTCCAGAATCAGTGAGTAAGACATGGGCAAGAAAATGAGGAGGGTTGATGTGGATGCAGGGGTCATAGTGGGAGTAGCAGTGGAGCAAGCAGGTCTGATCACAAGGGCAGAGTGATCAAGCCACTGAGAAGAGGAGCGAGGATTGGTGGAATCAGCCGGATAAGCAATAGGTCACAGGAGTTACGTACACATATGATGCAACGAGAGCAGCAAGAGCAACAAGAGCATGAGAGGCCGGAGGGAAGATGACCTGGAAGTGAAGGTGGAGCCGGTGACCTAGACCTTTCGGGCATATAGCTCGCAGATGCATTACTCTCGTTCGGAGATCATCCAACGGCTCCAGCCCAACGACATGTGCATAGCGGAGATCTTGACCCTGGGACCTTGTCTGACTAGGTTTATTTTCTCTTTCTGTCGTTTCTGCATTGGCATAGCATTTCTTTCGTTTGATATTCTGCATAGCGTTAGGGTAGATTGAGGCGCGTGGAGTATGCCCTGGTAGTGGCTATCATTCACTTTTTCCTTACCGCATTATTATTCAACTAGAACACACAGGTACATTAGAGCAACAAACCTGCATACACTTCTCCACAATATTCCCGGTCTTAGTGTAATTGATGCACAGACATGACTCGCAGATGATGCCAAGTTGCCGCGCTTATCTCGAATCAGTTGCCGCATTAGGGGAAGAACACCATCCACGACTGCGTCTATTTTGGAGATTGTCTCCAGGCTTGTATTCCGGCCGGTGGAGGCTCACTTCTTGTTCGATCTCAAAGACAAGATGGGGGCTCAAGTGCGCGCATTCCAGCAATAGTCGGCCGATATAAGGCGTGCCGGCGAGCCTCGACCGTTATTCTATATTTACGGGTCGGGATGGGAGGGAAAACGACACACGTGCACTTCAGTGTGTACGTACAAGCGTAATGTAAACCCCTACCTGGTTGCGCTATATCCCCCGGCCCGATTCTTTTCCAAGACCTCGACCGTCCGATCCAATGAGCTGATGTTTACGCTTCAAATAGATCCACAAAGCATCGGGCGTGTTCCCCACGCTACCATGAGCATGTTCAGGCGTGCTGGTGCCGCAATCCTGTCTTGGATCACTAGAGGTGTAAACCCGGCCCTGAATTTGCAACTCATGGTTACGCCAAGACAAGGCTGAGAATCCTATAAGGCTGGGCGAGTGGGTTAGGGTATATATAGATCACTTGTTTTTGGCTTGGCGGTGAAACGTAGTCTGATTCCCCACATCGTACAATCTTATCATGGGGGTCATATCATCATGGCTTTGTTGGATTCTGTAATGCATTTCCCCGGCTGTTGCCGATAGTGTCCAAGAGAACTAGATGGATGGTACGACTAATAAGTGGAGAGCTAGGGAGCTGAAAGTAGCCCCCATGCACTTGTCCCAACGCGGACTAATTTTGTGTTGGAACGTTGAAAGTTATATTGTGGAGTCAGCGCTTCGGATCCGAAGTTTAGCACGCTGCAGGTAATGTTGGACTTGCCTTGCGATCGTGGACTGGTGTAGAGACGCGACCCTACAATTAGTTGGTTGGAGTGGAGAAGCAATCCTACCTCTATCTAGGTAGTTCAGAGTACCTCCCTAAGTAGAGCAGCAACGCTGATTCGAGTAGAGAAGCGGCCAACCACAGCCATCGTCATCCAGCTTATATTTTTCCGTGTCAATCCTTGCCAAGCCCCGGTCCACGAGTGAAGGGGAAGAAGTTCAATATACTGTTCAACCCTCACATACAAGCTAGCCGATTTTCGCCATCATGTGCGCATCCAGTTCACAAATATATTTGAAGTTTCAATGACGTCTGTTGGTCTCGGTTAGCGCATATTGGGCAGCCACAGCCACAAAGCCGGGAGGGGGAAGACTCGTTTGTTGGTTCACACCACCTAGGCATCTCTACCTGACCGACGCCGACGATTCCTTCGTTGCACACAATACGTCCTCCGCTATTTCCTCCACCACAAACCCTAACGCTGTTGCCTGTGGCTCTGACTCATGTCTTTCAAACTTCACATAGCTACCTTTTCGACTGAGTATACCGACGCGTTACCTTTGCAATAACTGCATCTTTTTTAAAAACCCCGGTTCCCCGCAATTCACCAGACCGTGTAGGCCCGCCAGCTCATAACAGCCCCAGCCCTGCAGAAGCGCAGCCGGCCTAGTATAAAGGAACCCCTATTCTAGCACCTGCATATCCCAAGCCTACCCTTCACGATGCGCGACCTCCGCAGACAGGCCCTTGAGAGCCACAAGACAGTGTCGCGCAAAGCCCGCTCACGCGTCGTATCTACTGCCTCGTCCGCAGCCAACTCGCCCGCGCAGTCGCGCGCTGCTAGTCGCAACCCCAGTCGGCAGGTCTCAGACGATGACGAGGGCGATCTTAGCGACGGCACAGCCTGGAGGTGAGTTCTGACCTTTCTCACCACCACTGTCATCTTGCCCATGACGTCATCATCGTCTGACCCGAGTTGCGCGCTGACGTATCGCTCACCACCAGCACAAACTCCATCGACGAGATTCTCAACGGCGAAGATGTCGACGTTCCCGAAGACGCGTGGAAGGCGGAGCTCAATGTCCGCATTGAGCAGATCACCAACCTCAAGCGCAGCAGCACCGAAGGGCGCGCCGATAGTCTAATCGCCTACGCGCGTATACTCATGGCGCGATATGCAAAGGATGTAGTCGAGGGACATGTGCACGAGCTGGTGCCGTCGATGCTTAGGAGCATCAGACAGGAGACGACTGAGCGTGAGGCCGTAGCAGCCCTCAAAGGTACGCTGCCCATGCTAAAACAGTTGCGCCTAAGCTAATCTCTCGTAGCCCTCACCGTCACCGTAGTGACCCTCGACTCCGACATCATATACGACGATGTTGCCGACCAGCTCAGGCGATCGATAGAATCATCCGAGTCTGTCGAGATACAGGTCAATGCGATTCACGCTCTCGGTGTGGCTGCCTTCTTCGGCGGAGCGGGCGAGGACGACATCCTAGACATCATGACTCTATTCCTCGCCATCATCGAGACAGATGGCGCTTCCGTCAATGCGCAAGATGAAGGCAATGTGGTCGTTGCCGCACTTGAAGAGTGGGGTCTCCTCGCGACGGAAATTGAGGATTTGGAGAATGAGACCGAGGCGGCCATCGAAGCCTTTGTGGAACAACTGGAAAGTGCCGATGCTAGTGTGCAGATAGCTGCGGGCGAGAACATAGCTCTGCTGTACGAGAAATCCTTCACCATCCAAGAAGAGGATGAACAGGTTGCGGACGATCAGGATCCCGACGATCCAGAGCATACAAAGGACGGGCCAAAGATGGTCAATCGATATCAGGTCTACCGAAGACAAGACAAACTTTTGCATACCCTCGAAGAGCTCGCCAACGTCTCAACACGCCGGATTTCGAAGAAAGATCGCAAGACACTCCACTCGTCATTTGCAGATATACGCAACTCGGTGGAAAAGCCGACACGTGGACCTAGCTACTCAACGGCAATCGATCAAGAATCCGGGAAAGCATACGGAGCGGGCAGAATGAAGGTCAGGATCAACCGTAATCTTGAAGTGCGAATCGACAAGTGGTGGAAGTTACAGAGGCTGAATGCGCTACGGAGAACACTACAAGGCGGCTTCACATATCACTACGATCAAAATGAGCTTGTGTCTACAGCTCTACCATTCTCCATGGCTAGCAAACGGTAAAATGGGCGGCAGATTCCTTTATGAGACATGACAAGAGGTTTGGGTTATGAACGGAGTTTTCAGAAAAGTGGTTATTGTGGTGGCAAGCGTGGATACCTGGTCTAGCATGGCGTTTGCAAATTACCTATTGCTTTTGGTCGTTAGTAGATCATCACCTGCATTTTTTGATACATGGCAATTGCATCTGGATGACCCTTCAAAGCTCGAGAAATTTGCTATTTGTGGTGTTTGTTACGAATAAATGTGGGACACTGCGGAATTTGGGCACGGCGCAGCCCCGCGTTGCCCCTCACCTCACACACAAGACATGGGTGCCTGTAATGTTTACGCTTGATGTAGTTGGTCTTCTTGAAGTAAAAGCTTGCGAGGCTTGTAGACGTAACTGACCGGTTTCTTACCTTGTTCTTAAAACGACTGGTCCCTCGCAACCATCTGCAGAGTAGGCTTGGCGCGGCAGAAAGCTGTGCCCGTGTAGCCTTGTAGAAAGTTCTGGCAGCTTAAGGTGCCTGGATCTTTTCTTTAGCCTCACCCCACATTAAAGCTATAGCCTTCAGCTTGTGACCCTCTACGAGACCTCTCTTGCACTTTCGCCTTTCTAAACTATACCTCGTTTCCTTTCCAATACTGACAGCACCTTCGATTACGCGACCATGGCCGACTCTAGTAAGCAGACCCATGCTCCCAAAGCTTGCCCTGAGCTTTGCGAGCTATGTTGAAAGGCATCAGCAGCATGTTAACAAGCTTTAGAGCGACCTCATGTCTTCTTCGACATCTCCGTTGGCGGTAAAAACGTCGGACGCGTCGTCTTCGAATTGGTACGCCCACACCTACCCAAACACACCCGCCCACGTCGAGTGCTCCCCACATGAGAACATCAGAACCCCATTGCTAACCCACGACCCAGTACAGCGACATTGTTCCCAAAACTGCCGAAAACTTCCGCGCCCTATGTACCGGCGAGAAAGGCACGGGCTCAGCCGGCAAGCCGCTCCACTACAAGGGCTCCTCGTTCCACCGCGTCATCAAGGGCTTCATGATACAGGGCGGTGACTTTACACAGGGCAACGGGACTGGTGGAGAGAGCATATATGGCGAGAAGTTTGAGGATGAGAACTTCGAGAAGATCCATAGCAAGCCATTTCTGTTAAGTATGGCCAATGCTGGGCCAGGTGAGTTGTTTGGAAAGAAATCCGAGGACGCGAAGGGGATGAATACTGGAGTTTTTTGGTTGTTATGGGAAATATCACATTAGTGTATTTGTGTAGAGCTAACGGCAAGACCAGGTACCAACGGCTCCCAATTCTTCGTCACGACCGTACCTACGCCACACTTGGACAAGAAGCACGTTGTCTTCGGCGAGGTCATCAATGGCAAGAGCATTATCAGAGAGATTGAGAACCTCAAGACTCAGAGTGGTGACAAGCCATTGCACGATGCTACTATCGTCGACTGTGGCGAGCTCACAGGCGAGGATTACGACAAAGCTGTACAGAAGGTCACAGACGCCACCGGCGACCCATACGAGGACTACCCCGAAGACCAGAAGTCTGCCGAAGAAGAGTGGGAAGGCGCTCAGATCCTAAAGATCGCAACTGAGCTCAAGGACATGGGTAACGCAGCTTTCAAGAAGGGTGATCTGAACCTTGGCCTCCAGAAGTACCAAAAGGCTATTCGCTACCTACACGAGTACCCCGCGCCGCTAGACAACGACCCCAAGGATCTCTGGCCACAACTCAGCGCCCTCAAGATCTCCGTGTACTCTAACAGTGCCCTTCTGCAGAACAAGACCAACCAGCACGCCGAAGCTGCCGAGAGTGCGACAAAAGCTCTTGAGATCGAGGGCATTACGAACAAGGACAAGGCGAAAGCGTACTTCAGGCGCGGCCAGGCAAAGATTGGGAAGAGGAATGAGGAGGATGCCCTAGCGGATCTCAATGAGGCCGCCAAGTATGCACCGGGTGACGCGGCGATTACGAGGGAGCTGGAAGGTGTGAAGAAGAGGGTGCAGGCGAGGAAGGAGAAAGAGAAGAAGGCGTTCAAGAACGCTTTCAACTTTGACTAAGCCTTGAAAGGATGGTGCAGCGGGTGATATCAAGGAGCATGTGTGGAACTGGACGATGTGGGGTGAGATAAGAGAACGAAATCCGTAGTTGGAGTAGGAGGCAACGGCGGAGGATTCTCATCTTCATCAGATACAACATTAAGAAACCAATAAAAACAGTTCATATATGATACGGTCACTGCACCTGCAGGTTTATATTCAAGGGCAGTTTTTGGTTTTCTTCTCGATGTGTCTGGTGGGAAAAGCAAAGGATAAGAGACATTATTAGAATTATCCAGCTGTCTCACCTGATATATATATCAAGGTTCATGTGTCTGCATTGACATTAGTGTCTGCATTGACATTAGTGTCTGCATTGAGATTAATCCATCACAACTATTCTCTCGCATTTTCCACGTAGACATTATGAGTAGCAATCCGCTTTATCTTCTCTCCTGCTGATCCGTGAAAACTCAACACTCACTGACCAAACACAGAATGTCAAGAAGAATTGAATCCACCCAGCGTCTACTCTACTCCTCAGTCCTCTTCACTCGTTTAAGCGGCGCCGGTTTCCTCGCCGCGTCGCTAGCATACGTTTCCCTTATTGCGTTTTCTTCCTTCACGAACCTAACCACATGATCTGGCACCTTCTTCACTCTATTGTAGGGCCCGGGTACAGGCTCGCCTAGCTTCTCATACACCGGAATAACGCCAGTCCACACAGAATCTAGCACCTATTGCACGAAAAAAAGCATAAGTTAGTATTTTAACGTCCATCCACCATGAACAAAAAAGGGGTTGAATTTCACATACATCATCCCTCTTTAGATCCTTCCTCTCATCCTCCGGCACCCCCTCTCTCACCTTCCCGCTCGCCCCAGTAATACGCATCTTCAAAATCCGCGTACTCTGCATTTCCGCCCCGTCAGGCGGAACCCGCGTATTCTCATAGCGCTCCGGCACGACAGAATTCGTAATCAGCCGCATGGCCCAGATCTTCTCGTCGACGTCTTCGACAATCGACGCGAAGCCATGCATCACGGCGCTGCGGTAGTTGTAGTTGTGGCTATTGGGCGTGAGCGAGAGGACGAAGCCGTCGACTTTTGTTGCGGCAACGCAGAGGGGCAGGCCGGGTTCGCCGCGTGAGATGGCGGCCGAGGCGAGGTTCATCAGGCGCGAGGAGACGTAGCCGTGTAGATAGCAGTTCCATGTTGAGTCGTTGGGGTAGAGGCCTATCTGGCCGATCATGGGGAGCACGATTGGTGCTGGGATGCTGGGGTCTGGGACGAAGGAGACGTGGAGGACGGGCGTGGTGTTTACTATGCCGTGGATAGTGTCGACGTCGTAAGTAGCTTGGTGTTTGTAGCGGTTAACTTTGTTCTCTCCTGTTTGTGGATATGTCGATTGTTCAGCCATGCTTGTTATGGGCGTGGATATGAATTTGAATTCTCTCCACGGGGCCCCGCAGTCCCTCTTCTTATGTGCTCCATCTAAACTTCCAACTCTATTGCTAGCTTATCATATATCCCTGGTAGTGGCTAGTCTTGTGGAAAGATAGGCGTGTGGGAACGTGATGCACAGTTGTGGGGTTGCTGGCCTAATGGGGAAAGTACATGCGGCCATGGCGTACACTGACAATCATGTCGCTGTGACTGGCCGACGGACTACCAACACCGACCCTTCTTTCCCAGTGTCTGAACTTGGGAGCCTTGAAGTGATCCAGCGTGCTTCTGTTGCAAGTACTGTTCATACAATCTGAAGTCCTGGAAAGCTTCAGACTTGCTTCAATTGGAAAGACTCTCACATGACATGGTCAGGCCTGACTGATAAGAGAAGAGAGGGCCAGATGCCTTCCCAGAGACTTTTTATCCGTAGAATCGAACCTCTATATTGGGAAAGTTCCGGTGTGCGTCCAGATATGAGTTCCCTGTTTACTATAAGAAACTAATTTACACAACGCCTATTACAAGTCTATTAAAAAGAAACATTCAAAAATGGTTATTGTGGCGCGCCCATCGCCTGTAGTTTAGCGAGTTCCCAGTAGACACCCTTCTTCGCTACCAGATCCTCATGGGTTCCCTTCTCTACAATCTTGCCTTGATCGAATACATAGATACAATCAGCGTGTTGAATCGTGCTAAGGCGATGCGCAATAGCAATGGTGGTGCGGCCTTTAGAGGCAGAGTCTAAGGCGGCTTGCACGACGCGCTCAGATGTGGAGTCGAGTGCCGAGGTGGCCTCGTCGAGAAGCAGGACTTTGGGATCGCGCAGAAGCGCTCGGGCGATGGCTATACGTTGCCGCTGGCCACCTGATAGAAGGGAGCCCTTTGCACCAACGAGGGTATTGAGACCATCTGGTAGTGAGGTTATGAATTCGAAGATGTTGGCGTCACGGCACGCCTGCACCACCGCTTCGTCGCCCAAGTCTTCCTTATCCGCGAGAATGTTCTCCCTTATCGTACCAGTATACAAAGTTGTCTCCTGACTGACGATCGCTAGTTGTGAACGGTAACTTTGCAGATTGTAGTCTTTGAGGTCGACATCGTCGACCAGCACGGCGCCCGCTGTGGGATCGTAGAAGCGCTCGAAAAGCTGCATAACGGTTGACTTGCCACTACCGCTGGCGCCAACAAGAGCTATGAACTGCCCAGGCTCAACGGATAGACTGATTCCTCGTAGGACGGGGTGGTCCGGTCGTCCAGGATATGTGAAGCGGATACCTTGCAGCTCGATCTTGCCACTAAGGTTATCGATTTTTCTACCCTCTGGTGACCAATGGTCTATTTTTGGAACACGGTTCAAGAAAGACTTGAGGAGCTTAGCAGCATCGCGCGCTTCGCCCATATCTGGTGCGAAAGAAAAGATTGCGCCAGCGGACTGGGCACCGTTGATGATGGCAGAGTAGATGATGAAGAACTGCAGGACGTTGTACTCCTGTTTCAACAGCAAATTACCACCGTACCAGAATACCAACGCGAATATGAACATCGATAGACCTTGTGAGGTGGCAAACAGAACAGCCGACACATTGGTGAACTTGAGATTACCTTTGGCTTGTTTGCCAAGCTTCGAATGGTATTCGTTAAGTAGATGGTTTTCAAGCGAGAGTGAGGCTACGGTCCGGATTGACGAGGCTGCCTCACACGCAAAAGATGCAGCATCGGAGGTTTCCTTGGTGCGCTTCTCCATACGGATGAGCGCGTAGAAACGGAAGTATCCGCAGATAACTACCAGAGGAATGGTTGAAGAGCAGACAAGAGCAAGCTTCCAGCCAAAAGAGCAGCCCACGATGATAGAGACGATTATCGCAGAAGCGGAGCTGATAATCGTACCGAGAGTCGAGCCGCTGAGACCGGCAAGACGGTTTGCTTCGGAAGATAGGAAGTTGGCGAGAGCACCTGATGTGACAGTTTCGCCGTCGAAGAACTCCATATCCTGGCGAAGCATGGCTCCAAACGCCCGTGTTCGGACGTTGCCAACCAGCCGGGCGGATCCTCTGGACAGCGTCAAGCCCTGAGCAAAGTAAAAAGACCATATGAGGGCGCCGAGCATGACGAGCATCCCGGCCCAGAAGTTAGCTCCATATCCACCAAGCGATGTAGCCGGAGAAAGCAACGAGTTGATTGAGTTGCCCAAGAAGATCGCCTGGATGGCTGGATTCGTCCCCGCTAGGAAGCTGAAGACCAGTCCGATGGCCATTGTCGAGTGCTCGCTGGTGTTCATTTCCCAACTGAACTTGATTAGCTCCCAGGTGCTGTAGTCGTCATTTTCATTCTTCTTCTTCATCGTAAGAACAGATGGAGCAGAGGTTGCGGTTCGAACTAACGCAAGTTTCTCAGCATCCAATTCAACACTTTCCTTCTCAAGGTCGCTCGTTACAGACATTCTGTTATCGACAGGCTTGATTTTTGAAGTGAGCTCTTGCGCCTGGACGAGACTCGCGTAAACGCCCTTGGAGTTGATCAACTCATCATGCGTGCCTTGCTCTACAATCTCACCCATTGCCATGACGACGATGTTGTCGGCCTTCTTGATAGTAGAGAGACGATGAGCGATAACGATCGTTGTTCTTCCCTGCGATGCGCGGTCAAGGGCTTCCTGTACAGCACTTTCGGATTTAGTGTCTAAAGCTGCTGTGGCTTCATCTAAGAGAAGAATCTTTGGGTCTGAGACGATAGCGCGGGCAATAGCAATACGCTGTTTTTGCCCACCAGAGAGAAGATTGCCTCGCTCGCCGACGTTGGTTTGGTACTTATTGGGCAACTGGTTGATGAAGTCGTGGGCATTGGCAATTTTCGCTGCCTTTTCTATGAGCTCCGTTTTCTTCTCGTCTGAAGCGTGTGCGTGTTCAGTGTTGACCAAGCCATGCGCAATGCTCTCGTAAATGGTGATGCTAAATAAGATCGGCTCTTGGCTGACGATGGCCATGTGCTGCCTCAGCCATCGAAGGTTCAATGTGGTAATATCCTTGCCATCCAAGAATATCCCACCTTCCATAGGAAGATAGAAGCGCTCCAAGAGACCAACGATGGTGGACTTGCCACTCCCAGATGCTCCTACGAGCGCAATCATCTTGCCTGAAGGAACCTCTAGGTTAAAGTTCTTCAATACTGTCGTATCGGGCCGAGACGGGTAGATGTGCCTGATGTTCTTGAACTCGATGTTGCCAACGAAGCTCTCGGGTATCTCGCCATCGTTGGTTTCTGGATCGATTGGTGATTTGCGCTCGATGGTGTTGAAGACCTTTGTCGCTGCGGCAGTTGCTCCGCCGAAGGCTTGTATGTGCGGCATGTTTTGACCGATCGACATTCCTGCCATGGTGAGAGCCATGACAACAGTCAAAATATTCGCAACGCCGATTTCCCCTTTGTGCAGGAACCGATTTCCTTGCCAGAAAGCTAGCGCGAGCTGTAAGTTCAGGACGCCCATCATGCCAGCAATCATCATCGAGAGCCAAAACTTCGCTGTATAGTCAAGCTTTGATGCACGGTCGACGAAAGTTTTGTACTTTTGTTCGAGGCGCTTCTGGGTTCCGAATGCGGCAACATTGCGAGCTGAAGAGAGGACTTCCTCGGCTAAGGAAGCTGCTGTTGCGTACTCGTCGATTGACAGCGTCTGTGCTTTCTTCATGAACGCACCACACACGCCCATCATGAGCACGAGCGCAAACACGCCGGAAAGGATGATCAAAGAAAGCTTCCATGACCGAATGAACCCAATGATAAGGGCCGAAACGAACATCGACACTCCAGTAATGAAGAGACCGATTTTCTGGCCAATCCCATCTTGGACTAGGTTCATATCCGAGCTGATTCGAGTGGTGATTTCCCCAGATCCTAGGAAGTCGAAGAAGGCGATGTTTTGTCTGAAGATGGCCTTGAGATAAAGCTCTCGCACCTGGCGTGTAATCCGCTCGCCGGTATACGAGAAGCCTACGATGCTGATGAACGAAGTTACAAAGGATCCAATACCTAGGCCAGCGTCAGTCAATGAGGCGGCTGTATCGGACGGGATATATACCCAGGTACACAAAATACAGCGTAAATTTGTTAATCTGCTGTTTGAAATGCTCTGCAGCGACTGCACTGACTGAAAAGCTGGTGAAGGACCCAGCGAAGTTACCGTATACAAGCTATATCCGGTTAGCGCAAGATCTATGTGTGTTTCGAGCTAGTTAGAGAGGCAGTCTCTGAACGACTGCGGCTCTTGACAGGAAGTCGCAAGACATTGATGACATGACGCACTCCAAGCTGTCTCCAGCACTGATTGATTGCGATATACGACATGTGAAAGAAACTGAGACACTTACAGTCATAAGGGGCATCACAGCACCCGCCGCAATTGATGCTATAGTGGCCAAAACCATGACCATCTTTTCAACACTTAGCTTCGCCCGTCTCCAGAGGTTTAACGTCGTTTACCTTGTCTTTCCGGCTCGCATATCGAAACAATGAAAAGTACCCAACTGTGAGAGTCGGCGCCGTCAGCTGTCTTTCGATGATCTCCTTCTCTTGCTCGGTGAGGCCAGCCAGAGGTGGCTTGACCTCCTCCTCGGACGGCAGCCCATGTTTCTCGTCGATCGCCACGCCGGACGAGGTTGCTGAGGGCTTGTTCTCCATGGTCAGCAACGCTGCATGCCGTGTCGTCGTGACGAGAGACAGAATACCCCCCGACGCCTCGAGATTGGAGCCCGCGCCACCGAGCGAAGGAGCTGGTCTGGATGTACAGGGGCCTCGTCGATATTCGCTAACCCGATGGTAGTTAGCGTATTGCCTCAAGCTTTTCGGTCGGCAGGGATCTTGCCGAAAGCGAATGACTTGCCTAAAGTGGATGGCACGTGCAGTTTCGCATGCGACACTACGTGCTCCCTTTGTCAATTCTTACCGTCGAGGGCTTCGCGATTCCAGCTTTTTAGAGATACAAGAAGTGAATACTGTAGTCGTCGCACAGGAAACTTTAACAAAGGCGAGAGAGCGAATAGAACGTGAAAGTGGGGAAAGAAGTTGGTGTATAACAACGAATGCTAGACGTGTAAAACAGGGGCAAGCGAAGGGGAAATTTGCACCCTTTTTCAGAGTGGATCAGTTCATCGAAGAGCGACAGACGACAACGAAATTGAGTTCAAATATCAACATCGCTACGCGTCTGCCTAAAATCGGGGGTCGGAGCGGCTTTGTCCGTTATTGACATGGTGGCTACGGAACGGGGTGTTTGACCCACCGAAACAGCTCGCAGACAAGGAAATCGCTGCCTGAAAATCTGCCACATCCATCTTTCGACGGTCTTTAACTGGACTACCACTCTGTGCATGTTGATCTGCTTGCATTGTGTGTCGCGGATGAGGCGGCTAAACTAGCGCGGCCAGCGTGAATACGTTAGGCAGCAGGTTAACTACGAAGCTTGGACATGAATACGGAGCTTGAATACGAGATCGCGAAGCTTGACGATCGAGATTGAAAACTCTAATTAGATTCTGCTCATCGTCCTCCAACCAACGAGCATTGCTCAAGGTAAGCTAGGCAAGAGCGTCACGCGCGGAAAGCACCTTTCGGATGATGAAGCCACAGCGATCATTCACCATCGTTTTAACGCTGATTCCGAAATCTCCTCCTTGAAATTTTTTGTTGCTCGGCGGGTTGGTCCGGATCGAAGCCGACCAAGCAATTAACGGTCTCGGCCCCAAGCCCCGGATCATTGATGTGCGAGCCTGCTGGCATGCGAAACTGGCCTGTCAACTTCACATAAGCGTCAAGCGCATCCACCATTGTTCGCCCAAGAGCTAGTGCCTTCTCCGCTCTTGAAAGAGAATAAAAGGTTAGCAAATCCAGTGCGTCTTCTCGCTGTCCGTTCTCTACCAGTGTTTGAGCACTACGCTCTACCCACTCCAGGTCGCCGAACGAGGCGTTTTCGAATCCGTGTAGCATCTTCTGCACGATCGGAAGAAAAGCTTCCGGGTCAGAACAAGTGTAGTACAAGGTTTGCTTGAAAATACGTCCGGCGAAATGTGTCGCTTCCTGATATTGAAAGTCGGGATCTAGAAACGTCGATGCGGCATCTTTGGTTAGGTATCGATGTTGGCCGTACTCTGGTGGGACGCTTTTCACACCTAGCCACCAAGGATTGAAAGGGGCAGTAACTGAGCCTGTTGGAGCGACCCAGATGCGGATAAGATCTGGATCCATGTCGGCATGTAGAGAGACTACTTGACCGTAGCCTGCTTCGTCATCTGAAATCCGGTAATCGCGAACACGCTCCATGAGGTCCTTCTCGGTTACCGGAGCCATAGCCCGGGTTGTATTCTCTAGAGCACCTTGAGACATGTACTTGAAGCCTCCATCTCTGGCACTATAGCGCTCGCCCTGAACACAGTACGCTTTAAAGATGTTGAAAGGTTCGGTGCCGTTTGGATTCCACCAGCCTTGCTCAATGGCAAAAGAGACGATATCCGAAGATCCAGCGTAGTTGGTATTATTCGCAAAGTCCACTGGAAAGTCCTCGATGTATCCCGGGTAGAGAACACGCACCTCATCGTCGCCGAGTCGCTCTGCTGCCCAAAGCTTCTTGCCCCCTGACATCTCCAACACGACCCATCCTTCATTTGCGTCGGCAATGAGATGTGAGTTTCCTCCGTAGTCTGCATACCCATGCTCAGCAATCAACTTCCCGATGAGTTCAACGCCTTCTCGTGCAGTGCTCGCTCGTTCGAGCACAACGCGAGCAAGGTCAGAGTACTGCAGGCCCGTCTGCGGATTCGGTGTCATAGCGACCAGTTCGTCCCTATTCTGCACCCAGACATCTCGCACAGCGACGCCTTTCTCATTGACGCCGCCGTTGGTTATGGGTGCCGGAAAACCCTCGAAGTCGGAATACTCCATCGATAGGTAGCGGAACGTGTGTGGCGCTTGAGAGATGTTCATCCTCTGCCCAGGCATTGATGCATCCTTAGTGACTCCGACGGTTATAGTCGCATTCGCGGGGTGGTCCTTCGCAGGAAATATTTCGAGCCAGTGCGAAGACACTTCCTCGCCAGTTCCGCCGATCAGGACGCTTCCATCTTGCGTAAGAGCCTTTCCCACGTAGAATGCATAGCTGGCCGAGACATTTCCAATGAAGGACAGGAGAGCCACCGCGAGTAACAGGGGAAGCATTGTGATGCGACTGCTTGTTGAATTGGCTGTTGTGACCTCGAAAGATTCCGGGTCCGATGGCACTCTTATCTTCCCCCGCAAGCGGGGATCGCTGGGAACTGTTCATTTTCGCCAACCCGTTCAAGACGGCACATTGTCGGGATTAGCCCGACATGGGGAAGCTGGAATTGTTGAAGCGACGCTTGCGATTCAGGAACAGAGACGATGGATCTTGGCACTTGGAGGCAATGACGTCAAGGAGGATGAGAATGCTGCGGGGATCATGCTAGACCTTGACAGAGCAGCCACCTCAACACAATAAGCCGATACAACATGAATCAAAAGCATCGGAATTCGATCGGCATAAAGCCCAGTTCACATCTGCGGAGAAGCGAGTCCGAAGGCACGCTAACCTCACCTGGGCCCTCCAGTCTACTCTGACTCACGTCTACGTCTACGTCCACACATCTATGCTACTACGGTACAGTCTGACTCAGTTTGAAGTGCATCTATGACTCCGGCTACTATCCATCACTTTGACCTTCCCAAAGGAGTCCCGAACACCTAAGAAGCCGTCGAGTAGGTGGAGATTTGGTGATGTGGAGATGAGCGCAGCGGGGCATAGCTTATCCAAATATCATATCCGCTCCCGCCTAGGTTGTATTCGGCGAAGTATAAACATCTAAAATCATCTTCAATTCATTGATTGCAACTCCCATCTGCCCATCCTTATTCTCGACAATCTGCCACTACCAGCCTAAACTGCCGCTCAACATGTCTACACCCTATACGTCAACATCCACCCCTCGCCAGCGCATCCGTGATGTCCTACCCACCGTATACTTAGGTCGCTATGCCCCTGGATCAAAGAACAGCTTGACCGATGTCCCTGGAGTACTCGTCTCGACGCAATCTATTCACGAGTCTGACAAATATCCTAACGCACCTCCGAGTGCTATCAACACCGGCGTAACTACCATTCTCCCTGGGAAAGACTGGTTCGAAAATGCAAGCTTCGCGGGCATCTTCCGTTTCAATGGCTCTGGAGAAATGACTGGCAGTCACTGGATTGAAGAGACGGGACTTCTGCGCTCGCCCATCATCATCACGGGAAGCTTGGGGGTTGGGTCAGCATACAATGGAATATATGAATATGGGCTTCGAGAGCACACAGATGAAAATGGAAAAGCGGATTGGTTCCTTACACCTGTGGTGGCGGAAACGTTTGACGGCTTCTTACACGACGTCACAAAGTTCGCCGTTACGCCCCAGCATGTTGTTGACGGAATCGACGCCGCCAGCAGTGAGCGTGTCTCCGAGGGCAATACGGGCGGTGGAACAGGCATGATCTGTCACTGGTTCAAAGGGGGCACAGGCTCCAGCTCCCGCACCATCCCGGCTAAAGACAGCAAAACCTACACCGTGGGCGCCCTTGTCCAAGCAAACTATGGTAAGATGTGGGACTTCAAAATCGCCGGTGCCCCAATTGGTCGCATCATATACGAAGAACAAGAACGTCTCTTCCGCGAGAATCCCACGGACCCAAGTCGGCTTGCACAGTCAAAAATGCTGTTCAAGGTAGCTGAAGCCAAAGACAAGAAGGACGGATCTATAATCGTAATTCTGGCCACCGACGCGCCCCTCCACCCGACACAGCTCCAACGCCTAGCAAAACGCGCAACAGTCGGTCTCTCGCGCGTCGGGGGGTGGGGCACTAACCCCTCGGGCGACATCTTCCTCGCTTTCTCGACAGGAAACACGATGAATGTTCTAGGCGTCACTGAGAATGGCGAGGCGGTTGATCCCTGGGTAGCAAAAACACTAGATATTCAGATGGTGGAAGACCAGACTATCAATGCGCTTTTCGAGGCCGCTGCAGACTCGGTGGAGGAAGCAATTTATAACGCCGTGTTCATGGCTGAGACTATGGAGGGTAATGGAAATAAAATCGAAGCGCTGAACACTGATCGCGTTAAAGACCTGATGCAGAAGTACTTGTAGGCGATTCCCTGCCCGCTGCTGGCTGTGGAGCATGTCAAGCGGAGAAGCGCGCAGGATAGTTAAATCAGTAAGAGCATAGCTTTTCAAACAGCTGAACCAAGTCAGAAGCATCGAATCCGAGGTGTTCATTCATGCTGTCCCTACGCCGGTTGAGCTTTCCACTTTTCGAAGCCAATGGTAACTAATTAAGAAAAGACTCGACAGAGTGCATATTAAACTGACTGGCAAAGCCGAGCACAGAGCTGCAAAGTCTTGGATGCCCTGGAGAAGAGCAGGGGCGACGATTAATAGTCCAGCGAAGTTTCTTGCCAACGCTTGGCAAGAAAGACAGGACTGTGGATCAGACCTACGATTCAGTTTGTAAGAGACTACCCCGAGAGCGACGATGGCATAGGAAAGTGAGGGGGCTCCGGGATTCAGCGGACAAGTAAGCGGGCCTATTCAAAATGCGCAATATTTGGGAATTGATCGTGGAAATTCGCGAAATGGATTCAAGAAGAGTACAAAGAAACGGAGATTCTAGACCAAAGAGAAGCGGATATACTTTGAAATGAACTAATCACGAATGCGAAATTGGCTCACGCCGTTTTGTTCCCTGCGATTCCTAGATCCCTTCTTGAAGTTCTTCTCGCTGTCAATGTGCTTATACAGTTTCTCCGCTCAATGATTTTTTGTTCGCGTTCGCTACTCATAACTGATTCTGCCTGGAGTTGGATCTATCGTCACTGTCTTCGTGATATATCTGCGCTTTATCTAAGTCCAACCCTTAGTTCAAGTGCAAACTTTCACACTAAAAGAGTCACGAGGAGCCGCTCCCCCAGTGTCAAAGTTCGACGGTCAAAACAACATTGTTATTCGCCCCTTTTTTTAACCCTCGGGACCAAAGCCCACGAGACTCCCAGTGCCACAATGAGGCCAACGAGGATGGGCTGCATGACTTTGACGCCGGCCTTGCTCGCAACAACCCCTGTAACAGCGGGGAAGAAGGCACCGCCAGCCTGGGCAAAGACAAAGACGAAGCCTAGAGCGGTCGGTTGGATGTCTTTCGCAAAAAGCTTTGAGCCGATTGACATACCCTGTGGAGATTAGCATGATGCACAAGGGTTTATAAGGGAGTTAAACGGTCTGAAAAGCCTCCAGGTGTTGCTGAAAGGCTGAGTAGTGTAGAAGGCAATCATCAATGCTTGGACCCTCAGGGATTGTCAATAAATGAGAGGGTGCTCACCGTCGCAAACATAGGGCCATAGAAGAAGCCGAGAATTGATATGGAAACCGCACTACTAATCAAACTCGGTACCAGCCAGAATACCAATTGTAGTGCAAGTACCAAGGCACAATATACCATCGTCATCCGCCTTTCTCCAAACCGGTAAGTGGGCTCAGCGAGCAGTACGCGACCAAGGAAAACACCACCCCAAAGACCTGCGGGGACGTATCCAACGTCTGGAAGGTGACCATTGCGTGCTTGAATCAGATATTCTACGACCCAGCCGCCAGCGGTTATGCCAGTTCCAAGCATGAAGAAGTAAAACAAAGAGAGCAAATATACCGATGGTAATTTCAGCGTTTCAATGATATCACGGTTGGCTTTCCTCCGGCTCCCTAATTCGGTAATCTGACCATCTTCGTTTGCTGTTGACCTCGGATGAAGCTTGACGCTATCCCTGAAGGTCCAAGTGACCGCCGCCGTGTTCAAAGCGCCAATGCCCACTAGATACAGGTAGAACAGTGGCCAGCGGTCGCCCAACCTCGCAGCCACAGAAGTGGCTACGAACGGTGCGATCAGACAGCCAAGGGCGTACATGGCGTGGATAAAACCGAGGAGTCGATGCGCGCCCTCGATCGAGGCGACGAAAGCATTTGCGTGGGATTCGTTATAGGCCATGCCTACTGCTTGGAGGAAGAAGGTGACGACATATAGAGCAAATGGAGGAGTCCAAAACCGCAGCGCGTGGGCGATGACTTGAATGGCTGCGCCTAGTGTGAGAATTCCTCCTAGATCTAGATAGCGGTGTAGATGGGTGTTTGTTGCGGCTGCTAGGAGCCACCCAAGGAACGTTGCTCCGTAGCTGGCAATCGTTAGCAATTTACAGAGTGCTCAATCTGTGTAGTAGGGCCTCCAACGGTCCAATTTGCGCCCAGAAACTCCAAAATCCATGTTTTGAATTGATAGACTTACATCAAAGCGACATACTCCGTGCCTACATTGTAAGTCCTTAATATATATGGAGTAAGAGCTCCCAAACTTGCGTCATTATTGCCCGCATAGAAGAAGGCAATGCTCGCTGCAATGACCTTGAGCAAGTTGAGTTTTGTCAGACTTGTCTCATCGTTAATAGTCTTTCCTTCGCCGTCGGGTCTTGCAGTGCTGCGAGGTACGGGTTGCAGCTCGATTTCTTCAGGAGCCGTGGCTGGCTCTCGTGCTGTTTCCACAATCGTTTGCGTTGACATAATTTAGAACTGAGTGATTTGAGGATATTCCCACGACGAAGCAACCACATAAGACGAAGTTGTCCTCGACTGATATCCTGGAGTTGCCTCGCAAGCTATACTGTAATTGGTAACATGTCGCTGAATCTCGATCTGCGTTTCTCCGCCTCATCCCCATGGAGCCCCGCCAACAACGGTAGAACGGCCCGCAGGACCGTTGATCATTCGTCGACATTTCCACACTTTACATGCCCGCTTTGCGCGACAAGGTTTGAAGACCTCGAGTACTAGAGGTTAGAGGTGCAATTGTCTGACTGGCTATGTAAGCGAGTCGCCATGATTGGACAGTATCGCTCCTGCATCCTCAGTACTCCGCCACCACGCTCGGGCGAACCGGCTCCAATAGCTCCTCCCGTACGAGTCTGACTAGAGGGCTGAGCACATATTCGATACTATGGCATCAAACACTCTCCCCTTCCTCGTTATCCTCGACAACTCACACACATCATTCTACGTTCCGTAGCCACCGTTTTCTCTCCCTTCTCCGGGACAGCATCATCAACCTCAAGGGCGACATCATGATCTTCGGCGGACTAGAGATAGTCGCAGGTGGCTACCTTCTTCACCGACACTACCGAAAGAAGAATGAAGTTGAACAGCAGAGACTGGAACATGAAACCCAACAAAGGCGGCATCAAACATTTCCTGGTGCGAAAGCGAACGGATGGAATACCCAGGCGCAACACCGACCTCAGCACCATCAGCAGCCCATGATGCCACAGCACAAGTACGCGTACTCTGCTCCTCCTGTAGCAGCAATCCCTCAACCCCAGTATGCATATCAGGCAGAACCCCAGCATCAGCCTCGCCCGCAACCACCTACGCATACGCAGAGCTTCAATATACCCCGTCGACCCGTGCCGCAGCCGCAGCCGAAACCGCAGATCATAATACAACCGTCACTTCAACGCACCGACTCCTTCGCGACACTTTCACGCATGCCCATCGCGAACGGCTCGCGCCCTCAAGACATCCCCGAAGAGCAGACTCCTGCCTACCCTCCTCGAAGGCACACGAACGGCTTACAGCCCGCACCCCAACACAGCGTCTATGGGAATGCAGGGTTCTCGGTGTCGACACCTGCGTTCGGCCCTACACCTACGTCGCCGTCGTTGACGTATGCGATGGCTACCGGTCCAGAAGGAGGGCATACTGTTGATGACAATTGGCAGACGTACGGGCATGGTGATGGACGGCCACACTATGCACCGACGGTGTCGACGCAGTTGGGTGAGCGGGATCCCCCGCCGCCATACACCCCATAATTCACGAAGCGGGCGTCATTGTAGGGATGGCTGATATACGAATTGGTCTCACGGGCCACACTTCTCTTCTTCCTTAGCTGGCTGGGTCTCTTTTTCATGTTACGACTTTAATACAATGTGTGCGATTTGGATGATCGGCACGGGTGATGGATAACGAAGCTTTCCTTCTTCATATGGTTATGCCTTTGGGGCTTCTGTATCTTTCTGCGACTTGATGGTTCAATGACGACATAGCGTGTTTCTTCAGTAGAAAATACCCTTAAAAACCCCTTAGGATTGTGATACCTTGCAGAATGTGGACTAAAACAGCTATGAGCCCGGTAGGGCTTTATCCGTGTGTGGCAGACCAACACCTCATTCGTGGCTGCCTCGTTTCGTGTCATTGTGCAGCTCAGCCTTTTCTGGATCGGTTAGCGGATTGTGTTGTTACTGCCTCTGATTCAGCCTGCTCTAAACTTTACACGATCTTACGTTTAAGCTTCACTCGTAAGCTACAACGTTGCTGCCTTTGAGCTTAGTCTATTCTTCTTCATTGCAGTATCAAACATTATAATACGGGAATCGCCAATTGGAAGACTTGACGATGGCCTTCGCCTACAGCGTGAACTCCGCTACTGCTGCGATCGTTATTCGAATATTCCATAGAATCAACTAGATATTTAAGTATTCTCAATCAGAAGCCGTTAAACTTGAGGCTGGCGGAGGAACTGCGAATCTCAAAATGCTGCATCTGTCGACTCTTTGGGATGACCATGTTCATGCATTGCTTCTACTCTAAGACAAGCCTCAGGTGGAAAGGCGGACGTTTTAGTCCCCTAATAGGCAACAATTATTTCCAGGAAGAAAAGCGCGAACCAGCCTTGATAGTCGCTCGCGATGAGCCCGTCCGTTGCGAGGTGACTGTGCGCGATACGAATGCTCCCAATCTCATCGACTTCTCGCAGATGAAGAGTTGGATTACAATATTGCCTTGGTAGATGAATCGCAGTATCTTGAGGTCACCGCTCATACATTCCAGGTTGAGGTTCGATAAAGGTCAAGAATAGTGTATTGTAGGGGTCTCGATAGCTTCATCATGCTTGGTAATTATATTAGTATAGATTCGGAAAAAGAAAGAGCCAGTTTAGTGAGAGGAGCATTATACAGAGGTCTATTGTGCATATCGTACCATGCTTTGAGGTTGTTGAGCGCGGTTCAGGCAAAAGAGAGGCGTATTTAGTTCAAGCCAAAGGTTGAACACCCCACAAGGCGCTGTTGGATCTCGCTGTGGTTATTGTGTGGATTCGGTTGCCATGGACTTTTTTGACAAAAACACCATATAGCACAGAGGTCTCGCCAATCTCAATTGTACAAGTTAGAAGATTATGCATAATGCCAGCCGAATGTACGGACAGGGCATTCTTGATTTATGCTACACTAACCTGCTGCTTCCAACTAGCGCTACAACAGCGCTTGCTCAGTCTGCGTCCTCAGGGGCTTCAGCAGCATCAACATACTCTCCATCGTCCTCCGACTCCAACCTCTCATCCTCAACGTCCGAGTCATCAATATGCTCGACAGCTGGGACGAACTCATCATCGTCGTGGTCACCGTCATCTTCTTCGATCTCACCATCATCACCATGTCCTGAAGTGATGCGAGCAACTTGAGGTCGGATGTCCGGATCACAGGCATCATGTGCGAGTGCACGAAAGAAGGGATGGTTCGCAGTCAGAGGCTTTCCCGTCGTGACAAAACCCATGGGCGTATGCTCAAAGTCTTGTCCCTTGCGACGAAGTGCGATCCACTCGTGAACTAAGTTTATGTCAGTGGGTAATCCCAGCTATATTACTAGTAGTACTTACGGAATGTAAGAGGTTTCGGAGCGAACGCCTGCTTCTGCAAGTCTGGAGAGGGGTCTTGACATAGACCGAGATAACTCAGGAGCTCGTGATACTCGTCCCACTCAAAGTGCAAGCGACCGGAAAAGATCCCCAACTCGACACTGAGCCAGACAGGAGCTTTGAAATCTGTGGGGAGAGAGGGAATGGCATAGTAGTCGAGGCGGTTGAAGTGGAGCATCCTTCGGGTGACGGGGGTAGAATAGAGAACAAGATGAACACCAATATCAACGCCGGCGTTGTAGGAAGTACTCGGACGTAAGATCGGAATTAGCTCGTTGGCCTCCTCAGGGCTGATAATGAGGGCTTTCTGGCTGATGAAGCTCCAAAGGACCCAATGGCAGGACCTGATGTAGTTGTCATTGGACTCATAAGTATCGACCGTTCGGGTAAACTGCTTGGACACCCAGAGATTTGAATTCATATTCACAGAAATAGCATGCTTCGTACCCAGCGCAGTGCGTCCAAGTACCGAGAACATTGGGTTATAGGCATCACTGCCGGCAACTAACCTGCCTTCGGTGGCAAAGTGCTTGACGTCCTCATGCAGCGTTGAGATCTTGCAGGCACTAAAGCGCGGTGGCCGTTGTGTTTCGCGGACGTCCTCAACTTCGTTCTCCACCTCGCGCTCTGCTTCACGCTCCTGCTCGATCTCGACCTCTTCAAGTACCGAAGCATGTACCGCAGAACCACGGTCCTGGAAGTGCTTCTTCCGAAGCTGCAACGCGTTGGCAAAAGGTTGCAGATGTTGATTCCATGCAATCGCATTTGCCGTATGGCGCTGTGTCTTTGGCTCATATAATTGCTTGAGCGACATGGACTCCTTGATACGTACCGCGGCCAAGAACCCGACACGTGATTGTTCATCCTCAAGGTATTCGGGGTACTCAAGTTGAGCTTGCTCTTGCTTCAGGTAATGAGATGTCTGTGCGAAGTAAGACGGGTCTTGCTGTTCGATGGTGTCGCAGGTCTGACCAATAACCCATTGGAGTACGGCTGCGGAGTCTGGTAGAAAGAACTCGTCCTTCTGCAAACGGTCTAGTATGCCTTGGTGAACTTCGGGAGGCGAATAGAAAATGACGGATTGTGATTGCCCGAGTAGTCTCAAACGCATTGCCGCCTGAACCAAGGCATCTTTAGTTAGGTGTGGACCTAGGGTCAGAGCCGCCCTTGCGTCAGTAGGCAACTTAAGATCTGTGCCCCGGCAGTGCGACTCATCCAAGTACACCAGACAACGATCCAGACTATCAGCGAATGGTGAAGCTAAGAGAGGCATGCGTTTGTTTGAATTGGGATAGATTACCCAGGCGCGATGATCATCACCGAAGTATACAGCGGCGGCCGCTTCAGTGGTGTCACGCTCCAGCCAAGCGCTGGCGAAGTGGCGATTCGAGTGCTCGAGGATCTGCGCCCCTGCATCAATGAGAATTCTGATCTTTTCTGTGTATCTGAGCTCTTGTTGAGGGCGTTTGACTCGATTCGTGAGGTGATCAAGTAGATCGATTTCCGTCCAACGCGCTCCCGTCACGTGGGTCATTCTAACGTAGCCTTGGTTTCGAGGTGCTAGTAAGTAGAACGGTACTTCCGCATTCGTGTGCTCGAGATGCGGCAGATCTGCTTGCTTGATCAGCATAGGCAATTGGTGCCTAGAGTCGTTCGTGCCAGAAAACCCTGTGACCCGGCATCCTTTTGCATGGACTGACAGAGATGGAAACAGATTCCAGCCCGAAGCCTGGAGTTTGAGGCTGAACGTCTTCGCGTACTTAGGGAACACAAAGTTATTGAGGTAGAAGTTGATCAAATCGGCGTTGGATCTAATGGAACGGTGGACTTCCATGAGCTGCCAGTTGTCGTCGACGTTGATAGTCGCGAAATCATCCAATCCGTTCGGTATACTGGAATTCATGATCCATTTCTCGTATTCCACGCTGGGCTCATCCGATCTCACAAGTTGCTCGAATGCTTGCTTGAATTGACCAATAGTGAGTCCTTGGTAATAGAACGATAGGCAGGTCAAAACGATTGCAACGTCAGGATGACCCCATTCGGCAGTAGGCGAGGGCACGCCTTTCGCTAGATACGGTACCGCTATCGGAGCTCGCCTAGGATGAAGCCCGTACTGCACATTCCATCGCTTCTTGAGGCAAGATATCAGAATGCGATGCACAAATAACCCTCGCAGAAGTGTAACGATCTTCATCAACTTCTGATCTCGGAGGTACTCGATGACCCTACTGGTTACCTCGGTTCGCACCATTGGTAGTGATATATATGCCTTCACATCTTGTCGAGCAGCTTCCGGAAGCTCGGCACAGGGCAAAATTGATTGAGCCTGCCCATTGCAAATCAGGCGTAACAAGAGCTCAATGAGAAAATCCTCTGCGTCTTTGCGTAAGAAGTAAATCAATGGAAAGCCTTCGACACCCCGCTCCACGATTTCAATGCTGCGGCGATAGCGTGCTTGTACGGTTGGTAAGAAGTCTTTCACATGGTGTAATAACATTTGCGTAATTTGCCAGCGTAGCGGATGGCCGTCAACAGTCATTTGGTTACCAGATGGATATATTAGTTGCGTTCTAATCGCAAAAGATACATCGCATTCATCCAGAACGTCTCGAACATGCTTGTCCAGCCATTTCTGGGTTCTGATCATCGTGGATGCCTCTGTGACGTGATTGTCGCAAAGTTGTTGCATCCCACTCAGTTTGAATGACAGGATGTGTTCAGGAAGCGCAAGTATGATACCGCTATTGTCCTTAGCCTGAGAATGTAGTTTCCGATAAAGGCGCATGAGAGCTTGAGTTGTCGGTGTCTTGCGAGAAAAGGGAACGTGGATAATTTGGCGATTAACCAAGCCTCCTAGCTTAGCTTGCATAACCTGTGCCGATTGTAGGAGGAGTGGTCTGGGAACTACAATGCGAGCAAGATCCAGTTGGTTTGCCAAGACAGCGGCCACCATAGCTATGATAGGTCAGTATGCTGATAGATACCCGCGAAAAGTTTTACGAGACACTTACGCAAGATACATGAGGTTTTTCCTTTGCCCATTAACAGTTGGAGTACCGAGTTTTCGCCTGACTCTGGTGATATCGTTGCTAAGGCTACCTGAACTTGTTCCTCCCGAAGAAGGATATCGCCATCAATTTCGAGAAGTAGCCAGTCTGAGTAGATGAGAGGGCTCCAGTTGGTGTGGCCTTGATTGGCCAATTCGTCTCGCTCCTGCTGTTCTTTGCGTCTCTTTTGGGCGTCTTGAATTCGGAGTAGGTGCTGCCATTTGCTAATAGCTAGCCCAAAGGTGACAAGGGCTTTCCGTGCGCCTTCTCCAAATACAGTGCCTGAAGTACTTCGTAGCTCAGTGAGCAAGTCCACAGTCGTCATTCTTGGCCACAAATCAACCATTTGGAGCCACTTCGCTTGTGGGCTTTGTGCTTGAAGGGTACCTCGAATATATTCTGCCACCCCCATAGCTTTGTGTTTCGCAGGCATAATCTCAAGACTCGTTACTCTAGAGTCTGATGCACGAGTATCTTCCGGGCGTCTACTTAAGTAGCCTTGTAGAGCATTGATACTCAACTTCAATTCCTTTGCGTATCGTGACTGCACGAAAGAAGAAGTACCCTCAAAGCTCGCAACGATGTTCCGAAGCAAGCTAATCTCGTGTATATGATGCTTGAACCGCGGCCTCTGGACGTTTGGTACCCGGTTAGGACCATCTCTAGGTATTTTCTTGTTCCAACCATCGCATCGTTGAAGTCCAAGTCGGTCTCCGGGGACGTTCCCAGATCTCATCGCCAGCGTGGAGACGTTCGAGTTGGTGGTGATATGAGGGAGAAAGGTGAGTCCAGGTGCAGAAAATAGATCAAGGGTATTATGCAACAGTCGCGAAAGGGTAGGGTTGTCACGGTCCCTCACTCGCGTTGGATATAATGTTGCGCGATGCGACAGGATCTCTTCTTCACCGCGCAGGACCGGAAGACCCAACCCTGGAACGGTGGCCTCGTTCGCAGTGACCCGGTCCAGAACTGTCTGTACCTTCTCAAGATGTATTGCCAGTTCATGGTTACGCGTGAGGCGGATCCACTCGGGAGACAGGTCGGCCAGAGCCCTTTCAACATTGAGATGCGCTGAATCGATATACACCAATTCTTGGAGATCGATCTCGGGACTCGGCCACTGCTTTTGTATCGAATAGGCAAGCAACTCGCAGCTTTTGTCAACCCACTCACTGTGATGACCCTTCGCAACCACCATTTGATGTCGCTTCTTGAAGCCAAGTTCTGAGAAAGGCATCTTCGCCTTCGCCATCAATGAGACAAGGTAATCAGCTTTGGGAACTCCATCGGCTCGGAAGTGGTGATAAGCGGGATGCTGTGGTGGATGGAGCGCTCTTATCTCCGGTATCATGGCAAAAGAGACAAGGATACGTATTAAATCCAGGTTTGCATCGATAGAGAAAACCATTGGGCCAAGAAGGAACATCAGTTTGTAACGATCTTTAGCAGTGCAATCGAGAAATCTCTGCACGAGAGCGCCCCAATCCGCTCGGACGTCTACCACAAGATGTTCGGAGAGGAGGCATTTTTGGAAAAACTTGTCATAACCGCCGACGACTGGGGCATCGTGTAGGAGGGATAGGAGGGTTGGCCCATCGGAGCAGTGCGGCTGCCATCTGAGAAGTAATTTGGATATTTCAATGACGTTTATTCGATCCAGTGTCGTCTTTCGATTGTCCCGCGCGTGGTACACTATGTCTTGCTTGAATTTGTGCGCATGGCTGCGCGACATGGCCCGAACTTCCAGGTGAGGGTTACCGGGAGATAGTTCCATTGGAATATGAGGTAGTCGACCGAGAAAGAAGCTGGAGAGGTCTGAAGATCTTGATAGTATCATCTCAATCAGTGCACGATACCGATCATCCTGTATCGAGACTGGGAGGGCTGGCTGCCAAGTGACCGTTTCCATGCACCGTCCATCTTTGGGATAATAACCTCGTAGAGGCGATAGATCCGCTATCTGCTTCAACGTTTTTACATTTTCATCAGACAACGGACTCCAGGGAAAGTAAGAGCCCGTTTGAAGGAGATGGATGGTTTCCTCGGAGCCAGTGCGCTTTGTCAACGGGTCATACATGACATGCGACGTGTACGCGTGAAGCAGAGCTTTCATGTATATCAGCCTCGGTTCAGGAGGGCAATGTATACGACCGAGTACTTCGTCAATACCGAACTTTAGATAGACACCGCTGCCCATTTCTAGTTCAACTGACACGTGATGTCCCTCCCTTGAGCTTCGAATGTCTCCCAAGGGGATAAGTATGCTTTTCTGGCGACGATTCGCAATGGATTGAATAACGATCTTACTCCTGAGTCCATACCACGTTCCGGCATCTTGATTCTGTAGAATGACAGCACTAAGTTGCTTGGAATACAGAAGCCCCACGTCGTTGACAAAGAAGCTTAGTTCCAAACGCTTCAACTCTACCGCTACTCCAAGATCTCTTGAAGCAAACACCGTGATGTAATCGGGGTGCTCAAAAGCCTCGAAAATTCGTGTGATCTCCCGAGCCAGGGCACTTGATGGGTCGAGTAACCTCGCCTCTCTTGGCTCTCCGTAAAATCGAATTGCCTGATGTAAGCCCGTATGAATACCAACGATGGACCAATTGCCTGGCTTTGATGCCCAGATATCCTGTCGACGTATCTCTAGCTGACCAGTGTGAACATTTAGCCAGTGAAAACATCCTTCGAGCAAAGGTGCAGGAAGATCAGGTGATTGATTTCCGAAGATACAGGGCGGTATGAACTCCAAAAGTTGGCCTTTTTGCACTGCGCGGATAACCATGTCTTTACCACCAGTCACATTGTTGCGAAAACCAAGGTGGATGCGATGATCGTTTTTCATGGGCTCTAACAATGCGAAAGACATACCATGCAGCGGCGAGGGAAAGACTATGGGAATCTTATTCCCGAACATTTTGCCATAGCTTGAATGACTTCGATAAGCTAGTGGGAGGGCACCCATCTCCTTCCCATCAATGAGAAGGGTTCCATATAGATAATTATAGTGCACAGAATAGGAGTGCCTCATGGTTTCCGAACCTACTGTAAGTAGGAACCACGATGTATCAGGGATCGGCTGTGGAATAGGGTTGACTGCCTTCTGGTCTTGTGGAATGTGCCAAAGATTGTCTACGGCGCCAACGAGAGCTACCGACTCTGCAATGATGGCATTCTTAATGAAGCCGCGGTTTTCGTAAGCGAACAATACATCCAGGATGATCGCGTTCCGCAGATTGTATGGCATTGAGCTGAACACTCCTGTGAGGTTGTAATGCAAAGATATTGAAGCATCGATGAAGTGGCGAAGGGCCTCAGGGTCAAGTAACAAGTCCTGGTTCAGATGGAACGTTCGTTTGCATAAAAGCGACGCCCAAACCGCGAATTGAGTAACTTTGGAGTCTTCGGTGATAATTGACTGTAGCTCTGCACGCCAGGTATTAGTTATACGGCGTGCCTTTTGGAGAAGGCCCTTGGCCTCAGACCTAACAGTACTGGTTGCCGAAAGCGAAGCGATCTTGGAAAGGATCGTAATGAGAATGTCCATTTGAATTGGCTCACGCCAATTCCGATTTATGGCTTCCAGTCGTTGTTGAACCTGCTGAAGAAGTTTCGAACAGATGGCATAGTCAAGAATCGCGGAATGCACGTCCCGTCGAGGATCATCGCTTGAAGTGGTAGGACCAACTTGGAGAGCCAGGCGATGTACCAAAGTCCAAGTCGTTTCTGCTGAGAAGTTGAGGCTAGTGGACCCCATTTCGCGTAAGAGATCCAGCCACCGGGAATGAGTCCCAACTAGAAGTCCTTGCCATGCCATGAATTCATGTACATTCTGGTCAGTAGGACAATCAGCCTGGCTCGCTTGAACAAGATTCGACGTAGGCCAGTCCTGGAAAGAAAGATTCAAAACTTGAAGCGGGGAGTCGTTTGGTAGCATCAATGGGAAATGATGCCAGAGTGAAGCTTTTTTTCGGTTGCCAGTCCAGGTTTGAGTCGAAGTATCGTAGTACTTCGGCTTCAGACCGCAGACCCGGCGTACAGTAGACAAATCAATGGGGAACTCCCATCCCGAATAGTGTGTCTTGACATGTGCCTTCTGTTCGGACCCTAAGACGACGTTACACGTAGTATCGTTGGCATACGGACGAAGTTGCGAGTACTCTCGGATCAGGGAAACTTGATCGAGGCAAGCGGTTGGTGGGTGACATAGCGTGGAAAGGATGAACCAGGTGGCATCTCGATACGCTGCAAAATCTTCAGGACATCTCAGCTCAAAGAGCGTTGCTTTCGCAGCCGGTTCCCAACCAGGTAATGGATGTTCGTAGATCTTGATCCTCAAATTGTTCGCCTTGTCTTGAAGAGCATGTCGTTTGCAGGGCCACCGGTGTTGGGACTCGGTTGTGCCGTCCCAAAGAACAACTGGGTCCCAAAGGCAATCTGTTTCATTTCGTTGTTCGGTTAGATCCTTGTATAGTTGCGTTGTTTTCTCCCATTCGACTTCTTTGGCGTCGAACCTATAAGAAGCATGTTCCTCGATATCTTCGCGCATTTCCAGGAGATCCCTTGATGTGTCAGAACAGTCGTAATATCTCGCAGCAAAACAGGAATCCCCAGGATCGTCGAAAATGGTCTTGCATCCGAACCCTTGACGAGACGGGTTTCGCGCGGTGAGATGGGCTTGAACGTCTTGCACACGATTCAGCTCTTGGAGTGTGAGCAGCTGTATAGGATCGAGAATATCGTAATCGAAACCGCAACGGTACTCCTCCAGAAGTGGGTAAAGCTTCACGGCTGCCCTGTCCATCAACACCCATATCTCGAAGAGATATAGGAGCATTTGACTCTTCTGATCAGGATACCCATCCGCTGAATCCTTAATTATTCGCACGTACTCCTTTATAACTTTGCTCATCTCCACGATGAAGCGTGAGCCTTCAGCGTTTGCAGTAGCCAATTTCGGTGCAATCACGTCCTCGTGGTATTGAGATATGGAGATATGACGGCGTGTAATTTCCATATAGGGCTTGACGGAAGCGGGAGATTGCTCATACTGCTCCAGCAAGTCAGAAACCGCGTACGGTTGGATGTTTGTGTCATTGGCCTGATGGAGCAGAACTCCACGGAGAAGTTTAGCGCTGTTAGTCAGTCGTAAGTTGAGCTCCGTAGGATAAGCGTGTCGGCGCAAGAGTGGAACTTTGCGTTCACACGCTTGCTTGTGGTTTCGCCACACTGACTTCAGATACCCTCCCGTTGTTGATATTATACCGTTGAATCCTGGTTCTAGAGATCGAACTAGATGAACGTAAGTCTTCCTTGTGGTTTCAGTAGCTTGATCGGCGTCTGAATCGATTTTAGCGAGGCGGCGTCCTAACTTCTGTCGTAGATAGAAAGATGCTTCGAAAGGGATTCGCTTCAGAACTTCTTCCAGGAATTGGGAGAGAAAAAGGCACATGGTGAACTTGTAGTGGAGCCGCCCAATATCCGCTCCGAAAAGTCTATACAAGTAGCGCTGCATGGCTACCCGAATGACAAGATAGAAGGGGGACCTCCGCCATGGCTTACGCGCTTTGTCGAACGATACCGTGTCGCGCACACGCTTTCGCAAAATTGGTACTTGTATAGCATTACCGTTTGCTTCCAATAACGTCATCAACAGACCAGACACGATGGCAGGGTCAGAAGTATCTCGAATTTCTGGGAGTGAGGCGGCCGCTTTGCACGTTGTGGAGGCAAATTTGGCGATGTATTCGGTGCTAGCCTGCTCCATGAAAGCAGCCAAGCTTTCTTGAAACGAGTCCTCCGAGAAGGTCTCGTAAGGGATAGATACAGCACAGCCAGGGAAGTCCCATAGGAGCGCGTTCTTGGTAGCAAGGACTTTATCGCATGTGGCAGAGGTTTCAAACGCCTCAATGACGACGCGTCGTTCACCACAGTCGCTTGAGTAGTCAGCATAGGCACCTTTATGAATGGTGATTGGCTTACATGGAGTGTTCGTAAACAAGAAGAGCGCAATTTTGGGCGGACGCGTAGAGAATTAACATCTTGCGCGAGGTGAAATTGCGAAGCTCCCTTAGTAGGGTCGATCTTGTAATCATGCCGTCCACATTCAGCGATTTGCACGTTACCAGTGCGTCTTGGAGGGCTCGTATGTGGCTTTGGTGTTCCGGCATCGCATGCGTGGAAAGACTCGAAGTGGTATTGATAAATCGTACCAAAAGTGCCTCCTCAAGGCGGCGAAGGTTCCTGTCCTCCTGACCGGGGACGTTTCGCGGCAGGGCGACATGATAGTACAACTGATCGAGGAAGGGCATGCCTTTGGGAGGCGCCATGGCTGCCTACTGCAAATAGCAGCGGCGGAATTTAGTCTACAGGAAAAATGAGGGACTGTAGAACACGCTTGGGCGGAGTGTGCGAGGTGAGTTGAGGCGATGAGGCGCAAGGCTACAAGGCTGCTGCGCTCTTATTGGGAAGGTACGTGCCAATTGGAAGGTACGCTCGGTCGCAAGTTGATCCGGTGCCAAGCATCGCGAGATGAGGCGACGGGTACATGCAGCGCGGGTCCTAGTTCACTATGAGCGGTGAAGTGACGCTACATTTTGAACTGTTCATCCTCCCGTCACGTCGGTGACTTTCTCAAAGTAGGTCATTTGCGCGATGCAGAGAGTGCTGGTAACATATCGTGAACGTGGTGGGTATGAATTTCGCATATCGCGGGGCGAGGTACGAACAGGTGCATGTAGTAAGCGGCTACATTAACGTCCGCATGCGATGCGAGTCTAAAAATACTCCTCCCATCACTCGCTTCTTCAACGCCTCTTTGCACGCCGTATTTCGTTTGATATAGCGAACCGCATCAGGATGAAATATTGGAGTGAGAGACTGGGACAGGGAAGAGCATTCAAGCTCGGCAGACAAAAACGATAAACGAGAGAATGTAGAGAATGTAGAGAAGTATGGAGATGTGGGTATTCCTTAACAGAAACTAACAGGAGGACAAAAATCTGGAAAATAGACGACAAGGGGATAATGTGGAAGCCATTGCTGAGAAGCTATACAGCGGTGATCACGCAAAAAACAAACCACCTACGTTGTGACCCATTTGCTAAACACACGACGTCATTCTCCATCAGCCAGGAATTGGTCCCAATGGCTTCGATCATCTCTGACTCTCCGAACCATTGGATTCGCCGAGTAGGTGGAGAACGCGATCAAGCAAAACGGAGGGACAGGGGGCAATGTAAGCACCCGCCAGCAGGTCATCGTTGGTAGGACAGCCAAGCATCTCGCGGAGGAGTACGGAAAACCAATATCATATGAGTATCTGGCAGGCGCAAAAGCGGTTGACATGAGAAAGAGGTCTGAAGACGCGCCGCGTGAGGTTTGGATCGTTTACCCGATCGCTGCCGATTCTGCACCTTCCATCCCGCCATCGCCCATAGCACCTCCCTCATTCGCTCAAGTTTCTCCGATAACAATTCATTTCATTAATGTCCAATGAACAATTATGCATTTTGATTAGTGCACCCAATCAAACACCTTTCTTGACGAAGCTCCCACCGAGTCATGCCTCGCAAGTCGACCTTGCTTTCAGTACCCGGCTGTCATTCCTCGGGAACCGCGCTCGCATACGTTGAGTCAACGCCACAGCAGTCCGTCCTATGGCCACCTCGGTTGATTCGATGCCTATCACCGCTATTCCCGCAGGATTCCACGCCTATGATGAACGCGGAAAGCTTCTAATAGGCGAAGGCGAAGGGTGTTTGCCCTGGAGTTATTCCGCCTCCATGGCGCAACGCTGGAACAAAGCTTTTCCTCACGTCGAAGTGGTGCAGCAATTGTCGCATTTGGCACTCCTTCCCATCTAATTCGCTTCTGTGCGATTACGGCGACAGTAAGGCGTCTATTGCGCTGTGTTTTCCCGGGGTAAGAGTCGGATTCGCCATTGGCGGGGTTTGGGCCTCGGTCAGCATCAGCATCAGCGTCATGGTTCTTAAAGACATCGACAAAGAGATCGCGGTCGCATCGTCATCGGGTAAAGAGCGAGGCGCGTCCACGGCAGACAAGTCTCCTAGAATCGAAGACATCGATACAGAAGATGACGACCAAACATCACTTTCCTCAGGGTCAACGGACTCTATTCATCCCGTAGCAGACGCTCGTCCATCTATCAACCGTACGTGGAGCCTCAATACTGGACACTCGTGGCTGGGCAATAAAGAGCTTGCAGCTATCACGACAGTTACTACGAATGCGACACATGATCCTAGGTTCGAAATCGACTTCGACGATGATGGAGAGAACCCCCAGGATTGGTCCATGGTGAAGAAATCCCTGATCATCTTTTTCATGTCTTATTCTACATTGGTGGTGGTCATGTACTCGACAAGCTACACAAGTGGTATTCCTGGTATGATGCGGACATTTGGTATTGAGTCGAGAACGCTCATCGTCCTGGGAATTACGACGTATCTCACTGGCATTGCTCTCGGGTCGTTACTCCTAGCTCCTTTGTCTGAGATGTACGGCCGAAGACCGGTATATCTTATTGCCATCTTTGCCTTCACGGTCCTGGTTATACCATGTGCCCTATCGAACAACCTCCCGCAGATCCTCGTTACGCGTTTCTTTGGTGCTATCGCTGGTTCGGCCATGATAGCCAATGCTCCTGGAACCGTTTCCGACATTGTGAATGAACACTATCGGGCCCTAGCCTTTTCAATATGGAGCATTGGGCCAATGAACGGCCCTGTCGTAGGACCTCTTGTGGGGGGCTTTGTTTATGAATATATGGGCTGGCGGTGGACGAATTGGGTTGTAATGATCGGCGCAGGAACAGCTTGGCTTATGATCTTTTGTATATCCTCCTAGGGCATCATAATTATGCATTAGCTAACACATCATTAGTCATAAAGGAGACATACGCTCCAGCCCTCCTCCGCGCCAAAGCGACCAAAAAACGCAAAGAAACCAATGATCCACGCTGGCACTGTCGCTACGACGACAAGAAAGAATTCTGGCCTCTCCTTCGCGAAAACCTCTACCGCCCTCTCTACATGTCCGTGAAAGAGCCCATCTGCATATTCTGGAATGTCTACATCGCCCTCATCTACAGCGTTCTCTATCTTTGCTTCGTAAGCTACCCCATCGTCTTCGGCGAGCTGCGTGGCTGGTCGCCAGGTTTCATAGGACTGGGATACATGGGAATTGGGATTGGTGGCATGACGACCATTCTGAGCGAACCTCTGATACGACGCATGATCAATGCGCATAAGAAAGATCCTGAGACGGGCAAACCTTATCCTGAGGCGATGGTTAGTGTCGTCTGCATCGCTGCCCTACTTGTGCCTATCGGAGAGCTAATCTTTGCCTGGACCGGCGCATCCCTGAATGTACACTGGATCGTTCCCCTCATCGCTGGTATCCCCTTCGGCGCTGGCAATTGCGGTGTTTTTATCTACGCCTCGAACTATCTCGTTCACTCTTACGGTATTTACGCTGCCTCTGCACTCGCTGGTAACACAGTGTTGCGGAGCATCATGGGCGGAGCTCTACCTCTCGCTGGACCGAAGATGTATGCGTCCCTTGGCCCACGGTGGTCTGCAACAATGCTCGCGCTCATCGAATTCGCTATGATTCCTATTCCGGTCGTCTTCTACCTCTACGGACACAAGATTCGTCAGGAATCGGATCTTATCAGACACATGCGTGAGGATAGGGAGAAGCTTGAAGGTCGCAAGAAGAGAGCGGCCGAAAGGGTAGATAAGTCGAAGGGTACGGAGGGGCGGAGCCCACATGTACATGAGAAGAAGGCATTGGAGGTCTGATGAAGAAAAGCACATGGGCTGTTTAGAGAGGTCTACAAAAATGGCATTGGGCTAAATAACAGAGCTTGCCTTACTTGTATAACTAGGCTTGTCACATTGGGTATCAAATATCGAGTATCTCAAAGCCAGATTCCACACTAACTATACTCCACCCCTCCGAAGCAGCATCAGACATGAGCTCCCATGCCTCGCTGTGCTTACTCTCCTCCCCCTCTGATGCCTCTATTATCTCGACCATCCTTCTCTCATGCTCATCATGCATCAAAACAGCCCACAGTGGTCCCTTCACCCACTCTATTAAACTACATGTATGCACCTCCTCTGGACCTTTCTCGTCCTTTGCAAACTCTGCGCAAGAGCAAGGCCAGTACATGCTGCCGTTGCCTACACAACAGCAAGTACAAGGGAACGAGCACCCACCGCAGGAATCCGCATAGCCAAGCTCCCAGCAACCGGACTGGTTGCGGTGCCATTGCCACTCGTACACCCCAAACCATTGAAATCCGCTGATGCGTGGAATCGGCGGCTTCATGAAGCGGCGGCGACGGAGAAAGTATTCGTTTGGTGTGAGGATCTCTTTGAGAAGGTTGTGGGCGTGGATATCCAAGGGTGTTATTGGGAGTGTGGTGTTAGGTATAGGGGAGGTAGAAACAATTGTAGAGTTGGCGTGTTCCTCGTCATCTTTGCGAGATGCGGGGACCGTAGTAGTAGTGCGAGTGCACTGTGCCTTTCGTATTCGATCTTCTTTGACAGACCGCATCTCGCCAATCCTCTTCCTGCCCCATGCACCAAAGTCCTCTCCGCTCATCATCCACCCATCCATCTCAACTCCGGCTCGTCCCTCGAAGATCTCGGCGTATTTTCCGAAGCGCTGGTACGCGACAACTTCGTCCATAAACTTTAAATCGTCCTTAAAGTCACTCTCCGCGCCCCATAGCTCCTCCCACGGCCGGTTCTGGGTGTGGTGCTTCGATTCTTCGCGTTGAAAGAGACTCGTCCAGTACTTTGTAGGTCGATAGTCTTCGCCGCGGTGGCCTCGTTTACGAGAGATCTGTTCTGGGTATTTCTTTAAGCGGCGGTGGGCGTAAGAGGCGGCGCGTAGGTCGGAGAAAGGGTGGGAAGAGGTACGACCTGCGGCGTTCATAAGGGACTCGGATGCCATCGTTGAAGGGGTTGATTTCTGTATTGGTATGTCTGCCTTAAGTGCCTGCAAGTTGGGAGGGTGTAGTACACTCAGTTAAGAAGACTACTAGATGTCGCGCAAGGACAGTAAGGGTTTGGTTTGGAGATGTTGGGAAACCTAGCTGCTGGTGAGTGACTAAATGGTGAGCAGACATCAAACGGTACTCTTATGAGGTCAGCAAGACTGTAGACATGGACTCTACTGCGTCCATCACAGTCATGATAGAGAATAGCCCCGCCCTTACGAAGATTGCAGGGCGGGTGGCTGAGCGAAAGGGCGCAAGATGGCTAGGTAGCCTGTATGATAGAAGGCACTTAACGTGGAAGGTGTGCGCGAAACGGCTATCCAAATCGTACGCGTAATGGCTGTGCAGGCATGTCAAGAGGCGGTGCAATCGTGGCTTGAGCACGCGACGCGACTGCCAAGAATCAGCATCTTCGCGCGGCCGCAGCAGCAATCTATCAAAAAGATCGTGTCAAGTGTGAAGATGGGTATGGGACATCTCTAATTACATCGCGGGCATTTTACTAAGGTAGCGCGTTTGCATGAGAATGTTGCATAAGAGGAAATTGGGAATTGTGGTCATTTCACAAAGCTGCTCAGCCTTGGTTTCTCCTTTCTTTGCTATCTGCATCTACGGCCATAATAATAATAAAGAAAGATAGTCATGAGCTGGCACATCCTTAACGGCGCACCTGAGACAATTTCAACGTTTTGCAGAAAGCCTCGGTACCTTGCAAAGTCTAATTTTGAACTCATACTAAGAATAGCATGCTATTGTGCCTCTGAATTCCCAGCCATCAAAAGTATAGTCGGTGAGCTTGTCCCTACCAACATCGCTTCTACACTACCCATTGCACGTCATCAACAAGCGAACCCCGTTTAGACACAATTCACTTTCTGCAGCTAAGCGAACCGATAACACATTTGTACTAGGGTACTGCGTAGACATATGGAGAATGTTTTGAATTGGTAGTCCATTGCTACTTGAGTGGACTCCATACGCCTTGTCCAGTCTACACCAGATGCGAGAAATTCAAAGAAGACAAAGCAAGTAAATGGTCGTATCGTTGAAAGTAGGTCAAATCAATCAGCAAGCCTTGTGTGATCAGCATTCCGAGATTCGCAAAGGCAATAATGTGGCGACTCACCTGTAGCTCACTAACGTGTCGACGCGGTGATTACTTGTGCTGAAGCTCCTCAGCTGGACCTTCTCGCCGTTCTTGATTTCTTTGGCATCACTGTCACCCCATTCAAGCGGCACATCGGAGTCGGCATCTGCATAGACCAGCACGTTGAACGTACAGTTGCCGTCTAACATGGGTAGGAAAGTAACGGATGCTGTGATTTGGCGGAAAATGGACTGGATCTCAGCTTGGATTTCTGCTTCGGTCTTCTCTTCTGGTGTCTCGTTTGCTCTGTGGACTCATCGTCAGCAACCACAACCTTATCCGAAGGCTTTCCACACTTACTCTGGGGCGGTGTTTTCTTGGTCTGTTGTCTTTTTCGACGTCTTTGTTTTCGAACTCTTCCCGAAGATTTGGACCTGTGTTGCGTCAGAAGCGAATGTTTACGATGTCTTATTGACTCACGTCGAATTGCCATCGCTCCACGTGCTCGCCAGTTTCCTTGCTGGTGACGACGACGACTAGTTTTGAGATCTTGCCGCCGTACATCCACTCCTTCAGTTGAGACATGATCTTCTTGATGTATGCCTTGACCTGATCGTCGGCCGTGACTATGTATGTTAGTTCAGACGTCAGCGATAGCGAGGATGTACACACCCATCATAGTCAGCCCATACTTCTTGACTCTTCACTTGGTTAGTGGCTGTTATCGTGTTGATGTTGAGATAGACACTTACGCGGTAAAGTCTTCAGCTGGGTATACACCTCGCTGGAATCTGCTCATTGTCAGTGATGCATCGACCTCCAATACAAGCGTGCTTACAGAATAGTATTTATCGAGTACTCGAACTGGTCAAGATAAGTATGTGCTTCGTCATTTGTCGTGATTCTAGAGTGCTACTTACAAACTCATTGACAACCTTCGATGAGCCTTTTAGCGCGAGTTTGTGCACCTTGGAGGAATCGCCCTTGGACGACTTTGATTTTGATGAACTCTTTGGTTGAGACATGCTCGCTGTATAGTAGTGTGGTTGATAGAAGGCTTTGTTTACCGTGTTTGTTGATGGGGTAACTGTGGTGGGCGAGACCTATGGTGGAGTACTTGGGAGATAGCTAGATAGTAAGAAACGAGGATATTAGCACAATGCAACAACTTTTGTGCCACTCGATCGCAGGCCTTGTATAGTGCACGCAGCGTGGGGAATGGAATGGAGAGAGGGTTCGTGGTGGGTCTAGTGTCGGTGCAGCTGCAGGAACTGCCGATGGCCGATTAGATAAGATGAGACTCAGAAAAAGTCGCTGAGCACGCATCCAGTACCATCAGCAGCCACTCCTCCCTCGATCCCATGCCCACTCATGCGATCATGCGTCCGGACCGCGAGCAGCCTTCTGCAGGGCTGGCGGACGCGCTCTGCTCGCCCCAATGGCTTCCCTGGGGCCCTTTGCAGCCTTGAACGCCTGCCATCACTCGCCAGGAGCTATGCGCAACCTTTCCGCCCCCAGTCGGAGCTGGAGAAACGCATCGCTGATATCCCCATCGAACGGTACCGCAATTTCTGCATCGTAGCCCACGTCGATCATGGCAAGTCGACTTTGTCTGATCGCCTGTTGGAGCTTACAGGCACCATCCAGCCAGGCGGAAACAAGCAGATCCTCGACAAGCTGGACGTCGAGCGAGAGCGCGGCATTACTGTCAAGGCGCAGACATGCACCATGATATACAACCACAATGGCCAAGACTATCTGCTGCATCTGGTCGACACGCCCGGCCATGTCGACTTCCGTGCCGAGGTGTCGAGGAGTTACGCCAGCTGCGGCGGCGCACTGCTTCTGGTGGATGCCAGTCAGGGCGTGCAGGCGCAGACCGTTGCCAACTTCTACCTCGCCTTCTCGCAGGGCTTGACGCTCGTCCCCGTGCTGAACAAGGTTGACCTCCCTCACGCAGACCCGCCCCGTGTTCTCGAGCAAATGCGAGAGACATTCGAGCTGGACCCGGAAGCCGCGGTTCTCGTCTCTGCGAAGACGGGCTTGAATGTTCCAGCGCTCCTCCCCACCGTCATCGAGAAGATACCTGCTCCCGTGGGCGACCTTAGCAAGCCTCTTCGTATGCTACTCGTCGACTCGTGGTACGATGTATACAAGGGTGTCATACTGCTGGTGCGTATATTTGATGGGCAGGTGCGGCCTGGAGACACCATTCGTTCTTTTGCCACTGGAATCAAGTACATTGTGGGCGAGGTGGGCATCATGTATCCCGACCAGACACCGCAGACTGCGCTGAAAGCCGGCCAAGTGGGCTACATCCACTTCAATCCAGGCATGAAGCGATCACAAGAGGCCAAGGTTGGCGACACATACACTACAATTGGATCTGAAAAACTGGTAGAGCCATACCCTGGCTTTGAGGAACCCAAGAGCATGGTCTTTGTGGCTGCCTTTCCCACAGATCAGGACAACCACGAACATCTAGAGGACAGCATCGAGCAGATCATTTTAAATGATCGCAGTGTTACCCTGCAAAAGGAATCGTCAGATGCATTGGGTGCTGGTTGGCGCTTGGGATTCCTAGGCACCCTTCATTGCTCCGTCTTTGAAGACCGCCTGCGTCAAGAGCATGGAGCCAACATCATCATCACGCCTCCCTCCGTACCCTTCAAAGTCATGTGGAGAGACGGCACTGAATCCATCGTCACTAACCCCAACGAGTTCCCCGATCAAGATCAAGCCCATTTCAGGGTTCAAGAAGTCCATGAACCTTATGTATTGGTGACTGTCACCTTGCCAGACGAGTATCTCGGTGAAGTCATTAAGCTATGCGAGTCCAATCGTGGCGAGCAAAAGGAGCTCACCTTCTTCACTGCTACGCAGGTCATTCTCAAATACGACTTGCCGCTATCGCATCTCGTGGACGATTTCTTTGGTAAGCTCAAAGGTGCTACCAAAGGTTACGCGTCTCTCGACTACGAAGACGCAGGCTTTCGCAAGTCTTCCATCGTCAAGCTCAACCTCCTTGTCAACGGGCAAGCCGTCGATGCCGTATCACGGGTGATGCATACATCGCAGATCGAAAAGGTCGGCCGTCAATGGGTCGAGAAGTTCAAAGAGCACGTTGAGCGTCAAATGTTTGAGGTTGTGATTCAAGCAGCATGTGGAAAACGCATAATCTCAAGAGCCACCATCAAGCCGTACCGTAAGGACGTCCTAGCAAAGCTCCATGCGAGTGATCTATCACGCAGGAGGAAACTACTAGAGAAGCAGAAGGAGGGACGGAAGAAGCTCCGGGCTGTCGGCAGCGTTGTGATAGAGCAGGAAGCTTTCCAAAAGTTCCTGGCCAAGTAGTAAATTTGATACCCAATATCTCCTCTCATCGACTACCCTATGCAACACAAAACATACTATTCGATTGTTTCCACAGGTCACCGATTGTTCGGACTTCGAAGCCGGTATCTACAAATGTGGCTTACTCGGGCAGCAGATGAAACACGTAGCCGAGACGCATTAACACACCGTCTTCCATCGGAGTAGTTCCCCTAGCCCGTAGTGTTCGCGATCGATGAATGTTAGGAGATGCTCTGATCGGCGCTAAGATCAATGACATCAGCACATCAACGTTCGCCCACTCGGCTCCATCTCAAGCCCGCGTACCTGACAGCTAACGACGTAGTCAAATCCTAAATCTCTCGCTAATCTGCCTTTAGTATGGCCATGCATATTCGTTCAAGGTTGTCGCGGACGAGACAACTGGGTCTAACTGCTAGATCTGCCATGACGTTAGGGTGATGAGAAAACGTTGGGACTGAAGCTGAACTCGTGGGGCTCCTTAACGGTGCGACGGCTCGATTGTCTAAACTTGAGTGCGAAGCTTCTCGCAACATCCGGCATCGATACATTAGAACCTGTCTCGAGACTTCTGTGTTGAGAAGTGCGATGACAAGGTTTCTTGGTCTTAGAGGGGCGCGGTTGACGAGTGCTATTAGTAGTGTCTGCGGGCTATCCTTCCTGTAAGATATCCTTCACCGAGAAACTGTATGGGACATAGATGCTGATATGACGCTGATGCTTCGGCTTCGCGCAAGGTGTCATGGGCGGTCTGTTGACCGTCCCTGCATTTCTTGAGTGGTTTCCACAAGTCGATATTATCAGCAACTCTTCGTTCCATAACGCATGGGTCACAGGTGCGTAACCAAGACGCGCACTAGGACTGCTCACTTTCAGCGGTGCTATGCGTTACGAGAACAAGACGCTGACCTACTCAGGTCTTACGGTCGGAGTATGGCATGTAGGCTGTATTGTCTCTGCCCTTCTCACTATCTTTATCGGTGACGCCCTGGGACGTCGGCGTACGCTTATTCTCGGGCTCACATTCTGGGTGATCGGTGAGATTATTCAAGCATCGTCGTACAGTTTTGCGCAGTTTCTCGCGGGACGCGCGATAGCTGGTTTTGGTAAACTCACAATTTCTTTACCCTTTGCCAAATTGGTTTCAGAGGACCAGGGGACTGATAGAGTAGTACAGGCAACGGCTTCACCACTTCCACCACGCCTGCCTACCAAGCAGAATGCGTGAAATCCCACCGCAAGGGCACGATTCTTATGATCAGCGCTGGAGCCTTCGTCTCCTTCGGTCTAGCCCTCTCATACTGGCTGGTCTTCGGCTTCGCATACATCAGCAACTCCTCCGCAGCATGGCGCGTCCCCATCGCGTTCCAAATCATATTCGCGTTACCAGCCATCGTCATGCTGTTTTTCCTCCCAGAATCACCACGTTGGCTGATACTAACGGGAAGGGAGGAAGAGGCGCTCATAGTCCTCGCAGCGCTGAACGATGCAGATACCAGTGACTTCGAGATCAGAGACGAGTTCCTGCAGATCAAGGACGCTATTTTGATCATGGCGCAAGGCTCTACAACAAGCATGTTTTCTAATAAAGAGCGACGGAGTTTCCACCGCATAGTCCTTGCATACTTCGTTCAAGTCTTCCAACAGGGCACCGGTATTAACCTCGTCCTTCAGTACCTCTCCTGGATTCTTCTAACTCAAATGTCATACACTGGATGGGTATCACGGCTTCTCGCCAGCTGCTCCGCCACCGCATACTTCCTAGCCTCATTTATCACAGTTGTCGGAATCGATCGCTTCTGGGGTAGGCGTTCGCTAATGTTGTTTGGGGCTGCGGGGATGTCAGGGTGCATGGTGTTGCTTACGCTGTTGCAGTACATGTGGCTCGAGGTCAACATTGAGGCAGCAAGAATTGCTGGCACGGTGTTTTTGTTCGGCTTCTCTGTGTTCTTTGCCATCGGATGGCAAGGCATGGCATGGCTGTACCAGGTCGAAATCGTCCCATTGAGGATTCGCGGGCCGGCAAATGGATTGAGTACTAGTGCGAACTGGACTTTGAACTTCCTGTAAGTCCCCTTTCTTCCACGCGAACGAAATTGTGCGCAGTTCGGGTAAATGTTTACTAACAGTTGACAGCATTGTTTTCATTACCCCTATAGCCTTCCAACGCATCTCATACCGCACATGGATCATCTTCGCCGCCACAAACTTCGCTATCATCCCACTTGTGTATTACTTCTACCCCGAGACCGCCTTCCGCTCCCTCGAAGAAGTGGACGTTATCTTTCAGCTAGCGAACGACGCTCCTGGCAATCCCTGGCTGAATGCAGTCAGGTTCAGTAAGAGCGAACCCTTATGGTTTGGCCAAAGGGGCGAGAAAGGCTTCAATTACGGAGATTCAAGCTGGCATAAGAGGCTGGTCGATAGCGTTATCAGCAGTGGTAGTGGTAGTGGAAATGGTAGTGGCAGTGCAAATGAGAAGTATCATGGCAAGGATGGGTTATCTGACAGTACATCACCCGGCGCAGGGTCGAGTGATTGGAATTCTGGAAACCAAACAACGCCACCTCGACGCCCAGCATCAGAGTCCCCTATTGATCCTATGCTGAGTACTTCGCCTCCTCTGTCTCCAGCGATGACAGTCACTACAACGATCCGAAGCGACAGGGAGAAACGCCCCAATAAGCTACGGAAGAAGAATAGCAGCAGAGCAGTCCAAAACTCAGTAAGCAGCGAACATTCAATAATCGGAACCAGAAGACTATCCGATCCCCTGGCGCCTACCCACCAAAGGACACGCAGTGATAGCGAAAGCTCGATACATTCTGTGCAGCCGGAGTGGTGGACAGAAACCCTCGCTCCGGCACCACTGTCAATTCGTTCCAGAACGCCGTCAGAGTCTCGTCCCCGCAGTCGCCCTAGTGCTTCAGACATACAACAGAGCTTCATTGACTATGCTTCCATTTATAGCCATAGTAACACCAACATCTTCGATCCTCGGATGGACTTTGCAGATCCTTATCTAGACAGTTCCAATTATCACGCGCAATCTGTCAATCATCGGGACGATACCCAGAGTATCATCAGCCTTTCTGAACGCTTGAGAGAGGGTATCGTACGGACGAGTAGTGATCGCGAGACTTATTTCCCAGATGGGCTAGCTGACGGGGTCAGAGAGGGAAGAGCCAGGCCTACGAGTCAGGGGAGTGTGGGTAGGCTTGCTGCTCGCAAGGCTGGACGAGCATACTAAGTGAACAACTGGATATGAGTGCGGCGTTTGGGTGTAGGCATGCCGTTATCATATGTCAGTCAGCGGGTCCACGTCGTTTCTCACTTTTTTCTTAGCTTCCACTGTCCTCTTTTGAACGCTTAATGAAGTCCCTCACATTTACCGCTTTTCATTTCGTCGGTGTCTCACATGCAGATCAATCTTTCTAACCAGCACTGTATTAAGGGTCTACGAAATTCAAACACAGCCGTCATTCTATGATAGCTCAAATCTCACGCCACACATCCAGCACCATTGTGCAAAATTTAAATCACGCCGTCAATCAGGTTCTTTACACATGATATATCACGCCAGTTTTGCATGAGGGAAGGCAATTTAATGCCTACCTATCAGTCCCTGGGCTGACCGGACCCCTAGAGGCTTGGTAGGTCACGCGTTCACTACCTGTGTTCCATCAACTCTAACCTAAGCGCTTGCCGACATCACCCTCTTTAGTTGCACAGCGCACAGACCTCCAAAAGTAGTTTCTTGGAAATTATAAACTGTGTGCAGGATGCGGTGTCTCCCAATGTCAAGACCTCAGCAGTTAGCTCCTAGGCTAACGTAGCTACTAAATATCTCGACAAGCAACATAGACTACGCGGCTTCAAGGCACAACTTTCCAGCGTTCGATTCCCTTCGTTCAGTGTTCCAAGAATTAGCCTGCGTCATCAACTGCGCCCAAATACAAGTAAATTCACCAGCGTACACGGAACTCAACGGCTTGTGTCACAGCAGCTGAGTGATACCATCCCCAAGCATACTACGCCTTGATGCAACATCGTCGTTCTACCAACCAAATTACTGAAAATTAGGAGCTTATCGCGTGTCCCAGCGAAAAAGAAGCGGTGAGGATCGACCTATCTGTGAATTGCGTTGCTATCATTTCCTGGTCTCCGGGTCAGTGCCCTGTCCACAAGCTGGACACGAACCCATTGTTCGGAAGGGGCCCTTCAGAAGGATACGTAGTTTCGGGAACGACACTTGTGCTCACATATAGCAGTTGTCGGCTTTGCACAGGGTCCATGGTGAATTGGGTCCACATGCTTCACGCCAAAAGTCGGAACTAGCTGTAGGCAGTGTCCCAGGCATCGACACACTAATCGCGTCACACATTATCAGTAACATGCTTATCCCTATTATTTGAAACGAGCACCAGGTCAGGTTCTCGTTACCAGGCCACCCCTTGCACTACAGCTCTGTGTGAGCTAGCAATCATACATGTACACGTGGTTCGAGTATCTAAACAGATGTTCTTATGTGTATATACAGACACTAATTGGTAATCAAGTTTTCCGCGGCCTCTCCAATCCTTCAGTTTAGGGTATGGTGTCTTGCGTAAAGCTTTCAGGCACATCTCATTAGAATTACACGGCACGTTTCCTCGTGTGCGACAGTGATACGTAGAACTGAGCGCACCATTGGGTACTCATAGGCTAGTAGCCATGTGCCCTTCTTTATCTGTGCTATGAGACAAAATTTTAGCCGTTGTACACTCTAGCGACCTGAGATCTGGTTTCCAGTAGATAGAAAAGTCATTGCACGTACAGCAAATGCTCACACCGATACTACCCTGGAACTGCCTTTATCTGCTTGCGACCCAACATCATCTATATAAAAGCATCCCTCTCCTTTTGTTAGATTTGTAACGAGTCCCCGACATAAATACTTCCTGTCGTCGTTTCTTTACTTCCGCTGCATACCTTCCAATAGCTGCGTCCTTTGCAACAAGGCACAATGTCAAAGACCTTACAAAGCCGCCCAACAGCCAATACGTCGGTTCTGATACCTCCACCATGCTTTCAGAAACATCCAAGGGCTCTGATTATTGAAAACTGTAAAGAATGCGGCGGTCACCCGTAAGTATGAGGAGTTATTTTCAGCTACTGGTTTCAGATATAATGAGTTATCATACCGGATGACCATGATTGTTATACATGTCTAGTTTGCATTGTCCTGCACCCCTCTGACTTTCACTATACTCCTCTATGCCCCGGGATAATGGTGATGCGAAGCTAACCTTTCTATAGGCCAGGATGTGCAGCCTGTATCAGGAACGGATACTCTGCGAATCCATGCACTCTTTGCAACGAATACCGAAACCAAATCACTGCGCTTGGGGGACGATGGGGATAGCATAAGTCTTTCAACAAGGATTTTTGATACCGTTGTGGTGTCTGTTTGCCGCTCACCATATCATGGAAACAGCGAAAATACTTGGGATAACAAGTTATGAATCAAATTGATAGAGAATAACGGATTGGGATTTTCACACTCGCGCTTCCAGAAGCCTCGTTCAATTCGTTATCGTCTCTGTTAGCTATCTTAGACCACCAATACTTGCTCACACTTCCATGCTCTCACATGAATTGCCCTGATTATGGGACGTCCTTTGCCCTCCACTCGGTTGCCTACACCCTTTCAGAGACATCACATCCTTTCTTCATTGTCCTGTCTCTTCTTTGTTGATGTCAAAATATAAATTACGCATGACACGTGCACCGCGCAAACGCAAAATACAAGTCTACCTATTATATTAGGTATTTACTATCCTCCTATCTATCGAGAGAACTGTACTACTCAAAGTTATTGAATGTCCTGCCACGTTGTCTTGTGCTCGTGAACCTTATGCCAACGCCAGAGTACCGTGCCAGATCTGCAGTGGGAGAGTCGAGTGGTTTGAGTTGAATGTTTACTTCGCCTTCCTTATGAATAACAGCGCGTCTTCTCACAATTAGGTCATCGCTGCGTATAGGTCTCAAATAAAGACACACTGTATACACCACGTTCAACCACATAGCCAAAACCGAAGGCGCTTACTCCTTCACCTGCTTCTAACAGGGCATCTTTTTCTCTTTGGTGGGTTCAAAGCGTCGATTGGCGAGCAATCCAGTTTTCTTTTAGCCCTAGAAGAAGTGGCTCTGAGTTCATTCCCTTGTACATGTATGAAGGCCGGTTTCTTCAGTTTCTTTGTGAGAGTGAACTGCATCTCGTTGCAAACTGCCTGCCTTTTTCTATTGTCTTCTGCATATCCATGAATATCGCCCACCTTCTTCAGTGATTTTGCATCGTTTGTACACTCTTGCGTGGACGAATTCCTCATGGCATAGAATAGCCTCCAGAGAGCCGAGGAGTCAAGGTTGGGGTGGTCTTGGACGAAGGCTTCATATTCACCGTCCTCTTGAGTTCTCCACCGGGAGGCATACAGGATTGCTATCCATTTACAGAGCCGAGAATGTGTCGGTAGATGCTTGAAGGCCAGAACAGTAGTTTCAATACCAGGTAAGCTTTCAAAGTAGTAGCAGCTTATTCTCTGGAACTCTAATAGCACTGCATCCCGTAGTTTCTCTATTTCCTTGGGGGCGAGTATGTAGAGCGTGGTAAGAGTTTTGTATTGGTGCTCAAGTGCAACATTGTCCCCCTCAGAAGGGCTGACGACTTTGCTCGCGCGCAATTTTCTATACAGGCTGAGAGTCTCTTCCATGTCAGTTTTGCTGAGATCGAGACCAATGGATAGGGCCCTCTTCATGATAGGATCAGCCGTCAGGCTGTTGGTGACTTGAAGATCCAAGGATCCGCTTTCTCGGCTTTCTTCTGACTCTGGAGGTATCTCATCTTGCCGACCACTAGTATCGACGTCCCCGATGTGCGAACCCAAATCGTTGAGGCTTACGTTAGAAGCCAGATTAGACTCCTGTGTATTGTCGGTTGGATCAATCTTATCCCCAGTCAGGCTCGATGTAGGTCGATCTTCAGCGGCGGCAGAAGTATCACAAGCTGTGCCCCGTAGACGACAATTTTGACAGGCATGTCCATGGGGCCCAATGTGGGATAGGTCTTCAAGTTGTTGGTGATAGACCTTACACTCATAGCCCTCCGCTATGCACTGGCTGCATCCGGGTCCGTCGACGGTTTTTCCATACCGACCCTGGATTGCTCGTGCATGGGCAATGTCTAGCTTTCGAGATTCCGGGAGAGTGTCCCAGATTTCGCCTAATGGAAAGTTGAAGCCAAATTCATGGTCGGTAGGCGGGTGTGTGGCATACTGGACAAGATCTGCAAGTTTCTTGATGGGGCCTTGTGTGAACTCAGTAGATGTCCATGCATACTTGGGCTTCTCTGTGGCTGCCGCCTTCTGGTCCTCCTCTTGCTCCATCTCATCAACCTCCTGGTCCTCCTCATGTTCCACCTTAGAACAGTCGCGCGTGACGATTACTCCTGGGAACTGGATACGTAGCTGTTCTTCGCAAGCCGGGCTGACTGCTTCTCTACTGGCAGTAAAAATAATATCCTTTACGTATGATGGAACGAGTTCTTCTCGTATCGCATGCCGGGATATTGGCTTCTTGTCATCATTGTCCGCGGTATTGTTGTCCTCAAGGGTACTCTGAGTGTCCAAAATGGAGTCGCTATCCTTTAATTGAACGCTCTCGTTGCCAGCATCTGGCTGTTCTTCAAGAATGCTCAGGGTATCCAAAATCGAATCGCCGTCGTTGAGTTGAAAATCTCCATTGCCACCTTCGGATTGTTCTTCGGGTTCTAGACCCCTCAACACCTTCTCGAGATACAAAGTTCCGTAATGCGCAAATTGCGAGACCATCCGGGTAGCTTCAATATCATAGCTGCCAAGATAGCGACTCCCAGCATATAGAGAGAGCTCCAGTGTCAGTTGCCTAGACATCATCAGCTAGTTTCTAGAAGTCAGAAAGCATAACCCACAGCCTAGGGTCTGAAGCATCAGCTTCGGATCGCCGAATCTTTTGGATCAGCTCGCGTTCTTCCTCTGACAAAGCAAATTGGGCTATCGTCTCTTCATCCGCCATTGTAAGCGTCGCCCACTCTCGGTCGCAGCGCAATGCCGCTTTTCGCTACAATTGGCAGATCTTCGATGGACTTGAGTTGAGAGTGGTTATGGACTGCGTTGCCATGAGGTTACCGTTCTGGAAGCGGGATTGCTGTAGGTGAGGTGAAGTAAGCAAACCGACGGCTATCCCGATGCACACTCATGCCCGGACCAATCAATCATTAGTCAGAGGCTGAGGAACAATGCTTGGAAGTATTGATATATCCAATGAGAGGCCTGCGTTTGAGTGAAATCAAGTTTAGCGCGCAACCTCCCCTTTAGCGTGCCTTGCTTCTGGCCACGGTAACCACGCCTCCGATTGCACCGTCATAATCTCTTCTCACTCACTACTCAACCACAGCCATATTGTACGCGTTTTATCCCGCTGGATCTTCAATTAAGTGTCGCGAAATCGAAGTAAAGAACAAAGACAGATAGTTGTAGTGGCATTGATAAACCCAGGTGTCGGGCAGAGCCCGAAGTTGTACCCAAGCCTGCAGCCGATCATCTCCCCACCAACGTTCTGCGGTGTGACCATTGGGACGACCCTCGACGGCAAACGTTACACCCGCCCTCGTAAACTCAGGTACCTAGGAAAACTTCATAAGCAGAAGAGATACAAGAGCAGGAAAAAGAGAGAGAAGAAAGGACCGATATACCGCGAATATATACGAAGAGTTGAAGTATTTACAAACGTATTCTCACAACCAAACACTTGTCACCAACCACCGCTGTGGTCTTTTCCGACATTCATGAGAGTACCTGCGCTACTCTAATCCAGCTTAGCCACTGCATGTACCAGCCTTCTTTGGCTCGCAGCCACCCGCGCAGCCAGTGTACATCTGACACTTGACCTTCGCATCTGCGCAGACGTTCTTCAGTGTAGCTGTATCGCCGTAGTTGGAGTTGATCCCAGCGAGCTCTCCACCTTTCACGGCAGTAACACCCTCAATGTAGACGTTACGCTTGCACTGCTTAGAGCACTGTTGTACAGGTCAGTTGTCACCCTCCCCAATTAGTATATATACGGGATACTCACATTTCCACAAGAACGGTACAGTTTTCCGTAGTCGTTGACATAGAAGTTGATGATGTTAACGGTCCCGCAACCGTTATGTTGCACAACCTTGTCAGACGCGTGGTAGGCACCACCACCAATGATCCAACTCTGGGTGCCGGGCTTATCTTCTTTAATGGAGATAGCATCCTCGCAGACTTGCTCGAACCAGACGAATTCAAGCACACAATTTCCTTGGCAGTGGACCCCCTCGGCCTGGTTCTTGCCGATAATCACGTTGCGGAGGGTGGCACCCTCATGTAGTAAGAAGACAGCGTCAGCAGCGCCTATAAACTGGTCAGTGTGGCACTGAATCGAAAGATTTACCAGTGATATATCAACATACCGCCTTCAGTTTGGCCAGAGCAAGCGCCATTACCACGGTCGTACCTATACCAGCCACCGTCGAAGACCTTGCCAGCAGGGACCTCAATGACCTTGCTGTTGGTTTTAGTATCAACAGCTTTAGGGACACCACCCGTATATCCGTTGCAGGCAAGAGCAGCGGGCAGGAGAGCCGAGACGGCTAGGATAACCCCAGCGAGCTTCATGATGGGTTTGGATTGGGGCTTGTTGGTGGTAGTCGAGATGCAAGCGTCTGATTATGAACTGGATACGTCGTGAGAAGAACGGAAAGGGGGCTTTGAAGGTTTAGAAGTCAAATTGCTCCAGGCTGATGAACGACCGTTTATTTCGCGACAGCCCGACCCTTCTTATACATTCTCTCCTAAGCTACTCTGATCTTTCCTGCCTTATCGTCGCCAAACATCTGACATCCAAGCAACTACAATCAGCCATCTCATCTTACCAGTTCAGCACCACCTTCACTACCGTACCCACTTCTTATTCGCGGAACTCCTCAATGACTTCTAGTTCTCTTGGCAGGCACCTCCCCTCAACCCAATAGCATTGCCAAGCACCCGTTGTGCACCACGTGGGATGGAGCAGGTTGCTTGTTCCCCTGCGGATGTGGTAGCCGTGAAACGCTTAGCTTTTGCCCCCTGTTCATTAATCGGACCGTTTGGGATGGGGTAGGGCTTAGCGCCTGCGACATGTTCTAATATGTGCCTCGGAAAATTAATCCACCATTCATTATTTCTCCGGTGATTACATTATTACACAGCTTTGCAGCTGTGATATGGGCAGCATGGAGGATGTTAGACGGCCGCGTTCCTCTCTGATAGCGCGCGAAGCGACGAGGAAGTGACCACCATGCGCTGAGTTACAACTCTTGCAAATGAAAGCCGAGCTTGCCTAGTTCTAACGGAAGTGGGTGATAATTGGAAATAACTTGCGACCAAGAGCTAATAGCCAAGTAGTACTACATTGCTAAAGCCTGTTATAGCGGAAGCATTAATAGGCATAATGCTTGTATCGGCCTCGTGAGAACACGAACTGTCTGCAACCCGGACTCTTGGTCTGCGATTAGCACACTTAGATTAGCAAGTGCTACAAAAGCTACACGGGGAGAATGAACACATTCGGGGCCGTCACGCCTAACGAACCGATTTTTTCTGCAGGTGCCTTCAAGCAAGAATTTGACTAGCAATGACTGAAGATGAACGCGTACCAACGCCGACGCAGATGACGATCGGAAAAGCTGGAACTGAATTCAGATTGAGGAAGTCTGCTGAATATTTCTTGATTTCTTTAACGCTAGATCAGTCCGACCTAGGTAGATTCACTAGGGTAGGTAGGATCAGAGCTCGACCCGATAAGGAAGGCATTAAGAGACTAGCTCAAACCTTGTGTCTAAGTAGGTCGCCAACCATGCATCACCTATATGCTGATTACTTCTCCTCTAGCTGTACATCTGTACCCCTGCTCCCGCGGTTCTCAGGATTCTACGCAGTCAGCTTTCGACTTTACTACATCGTAACCGAGCATGATAACCGAAGTCGACCTCTCAATGGTGGACGTGATTTATCCTTCGCGTGGAGTAAATATCAACATGCAGTTACAGATGCTAGCAATGCAGGAAGCCTCATACCCCAGATCTTCGAAAGAGGCGAACGATATACGCGAAGCTACAAGTAGTGTACACCGAATCCCATGGAGCATTTCGATGAACTGAATATTCCACAAATCAGTAGCTAGAGCTCAAACACTTCTAACAACCAATCAAGGGGTCATGTATCACTAGTCTACCCTCAGAGCTGTCCAGCAAGTTTTACAATCGACAGACGCATGTAATCTCGACGCATTACTCGGGGTACCCAAAACTCCCTTAAACCGACCCCGATATCTCTTCATTCCATTCTCCCGAAACACTGAAATGCAAGTCGTAGCCCGCTATGTTGAGATGCAAAGTCTTGCAAAAGAAATCTACAAATACCGCGTCAAGGCAAGCAATGAGACAGAGCTCCATTCCCTCTGCGAGCTGCTCTTAGCCGAGATGCTGGCTTTTTAACGCCTACCAGTTCTCCATGCCTAGAGACCCCGCTGCAGTACAGAAGCAATGTTCGAAAGCTCCGTCTTAGGTCTAAGGGACTACCTACTGAAGACATACATGCATACTTACCCTATGTAGAGTTCGCTGAGCAAAGTGCGTCGATAGCACACCCGCTTGTTCCCAGAAGCTCTTCCAAAGACCAGGCCCTTCGGAGGGCCACCGAAATATCACACTACGAAAGCAACCAAATGGACCCAAAAATATGCTGAATCGAATTCGCTCAGAATGGTAGCGGCTTCAAGATAGATATAACTGAGCAGTCAAATGCAGGAACTTAGTTTGAACTAAAGGAGAAACTTTCACATTAACCGCAGGTTCGAAAGGGGTTCTAGCTTCATGTCTTGTTGGTTTGCTATACTGAAGAATTATCGTAGGTCTTCTTTCAGTCTTTTGAGTCAATACATGTAAAACTACCAACGTCGTGTACCATATAGAGTCGATTCATACAACCGGCTCAATACAAAAATGCTCTTTAGCTTTTGGAAGTGCTATCCATCTTCAACGAAGCAAACGCACATATGTGTACAGTTCAGCCCACGTTGTCGGCGCTTCACCACACCGCTTCGCGTCGACCTACCATGACGTACACAATCCGCTTTCACCTCACATATGGACTGCGAATTGAGAACATGGGAAAGCTTCGTTCCACTGTCGCTTCTCAGTTTAAGCACCTACACCTACTCATCAACTTCGACCACAAACCAATCTCAACGCAATGACAGCACCGTCGGCGCAATTTGTTCGGCAACTAGCCACTCACTCACCTTCGTCTACCATGGAACCGCCCGCCCCTCTGACTACTCAAACCGCTACCACTGACGCCGCGACTACTTTCATCAATACCCACACAGCCTTCGAAGGTCACATTCCGCTGCTTGAGGAATGCCCTATATGCCTAGACAACTACTCCACGGAACCATGTGTTCGAATCATCGGGATTGAAGGCTGCACTCACCTTGTCGGGCTGAGCTGTCTGCAAGAGATTTTGCGTGACCATCCCGAAAAAGAGAAGAGGTGCCCGCTCTGCCGAGCCATGTGGATCGCTGCATCTGGTACCCCAGCGCGTAGGACAGTGCGGCGCGTATCCATGCCTCGCCGCATGACTGGCACGTTCTCCGGCCTCAATGGTTTTGGGGAGAACATTGCGGGCCAGGCTGGCGCAGGTATTGAGGGGCAGTCTGCCAATACGACTGCGAATGGGAACATGCCCACAGGCAACCTACCGGGCTTTGTACCTTTGATCGCGCGCAATCAGCGCAATACCACGATGCAGAATCCGATCCTCTTAGACTCCGACTCCGACTCCGACTCCGACTTGGGTAGCTACGAGGCCCAGCTGGAGAATTTTGAGCAGTTGACGCGCGACATAGAGAACATCCGCACACGTGCCCGCAATACACAGCTCTCACGTAGCCATCGTCGCCGGGAACCTAACAGCCGTCAACGAAGTAACATCATCATTGCAAATCAGACTACCAACGCCAGCACCGATAGCCCAAGTGCCGCCGCAGGAGGTAACCCGTCTAGTGGTGCAGGAGCCTTCAACTTCCTCAACCGCAATCTACACCGCTTCCGGCCTACTACAAACGATTCCATGACCGCAACCCATAGTCGCAATCGTCCGCGTGCTAGCAACTCACCTCTCCCACAACAGGACCAAGAACAAAGCGTCGTCATGATGCAATTCGGTCCGTATAGCAGCCATACTGCCTCACCAAACCCAGCCCCCACAATCATGGACGTGGACCAAGTCATCGAAGAACCCCATATTCAGGCCCAGTCTGCCCGCGACACTATGCGTACGCGTGAACTAGACCAGCGAGGGACTTGCCTTGACGACCGTGAGACGAGGCTGAATCAGAGGGTGAACGCCTTATTGCAGCGGGAGCTAGCGTTGAGGGACAGGGAGCACCGGGCAAGGCAGTTGGTGAATGTGGTAACAGCGCAGCGGGATGAGATGCAAAACTTGCTGAGGAGGCAGATGGAGGATCTTGAGAGGGTTATGCAATGAGTTGTTTGTAAGTGAGAGGAGGCATGGGGGTAGAGGCGAGATACTGCATCATCGCTCTATCATTCAATAGGGATGATCCAAAGATCATGTGCTAGGCTGAGTTTCGCAAGGATACAATGGTGGGGATACCTTGGCTCATGGCAGATATCCGTCACGATGGTTGTCTGACGTCCCATACTAGCGGTACGATCACTTGCCATGCATATGAGCTCGGTCGAGCTCGGCAGGCTGCATTTGGTATTTGGCGTTCCGATTTCGGCAATCCTTTGCTATCTAGGGTTTGGTAGTGCGGTAGTTATTCCGGGTAGAAGTGCGGGAGGAACTCCATCCTCTGCCAACCCCGTATATCCAGTTCAACACGCAATATGTCTCTCGTTCGTGGCATGGATTTGATCTGGACATGGTGCATCGACGTCCAAAACGCTAGAAGCGTAGATCGGGACCTCCGATAAGGCTACTGCAGTAGGTTCTCTTAGCGAATACCTAGCTAGGTACGGCGTGCGCGATGATCCCTGCCTAAATGGCGATGCCGAACCGTCGGCGCAGCACTCTGCAGAACAGTAAAGAGAGCCCTCTAATTGAAACGGTGAACACATGAGAACTATTGCCAGCTAAGGGAGTGCTTTGTATTGTACTAGCAAAGCCCGCGGGATTGAACGATTGAAATCTGGTGGTGTTGTCGTAAGGAGGACTTGGCAATGTTGTCCTATCGGTAGTCATTTTCCTATAGTTCATCAACGCGCTTCATAGACATGCAAAACTATGCCTTTGAATCCTAGGCACTACTGTAGCTCCGCAGTGATGGTACGATTCCAAGCTGGCCATGCACTTAACGCCCTCATCTAGACTACTCGCTAGTCTGAAGTGAGCCAGTTCCCGTAAATAGTTCATATTTGCGCAATAGCGTTGTGAGGGGTCGTTGGTAGAGTCTAGAGGGTGCTTCAGAAGCTCATGATACCGAAGATATGGCCGAGCCAGAACGTTGTTCCTTGATAGGCTACCAAGTATGAAGAAGATACATATGCACATGAAGCGAAGACAGACTGGGTGGAGAAGAGAAGACTGCAAATAAGAAACAATAGTAGAAAATATTAGAAAAAAATAAACGAAAACAATGTAGCGTAAGCGACTGATGAACTCAAACCAGGATATCGGGAATCCCATGCTTTTACCATGCCGTTTTCTTATGCTCCACCGCTTCATAGTACCCAAATTGGAGTGCTAGCGTACAGCTAACCCAAATGACCAACGCCAACGCTAATTGAAACTATCGCCCGAAACTCGCTAGGGGCTATCAAAAGGTGTATGTATCTGAACAATGTGACCAGCACAAAATGGACGATGCGGACGCGCCGAAACAACGCGCCGAAAGAATATGGGGAAAGTGATGCGAACCGAGGTGTTCCAGAAAAGGTATGTATAGGCATTGTAGAAGGAAGAAGGGCCGATAAGTAATTGAAGTTGGTGAAAGGTCGTAGCAGTCGATAGTGAAGCGTAATGCGTAGTTGAACCGGTATAGAGGGCGTGGGCGGCAAGAAGAATCAATGGCGCGTATCAAAGGGTATCGTGGTAAAATATGCGACTGAGATCGATCGAAGGAGAGGCGTACTCTGAGTGAAGGGAAACGCAGCCGACGTGCCCGTTGGGATGATGTTCCTATGACCTCGACATGAGCACCTGCTGGATCTGTGCCAGCGATGGGTCCTCGTTGAGCCATTTGCCCTGCGCAGTATCCTGGGCGCGTAGCGTGTTTTCAACATAGGCATCTGAGGTGGCGAGGAGTTCCTATAGTCAGGCAATCAGCGAAATTCTACCATTAAGGTCTTTATCTACCAGCAAGATAGCGGTGGGAACAGGGCAGGTAAAGGTAATGGTCAAACGTACACTCCTTAGTATAGCATCAATCTGCTGTAGCGCACTGAGATGACTCGCATTTGGCTTCTGACCGCGCAAAATGCTGTTCCGGCTATTCATCCACCGTAGTCCAGCGTGGGCTCGTAGATAAGCTCTCTGACACTGGAAGCGTCGTACAGCAGCGTCTGTGATGATACTGTTCTGACGTCAGCAATCTTCTTCTAAGACTTCCACTTCGAGATCTCATCTCATCACTAGCGTACATCCAAGAATTTTGGGTGTCGAATAGTGGAGATGCTAAGAGGAAATAACTTACGCCCTCAACTGCTGTCTCTCGCGCTCTGGTTCCCCTGTGGCTCCGCCGCTGTTGCTAGAGAAGGGCGTCTGGAGGATGGTCTGGGCTTCGGCTGTGCACTGTCGGAGCAGAGAGTAGCCTTCAAGGTAGTACTCTTCCGCTGTAGGCGTGGCGCGTAGCTGGACAAGGTAGTGTTGGAGGTTGCGGAAGTCGGACATGATCTCCGCTACCCTCATAGCTCGTGCATCATTGACTAGAGATCCAGTGTCAGTATTCCATCTTGAATTTGCTGAGTATAATAGTGATATGATGATATGAGTGTGAGTGTGATGGAAGTCGGGTGGGTAGCCTTACGACCGTCGGACATGGTGGCGGATAGTGAATGTATGTTAAAGCCGACTGGCGACGAATTGGGAGATAGCTGTTGAGAGGTGTGAATAGAAGTAAGACTTGCTGCTGTAGAGGAGTTATGAGGCGGCGTGGCGAGTGTTAAATAGAGTTGTAAACAGGTGTTCATGATGAAGGAGTAGTAGCAGGAGCATTCTCTCTGCAAGGCTCGATGGAGTAGCCAGGGCTGCTCCCGCCGCTACGTCGCCGCAAAGTTCCACATTTGGACCATGAGTAGCGTCCAGCTGGCCGAGCTGGCTCCGCTGGGTCCATTCAGCGTCGGTTGAAGCCAAAGAGGGCTTGAGTATGGAGGTGTAAGAGTAGCATTGCCAACTGCAAAGTGAGTGAGGAAGAAAAAGCACCACGCAAGGGCCGTACAGGCATCGCACCTATTTTTTTGGACCCGTACCATGACAGCTGGAGTGGGCATGTTGGACACTGCTGGGCTGGGCGTCTCAGCAGCCTCTAAAGCGCCACATGGACTAAAGAGGATAAGCGTTGTAGCCATATCGGGTAAGGCCGCAAACCAAGCCCTGGAGCTGTTGTACATCAGCCGCAGTACGAGATGTCATTGGCCGAGGCTTATAATTAGCGGTGCGGCTTTCGCGTGCTCGTCGCTGAGTGAACCTGAAGATGACGAGACGGATGGATACTCTGAGTAGAAGCCACAAGCCTCTACGACCCTCGGCTGCAGAAGCGGTGTCAGCCACGCGACGGCTGTGCTGGAGACTCCGACCACTAGGAGCCAGTAACATGACGTCGATGATCTATGCCACAATCTGTTCCTGAGGACTTGCGGGTCGTTGCAGCTGAGGTGGCATTGAGAATAGTTACCGTTGAGCTATGGGCGAATAGGACATTCAAACCACGTGGAGTCATGAGGCTGTGAACCCAGGCTTCCTCATCCGGCTCCGGCTGCTCGTTTCACGGTTGCGCTTATGCAGGAAAGTAGTCTAACGTCTTGATTCATGGTGCTGCTGAAGCATTTCTGACGTCTGAGAGGCCGTATCATACTACCTGGAAATATCGTCATGCTTGAGATCGCGATCCTACCTCAGCGATCCATAACCCTTCCAGCTCTGAGGAACGAACTGCCTAGTCCTTGTCAGCAATGGACTGCAGCCGTTCATCGATCTCGTCCTCGGTGAGTGCCCTGAACGCGGGGTCTGTGCCGTCCTGGCCATTGGTCTTGGGTCCTCCTACGATTCCGATCTCCAATTCGCCCTTCTTGAAATCGACGGATAAGACAGTGCTCAATGCGGTGATTGCCAGCTCGACAACCTCCTCCCAGCTACCCTCGGCGTGCTCCTTGTTCTTCAGCTTCTTCTCGAGGAAGTTGAGCGCCTCTTGCGTCTTCGGACCCGACGCTGTTGCCTTGTAGCCCACGTAATAGCCTGCCGGATCGCACTTGTAGAGTTGGGGTCCGTACTCAGAGTCCAGGGAGATGAGGGTGGTGGCGACGCCCAATGGCCGCATGTAAGCCTATACAATCTTTAGCATACTACAAGTCCATTCCTACATATGGCATTACTTACGCGCTGTGTGTAGACCTGGCTGATGTTCGCTATCCTCTTCGCCAGGACATCGCAGGGCATCTCGTAGCCGAACTTGTAGCGGAACTCGGCAGCCTCACCCCGCGCTCTGCTCACGGAGGCCCTCGCATCGGCAATAGACCCAGTCATAACACAGCCAACCGACGAAGAGAGCCTGAAGATGTGGGAGACGGAAGTAGGGTCGATAAGTTTGTCCTGTACACAACATCAATCATAGGCTGAGCCGCTCTTTGCTGCCATACGTACTGGAACCTTCTTCTGCGAGATGACTACTGCGCAATCCTTGCCCCGCACTCCCAGTGATGTGATGTTCGCTGCCGTGATTGCCTTGAATGCATATTCTGTGAGGGGGTCATGTTAACGAGGGTTCGTGGTGAGAGTTATATAGCGGCCAAGGACGCCGCATCGATGAGGAACGGCGAGATGGTATGCGTACCGACTTGATACAGGCGACCCTGATCGGAGAAGATGGTAATGTGTCTGTCGTAGCCTGCGCTTCCTACATGACGAGGGCAACTGTTAGCATAGGTAACCGCAAACAAGAGCTGTTGGAGCAGCTAGCAACGCACCAGACATGATGGCGGCCGATGTATATGAGTATTTGGGTTTTTCAGCTTCAGCGGCAGCTTCAGGAGATTTGGGTAAGCTCTAAGGGTGTGGGATCCGGACTGCAATTGTGGTCGTCGTTGGTTGCTGTACGCGTTGTGATGCAGCCTGGCCCAAAGCTCCGTCGCGATTAGGCTTAGCGCGTCGCCGTCAGCTCCGAAATTCTCTGCCTGTCGCCTCTCATTCGACCTTTGCATACTGACAAAATCAAGCGGCACCAGCTGATTCGGGCGTGAGCGATGCGAATTAATCTCTGCATAATGTAAAAAGACTCCATATTCCAAATTCATCATGGCACACCCCGAGAGCAGGATACCAGCCTGGCGGAGACTGGGCCTCGCCCTCAAGAACGAGGACCAATCCGCAGTCACCGCGCCTGAACACCATTCTTCCCACAGCGAGGAGCCCCAACACGCCGCAAAAGACACTCCAGACAAGTTCCAATCACCAGTCGAGCCTGCTGTTAATGGAAAATCGTCAAATCTTGGCAAGCGAAAACACCAATCTGAGCCAGCTGAGGGTCATGGCGAAAACTCCAAGAAGACCAGAACGGCCCGCGAAGAGGACGAAAAAACCAACGGAGTGCCCGACCTTGGTACTCCGACCATTACCAATTCAGGAATCAATGCAGTAGTGGAGTCTGGGACAGAGGGATCACCAGCGACACAGACAGCACGTCCAAAGGGTGACTCAAATTATCGAAAGAAGAAATCGAAGCCGCAGAAGCGCAGAAGAGATGATTACGATGACGTTCAGGTTGAGCCTACGGTAACTCATGCCCAATCGAAGCATGACCACTCTGTACAACCAGCTCTCTCACCTGACGAGCCAGTGTCTATGAATGGCCAACCAACTTTACTTGCGTCTACCGAAACAGAGTTGGCGCCATTTGCAACACCGCAAAAGCACTTGACGTCCAACAAACACAAGAGCAAGCACCCTCCAGGCTCACCACCACAGACGGACCGTCGAAAGTCTGTTGCGTTCACTCCAGATACGAAAACGACTGATGGTAACACTGGCCAAGACCTGTTCAAGAAGTGGGTCGCCGAGCAAAAAGGCACAGGGCCCGTCTCTCAGCCGCCTGAAGTTTCCAATTTCAACCTTCATTCTTTAATCGCCGAGGAAGAGAAGGCAGCGCGGAAGTCCGGACAGCTGGAGAAGAAGCAAACAACCGAGGAAGCCACCCCAAGATCTGATAACGTAGAGCAAAGCGGATCGCCCGCCGAGAAAACAACAGCGATAACAGTCAGCCAAACACCGCCATCGCGTGACGAGAAGACTGCGACCCCGACCACATCAAAAGGAAAGAAGAAGGATCCATCCATTTACATATCGTATCTCACTCAGTATCACACCAATCGCAACCACTGGAAGTTCAACAAAGCGAAGCAGAACGATGTGGTAGATAATGCGCTAAACGTCTTCCGCATACCAGACGAGCATTCTGATGCTTTAACCGAGTACGTGGCAGGATTAAAAGGAGCAGGAGTGATTGAGCGCCTGAAGGAGAGGTGCAAAGCAGCTTTGAAAGAACTGGACGAGCAAGACGCACAAAATCCAATACCAATGGACGATCCCGAAACTCGCAAGGCAGCCCAAGAAGAGGCGCTACAAGAACGTGTTACGAAGGAGAGGAAGCGAAGAAAAGTCGAGGGTGACGTCGAGAGTTTGCTTGATCATCCCAACGGTGACGGCTATATCCGACGGCTACAACGGAAGCGCGCCGAGGCTCTATTGACGGCGCTTGGTCGCACAGCACCTGTATTGCCAGCTGTTGCGCAAACAAACGGTTTCAATCCCATGTTGCAAAACCTTGCGCCTCCACCTCGGAGGGACTCGCAGAAACGAAAGCGAAGAGGTGAAGTTTCGAGTGATTAAAGCAGCTCCGACAGCAGTAGCGACGATGAGAGCTCAAGCTCGGATTCGGAGGATGGGAATAGCGACAGCTCGGATTCAGACTCCAATGATGACACTCTAGCATCTGCCTCGAAGGCATCCACTTCTCTACACTCGGACAGCGGGAATGACAGTGATAGCGATTAGAAGGACGCTCGCATCGCAGAAATACCGCGACCTGGTCGCAAGACACGCCCACGGTGTAGGAGAGGGAGAACTTAGGCGTTTAGGTGCTCAAAGGTAGATAGACCATTAATCACTGGGTAGGAATCGAAATATTCAAGGCTACGTGGCCACGGTGCCTCTGTAATAGCCCTACCAAATGAGTCAATCAAACAATTAACTCTTTATCCTCAATGCTTAGTGATGACGACGTAGTATAATAGCGACAAGGCGTCCTGTCCTGACTCTCGACTTCACCGGTTAGCTTACTAAGGCTTCCATCCAATCACGCTTCTTTGGTTCATGCCTGCTAGATGCGGCTCCAGCTGTCGCCTCACCATCTACCATCGGTTTGATCACCGTCATCGCCCTAGCTTTTCCCATGTCCTTCATTTCTCGGCTTGTTCAGTTGGCACCATAGGCCACGGGCAACGTGGCACCGGTCTGGCCTCGCCAAGCTTCCCGGTCAGTATAAGTTGGGGCGAGTGCCCTGGGTGCTCAGGCAGGAATCGTTCGCTTCTTTTCTTGTCGCAATCACGACCTTAGGCCAACTCGGGATATAATTACGCAGCATAGCTGTAGGGACCCTCATTCATGCGGCGCCGTTGGGTACAGCCCTAATACAACTTCGTGGACGAGAGGCGAATGCGTTCCTTAAGCACAAGCGAAACGGTCTGGTCGAATTTGATATGCCATTGCGCGGAACCGTCGAAAGAGGCGATTGAAGACTTTCCAAACAGTTTTTCAGCCTGTATCGCACCGTCAGTATTGGGATTATTGGCCTCAGGCCTTCCAGTCGCCACATGCACTCACCTTGGGTACTCATCTTGGGTAGTGTGTCCGTTTTCTCGAGCCTTTATAACATCGCATTGCAACAATGCACTCTTCGAAATATGCAATGGAGTGCAGATTATAGAGCAACGGCGTTTTTATTTATGAATAGACCAGCTCTCGTTTCATAAACGCCAACAGTGGCGGTCGACATGATAAGTCCTATGGAAGACATAATCCCTTAACACCAGTCGCGAAGGACGAAAGACAAACCGAAACGTATAGTGGAACTAATCCCGTAGTTCTTCGCTCGAAAGAGGTATGCACGCTAAAACAATTCAACAGGAAAGAGACGGCTAACGTATTACAGGCGTAGAAAGGACAGGACATAAGGCAAACTCTTTTGCAAATCCGCCGCCCCCGCTAAAGTACTGAGAAAGATACTGGTCGAGTTGCCGGGAATCATTGACCCCGCCGTATACGTTGATTAATCGAAATCGGTGCGTTCACGAAGACACTGGACTCGTTGGCGATGCGCGATTGCTTCTCTTCGTATTCGCGCGAGGACATCTTCAAATCATCGATTTGCGCCTAGTCCAGTCAGCTTTGTGGAGAGAGGGCCTGTGCGAGCGAAGTACCTTGGTCAATGGAGGACCAACAGTTGTGATCAAGAAGCCATCGCGTCCCTAATGATATATGAGCTTCATTGTAACATCGACGCGTATTGAAACGCTACGGCTAATCATACCTGAAAGGTGTATGGTCGAACGATCGCGTCAGGACCGCAATGGTAGCGAATCTCGTTCTGGATTACAGCTCTTGAGATGCCATAGCCGGGGACGAAGTACGAGTTTGCGACAGCCATTTCGTGGAGTTTGTTATAGAGTAGTCACGTTGAAGGGAGACGATCAGTTCCAGCTGTAGTTTCCGTTTATGCGCTGAGGGATCGAAGGCGAGCTTGGGCACGGAATCTTATACTTCGTCGGAGCTTTGGAACTGCGGTAGTAAGCCCTTCCCAGATAGGCAGATCACATCGGCTGCTGATGATTGCAACAGTAACGGGCTGTCTTGACAGATTCCACTAGTTGGGCTTGTATGCACTGCTGCCGTTCGCCTCATTCTCGCCCTATCAGCCCAACCGACTTTCATTGGGCAGCGAGTAAGGCCGACGCTGCGCAGCCAGCGCCCTACACTACACAAGCTATCCATTCACAAAAACGCCTTGTTTTGCCGAGTACAGTATATCTGAAATTCTGGTTCCACATCCGGGTTGGTGATGTGCCTTGCATTTCGGTTATTCGCTTGACGGACAACGCAACTGCCACGTCCTCATACTCACGGTCATATGCAATGACCATGATGTTTAAGACGATCCCTTTGCCACCACAAGCTCAGAACGAGCCTGCAACATGCATTCCCTTCCTCTGCAGCCTTTGCGAACGACTCGAGGGTGCGCGTGGTGTCATCGAAGCACGGCGACGCTGGCGGGGATGGTTCTTGGCGACTTCATTTCAATGTCGATCATCACCCACAAAGTAAATGTCCACGATTTACATTAACCTATCCGACCATGGTATCCGGATCAAGGAGTTACAGAACGCCGGTGCTGTTGCGTTGCCCTAACTAGCTTCATCGCTGCCTCATCTGCCAAACTCCCGAAGGATTCGACGATTCGCAGGGACATCCCCACCAACACACGATACACTAGACATGGCTGCATTCAAATCCCAGTTTACCTCCAGACAACGCATTTCTGGAAGCCAGCATTGGGGTTCCAACAATTCATCTCACGCGTCTAGGCCTCGCATGACACAAAGCTCCGGTGTGCATCGTACACGCGAATACCGCTCAGATGTAGTGCCGAATATAGCACAACAAGCTGCGTGAAGCTGACCAGGAGTACCTCCATTGCCATAAGCATAATGCTCCGATGTATCCGGGAACAGGGCACTGAAACATTACCGCTGGGCATTTCGGGCTGGAAAGCAAACTCTCCGTGTATGATGATTGCAATCTAGCTATCACCATGAGGAGCAAGGAGGCTCCCTATTCCGTACCTAACGTTTGTCTATTGAAGGAATCTGGTACCGTTCTCAGGCTGATGATTCTCGGTGATACACAAGTCTTCGTTATGCATCCCTACCTCATCATACATCCTCGCCCAGATAACGTTTACGAGGAAAGGTTCCCTGTTAGTGTTCCGAACAGCTGATTCCACGGCTACGTGTTGCCTGTACGCGAACGTGTGCCCAATGCCCAAGGTCCGATCTACCGTTATCGATCTGCAGCTCCTATTGCGCCTTTGCAAACAGGACTCGTTGTCATTCAGCACACCGGGCCTTACCCCGCATAATTACGAATTCTGGTCTTCTGTAAGCCAGATCATGTCACAGCATCTGACAATGCAATGCCAATAAACACCCTAGGACGACGTCGGTACTCATAGCGAAGGCTCGTGCCCCTCCGGCGGACGAACATGGGGTGGGACGACGCCTCAGATTCAGCTTCTTTGTGAGAGCAGGTCATGGTCATCCTAGCCTGTTTGACCGCTGCGACCCGCCAGAAGCGGCAAGATGCATCCGTCAACTCCACTTCAAAGGATAATCAAGCGGAACATGGCGCAGGCCGAGGTACTCCACTACAGGTACCGCAAAAGGGGCATTATTTGCCATTGCGATTGTTCTAGGAGGCACTCTCCAGATTCCAGTCTTCTGGTCTACCCTAACCTGCAAGAAGACGTGTCGCTTCCCACAGGGTGCAGTTTACTCCTTGAACGGCGGATCATCCTACTTTCATGTCCTGCACATATCTAGGGCAAAGCTCTCTTACGTCACTGACGCAGTTTATGCATGAATTGGCCGGTGTGAAGTGGCTCTTGGCTTGCGGTACCCCACTGCTCAGGTCCCATTGCATTCTTTTGCTGCGCCTACAACGTCACCGGTGTTACTGACCGGGTCGTTTCGAAATGTCCTTGGGAGCCGTGCCGCCGAAACCACTCAGGCGGAGATACCAAGGAATTCAACCTCACGCCAGACCAAGTTCCCAGCCCAGCTTGTGTCCTTCAATGCTAGGGATGTTCATGCACACTTCTTGCTATTTTCCGCTCGCACGGGCCTAGGTATCGGCGACAATGAATTATATCAATGTACCAATCACTGGTCAGCTGGCTGACAATCGCCCAGTTATCTTCGAAGCCCATCAGCCGTGCGGAAAGGGTCCAAATTGAGGGCTGGCAACACCATGGCGGCCGTCAGCAAGGCGTTGCTGCTTCACCGGCAGTTCCTCCCACCCAGCACTCAATTCCATCTGATAGCTTCCATGCTTGAAGCTTGTCGCAGGAATTATTGCGGCATGGGTCGCTGTCCAACTCGCGCGAGCAAATCGTCTCACCTCTACTATGATTGCCTCACATTCCTCGGTATACCTCGGTTGTGTAAGGTATAGGTAGTAGAGAAGTCAAATTGAGTCTTTTTTCTGTTGTTATATTGACACTGAGTCAGGCTCCTGTTCTCCCGAGGCACTTGCACTTCCCACGCTCCGTTGAATCCGACGTCCACCGGCAACGCCTCATTGAACGGCTGGCCAATCGACCACCCGACCATGAAACGATAACTTCGCAGAGAGGGCGTTCGTTATGACGGTCCGTGTTTGAATACTGGCGGTCACGAAGAACATCGACAAGACAATCGCAAGGCAGCCAGTGAGAGGTTAATCCTCCCACAGTCGTTGTATCACACGCCGCTCGACCTCTGTAGATCGAGGGGCGTGAAATGTCTTTCAGTGCCCTTGCTCCAGGTTCACAGCCTGTCTCACCTATTAGGCCTCCTTAGATGAGGCCATTGTGTTCCTTCAGGATGTTAACGATCATTTTGGGCTAGGCACAAACGAGTGACTTCCAGCCAGCACATTGTGCTTTCCTGGGCACGAGAAAAAGAGTACCCGGTGACATGTCACAAAGATGGTGATATCGTCCTTCGGATCGTCAAGAAATGTGAGGCGGTTGCCGGTCGGTTCCAGATGCGGCATCAATGTGCGACGATCAGTAAACGCTTCCGAGATCACGGCAGCCTCACCATAGACCAAACGGGACTTGTTGGATTTGCATCTCCGGAATCTATTACTACGATATTAAACACAATCTTATTTTTCACAATCAGATCGTCGCAGGAATGAGGACAGGGCGGCCAATAAGACGTGTGAAGACATGGTGTCGACGTTACTCGCGCTAGACCGGATGCCGATCATCTAAACTACCGCAGATCCTCGACTCCTGATGGTTCCCTTCGAAGTCTACGAGCCCACTCCCAGCAACAAAGGTAGAACTAGTGAAATGACCGTTCAAATCTTTCTTTAGGCCGAATACCATCTCCACATATGGTCTTTGCACCCTCTCTTGCAAGTTCCCACATCTTTCCACCCATTCTTACATTTCCTCTGAAACGGCGGGCATCCCTTCATGTCTCCTTGATTATCAGCTTCATCCATCTACCGGAAGATCTGGTTGTCCCGCGAGCTGAATTCAGAGCGCTCCACTATTCGCAACCAAGCCAGCCAGTATTCCCAACGTCGGAGACTCGCGTCTGAACGAGCGATAGCTTCATCGTGTCAAATACTCGTGCTCGATTTGATTGTAGATGGAGTAGTTGCTAGAAGACCCAGCGTTCTCAGACACATCGCCCTAGCGCAACATATACACAAGGATACTGCATGCTGAAACTGAGGTTCGGCCGCGAGGGCCTTTTGGGATATCGAGCCATCCACCGAACCGAGCACGAGCGGAGCTACTCGGGTCGCGCGGATCGCACGGCTCAGTCCGCCTTCGAGACGCTACACGAAGCGCCAGAAACCAGCTTGGTGAAGATAAAACAGAGGAGTGATGAATGGTAGAGTGAGTGAGGAACTTGTTGTAGATAATAGGTTGTGGCTAGGTTTGTATGAGGTTATCCCATGAGCAGGGACAAACTAGCAAATGGGGGCGACGTGAAGCACCATCACCTCGATCAATGCACATAGAAGCGTTTGTCTGTTGTATAAACGTAAAGAAGCTTCACTAAAGGGTTTCTAGCCTCCCTTCCCTACTCCGACCAGTATACCATATCGCCATCTGAGATAAACCCCCCTATAGCATTCCCGTCTCTTCGTACAATGTCTTCATTGTTTTCCCCATCATAAGAGCGGGCAGAGGAGTCGTACCATGGGCTTGAAAAACGACAAAGTGCCAACTCGGGTAAATGTGCATCATCGTCGACAAAGGCATCCTCCTCGGCCCCGTCGCCTTCATCAACAACATTGCCAACGTCCTCGATGCTGCCCCGCGGCGCATTTCCACTCCGCACCGTAGAAGCACCCGAATCCCTCCACGACCCCTCATCGCCAACGGCATTACCAACATTAACATCAATGTCGGCATCAGACCCAGCACGCTGCAACGCAAGCAACTCCCTCCGTAGCTCACCAAGGCGAACCATTCTTTCCTCCCGGCGACTCCGAACTTGCTCTAATCGCCTGTTCAGCCTCTCGATCCTGGCAAACACCTCTTGGGCTTCTGCAATTTGCTGACTGATCCAAGAGTGTTGTTCGTGCTGCATGATTTGCGCTTGCTGGACGGGCGCAGGCGTGGTAGAGTAATAGGAGTGAAATTCGCAGGATTGCCCCATTTCCTGCTCGCTAGTGTCGGATGTTGGGCGAGGGGGTGGAGAATGGGACGGTGGATGTGTGTTGGATTCTTGGGTTGTCTGGTTTGGAGATGGCATGCCACTTGCTGTGGGCATTTGATTCCCTTCTTGTGACATCTTGATTTTAGATTGGAGAGAGGTTGTGATTTATTTGTAGAATGAACAATATAGAGTGTAGACGATGTTGAAGGCAGTTGTGTTGAGAGCAGGATAGACAGTGCTGGTATGGCTATATACATTTCAAAAATCTAAGATAATTGCAGACTTGAAGTTGTTTTGTCTCCTGAACCCTAGTTCTTCATTCTCACGAACCAAAGTTTACCAGCCTCAAGTCCTGTTCAAGTTTGAAACATGTTTAAACTTATCAACTGGATGGAAAGTGTAGCGAAAATGATGGTATAGTAGAATGCTCACCCATGGTTCAACTAGTGTCCCTGGCTCTGCGCTCCAACACTCACACCTTTACTAATATACCACGCTTTACACCGTCCGCCCAGTAGCGTCACATAGCCTGGCTACAAGATACTCTACCATCGCTTACTAATTAGGACTAACAACCCACAGTGAACCCATGCCCCGATTCAAAGGACTCGGTCTTGGCCAGAGGAAAAGAAAATCCGTGGGTAGGAAATTAAAAAAAGGATATCATGTATCCATGGGGGACGGAGAATGAGAGGGTTGGGCGTGTTGCCCTGAGGCCCGGGACGAGAAGTGGAGAATTGACCTTGGATCAGTGCCAAGGGAGAGGTGAAGATGGGGAAGTACAGCTGGTGAGGAAATGAGGTGCAAAAGATCGGCATGAGGACTGGCGGTGAGACATGTGGAGAGAAGAACAGCGGTGCCAAGACAACAGAAGCAGAAAGCAACCAGTCGGAAAAAGCTCGCAGCGGAGAAGCGCACATGTTCAGAAGTCCAAAGGATGATCATCACACATCATTGCTTCACGAACGTGTTGAATTAAAGTTTTCATTTCACTCGCGTATACGTACACGTCTCGCATCAGCACGTTTTACCAAACATGCAATGCAACCTTGCCTTTCCTCCACTACGCTCACCGCCTTGATTGTCGCGTAGACTCGAAACAAAAGAGGCGGGAAGCCTACCACCAAGATCTTTCAAGAATACACCACCAGAAGGAAAGGATGGCCCAAAGCCAACGGGCGAACAATAGATAGGAAAACCATAACGCCAAGGTCTGTTTAAACTGCGGACCGTCAAAGGTAAGAGGACGGTGTATAAGCGCCACAACACCAGTGAAAGGAATCCACCATATGTACACAGGCTGTGAAGACAGGTTACTGAAGGAAAAGCGTCGAATCATCGACGAGAGCGTTCATGTTCGCGTAGTCTACTTTCCGGTTTCCGCCATCCAGCCCGGTAAGGAAAGGTACGAGATATTTTGGTGTCCGGGAGTGTTGTGTTCCCTGATGAGGTCAAGATGCCATCATGACGTACGCCAAGATTAGAGACGCCAATCCATGCATCTTGAAATTGACGTCGCGGGGAGGAGAGCAAAGGGTAATGTGCGGTGAATTACAAGGTCGTAAAGTGGTTCGTCTTGATCGTGAAGGCGCTTTTGACGCACGCCATGTTGTCGAGTGCCGCTATGACGTTGCGGCGGAACGCGGCACAACTAGCTTAAGACGGCAAGCCTACCTCCAGCATGCTTACCTGGAAGCGAGTGAGCGACGTCTAGTATTTCGGAGAATAGTGTGCGTTCTCTTGTTCGGCAGCACTCGGTATCCGAGGGGGTGGGTATACGAACCGGTTCATCATCTGGCCGGGCTGCATAGGCATCATATGGACGCCGTTGGGTGCCATTTGTGCAATTCCGTAGGGATTCTGGTGGTTGATGTCACTCCCAAGGAAGTTGTTCATGGCAGCTCCATGTAAGCCTTGGGCTTGCGAGACGGGGCATTCCTTGTGGGCGAGAAGAAGCGTCTTGAGGTTGACAATCTCCTCGCGGAGTTGAGTGACAGTAGCAGACAGAGCGTCATTTTCTGTACTGAAGAGCTCGACCTTGGACTGCAGGTTGGCCAGCCATTGTTTCTTACGTTGTCGGCATTTAAGAGCAGCGACCCTTGTAGCCTGTCAGCAGGATTGTTTCAAATGAATGGAAAAGTGTGCGTACCTATTCCGCTCGAGGAAGTTCTTTCGCTTCTCCTCGTCCGTCATCTTTTTGCCTTTGCTGTCGTATTCCTCTTCTTTGATATTATTCTCATCGTCAGAGTCATCCTCCATGTCGTCACCGATCGATGGGGCAGCGTGGGGCTTCTTCCTGCCTCCTTTCGGGGCATCGTCAGCCTTGCGCTTGGTACCAGCAGCTTGTTTGCCGTTAGCGGCGCCCTTCTTTGCACGTGAGCGCGTAGCTGTTTTGGTCTGCTCACTCTGGCCGCTCTCGGAGAAGTCGCCCGTCTCTGCAGACTGGATACTGTTGATGGAGCCCTTGGTGTCGCGACGACCATGGTTCTGATTAATGGGTTGAACGGGCATGTGTCCAGCGTTCATGGATTGTGGTTGTTGAGGCATGGAGAACGGGGGCTGACCGTTACGAGGGCCGCCGTTCTGGCTTGCAAAGGACAAAAGGTCATTAGCCGCACTACTGACGTCATGATTTGCATATGGGTCGTTTGGAGGCCGCTGCTGTTGTGGCTGGAAATTGTTTTGTCGATCCATTCCTGCGGATACTGCTTCGGGTTGAGAGGTTGGTGCGCTTGTTATTGGCTTGTTGTGGTTAGCCTGAGCGGCTGCGCGCATAGCAGACTGTTGGAAGTCAGCAGTGCCAGGCGTGACACCAGCGCTCTGGAGATTGAAAATGGCCTGCGTGTTAGGACTCGGAACCGGGAACATGGACCCACCGCCGCCAGGTGTAAGACCAGTGCGGAGCGAAGACTCGTTGGGGGTTGGGAAGCCTCTAAACGACTCGCTGAAGTAGTCGGTCTGGCCCGTTGGCCCACTGAGCATAGCAGGGCTCAGAGGTCCTGCGCGCAACGACTGCCAGCCAGGCGTGATACCGGGCAGTGGTGATGGTGACGTAATGTTGGCGACAGGCGGGAGTACGGTACGGCCGCCGGGAGTCTCTACGCTGCCGTTGCCGCCAAAGGACTGCTCAAAGACGTTTGGCTCCAACGAGAAGGGGTTGTGTACAGTGTTGAAGTAGTCGGGTGTATCACCGGTTGTCGTGGGCGCGGGCTTTGGTGGAGGCGCCAGCGGCTGCGCATTGGTGGTGGTGGTAGTGGTGATTACGGGCTTGAGGTCTTGGTCGGCGGCTTCGGTAGGGGCAGCAGCTGCTCTGGTGGTTAGCATTCTGTACCGACTAACAGATGCGATGCGCGACAGTGAGGGTGTCGAGCGCAAAGGGGCATTGCTTACGCTGATCCTTGGTTGCGGTCTCGACCTTGGTAGGCTCTGTGGGCGACACCATGGTTAGTCATGCCTGCTTCGCATTTGCGACGAGGAATAAAGGGACAGTGATACACACGCAAGTACGGATGGATGTGTGAGTGAGTGAGTGGGTGGGTGCACAAAGAAGAAAGGGCTTTGGCGGAGACAGGATGGGGGAAGGGCAACGGCGAGGGCATACACACCTTCAATCTTGGCCACGACAGGAAGACTATTTTTACGGTCCTTGGGAGAGGACATGTTGGAAGTCTGGGGGGAGGATCGCGCAGCTTGGGTTGCGGCGGCCATACTCTGGGGTGGTGACGTAGCAATGGTGTCCAGGGCGATCGCTTGTGCTACTCGGGCCTGTTCACTCTCTCTCCAGGCCTCTCACTCGACACACGACGGCGACGACTTTTTGTCTCGCTCTACACCGGGCGCGGGTGCCGGCTATTGATGACTCGAGTCGCAAGTCACTCTGTCTGTTTGGGACACCAAGATGGTCAGCGCAAACTCAATGTCGACATGCGCGATAGGCTGGGTGCGAGGGCTGTCGCAGTCGCAGGCGGACGGGGGGGAAGGGACGTGGCGAAAAAAACAACGGCGCAAGCAAGCGCAACGATAACACACACACACACATACACAGCTACGTACCTTGAGCAGAGGAATCAAGTGCGCCAAATGCGGGGTAGGCCTTTCTTGATTCCGAAAGACTGATACTTCTGCCCCCTTGTTGTGCCAGCAGCCTGTGGTTGTCCAAGTTTGACAGTGACGTCAAGCCCCTGGAATGACGCTCGCAGCTGTCGCAAGATTCTGTCCACGCAGTCGCGCGCGCTTGTACGGGACCCCCAAGACGTCTGCGATGGACTGGCTGGAAGGGTGTGTGCTTCTTGTTCCTCTGAAGCTCGATGAGGCTCTTTGCTGGGCGTGGGTACGGGGATTGTGCTTGCTGGTGACGATGACAGTGAGGCGTTCGCGATGAGGTCAGAGGGCAGGACGAGCGAGCAATTTCTGGGAGTGACGCAGTTTGTGCCAAGCCATGATAACGTGATCTTTTGGGTTTCCAATCATCCGCCGCCAATCACAGCCCCAGGCGCCTTCACCGCTGCCCGCTACTGTCGACGATCCCTTCCCCCTTTGGCGCGCCTGCCACAAGAGGTAATCTGGACGGCCATATGGCCCGAGTAGCAAAGAAAACATTCCCATGGGTTTCCTCGCATAGCATCCATCGCGGCATCGCAGCTGCAATCTTGGTTGCGCCTGTCGTGTGTGTGAACCATGGGCTCCCGAGGCTGAATCTAGCACCTCGAAGAGGCGCATTCGCATCCATGAGACGAAGCGCGTGAAATGAGGCTGTTGGGGCCGATCCGACTCGCCTCAACCACTGGCGGCCTTTGTATCCGTGCTGCCAGATGCCGAGTCCAGCACAATGGGCGCTGGGCCCAAACCTTCGATTTGCACCTCTTTGGTCGATCCAAGATACGACGATGCTGCTAGCTTTCATTGCCTTACCAATCCTCCACGACAATGCAGGAACCAGCTAGTGAGTTCGAACTATTGTCCCCATGGTGTCTCAGAGGCAACAACTGGAATCCGCCAGTCAACGACATGTACTAATCTTGTCTATTATTATCATGTACGTCACTCAACCTTGAACATCAAGAACATGGCCAGTATCCTTTTCTTTTCACGTAAATGACTCTGCAACTTGAATCGCAGCTGCTGCGTCAATTTAGACAATACAAGTGTCTCGTACAGTATAGATCTGCACCACTTGTCTCAAGACACTTCTTGTTGCTCCCCAAGACAGACAACATGGTAATTCTCTTGAGCTTTAGTGTCTGAAGGAGATTGGGAGCATCTATGGGCGGAGTCTAGTTACTACAAAACAAAAGACACCAATAAATCTCAATTCCACTCCTCACGACCCCCGATACGTCGTATACCCAAACGGCCCCAACAGCACGGGCACATGAAAATGCTCACTCCGCGCCTCCTCCCTAACCACAAACTTAACCTCGACCTCGGGAAAAAACGTCTTAATCCCCCTTGCCCCAAAATACTCTTCCGTATCAAAAGTCAGACTATACTTTTGATGCCCAGTTTCCCGCGCAAACACCGTTTCGAGCGAGTCAGAGGAGAAGGGTGATGAGGGCGTCCAGCTTGTAACGCGTCCGTCGGCGTTGGTGATACCGCTAAACTTCTTCACTTCGCTGGAGGAGGATTGCTGCGCATTGTGGAGGGTCAGGGTTACGGGTATGGAGGCTGCGGGGCGCCCGAGGGAGGTGTCGAGGACGTGGCATGTGATTGGGGGCTTCTTCTCGGTTGCCATGGTTGAAGTGGTTGAAGAAGACTTGGGGGAGGTGTTCAATTGGCGAGAGAGAGCTTCGATGCGCTGCGTTGCTTGGGGAGCTGGCATACGAGGAGCTGGAGCTTGAAGTCGTGAGCTTGGTAAGCTTGACAATGATCGTGGGATGTAGCGCTCGTTACGCGTAGTGCTTGTCGAGCTGGTTTTCAAACATGCGACGAGAAATAGAGAGCAATCAACTGATCTTGAGGCGATTAATACCATAGCTCTAGATCAACATCGGAGCTGTCCGATGCCCCTCATCGTCTAGCTCCACCCGCCGATCACCACGGGAGCCCCCGCCGTCAACGACCTCTGCCCTTGCTGTCACAGCGGGATTCCGCAGCAGTTGTGTAGAGCGGGTGCATTGATGCACAAGCCGACATGTGTTGCACATGTGGCCTTTGGTGCAACTTGACATGACGGATGCGGAATGGCATGAAACATGGCTATGGCCGGTCCAGTCTGGTGGTTGTGGGTTCCACCACCTCCAAATAGAACAGCCCCCTTGCGATACAGTTCCTGGCAAGATTGGTATCAATGATTTCATTGCAGCTCGCTCAAGTACATACAAAAGTAAAAAGTGCTGTCATTGCACATAACAAGATAGATCATATGGATCCTTGGATATCAATAAATGCATCTGAGATGCAAACCCAGCTCACGTCCAGGCCCCAGTAGAATTGAATAGATAGAGATATGCCGCTGTGGCTATATCTTCCCAACGCAAATAAAAAATGCTCCCAGTCCGCTGAATCTGGGAGCATGCACCCAAAACGCCTTACAACGTGTCAAACCCGGTCAAACCTCCTATTCACAGATCGCTCCTGTTGCTGTCCGAGAAGGGACTCTGGTCTCTCCTGTTGGACACGGTACTCCCCCGTTTTGACATGGACTCTTCAACAATAGGTGTCATGGGTGTGCGAAGACCCTGAGATGTGTCGTACGATGTGATGCGCTGTGAAATGGCCGGCCGTGCAGGTTCTAGCATCGCGCTGTCGGCAAAAGGGCTTTGGTTCATCGTAGGCGTATCTTGGATCTCGGTGAAGCCTGAGCTGCGGTCGCTGAGTGAGTTACGGTGAAGGCTTCGTCGTGCACGCTCGTGATCATCGTCCTCGGAATCAGAGTCTGTGTCGACTTGACCGGCTTTGCGAGCGCGGGCGTGCGCAATGCCGTCGTCGGATGAAGTTACGGAGTAGTCTGTGAGGGGCCGCGCGGAAGGCACAAGGACTTCGGGTGTGTTGACTAGTGTCCTTTCGGCACTGGCGGTCGAGGCAGAGGAGCTCTTGGGAGGGGTAATGTCGGAACTCTTCTTCTTTGTGATGTTCAGCGCGCGGACAGGGCCTAGCTGGGCGGTAGTGCGGATCGAACTCGACGGGCTGAGGCCCGGCATGGCGATGCGAATGGGCTTTAAGGTATGCTTGGGGTCGATATGGGGAACTGGTGGTGTCTCCAAGCTTGGTGTCTCGGATGGACTGTTCGATGCAGTAGACTTGACGCTGACAACAGCTGCCTTTCCACGCACAACGGTCTGGGCTGGCAGCGGCGATACGATTGCGTTCTGGCGGTACATGGTCGATGCAACGCTGCCTCGCTGGGCGACGCTTGGTGCAATGCTAGTGCGGCCCGCGGTGCTGGTAGACGCCATCGAGTCTCGGAAGTCTGGAACGAAGAAGTGCTGCTCGGAGCCCGAGTATGGGCTGCCCATACCTGACGACGGTGACATGGAAGGAATCGGAGGAACGGGCGGAACGAGCAGGTCGGGGGATCCGGGCCCTGAGCGGTTTGTAACGCCGGGGATATACGCAATCTGGATGATATTGGAAGCGCGGGTGAGCACGGACGAGGCCATCGAGGTGACGGTGTGTGTCGATGCTCGCGCGCTCCGCCGTGAAGCAAAGTCGTTGTCCACCTTCTCCTGCTGTGCCATATCAACCTCTTGCCAGTCGCCCTCGGTGATGGGCCGCCGCTTGCCCTTGAGACAGTATTTCCAGACGACGAAGGTGAGAATGGCGATGAAGGCGATTCCTCCGATCACGCCTCCAGCGATGGCACCGACATTCGGCTTGCTAGGGGCAGAGGGCCCTGCGGTAGGATCGATTGAGCATTTGACCGACGGGCACACGTCGCACGTCTGCGATATCTGTACGCAGACTTTGCCTGACCCGCATGCTAGGCCTTCGCAAGACAGCGGGAGCTTCTCGCACTGGACGCAGCGCTTTTCTAACCGGAAGACATTCTCGATGTCTGGATAAGTTAGTCTTGCATGAGCCCTGATGGATTCATAGCTCCTACCTCGCATTGCGTGGGCCGACATGTTGACAGAAGTGATGGCGGGGATTCAGGGGATCGGCAACCCAGGGTTAAGAATCGACTTGGGCCAGCTGTCAGCGACGGCACACCCGGCGACGTGCGACGCTGCGCGACTGAAGGTGTTCGGCTACGAGAATCGTCGGGTGCAACGACTCGTGTGCGTGGTGGTGGTTGGTGGTGGTCGAGGACAAAGAAGGTGCGATCGAGGAAGGTGCGGCGCTAGACGAGCACGAATGGGGAAGTGGCGACGGCCAAGGAGCGCCTGAAGAGGCAGGAAGAAGGCGCAAAGGTAAAAAGAAGAAAAAGTAACGAGTGACGAGAGAATAGCGAGTAGGCGAAGGAAGAAGTGAGGATGCCCTAGGTGGTGGTGGTGAGGAGGCCGCAGGAAGGAGCGGCAGCAACGTATAGTAAGATGAGTTTGACGGCAAGCCGGGGCTGGCTGGCTGGCTGGCTGTTGGGGGTGGGTCCGGCCTCGCTCGTACTGTGAGCCGCGCGTGTTTCGTCGTCCCGCTGGGGCCAGACGCTGTGATATGCACACGGGCGAGATGCTCCAAAAACAAAACGAAACGTCTCAAGCGTCCTTTGCCGTGCTATGGTGTTGCAACAGACCAGACACTCGCCGCGATCACCAGGCTGGCTGGCTGGCTGGCGAGGGGAGCGCGGCTATGTACTTGCACACACCTCTCTCCTGCAGCTGACTGCTAATAAACCATGTCCCCTCCTGGCAAGTGGCGCACCAAGGATGCAGAACTCTAATCTATTTTCTGCAGGGCTAGCCGTTGGTGCGAACACCTGCCTCTCAGCCTGCTCGTCCGCGGGCCTTTGCACGACCTCATCTACAAGACCAAGTCCGCTCCTCTGCGGGACTCATCAAGTCTCGCACTCTATCTGCCGCCCTGGTTAGCCGGAACGTTGTCGACCAAGACTGCGCCCAGGGCTCCAGTTCGGATGATAGGCCGCACCTGGCTCCATAGGTGCAGCTGCTATGCCTTGGCCAATATATCGATATCGCTCTTATCTAGCACCCACGTGCGACGCCCTTCACGCATTCCATCTGCTGTGCATCCTGCGACGCCGCAGCTGACGCGTTGTGGACGCTGACAGCGGGAATACTCTGCCCACTGCCCGTCCACGGCAACACTTGCTGCTCGACGCAAGCCACCAAGACGTCAAAGAATGCTGGTCAAATCGGCCTCTCCACTCTTCTTGGACCTCTCCTTCGCTGGCCCAACCGCTGTCAAGCACGGATGCACTCCACATATTACTCCAGGAACACCTGTGCCTGATTTGCTAGACCTTTAAAATTCATCTGAAACAAACCGCGCCACAACTGGCCGTTTCGCCCATGCGATTTGCCCTTTACGCGGGTTTATCCGCAAATGTTTGCGCAATTTCCCCCTTTCAGCCAGTCAACGACCCTCGCCAAAAAGGCCTGTGCAACCATGCGTTTCCTCCAAAGGCCCTCCCTTGCGCTCGGGGATTTATTGCCGCAGCGGGCCATGGCAGGTCTCGACTCCCTAGGGTCGAGGCTGTACCACACTCAACATCTGCATATGCTGATGTCCCTTGAATATCCGAGATTTGTACTCCATCAAACTCTATATACATGACCAGGCGGCGTTGAAGGCTTCACAGATATACCCAGACGCGTCATCTTGTTCACGATCCTAGGTGTATAGTACCAACCTTTGACATCAGCAGTCTTATACCTCTTGACTTGACTTTGACCTACTATGACTTGGACATAACCTCCCAGGTACTATATCCGTTTCTATGCCTTGCTATAACAGAACCGAGACACTCGGCCCACCGTCTCTAATTTGCCGATCAGCGAACGGTGGTAGACGTGTCGATCCGGCAGATGCTGACCGACATTATGGTATTGCCGATCAGTCTCTAGGAAGCCTTCTTCTTGCAAAGTCCTTATTTCCTCTTGTCACGTCCTCATCCCCGTGTGCTGGAACCACCGTCTCATCTCCGATGCACGAGCAAAGGTGGCTGTCGTCTTGTATGACTTCAGACCAATATCGATTGTGCAACTTACTTGTGTCGCATAGATAGTCCTTCATAGTTACTACAAATGAAGGTGAAGTGCGGGAGTAGCCAATGAGAAACCTCGTGCATTCTGTGATCCCCTTTCATCTTGATCTGACAGAGCATTCGAAGAGTAGACGAATAACATGCGCTCAAAGACCTGATATTGATATGTTGCCCGTGGCTGAGTTCTATCGATTGCCGATCACGTGCAACATGACGAAACGAACAGAATGATTATATATTCCTTTTTAGGGCCTGTTCGGTGCGCTCTATTTCAACTGGCACCAGATTTTCTATACAGTAAAGCTTGTTTTTTGTTAGCGTTTCTAGAGCTATCTATTAATTTATTCTACTACTAACTACTAGTAAAAATTAGCCCTTAAGAAGCTGCTAAATAGGGTTAAATGTAAGTTAAATAAGCACTAGTAAAAATTTAAAATTATATAGCGTTGCTAGTAAACTTGTCCCTCTATATATACTATTTAAATTAGAATAAAACTAATAGAATACTAAATAGAACGCTAGTTTCAGATCCATATTACCCTACCTACCAATTCTGGCCAATCTGGTCAGTTCAGCCTAGGTCACCGAACAGGCCCTTAGTTGGAGACTAATGGTAAGGCTTTAGGTGCACTTCATTAATAAAATTCACCTTTCAATACTAGTATTAATAATTTTAAGGTCTTGATCCAATCATCGAAGCGCTAAGATAACCACGGTTCCAACCTGTAACATCACACCATACTCAACCTTCAACTCTTCCTCCATTATTGACTTTCCCTCCGCTATCGACTTTTCCTCAACCTTCAACGACTACAGCCACAAAGGAAGCTTGCTCACTTCTTTATTCTCAATGTTCTACTCTGGCATGTACCGTGTTCCAATCCATTCTCTAAAACTGACTAGCTCATAGGAAACGACTACCCTCGGGTTCTAAGTCGACAGACAGGCGCGCTGATTGTTCGCCATGGCGCCATCGTAGAAAAAACCGGAGGAAGAGTGAGACATTGCGAAGAAGTTGCGCTTCGTCTTGTGCAGTGAGTACATTCGAGATGCAGACCATCCTATTCCTGCCATCCCTAACTTTACTCTCTATCTCAGACATTACACAAGTATTCCGGTACCTACTGTGTACTCATCATCGTTCTCTGAAGAAAATGGGCAGATTAACGGGTGTATTCGCATGAGCTATATAAACGGCGAACCCTTGGACAGGATCTGGGACGACTGCGAGGATGTACACAAAGAAATCATCTGTCATCAGATCTGGGACTTTATATACCAGCTCAGAACGATTCCCAAACCCGCCGAATACGCCAACTACTTTCAATGCGGCGCTGATGGTAGTGCATCAAATGATGTCCTTCTTAGGCCTTTGCCAGAGGATAGTGGAGCTCCTTTTACCAGCGATAATGATCTACGCCAACGCATCTATGATCGCTACTACTACTATAACGGCCGCCGTTACGAGCATGAACTCCCACAGATGCTTATAAGGTCTGAAAACACTGTTTTCACACATGCAGACATAGCGCCGCGTAATATTCTGCTTGGAGATGGAGATCATTGTCCTTTGATAGGCATCGTGGACTGGGAACTTGCAGGGTGGTATCCTAAATATTGGGAATACGCGAACATCATGAAACCATCGGAAGACATAGATTGGCAGAGGTGGATGGAGCGAACGGCACCTAAACCATGTGACATCTGGGACATCTCAGGAATTAAGGCAGCGAGACGGGTTGTATTTTGAAAAGAACCGCCACCAGAGCGAATACTATCGATCCCTATGATAAAGCCATCGAATTCATTTATTCTTGAGGTCTGCTTACTAAAATTGCTGACTTTTAAATAGTTACTAAGACTTGTCTAGGCATGCCAACCTCGTCACATATAAGACGTACTTCCTCCTCTTCATACCCTAAGTGACAAAGACCCATGGAATTGGAAGAGTCTGGTGTTGTGATGCGTTGTCGAAATGTGGGTTGCCGGTGGATTGTGTGACTCAAACTCTGCGCTTATTACGGCGCAGTAACTACGCAGGCTGGCCGTGACTCATAATCGAAAGCCTCTTGGACCAACAATGAGCCTTCGGGAAGGTAGCTATGCCTAGTCTTAATAAACGAGCGTCAATCAAGTCTCTGTTTATTTATTTTATGTGTCATTAATTATCATTCTAGTGTGTACATAATCAGAACCTCCTCGCTTGACGCTGACACCATCGAGTTCAAACACCAGTCATCACACCCAATTGAATATCACACTCATTGCTCGTAGCAATCTACAAAATTTGCAATAATAATTCAGTTCAGTTCGCAAAAAGCGGACCATTTTACGCTGAAGTAAGCTTTGCATTCTTCAACCTAACTGGTAAAGTAAATACGGCAATGAGATTGCAAAATCAAAGATACATTCGATGCAATTTACATATTGCAGTGCCAACGCCAACATACATTGAGGACATCCAGGCTGCACTGTGTTGAGGATGACGGCTGACCATCAACTAGCTGTTCAATATGCAACAAGATAGAGCGCGTCGGACTCGAGAAGAGGTTGACTGCTCTCTACCTCCATGCAAATTATACCCGAGCCTATATATCGTTCTTGAAAAGCAGGCCGACGGCGAGCCCAACCACTGGTCCCTCTTCGTTGCTCACGAAAATCAGAAGGGAAATCAGTACCAGGTCCATGGAGATGCGGAGAACATGCATTATCTGCATGCACAGAACGTTGGACTGTTCTCAACTGAGAACTATTTCACGTCATACAGTATCGTTGAGAGCGTCCCGCCTGCTACAGAAGATTTGGTTCGCGATTGTGCGGACTCGGAGCCGCCTCCTTCAGCCCCGAATCGAGCTGCAGTAACAGAGAATTGCCAAGCTTGGGTTTGTCGCGTGTTGACCCGTCTTGCGCAGCAAGGAATTGTGAAGGAGGAAAAGGTTGCCAGTGCTCGACGTATGGTCGAACCTATCAACTGAGACCATGGTTGGCGACCGTCTCGAAGCCTATCCTGGAAGAATCACTGTAATCACAAACATCTCCGCACTCAAAGTACTTTTACAGAACCAGCGATAGCTCAACTAGGGCGTACGCGCTTTGAGAATCCTCTTAAACGCAACATCCTGAAGATCATGAATAGTGCCAAGGATATAAATACTACTCGATTAAAGATTGAAAAAGCATTTTTTGGCGTTTTTTCCAATTGTTATAGGGGGGGAGCAGAAGATGATCTTAGCAGGGGTCCTAATCGCTTCAAAGTTGCCAGTTTTCGGGGAGGGAGCGCATTTCTTCACTTGTAACCTCGACTCCAAATTGTCTCGCTTAACATGCCTAGGATAGTTGTAGGCCGCATTAGCCCCGCTAAAAGGTTTGGGGGCCGTTACGACATGTCTCAATAATTGCCTGGAGGCTATTAACACTTGCAACCTGCATTTAAGTTATATATGAACTTCAAACTCATCATGTCACTATTCACAGTTCCAGCGTACTACGAAAACTCTTCTTACCCATCGATTACGAAACGTCTCGAGATCGCAAATGAAATCCTCGCAGCTAAGCGTGCAGAAAGCGGCGATAACACAGATGCTGGCCTGTTGGCTGTCTATCATGCACTTGAGGAGAATTCTATAGATATGCCAAATTACAAAGATGGACTGATGGCAGCGATTTTGGCGGGCGAGACGGTTCTTCCGACGCTAAATGAGGGCGAAGAAGCATGGAAGAGTGTAGTGTTCAGCCTTGCTACGTTGTTGGTAAGGCGCTCGAGGTGGGATGATCGGAAGCACCTTGGCGATCTGAATCGTGCGATAGCGCTCGTCGATGAGTCTCTGCTAGCTCAGGATATCGAGGCATCATTCCGTGTCACCACGTTGCGTAAACTGAGCGCCATGTGGGAGGAGAGGTGGGAACGACCACGTGATGAGGAGGACTTGCAACAAGCGTTGCAGCATCTGGAAACTGCTGCTACGTTTACAGAAGCGGTGGAAAGTGGCCTCTTACTTGCAAGTGCTGCGTGTCTTCGCTTCAAGATCGATCCGGGTGTGCTCAAGTGCATCCTGGAGATACCAGTGGATCAACTCCGGTCTACACCCGTGTCATTTTCGTCGGTTTCCCACAAGAAGTTTCGCTTCATCGATGCTCGCAGTCTAGCCACTGAGACTAGTCTTCGCGTCTTGGAGTTTGACGCGCTCCCTCGGCACCGATATGTTGCGCTCTCATACATATGGCGAGGCTCCTATATCGAAGGCGCTGAAGCCCCAAGACTAGGTACCATGACGATCGATGGCGCGACTGGAGCAGATCCAGTATCTATTGATGTCCTTGTTACCGTCTGCAAGTGCATCATATCAGCTAGCCTCGAATGCGATCTGCTATGGATAGATGGTGTTTGCATCATTCAAAATGACGACGAGGACAAGAGCTGGCAGATCCAAAATATGTTCGATATTTACGAATACTGCAAGCAATGCCTCATCTTACCGGGTGGTTTGTCGAGGCTCGTGCCACTCACCGAACCCACCTCCTGGATCCATAGGGCGTGGACTCTTCAAGAAGCTGTCGCACCAGAGGACTGCATGTGCCTGTTTGCTTGGGACAGGGGTGACGCTATCTTGCAATCCCACTTCGGTATTAGCGTTTTGGAAGTCGAACCCGGCAAATCTGCGCGCTCTGATCTACGAAGCCTCCTCATGATATCTTTGCGTGGCTCGGTCGATATACTCACCCCTCCTAGTTTCTCACGGAAAAACGCACCTCAAGTGGAAGTCAAAATCATAGCCGATAAGAGCGAGCATAGCCAGGCCATGGCTCTGCTTGGTGCCATCGACCATCGAGGCAGAGAAGGCATGGATAACGCCGTTTGGCGCTCCTCTCTTACACGTGTTGCTTCACGCGCAGCAGATGCTGTCTTTAGCATTATGGGTCTCCTCGACGTCAATCTCAACCCGCTAGACTACGACCCTGAGGATCGCAAAACACCAACCATTGCACTAATGAAGGCCATTCTAAAGGCAGGGAAGAGTGCAGAGTGGCTGGGCATAGCGCCGAGCATGGAGATCAACGCAGAGATCCCTACCTTGCCAGTATTTTCCAAGGTGGGACCCCGTGGAAGCGCTCTCATCCCAACGGCAAGAGGCGACAAGCCTATCTCGGATATCATGGTCGACCCGTGGTGGCACCTCAAGGGTGCACCCCGAGGCGAAATGAGAGACGATGGCTCCCTAACTATACATGTGAAAACACTACCCATACGACAAGTTCGACAGAGCCATACAGATTTCGAAATACAACCGGAGGTATATCCGTCGTGGAATAGAGGACCGTTGGGTACCGAGGTTTGGTATACTTCGCCGACTGAGTGCGACCCACCATTCATTCTACAACTTGGTCGCATGGAGAGGTATTTGAACGGCGTTGCACCGATGGTGCAGACGACACGCCCTTATCTAGTTATGCTAGTTGATAAGGCAGGGCTGGGGACAGTGCGGAATCTTGGCTATGCGGATGTAAGTCAAGACATCATTGACTTGGATGGTTGGGCTGAGCAAAACATTGTAATCACGGCAGCGATGACGCAAGAAAGATGAAGTCTGTAATCAGAGCAAGACGTGTTTTGCACAAGACTAAGAAGAACTTCAATTAGAAAAAAATACCAATCTGAGAATGCGAAGAACTAGATTCATAAGGTGGTAAATACTACCAAAGTCTCGCATCTGCTCAAGCCCTAAGATGCGCTTATACAACAGCTCAATATATGGAATTAGTTGTCCGACCTTGCACCTACCACCCACCCAACGGTCATCGTGACACTTATGATCTGCGATGCACCGACCCGCAATCACGGTAGAACAAACGCCCTAAGTATTCCACAAACCGCTTGCCCCTCTCGTGAACCACGGTCGCCGATGTTTCACTAGCTCCAGTTTGCGGGTGGGCCAAGATCGCAATCGTCAGTGAATAACATAATTGCAAGCCATCCTGGCTCTCAAAGTAAATCGTAAAGATAAATGACAGCTCTTTAGTTTCGAGAAGTTCACCAACGAGCGCTCGTTCCACATTCACTACAACGCACCTTCCTGACCCTTGACAAAGCGCCCACCACCACAACAAACAACAAGACCACCACACTCATCCCGCGACAACAGCGCGCTACCTCCTCGAACTTGCCCACCCGATCAACATGGCGTGGAAAACCACCCAGCGCTATTCTCCCATACATTCAACCGCGTCCTCTCGCCGCCACAACTGGAAAGTCCACCTGGGCATCCTTTTCTACATCATGCTCCTCCTGTCTTTCTGCTGCGCAATTCCACTCCTCATACACTTCTTTGCGAGACCCGACAACGGCGAGTGGTACCCCCCGAATGTAATGTGCGCGACGTGCGAAGAAATGGATACGCACAACCCAGCGCTACTGGAGTATGCACACAACGGGGTGGAGATGGCGTGTCGGGGGCCGACAAATTATGTGAGTGTAGGGCGTTTGATTTCTTTCGTGTACAGGTTGATAGAGGGGGTGAAGAGAGAGAATGCAGGGCTAATAGATGTGTACAGGACGATCCGAGGAATTTGGTCAACGTCACTTTCCGTGGTATCAAGCGCTGCTGGGCTCTCGAGCAGGGGAAAGACGAATGGCTGAGACCGATTGGGTGGAGTCGCGAGGATATGCTGAAGTACATTGAAGGGCGGGAAGCGGGCCGGGGGGAGTCTTGATTATCTGGAGGTATCTGAAGGGACGAACTAGATTATATTTTTGGGTTGCGGAATTGCGGATGCACAGCAAGAACATCAGAATAAATGAAGGTTTGGATAATGATACTGTGTGGGGCTGAAGGGCCTTTTGAGTACGCAATACTGAGGGATGAATTGAATAGTAACCTGTCTATGCACCAATAGTAGAACAGGGCTCGAAACATATATAGAGGCGAGCGTGAAGAAAGAAGCACTCACCAAAAGGATTGACCAACTGTGCACTGTTCCAAAGTTCTAGCTAGTATTAGAAATTTAAAGTCATCCGCAATCGCTAGTGCTGTACAGTACCAAATTGGTAATCGACTGAATGTGCGACACTGCGTAATATTTACAACTGCTGTTATTTCTTGGACAAACCATGAAGCTCATAGATGAACTTGCATATTTTGTAGAATCACCCATGATGATACCGTGACGACCTCCATGTCACGCTGTTCAAATTGCAGCTTGGCTCGCTTTCAATGCCCCAACAACAGTGACTGCGAGAATAGGACTGATAATGTAAGAAATCGTCAGAATCTTCGCAATCCTCCTCTCATCATCCACCCCGGCATCGCTGACTTGGACCATAGTGATGAGCTTCATTGCGGGAGGCCCCGTGGGCATGAGCATCATCGCGAACCAGAGCATCGGATCGTCACCTAGAAAGCCATTTCGTCCAGAGTGCTGCACAATAGCATAAATGACGCCGATGCTGAAAATGGGCCAGATAACAAAGCGAACGACTAGGATAAAAGCTGTAGTTGCTCTTGGGATCGCTGTGCTCGACTGATCACCACCTTGTTTCCCTTCCTGGTAGGAGGTGTAGAGCGAGATTCCGGCAACAATGAGCGGCAAGGGAACGAATAGGCTTCCAATGTTCTTCCAGCTTTCTGTCAACCACGCTGTGAAGATTCCGCCGTTGTAAGTGCTATCGAAGAATGCCCGGTGAAGTGGAGGAGTCAAGCCAATAATCACTCCTAGCACAGCTCCTAGTAATGGCGCATTCAGGAAGTCGTAGAAGAACAATAGCCACCACCGGATCCTCGGGCTGAGGTCAGCCCAATGTGGGTGTGGTATATACACTGGGCGTCGTTTTACGGTTGTAAACTTCGGCTTCGAGGGAAAGAAAGTGATGCCGACGACACTCTCGTGGCGACTCCGTTGCCGTTCATGAGGCGGAGAATCTAGAAGCCTGGTTTGTTCAGTTGGTGGCCAGGCACTTCCTTCGCCCTCTAAATCCCGTTCATTGACACCCATGTCATCCTCCTCGTCGAGTGTCTTGTCGTCATCTGAGTCGTCCGGCGCATGCTCCGAATCGATCAGTCGCGGGCCCACCGCAAATGTTAAGCAACTGCTGACGGTCGCGAAGACTAGAAAGTAGCTCTTTGCCCTCCCAATCATTGCCCTTGTCGTATCGTCGCCGACAATGAGATTGACCAAGATGCCCGTCTCGTTCAAGCTTTGGATCAAGAGCAGCGGGTAGCTTGTGGTGTTATTGAACATGATAGCAGCAGTGACCCAGTCTGGCAGCCCAAATACTACATGCGCAAAAATACCAATAAGAAAACTGATCAAATGGCATATGAAGGCCCATAACAGGATGATGAGGTAGCGATGCGCGGAGCCGAGGTGCAGTTCCGTGCCTATCTGGATGAGTAGTAGCGCAGGGAGAAACATCTTGACGCATATTTTGCTGATTGCTTTGCCGTTGCTCGAGTCGAGGAGCCCCAGTTTCGCTGCGATACCGCCATAAGATATGACGAGTAGCACCGACAAAGATGCCTGCACCGCGGCGACAAATGATGAAAGAAGTCCGCTCATCGGCATGGTGACGGCTGGATACCTTCCGGTCTATCAATTGAAGGATAGCTGCGCGAATGCGAATTAAAAAGCGAATGTAGATATAAGAGCTACTCAAAGTTCGATGGTTCGATGACCTCAAGCTTCAGCAATCCCGCATCTGCAAGTTCGCTGAGCGTTGCTTCTTTGGGGCAAGTTCCGCCGAAATCCGTCATCCGGAGGCTGGAGCACGCTATTCGTTGGCTGAAGCTGATTGGATCAGCATGCAGACAGTTATTGTAGAAAGATACATCTGCAAGCTCTGAAGCGTAATCGCATAATCTCGGATCGTCGCTATCCTCTTGGGGGAGAGGTTGCTGGATAAATTGGTAGATCTAGCATCGTGACGTCATCTGGCTGCACTTCAAAACTAAGTTGCGGATGCGGCTGTATTGCGCCGTGGAGAGTAAATAGTATTCCAACAGGCTGTGGAAGTAGTCGCTCTGAGTTGTATGCGACATGTGTGGTTCGCGCGTAGCCTCCTTCTACATGATTGCGCACATGTCGGGTCCCTTGCTCTTTGCGCCATCCTCAGTCGTCGTCTTTGCACTTGTTTTAGCTACGTCCTCAAGGACCTCGCGGCATAGCTCTCCTGTCAGAGCACTGCATTCTGCATAGTGGTCGCAGAGCATCGTTGACGCTGTCTGTAGTCCTTCGTGGGGCATCACGCTTGCGCCCTTTCCCTTCTTATCCTCGCCCACCTCGACCAGCGTCCACTGCTTCCTCAGGTCTCTCTTCAAGCCTAGGACCATGACTGGTAGATTATCATCGTAGTTGAAGTGTTTGTTCACAATTGGTAACCACGTCGATGAGAGAGCTTCGAGGGAGGCGCGGGATGAGATGTCGTAGCAGAGGATGACGAAGTTCGGGTGGAGGAGCGTGTAGTTGGTGGGCGAAGACGTGTCGTAGAAGTTCAGCCTGTATGGGCGTCCATATAGGGTGATATCGAAGACGAAGGGTTGGTCGTTATCGCGGAGGGTGGGGAGCTCGTATGGCGGAAGGTCGTCATTCTGAGGTCGAACGCCGAGGGTCAAGCGACTATGATAGTTAGTCAAAGGATCCCAGCTTATTAGGCCTTTTACACTGGGTGTATGCCAACTTCAGCTTCACGATTGCAGCTGCTGAACTGTGTTTGCGACAGACAATACACGCGACAGCACCGGCAAACTCACGATAAGAATGTCGACTTGCCGACCTCGGCATCCCCAAGTAGAAGCACCGTGACTTCTGGAGGCAGTAGTGTGTAATCCATTGCGGGTGATACAAGCCTCGAGGGCACTGCAAGAACTCAAAGCGGCGTCATGATGCTTGCTTTCGTTTTGAAGGGCTACAAGAGATATCGGCGTTACCCCAAATAACGGCGTTAACAACAGCTTGGCAGACTGACCGAGGAAACGAGTTCCTCACGCGACATATTGTCCCTCTACCTTGACACCCAAAACATAGCCGTTATCGACGCTCTGGCCCGCTGAATTGTAGGCCAGTACCTAGTACTATTCCAAGGTTGCTCTTTGCCTTTATACTTGATAGACACACGTCCCGTTCTCATGCGATTGAAGAACCTTCCGGCTGCCTTCTATCTAAAGCATGGTACGAAAAGCCTAGAACCAGGCCAGCGGGATCGCGACACAAACTAACATCTCGAATACCATTGGGCGGGGTACGCCATGAATCTTCAAGATATTACGTTTCTCCTGTTACGGCGAGGCTTCGAATTGGATCTATGAAGTGATCGCTACAACTAACGATTATCTCAGTGTCTTCAGCCTTGTGTGTCTCGGAGAAGTAAAGTCCGTATGGATTGAAGTCGCATTGGACGTCCAATAAGGGTGCGATTGTGCGAGACTAGCACATCTCATACCGTTTCTTCGACTATGAATCGAGTTTATCAGGGCAGTGCTATCATGGCCGCGGCATAGCAAGTCATACCTCCAACGTTCGATGAGCTTGGCAACGCCACCGACGACCACAAACCGGTCGTCTGGATTCTTTAGGAGTACAGACAGCCTTGCTATCGCATCGCTTCGTGCTTAGCAGCAGATAACAGTTCGGACCTGCTCATAATCGTAGGGCAACTACGAAGGCCAAGTGCGCTTGTGTCTTGGAGGGAGCATCCCGATGACCCGATCGGGCAGGTGCCACTCTATAACCCTGTCGATTCTACTCGCTCACCGGCTTCCATGGGAACCACCAAATTTCTGACTTCACATAAATAAGACGAGCCATGGCGACGTCTTGTCCCTGCACGCCCTACCTCCTACTCTCGGCGCAGCATTCTTCTAGCTGCATCTCGCCATGAAGGTCTCCACACTTCTCGGCCTGCTCCCCGGCACCGCCCTTGCGTCCGATGTCTTGAGTGTTGCATTCTTTGCAAAGGAAAAGAACCATTTGTATGACTTCATCTCGACCAACAACGAGATCGACTATGGCTGCAGACCCGTCGTCATGGCCGCCGATGGCGAGCACAAGCTGCATGCAATCATCTCGGAAGAGCAACTGCACCACTTCAAGAGAAGCTTGAACTCAGACGTAGTCCGCATCGAGACTCTTCACAACCTGAACAAGCGACAGACTGCTACAGCCCCTATCGGCAAGGGCGACCGGTTCAAGGGTGGCAAGGTCGCACCTCGTGGGTTGGGTACTAGGAAGCCGAGCGAGTATGCGGCTTTTCAGAGTGCCGGTATCCTGAATGCGGATGAAGTTTATACAGCAATGAAGGGCTTGGAGAAAGAGTATGGGCTGACTCTGTTTACGCCACCTCACAAGACGTTTGAAGGCACTTCCCTCATTGGCGGCGTTGCGAGCAAGGCCGAGAAGGTCAAGAAGGACAAGCAGCACATTTACTTTACCTCTGGAATTCATGCTCGTGAAAGAGGCGGACCTGACAACCTCATCTACTTCATTAGCGATTTGCTCTATGCGAACGAGCACCGCATCGGCCTCACCTATGGCAACAACACCTACTCCAACTCGGACGTCAAGAAGGCGCTCGCTGCTGGCATCGTCTTCATTCCCATGCTTAACCCAGATGGCGTGCGCCACGACCAAGCGAACAGCAACCTCTGGCGCAAGAATCGCAACCCTGCAAGTGCTACCCCAGGCAAACCGCGAAGCGTCGGAGTTGATCTAAACCGCAATTTCGACTTCCTTTGGAACTTCACTAAGCACTTTGATCCTTCTACCTCTCCCGCTTCCACAGATCCCTCGTCCGAGGCTTTCTATGGCACCGCGCCGTTTTCCGAGCCAGAGACGCAGAACATGGCTTGGGTGTATGACGAGTACCCCAACATCAGGTGGTACATTGATTTGCATTCCGCTGCCGGTACGCTCTTATACTCATGGGGCGACGACATCAACCAGTCGCACGACCCCAAGCAGAACCTTTTCAACCCCGAATATGATGGCAAGCGCGGCATCGTCGATGACGAGCTGTACAGAGAGTACATCGACCAAGAGGATTGGGACAACATCAGCTACCAGGCCAACCGTACGACTGCGGCTATGATCAAGGCAGGAGGTAGTGTATTCGAACCCCAGCAGGCTGTTGGTCTATATCCCACTTCAGGAGCTAGCGACGACTGGTCATTCAGCCGCTGGCACAAGAACAAGAAGGTCAATAAGGTATACGGATACACATTGGAATTTGGCTACCCGACGAACTTCTACCCCACAAGCGCGGAGTTCATCCAGAACATTATTGACACCAACTCTGGTTTTATGGAGTTCATCCTCACGGCTGATGAGATTGGTCTCAAGGGTTGATTGTATTATGAACTGGAAAGATCTGATGATATTATGAGAGATGAAAAGCTGTATACATGAGCTGTAACCATAGTCGATGATATTCAACCTTTTACTAGGCTAGTGGTTTCTGTAGATGCACACTTCAAAAGACACTGCGGTGTTAATCACTATCTATGAAAGCATTTCATGTCAAACCACGATGGCGGAGCGCCAAGCCAACGCAGAGTCAGCTTGAAGAACCGCCTACTGGTAATCACCGTCCAGTAATCGCTTCCCCTGAACTTTCTGCGATGTCTGCGACAGCCCTATTCGCACTGTGTTTGTGTCCTTCTTACCCAGCACTGTCGAGCCTGACGAAGATCGACTATGTGGTGGATTAGACGGCTTCCTCGAAGGCGTATCGATCATCTGCTCGTTTTCGTAAACCAATCGCGTGGGCTTCTCGACCATGTCTTGATCTTCATGCCCTTCGTCATCGACATGCAACTCCGACGTCCCTTGCGCCAACGGCGTATATACTCTACGCCTCAACGCGTGTTCCGTCCGCAACTCAGTCCCAAAGTTTTTCCAAGTCAAGCTTAATCTATTAGGACGATGTTCCGCCTTCCACAACGAATCATGCCACCCCTTATGCTCGAGATTTGCACCTCTAACCCGACGCTCCGGAACCCCCCTAAGCACATCGGCCACATGATCAAATAGCATCACTTTGCCTTTGGGTCCCTGGTTGCCGACATCTATCTTCTGTAGGATGATGTCGTCGATGGCGCGATCGAAACACATCCACTCCACAATGTTTTCCCCAACACGGAATCCTAGTGCTGAACCGCCGTGCTGAAAGGCATTCGGCATATAGCCTACCTCTACACATCCCTCGGGTGGCTCGTCGCCTTCGGGAAGTGGCTTGTCGTGCAGTGGATCTAAGCCTAGTAGCGTATCGACATACCCGTGATCCGGGCGATTCAGCAATGAGCGAAAGTTTTCGATGGAGATGAAGTAGGCTTGGAAGTGGTAGACTGCGATATCATGCATGTAGGATCGGAATTGGATTTGTTTGAGCTTTATGCCGTTTGGCCCGATGACCTTTTGCTCGGCGACGTGTCGTTTTGGCATATTGGTATGTAGATTGGCTGTTGTTTATGAATCTTGTCGCATAGTTGAGGAAAGGTGGAGAGGGGTTCTGATGAGAGTTGATGTGTTTATGGGGTGGGAAGAGTTAAGCATGGTGGGTTCTTGGTGATTTATATCCGGACGAGTTCTCTAGGAGGAGCCATCGTGGTTGTTTACTTTCACGGTGAAAGACTAATTCACGGGCTTGTTGTCACGTAGATACAGTTTTCCCTGGGTGGACGATGGCGGGCTTCTGTTCTGGAGTGAAAGCAGTGGTGAGTGGGGTTCGTGAACATCCTAGCCACGTCTAATTAAGCGATGGAACCAAAGACATCTAATATTCTAAAGACCTTTTCAGTCAAGTTAGTGCATAACGTAGTTGTAACTTGGCAGTGAATTAATGTCTAGGGATTGCCTGGGGAAGGCCCGGTTGCCCAGGTGTGGCTTGCAGACTAGGGTCAAAGAGGGTTAGACCATTTTTGTCCCCCTCAATCCAGGGCTCAGACTTCAGCCTTAGCCTTAGCCTTACACTTCTATGTCATTACACAAATGAGTATATTCACACAGCTAGCGTAGTAATATGCTCCATTACATGGGTACCCGGCAGGCGCCGCGTAAGTATCCGGTCCCTGAAGCGCATCTTGCCACGTCAATAGCCACAGAATTGTGCGATGTCTGTACCAAGCGAGCATGGACACCAAAGACGTTCTCAACACTATTAGATGCCCCATTTGAGCAAGACAGTGTCACAATTACATATGTGGTAACGTCAGAAGAGCTGCGGACGTCGGTATTGAATGGCTGCAGGTTCTGTCGCACGCTTGCTGACGGCATCCATGGAAGGATGTTCCTCGATGAGATGTACCAGCGATGGAATAAGACTGATAGTTGGCCCGAAAGCGTCAATTCTGGCGATAGTAAAAGCCCAGAATATGGAGATGAAGCGATAGAACAAGAACAGGAAGAAGATGGAAATGACTGGAACGATGCGTCTGCTTTCAACGAGGAAAAGATTGCAGACGATGTCACTGGAGGGTGGGAAGCTTGGGAGGACCGTGACACCTTATTCGAAGCCTCCACTTTTGAGGTTAGACTATCGTTTGAAAGAGAGGTAGAAGGTTCGTTTACGTTCATGAATGCTTATATTGAGTCGACGAACGAGGAAACGGATGAACCTAACGCACTTCGAAGATTGCGCGAGGAAAGGCTAGTAGAGTTGCGATACCACATCAGGATGGACGGTATGCAAATTTCCCATACTTACATATCTTCAAAACTCATATATTGTAGGTCGTGGCCCAAATGATGGATTGAGCCTCTTTCCGACCGAGACTAGCAACAGCGCGCTCGGATCGGAGATCAATATGAGCAGTATCAAAGACTGGATGCAAAGGCTACTGCCTATGACAGAATCTTTGGAAATCAACGCGCTCAGAGTACCAGCCAGGTTGATAGAATTGCAAGTTAACGAAGGCTTGCGCATCGTCGACACTTCGTACTTGAAGCCGTCCGATCAAGGCTTTGCAGCTCTGAGCTACGTTTGGGGGATGCAACAAACCTTCATACTTCTGGAAAAGAATAGAGAAGAGCTTTCTAGAGGATTTGATATTGCACAGCTTCCACAGACAATCCGAGATGCTGTGACTGTGACTCGCCATATTGGGCTTCAATACCTCTGGGTTGACGCGCTGTAAGCTTCTTACCTGATTCAAAACGATTCTAACTTCTCGTAGATGTATAATGCAAGACTCGAACGACGACAAATCGCGAGAGCTACCCAAGATGCGTTTGATCTACAAGTACGCAGCGGTGACTATTGTAGCATCCGTCGCGAACTCAGCCATGGAAGGGTTTCTACATTACATCGAAGAGCAAGTAGGGTACTTCATCGAACCAGTCTCAGTGCCTTTCCGCATAAAAGACAATGCACAACCGCAGACGAACGTCATCCTGAGCTATCCAGCCGATTACAAGCGTTCGAAAGACCCCATCAACGATCGCGCATGGACGTTTCAAGAACTACTTTTATCCACCAGAGCTATCATGTTTTCCTACCGCGGCGTGCAGATGATTGATCGGACGGATATACCAGCTGCAGATGGCTTCACTTCTGGTAAAGATCCTCAACTACCCAGTCTACCATGGAGTGGCCAGATGTTCTCGCTTGCTACTGACTCCAAGAATGCACGGCAGATCTGGCTTGCAGTGCGTGGTGAATATAGTCGCCGTAGCCTCACGCATCAGGGTGACAAACTGCTCGCTATCGCTGCTGTTGCTGAAGAGTTGGGAAGAAAGTATGAGAGCCAGTACCTCGCTGGAATGTGGGAACGTGATCTCGCTATGGACCTCCAGTGGAGTTGTCCGCGTCATCAGAACGTTAGTAGCCGCGACTTTGGACGGAAGACGAGAGCCCTGGGATATGTGGCACCGTCGTGGAGCTGGGCCTCGGTTGATGCGAGCGTCGAGGACTTCATCCACGTTTGGGAAGAAGAGGGGGAAAGGGGTGGTGCGGGCATCAAAGACGCACTCGGCTTCAAAGTCATATCCTGTGACGTTGAACGCTCTGTTCCAGACTTCGCATACGGCGCTGTCAAGTCAGGGACTTTGGTTGCCAAAGGCCGACTGCTCCAATTTGTCTGGCGCCCACACAAAGATGATGATTTTCACAGAAATCTGGAGTCTGATGGGTTCCTCGTCGTATTAGGGCAGCCTAAAGACAACCCCTACTCAGAGATCACGTGCGGCGAAGCGACGCTAGATGCACTTGACCCAGAACTTCAAAACGGCGTTGAAGTCACCTGTCTTGCAACACGGCTGATCGAAAATGTACCCGGAAGAGACGATGTTGAGGGATTAATGCTCCTGCCAGAGATGGAAGAGCGGTATCGGCGCGTAGGTTTCTTCAAGCTCACCACACCTGCTATGTTCGAAGACTGTGGGTTAGAGCATATCACCATTGTTTAAGAGAAAGATTAGTGAAGCTTACATCTTATATCTCGCTTGGTTGATCTAGAATAACCTCCTTTCTTCTGCGAAGTGAACGATGAGGGGCAATGATCCAGACAAAGCTATAAGGTGATTAGGAAGATCTGCGGTAAGAATAGATCTGGCCGGGTGGTCCTCCCTAACACTGAAAGGGGCCACCAATCCAACTAATTAATTTTCGAATTATGGACCTTCTGAACCCGAAGTGAAGGTGAAAGGCTGCACCAGGCGCCAAGCCCAACTCGGGGGACAACACTCGTACCTTGGCCTTTCTTCGTCACTGACGTTACTCAGCCATGAGGTTCAATCTCCTCTTCAGCCTTGCCCTGTTGTCTCTGACAGCCGGCGACACTCTTTGTCTGCTCAAGTACGTTTTTGTAGCGTCAACAGTTGCCTGATTGTGTAATACCAGTACTGACCACGGCAGAGTAGTTGCACGCAAGATATCTCACTGATCACCAATCTCACCAAACTGGAACATGGGAACGGGTTTGACAACGCTGCACCGCCGCCTCCTCCTCCACGACCACCGCCAATCCAACCGGCGGACGACAGTCTTTGGAAAAGGTGCAGTGACAAAGGCTGTATGCTCGCGTGGGCCATGAGAGCGGATGATCAAAACGTTGGCCCATCGTACAACCCTACTCGCAATACAGCTCGGAGCCCGTACCATAGCATCAACGATCTCCAACAATGGCTTTGGAACCCATTTCCGAAAACTAGAATCAATCCGGCTATGCACGACTTCTACAATACCTGGGGAATCGGCTACGCCCTCGTGGGCCTCGGAATAAATGCAGTCTCATTCGAGTACGACGGCGGCAAGAACGAACTCTTCTTCATAGATCATCAAAGTTTTGATTCTGCCATCCCAGACGTCAATAAGCAATGGTATGAGGTTGAAGGAAAGAAGTACCGCGCAACCGGTGCATCGTACACCTTCACACTGAGTTGGGAAGAAGGCGTTATCATGAGCCTGAACAGAATATCTCCAAAATATGCGGCCAAGGATCGAACACCACCCGTTTCTGATGATGAGATACCTAAACTCAACCAGTTCTCGGATGTTGCTTGGATTGGCTGGGACACTGTTTGTCGACGCGAAGGCACTGATGTCAAAAAGCTCCGCTACTTCCTCTCCGTTGGCATCAATAATGAAGATACCAAAGCAGTTATACTTCGGGCCCTGAGCGCTAAGGGCTGGCAACTTAGCGGATGGCCGGGCCATACGTTTGAGAAGCATTGGATGGAGACACGAGCTATCTTGGGTAAGTATGCATGCCATAGGTATTATATGCAGTTCGTTCCGGCTTTTCATTTGCATCGCCAAGGCTCCCTGGCTGATCCTCGAACAACAGGCACACCGAACCTTCAGGGGTTTGCGTACTTCCTCATACAGCATAAATACCGACTCGGCAACATGTTCATTGATAAACTGCAGATCTTCCATGGGGATACTCTCCATAAGAATCCCTGCATCGTCATGCACCTATCCCAACCAACTGCTGGTGCTGAGGTGGAACGAAGATATGAGGGAAAGAACGTCCTACGAGTGCATAAAGTACGTAGCAAGCTGTGAATCATGGGCCTAGAGTAGAGATCTGGTACTAGCAGAGGGCTCCGGCCAGGCATATAGATCTATGCGACCCCTACTCTGTCACATACGGCCATGGACACAAACAGATTCTCTCGTCCGATATGCCATGTTTGCGGTGCTGCGTCGGGTAATAGGTAGCATGTTGCTCGTTCCTGAAACCCTAATCCGTATTCTCGACCTTAAGACCAGGCAGAAATAGAAGTAATCAGCGCTTACGCCCTGGTTGAGATATCACTGGTCTGTAGAGCTGTACTTTGAGAGCTAGGCAACTTAATCTTGAGCAGGCTAATAGATACACGGAGTGGCGTGGACGTAGGTCCCATCTCGGATGAAGCCAACGACCTATACTATCGAAGGTTGCCAATAAATCTGGTTATCCTTCGAGCAATAGACGGACGAGGCCCGAGACTCGACGTTCGCTCTGCAATGAAGTGATATGCTTGCAAGCTATTCGTCTTGAAGGCATGTGTGCCACCCCATAAGAACAAGCGAAACACTCGGTACGTTTCCTCGCCCCATCCAGCAATGATATATTCCTTTGCTGCCTCAAGACGCTTTGCCCATTCCAACATTGTAAGCTCGTAGTCACGAGTCTCTCGGGCAACGTCGACAATCTCAAAACCGTGGTAGAGCATCTCGGCAAGTACATCTTGGAGGGTCATGAACGTATGAGTTCCTCGCCAGACATAATCGCGAGTGAAAGAGCTCACGGCAAATTTCTCTACAGCAGCCGAGCCGTCGAGATATAGTCTACCGCCAGGTTTCAGAACTTTCCAAACACTGCGCGCAAATCTGCGGTAGTTTGGTATGTGCTCGATCACGCCATAAATAACAGCATGGTCGTATGGTTCAGCCGGGTTGTGGTTGAGGAAATCCTCGAGGAAGACCTCACCGGGAAGGTTCTGCTCCTCAATGAGTCGGCTAATGAACCTCTGCGAATCCTTCGCAATGGTCAATGTAGTAACGTGTACTCCACGGGCACCGCAATACTGCGTTACGCCGCCCCATCCGCCACCAATATCGAGCAATCGCATGCCCTCCTTGAGTCCAAGCCCCTGGTACATAGACTCAAGCTTATGTTCCGAAGCCTCTTCAATGCTTTCGTCGGGCTTCTGAAAGAGCCCATGCGAGTAGAAACGGAAGCGTTTGTCGATGAAAGTCAAGTAAAAGTCGTCACCCCGACTGTAATGTTCGCCGACAGCTTTGGCGTTCATTTTTGTCGCTGTCCGAGCAAAGTCGTAGAGGAATTGAATCTTTTGTCGCAATGGCATCTTATCCTGTATGCGTTCCCTTGCACCAAAAAGAACTCCGATATCTCCCTCAACATCGATGTCACCTCTTACAAAAGCTTCTGCAATGCTAAGCTCTGTCATCGGCGTCTGAAGGGCCTTCTTGGAGCGGAAGACGATGCGATAGCTAGGCTGACCACTGCCAATTGAGTGAATTGCACCGCCTGGCAGCTGAATCTCGCCCGGTAAGTCGAGACTGGCTAGCAGTGGAGCAAGCCCTGTTCGGGGTAGCATGGTGCGAGAGTAACCGGGTGCCATGTTAGAGGGAGAAAGAGAAGTTGTAAAGCTCGGAGAGCCCTGTGCAAATCGTAAAAGTGGTGTTGCAACACAAGGAACAGTACAGTACCGCGACTTTCGTTCGCAGCGAGGCATCAGCGGTACCAGTACTTGAGGGAAAGTAGGATACGAGAGCGGAGAATGCACATGGGGTTAGCGATGCGACAACAAAGCGACTAGGCATTTTTGGTTAAAGATCTCACGTAACGTTCGGGTGTAACGGATCTCCATTTCTAGTGCATTAGGACAGAAAACCTACGACCTGTGCTTATCTGCACTTTATAGGTACGACTGCGATCGGCTTGAGAATTCTACAGATATAAACGCACCTGGCCCGAGGGCCGGCAACGCCTTTGGACGCGCCAAGAAGGCTGTAGAGGGCGACTCGCTATAGGTCTTATTGGCAGCGACCACGGATCCAAAAACATAGACAACTGCGCTATATAAATCATTTGTGTAGTAGCGTTGCTATTTCCTCGTGTAAGACCTCGTGTCAGACAAGCCTCGTATAGTAGCGTCGGTCCGACCTCGTGTAAAACAGGGTGCGCCCTTGGCGAGCAAAACGATTAGCCCTTTCACAGCCACAACTCTATGACACTAAAAGCACAGTTGGATCTTGGATACGAGTGGCGACAGCCTTCAATATGCATACACTGTCTACATCGTACCCGTATACCTAATTTTATCTTGACGCAGGTCCTCTAAGCGACTTTACTTCCCAGCCGACAAGTGACTCACCAGACAGCTCAACGCGACAGTCATACATATATATATAAAGAGTTCTGTCGTGATCATACCAAATGGACATACCTACAAGATGAAACCACATATTCTCAAGCGAGTCTGGACAGAAGTCAAAGAAGTCAACGCCGACTTCTTCAATCTCCGGACTGTGATCTCTCCCGATATCGTCGACGATAATGCTACACGCTTCTATTTCATGATGCTGCCGAACGACGGAGCCATGGCTCACCTTACTCTTGTTGGCACTTTCCACATTCCCGATGTAAGCAACGGCTACGATTTGCAGAGAGCTCTCCGCGATTGACAACTTTTTCTTCTCCGGTACAGAGTACATATATCATTTCGGTGCAAGGAAGACCTGGCTGTGGTCAAGATGATACATGCATGAGATACATGTTCCCACTTTCCCTCCTCATGCTGACTTTGTACCTGTGACTCAGAGGTATCCCGAGTCGCCACCAATTGTGCAGCTCCACACACCCACAAAACGATACAATGTCGACGCCTATAGGTGTGAACTTGGAAAGAAGACACCACGCAGCACTATGTGTTTCGACATTCTCCGTTCACAAGCTGCAGGGGGGACTTGGAAGCCAGAATATACCCTCTCCTCCTTGTTCGCGTCTCTGATGTCTGCGATCGTATCCTGTACGTAATTCCCGGGTACGAGTAGATGTCGCAACTGACTTCGTACTGCTACTACTAGTCTACGTTACACAGCAGTATGGTGGAGAAGTACCCGAATACGTGACCATGGAGAAGCTCCATACAGTCAAACGAGACGCCAAAGCGACTTACGAGCAACATAAGAGCCACTTACCCAATGTGCCAAGAATTCCACTGGTCGAAGCAACAATGGTACCTGCAAAGAGCCTTTTTGCCCCCCAAGAAATACAAGCTGGATGTCCTGTCAAGGTCACATCGGAGCCAATATACCTACAAACTGGGTCTGACGAGGTGCATTCGTTTGCGGTAGACCTGTCAGGCCTACATGCAGATATTGTCTTTTCAGTCATCTTGAGCAATTCGAACGACGTGTTAGGAAGGGAATCAGGCACAATATTGGTGCGTAATGGAGTAACGGCGACCGCAGCGCGCAAACTTGCCAATAGAAACACTGTGTGGTTCTATCACGGCAAGCCGATGAACGACGGAGATATGCGATTACACGTAACGATTGGCAGAGACCAGATGACCTTTGCCTATTACGAAGACGGTCGCCTGTATGTCCATGGGGATTGTCCGGTATCGCGATTGTCTGCGGAACACATTGGCGATGTGAGAGACGTTCCATTCTATGTGCACATTTACACGAAAGACAAGACGAGAAATACTACAGCTTATAAAGGGGCAGTCACTATAAATGTGCTTGAAATTGATGGAAAAGGCTATATTCACGAGTCAGTGGGCGAGGACGAGCGCAACGACTTTGGATTTGAGATGATACAGCATTCAGACACAACTTCTGGGCAGGACGTAGAGCCAGCAGCGCAAGATGATAGATTGAGCAGTGCGCTGGCAGGAATGATGGTAACGTAGTTGCGTTTCCTAATTGCTAAACGTCGTACGTGCCTAATAATACTGTACCTCTCACTTTTTCATCGGCGGAGAGTTCTAACGAGTACATCACTGCACAGATGTTAGCTTTGGAGATATCTGAATGAATAAACATCTCATTCTGACGTACTGGATAGCTCGTAAGCTTATGACCGCATGCTGACTTGACTATTCAAATGTTGGTGGACTCAATGGTCAACACTACCTACTCTCCATTACTAGGTCGTAGTACCGGGGAATTGGCTGTGACACCAAGGCATGGCCATTCCACGGCGAATGTCGGAACGCCAGTAAGAGACTCGAGAACCTCCGCACTCACATGAACGCCTTTTCCCTCGAGGCGAACTTTCAGTCACTTTGACACGTATACCAGCCAATGGCGTTACCAACATGGCGTTCAGGCGGATCCGTTTGCCCGCATAGTTCGAATGAGGGGAATGCGGACGCAGGGCTGATGGAACTTAAATAAGGCACACATCTCACCTCGCCCATGGACAGCCCCTGGACCTACCTGTCACTCACTTCTCGACTATCCAGGATACCGCCATCGCCAACCATGTCGAGCAAGTCCAAAGAAACGCCATGCCAGCTGCTCCCACGTCGGCTGCTTACCGCACGTCATAGCAGCTCAAGGAGGCTTCCCCGCGTCGCAGGATGAAGAGCTGCGCGTGACGACTCGTTGCACCCGCGTCCAAGAGCCCAAGGAGCATCTGCCGTTCCCCTCTGGCACAATCAATTCGCGTATACACAGTCCGTCCGTGGGGTTTTTAGCCGCTCTCCCGGAGCAACCTGCTGCTTGCGGCACAGGCCGTGTCCAAGCTTGGGGCTCTGCGACGCTTTAAAGGCCTTTCGTCTCCTCGGCTTTCGTTACCCCGCTAGCGACTCCGTTAGCCACCATCACCGTCCTATCAACCGAGCCTCGCTGCCCTTCAGCGCAATCGGAACCGCGGCCGGAAACCCAGAACTCTGCCATCGTTCTCGTCAACTGCTCTTTCCGAGGTTAAATCCTACCTACATTCGCCATGAGGCCCGCCACCGCTGCCAGCGCGGCCTTCCGCTCAGCGACCGCAATTGCACGACTCCCTCGACCACAAGCCTGCGGTTTTGCGACTCGGTACCTAGCCTCCCAAACAGCTGCGAAGTCGGCCCAGCTCTCGACGACGCGACGAACCACCGCAACCACCTCGTCTGTAGCTACACCAGGCTACACCACCCAGATTGGGCAGCACAGAATGGCGTCTTCTACGGGAGTCAAGAAGATCAAGGTCAAGAACCCGGTGGTGGAGCTGGACGGTGATGAGATGACCAGGATCATCTGGCAGGTCATAAAGGACAAGGTACGGAACAAGCAGATAGCCAGAGAGCGTCTGTAGGGCACGCGCTCATGGTTGCAGTTCATCCACCCGTATCTCGACATCGACCTCAAGTACTACGATCTTGGTCTGCCCTACCGTGACGAGACAAACGACCAAGTTACCCTCGATGCCGCCGAGGCTATCAAGAAGTACTCTGTTGGTGTCAAGTGCGCGACTATCACGCCGGACGAGCAGCGAGTGGAGGAATTCAAGCTCAAGAAGATGTGGCTGTCGCCAAACGGCACCATCCGGAACCACTTGTAAGTCAAGTAGCTGCACACCGAGTAGCAAGAAGGGTACTAATCATGTGCTGCAGAGGAGGAACCGTCTTCCGCGCACCCATCGTTATCCCCCGCATCCCTCGTCTCGTACCAAGCTGGAAGCAGCCCATCATCATCGGCCGTCATGCGTTTGGCGACCAATACCGTGCCAAGGACCGTGTGATTCCTGGCGAGGGCACACTGGAGATGGTCTTCACACCCAAGGGCGGCAAGCCCGAGGTCATCAAGGTCTACGACTACCCTGCTGGCGGAGGTGTGGCTCAGACCCAGTACAACACCACCGACTCCATCTCAGGGTTTGCCCACGCCTCGTTCAAGATGGCCCTCGACAAGAAGCTGCCACTCTACATGAGTACCAAGAACACCATCCTGAAAGCATACGATGGCAAATTCAAGGATGTCTTCCAGGAAATCTACGAAAGCCAGTACAAGAAGGACTTTGAGGCTGCGGGCATCTGGTACGAGCATCGTCTGATTGACGACATGGTCGCCCAGATGATCAAGAGCGAGGGCGGCTACATCATCGCCTTGAAGAGTGCGTATACGTCCCTTGCCGTCACAAAATTCTGCTAACAGTTCTCAGACTACGATGGAGATGTCCAATCCGACATTGTCGCCCAGGGTTTCGGCTCCCTCGGCCTGATGACCTCCGTCCTCATCACCCCCGACGGCAAGACGTTTGAGGCCGAAGCCGCCCACGGCACCGTCACCCGTCACTTCCGTGAGCACCAAAAGGGCAAAGAGACCTCCACCAACCCCATCGCCTCCATCTACGCCTGGTCACAGGGTCTCGCGAAGCGCGGTGAGCTCGACAACACACCTGAGCTTGTCGTATTTGCCGAGCAGCTTGAAAAGGCTTGTGTCGACACCGTCGATATCGATGGCATTATGACAAAGGATCTGGCGCTGGCGTGTGGAAAGAAGGACAGAGGTAGCTGGGTTACTACAAATGAGTACCTTGATGCGGTAGAGCGGAGGCTGAAGGCTAGCTTGAAAGAGAAGCTATAAGCGGGGTTCGGAGATGCGGGGGAGACCCTGGAAAAAGGACTGGATTGAATGATCTCACGAGTATATATTTGGATACTTACGTGCATGTAGATGGAGTTTTTGCTTACTACATGCTAGACAGTAAATAAACAAGATCAAAGACACAAATTGTGCAGCCGAAGTTGTGCCAGCTCGTGCACGTTTTCATGTCTCACGGCATCATGCATGTCGGGTGGTATTTGTTTGTTACACACGTTGATTCAAAACATGTGTTGCGACCTCTGCCTTGACCTTTCTTCCGCCTTTCATTTTCATTTTCATTTTCTCAGTCCGGGTCTCTAAAACGGTCGCTGATCTTATCAATATTGTTCGGATCACATGATGGACGCCTTCACTCAGAGCCCCAGCACAGACTCGGTTCCCCGGGCCACCACGCCTACTATGGTGAAGGGAGCAACGTCACTCCCACCTTCAGCTCCCGATGAGAACAAGGAGCCCAGCGCGACTCCACCTTCATCGCCCAGAAAGCACTTTTCACCGTCAACTCCGAAGTCGACCCCATTACACCGACGCTATCTGCAGGAGGTAGCGATGTCACCAGCAACACCGTCTCGCACGCCTACCCAAGATAAGCGCGACAACGTCACGAAAGGACGAGATAGCCCCACCAAAGGCCGGGAGAGTCCGAGTAAGCAAAATGTGGAGATTGGCCAGAATGGGTTCTACTTCTCGTGTGAGCTGCCCATGGGTAAAGTCACGCCTAAGAAAGGTGGGACACCAAGCAGGCCTGGATCGCCAAAGAAGGATGGTCCTACGGGTACCCCAACCAAACGAACGCCGAAGCCGGTGAAGGAGTCCAGCCCGGTCAAAAAGAGCCCTGCGAAGGCACTCTTTGGGACGCCGCCGCGGAAGACAGGCACACCGATGCAAAGTCGTGCGGCTACTCCAGTTAAGCGCACAGCTCAGAGCAACGGGTCGCCTTTGAAATCTGTCAAGACTGCGTCGCGATTTGCGCAGAATCTATCGTCAACGCCCACTGAGAAGGAGGCTTCGAATGCGACATGTAAAGCGCCTGCTGCTTCCAATTCGGGTGGTAGAGCCCCGCCCGCTGAGAAGATACGAACGTCAACAACATCCCATCTCTTAGACATCGGACACCTAATGGCGGGCCTCAACGTCAGCGCCCTGAAGGCGGGTGGTCGAGCGGGGAAAGATCACGTCGACGACCAAGACCGGATCCAAAGATCGGAGCCACCCACACCACTTAGGAGGGCAGCTGAGAGGCTCCCATCACTCGATTACTCCACGATGCAGAGACCCGATGACCACACCACGAATGTCTCGACCGGAACGCAGACGGCACATCTTTCACCCGAAATCATCGTCGAGCCTAATATTGCTCTAGATATGAAGAAGCAAGAACAAACTCTGCAGTACCCGCCACTCTTGTTTCCAAAGGCAAAGCCAGAGGCTGGCGAGGGTGGTCCGGAACAGGCAACAGCGCAGCCATCAAGCAAGCATGTTAATTGGCAGGGTGCCCACTCACTCTCCCCAAAGGCTCCAAAAGGGAGGATTCCGAGGATTCTGAAGCGTGTCGGCACGGATCCTGGGGTCCGTCAAGCAATGCATACAGAGATGGTCATGACTGAGGCCTCTTTGCGCCGCTCCACTGGAAACGAATACTTCTTACGAGTGCCAGTCAACAACAACGAGCTACCAGCAATGTCTAACACGTTGTTCGAAGCAGGTCAGGAGGCGCGAGAGCCAGCGTTAACGAGCACGCGTTTGGCATCACGAACACTTAGCAGGGCCAACTCCGACACTTCATCTCTTGGAACAGTACGAGCCAGCATGGTGATGGGTGCGCAGAAACGCGCTGGTGCACCCAAGATTCCTAGTACTCCGCAGCCTCTCACACATATCACGGCTACACATTCCGCTAGCAAAGAAAGGGCCCCTGCGACCAAGCACGTAAACACAGCTGGACGATTTGCAGGAAAGTCGAGCGCCCCAGGGACTTCGCGCACTAGCCCAACAAGCGCAGCGTCTATCAAGTCTACCAAGGTCACGACAGGCACTGTTAGGACACCACAGCAGCGATCAGGGACACCTAAAGGTGTGGAGACGCCTTCTCGTATACGGCTTCGCGATACTACCGCGCGTGCGACCCCAGTAGCTACACCCTCGAGGAGCAAGGATGGGGGAGCATCGAGACCGCGAGGTGTTGGCAAGCCGGCTTCCAACACACCGACGTCTACGAGAGGAGTATCAGCTGCAAAGCTCCCTACTTTGACTCGCCAACCGCTTCCGAGAACGCCGTTACCCAGCAGAACTCCCAGACTACCACGCTTGATAACCTCGAAACCTTACAATCCTGCGACTGATCCGCGCCCATACGAGAAGAAGTTTGCTAGCGCAGTGGAAATTGCAGATCGCGTTGCCGGGTGGAATAGCGAGGACAGGAAGAAGGCAGCTCAGTCTAAGCTCTCTGCTCCTCGGGTGTTGACATCGCCCACCAAAGCAGCCAAAAGCCCTAGCAAACAGAAGACGGACCAGCAGTCCTATACACCAGAAGGCTCGCCAAATAAGCTACCTTCGCCCGTCAAGAGCCCTACGCTCCACCCAACCCACCTCAAGCCGGCTCCAGCCCCCACTCCCGGGTCCGCTCGGCCTACCACCAAACTTCCGAAGACACCAGGTCCGCGCAAAACTGCAGTAAACAGACTCAAGGGTGAAGATGCATTGAAGACACCAGCGAGCCGTCGTATCGGCGTATTGGATAGAAATGCCTTGCGGACGCCATCAAAGGCTATAGAGAGCTCGCTTGATCGTGCTATTGATGCGAAGATTGCAGAGGATGCAAAGAGTGGGAAGGAGTTTACACCGAGTGGAAATAGGGTCAAGGACCTGTTAGAGGCGAGACAAGGGCAAGGGTTGTGAACTTGTGTAAAAGTTAGAGTTCTATTAGATGAACCGTGGCATGTATTTTGGGAGATAATATCGTAGATGGGTTATGATTTAACAAGCGATTTATATGGTAATAAGTCATTTGTAGACAAGGTTCTTTAAGCAGGGTGATTTATGTTCTTGTAGAGCTCGCTGGGTGGGGGTGAGACTCAAGATTGATAGGATATGAAATAATAAGATGATGACCAAACACTTGACGTCAGAGTCACCATCATACATTTTTGAATTCGTAGAGGCGAAAGACTCGCCCCTTTCATCTTTGCTCATGGAATTCATGTTGGTGAGGCCGAAATCTTGATTCTAGCGCGGTGTACACCGCCCTACACCCTCAGCACGTGCTTCTACCTTCACTTCGGCCAAACACCGGGCGGTACAGCTGCCTGCCGGAGAGTCGCCTCTTAAGCGAGCACGTGTAGCCGGGCTCGTGCGGCCTTGGCTTGTCCATATAAACCCTCTCTCACCTGCGGCCTCCAACTCTTTTCCTCCCCACTCAACCCACCAGCTCCACCTCAATTGCAAATCTTGCATTCTTCGAGCTTCCTCCACTTCCACAAGCCTCACTCAGTTCTTTCTCAAACACATAATCAACATCATCAACATGAGCTCACTCTTGCTCTCACCTGCTCTCACCTACAAGGTCTCAAACCAAAAGTAAGTCTCTCACCTTCCACCTTGCTTGCCGCAGCTTCTGACGTCACAGAAAAACAAACACTCGGCCTTGACACATCACATCAACATGCTTTTGCCCCGCATACACACACAACCTTTCGACATCCTCGAGCTACTGCACGAGCAAGCACTCATTCTCTCACCTCAACCTCAAACAGTAAGTATCTTGCTCGTCTACTTGCTAACTGCTGACATGAGGTAGAACTTGCTTCCTGGAGTGAAGGTGATCTCACCGACACCTTCACTCCACAGCAAACCCAACACACATCGCCTCTCACCAATATGGCACCGACCAGTTGACGCCTTTGCGGCGCTTCGGGGCACTTCTTCATATCAGTAACAAGGACATCGACTTGGAGGCTTGGAGGCACATCAGTGAAGGAATGGCAGATCAGCAGGCAGCTCCGACATCCTCCCAGGTTAGTTACCCACGGCCCGTGGTTCCACGGTTTTTTCCAGTCTGTGGCTTTGAGTTCCTTGCTTGGGAATTGATGGTGTGAGCAACTCCCTATCCATCAGCAACCCCCCTCCCAGACTAGAGCATCGTGTCCTTCGGGACGAGGTCGAGTAAGTCTCCGCGGTACCTTGCAAGGTTCTCTGAGTTCAGGCTGGATTAGATTTGGGGCCCGGTCGGTGGAATTACGCTTGGTTGGACTTGTATCTTTGGGCTGTCTGCTGTGGATTCAGAGTGGAGAATCAGGTGGTATTTTTGGTTGGATTCTGGATGATTGGTCTATAGTATTTTGGTGTGTCTTTGTCTACAGTCAATCAAAACAAACAATACATCAAACATCATCCTCTTTTCTCTGACGTGACTGTGCATAAGACTTACTGTATCCATTGTCCTCTGCTTCGGCCTCTACCTGCTAATATTCTGTACTCTCTCTCGACCATTGACCAGGCTCTTAGCTCCCCTCCTGGTAACTCTTCGTAAACAAATCTCCCTCGTCCTCACTGACCTCGCTCTCCTCGCTCTCCTCCTTGCACGATTCTGTATCGCCTCCACTGCCATTAGCTTCACCACCAGCGCCAGCTACCAAACCTTCACTTTCTGCGCCCCTTCCTCCTCCTAGCCGCGACGACGAGGACCCAGGCAAAGGCGACAGCGACAGCGACAGCGACATAGTAGACCGACCCAGCGTGCGCGATGATTCCGACTCCGACTCCGCTGCTGGACTCCACGCGTTACTTCCACCCACTTCCGATCGACCCACCGTATCCGACGAGGACGCAGAGCAGGCATGTTCCTCCTCACCTTTTCTGCTCTTCGTCATTCGCAGCGGCTGGCCAAAGTGAATTTCTTCTTCGACCCTTGCTCCCATGACGCTAGTCATCGTGGTGGTGTCTTCGACAGAGTAATACGCGCGAATTGCATGAGGCGGTCTTGCAACTATGCCGATGAGCTGTGGGTCTTTGTTGATTTTGCGTGGAGGCTGCTTGGTGTCGTCTTTGGGAGGTTGTTGGGCTGCCATTTTGATTACTGAATACGTGTGGGTGGGAGGTTGATGAGGAGATATGAAGGATGCAGTGGGGGGAATGGGAGAGTAGAGTAATGTAAGCAAAGATTTCGAGACATTGATTTGAGACAAAATGTCGGCAGTCGAACTAAATGCAAGTATATATTGTCTATACATATTCTTTTTGTCTATCACTACACAAGACATGTGTCTCAAAAAGTAGATAGCCTGGTTCCAGAACACTGAAACCACACTGTGAGCATCAAGGTGAATTCTATTCGTTCAGCACAACATCCTATCCATGATTAGCATTGCATTTACTGTTGTAGAGTCCAGAGGACTTACCCTGGCAACCGCGTAGAGCGGCTTGACCCCTGTCCAGTACTCAAACTGATGCACACCCTGTCCAACAAGCACCTCGAGCCCATTCACCGTCTTCCAACCCGCATCCTGTCCAAGTTGAATCAACGCAGTCACAGGAGGCTTGTACGCCATCTCGAGCAATATCCTCTCTCCGCCTGCCAGGGACCTTGCCTTTTCGAACAGTTCAATAACAGTTTCACGAATAGCCGGGTCGATAGGCTGGTCGGCCGGTATAGTGCCGATAGCTACCGTGGGGATAGATTCGAGACTTGCTACTTGTGCAGCCGATGTGAGCACGTGGAGGTTGTATTCCGCGGGGAAGTTGTTCTTCAGAGCCTCGATCTTTGCGGCATTTCGTCCAAGGAGATAGATGGGACCGTATCCCATCTCTTTCAGCGCATAGATGGCTGCTCGACTCGTACCACCGCCGCCAATGACAAGGCCGGATCCGGTACCCTGCGCACCAGCGTTCCGAAGGATGAGAACCATGCCGAGGTAGTCTGTATTGCGGCCAACAAGGCGTGTAACTTCCTTGCCAGTAGACTGGTCGACAAAAGTCTCGGGGACGATGGTGTTGATAGCGCCGATGGCTTCGACCTCAGGACCCACAGTATCAAGATACTGGCGGACGTCCTGCTTTAGCGGGATTGTGACACTCGCGCCACCAAAGTCTGGCGCACGGATGGTCTCGCGGATAGAGCTTGCATCAGTCGTCTCATGTAAACCATAGACGTGCGGCAGTCCGATCTCGCGGAATAGTCTGTTGTGTAGACGCGGGCTGGGACTTTGCTGGACCGGCGAACCAAAGATACAGAACTTCTTAGTGGGAATCTCGCCCATGAGTGCCAAGCCACGACGGATTTCCGCAGCGGATAGCTGACCAGGAGCAGTAGCGGAGGGGAGAAGCGGGTGGGAGACGGGTGTCAAGAAGCCGTTTAGGATCCTACTCAGCTTACCATGTTCGCCCATGTTTATGGCGATCAGTGGAACAGGGTGCGCACTGTCGGCCCAGCGCTTGAAGTCCGCAAGCGCGAAGTTGTCATGAAGAGATTTGGCTACACCAACGAGCTTGATGATAGTGCCATATTGAAGCGCACGATTGTAGTACTGTATCCAAGAGCCATCGCGCCAGCTAAGCTCACCATTTGGATCGTGGTGACTAGCGATGATCTCTGTGGGGCCACGGCTCTCGGAGATCTCACGCAAGATATCTTCAGGCATTGTCATCTCCAAATCGACAAAATCGCAGCCCAGACGTAAGCCCGTTCGGTAGAGCACTCGAGCCTCATCGTATGCCCTGTCGGGGAATTTACCGCCTTGGGCCTTTGTCCGTATTGTGTAGATGACTGGGGTTGTGGTCACTGTTCGTAGTATTGTCAATTGCTCAATTACGAATTCTGGCGAAGGCATTCCCTCAGGTGCGTTCGGGTCTTCGAGCAAGTCGACTCTAAGCTCGACTGCATCGGCTCCGACTACGAGCTCCGGTAGTGTCGCGACACAAGGCTGTAGCTGTGGCGCGGACAAGCAGACGAAGAAAGACTGCTTCTTCTTTTTGATATCCTTCAACGGGGAAGTCTTCCCGGTGATGGTATTCAAGAAGCGAGTAAGCTCCTCTTGAGTGTTCGCCATACTGGCAGACCCGGAAGCCTGACTGTGAAAGCGGTAATTACTGCACTCCACATACCAGGGTTTCCTTCGCAGCCACACGCCCATCATGTCTTCCACATAAGCGGGACGCGTTTTGTCAATCTGAAGGAACTCCATGACCTTGTTGATGTCTCGGGAAACGAGTAGAACAAGACCGCCATTTTTGTGGTAGTCGATCAAGACCTTGCGAGCTTCTGGTATCTCAACTATCCCCCCACCACAAGCGAAGACGTGGCCGGTTGGCTTCTCCTTGACTGTCCTTTGCAGCAGCTTGAGCTCCTCATCTCTAAAGCCCTCCCAGCCTTTCGCCTTTATGAGCTCAGGGATTGTCATGCCAACATGTTCCTCAAGTGCAGTGTCTAGGTCGATCAATGGCCGCCCTAGAGCCCGTGCTGCCCAGCCACCCGCAGTGGTTTTGCCAGCACCTCGCATACCGATGATGTAAATAGACTTTTGTTGATTTTTGGAAGCAACTTTACTACCATGCGAGTGCGTCGGCAGCTCCACACCATCGAGCTGCGCTTTGAAGATCTGGTTCAACGAGTCCCAGTAGCCGGGCCACGTCTTGCCAGTGCAGTCTTTCTCGAGAATGAGGACAGGCGCAGGGGCGACCAAGGAAAGAACAGCAAAGCTCATTGCTACACGATGATCATCATAGCAATGAATGCCGTCCTTGGGGGTGTCAAGTTGGTATCCTCGTCCGTCGACTTCAATGCCGTCGTCGAACTGTCTACAAGTGATTCCGAATTTTGCGAGCTCATCTTCCATAGCCTGTATGCGGTTGCACTCTTTGACACGCTGATTTGCAATACCATAGATGCGGGTAGTTGTTGAGGAGCCGTTTGATGATGCTACAGCCGCCAATACCGATGCAGTGAGGAAAGCGTCAGTCATCGGCTCCATGTCGATCTCTTTCACTGCTCGGAGTTCTCCACGCGGCGGGCCGGTTACAGTCGTAGACGTCTTTGACTGCTCGACCTTGCAACCCATGGGCTTCAGCACCTCGACAGCGAAGCGGGCATCTCCCTGGAGTGAGCCAAACCCAATATTCGGTACTGTGCAAGTGGTGCCTGTGATGGCAGCGATGGCAAGAGGGTAGGTAGCTGAGCTTGCATCGCTTTCCACCTCGTACTCGGCTGGGTTGGTGTAAGGCTTGTTGGGAATGTGATAAGTGTTTGGATCACTTTCTGACCTTCCAACCTGCACGCCGAAAGAAGCCATCATGGCGATTGTCATGTCGATGTAAGGCTGTGAGATCACCTTGCCACCGACCAATCGTAACGTGACTGGCTTCTTGGAGTACGGAGCACTCAAGAGGATGGAAGACACGTATTGCGACGAGACGTTCGCTGTTAGCTCGATCTCGCCGGTAAAGTTCTCGGAGCCGAAACCTCCACAGGCCTGAATTCGCAGGGGCAGACTGCCTTCCTTTTCTTGGTAATCGATGTCCACGCCCATGGTGCGAAGGGACTTGACAAGCGGCCCAATTGGTCGTTCCTTCATGCGAGCATTGCCGGTGACGGTGGTTGATGTGGTTGCTCCTACAGGCTGGCAAAGCGCAGTAACTGAAGTCAGAAAGCGTGCTGCTGTTCCGGCGTTCCCAAGGTAAAGCTCATTGCTTGTAGCCTTCAGATCGCCCCCGTTGCCGGTGACTACTAGCTCCTTGCCATCGTTCTCCCAAGAGAAGCTAGCGCCCTGCATCTTTGCCAGGGCATCTAACATTACCTGAGTATCGTCCGAGTGTAGCAAGTTGGTGATGCGACACGGGCCGGTTCCAAGGGCCGCGAGTACGAGAACACGGTTCGAGATACTCTTGGATCCGGGAGGTGTGCAGGTGACGGTCAAGTCTGATGGAACACCAGGATGGACCGATATGCTCGGAGACAAGGCGATCTTGATATCACGATCTGCAACTGAGCTAGCCTTCTTCTCGTATGTCCTGCCAATACCTGACAACAGCACAACCTTCTTGACTGCACCTGCGTTCTTCTTATCGACTGCCATGATCTTGATGAGCTCATCAACTGGGCAGTGCTTATTCGCCGTCCGCCTTCGTACAGTCTTGTCGGCCAGGGAAGTTGGTAGTCCGTAGCTCGCAATGCACTTGGTCAGTCGCGCAACCGCAGACGGGTCTAGCACACCTAGGTATCGCGCAAGCTCTGCCTCCTTCACCATCCCGATCGCAACACACTCTCCGTGGAGAATCTGGGGTGTGAGGATCGCTTCATAGGCGTGGCCGATGGAGTGTCCGAAGTTCAACAGATTGCGCAGTCCACCTTCGCGCTCATCTGCCGAAACGACGCCTGCCTTGACGCGTACGGAGCCTAGGACTATTCTTTTGAGTATGCTGGCGATGCCATCAAAGTTTCTTCGCCCGTTTACTGCCTTCTGGTCCATTGCAGCCAGTATTGTGTCCGCATTGCCCTCGAGCGTTGTGAATTCCTCCTCATTCCAGATGGCGGCCGTCTTGACTACCTCAGCCATTCCGTTGATGACTTCTCTTTTGGGCAATGTCTCCAAGAACTGCAAGTCGACGTATATTCTCTCTGGCTGCCAGAAGGCGCCGACCAGGTTCTTTCCCGCAGGCACGTCAATGGCCGTCTTGCCACCAATGCTCGAATCTACCATGGCTAGTAGGGTGGTAGGTACATTCACAAACTTAATTCCGCGCATATACGTCGCCGCGACATAGCCGATCATGTCTCCAATCACCCCGCCGCCTAGGGCGATTATGACGGTGTCGCGCACGCATCCTTTCGACAGCAGCCAGTCTTCCACCGCAGCCTTTGTATTCCGCGATTTGGACGTCTCGCCAGGGGCAATTTCGTATGTGAGGAGACGTGGGGGGGAGGACAGCGAGGACGCAGCGGCGGAGAAGGCGCGCTCAAAGGTGGATGTGTAGAGGTGTCCGATGTTGGTGTCGGTGATGAGGACGTAGGTCGACGAGGGAATATTTGTGAGCAGGTCCTGGGCAATGTAGCTCTGCCATAGCCCGTAATCGACGATGATCGAGTCCTTTCCCAGGATGTTGACCCTGGTGGGCTCAGCTGGAACGCCGTTGGTCGACATGGTGGGCTGTCTGGCAGCGAGTCACACTTCGCAAAAAAGAGCGGGAGCGACCACCAAATGCGAACTCTGGGGAAATTGGCGGCTTAGCAGGTGCAATTGTTGAATGGACGTATGGATCTCAGCGCATTTTGATTTAGGCGTGTAAGGGAGTGTGGCACGCTGAGAAATTGACCTTTTGTGGTGTGAGGGCTGCGTCTTTCAAATGACAAAAAATGTCCATGCGGTGAGTCGCCCCGGAGTCGGACCTGCAGGACTAGTGGGGCAACTCAGCACCAAGTCAGTCATCCCCGAGCTGATATTGACCGCGAATTACATCTCTAACTACAGTATATGACTTTCGGATCCGGGTCTCATCGCATCCGTCCGGAGCATCCTGTCTTGTCGCGATGGGTCTGCCCTTAGTAAACGTATCTACGATGCCTGGTAGTACAAGGGTCGATTCGAACGAGCCAGACTCATGACAACCCAAAGAGCCTCCATACGCATTACTGTTACGTTCGCCAACTGTAGAGCGCATATACAAAATTCGGACATCGTCAGTGATATTAGATTGTCGCTTAGAACGTACAGCGAGAAGCCTTCCTAGAAAATGGCGGCTCTGATCCCTTCGATCGACCATCGAGGATGAGTAGAGTACTGCCAGTATACGTGAACGCTTGCAGTCTCCAGGTTTCTGCTACCACAGATCACCGCCTAGGCCATCGCCTTCCAATCTCCAGTTCGACTATTGTTGTTGATAGGCGCGAGGCTGCGATGAGTCAGACGTCAGTACTGTATCAACGTAAACCCTGCCATGAGCCGCACGTTGAGCAGCACATGCCATCAACATTCTATCACCACTATGTCGACCCCACTCACAGTCCTAGTAACCGGCTTCGGGGTCCGTCAACCCCAGCTCACCTCTCCCATACCATTCTAACCAACCCCAGCCATTTTTGGACATCACCACGAATCCATCATGGGAAATTGCGCACCGTTTACCGTCTTCGCTAACAGGCCTGAATGGCGAAACAATCACCATCATTATTCCCCCAGAGCCCACCCCAGCAGCATATCACAAGATTCTTGCCCAGGTCCCAAAGTTGATCGAGAAACACAGTCCTGACATGGTGGTGCACATGGGCCTTGACGTCGACAGCGGGCCTGGCGTCTTCAAGGTTGAAAGAAGCGCACCGAAGGAGGGATACCATGAATTTCCGGACGTTGAGCGCAGAGTCTTCACGCGAGCCGAGAACAAAAAGACCTTTGGAAAAGCGCCCGCAACCCTTGCAACTACTCTAGACCTCGTTACTGCCGTTGATGCGTGGCGGGATTCGTGCTCCTCTCTCAGCTTGGCGAAGCTACAAGCATCTGGGACGATTTTGAAGGCCAAGGCCAAGGGTAAAGAGAAGCAGATGGTGGAGGTCCAGCTTACTGACGACGTGGGGACGTATGTTTGTGGTTTCGATTACTATATCAGTTTGCTTGAGATGCAGAAGAAGACTGGAAAGAGAGAGGCTGTGTTCTTTCATGTTCCGAAGTTGGAAAGTCATGACGAGCTGCGAGTTGGTACGAGGGTTACGGAGGAGCTTATCAAGGCGCTGTTTGGGGTACTGAAATAACGTTGAAACTGAACGTGACCGATTTGCGGCTACAGAGAATATGTAGCTTTGTGAAGTGATCGCCATGCCGCTCATTTGGACACCACAAGTTGTTTCTACTTCCATAGTTTGACAAACTTGTAGGACTGATAAAGAAGGCACAACTAATTCTTATGAGATTACCTGATATTATTAGCATATACTTTCGTTTCTAAATTGATCTTGTTCCAGCAAAGGTCCTTACCTAGGTAGTTAACGGATCCGATCACGTGCCTTACTAACCTAATCTAGCATTAGTCTCATCTGACGAACCTTGGAAGCTGACGCTGCTGGTACTCTGTCGTCGCAGACCGTACCACTTCAACGAAGCATCTAGTTCATGCACGCCTGCCATCTCAAACTTTGACTTACTGAATGCCAAGTACCTCATTGGCCGGGGCGAAAAAACGTAAAACGCGCCATTCAGGCCGAGTTTTCAGCATGTTGCGACAGGAACCAGGCGCCACACAGCTTGGCCTTGCTGATCGCGGCCTGCTATCCTTAGTCGACGAACTTCTCCTCAACATCATCGATCAAATTGACAGCCACAAAACGCTATGCAATCTCGCTGCGACATGCATACGCTTCCAGGGGCTCGTGGAGCCTTATGTCTGGCGCAACCTGCTGGTTCTCAGGGGAGCCCATGCGCGCAGCATCGCCGTAGCACTCGATAGCCGAGAAGAACGGGTGGACTACATTAAAGAGCTATCGATCCGATACAAGGATGACTACAAGGACGGCATAGCAGAACTAAACCATTTCATGGGTTTGATGGGAAAGCTGCGCCATCTAACGCTCGAAAGCCCATGCCCAAACAACTCGGAATGGAGATCAGGAGTCTACTTTGACGGGTGGTCGACGATTGATTACACGAATTTGCTCACGAGCGCCGTGTATCCACGGCAAGGACTACCACTTGCTTTGCCTTGCTTGCAATCCCGTACGTCCCCACTTCAAGTACATATTTTCTATCATGGGATTCTCACTAACCCGCGATAGTCACGCTACATAGTCACGGAGCAGGAGATAGGAAGTTTTCTCTAGGCCGCGCCGTAGCAATGTTCCGGCACCCTACCCTTCGAAAAATTACGCTATCATGTCTGAATTTCGATGGCAACATGAGCCTAGATGACATACCTGAAGACGACCGCAAATCTACGCCGCTACAGTCCCTGACTTTGGTTGAATGTAACGTCCATGTGCCCTTTTTGGCAGTTGTCCTCAGCTTGCCCAAGGCCCTGAAAGAGCTGTCGATTGGCGAGCGACTACACACATTCCCGGAGTGCGAGCCCTCTATGAATCCGTCCACGCGCACATCTTCAAAACAGTTCCTGGTCGCATTGCAGCAACAAGCGCATTCACTGCAACGATTGACACATATCGGTGGCCATATCGGCTACCAGACCCCTCGCGAGATAGACCCAGAAGGCTCTACAAGGCTGCAGTCCCTTACCCGTCTCGAACATCTTGAGCTCGGCTTGGAATCGAGTTTGTATTATTACCTACGGCAAAACGGATTCCCTCCCGCACTAAAGACGCTCAAGATGCTGGACACAGCCATATCGCTCAATGCAAGTCATGACTTGCGCTCGCTATTAGAAATCGTCTTCCGATCTCTCACTTCTCTCGTGACCGAGCATCTCCCTGCATACCTACCAAAAGATTTCACACTTCACATGAATTTTGCCGATCACCCTTTCTTCAGCCAGCTCTTTTTCATGGAAGAGGTCGAAGAACAAAACCACATTATCGCTACATATTTTCTCAACCGCCCTACCGTATACAAGATCGCCACGATACTAAAAAGCTCCAACTCGCGCTTCTGCATTTCTCGTGAGAAATTCTCCTCGGGCATGTCGTACATTCCACCATATATGCACGGCGAAGAGTTACCAGTGGAGGAAATGATGTATGATTCAGACGACTATTGGCGATTCAACGGCTATGACTATCAGACCATGGATGATGAGCAGTTGAGGGGCGACTTCAGGGAACAGAACAGATTGTTTCTCTGCATCAATTGCCGGGAGCATGGACTCGGCGTGGATCAATGTCTGCATCTGGGTGATGGGAGTGCTTGCTTGCCTTGTCGGATAGTGCATGCGAGGGCTTGTGTCTACGAAAGAATAGCAAATGAGGACACAGTTTCTCCTGTTGATCTCGAGGCCGACTAGTAGTGATTCAGATGAAGAATAGATTAGTGCACGAAAATACGATGTGACCGTTGTATTCATGCGGACTGCGCCAATAGCGTTGTTAATCTCTTGCATGTTTTCGAGTACCATTTTATAACACCATTCGAGCACTCAGGGAGGCGCTGAATCTGCCCACAAGGCTCTTGACATCGAGATAGTTTCCTGTATCATAGTGATAAACCTCATTGAGTGGTCCAGCGTCCTGGCTGACTTCACATGACTCGGCGAAACGCCGATTCCACCCCGCAGCGACCTGTGCACTTGCTCACCGCCGAGTCGATTAGCGCCTCTACAACAGCTGAACCGATAGCGGCTCCTCGACCGGCAGATGCAACCTTGTCTAGTGACTGGTTTTGGCTCCCGAATTCATCAAAACAACGAACCAGGTGTCACGACGTCATGATGGTCTCCAATCGCCCCCGAGCGCCAAGAGTGCGGATCGTCCCAGGCTACCCCGCAAACGGCCGACCTACCCCAGAATTGCTCCCGGCTCCAAGGAAAATGTCTTTGAGATGCGAGGGTGTGCCCATAAATCGGGAAATGCCAATGCAGTATCACGAGGGCTCGGTGATAGATTTGACCGAGAGGCTTTAAAGAGCACGACTGCTGCTTATGCTTTTCTCCTTCCAAGGGTTTCGACCTCTTTTGTCTGACAACTACAACGAGAGCACACCCGAACGAGAGTCAATATGGCGACTACAACCAATGACGTAAAGGCGGATATCGCTGCAAGCGAAAATAAGCGGATCGAGAATCTCGGTGAGAAGACATCGACATCGTCCGGCGAAGTCGAAGCGCAAAGTGTCGAGCTCGACGAGAAAGAGGCGCAGCGGGTGTTGAGGAAGGTTGACATGAGGCTGGTCCCCATGCTGTCTTTGCTTTATCTCGTCGCGTTCATCGATCGCAGCAATAGTATGTCTCTACACCCATTTCTTGGATGGTTCGTGCTAACGGCAGACAGTCGGCAACGCGAAGATTGCGGGAATGACAAAAGATCTAAACATGCCTAGCAATACGCTACAGTATAACACGGCTGTCACGCTATTTTTCGTCCCGTATACGCTACTCGAAGTCCCCAGTAATATCGTCTTGAAGATGATGAGGCCCTCGCATTGGATGGCTATTCTCATGTTTAGCTGGGGTCTTGTCATGACTCTCATGGGCCTCGTGTCAAGCTATCACGGGTTACTCGCTGGACGCTTCTTCTTGGGCGTGACAGAGGTACGGGTTGATTTAGCATCTCATGCGGATGTGTATACTGACTTGTCACGTAGTCGGGCTTCTTCCCAGCCGCGACATTTTTGCTTACAATCTGGTATCGCCGCTTCGAACTCCAGCGCCGCATGGCAGTCTTCTATATCGCTGCATCACTCGCTGGTGCATTCTCTGGACTGCTTGCCTACGGTATCCAGAAGCTTGATGGTCGATCTGGCCTTGCTGGATGGCAGTGGATTTTCCTGATTGAAGGCCGTATGTAACCCATGGAAGAGCTGTATACGAGACAGTCACTGACTTTGTTCCTCTCAACCTATAGTCATCCCAATTGCTCTCAGTCTCGTCATCTGGAAGATATTGCCAGACAGCCCCGAGACAGCTAAGTTCCTTACGCAAGCGGAGCGCGATCTACTAGTTCGACGGCTGGCGAACGATCATGGGTCAGGTCAAGGACAAGCAACAAACGATGACAAGATTACCAAACAGCACATTCTCGCGGGTCTCTCTGATTGGAAGATTTGGGCAGCGACAGTCATCTTCTGGGGTAATACTGTTGGTGTTTACGGGTAGGTTTTCATGCCCATCTGCACAACTCTAACGCACACGACTAACTAGCTTCGTAGGTTCACTGCAACCGTCCCGTCTGTCATCAATGGCCTAGGATACTCCAGCGCCAATGCGCAGTTGCTCACAATTCCAATCTACGTATTCGCTGCTATCGTTACCCTCATCTTTGCCTGGGCATCCGATCTGACCCGCAGGCGATCTCCGTACATTATCGGAGGCTATTCAATCGCAATTTGCGGTTTCATCGCCCAACTCGCCATCCCGCATCCCGCGTACCCCGGCCTAACTTACGGCTTCCTCTTCCCCGTCGCAGCCGGTCTCTACTGCCCCTTCACCTGCCTTGTATCCTGGATTGGCAACTCGCTCGCTCCTAGCTCGAAGCGTGCCGTTGGTATGGCCCTCCTCATTAGCGTTGGAAACATGGGTGGTATCATGGGCAGCAACATCTATCTCTCGCGCGAGGCGCCAAAGTACACGACTGGCTTTTCGGCTAGTTTGGCAATGTGCTGCACAGCGATCATTATGACGTTCGTGCTGAGGTGGGCTTATGCGAAGGAGAACAGGCAGAGGGACCAGCTTATTCTGGAGCATGGAGAGGAGGCGATTAGGGCGAGATATAGCGAGCAAGAGCTGTTGATGCTTGGGGATAAGAGCCCCTTTTTCAGGTATACGCTATAGAAGCTAATCGGACATGGCGCATTTGCGACGGATGTTATTAGTGCTGTAGATTTTCGCTTTGGGCGAAGAAGCTGAAAAGCTTATTACGCGCTTGAATTTTACTCCTCTGCTATGAAGTTTAGATACTCCCTACCTTCACGTTAGTGTTATGACTTTTGGTTATCAGAAAATCTATTGGTTTGTCAGCGTCATTATCCCATCGCAGATGCGTGGCTACCGAAACGCACTCTAGGACCCGTCACGTGAGCGGGTTTAGAAGGTGCGGGATACCAGATCGAGCACTACCGGACTTAAGAATTTCGGGTTCCGAGCTCCGCTTACGCTCATGCCTATATCATTCACCCTTGGCGTTACATTTGCTCTATTATTGTTGAACTCTATTCTTCACTCTCAAGCCAAATTACTACTTCTATAATATTAATCACGCGCATCATGTTTCTACTCAAGGTACTGGAATACTGCATCGGCCGGCTTCTCTACCGACTTCGCGGGTACGACGAGCTCTGCTTCTTCAGAAGCCGCGCCTTCGCACAGCACGCAAAACCAAACATCACCATCACATCACCCGACTGCGGCAACTCTGGCGCAAAGCTAAGCAATGACTTTTCAAAGTTTGGCATTGGCCGCTTCCCATCTCTGCAATGGGAACGCGCCGGCCCCGACGTAAAGCAGTACCTCATTCTAACCGAAGACCCGGATGCGCCATTGCGGAAGCCGAATGTGCACGGCATCTATCTCTTCATCCCGCCAACTGTCACATCTATCACTAACGATGACCTCAAACTCGTTGACGATGTCGATGGTGTGAAAACGGTTCAGGCTGGATATCGCGTTGGCAAGAATCGGCGTAATGCTGTGTATGTTCTTCCACGGCCGCCGCTGGGTCATGGGCCACACCGATATTTCTTCGAGGTTGTAGCACTAAGTGAATGCTTGGATCCGGGGATGATCAGCAAGGTGCCGACAAAGGATGAGCTGGAAGAGGCGATCGTCGGAAAGGTTGTAGGGTGGGGGTTGTGGGAGGCGACGTATGAGCAGAAGTGGTAGATGAAGTACAATACTGTGTACGGAGATGCATACTTTCCCCAGCTTACCTAGGCAGCATTTAAACGTCTCATAGCACCAGGGATATTATTCGGAAATAAGTTGAGTGTGGATTGGGAATAATAGTATGTACATAGACAGGGATCTGCTGAAGCCCCTTTGACGGAGGACCTGATTACCGAATGGACTGTCTAATATACCGTCATGATCCATCATTTTGATTCTCCAAAACAGACCTAAAAACTCAACTTCTGTGCATAGCTCGTCCCAGATTTTTCGTATAAAACCAGAAAGCTGCTATCGTCCAAAGCCAGCAAGCCTGCCCATGCTGCCGATGGTCCAACCACTGTCGTCTTATCGGCCCAAGTCTTGCCACCATCTCTGCTTACCATGACCTTGATCGCGCCTGAAGGCCAGGCACCACCATCCTCGTCCGTCCCAAAGCTTGCTACAAGCTTATCGCCAACTCGTATAATCTGCGGTGCCCCAGCGTTGTGACCTTCAGGCTGATACACGCGTGTACGCTGCTCACTCCAGTTTGCTCCATCGTTCTCAGTCCGCACAGTCCAGACACTGAATGGCACCCCCTTTGAAGGATTGCCCGTTTCGAAAATGGCTACTTTCGCCGGGCTGCTGTCATTGGGCGTATGCGCAACGCCTAGCATGCCGTCTCTCGTCTCGATACCCGCTCCTGAGATGACATCTGCAGAGGACCAGGTAGCTCCACCGTCTGTCGAGCGTCGCAGTAAACTATCCTGATCGGTACCGGAAGTCTCGCGAGAATAGTAGAGCTGTAACGAGCCATCTAGCGCGCGCTGGAGGAAAGGTTCCCAGTTTCCAGTTAGGCCGCCAGGATCCGATGCTGGAGTTTGCAGGAAATTCCAATTCACTCCGCCGTCCTCAGAGATGCATACCGTGATGCGATAAAAGCTGTACGCATTTCCGCTTCGATCGTGGTTCCTGAAGGCGCACAGAAGCTTTCCGTCTGGACGTTCGTACACGTATGGGTTGTCGACGTCTTTGGTGGCTTTCGAACCCGTGTCGACAATGCCGATGGGTTGCCACGAGGCTCCGTTGTTCGTTGATCGCACGGTCGTCAGTGTAGTGTTGGCGCCTGTTGTGGCGGTATACACGCCCAGCAGCGTCTTTCCGTCTGCAAGTTTGATGGCGCGAGGATAGGTTCCACCTTGGCCGAAAACGATTGCGTCCCCTAATTTTGTAGGTGCCTGTGCCAGGACCAAAGAGGGAAGAAGGAGAGCATACGTTTTAATCAGGCTCTTAAAGGAACGCATGATGATGGTGTTGCGAGTGCTCGTGTTGGTCAGTGGCTAACGCTGATATTTGTGTCGAGATCCTGCTCTATTATACTTTCCTCCCGACCCACTTATTTGGTTCAGCAACTGCACCTCAGGCTGTGTAGGTATTTCAAGGGAGAAACAAATCACCGTACGAAGTAATATGGCCCGAGGCGCTTCAGCCAAGAGAAGTAAGAACGGTGGAAACACACAGGGATGCTTATGAGGCGTCCAATGGCGCAGCTAGCCGGCACGCCTAATGCCCACGAGGGTGCAGGCTCGATTCCTTCGAATAAGCTTACTTCGGGATTTCAGTCGGTATACCCTTCTTTGCATCTGGTGACATTGGTGAATCGCGCAAATTACTGCTCAGGCTGTGCTTAGGGCAAAATACCAGAATACCAGAGAACAGTGGAGGTAAACATTTAGTGCAGGCACCGTAAGGCTGGGTATTTTGATCCTTGCCTGTCGGTCTGAGCGATACCTCGTAGCTCTTAATGAAGTATTATTATTTTATCGTATCATCAAAGCTTGGAGAAGTTGGCAACGATCGCGTGCACTAATGAAGTGGAGGCCAGAAGAGTTTGGTGTAGTATTGAGACCTAACAGCCGCCGCCCGCAATTGAAAAGGTGCACTTTCGTACTTTGCGGATCTTAGTAACATCGCATACTGGGGATATATTCGCAATTGTTTGCGCACACAACTGACCTTATAATCTTAATATGCTGAAACCCTTCTGGCATAGCAACAAGGCTAGGTACTACTTACTATAGCTACAATATAGAATCGCGAGGTTAGACTAGACCTGTAAACTAATCACTTCGGTGCATCCTGCTACGCCTTGTATTCGCCTTACGTGGATTGAATGCGCAAATAATTCCTCTGCGTGAATAATTCCTCTGTGTTCGCGAAACAGTGAAGAGATCTGTTGCAAACGCGTGTTGATCGTGACTGCGCGATCAACCGGAAGATTACGTAGCGACACTAGCGTCTGCACTACGCGTCATAGTGGCCCCCGAGGCTTCAACTTCAGATTCTTTCTAGTATCATCCTACTCTTCAAGATCTTGAAGCGCCATTTGCTGTCCTTTGTTCTACTGCTGCCCAGAGACCGCCTGGTGCGACTGCGAGATCTCCATCCCTTTTTCTACGCTTTAAACATGTGCGACTGTATCCCTGTTCCCATCGTGTGCTTCCAGTGCGGAACGTATGAATGCCCGATTCCAGAATTCATGATCTTTCTGATAATGAATAGAGACCAGAATCCTTGCCACTGCAAAGTCGTAGGCCCGACACTCGGGTTTCTCGTTACCGTAGGCATGGCGGTACGTTGGCGCCCTCACTCACCTGCGCCCGGTCATTAACTTACATGTCCCAGATCGTCTGTTGGCCAGCGAGCCTTTTGTGTTGTTGTTGCGCGACAGACGCGGGCAAGAAGTGAGTTGATGCCGACCTTGCTCACCAATAGTTCAGCGCTGATGTATACAGGGTGCTTGCTCTGCCTGTTGATACCGGGAATGCGATAAGCAACGCTATACCGATATAGCGGCCTGATGAGGGAACAACTATGTATCTATCCGCATTAGTCTTGAGCCACCTATACGACACTACGGGCTGCACCAAGCTAGACATCACCCTTTCTTGGAAGGCTGAATACCTTCAACGACGGAAAGGTATGAGCTAGCTAGATTCAGCACTCAACAACTCATAATAACATTGATCTAATACATGAAATGACGACCCCTACTCTTCTCACTCTCCTCTCAGGTTGGATGGCCTTCTCCCAGCTTCACCATTCGGTGGAGCCCTTCGTTTACTTGCATGAAGCTACGTCATCACGTGGGAGCGCGTACACGCACTTTAGGCGTTTCCCTTTCACCTCACAGCTTCAATTAAACTTTCTAGCTACTTCCCAAACACGAGAAACGGTACTGGAAATTGCGTGTATGTACGCCGCTGCGCTTGGTGGGGGTGTGATTTGCTTTTGGCACTTCGCGGCGACAAATCATCTTCAACCGACCCAAAACAGCCTGGTCCACGCAAATTCAAAGCCACCTTTCTGTTTGCCGGATTCGACGCTTCCAGAACCTTTACTGGATACTGAAACCTCACGGGGTTCTAGATTGAACCTCTGGGAAGTCGCGGGCTATTCTCACCTTCACTTCGCCATGCGGTGAAGGCGTGGATGTCCCAAAAGCTTTTCGTCAACGCTGTTTGCACTCCTTCCCTTTTGGGACTTTGTTTGTACACCCGATTCCATGTTTACATCAACAGGGAACGCGATAGACCTCGTGTCTAATGAACACACAGACAACAAACCTCAACTACTGTCCTCCATGTATAAAGGTGAGATGTTCGCAACACCACCCGATAGCGAGATGTCGCCATGGCAGCATATACCTATGTGGACCCTTGACGAAGTCGGTTACACCTACGACGCGCCACACGTCCAGCCCGATGGCCGCATGGAGGGCGGCCTACACTCCCCCACATATTACGCGTATAGCCCCAATACCAACAGCTGGGAAGATGGCCTTCAAGAAATTGAGAGCTTCGATTGGTCAGGGAAAAAATCTCCAGAGCCGCCTGGTGATACACAGGAAGAAAATTGTCAACATGGCTGCAACCTCCAGGCTAGAGATTATACGACTGGATATAATCCCGAAGACAGTCTCTTAGATGCTAGAATGCACCATCAGCAGCAGCCACTAGTAAACACCGAAACTAGTGACCATGTCCAGGGCATGAGCACTGGCCCGCATTCGACTGAGCGGACTTCCGAGCCTGCGAAAAGCGACGCGTCGTATCTAGTGACTGATTCGCCCATCCGAATCCCGCGCCTTCCCCGAGAGGATATTGAGATATCACCCACCACGATCTCAACAAGTCAGATTCAGCTACGCTCTGCTAGTCCTCAACCCAATAATAAACGTGCAAATGGCATAGATGGTGCGAATATCGACGTCGCCCTAGCTATCGCGGAGCCAAATAACCCAACCGTGGGGCCCAAAGACGTACGTACGCCAGCATCGCAGGAATATGAAGATGCCTCATTTGGAGAACATCAGGCCCAGGACGTGGGTTTCGCCACAGAAAAGGCCAATGTCGACGACGTGCAGGAGGTGGAGGACACCACCGGGATAGCCAAGAACGCTGAACGGATGTCTTTCACACGAAGTTTTTCGCGTCAAAGCACCTCCAGTTGTCATGAGCTCGTGTTGCGAGAGCCTCAACCTGCTGCCTCATCGCATCTTCTGTCGACGCAACTTTTCCTCGATACGAAGCGGAGTGACGAAGGGACACCAGAGCCAGAAGATCTTTGCGAATTAGGTTCCTTCGACATGTCGTCCCTATCCAGAGAAGTAGGATCAGTACTCTCAACTATGCAAATGGATGTAACCTACGGAGATAAGGAAAATGAGATAGCCTCTCAGCCTTCAAAGATACATAATACACCTCCTCGTCACGACAGCGTTGCTCATATCCAGCCGTTCTTTCCAGTTCAAGAGGATAGCAGGGAGCATGACGCCCCAAGTTTCCATGCAGATAGTGCAGTTTCCATGGAGGCAATCATAGAGGAGCCTACAGGTTCGCTACCGGTAGAGCTTATTTCAGCGCTCGTTGATAGCCCAAGCCTAGACCCTGGTCATCGTTGGCGAGAACAGCTACAAGATGTCATCGCAGAGACCTCTCCTGGTGACTATTCTGACCTTCGGCCGGAAGGATATATAGATCACGACAATTTTGCATATCCAGCCAGTCCTAGCAACCCGGTAGAAAGTTTGCTAGCGAAAGATAGTCCCCCTTCGCAGGGTGCATCATCGACGCGACAGATCGACATCATCCAGGAGCTACCTCCTTCTCCCTTTGAGTTCGGCGTCGATACTTCGTACGAAGAAGTTGCTCTAGATAGAAAAAGTAAGGAAAGTTTACTGGGTATCTCTAAAGATACTCAGAACATTCCGGAGAACATAGCCGTGTCATCACAGTCGCTGCACGTGGAACTTTTGATAGGGAACGAAAGTGCACAGGAAACGTCAGTAGATGACCAGAAAATCAGCTCCGAAGTCTCCCCCATTATTGAAACGCCGAATTCACTGCTGCCATCGTCGAAAATGGAGACTGGAGCCACGGTTGACTGTGATCAGTCTTCGACATCAGAACCGACATCCGAAGCAAAAACCGCCGATACTCGCAAGCGCCTCGCACCCCCCCATATATCAGAAGTTGCGACTGACACCGAAGAGGATATGCCAGCTAGGAAGAAGCAAAGAATTAATACACCGGCTGAGTCACACAATGCTGTTACAGCTCCAGCAACGAACACCAAGCTTGATATGTCAACGTCGATCAATGAAGGTTCCGATGCGAAAGGAGTACAGACCCTCGAAGAGCCTCAGCATCACCGACAACAAACCACGTCGAGGTTCGATCATTTTGCGGTTGGCAAGTACTCACGGCAGCCTCAAGAACCGACCTCTACCAGTATACAAGGAGTGGCTGGTGAGCCGAGCGTCGACAGAACACTGGGGCTACAACAGCCCGACTACAATGATAATGTGGACATGCCAGAGCACTACAGTGATGCCGATGTTCCTGTCACGCCCGCCCCGCATGCTTCAACTGCTGCCTCTAATTTGACGCCTAGCAAGTCACGAGCGAGAAACCCCGTATCTCCGTTCGAAGTCTTCAATCTTAATGACAACACCGCACGAGAAGATTCTAGAAATCGACGTAAGAATCGAGACATTTCCACTGTACCTGGTCCCCACCTTGTGCTTCATCTTGATCCGAACGAACCTAGGTCGAGCGTAAAGGCCGTCGAGGGACCACTGGCTGTGGATAACGCTGACGATCCATTCATGTTAGTCGAAAAGAGCACGTCGGACGCTGTGCCCACAATCGAGACTGATATTTCGAGCATGGCACCCACTGAGCCCAAGAAACGTCCTAGTGCGGTCATCATCAGGAAGATTCCAGGGCCTGCGCCAAAGAAAGGGAAAAGTGCGACCGCCAAAAGAGCAGGCAAAGGGAGAAAAGCAATTAGTGTCAATAACGAGAAAGAGGAACAGCCACAAGAACTGGTTTCGGCAGCAAAAATCGAGTTTGGGAAGCCAACGGATGATGTTACCATAAGCGCTCCCCCGAAGATCAAAGCTGAACAAGCAAAGAAGGTGGCAAAGGGCTCGAAGAGGAATGACCACAATGACCAAGGGCTACCGTCGATCGATCACACACACCCACTTTATGTCGGATATGGCAAGCGGCATACGCGAGGTGATACCAAGTTCGAAGAACAGGTATCTTCAAGCTCTAAAACCACTTCTACGGGAAGCTTTACAAAGGAGCACGTTGGAGACGGACATGACGACGAGGACGAAGATTGGTCACATGCCGCCATCACGAAGGCGAAGGCGAAGGCCAAAACAAAAGGCAATGCAACCCCTCTACTCCTTTCTACCAAGGCCCCCAAACCTTCCGCATCCCGAGTCGGAACGCCAGCTACGAACATGGTATCCACCTCTAGCACTCCGAGGGCGAATAAGTACGGTTTCAGCCCTCTCCGCGGCAAGCGCATCGCCAGCTCTCGAAAGTCCACCGACACTGCTGCCGCTGCTGCTCCCAACGCTACAGCACCCAAGCAGTCGAAGCCCGCACCCAAACCCAAACCCGCGGCCAAGGGTAAAGCAAAGAAGTCAGAAGGCGACATACCAGTCCCAACCAACGACGTCGTCGTGGTAGAGAAACCGAAGACTAAGAAAAAGGCCGCGGTTGAACCATCTGCTACGGATCAAGCCACGCGTATTGAGTCTGACAGGCGTACCACGCGTCGAGCCTCAGCTATGGAAGAGGAGGTTCGGCAGAAAGAGGGGAATGTCAAGTTGAGACTGCGATGTCGGAATACAAATGCAAGCGCAGAGGAGAAGTAGAGGGGGCGAAGAATTTGGCGCCATGGTTGAAGGGATGTGGAAGTGAACATTGCATCTAAACCGGATGGATAGCTGGGTTTTCATCTTGGAGATTATGGATGGGGCTGATACTGTGTCCTTGGTGCGTGACGGTAATGGGGCACGATGTATGAAGCTGAAGCGTTGGAAGAATGTCGATTGTATACGTCATGTCCATGTAGTCTATGATGGGACGTGCAAGCGAAGAATTAAAAAAACAAGATCTAAATAGTCCAAGACTACTTGTATAAAGGGTTTGTTTTAGTAGTAATGAAGATGGCTCTTTCGGGAGACTTTTGCACCTCTGAACTGAATGGAGTTGTTCTATATCTTACTCGAAACCTCGGCCTTTGCTAGCACGTTGCATAGCCACTCGGTCGCCTTATCCGCCATGGCCGTTGGAAACGCATGGCCCACGCCATCAAACAGCACATCCTCAAAGGCAATATTCAGACTGGGCTCTTGCTGTAACACACCTTTCAAGACGTTCAAGAATGGCTCACCCGCTGCATACGGCACAAGCTTGTCCACCTTGCCACTGAGATTCAGAATCTGCTTTCCCTGTAACCTCTCTCTAAGCAAGACCTTGAACCGGTCCAACTTGGCCTTGTCGGGTTGCGGATCAGCACTTGTGGGATTGAATTGACCGGGCAACAGGAGACCAGCGGGATCATACTGCGCGATGGCATCCTGCAGCGCCAGAGGGAAATCCGGTGAGCCCAGGAACGACGCGCCTGGCGGTGAAGTCTCAGTATACGTCTTCCGTTTCGAGAGGCGTGCGCGATCCGTCATCAGGCGCGTGTAGTCTGGACACCCAATGCCCACAACGCCGGCAGTTATACGGGGGTCGGATAAGAGACAATGCCATGTTGCATGGCCGCCGAGCGAGATGCCAAGGGCGAGGTGTTGTGTGATCCTAGGCCCGTTGGCGGCAGTGAAGATGTAGGACTCGAGGTGGTCTATGAGGTGCGAAGTATCGGTTGCAGTGCCGTGGTAGCAGCTAAACATGTCCTGCGCATGCCTGGGATTTCCTTCTCTCCACGCCTGGTTGTGCAGTTCATCGACCTGTCTGCTCCCGTGGTTCCTCTGGTCGAAAGCTACTGCAATCAGGCCTTTGGATGTATTTCCTGCTCGCGCTTGGCTGACTCGGGCGTTCCATGCTGAGATAACCTGGTTTGCGATTGGGGCCATTGTTTCTTTTTTCTGGAGACGTGGGTGAAGGAGCCATAAGCAGGCGACTGAGGAGGCGGAGGGAGGCAGTTCTACGAGGCCATGGACGGTGACGAGGATGCCGGCGATTGTGTAGGTTTGGGAGGAGACGGTTGGGTCGGTCGCAGCATGGGTGCCGTGGAGAGGGTTTGTCGTCGCTGCCATTTTGGGGTTCGCTAGAGCTATTAACGAGTAGAAGAAGTGATTAGAGGAGTGCGGAGGCGGAGGTGGAGCTCGTCATTCCTCTCAAGTGGATTCCATCACGTCGATTGCGGAGGGGCACGCTGGACTTCCGAGGTTGTTAGCTGGCGGCAACATCAACTGGTCTCCTAGCAATGGGAAGTGGACTCTGCTCGCGCCAACGCCTGTCAACTACGTGGAGGCAGCCGAAACCAGCACGAACAAACTACGGTGCCACGGGACGGCCATTTGGAATGTTAGAGCTAGATAGCCTACTGTCGCTGTCGTTGTGCTGGAGCTTCAGGACGCTACCTGCGCGGGGGGCGCGGCCAGCCACGGAGGATCGATGGATGCTGCTATGTACATAATCGAAGCTGTATGAAGCGTCTCCGGCCGAGGATATTAGGATTCATGGGCATGACGACCTGTGCATCGAGCGTGGATGCTGTCAGGGTCGGAGGTGTTGCTGTTGATCGCGCAGGCGGTCAAGAAGGCGGAGGGCAAGGGGTGACGCCAATGTCTTAGCGCGCCAGAGCGCTTGGGGGAAACCACCGCATGGGAGATTACCACACGGCCGCAAGGACCAGTCCAGAGATGATAATCATCCCCAGTACCACGCGTCATTCTAGTTACAAGTCTGCTACCTCTACGCAGAAAAACAACAAGCGACTATCTCTGTCCTCATCTTCTCCTCGCCAATCTTTCCGTGACGGCGGGTGCCCCATACGCATCATGGCAGTATAAACATTATCACAAACCGAGGAACTACGCCTTTCCCGGCAACCTGAACTCTCCTTGAAAGCCGTAGAGCTCACTCTCTTTGCTCAGGGCCTCCTTTCGATACCACCACTTCGGCCGCAGCCATGGCCGACTCGCAAGAGCCCAATGTCTCACACACAGCCCGTAGCCCTCGCACCATGTCGCCTCCACTCGCTGCCGGGACAGAAAAGCCTCGCCGGGGACTATCGCCACTGCGATTAGAGCAAAATGCAAACATAACAGAAGATATTCTCATCCCTTCGCCTGCGAATGGCGCTCCCAAAATCATGCGATCTGCCCCGACTGGCTCGCCACTGTCCTCCAATGAGCCCTCCGAGTTTCCCTTTCACATAGCACTCCCCGCATCAAATGGGGCTATGGAACCGAGAGACATGGCCGAACCTCCCCCTAAAGCGCATAAGCCCGCCTCCCACATGTCAAATGGATCCACTGGCTCCTACTATCCGCCCTTTGCGCCCATCTCGCGACACCCTACCGAAGGCGAGACCTCTGATGCCCCACGAGAACGAAAAAGCGTCCAGTTTGCTCGAACCAAGACACACACTGCCGATCCAATGGGACCCGACTCGCGACAGCAGTCATGGGACGTCGAGGATGTTGAGGGCAAGGGCAAGGATAAGGACCGGCAGGGCACATCGCTGATGGGGAAGCTGAGGGCGCTGGCATCACCAATGCAGGGCCATGGCAGGAGCCAGAGCGGAATCGCCCCAGTCTCATCGAATCACGAGGGCTCACCTCACGGCCAGCTATCACCAAACTCAGAACGCGACGAACCGCGGTACGACATTGACAGTGAAGCAGACGCTGATGGCGAGTCGAGTGCCGGCGAGGGGGTCTCAAGACCTCCACGAAGACGAAAACGGAGTCGGCGCTGGTTCGATGGCGAAGGCGAAGGCACACAGACGGCCCCTACAACCCCCAAGCAGACAAACTCCTTCTTTTCGCGCGATTCGCCTAACATGACACCCACCTCGACTCGACCTGGTTTCCTACGTCGTGGCACGATGGATGACATACCTGAAAACGATCGCCAGGGCTACTCAGAAGACGAAGGACGCTCCCGCATCGCCAAAGAGAGCGCGTGGACACGCGGCCTACACAGTGCTAGGGGTCTTTCCTATGGTGGTCTGCGAAGGCACGATCCCAACGCAGACGAGGATGGCCAACATGAACGACGGCCAGGCCATCTAAGAAGCTTGACTTCCTTCAAGGGGAATGCGGGAGACACACATCCTTCTCCGTGGCGGATGCGCGGCGAGCGTACTTCAAGTCTGAGTGCTCAGAAATGGAAGTCGATCAAGAACAGTCTCAAATTATTGGGCAATCGGGCCAAGGCAGAACGACAGGTGGATCATGCAAAGTCTGCAGAGTTGATGGCAGAACTACTAGCAGGAGCGCCCGCCGCCTTGTTTCTCGCCAGCATGTTCCAGCGTGATGAGCACGGCCACAAGCGCATACCAGTACTTCTGGAGCAACTCAGGGTTACCATCACAGATACCGACAAGACCAAGGATAAAGAAGGCGATCGACATACGGCTCTGCGTATAGAGCTGGAATACGGAAGCGGAATGACCCGGATGAAGTGGGTTGTATACAGGACTGTTACAGACTTTGCAAATCTACATCTCAAATTCAAGATTCAGGAGAAGCAGGACGCATTCCGGAGCCGTCCCGCCAACCGTGGGAGAGAGATCAAGGAGAAGGGAAAGGAGGGTGAGGACGAGAAAGAGGAAGAGAAAGAAGATCCAAGAACAAAACTTCCTCGCTTTCCCAGAAGCGTGTTACCTTACCTCAGAGGTCTGCGAGGGTACGGCATCTTAGACGAGGAGGAGGAGGAAGAAGAGGAACTTGCGGTTGGTGGAGGCCTAGCCAGTGGACCGGATGGTTATGCCAGTGCGACAGATCGTCCTCCCCGGGGTAAACGCAACAAATCGTCTTTCATGGCTCGCAGAAAGTCAAGCGTAGGTGGAGACCAAACTCCAGGCGCCATTGGTCCTCTTTCCGCAAGACAAGGTAGCTTCGCAGGAACGGCGGGCCAGCCATTACAAACAAAGCAAACCCATCATGATCGCCAACGAAAGAAGTTGGAAGCCTACATCAAAGGGCTGATGACGTACCTCATCTTCCGTCCTGACAGCAATCGACTCTGCAAATTCTTGGAACTGTCTGCCCTCGGTGTGCGTTTAGCCGCAGAGGGTGGTTACCATGGCAAAGAGGGACACCTAATGATCAAGTCATCGAAAGGGGTCGACAACCGAAAGGGATGGGCACGCATTCCCATGATGACTCGCCACTGGCCCAAGTGGTTTCTTGTGAGACACAGCTACATTGTCTGTGTCGACTCTCCCGAGGAGATGAACGTCTATGATGTATTTTTAGTTGACGCGGATTTCAATCTCGAATCAAAGTCGGGCAGAATTAGGGACAAAAAGGCCAGGGAAATTGCAAGCGAGGCCAAGGCGTCGGCCACAGGTCACCACCAGCTAAAACTTGTCAACTCGGAGCGCAAGATGAAGCTACTTGCCAGAAATGACAAGATGCTACAGCAGTTCGAAGAGTCGATAACGTTCATGTCGCAAAACACAATATGGTCGCAACGGCAGCGATTTGACAGCTTCGCCCCGGTACGAAAGAAGATTTACGCCCAGTGGCTTGTTGATGGCCGAGACTACATGTGGAATGTCTCGCGGGCCATCAGCATGGCTCGCGATGTTATCTACATTCACGATTGGTGGTTAAGTCCGGAATTGTACTTGCGACGCCCAGCTGCCATAAGCCAAAAGTGGAGACTTGACAGATTACTCCAGCGGAAAGCGCAAGAAGGTGTCAAGATTTTCGTCATAATGTATCGCAACATCGGCGCTGCCATTCCTATTGATTCCGAGTACTCCAAATTCTCCCTACTCGACCTCCATCCAAATGTCTTCGTCCAGCGGTCGCCGAATCAGATCCGTCAAAACACCTTCTTCTGGTCACATCACGAGAAGATTTGCGTCATCGATCACACGGTCGCTTTCTGTGGAGGTGTCGATCTGTGCTTGGGTCGTTGGGATACACCGCAGCATTCCGTGGTCGACGACAAGCCTACAGGGTTTGAGCTTGACGATACCCCCAAGGATGCGGATCATTGTCAGCTGTGGCCCGGTAAAGACTACTCGAACCCGCGCGTGCAGGACTTCTTCGCCCTCGACAAGCCATACGAAGAGATGTATGACCGAACCAAAGTTCCCAGGATGCCATGGCATGACATCGCCATGCAGATTGTCGGCCAACCAGCACGCGACTTGACGCGTCACTTCGTTCAGCGGTGGAATTATCTATTGCGGCAGCGGAAGCCTTCTCGGCCAACACCCTTCTTGCTTCCTCCACCAGACTTCAATCCAGCAGACATTGAAGCTCTTGGACTAGATGGCACGTGCGAGGTACAGATTCTGCGCTCCGCATGTGCCTGGTCTCTTGGTACACCCAACAAGGTCGAGCACAGTATCATGAATGCGTACGTCCAAATGATCGCCACATCCGAGCATTTTGTGTATATTGAGAACCAGTTCTATATCAGCAGTAGTGAGGTCCTGGGCACCAAGATCGAGAACAAGATCAACGATGCCATAGTCGACCGCATCAAGCGCGCTCACGCGAACGACGAAGATTGGAGAGCGTGTATTGTGTTGCCTCTGATGCCTGGTTACCAGAATACTGTTGATGAGCAGGAAGGAAGCAGTGTTCGCCTCATCATGACATGCCAGTATCACAGCATTTGCCGTGGTGAAACCTCGATTTTTGGGCGCCTTCGAGCAGCCGGTATCGAGCCGGAGGATTACATTCACTTCTACGCTTTGAGGGCTTGGGGTGAGATTGGTCCGAACAAGATGGTTGTCACGGAGCAACTCTACATTCACGCCAAGGTCATGGTCGTCGATGATCGAGTTGCTATCATTGGATCAGCGAATATCAATGAGCGTTCTATGCTGGGCTCGCGAGACTCTGAGGTTGCTGCCATCATCCGAGACACAGAGGTGCTCGACTCGTACATGGCAGGCCAGCCATACAAAGTCGGAAAGTTTCCTCACACGCTTCGCGTTCGGCTCATGCGCGAGCATCTGGGCATTGACGTCGATTGCATCACTGATGAAGACCTGGCGAGCCAGATGTCCGACGCCGATAGCACCGCGTTTCAGACTGAATCCTCGACACCTTCATCTCCAACAGCCCACCGAGAGACCGAACAGAAGTTGGAAGAGAACAACCACAAGATGCAGGATGATCTTATAGCTCGTGCTGAGAAGTTGCACAGCTTCAACCACGATTTCGACTGGGCGCAAGCAGAGAATCCTAACCTGAAGCCCAACAAGAAAGAATCATCCGATCCTCGGGTTCAGAGCAACCCAGCCCATCAAAAGGACGTCCGTGGAGAGGGTGCGGACCATATGATCGAGGTCGAAAATAGCCGTCCCAGTATAGCGCGAGGGCGGGACTCTTATATCGATGACCATGGCCATGAGAAGCTTGTGGTCGACGTCGCCGCTGAAGGCTTGTCGGCTACACCGAAGAAGAACTCAACTACTAGAACACGCGGTCGTAGTAACACCACCGGTACAAGGAACAGCGCGCTAAGTAGTCATCATGAGGGCCATGGTTATGCTGGCCTCCCACCACCTCGGTTACCACGCATGGACACGGCAAAGCTAGGGTTGACGCAGCTAAGCCAGCTACCCGCCCTGCCTCCGGCTGACGATACCGACATCGGTGGACCACCACTCCAACGCACTTTCAGCCACGCCTCCTCTGGCGTCATCAATCCCCTTCTTGCCGACATGCGACGACCCATTGTTACCGAGGACTGCATGCGCGACCCTATCAATGACGCGTTCTATCTCGACACATGGCACCAGGTCGCAGAGAACAATACCAAACTTTTCCGTCAAGTGTTCCGCTGCATGCCCGATAACGAGGTCAAGACGTGGAAAGAGTATCAGGAGTACGCGGCATTTGCGGAAAGGTTCTCGAAGGCTCAGGGAGGGGAAAAGAGTCAGCAGCATAGAGCGCAAGATGCCCCTGGCAAGACTGGGCCACCAGGCACTGGACTCACAGATAAGGTTACAACAGCCGCTAGCAACGTCGGTAAGCAGGTGGAAGCTCAGTTCGACAAACTTACCGAAAAAGTAACAAGCAACCCCGACAAAAGCGGCGATACCCTCACCCACCACTCGCGCATTGGTGGTGTAGAACAATGGGCTGAAGACCAGGAGAAGCGTGTGCAAAGCCAGAGTCCACCCCCACCTACGGCCCGCGGTCTCAACCTTGATACTAATTCTGGCTCAACCTTGAACGACAACGTAGGGAGAAGGCCAGCAGATGATGCCATTGTGAGCCCTATGAATCCCGAGCTACCAGGAAAGACCTTCACCTTCCCACCAGCACCGCCGATTCCTGATACCGAAAGAACAGACTTTGCAACCAACAATCCTGCAAACAGTACCGCTCGTGGCCGCAACGTTACCATTTCCGAACCCCCGCTCCCTTCTCAGTCACAACACCCCCACCGCTCTTCCACGAAGCGTTCACGCCGCCGTGCCACTACCAAGTCTAGCGCCCGCCAATTCCACGCCACGGACTCAGACGCTATGTTGGAGAAGGAGGATGCGAGAAATCTGCTCAAGCTAGTGCAGGGCCATCTTGTTCTTTGGCCGTACGATTGGTTAGAGAATGAAGAGAGGGGAGGAGGGTGGTTGTATAACGTCGATCAGATTGCGCCGTTGGAGATATAGTAAGTCCATTCCCTCACCTATGACACGAGTTGTGGCCCACACTTTGTAATTGTCGAACATAAAGCTAACAAGTAGCAGCAACTAAACTATTCCTTTTCGTAGAAAGGGGTGAGCACCGGACCAAGTCTTTCTTTTTTGCCTTAGGTTGCGACACTTGTTCTATGGGTTTGGGCATAATTGAGTTGCGTTGTTTGCGTTCATTGTAGAAACAAAGCGAAAGCATTCACTGGCGTTATGTCACTCTTTTTCTTGCTCTTAATATCTTACCTTTGCCCTTTGTCAAGGCTAGTGTCATTAATTATGTATCATCGTCATCATCCATCATCCTTATTAGCATATAAGAGCTTCAGTCAAATTCTTTCATGCGTTTGGGAGAGGTAGAAGGAGCTGGTTGTTTAGAGGCTAGTGCTGGTTCCTATAAAGGTCTTGACCGTTGATCTTCTAGTTTGCGTAAGACTGTAAAATAGCAATGGTTTAATTTGACTGTTTGCATTCTATGATATATATTGTAACACATGATGTAGTGAGCGCTATATAGAGAGTTGAGGCCGCTGAGCACCGCTTCTACTATCTCTGAACTCTTTCAAATACAAATAATTCATTTCGCTCTGAAGGTTACGGAAATATGTTCATTCTATTGTAGTTATGGTTATTGCATCAATCAACTTCGAGCAGTTCACACTGCAGTACCACCTCCATGATTGACTAAGCGCTCTGACGAGCTCTGAACCCTTCCTATTCTCTCTTATTCAGGGAAAGGAGTTTTCATGAAGTAGCTCTCGTCAGAGATAGTAAGGAAATTTGAAATATGATTAATCACGAAAGTCTAGAATATGTGCACCGTACGTGAGTCAATTGACCACATGTACGAAGGAGTGATATTAGCTACTAAGCTTCCAATAACCCAATGACTATAATCAAGTCTGAAGGAATGTGTTTGTAAATAAAAACTCCAGAAGATGAATCCCAAATCGCAGCGCTATGCATTGTAAACCAAAAGAACAAAACAAAAAGCCCCAGCCAGCAGCCATGGCATCTATTAAATATGCTCTTTGCTCCCAATCTCCTACTCGCACTCGAAAGTGAAGTCGGTGACATCGGTAGGAACAGCAGCCTTGTCATTGCCATCCAAATCAGCAAAAGGCTCCTGATCGTTCAACCTGAACACCTTGCCCGCGGGCAGGTTGGTGAAGACACACTTGATAGCGCGGCCAGAGGGGGCGAGGGCCTGCGCCGATGTGGCGATGACATGGCCGCCTTGCACCAGCCGGGTGTTCTTGAAGAGTTCAGCGAGTGTGACGGGCGACTCGCCTCGGATGACAGTGCGGATCTCGCTAGCGCCGGTTTGGTCGTTGATGAGGGAGAAGGTGAAGTAGTCGGATGGCAGATGGGCGGGTACAGTGGGTGCTGCGAGGGCGCCGGAGAAGAAGAGAGCCACAGTGCTGGCGATGATCATGGAGGCCTTCATTTTGAAAAGTTGGTCGGTTTTTTGGTCGGTTTTGTGGGTAAGAGTGGTAGATTAGAATTATTGGCGAGAAGTGAATGTCGCAAAGAGACAAGATGGAAAACAAAGTAGGAGATAATGGAAAAGTTGTTGTTTTGTTGTTGTGTTGTGAGATGAGAGTACTATGGAGCGCAGATTCTTCTTCATCTTATACTTTGAAGTGCCCTTCAGGCTTACAACGATGCTCGTAGTTGGAGGGGGAGCGGATGTACAGACAGACACAGGCAACCCTCGCGGGCCCAAGAAATGCGTTCAGTGGTGGTGTGACAGCACCATAATTCCACTTCTTCGCACGTCCCAATGCCCCAAGGGAGGCCACGGAACAGTAGATAGATAGCTACAGTCCTTCGGACGAAAAACAATACCAACCAACCAACCAACGATGCTCGTAGTGACTTTCGCCTGGTAGTGTCCCAATGCGATATCGCAGTGTTGGGACCTTGCGCCCGACAGACCTATACTACGCTCAGCCATCATCATATTTCCACGATTGATGAGGCTACTCCGCCTTTCTCACATACTAACTGGACTCGGGCGAGCATTCGCATAGTTTGTTGGAGGGAAGATTAGAAGCACGGTCTGACAAGCGGTCAGTCAAACAGATGATCCGGCTGAGCAGATGCAGCATGCTTACGCCCCTAACCCTGTTCGTAATCTTCTTCCGCAGTCCACCAGCTGGTGGACATTCACTCAGCCACAGCCACTATCTTCGTGGTGGTGTTCTTATTGGTTCTGTAAGCGAATACATGGATGCTATATTTACACAACACTGCTTACATTGCTTGGCTCGACTAAGTTAGGCCCGAGTTTAGAAGGTTATTCTAGACTTCGACAAAGCCCAGTGTGAGCTTTGGGAGTAAGCTGCGGGGTAGGGCGTTCGAGGTAACCTGGAGGCTGGGAGCTGAGAGCTGAGCTGCAGAGTACTCGGATGGGTTCCGATGTGGCATAGCATTGGGACAATCTTGGATAAAATGTGGCGTTGGCTGCGCCGATTCAGTTGGAAACATGGCCTGAGTAGGAGCTATGTTTGGTTGTCGTCGTAGTGTGGAAGTGGATGAGAATGACCTTAGCAGAATTACTCGCGACATATGTGCACTCTCGAAATGGCAGTTTAATCCATGTTATGTGGCGTTATTTCTGGAAGATCGGAAAATACTTACTGTCGCCTAAGACTTTCCACGAAAAAGCTCAAATGCAACATCTCACTTCGAGCAGTATCAACGGCCGAGTCATCTCCACTTGTTTGAGCATATTGACGCCTGCGGAAGTTTGCCGGGTGTGAATACTCGACATTATGCTAGTCGCCAAAAGCTTGCGTCGTACAAGTTTCAGACACAGCGTCGTAGCTGACTCTACACAAGAGGACATACACTTGGGCGAATGGCTTGATTGGGCCGAATACTCCATCTTACCCGTACCACCTTCCCTCTGGAATTATGTAAAAATCCCCCAACACCTACATACACACTGTATGAGATGTTTGCTTTCCTTAGAATAAGAGTTTTCAGAGAAGACATGTATCTATAGCCTTGCATTTCTCTGTGACAAGTAAATATCATATCTCTAGAAGAATGTCTCTTTGTCAAAGAGAAATAATGCTCGAACAGGAACTGAATTCAGGACTGATTTCTTAAATGTCCCCCGAATTTGGGAACAGCGTCCCGGGAACACCTAGTGATTCAAGCTAGCCAAATACCGTTAAAGTAGCCGTTGTATTGATTTCGTACCTCAAAGCAGAAGGCGGGCGACGCTCGTCAGTCGCATATCTGCCAACCCAAGCCGTGGGGACGAAATCGTCTCACGTCGTACCACTTCCGATCGTATTACCTGCATCGATCGAGACTTGTAACAAGAGCACTACTTCTCGCTTCACTCTTCGCTACAAAGCCACTTACACATGTGAAACCACGGTGAGACAAGGACGCCGATATGTGTTACCTTTTTCTCTCGTCTTGGGGACAACGCTGTTATGAGCAATCTTCGTTTGACCGAAGTAGTAGCGAAATTAAACATACGGATCATTCTAAGTGGGATGGAAAGCGTTTTACATTCCATACGAAATCTGTGAAGCAAATATGCTCTTCCACTTGAACGAGAGCCCGAGTAGATTAGCTCGCTGGTGTCAATTGTTCGAAGGTATGTTAATCCAAGGAAAAAAAACTATAAACCGAAAATTTACGCGGGGATACGAGCTGAGCAAGCATGCTGAACGGTAATGCCCTTCGACCCGCTGCCACAACCAGTCGTGGCTTTTCTTGACCGGATGCACAATATCGAATGTCCTGCAGTACGACTTGCTTGCACCATCGAAACACGGCCGTCTCTCAGCTACTACGGCATCAAAAAAGCCGCCTTACTAAGCGTTTGCCAAAGAAGCGTTTCTGTTGGCCTGGATCGGCTCGCCGCGTGAGACCATCGGGTTGTCGTAGGACGATGGCTTCATGAAGTGGACTTGAACGGTGTCGCGAACGCGAAATAGAAGGATCGAAGGGACTCAGCTGTCCAGAAGCTATTTTGAGGGATCTCGACACCATGGCGATGCTCATGTATAAAGGCATTGGGTTGCAACGAAGAAGGAACGTATCAGCAACAATCACAGCTTCTCTTGCAACTCAACATTCAAATATACAAACTTTGCTTCCGAACACTCGCTTCTTGCTGTTAAATTATCACCATGCGCTTCTTCATTACCACCCTCCTCGCAGCCCTCGCGGTCGCTTCTCCCCTGGTCACCAACATTGAACGCGGCGACGCGCCTGATGTCAAGGACATCCGCATCAAGTGTACGCTGCACATGCCCTCTCCCCCAAGTTTCATTCAACATATCCAACAAACTCTTTGCACTGTCCCATCTCCCAATATCGATTTTCGCTGACTCTCCCCAGCTGTGACCGTCTTCGGCACTGGCTGCCCACCAGGCAGCGTATCCGGTGATGTAGGCGAAAACAGCACCCTCATCGCCCTAACATACGCCGCCTACGAAGCGGCTACTGGCCAAGGGAAATCCATCACGGATGCGCGCAAGTTTTGCAACGTGCGCGTTGGCCTCGAGTACCCGGCTGGATGGAGCTACACGGTTGCCAAAACGGTGATTCGCGGATATGTGAATGTACCGCAGAAGTGCAGTGCTAGTCTAAGCGCGCTGTTTTATTTCAGCGGAAGCAGTGAAGACGTAAGTGATAGTTCTTATTCCTGCTTTAGCTAACGATGCTATGATGTGATTTGGTTGGAGGCAAACAAATGCTAACTCTTGCCCTGTGCTGTAGGCGGAATGCTCCGTTACGTTCCCTGGTGGATCGAACAAGCGATACACGGAGGAGACCAGCGTAGACGCACTTGTGTGGTCTCGATGCGGTGCTAAGGATAGGGCGGGTCCTTTGTTCAATGTCAATTCTGATGCGCGTGTTAACTGCAAGGACGCTGGTGTCTTGGGTGTTGATACACAGGACACGAAGTTCGAGATGCAGTTGCTTCTTCAATGGAAGAAGTGTTAGGTGGGCAAGGACGAAATTGTGGCACAGGTGGAGCGCAAGGCCAGGCAAAATGCGGAGGAATAGATGGTTGAGGTTTGGACACTCCTTTGGTTTCGTAAACAGTAGATGGAATGATATGATTTTGATGGAAAGTCCATCGTCGATGTGTACTTGAATTCCACAGTTTTGAACAAGTATTAATACATCAATGATTTGATACGAGCCCAGCGGCTACGTGGGAAATCTTGCGGCTTCGAGCTCAAGATGGTGTCAGGTTCTCTCGTCGACATAAGAGTAAGTCCCAGAAATAAACGAAGCGAGAGAGGTAAGTACGTGTCACTGCAGATCTTGTGCTAGAGACCAATAGCCATGAAAAGTAGCATCTCTGACCTGATTTTGAAAGTGTAGTAGAGTGGAAAGAGACCACAGAGTTGTGGTTCAACGATTGTGTTTGGTAATTTTCGGATATATACGAGTTCCGGTATATACAAATATCAACAGAAGTCACTCTCTTACGAATGAGCCTCAACATCCATTTCGGATATGGTCCCATGCGTCTCCGAGTAGCGACATGCTCATGCGGGAGGAGCGACAGGCAAGCCGGTTGGCCTAGGACCAACAGGGGCTACATGCAGTTAGTATATACGCGTCAATTGCAGGCTTTCGAAAGTGGCATGCAAGCAGGCAGAAGACTTACGGAAACCCGGGAGTCCTGAGGGTACGCCTGGTACGCCGCTTGGGACAGGGAAGCTGGCTATGTGGAGTTAGTTTGTGAATCGTCGTGATCATTCAAATAGAACGTACGGGGACTACGCGTTGGGACAGGAAAGCCGGCTATTATTGAGTCAGTATCTAGGCCCTCGAGATGGTGTCAAGGACAACGTACGGACGCCGCTAGGAGGTCCACCCGGGAATCCACCAGTGGGGACAGGTGCGCCACTCGGGAAGCCAGGGAATGGGCCAGTGGGGCGAGGTCCACCAGCTATTGGGAGTCAGTATCGAAACATATAGAAAGAGACTCCGAATCACGTACGGAAGCCACCGGTTGGAATGGGTGCACCACTAGGGAAGCCAGGGAATGGACCAGTGGGTCGAGGTCCACCAGCTGTTTGGAATCAGTACCGGAACATATACGAAGGGTCGTCAAGGATCACATACGGAAGCCGCCAGTGGGGAAGGGTACACCACTCGGGAAGCCAGTAGGACGGGGTCCACCCGCTGTTCTACATCAGTTTCTATAGTCCTCTTGCAATATGAGAATGCGTACGGAAGCTGGGCAATGGGCCAGTAGGGCGAGGGGGAACCGCTATTGGGAATCAGCGTCAATGTCCCTTCTCGTAAATCAAGATATACATACGTGGGGCGCCAGTAGGGAACCCAGGTACACCCGCGGTTGGGCTGGGCACCTGGCGTTCGACAATAGGCGCAGCGAAGGCACTGTCACGTGTGAGTAATGGTATGAATCAAGTCTTGCCAAGGTGTTGGAACGTACCCAGCGGCCATCATAGCAACGATAGAGAACTTCATAGTGGAAGAGTGCCGGTGTTTGGAAACGAGTACTGAAAGTGATTGACGGCTGAAGTTGATCGAACTAAGACTTGCTCGTTGATATCGTATTAGGGTTCAGATAACCTGCCTTTATACCTGTGTCCACCGCGTTCCCCTGTATCCTGGACTGTGAACAAAAAGTATGTTCCTGACTAGCGAAACGTCATTGCAATCAAAACTCCTATTGGACTGTTCAACAACTAGGGTGGTGTAGATGAGCCTGAATGGCTTGGAACGACGACGCTGCAATAGACAAATTGCAGCGGGGAAAAGTAGGTATCGGTGTCATCTTTCACTCGTGGGTTTTTGCACGGATCATTTTGTATACAAGACGTGATGATATGCGGAAAAGCTTTAGTAGGGCCGTTTGCTTTTGCAAGCACTCTATCGCGAGCAATGGCCAGGATCGTCCGTGATACTATGTTTCGTAGCCGCGCCGCTAGGGGTCCTAATTCCGACAAAGCATGTAAGGATTGAAACATCTCATATCGACTGTCGAATGGCAGGATCCGATGGGTCCCTGGGGACCGGAACCCCCAACGTCGCATACTGACTGGGAGAACTTAATACCAACGGCTAACAAGGTGAATAAAGCCGACCCTTGTGTATCGTCTTGACACCGAGCAAGCGCTGGTGAAGGCATTGCGAGCTGTGAACTGAAGTTCAGTGGGCGTTCTTCGCAGGTATAGCCCTGCAAATTGATTTAGCCTAGCATTATGCCAGCCCCAGCAGGTGAAACATCTGTTGAACAATGACCTCGGGACAGCCTCGCCTGACTGACGAACGATCGGCGGCGAGGAAGGGACGATCATCGAATGCTCAAAAGCCTCTCAGTATTAGAGGGGTGAGGCATGTAGTTGATTTCCTTAGGACTAAAATTCTACTTCTAGCCCGAGAACAGGTATGTGCCGCCTCAGAGTCTGTTTCCCAGGTAAGATCAAAACGTACCTGGCGTAATTAAAGTGCAGAAATACTCAGCAGTGAACAAGGGAGCTATACCACCTTAACCAGCATGCGTAAACCAAGCGCAACATCGCGCCATCTCCACCTGGTCTCAGCTCAAATCTGAAAGGGCCTAGAAGCATGAAAGAAAAGATGAAAAGACGTCAAATATCAAATATAAAGTGGAAATGTTGTTGCAATAAGCTCATGTAGACGAAGTAACTAAGCAAATGCTGGCATCTCGCGGTGTGGTTGGCTAGTTCATAATAAAGCCGCCCATATCTGCCGGGTCGCACCTGCATATTCTCCGCATGTTGAGCGCCGATCGCGCCGGACTTTAATTATCGACATTTTAGTGATTCTGATGGCAGAAAAGGTGGATTCGGGAACGTGGGGAGGCGATGCGAAGGGAATAGGCTGATGATGGCGATGGAAGTTTCCAAGCGAGGTTGGAAGCAGGTGCGATTCATGCACGCCACAATCTCAATCGCGCGCTGTCCATGGCAGATGGCTTGATTCAACATGACCGAGTAGATACGTACGTACCACTAAAGCTCAGTACACCTCATCGAGACTCCTTTTCTCAGCCTCTTTCATCCTCTCCACCTCTGCCACCCCGATCTTCTTCTCCGCATCTAGCTCCTCATCACTTCGTTCCCTTTCTTCCTCGCTCTTTTCGACAATCATGTCGCCCTTGAGTGCTTCTCTTAATATCGGCGGCTGTTCAGCCGCCCCAGGTCGCTTCGCTGATCCGGGTTCATCACTCGTTGCATCCCCATCCCCTAATCTATCTGTCCGAGCCCCTGTCCCCATACCACTCTCTTCTCTCCAACTCTGCTCCGTCTGTCTACGTGCGAGCTTCCGCTCCTTGGATTCTTGTCGCTGCCTTGAACTTGCTCGTAGTAACTTTCGATGACCATTGGTGCTATGATGCAATTGCTGCATGCCAGGAAAGTAGTCCGAGTCGTCCGAGAAACCGTCCCCATGCGCTTTCTGGGGCGGCTGCAAGTGCCGCAGAATAGCAGCTGTTCGCGGCGCGGTGTGCTGGTGGGACGGGCGCAATGCTGAAGCTGCCTCGTCGTTCTCGCTGCTAGAGGCGTCGTTTGAAGCGTCGTTGGGAGAGGCTGGCGTGGGTGGCATTGATAATACAGGCGAAGTCTTCGTGCTTTGCTTCCGCGAAAGTTTCGTTGGTGTTTGTTCGTTGATGACTGAAGCGTGATCGGCTTCTTGGGCCGCAGCGGGGTGGTCTTCCTTCTCGTCGTCCAGACTGGTGGCGGGTGGAGGTAGCTGCTGCGACTGACCCCCAAGGAAGTCCATAGTATTCTTCCGCATTGGCCGGCGTGGGTAGTTCACCTTGTCGTGGTTGCAACCATTTACACAGCCACCCCAACGGCGTGTAGGTATTATTGGCGATGAATTGAGCCCTACTTGTCCAGCTGCGCTGAGCGGTGTAGGTCTGCTTGGTGTACTCGAAGACGCACCAGTTGTCCCCTCCTTGGCCGCTCTCCGCTTGAGTTCAGACCAGGTTCGTAGCTCGTTTTGAAGTATGTATCGCCCGCTGTTTTCGCTTTGCTTCATGATGATGAACTCGCAATGATTAACATTACGGAGATCTTCAAAGTACTCGACAGACCAGTGATACCTATGCGACGTTAATACTAGTGAAATGCCAGCCAATAGCAACTGAATTTGCTCACCACTTCATGAGAAACACGCGCGACATTAGGCCATGCGTGACCAGCACGCACACGCTCGGAAAGTTGTCATCGCTGAATGATCTCCATAGACTTTCATTGAAGCCACTGACTCGATCGTATGCATCTGCCGCACTCTCGCCGTCGGGAATGCGGTAGAAGAAGTGACCGTAGTCTGCTCGCTCCTGCCACATCCTCTCCATCTCGGCTGAACATGGCTGGAAGTTGCCGAAGTCCTGTTCTCGTAGCCGTGGCTCTTCGAAGACGGTGATTTTGTTTCTCGGAAACGGGGATGGAGTCGGGTCATCCGAGGTTAGGGTGCGGAGGATGCCTTCAGTGGTTTCGCGTGTTCGACGGTAGGGGGAGGTGAAGAATTGGAGCGTGTCATCGGGCTTGAGCAAAGAGCGGAGTGATCGTCCTGCTTCTTCTGCCTATAGACGTCACGTCAGTGCTGGCTCGTTCGAGTACAAGTGTGGGAGAAGGCATACCTGAGTCCAGCCATGTTGCGTGAGCTTCACCCTATGATCAGGAATGAACTGGTGAATGTCGCGATTCTTGTTTCCTTCGGACTGCGCATGGCGAATCAGGATAATCATCTGAGCCTCTATTAGCTCTTGCTCGTCGTGACTAGGTATTGTGGACCTACGCGGGGTTTCCCCATCTTGAGTTGGAGATGGTGTGCTGTTGTTCTTGCGTTTGAATATGCGATGGGGTATTTCAAGAAGGTAAAGTGTGGACCGGTCTAAGGCGGGAACGATTTCTGACCTCAAATGCAGGCAAAGCGCGAGATAAGTTGGTGTTTCATAGCTGAAGCCCAACGTGGGGAAGGAACGACTTCGCTGGCGGGAGTAGCTTGCTTCGCCCGCCGTACCGCGGTCTTGCCCGCAAGACTTTAGTCCAAGCGTCTGGAAACCTCTCGTCCACATCTCAGCGCTGCTTGATAATACAATCTACAACCCACTACATACGGCCGATCCTTTTACTACCGCTCGCACGCCATCTGAATTACCACATCGTATCCCGCGCGCCGCCGGACCACCGCAGCAGAAGCCTCGGGCGACCCGCGCATCTGCCTTCACACTCGCGAACCCAGCATCTACTCTACCACCATGTCTGAACCTATCCCCGAATCAATACCTACATCCGCCGACCCGCGCTCCAAGCGCCCCACAAAAAAGCGCGCCCTCACCCCGCGCACAGCTCAAGCCTCGCAAGTCGAAGCCCTCTTTGCAAAGCCCGACCGCGACATCCACATCCCCGGCTCCGCCCTCTCCAAAAACCTCGCCCTGCCCCCAGAAATAGTCGCCAATGTCCAAGGTTCCAGTGCGGGTGCAGGCAGTGGCGAATTCCACGTCTACAAGGCGAGTCGGAGGAGGGAGTACGAGCGGTTAAGGATGATGGACGACGAGGTGAAGAAGGAGGAGGATGAGAAGGAGTTCAAGTCACGGAAGGAGGATTTGGAGAAGAGAGATAGGGAGAAGACGGAGAGGAATAGGCTGAAGAGGGAGAAGGCGCGGTTAAGGAAGGAGAAGGCGAAGAAGGGTGGGAAGGGGAGCGGGGAGGGGAGTGAGCGGGATGGCACGCCAGCTGCAGAAGATAGAGGGAGGAGAAAGTTGGTCCCGAATGCGAATGGGCTGAGGGCCGGTGAGGAGGGTTATGGGGAGGAAAATGAGGGCGGGGAGGTCAAGAACGCTGAGGAGATTGGCCTCGTGATCGAGGATGATGACTGAGGCGACAAGATCGAGTGAGGATATCACATCACACGTGAAGATATTTTTGATACCCGGAGAGAGTTGACGTTGAACGTTTGCCGAAAAGGACTGCCCTCTTTGAACCGTGGACTTTATGAAGGACACGATCGTTTGAGAGTGAGGGACGGGGTTATATCTCTGGTTTTTCAAATTAGGTTTTATTCGACAATGCTTTTTAGAACCCACACATATGATCAGGGGCTGAAGGATCATCTGGGAATAACATATATAATCTTTAGTCTCAGTAGCTTCTTTAAACTCATGTATATATAAAGGCGCACGAGGGCGCAGGGAGAAGAAAAATGCAAGTCAGCCATTATGCTATATGCAAGATGCCGTGAAGAATAACTCAGACATGCCTAGTCCCATCTACCGGGGCTACTAGACATCGAGCAGGAAAGAAAGACGGAAACGCCACCCCATCCTCTACAAGAAACATATCGTATAAGTGCCAGGGCCTGCAGTCATTAGATTCCTTAGAATCCATACTGCCGCCTAGACTGCGCCCTCGGCCTCCTTCCTCCGCTGCCAGGCCCAATGTCGATGCTTTGTAACTCCAGACTAAGTGCCATATCTTCATTCTGTACTGGGCGTCCCGTCTCAAGCGGTATCTTTGCTGGGATCGGTGGCGCTCTCCCACCGTACCCACCTCCTCCGCCTCGCTCATAACCTGGACTGCTGCCATAGCTGTTTGGAACTGGGCGTTCGCGGAGAATGTGAGTGTCGGACATAGGGAGGGAAGGCGAAGAGTCGTATGATGACATGGGACGTTGTTGGTGGGTGCGCTGTTGTAGCCTGCTGCGATCTGCTGAGCCTGGCTGCGTCGCGTCGTAGTCCGCAAGCACCAATGCGCTGGAGTTCGCAGACGAAGTATGGGCGCTGAAATCGTGTCTCGCCGTAACCAACGCGCTACTAGGTAGATCAAACGTCGTGCTCGCCGCGCGTCTTAAACGGTCTCTCTCTACACGTTCCCGCTGATATCTCTCCTCGCGTTGTCTTGCAGCCTCGAGGTCTCTGCTACCATTCAACTGCGCCCTTGACCGCACCGTTTTCTCTTTTACTGTGCCCTTTGGCGTGGGTTCGGGCGCCCAATTGTCGATTGGAAGATGGTCAGAGGCATCGACGACACGTCCACTAAACGTAACGATCTGGCCCTTGTCATTGTATTCCATGCGGCTGCCCGGTCGCTCGTCTTCGGATACTCCTGGAGCCGGCGACGTTGACGCTCTGGGATTGTACACGTCATAGCTATCTGGGTTGAACGCCACTCCAGACATCCTTCGCTCGCCATAGTCTTCAGTGGGTGGAGGCGGTCGAGGCGAGACAGATTTCCGAGTTGGCATACTTCGCACAGGTCCTCTAGCCGTGCGCTCGCTCGCCGGGTTTGGTGAGTATCGGGGACTTGCCCCAGGGCTCACCCCTGGACTTGTAGCTCGAGGCTTGACAAGGGGTGTGGGGTCATAGAAGGGTGAAGTACGTCGAGGTTGTTCTGGAGGGTCATGTGGATAGTCGTAGGGTGAGTTGGCTGATGGAAACGACTGATGATGTACTAATTCCTGTGACTGAACAGGAGTTTCGTACTCAGTAATTGCTCGATATTCCGCAGGCTCCGAATAGTGACGTAGACGGGGTGGGGTCTCGTAAGCCGGCGGCGCTTGGTAGACCATAGAGTCCCTTTCTTGTCGGGCAGGATTGAGTCCAGGGACTAGGCTCAATGGCAAAGCTGATGTCTCTTGTCTCAAAGGCGAGGGGGCCATTGTATCCCGGGATACTGGTCGACTCGATGATAGCTCTGCAGAGCGAGGAAGGGTCATTCTTCGCTCTGACGGTTGTGGACGGCCATAGTCAATGGACCCGTATGATTGAAGCGGCGCATCGTAACCAATCTGACCGGCTTCCTCCCGGTATCGCGAAAAGTTTAAAGGCGCAGGAGTCTCGTTAACATAGCTAGGTGGTTCCTGTTGCTGGGGATGGGGCAGAGTGCTTGCATTTCTCCTATGGACCGGTGGTGGGGGTGGAAGGTCCTCGTCTACCACCATAGGCTGCATAGCACTCCCCTCGTCTTCTACCATTGGCTGCATGGCACTTCTCCTTCGGGCAGAACCCAGATCATGCTGCGGGGGCGCCTCGATGTAGCGATTTTGATAGTAAAGTTCAGAGGAGGAGATTTGCTCTTGGATGTAGTCGCGGCTTTGGATGGTGCGCAAGGGTGCAACCTGATAAGCCGGGTCTTGATATGGGTCCTGAGGGTACGACGGAGAGCGATCGTTAGTGTATCCGTTGTCCTGATAGTCGTAGTGCTCTTGCTGCGCTTCTTGTTCATAGCTGTGCTGGGTCGGAACCATTGGAGCAGAGTGCGAGTGGATAGGTTCGGCAGGCGGTGGTGGCTGCTGGGAGATGCCTCGAGTAGCTCGAAATTCATCCTGGGACATTGTTCGAAGACCCGGATCCCTCACTTGTTGAGGTAGTGGATCGATAGCTTGTAATTGATAAGGCTTGGGTGCTGCGTACGACATATCGAAGCTCTCCTCTCTGGTTAAATCGACCCTAGGGTTTGACGAGCGTGGATTTGGGGGAGTGCTGTATGCATTCTGGGGCATTGGCGGGCGCTGGGGCGTGTTCTGATTTGACATGGGTGTGCCGTTCAGCGGAGATGCATCTGGTACAGGCCGACGGGACGGCGTGTCCGGTTGACTCTTCTGCTGCAGCGTCTGCTCATTCTGTTGTTGGTGCCGGGGGGAGCCCAACTCTCGAGGACCAGCCCTCACTCCACGCAAGCCTCGATGTTCTGGTGTGTTGACTGGCGACGGAGACGCGCCCGTTGGGTCGGTAGGAAGCGGCCTTCGCTTGACTGGCGTACTTTCACGCGGTCCGCCAACGGCTGCGCCCTGGCCATCCGGTCGAAGTGATTCCCGTCTCTTCTCCGGGGCCGGCTTCTCTGCCTTGGGGCGTGTGTCATAGTAGGTGGATTCTATGCGGATCTCTCCAGCGTATTTGCCCTTGCAAGTAAGGCCATGCCAGTCGTCGCTCTGGCCCCCGCCCGGCGTAATCACAGCCTCGAGATTGGCCCATGTCTCGCCAATCAGCTCCGTCTTCTTGTCGTCGTTGAAAACGGAGACTTTGAGGCGCTGGTAGTCGGGCGAGTCGTGGACAGTGAAGCGTAACTCTTGGTCCCTGTTTACGTGAGTACTTGGCTGTTTGACCATGAGCGAACGTGCTACTCACCATTTTGGTGTCTGACCTCCACGCTTGTCTGTCTTTGTTTTCTTCGCTTCCTTGCCTAGTCGAGCTGCGCAATACGGGTCCTGCTTCCCCATGGTCCTCTTGTTGGGCAAGTTCCTCGCGCGGTCCATGATTACCACCAGGGTACCTATCACAGGCCCGTCAACTGTCATGTCGGAGAAGATGCCCGCGGTATGCGCCCCGCCAAAGGCAGTCATGTTGGCTGCTTTGGTCGCCATGATGCCTCAGTTCCACCTCGTGTTCCCAGATGTCCAAGAGTAGTGCGAGTGCGTCGAGCGGGTGGTGTGCGGCGAGAATGGCGAGAGGCGCGCAAGGAACCGGGTCGAGTAGCGATACAGTGCATGCGCTGCAATTGCGAGATAATGAAGGGAGTGACTCGAGGTCTAGTTCGAAGGAGAGGGCGACGACGGCAACAGCGACAGCGACTGCAAAAGAGCGACTGAACAGCGGCCGAGGGTTGGCGTGGATCGTGTGCAGCAGTTCGGGGCAGTTGGCAGATACATGTCCTGTTGCTTATGTTTATCGGCCGTGGCTGGAGGAGGCCCAACCTCGCAGTGACCCCGCCAATCAGGCGCACATGTGGGCCCCGGATCACCCATTGCGCGCGCCCCGAGCGATCTAAACCTGCTGTACCTTGCATCTCTAACACTCCAGTTTCTAATTCAGTTTAGTAGTCTGTTTCTGTTTTTCCTGCGAACGCCTCATCACCCGCTCTCACATGCTCGCTCGGCCTGTGGAATTCGATGTGGCTGGGCTCCAGTGTAAACACCCGTTCCTTGTGTTGCTCACTCACAAACAGTAACAGCTCGGATGTTGCGGGTAGCCTCACTGAGGATCGAATCTTGGATGGATCCACCGTACGCGGGGCCTCGCAGTGTACAATACGTACGCCCTCGGATATCTCTCCCGATCAATTGTGGTTAGATTCGCCCATGATGTCTCCATTTGCGTGGGTGACAAGCACTTGGCTTACCTCGAGGCCCATTGCTTTCGTCATACCCTGCCCCTGTGTCTCTGTTAGCTATCATATATCACACGCTCTGACCCATAACCTTTGCTATGCATTCTTCCACTCTGACACTAGACCGAGTCATGTCCTCCGCGTAGATGTTTGGTCTCGCATGTTCACCGGGCGACGGACAGGGATATCGTGGATCTCCCGCACGCGAGCTGTTCATCAACAGTGTTACCAGCCTCTCAACAAACGCCTTACGAGCCTTCGATTTTCTTACAGGTGGTTCCTAGTCCTTCACAGAGCCCATCTATTGCGCCTGCACTTTTGCATTGTACGCTGAGCGCAATGAGATCCGGCTAAAGTACCTTGTCCTAGCATAGACCCTGACAATAGGTAGCCTCGACGTTATTTGTCTAGCGAGGAAGTCAATTGGAGCAGCTAAAGATTGTCCGGCACTACGAGAGGCTGGTAAACATTCAATATATCAAGAAAATGCTATTCGCTGGCACGCACAGTTCAGTTCAATCGAATGCACGATGAACATTTGCCTATTTCTATGGACTACGGCACGATAAGTGATACCGCAAGAAGACAGTCCTGCTTCTTGCTCGGTGTATCTACTTCACGTTTCCATGAATGTATGCGAGTGTTCGTGCTTAGCGGTCCCCCACATGCAGGTCATTATCCGCAGCGGCCGTTCTTCACACTATGCGCCTTCACTCTTCAATGAGCAAACGCAAGTGAGCGAGTGGGTGGGTGGGTAACCATAGTGAGTGGGAGAGTGAATGAGTGAGAGTGAATGAGTGCGTGAAAAGGCGCTTCCACACCGCTACCGCGTATCACGAGTATCAGGACAAACGCCCACGCATATAAATCACAGCTATCCAGCTTCTTCTATTTCCTCCTCACCTTGCACTCAATTCAATCGACCAAAAATCTCAACTTCAAGCCCACGACCTTTCCCAATTCACACACTTTCATCATCATCCTAAACACCAAACCACAAGCATGAAGGTCGCTATCATCATTGCCGGCATTCTCTCTGCTGTCGCCATGGCCTCTCCTCCCACGGTACTTTTCCCCAATTCCTAGAGTTACAATATTACCCACAAGAATTACAACTGACGCCCTCAAGATGTCGCTAAAGCGCTCGTTCGTCGGCGTCGAAGTCAACGGCAAGATCGAGCCGGGTCCTTGCGTCGAGTGCCCTTGCGATGTAAGATACCAGCTCAGAAAGTTCACTTTCGAAAACAAAGCTAACAAGGGAAAGGGATGGACGGGTACCTGCACGTGCATCCCCAACGGCTGCTGCTGCACGCGTTAAGCCAACACATGCCTGCCTCGAGGTCGTTCTGCCGCCGATTCACCTTGACTCGATATCCTCAACATCTCCCTCGATACTGTGGATGTTCCACACATGCTTGGTGGACTATTTGGACAAACGATTATGGCACGGCATTGGCGAGGGTTTTCAGGTTTCATTCTACGTGTCCTTGCATAGGCATAGAGTAGTAGGCTAAGGGTCCACATCAATCTCCGAGTAATTTGATCTCCTCATAATATGCAACTGTCTCTAATTCTTGGCTTTGGTATGATCTTCTGAGCAGACGTGACCTGTGACTTGTAAGGAAGATGGAATGCTCCCGAAGAGGTATAGCTTCATTTCCTCGTGACAGCGCGTCCTCGCGTTTTGCGGCTTCTCGCTTCCAACCCTGCACATCACCACTATGCCCTCACCCGCGACACAACACTTACACTGCATTCGATACGTCACTGCGAAGCGATTCAAAGCATATATCACCCCGCAGTCCTTAAAGCGCAAATGAAGACCACACGATGCCAACACACACGCCCTCCCCGCACCGCTTCTTAGCGCCCAATCCGCTTGGTAGCCAAACCTCCAAGCCGAAACCACCGTCCAACCTACGCAATGTGCTAGCTAGTCAAACACCCAAGCCCACTGTAGCGACGCGTCAAAAGCCAGAACTCCAATTCAAAAAGTTGACGCCTGCGAAACGCTTCGTCATTACCCCCGCGCGACCTACACCTAGGGCAGAGAACCTCAGCACGGGCAAGGAGGGTGGCAATACGGCATGGAAAGACACGCGCACGGAGCTCACACCACGTTCGAAGCCGCGTAGGAAATTCGAACGCGTGGAGAGTATCCAGGAGTCGAGTCAGTCAAGTGCAACGGCTACGCAGGCTGATGGTGATCGAGAGTGTGTTGTGCAACCTGTCGAGGATCATGGAATGGATTCCAGTGACGATGCGAAATTTGAGGAGGAGATGCTCTTTGAGTCGGTAGGGCGCAAGAAACGACGCCTTACATCGCCGCCGAGCTCACCCTCGCGCAGCCAAGTATCGGAGCCGCACACGCCGCTCCCAGCACGCAATCCAACAACGCATCGCTTCAAGGCTCCGGTAACACACACGCCAGCTGACTTACGTACCTCTCATACCGATATTTACGCTTCCACACCTTCTGGTCCATCCATAACTTCTGCGCCGCATAAACCCCAATTTCTCCTCCCGGCTCTCCCCACCTCCCCATTGAAACCTAGCAAACCTCTGCCGGAGATCTTCTCCCCTTCGCGCAAGAATGGCAAATATGTCCCCAATGGTCTCGCCTCTACCGTCACAGGATGGGTTATCGAGACTGCGAATACTGGGTTTGCGGCTCAAGATAGAAGTACAGGCATCACTTGGGGAAGGGATCGGGAAGACGGCGTGAGGTTGAAGGTGCGAATAAAGCATGTCTCCACTGGCATTGTGGAAACAGAGAAAAGGCTAGAGGCTGAGTGTTTCGCCGGCGGTGTGATATTTGTCAGAGGAGACACGGAACCTGGTTCATACAACACTTCTCGCGCCCCGAGCCCTATCGGTGATGATGGGGTTTTGAAAGTTTTGCTGGCCGGGAATGGTGGTGCCAGAGGTGCTGGTGGTGTTAGGATCAAAGTTGGAGGTATAGTGGGGATCAGGGCGCCCACGTGGGAAGTTGATGTAAGTGGAGAGAAGTGGCTTGTTGGCGTGGATTGGGTGGTGCTGTGAGGTTTTGAGATAATCTAACGATTGATGAGCATGGAAATGACAAGCTATGAGTATTGCGCACACATTGCAGTAAACCGATCATAATATGATATCAAATAGAGGTTATCATTCTCACTACATTTATAGCACCTGCCTAGCTATACGTAATCATCGTAGCTTCAACAACTGCCTTTTGTAGACTGCCTCTTGAGATGTTGTCTGTAAGTACTCGCAAGTCTCTTCGTCTTCATGCCTTCCAGCGTACATTACTCGTGCAGATATTCTTACCGCCTTGTTCAGTGACCAGTGAATCAGTCATAGTGCAGTAGGCCCGCACTTCGCTCCACCCGGTTGTACACTAAGCTCAGGAGCCAATCTTTCCGTCGTCGACTCGTCGTCGCGAGCCCAAATTTCAGCCTTCCTCTTCAAGGTAGCTAATGTCTCTCTATACTGACTTCGCGGCTCGCTCCACACTTCAACAAGGCCGTCATGTACTATGTCAGCCAACTCCATGGGGTCTTTTACCCTATTAAGGCTGGCAGCGAGCTCTTCAGGAAGGATGCTTAAGCAGCGGCCCAGGAGGCAACCCATCGTGGAGGCAAGGAGATCTCCGTCCTCCCAGAAGTACTTGTCTTCCTCATCAGAGGCAATATCCGTATCCGAATCATCTCCACGCTTGCATCGTCTCTTCCGCTCAGTCATGCGCTTGCTATCTGTTCATATTAGCATACTCTACCGCAAAGGCCATCAGCACACTCACCACCCGCACCAGTCCTCTTAGTCTCACGCACCCCTCGCACACTGTCCGGCGTACCCATCACGCCAGCCTCCCCAGTGATCTTGATATGACCCACTTTATGCAGTGCAACAAAGAGGTCGTTGACCAGAGCGCGGCGAAATCGCATGGCTTGGCTGAAGTCGTAACCCAGTCTACTGAAATCGGGCCACTCGTATTCATCATGCGCCTCGAACCAGTTGAGTGTCTTCAAGATGTCTAGTCGGCCCTCGTCTGGGGTCTTGTAGCTGATGACTGGTGAGGTGTCGGACGAGAACTTGAGGGCTGCTGCTACCATGTGAAGAGCCCAGTCGACTAGATAAGCGTTAGTAGAGGCTAGAAATGTTTACAGCGTGGAACTTGGGGGAGAGACGTGGGGGGGAGAGTATGTGAGGGCTGTACAAACCTGGTTTCACGAGCTGTGTGCCTTCACTGGGCTGTGTGGCCGGCGCACTGTTCGCCATTGTGATGCAGTTGGTTGCAGAGCAAGCGTAGGCTATGCGAGTGTTTGCGGCTATGAGTGTGATAGAAGAGGGTGTGAGCTTGAAGTGAGTCGAGGCATCTTCCGTCGTACCTTCCCTTCACATCCAGTGACGACATCAGCTGATCTGGCGTTGTGTTCGTGAGTAGGAAGGAGCATGTGCACCTCCTAAACCAAGATCAGAGAGGCGCCTTGTAGCACCAAGCGATACCAAGGCTCCGATAAATTCCCATAGTTGCAGCTTTCATACTAGAGTAAGTATGGTAGGTAGCTCAAAATTGCTACAGCAAGAACTCGAGCAAACCATCTTCATGATGGTGATCTGGAAGCAAAACTACTACCGAACAAAGTTCCAGAGCATATCACATTGGTCCAAGGATGCCCAGCCCTCAATATTCCATCCATCGCGCTTTCTGCGGCGAAACGCTCGGAGCCTACAATGACTATAAGAACTTGGAGAGAACTGAGCTAGAAGCAGGACAAGAAGAATATAGAGTAAAGAAACAGTTGGTGGACAGAGAGGAATGATATAATGAGTGAGAGAGAACAAGGAGACGAGAGTAGAGAGTCAAGGCCGACTGGGAGGCTGCGCTTCAAGCTGAAGCACTCGTTGCGACATCGATTGGAAAGGCTATGAAGCGATGCCTAGGATACCCAATGAGCACGTGGATGGCCGTGAAGAGACTGTGAAGGACAAATAGTCCTAGTCAGCAAACGGGTGCTAGGTAGGGGCAAAGATCTGACGGCAAATGGCGTCGACGAAACCGGATTTGTCCTTTGAACGAGCAGCTACAGCCTTGGGATACGTTGCCAGCATGGGTCATATATCATCGATGCATTTACATTTCGCATTTCGGCAAGAGTTCAGAGTATATCCAGCCGATCCTATCCGACATGTGCAGCAGTCAGGCGCCCGTAGCTCAAGAATCAACTTGCCTTGCTAATACGCGAGACGCAGCGACGTGTTCTGATACGCAATCATCTCCTCGAAGCAACTCCATAGTTTCTCAAGAGGCAGAGAAGATAGATACTGAATCGATCTACCCTCGGGTCGCGACACTACTGGAACATGTGCTTCGACGACAGCCACGTGATATGGACTCGACTTTCCAGCGAGCAGCCGTTTTGCATAGCCAGCCAGTATCATCGACAGTATCTGACGCTATGCCCCTGTACCCATTTGGAGACAAGTCACATGTCTATTTGCGTTGATTGGGGCATTGCGCAGTCAGAAGCGAACACGTACAGCAACGACATTCGCTGTCGGATCCGAGTTGCTTCCCCTCTATTTCATCAACCTCGATAGCCGCCGCATATATCCCACGCTCCGATGACTGGATGCACGTCACCATGTCGCCCGCCCGATAGATTGGCAGTGAGGAGCTGGGTCGCATGGAATCTCGAGCGGCGGGTACAGATCAATGGGTAGCGGATGCTGTTCAATGATTGACCGCAACCTCTGCTGCTTTGTTGTACAGAGGGCCCTCGAGCGTGTCAGGCGGGTCTCTGCTCTCTGGTTGTCCCACGTTGCGCGGGCGGTGATGAGGGAACAGAGTTGGAACGACCTCGTGCTCGGGTCGGCTCGCAGCCTATTCCAGAAGGGAGCGTTTTAGCGTGTGTTCGCTTCGTCCCTGCTCCCCGGCTTCGACACGTCACTCCACCTCATCATCTACTCTACTCAACCTTTTTGGCATTTGGTTATCGCTCCTGATGGGTGCCCCTGCATCGCGGACCCTCTTTTGGGCGCCAAAAGGCGTCGTGGATGGGCGCGCTCTGCTGGCCGGCAGGTTTCGACGGTCCCCACGCGCGCAGCCGTCTCGCTGGCCGCTTCTAGGGCTGTGGAAGGTTACCACGAACGCTGCACCACGGTTGGTGTTGGCGACACATGCTGCAGCTAAAGAGGCATCGGGCCAATGATCAGAATGTCCTTGCAGCGAGCACCCACCTCTCGGACATGACATTCTCTCACTTTCAGCGAACTATGTTTCCCTACGTGGTCCAATGACACGTACAGGCCAAGCTCCCCTTCCCAACACGAGCCCTGCGGGAGCACACGGTTCTGCCAACGTGAGGCTTGCCGGTCCATTTCGACAACTTGCGCGAGGCTTTCATTCTGTGATTGTTCCGATCCTGTCTTGTGACGCTGTCCTGCATCTGTCTTTCGTCCAAGTCAGCGCTCCGTCTCTGTTTCGTCCCATTGAGCCGCCACGCACATCGCACCTCCACAATCTGTGCTTTTCTTCTCCTGACTGATCTGCTTTTCATTCGTCTCTCCGCATTCAATCCCCTCTCCCCACGTTGATGTCGCCACTACGTACCTGCCGTTTGTTATATTCCGCAATGGGGCGACACAGACGTCAGATATAGCACGTAGCACAACTTATCCATCCTTTGGATTTCGGAACACTCAATTGAATTTGTTTGTCCAAAATGGCACGCCAGTTTGCCAATGTCTCGATTTCGCCGTGGGCGAATCCGTACAACAGCGCTGGGGCCAACACTGGAAAGAACTTCTATGCGACTGCGACCACTCCACAACAGCAGCCAATCTACCGGCGGATAGTACTGCCCCCTGCCCCGATATTTTACCATCCAGGCGTTGAGCAAGTGATTGGTGAAGATAGCGATGGCGACGATCAAGCAGGTATGCTCTGGAAGGTATATTCCATGCTACTTTTCCAATTGACTATTTCGTAGACTCAGGAGGCGCTCCTATCTTGCCAGAAACCCCAGAACCTCCATCTGCTCCTGAAGCACCGCCTGAAGCACCATCTGAAGCTCCCGAGCCGCCACCTTCACCACCGGCTGCGCCAGATGCACCCCCTCCCACCGAGGAAGCGCCCACCCCGTCACCGCCGGTAGATATTGTCCCTGAAACCCCAGCAGTTGAAATTGTACCAGATGCACTTCCAGAGTCAAACGCGGACACGGCACCAAGTAGTGGGGATGCAACTACGGAAGGTGAGGCCAAGGTTGAAGATGTCAAGTATGAACCGCCCGGTCCAAGCGAGGATGGGGACGGGGGACCAGTTGCAGAGGCTGATCCCCCTCCCCCGCCGCCACCGCCTGCGCCTCCAGCAGAAGACATAGCAGCAGCACAGGATGAACAACCTACACAAAGTGAGCCAGCACCCCCTCCTCCCCCGCCACCACCAGCACCCCCAACAGATCCTGTACCAGAGACTGCTATTGTAGAGAGTGAGAAGAGTGGTGAGTCCGAGCAGGCCGCTCAAGAGCCCCCAAAGTCCCCCGTTGAAAAGTTCGTCCACTTTGCCTCTGACACAAAAGCACCAGACGCAGGCAAGAAGAAAAAGGACGAGAAGAAGAAACTGCTGTTTGGTAAGGGTAAACCTACTGCTTTTGTACGCGTCAGAGATCCGGCCCCTGCTCCTCCACCGCCACCGCCACCAAAGGACGAAAAGAAGAAGAAGACTGATTTAGTTGGAATCATCAAAAAGAAAGAGCGACGGGGCTCCATACTCTCTGTTTCTTCGATCGAAAAACCTACTGTCAAGGAAGAATCGCCTGGCCCCTCCAAGAGAAGGCTCCTCAAGTCGGATGATTCATGGAAGAAGAAGAGAGATGACAAGAAGTCCAAGGGCAAGAAGGTGAGAAAAGAGGATAGCTCAAGTGAGGATAAATCGATCACTGCCGACGACGCTACGACATCTGAAGTCCCCGAAAGCGTTGCAAGCGAAGAATCTGCAGAGACGCCGTCGGAAGCAGTTACGAATGACGAGGCATCATCACCGCCGCCAAGTGAACCTCCTATTGAAACGGAAGAAGTCAGTGTCGGCGAAGCTATATCTGCTATCGAGGAAGCGGTCAGTGACGATGCTCCCATCGAAGAACAGCCTCCTCCACCTACCGAGCCCAGTGCTGAGGCTCCCACTGAAAGCGCACAACCACCTCCACCAGCAGAGCCCGCAGCTGAAGCTCCAGAGCCTCCTAGCGATGAAACGCCACCTATTGATGAGCCTGCAGAAGAACCGGACGAAGTTGCCTTGGAGCCGACTGCCGAGCCTGAATCTGAACCTGCAGCGGAGCCCGAGGCGCAAGTCGAAGAGTCTAGCCAAGAAGAACCATCTTCGGACGACACCCAGCCCGCTGTCGAGGAATCAACACCAATTGAAGAGCCACTCGCTAGCGAAGACGTGGCCAAGGCCGAAGATCAAGGGGCTTCAGAAGAAGAGCCTGTAGCAGAATCGTCAGCTACTTCCAATGAAGCGCTTGTCACAGAGGAACCTGCGGTCGAGGATCCAGTTGTAGTAACAGAAGCTGCTGTAGCTGAAGAGGCATCTAAAGTCGAAGAGTTGCCTGCAGCCGAAGACGCACCTTCAGCCGAAGAAGTACCTGCAACCGAAGAGACACCTGCACCCGAAGAGACAACTGCAGCCGAAGAAGTACCCGCAGTTGAAGAAGAAATTTCAATTGAAGAAACACTACCTGCAGTTGAAAAGGCACCTGCGGTTGAAGAGGCCACTGCGGTTGAAGAGGCCACTGCGGTTGAAGAGGTACCTGCAGTTGAGGCAGTGCCTGCCTTGGAAGCAGAAACTGCAGTCGAGGAGGCGCCTGCGGCTGAGGAGGTTCCTGCTGCCGAAGAGTCAACTCCAGAAGCCGCGCCTACAGCTCTAGTCGAAGACACACTCAATGAAGGAGAAGTGCAAGCTGCTGAAGAGACGACACTTGTGGAGGAGACTCCAGCCGCAGAAGACTCGCCTCCGCCAGAAGACCCTCTAGCGGCAGAGCCAGAAGCCGAGAGCGAACAGACGTCCTCCGTAGACAAGGAAGTTGTTGAGGACGAACCCAAAGATCTTGAGGAAGCTGAGTGTGACGAGACGCCGAGCAATGAAGTTACACCTGTTTCAGAAGGAAGCACGACTCCCGAGACTGAGACTCTTGTGGTCGTTGAAGACGTTCCTCCAGTCGATACCACTCCAGACGAGGAATCAACGGAATCCCAACCCACTGAAGAGGTCATCGAATCCAGCAATGTTGAGCTAGTCGCCGATTCCCCAAAAGAAGAAATAGTTGTCGAGGATGTAGTAGTAACGGGTACGTGAGCATGATTCACGAGTTCATGTTAAAAACAATGCTAACACGATACAGAGGAGGCCCAGCCTAAAGTCATAGCCGAAGACAGGGAAGATGCATCTAATCCTGCCACAGCCGAAGTGACTACGCCAGAAGGTTGTGGGGAATGTGAAAGCCCCACGGAAGTCGCTACTCAAGAGCAAGAGACACCCGCCGAGATATCTACAAATGAAACGCTGCCCGACGAGACAGAAGCTGCAACTGAGTCGAGTTTAACGACTGAGGATAACTCACCGGATCCATCTAATCCAACTGAGACCGCGACCGCGCAACTCACTGCGGATGCCCTACAAGCCAATCCTGAAGTGCACGCGAGCGATCCAATTGAGACCGAAGATTCTACAGATTCTCAGGATAACGAGCCCAACATGGATCAAGAGGAAACAGCACCGGCTATGGCTGAATCTATCTCGAAAGAAGACGAGGGCTCCGAGACTGCTACGGTTAAGGAGACCATGTCACTGGCTGAAGGGGTTGTAAGCAGCGATCCATCGGACCAGTCCGAGCCGAAACCCGAGGATGATGAAAACGACCATCCTCGGGCTGATGAGTCGAACATTACTCTCTCAGAGCCCGACGACGCTAGTACTCAATCGAAAGGAGCCGAGAATATCGAGTCATCGGATATCGCCAGCGTGGAGCAGAACAATGACGAGGCCGCCGAGGACAACGAAGAAGACTTGACTGCTCCAGCCCCGGATAAGGAATTAGAGGAGAGCGCTGCGCCAACTGCGATCACTGAAGCCATCCCAACAGAATCTTTGGAGCCAGTATCAGAAAAGACTGGAACACCTCTCGAGAACGACAAGAAATTAGAAGACATTGAGACCCCAGTAAAGGCAGCAACTCCTGAAACTGAAGCTGTGAATGATGAGCCTCCTGTCGAACCCGACGACATCGCTGCAGAAGAGCATGCCATCGATGTCAAGCCCGCAGTACCCCAAGAGGCGGTAGTGGCCGAACCCTCAGAGACACCACACGATGCGCCCGTTTCATCAGACGCACCTGGATCAGATGGCGTTGTCAATGCACCGAATGACATCGAGGAACCAAAGCAAGAGCTCAAAGATGAACCCTTAGAGAACGATTGCGAAGATATCAAGACGGTCTCGGAAGTGACGGATGCTACTGACGCCGTCCTGAGCAACCCACAAGATACAACTACACATGAGCCTCTTCCTGACCAGCTAAGTGTGATAGAGCAAAGCAACCCAGCCGAAGCGAAAACGGATACACCACAAGATGAAAGTCCTACAGGTACACAGGTTGACGAGGCGAGAGCAGCAGAAGCCGGTGACGCGACGGAAACTCTAGAACAGCCTTCAGGTACGTGGTTAGTTTTCTAAAATCCCTCTTTGCGTTGGCCAATTTTATTGGGTTTCCCCACGCAACTATCGATAGGTTGATGCATGCGCCGCATCGGGCTGGGACGTGTTCCATGCTGCATCACAGCACATCTTATTGGACACCCAGGCCGCCTACTGGTGGTTCCAACCAACACGAATCTGTGTCACTACACCTTACTTTGGCCTGTCTTGTCATCACGTCGAGGCATTTCGTTGAGCCCGGCCTCGGGCTGCAATGCATGCGCGTAATCTGCCACAGATCGCGACATGCGTGGCTTTGCTCCGCGCTAGCCTCGCTGTTGCACACGACTTCTGGTTCCCGACTTCCCGTCTGATCTCACATATTTTTTTCTTTCGTCGCTGTCATCTCCTCTTCTGTGCCACTTTGTTTTCTTATCGCGACACGTGCTATTTGTGTCAGTGCGTGTGATCGCTGCCATCGCGACTGACTTTTGAATAGAAGAACGCCCCCAAGAAAGCAGTGATCTAGGGCCCGAACCACAATGCGCGGAAATAACAGCCGATGCGATAATTGATCCTGGTTCGGATCCGGTCTTAGACAAGGCTGACGAAGAGAAGTCGAGTGAAAACCTGCTTGCCGACGACTCCAATTCGCAACAGGCCAAGGAGAACGAGATTGCTCCCACAGAATCCACACACCCACTTACAGATGATGTCGTCGCAGCGGTAGAAACAGAACAGCAAATGGACAACGAAACTTGTACGCCAGAGGTGCTTGGTGATGTCACTTCGACAGAGGTAAGTGCGACTTCATGATGACATTCCGAACAATTGCAACGACATCTTTGTGTAATGAATCACGGCCGAATAGAATCAAGCTAAAATCAACATAGGTTGCTCTGGATTCTGCTTCCGACGACAAGAACCTTGATGTTGCGCCTCCTACAGAGAACGTTTCAGAGGTTAGCCTACCGACTGAGCCGGATGTGGACGAGAAGATTGAAGGGCTCGAACCGATTCAGGATGATACTGTAGCTACTTCCGAGCCTCAAACGACACTAGGAGACTCTACGGATGTTCCAGCCGAAGATGTTATCGCAGAAGATAGCTCAGAAGGCACAGAAACGGAACCATCAATTGCGCCTACTCACGACGATGCAAGCTCCGCAACGACGGTGGAAGAGAGTCAAGGCAACGCACAAGAAGATGTAGTAGAGGAGAAGCCTATCTCTGAGCCGATTGCAGAGCCAACACAGCCGCCAACTACGGAACTTGAGGTCCCACTCGAAATCCCAGAATTTACACCGGAAATCGCCCTGGAAAGTGACCCTGCGAAGGCCGAGTCGATTCCTGACGCTGAAGCAGTCTCCGATACTGAAGCAGTCAACGACACCGAAGTTGTCCCTGACGCGGAAGCAGTCCCCGACAATAGTTCGGAAGAGGTTGCCTCGAATGAGCCCACGGATGAACACACTGAGACTACCATGACACTTGAAGAACCATCACTGGATGAAGAAAATGTAGCCTCCCCGGATACTCTTACTGAACCCGAAGGTGAAGAAAGTGCATCTGCGGACGTTCCCGAACCAATTGATGCCCCGATTCAAGAGCATACCCAAGAAACACTTGACTCCGAAAGTCCCGTCTCTACTGTCCTAGCCGCGGAAGTCGAGGCCGAAAGCCCTTCAGAAGTTCAAGACAGTGAACCCAAGCCTGAAGAATCCACTGGAGTTTCCGAAGGCGATGACACTCAAGCACAACCGAGTGAACAAGAGCCGAGCTCAGGTGATCCGAAACCAGAATCCGTGTCGACGGATCAAGCGGAAACTGCTGAGTCTCAAGCTTCTCAAGCTCAGGAACAGAATGAATCTGAACCTGCGGCACCAGAAGAAACCCAGGCAGACGATCAGCCTGCCGAGCAAGCTGATTTAGCGGAGGCGCCTGAAAAGTTGTCTGACGATGCAGTTGAAGCGCCGCCGGTGCCACCACCAGTACCAGACGAACCGGGCGAGCGAATTCCGCCGCCAGCCCATGTCGAAGAGCCTGCTACCGAAGAGCCTGCTACCGAAGAGCCTGCTACCGAAGAGCCTGCTACCGAAGAGCCTGCTACCGAAGAGCTTGTTGCTGAAGAGCCTGCTGCTGAAGAGCCTGCTACCGAAAAGCCTGCTACCGAAGAGCCTGTTGCGGAAGAGCCTGCTGCGGAAGAGCCTGTTGTTGAAGAATCCGCCGTTGTCGAGGAGCCTGCTGTCGAAAACCCTGCTGCCGAGGAACCCGTTGTTGAAGCACCCGTTGCCGAAGAGACCGCTGTCGAAGAGGTCGCTGTCGAAGAGCCTGCTGCTGAGGAGCCTGAGGAACCACAGTTGGCTGAGCACCAAGAATCAGCTGAACTATCAGATCAAAAACCACACGCCGAAGAAGATGTGCCGGCGCAAGGAGTCGACGAGTCAACAACTCAAGAGCTGGATGAAGTGCAGCCTACTACCCCACCGGCGGAAAGCTCGGATGAGAGGGACGCTGAAGACACACAGGATCCGCCTGCCGAAGAGAATAATCCAAATGACGGGCCAACGGAAGTACCAGAAGACAGTCAACCGCCACCAATTGAGCCAGATAGTGAGAAGAGCGAACCTGCTCCAGAAGCAGCAACAGTGGAAGAAGCACCGCCCACAGATCTCGTAAATCAAAGTGCATCCATTGAATCTACGCTTCCTACAGAAGACACCGCCGTATTAGAGGAGGATACGGGCGAGGAGGCACCCGCAGAACCTGTTATAGAACACGCGCCAATCACAGAGAGCCCCGTCGCGGAAGAAGCGCACCCAGATATCGACCCAACACAGGAGCAGGGTCAGCCGTCTCCAGGTCCCCCCTCAGGACCTGAATCGAACCTGGACCTAGAGCCTATAGAATCCACAGAGCCTGTCGAGGAGGTGAAACCGCCAGCCGAGCCTGAGCTGTTACCGGAACCGGAACCAATTGCTGAACCAGAGGTCTCCACAGGGGAGGAAGCAGTGCGAGAAACTGAAACTACGATCGAAGCAGAGCCCCCAACAGCTCTGGAGCCAGTTCAAGAACAGTCCATAGCACAGCAAGAGCCGGAGGTTATTTCTGACGCAGTCCCAGCCGACGACAAAGCGGCTGAGAACAGTGCTCAAGCAGAAATCCCAAAAGACGAGATTGTGCTAGTGCCGGAGCCTGAGGCGGTCGAGCTGGTGACAGAGGTCAAAGATGCAGGAGTTCTTGAGCAGCAACCAATACTTGACCCTCCTCTAAACCCACTATCTGATGATATTCCAGCGGGGAAATCAACTGACGCAGGTAAAGACATCGATCAAGCGCCTCCACTACATGCTACAACAGTGTCTCCGATAGTCGGCACATTCGCAGAAGATTCAACGCCCAAGACACGAGACTTTGCAGTAATAGATGAACCTGCATCTGGCGCTCCTGCTAGAGAGAAACATCGACGCCGTCATTCTCATACACAGCGCGACGATAAGCCTCCCTCGCGCCGAAGGCGTGAAAGTGAGGTGAGTATCAAGGAACGGCCGACGTTTCCAGGTATGGCACTGTTCGCTGCTGCGAAGCTCGCAGGTGCGCCTAAGAACAAACGTCATGATAGCATAACGGAGCGCGATTCTACGCGAGGTAAAGATCGGGTTCGTGAGATGGAAAAGACAAGCAGCAGCAGTAGCAAAGAGCGAGCTGACCTTGACCACCGCTCACGTCGCCATCGCGACAGTAGGGGTGACGGCAGGCGCAGCAAGCGCCGAACACTGGAAGAAACAGAAGAAGAAGCAGAGACACGAAAGCGGCGTGAAGCCCGCAGGATTAAGAAGGAGCAAGACGCGGCAGAAGAGGCTGCCAGGTCGCAAGAAAAAGAACAAGCACGCCAACAGGAGCGTCGCGAGCAGCGTCGTGCAGAGAAGAAAGCAGAAAACGAGCGTTTGAGGGCGGAAGAAGATCGACGAAAGCTGGCAGAAGAAGAAAGATCGGCGAGGGAAGAGCAAGAGAAGATCATCCGGCACGAAAGGCGGCGCCTACGACATGAGGCAGAGAAGGAGGCACGACGATTAGGGCTTGAAACAGCCGAGCAAGCTCAACTAGAAAAGAAGAAGGCACGACGATTGGAGCGTGAAATGGCCGAGCAAGCTGACCGAGAGATGGAAGAAGAGAAAAGACTGCGACGGCAACGAAGGGCTGAGCGAGAAAAAGGCAAAGTTTCTACTCCAAAATCTAGGGAACAACCGGTTGAAGTACTTCGCGACGCTGCTCGTCGAGCAGCGGAAGAGTCCAACGAAGATGCTCCTCTGTCTCCGCCCACACCAGCAGATGCAGACTCCCCTCGAAGTGCTCCTCGCAGACGTATGAGCACTCGAGAACCCCCTCCCACTGTGAAGCGAAACAGTCTGTTTGGTGGGATCTCGCTTTTTGGACGCTCCAAGACAGATTCTGCAGTACAGCAATCGAAGTCCATTAAGCCGGTATCTCGCGTGCGTTCCGACCCTGTTAATGTACCCGAGGCCCCTGTTCAGGCATTGAGAAAAGAGAAAGATCGGGCAACGAGCAGCCATCAATCGTCAAACGAGAGTCATGACCGCGCTGAACGACCGCATCGCTCTCGACGTCAATCGAACCATCAACGCCGTCAATTCAATTCAGCCGAAGAGGAAGCGGAATACTATCGCCGGAAAGAAGCCCGTCGATCTGCGCGTGCTCGTGAGTATGACATGTCTGGTGGTCGCGATGGAGGTGTTTCGCTTGCTCCGCCCGTCGATGACCTACCCCCACCGCCTCCCGAGCCTTTCGAACCAGAACCTTATCCAGAACCCGAGCCAACCAGACGCGCACCGTCGCCACCTCTCAATGATGCGGCAGCCGTGGTTGGAGCAGCTTCTACATCCTCCACAGAACGCCGCGAGCGTCGCCGTAGTAGGCGTGCCTCCACTCTCGATGAACGGCCCAAGAGCCGTCGTATCTCAGTCAACGAGAAATCAAGACCTACCGAGCGAGAACGTCCAGTGAGTCGTCGTGTCGAGTCTGATCGCCCGCGTGCGAAAGATCGTGGCGAAGAGCGCCCTAGGGCTAGACGAGGCGAGACTGAATATCGTAGTAGTGGTAGCCACAGGAAGAACAAAGAGGAGAGTGGAGGATTGATGGGGTTGATTGGAGGGCTAGGGAAGCGTTTTTCTTAACTTTGCGATGCATAAGGAGTTCTGTGTAAGGGTAAAGAGATATACGAGATTTTCGGGTTCTTCGCTGAACAACAGGGCGTTTTGGGATTGGGCGGACGCTTTATACCATTGTTATCTCTTTTTTTCCTCTTTCGATGGGTTCGGCGTTCAACATGAGATGGGTGGTCATCTGTACTAGTACGACTGTATGCCCGATGCGGGTGGATTTTGCAATTCTGCCTCACATGGCATGATGGGGTTGAGGTTTCACCTCGGTGGATTTGAGTCTTTCTATACGATTGTAATGAATCATGAATGATATATACACGTATTTAACACCATTTGCATCTCCAACCAAGCGATAATCCCGTTTTTAGACTGACTTGCTCGAAGTGAACACCGCTCTTCATGGTGCTGTTATGATTTATACTATGCACAGCGACCTACTATTCGAGACACGCGCATCAAAAGATATCAGCTGCCTTCTGCAGCCGCCACTCTTACACAATGAGTCTGATACAACGATTAGCTAGTCAAAAAAATGTTTCTAGACGGACTTCACAGATCAGTACAAGACTCTATAGCTAGATAGTACCTAGTCTATGATCAGTTGATATCTAGAGCTCAAAAGTAATTGAGCGCTCCAGAGCTCGACAAATAAGTGAGATTTGATATTTTGATTAAATCTACAGCAAACACGTTCCTTACAAATGCATAATAACCCTTATAGTTACCACATCTACGCCCGATGTGCATTCAGATCCATGATCCCTTGTTGAAAATGAGTAGCTTCACTGTGAAGAGTCGCTTTCATGACCTGTAGAGAGAGCTTTATTGGACGCATCAGCCTTTTCTCTCGCCTCTATTTCGCTCCTCTCCCTCCGGTCGAGAGAGGCCTCAAGATCTTCCAGGGCAAGATCTATCGTATCCGCCAGGTTTCCTTGGTGTATGGGACATTCACGTCCGCTTCCATCTAGGGCATAGATCCTAGATGCGTAGCCCACAGTACTTTTGTCCTTATTATTGATGAAGGCCGAGGTTTCCACTCCAATGGGATAGTCCTTCTCAATGTCTTCGCATACGCGAAACATCTTGTCTATTGTAACAGTAAGCGAAGTTCATTAAAACTGTCTCAATGACTCGAAGCGAGGGAACGGCCCGTACCACTCATCTTTTGAATATACTTCCATTGAGCAGCGGTATATATATGGGTAGACGTATCAATTGACCTGGTAGCCTTGATGCCTTCGTCTGTAGAGTCTTTCACTACACCATCTTCGTTTTCTTCGACACTCTTTTCTGTTTGCTGCATTGTTGTTCCTTCCGGCATTTGTTCGATGTGGCGTGCTGTTGATGCCGTCGCTGAAGGTTATATGTGGTAGTGAATAGCTAAATGTGAATAGGTTTATGTTATCAATGGGAACGAAGGATGCTTGCGCTTTTATAGCCTGGTGATGTCTGTACAGTCACCACATTACCGTCTGTGCTGAGTGATCAGTCTTCCATGCTATATGACTACTATATAAGTCATGGAGATGCCTCATCGCCTACCATATGCCGGCTTAAGCGCAGGGAAAGCAAGCAGGGAAAATTATCGTGCGGCTGAGACTGGCTGCCCATGACGCACGTGGTTACTCTCAAAACGTTGCGTGAGTAATAGTACCATCTAGAAAACCCTCACTTTAGGAGTGAGATCTTCATTCAAGGAAATTAAGAGCGTTGTGTTGCGCTCTAATTATGTCTAGACCGAGCTAATTGAGTCAAGTGTACAGAGATTTAGTCATCGTAATTGTAAATTTCAAAGTCATGGAGATATCCATAGCGTGCCTAGTACGCAAGATTAGTCTACTGCAAGAAATCGAAAGCTCGTGACTTAGCAGGTATCTATTCAATTGAGAGATCTAGCTAATTCATGCTATTAATACGATGGAATACTCTTTCAAGCTCCTATAGGACGTGCTGAGTGCTCTCCTCCCAAGGCATAGAAGGGGGTGCTTTCTTTACCTCTGTATCTTCTACTTTAACTTTATAACACAACTTTTCACCCGCTATCCATTCTTTCCCATAGAGCCTCCCGAACGTCATGTTTCGATTCGCGGGGTTAAGCGCTAAATACTTTCTCAAGAATGAAGGATTTGTTAGTCATGGTTTTTGGCTGTGCATTTGACGAGAATCATGTATCGAAGATGATGGTACCGAAATTGCGAGAAATCTATCTGTTAAGCAGCACGAAATACTTAGAGTCATACCCGAAGACTCTAAAAGTGGTCGCTATACGTGCGCTCAGTCGATTGACTCCCTATATAAACATAATGCCTTGGCTATCACTGCTATTACTTCGTCACGATCCCGAGTAATAGTGCAGGATCGCATGCTGCCACCACCACGATCGATTCATCTATATGGTTGCGCATGTTGCGGGACCGTGGCCGTGAAGCTTACCAGAGAGTGATCTGCACTGACTCAGGATCTTGATCGCCTTGTCGTAACCCATGGGTTTTGCATTTATCACACAAATTAGGCTCATTAGTGTCAACGTACCTGAAATCATCTCCCTCAAAGGAGAGTACTCACGCATCTTGGTACGAGGTTTTTCTATTTGGTTGCATTGCGCGTGGCACAGCCAATGCGAGGTCGATAACAGTGATACCCACGATCTACATAGTACAAGTCGTGGTTAGGTGAGAAACGTCATTGAGCAGTAGGACATTGAATTGCAAGGCTGTCATGGCATTCTCGAGCACTTACAGTCTCCAACCCCAATGTTCCGGATCTGTGGAACTGAAGAGGACCAGTATGAGATATTGTTCATAGTGAGCGCGCAACCTTTATCGTCTACATACAATAGGATGACGTGTCAACACAGCGATCCCGGCTGCCATTTGGGCAATAAGTAGATGACACCGCGCGAAGATACGACATCTACTTGAAGAATTTATCTTACAGGACGCAAAGCCCCGACGAATCTCCAATAAGAGACAGCAATGAAAGTACCTTTCTCAAAGGTTTAAGCTCCTTCTCTCTTTCCCTCAGCTCCACCCCCCTGGAGCAGGGCTCTCGTGCATCAATTCAACATATCCCGCTGTTTCAAGATCGATTGAGATCAGCTAGAGGAGTGCTTCTTCCTGCGGGTGCGTTGAGGAAGATCTTCTCAAGCCGTCGCGGTGGTTGGACAGATCAAAGTGTCAAGAACGGCAAGGTCATCAACCTGTGACTTGTCCCTTTGTTTTGTAGTCGAGTCCGTACTGAGGGGTTACATCAGTGATTTATGAGAAAGCTCGTCGTAGAGGTAGACCACGTGCAACGCGATAGCCTAGATAGTAGTGCGCAAATTCTTAGTTAGACACTGAGAGTATGTCATCGTCGAATGCTATTGCCTTGCCAAGGAACGGGCACGCAATATCTGCTGAAAGTGGGAAGAGAAGGGCTACCTATTCCCATCAAAAGCGGCGTGCCAAGATGTCACGTCGCACTTCTCGTGGCGCTTACGCGACACGAACGCCCTCGAATTTCCGCACTACACCCTATCGCCTCCATCTCCGTCCGTCCCAAAACACCACCCTCCAACTTTATCGCGTGGTAGCGTGGCAAACGTCGTATCGCAAAATTTCTGCACATTCAAGAACTCAGGTCTGCTCAGTCATCGGGGTTTCAATAAACAGGAGGGCAGTGCAATCGATTTATCCTGATAAGGCATCCAACGTGCCCTTGCAGCCTATGCCGGCCCACTAATTTAACCCCAGCCGCAAGGGCCAAAGATAGACCATCAAATTCTGCTAAACGTCTAGACCGACTCGCCTAGGCCCAAAGGAAGCATGAGTCGACTTGCGATCGCGCTTCGATTGGCTGCATGTCGCGGACCATCGATCTCTGCAAGGCTAACATCAAGGGGAAAGCGAGATGTGACTCTGAACGACCGGTGAACAAGCCGTCGTCCTTCGCCGTTTAGAGACGGAACGATGCCGTGCTTGGGAGAGATTATAATAACTTCGTTGCCCTGAGGTCGATCGCCAACACACTTCAAGTCTTATCTTCGCATTGCAACCTTACGATCGTTGTGCGCAGAGCACGCGCTCCAATGGCTCCACGACTAGCTCTCTCAGCTTGCCTTTTCGGTATTGCGACTGCACAGGCGGCGACTTCGGCCTTCTGGACTTATACTTCGAGATTTGCGGATCAAGTCTCGCCGAGCCCATACACAAGATATAATGGAGCTGTGACGACGTACATGTCCACGATGCACCGGACGGTAAAGAGCACAGTCACCCCTACTGCTACGCCTACATCGACATCGACATACTATCAGTCATACAACAACGTGCAAGGGGTGTACATGTACTACGCCACTGGCGCGGTTGCTGAGTCCGATCTCATGCCAGAACGGACGTATGACTACTCCGCAACTACGATGAGTACGCCGAGTGCGACGACAAGTACCTACATCTACTTCTCTATGCCAGTCATCATGACAGCGCCGGCGTCGTGCCCCACACCATTCACAATCACGACTACAGCCTCCATATCCGTTCCCTCAGAAGTCACCGGGCAGGTGACTCCAACATCGATTAAGGATGGCACTACCTCCACAGGTATATATGGCAATGTCTACTATATTCAAACTTGGTACCTCTCGGATGGGGCAGCACCGTTTAAGACTACTGCAGACTACTACTACCGGTCTTACGTCGCATCTTGCAGCACACCCCCAACTGAATACACAGGGAGAACCCGCACCGCACCTTCGACAACATACACAGGAAGCCCCCGCAGCGGTGGCTCCGGCAATAATGGTTCAACGAGATCTTCTCGCAACCGGTACTGCTACTACTCCTCCTACTATTGCGGCACGCCTCTGGTCATATGGATTATCGTCATCGCATCCGTGATCCCCAGTTTATTTCTCTTGGGCTTCCTCGAGAGCTGGTTCTGGTTCCGCCGGCTTATGCTGGGCAAGAGTGCTATGCGTTTTGGCACCATCTGCTGGGTTATCATCTCACTCTGGGTCTTGTGCTTCACGCGCATGCAGGACCGTAGGAGCCCCGAGGATCGGAAAGTTTTAGCAGAGAAATGGAAGACTATGAGTTCCGGTGCAGCTTTCAAGGCGTGGTGGAAGTGGGGATTCCGTCACGCATATCCAGTCGAGCATTTGGGTCAGTTCTCTCGACAAACTGTCGGTATCGTTCCAGCTGGTCAACCACTGCATCCTGCGATGGCACAAGCACCGTTTGGCTTCCCTCCTGGCGGTCCTGGTGCTCCTCCACCAGGCGCCCTCCAACCCGTCCCAGGACAGCCGGGGCAGGTCTTTTACTATGGACCCCCGCCTCCAGGCTGGGTTCAAGCACCCAACGGCGGCTTCGTGCCTCCGCAAGGCTACACTTTCCCACCTCCCGACCAAGCAGCAGGCTACTACGGTGACGTGATGAAGGATGGAAGTGTCGTCAATTCCCCACCTGGGCCACCACAACAACCTGCCTACCCAATGCCTCCTCAAGCCCCACAACCTGTGTATACACAGCCAAACGTAGCACAGACGCCCGCTGTTTCTCCACTTCCACACGCTTCGTTACCACCACTTCCTCCACGACCGCAGGCACCCGTGTCTCCAGTAAGTGAAGTCTCGAGTTTGCAGAAACCTCAAGCACTGAACAACCCGCCGAATCCCCTGCCGCTAAAGAATGATCCTAATGATCGGAGTCTATATGAGTGAGTGCAGAGGGAATGTGATATAATGTTTGTCAATGAAGATGAAAGAGAGAACGGAGGTGGATGAAGCAGTCTCGAACCCATAGGTTCTTTTCAGGCGTTTAGCATGCAGATACCCGATCCTGGTGTTTATTTCCCGTCGGTACAGGTAATACAATGTCTAATATGAATAACATGACCAAGATCCTTTACTCCCTACGCTTTTTTCCTAATCTTCGGTGCAAATTTGTTACAATATGAAACTCGACCTCGTCTTGCTTGGAGCACTCTCGGCCCGCGATGTGTCCCAAAGCTTTGAGCTTGACGACCAGATATTATTCTTCACACCTATTTCCTCTTGAAAAGTGCCTTCCTGGTGTTATGCTATGCACAGGTGAAGGCTCTTTCGCTTTATTACAAGTTCAATTCCATACGGCCCATACACCGTCTCATCTTTATCCTGATATTCCCAGAGCTGGAGCAGAAACTTTAGATTCCTTTTCAGATCCAACATTGTAGCACATAATTGTTGTTTCATGAGGTATTTGATTCCCGCCCGATCGTATGGGTTGCGCATGCAGGAGCCGACAATCAGACTAGGCCACGTTAGTGTGGTTTGAAGTGGGTGTGTTAACGGGATCTTTGCAACAAGTCGTAGCGCAGTCGCTACGCAAGCGTCTACCTTGGCGTAGATATCTGGCGTGGGGGGATTAGGGCCATTGAAGGTTGTGTAGAGGAAGATGAGAAGCGTTTGCTGGTAGATTTCACCCGCCAACTGATATGGATCTAGGGCTGTGTCCTGACCTGTTGATGGCTGCCCAAATGGAGTGTAAGTCCAGGAAAGTATCTCGCTCTCGTACTTTCTTAGGTTGATGTCGCGCTGGTTGACGTTCTGATGTTGGCCAAAGTAGCGGGCTGACCTGGCTATGGGCATAATAAGGCCCCAGAGACCATGTGCGGAACCAAACAAGACACCGTAGATGTCATTGCCTCGATTGAGAGAAGAAAGAGCGGCAGATGAGAGAAAAGAGTCTTCGGGGATATGGCGGTTTACTGGTAGGTCCGTGTGCAAGGTAATGGTAGTAGAGATTGCAAAGTATGCATAGAACTCAGTAAGCAAGTCGAGTAAAGATTGGTCGACCTGGTCAGCGCGGCAATCTCTTAGCTCGATTAGGAGTACGCGGCTCGCTCGGAGATGATAGAAGAAATGCCCTTCAGTGTTGCAAATCAAAATCTGTACCATGACTTGTTAGCGAGGACATCAAGATTAGTGGCGAGCCATCAAGTGGAACGAGCAGACCATCGTACCTCAAAGTAGCAGAGTAATAGTGTAGTAGTCAACAGTCCGACGAGCTCGGTGGTAGTCAATGAGCGCCAAGTAAGGAGAGCATGCTTAACACTACGAAGGCTAGCCATGTAGTGAGAGCGTGCATTATATTCGAATTGATTGGATCTGAAACAAAGCTGGGCCCCGCTAAGAGCTAGAATGCACTGTACAACTCGTGCATCTTGGTACGCCACTGGGAGTAGGTGGCTAAGGAACGCGTTCCGAGGCGCCAATCGCCCTGCTAGTTGTACCGCTGTGACCCCAACGTAATGGTCAAAAAGATGCCAATCGGAAGCTCTTCGTATACCGGGCATGAATCCAAGTGGGTGGGGAACACTGTTTTGATCGCATGCAATTATGACCTCTGGTAGCACTGTATGGGGCGTAGTAGCGCGCAATATGGGTCGATCAACAGCAGCATTTCTGGCCGTAGAGCCTACTTGCCCTCTAATCCGAGACAAAGACACTTCCTTCGCTGTTTTATCATTGGATGGCCAGTTGCATATAAGTTTGTTCTGCCTGCAACCGACACAATTCGGTTTCTCCTCGTTACATTTCTTACGTCGCATCCGACAGGTGAGACATCCTGTTGTTGTCCTTCGCCGATATGGGATCGACACAGCGGTGGCAGTCTGCTTTGAGGGCTCCATTCTGTAGCATTTAGGTTCGGCGAGGTAAGTAATAGGGCGCACGAGCAGTGAGATGCATATTCGAAGTTTTACCCCACGTCGAGAGTGAATTTCATGCGTCTTACGCCGAGCAATCCTTATCGTGGAGCGCGCTTATCTTAGCGCATCCTTAAAGTCCTGGAGAGGTATCCACTTGGTATCTTAGTGTACCGATAGACTATCTTCAATTTGACAAAGATGTTCGTTATCATTTGCTTTCATTGATAGAGCTTTCAGAAAGAGCAAAAGATCAGTATTCTAACCTTTCATTAGATAGCAGATGAGGAGAAGGAAGGCGTAAAGAATAGAAAACTTCAAAGGTGTGCCTTACTAACTATAAATTTTCAAAGCTTTGAATCTGCATTCAACACGCTAGCATAACCGTTCATATAACCATCCCGCCCCAAGGGGGACCACCCTGGTGCTAGCCAGTCCCCGATCCAAATCGATTAGCCATCGCCTTGGCTTCGCCCCTACTAATGCTGAGCTGCGCAAAGAAGAAAACCTCTACTAACATTCTCTGAGTACTAGTCCCGTACAGTTCCTCATCAGTACATCTTTCACAAAACATCGAGTAACATAGCACTCGTGTCGACATGTACCTATAACGTCTGTGTAACCTGGATATTGCAACAGGAATCAATCAGCCGAATACCAAAGCCCTCACTTCGATACTCTCCCGGCCCACGGCGCCTTCAGGCGTGTTTGGGTTCTCAAACGCTGTATGCGGCACGCGTCCCCAAGCCCCTACGCTCTCATCGCTGTCGAAGCACTTGAGCAAAAGGCGATCTTCGTTCTTCATACCGGACCAGTAGTACCACTTCTGGCTTGGGTTATATTGAACGGAAGCAGTCTGCCCGTTTCGATCTGGGTACCGATGCTCGATCGGAATCAAATCCTCGTCCTGTACCGTTTGGCTGTCTGCCACCGCCAGAGGGAACGCCATTACAGGCCCATTAAGAGGGCGCCAGACATTGATTATGCGGTAGCGCCCCTTCAACAGTTCTTCGGCCTCGTTTGGTAGGTGGGACTTCACACGCTCAGCGGCGCTAAAGGGCGTTTGGTCGATATGCACTCTCGTCACGGGGTTTCTGTTTCCGGTGGGTCGGCGAATGGTGTGGTCGAACAGCAATACCCTCTTCGCGCCCTGGACGTTGTCAAGCAACAGTTTCTCCACCTCTGGATAATACACCCTCTTTATTCTTTCATCGTCCTTGAACTCGCGCTCCTCGCTCGGCACATTTTGGAATGTATCGAAAGCGTTATCGTCTAGCGAGAACTTATGCTCCAGCCCACGCAAATCTTGTAACTCTACATTCTGCCAGTTGTCCCCCCAGTTCCTCTGTGGGACACCTGGCAAGGGCTCAACGTAATTGTGTGGTGGCGTGCCGTCTTCGGGAGCTTTGTAGAAGGACAGTGATGCGGTGACCGAGCCGCGGGGAATGGGGAGTCCTTGGAAATTTACATCGTCGGAAGTCGTATGTGAGGACGAGGAAGTTGGGTTCGAGAGGTGGTGTGCGGGTGTAGGGAGATATGCGGTGGTCGTCATTGTGTTAGACTTTGCACACGCCTGGAGGGAGTGTATTGGTGTTTGAAACGTAGATATGGCGGCTGGTACTGGGAATGGTTTCTTGCTAGGTCAAGTGCAGTAAATGTGAGTAGTTGGAGTATGGAATAGAATGCTAGAGGACAGTCAAGACTCTTATAACCTTGAGTGATTAGCAATGTATCAAGGCGTTTGTTTGTTTGATTGCCAATGGTGGTGTTCATCATCTACGGACGTGGTGGCGATGATGCCATAACCGTTATTTCCGACCGAGGTTAGTAATGCCGTTGCCCAATGAGCGACCACCAGCTTACAAAACAGACAGATTGCGTGATGCTGGCAGGGCGTGAAGTGTCGTGCAACTGCATATTGAGCTGGTTTGTAATAGTTCGATTAGTATGAAACTGTCACTTCGGGGAAGACTTGAGTTATAGTATCGGACATGGCGTGGATATGGTTCGGGAGGGGTGACGTCATACCTCGGTTCGATCTGTGGACCTTTGCACAACAGCTTTTGCGGGGTAGGCGAAAAACACATAATATTTACTGCTGGAATGTACGGTTCCTTGGACAGAGCCACGTCAGAGAGTTGTTGGTAAGAAGCTCTATCTATGGCTTCCCACTCATCTCCTACACGATTGCAGGTGGAGCAACTCGGTGTAGCGCCAGAGATAGCTGCCGTAGTGTTATCTCAAAATAATGAAGCATCGCTATCGCTCTCATCTCGTAACTAAATTCTCGACTCTTTAGTCAATGGTATGCCTTTCATGAGATATCGTATCTTTGGTTGTTCACTTCGTGTTCGGTATTGAACACGCCTTTTCTATTCTTTCATTTTAATCTCTGCGGCGCAAACAGACGCTTCAACCTCTTTCCATGTCCCTCAGCAGTGGAATTTCCCCGGCCGGTAATCATTTCGGGTAGCATATTCGGTATTCCCGGAACGACACCTCCAATGTTCAAGAGATTCTCGGGCGATAACAAGCTTGGAGTTTCTTCTATGGCTATGTCCACCATGTAGTATCGGATACCTGCATGAGGTCTCGCCTGGACGTTTATGCGAAATCGGTCTGGCCCCATATCGAACCATGATCCCAGGGCCTGCAGATGAAAATGGTTTTCTAGCTCATTGAAAGCTTTCTCTGAAAAACTTTTGGGGTTTTCTGAACCTGTATACAATATGCGTCTTGATCCGCGAAATGAGTCGATCAAGTCGTCCGGAATGACGTGGACGCCGACCCCAAAGCCTGCCTTTGAGCCAAGCATAACTAGGACAGCAGTTCCATCTGGTCTACCAAAGACTATCACGCCAGCTAATTGAGTAGTGCCTCTTGGTATCTCAAACGCCTTCAAAGGAATTCCTTCAGGGGCCGAAGTAGGCAGCGGCTTCATATCTTTGCTTAGTGGATGTGTCAATAGCTCGACGAGCTGGTAGCCGCGGTCAGAGAGCTTATTGGGGGTATCCGCACCCCTAGAGAAGACTTCGGCCTTGCGCAGTTGGAAGGCATAATGAAGATACACGTCGTCAAATCCTGGTATGTGGGGCAGCTGTCGGACGTAGATCGTTTGTGGAGGGCCCTGCTGAGGGATTTTGCACAATCTGTCAGCCTTGATGCGGGCGTATTGTTGGCTTGGCCTGTCGAGAAGCTTGAGGTATATGGCTAACGTCTGGTCGTAAGCTGGAGGAACGGGACATTCTAGCGAGCCGATCCAGACATCGCCGTGGAGGCGTTGCATGCCGAGAGTGATACACAATCCTCTACTCGTTGTTGAATGCGGCACTCGTGCACCACGGTCGTAGTCAGGAATGTAGCCGCTTGAGTTGCGAAAGTCTTTTGGCGATTTCGCAAGTAGCCCTTGAAGCTCTGGCTGCGGTTCCTCGGTGCTGGTCCATGCAAAAAGCGTCTCATCATCCGAGTCTTTCATGATCTCCTCTTGCAGCCTTCTAAACGCCCTCTCCCCACCTTCTCCGTATAGCATGGCCATATTCACGTTAAAAAGACCCATCAGACAATATGCGATATCCTCCTGTCGCGTTGTAACACGAGTCGAAGCCCACGACATGCGTTTGGCCACGCTCACATATCTTAAGTCTCGTAAGCCGGTCAAGATGCCTTCGTCAATCCTAGTAATGTTCGAAATAACGCCTGCCAGTACTGATCGCGTTCCTAACTGCGCCCAGCCCTGGGAGTAGAAGATGACGGTTTTCGGTGCGATCAGCTCTTGCAGGGTCCAGCCTCGTTTGAACCATTTGCTTCGCGCGAATAGCTTGCTTGTCTGCGGATCCTCCCCTGTCGGCACGTCGGCCATGAATGCATAGCAAGTCTCTGCCTCCTGGTACCAGATGAACATGGAGTTGATGGATTCCGAGAGCTCGGCGCTGCTCTCTTTGTCGATACAAAAGTTGTCAATCCAGACATAGTCAATATCGTCCGCCTCAGCTTGCGCACACGTATTCTTTAACTTCTCATAGCTTTCTTGCTTGGAACTCTCTCTGCCTTCTTCCATATCCCGGAATGTTATCTCAGTCCCCGTTGGACCCCATGTGTGTGATAGTATCGCATAGCGCGGATACGGTCTGTCGGGAAAGTACTCGAGCTTCCCAGTCTTCCGATTCAATAAGCGCATGTTGATTCTCAACACGGTCAAGTTCTGCTGTTAGAAATAAAAAGAAATCGCAGTCCTAGGAGTCGCACCTGCGGATAATAGCACTCAGCACTCCATAGCCCTCAACTTGAGGGTTGGGGCTGACATGGTTGCCTTGAGCGTCAGGCAGTGGAGATGAGTGTAGGGGACCTTACTGGACAACGCTTCACACTAGCCTTACGATTGACGTGCAGACTCGATGAGTCTCGGATGCAACTCCGCATCTGTGGCGTATGTTTAATAAAAGATTCTTCCTTGGCAAGATACAGCCATTGGATTTAATACCTATCTCATCATTCGTCCGACTGCCTTCCAGAACGGCCCCCACAAGGCACTCTAGTCCAGGGTGGTTCGCTGTGTAACATTCCATAGCCTCAGTCGCCGGGCGGAGTAAGCTGAAACAACCTTACCTGGGGGCCACATTCATCATGCAGCAATCTCTATCATGTGGTGTTCGTTGGAAGAGAACAGCCATATATTAATAAAATCTCCTGCGAATTGTTTACGACAGATTCTTCGTCGGAGCTCCCTTTATCCCGCCCCATTCGTTTTTCTCTTTAAATCAAGGGCATAAAGCTTTGCGCGTCAACCATGCCGGCCGGCGACGCGACAAGCACTATGAACAATGACGACATAATTGCGCCGGTCAATAAGACCAAGATCATGAGTGTTGAGGACGAGACGCCACCTGCGGCAGCAACCCTCGACGAGCCCTTTAAGTAAGTTCCCAAGAGACGCAACGCCATCAAGCTTTGCTCACACAAACGCCAGAAATATAGAGTCTGTTGATACGAACAAACTCCATGCTGGCGATACCCAGCCTCAATCCAGCGATGTAAATCCCACGCCCACAACAAAACTCCAGCCCCGCGATACCCAATCTCAATACCCAGTAGTAGGAGAAAAGATGGTCATGGTAACGCCCCTTAAGCGTCTTGGCGAAGAACCCGCCTTCATCGACTGCCCACACTGCGAAAAGCGCACAAAAACGAAGGTCGAAAAGGTTGACTCTAGTCAAACTAGGTGCGTCTTAACTTGCTCATTCGCTATTATATCCTCTAACTGGATGTCAGTCTAGCCGCGGCCTTCTGTTGCCTTTGTTGCGGCGTCATTACAGTATTCATTCCTTTCCTTTGCCACTGGTGCGCAGACATCGACCATCGCTGCTATGAGTGTGGGAAACAGGTGGCTCACAGGCCACATGACGGACAGATGCAGGAGATGTTACCCCAAGAACCTGTTCAGAAGCCATCCATGTACATTGACAAGAAGTAAAGTACGGCTAAACTCCGAGTGCGTTCATAACGACTAGCTCTTAGTACCTGAAAAGCACATGCCTAAAGAGATTAATGACGGCTATCGCAATATAACAGTACTTGGAAACCATGTAACGTAGAATACAATTATTGGGTGTTGCTTATCGACCGCAAACAAATCCTTGGGTAACCTGCCAAACACCAGGCTGTATCTCATATAAGGTTGACTGGCAACGTATGCTTCCTTCTTGATCTCTACTCCTCCGTTGTGCTGTATCAGCTGGTCATCGCCTTACTGCTTTACAATTTATATAGAAGAAAACAAATATATGCAACCTGGGATCTTCTATACAATCTTGTGTATCAGATCAACAAAAAGAATCCGAGACGACTTGACTAAAATCCGACACCTAAGCGAGTAAGGTAAGGAACGGCGCGACGTCGTTATTACTCAATCCAAACTCTCCTCCAAAAAGCCCTCCAGCTCCTGTGGAGCAAGCGTCAGTCGTCGAAACATACTTGCGCCGCGACCTTTGCCTTTTTTCCACTGCATGTCCACGGTTCCAGGTCGCCTAACTATCCACCGAGCTACGCCACCACCGAAAGAGGCTTGGAGCTTCACGCCCGTCTTCTGCGCGATCCGGGAGGCGAAGATAAAGCTGTTGACACCTTGAAGCTGAGGTTGAAGTTCGTGGACGGTGCCAATGTCAAGCTTGATGAGTATCTCGTGCGATACATCGTCATCTTCGCCATCACTGTGCTCGGTCTGGTCCTCTCTGCCGATGGAAGTGATGTGGATTCCCTCAATTCCAGCAGTCTGGCGGGTATTGCCAGTCCAATCGGCGAAAGTCTCGTCCATGTCTTTTACGATCTTCAGCTCGTCAAAGTGGTGTTCGTCGGTCGGAGGGGTTAGGTAGTCGAGTATAACATTTACAGTTGTCGGAGTAAGTTGGAGGTGAAGGTCCGGGTTGGCGTGTTTGACCTTCAGTAAATTCAAGACTTCGACTCCGCGCCCAGGAAGTGGTGCGCCGCGAAAGATGGGCTCAATCCACCCGGCGCGCTTGCCATCTTGATCTAGACGATGAAAGGTCTCGACGTAGTGGTTGAGCGTGGCAAGTGGAGTGCGCACTCGTCGCTTATTCAGCAACCACGGGGTGAACTCGTTGCGGATCTGCTGACAACTTTGAGTGAAGCCCCAATACGAGTGAGCAAAGTTGGTCATTGATGTGATGCCACGGACGGAACGACGGGGTACACCATTAGGGTAATGAATTACATTGAAAGTCTTCTCCTCTTCGTTCAACATGGCGTATTCGTAGATTTTGTTGCGGATCTCACCCGGTATATCTGTCCATGGTGTGTTCTGGCTACCAAGCACCTTAGGTGGGTAGTGGCGATTGTGCGATCGGGGGAAGGGTCTATCATCGGACTCGCTACCGCTATCACTCGAGCTTTCCTCTTCTTCTAGGCTCCATCCATGCCACGGTTGTAGCTGCTTCACCTCGGCAAGAAGCTTATGTCTGCGCTTCTTTGGTGAAGGTATCTTCGCCCTAGGCTTTGTGATACGTGCACCCTGGACGCGGAGCCGGTCACTCAAAGTGGGAGCCTTAGGCTTTTCTCTACATGCCCTACGGGTATACTCGCCCTCGCTATCGGAGACGTCAACAACCTTGTTAATGTTCTCGCAGGTCCTACGAGTCCGCGAACGCAACACTGGCGACTTGTTGTAGTCCGCTAGGTTAGCTAACTCTGCATCAAGTCTAGCCTTCCTCGTGGGAGCCCGGCTTGACCGATTTGCTATCTTATGAGTGCGCCCTGGGGTCTTGTTTGCGCTATGGTAGTCGCTGTCCTCGTCGTGAGAAGGGGATCGCCTTTGTCGACGGGTGCACGAGCGAAGCGTTCGGCTCGTCCGAGGATGAGTCACTGGCTGCCTCTGATTCTTGGGCTTAAGCGTAAGCTCATCTTCCGAGGTGTCCTCGGAGACAACGAAGTCCGTGTCATGTTCAACCGAGGTCACGGGAGAGGAGGGGGAGTCGTCAGGAGAAGTGCTCCGCGCTTTCGTTCGCTTGGGTTGAGAACCGTAGGCCGAGTCGGAGTCGTAAAGTTTGCAAACATCTTCGAGGTCGCGCTTGCGTTTGATCCTCATGGCGATAATGACAGCGCTGAGTTCAACCTAGCGAACAGTGAGAAGGTACTAGCACAATGTGAAATGAGTGGTTGAGCGTTGAGGTGTGGGTATGGCAGCTGCTATGGTGGGAGTGATTTCGGGAAATCTTGGTGATGCCCGCAACAGCTGGGTGCCTGGCGCCAATAGGAACCTCGAATCGGTGAAGTGAAACGCACGTGCAGCCTCAACATCGACTTTCACCGAGGGGAACATATGAAGTTGTGTTCTCATAGCCCAGACATTAGAAGTGAATTCATTCATAGGATTAAGAGATGGGAGCTATTGGCAGTGTGCGGCATGGCACTTGAGTAGACATTGTGCGCATACATGTGGTAGCGAACACGCCAACCATGGAAATAAGAATTGGTATGAAAACGCTACATCTGAACGCCAGATGGGTGAATTTGTTTCGTTGAATGCCCAATCAACACCTGTTGTGTACTGAAATTCGACCTCGGAGATAACGACCTGGATGAAAGTCAGAAGTAAATTCAGAGAGAGACAGAAAAGACGACGCATGCACTTCAAGTTTATTTCTTTTTCTAAGATAATAAGAGGCCTTAAGATCCGAGATTCTATTACAGATAAAGACACAATAAAGGGTCTTGCTCAGCGAGAATCATACCCCTTGGCATACAAGGACTAATAGCGAAGTCGGAATCATTATTGTGGACGTTATTCTTAGCCTCTGAGAAGCTACTCTACTTGGGGACAATGATGAAGTGATAATTGAAGACTTCGTGGAGCAGAGAATCAGACTTATAATAATGCAAACATTCATGAGAATCTCTAGACTCCTGTTGGATACCTAGGTGTTGCGCTATATGCCGGCCACGCTTTCTTTAGCTGATGACGTCAACGTTCAAAGTCTCGCTTTCGCACTGATAAAACACCAACCCGCATCTTCCACCATATTGCTGCCATCGCATGAGGTACCATGCACATCTGTTGTCATCTTGACATCTCTACGCTACGGCCGCAGTTTTCGTCTTCCAGACGTCTCAACACGATAATTTCGCCATTCGGTGATTAGTATGCACGCCGCCGCTAGGCTGATTACTATACACGGCAGGAAACCTCTGAAACCACATGTTAACCACAGCTTCTTCAAATCAGGGCCCGGTCGAAGGTTTAGTGATCTCCCGCGGCTGCGGAACTTCATGCGAGATTTCTCCGATTTCTCTACTTGTTGCATGCGGTACACTTGAGGTTGCTATTGCGAGACTTGGTCAGAAAAGAGCGCGATCCGAGCAACTTATAGGCTAGTAGAATGTATATAAGGCTTGGCTCGCTCCAAATCTCCTTTACTGTTGAATGTTCAGCACCCTAATCGCTCTGCCTCGTATTTTTGTGGTACATTTACAGTTAATCATGAATATCTTCAACAACCATACGCGAGATGAAGAGGTTGTAAGTGACGCAGAGAAGGGCGACATAAATGAAGAAAATACTGGATCAGAGTATGAACTCGAAGGTCGACTTCCAGCTACAAAGATACGATCCTCAGAGGGAATTCCTAGTATCAGGGAGCAAGACATGAGTGATGCGACACCACAGCAAAAGGTCAATGCGACAGACTGGAATGGAATTAATGATCCAGACAACCCGCATAATTGGCCCATGTCACAGCGTGTATACCACACTGTGATACCCTCCCTCTTCGGATTCGCAGTGTAAGCCACCAGAACGTCCTACAAAGCTGTCACTCACAGCCTACACAGTACATTCGGCACATCAGTATATACACCCGCTCTCGCCGATATCATGCACGAATTCAAAGTTTCACGTACGATAGCACTTCTTGGTCTCGCCATCTACACATTAGGCATCGGTGTCGGGCCTATCATCACGGCACCTCTGAGCGAAGGCCACGGCCGCAAAGTCGTATATATGATATCCTCTCCGATCTTTATGCTCTTCACAATGGGTGCGGGGCTCTCGAATACCTTCGCAGGTTTTTGCGTGTGTCGCTTCTTCGCGGGTCTATCAGGGAGCCCAGCGCTTGCGGTGGGCGCGGGGACAAATGCAGACTTGTTCCCGCCGCAGCAACGGGCTGTCGCTGCAAGCTTGTTTTTGATGGCGCCTTTTGCAGGGCCTTCGCTGGGGTGAGTAGGCTGGTACGAGATGTGGCTTACGTACTAACGGAAACAGTCCCATCGTTGGAGGATTCGTCGCACAGTATAAGGGTTGGCGCTGGACGCAATGGTGCATGCTTTTCATCACCCTCGTCATCTTTATTGGTGCTCTTCCCATGAAGGAGACGTATAAACCCATCATTCTGAAGAAAAGGGCGAAAATGTTAGGTTATCACATCAAGCCAAGCGCTGAAGGTCCGAGTCTAAAGCGTACGATCATCCTAAAATATGCTCGACCGATGCATATGCTATTCACTGAGGTACGTACTTGTTTCCACATAAAGCTCTTCCAGAGCAGACAAGCTAACCACACACAGCCCACAGTGTTCTTCTTCTCTCTTTACACATCATTCGCTTTTGGGGTGCTGTTCCTGTTCTTCGCCGCCTTCCCATACATATTCTCACGCCCACCATACTCCATGACAGTTTCTCAAATCGGCCTGACGTTCATTGCCATCGGAATCGGTGTTTTGTTAGGTGGTATAACATGTGTCATCATCGATCGAAAATACTATCAGAAGAAGCATCAAGAGGCATTGTCCGAAGGTAGGTCACATGCAGATCCAGAGCATCGACTGTACAGTGCTATGATTGGTAGCTGGGGCATTTTTATCGGACTATTCTGGTTTGGGTGGTGCGCTGAAAAAGGCGTACACTGGGCCGCTACTTTACTAGGTGCCATACCATTCGCGTGGGGTAACCTCTGTCTCTTTGTAAGTTTGCATCGCTTCCCGTCCATGTGAGTACCTAAGCGAATTGACGGAACAGACATCTGCGGTGCTCTACCTGGTGGATGTTTACGGCCCACTTAATGGCTCCTCTGCTATGGCGGCAAATGGCGTTTCGAGGTACGGCCTAGGGGCTGTATTTCCACTGTTCACTTTTCAAAGTAAGTGTGTTGGTTGCAGTTCTGGTCTGCTAGAGAGAGAAGATGTTAGACTAACCGGCATGATAGTGTACGAGACTCTCGGCATCGGCTGGGCAACGTCACTCCTTGGCTTCCTCTCGCTCGTCATGATTCCGATTCCGTATCTATTCTTTAAAAGGGGCACTGCGATCCGGGCGAGAAGCAAATATCCCGTCGCTACGTGAGACAATATCCCATAACATACGAGATAGAATAAATTCAGTATATATATGCCGCTACTCACAATCGTGAAAACCTCGCTATGCCACTCCAAAACGCCCATTGCTAAGGCTGCCCGTAATCAACAAAAGACTAGCCCAAGACCTCGACCATAGCGCCTCGCCATTTCTCACCCCACCTCCTCATAGCGAAAATTGCAAGACAACCCGTAACAAGACTCCACAGCCCTATTATTGTCATGAACCAGCCATTACCAATGCCATCCAGTATCGGATCTGCCACAACGGCGCCAGTGAAGGAGAAAATGTTGCGCACAAAATTATTCAGCGCGATGCCGCTCGCAGCCCTCTTGGGCATGAACTCTGTCAACATAGTATTCACGAGCGCAAAAACCAGCATACTCCCTATACCGAAGAAGAAGTTGGAGATCATAGGGACGATCCAATGTACGCCCTTTTCCGCCGTCCAACCATACACAATGAGGGCGGAGGGCCATAGGATAGCAGCAAGCCAGGCGTTTTCGCGCATGCGGTCTTCTGGGCGGAATATGAGCTTGCCGCGGTCGTCGTAGCGGCCTGCTTTGCGGGCTTCGCGGTGCATAATGGCGTCGATCCAGCGGCCGCCGAAGAGGCTGCCCAGGATATAACCTGCCGAGTTGGGGATATAGAGGAGGCCGATGATGAGCGTACTGAATTTGTAGGGTGCGGCGGAGAAGGTGGATTGGATGGAGATGTTGAGGATGTATAGGCAGCCAAATGTGATGCTAGCCGAGTATACGGTTAGGAGGACAAGCGGGAAGCGCAGCCATGTTACTATGATGAGGGGGTCCAGGAAGATTTGTCGCAGGTGCGCGAGGACCGTTTTTGTTTTCTGGACAGTCGAAGCTCGAGTCGTCGTTCGGCGCAGTGCCGCTTCGCCGGTCTTCTCAGCACCTTGCTCTTCTTGGTCCTCGAGTCGCGACACCGGCGAAGCGTTGCTCTTGTCCTTCCTATGCAGCGTCTCTGGCAGCGCAAAGATGAGGAAGATTAGCGTTGCGCCGCCGTAGATGACGAGGAACCACTGCGTACTTCTCCACCCCAGTCCAGCGCCCAACGCGCCACCAAAGATCGGCGCAAACAGAGGCCCACAAAGCGGACCCAGATAGAAGAGGCCCATTGCCTTTCCCCTCTCCTTCGTTTCCCAGATATCTGCTATTGTCCCTGCGCCAACGGCTTGTACGGATGCTGCTGCGCCACCAGACAGTGTGCGGACGACAATCAGCATGGCGATATTTGTTGAGACAGCAGAGAGAATGGCGAACAGGACGAAGAGGATAAAACTCGTGATATAAATAGTCCTCCGCCCCAATCTCTCTGAAAAGCTACTCCACCATAGCGGGAATATCGACATGCTGAGCATATATACAGCAACAGACATGTTCGTCACAGTGTGTGTGGCCTTGAAAGCAGTGGATATCTCATGCAGCACCGGCATGACTATGGCGCTACCCATAGGCGCGGCCATACCGCAAAAGGCAACAATGAAGGTTAGAAACCATTTGGTACGGCGGGCGTAGTGCACTGGGTTTGTAACTTCGGGGATAAGTGTGAAGCGGGATAGAAGGCCTCGGCGTTGAGAGCGTGGAACGATGATGGCGTCTGGGGTGACGGACATTGTGCGTGATAATGTAATGGGACGAGACTTCTTTTCTGGCGGAGAGGAGTGGTGATTGGGGTGTTCAGAGGCAGTGGAGGCATGCGAGTGTGCTATTGAAATCGAGTCATCGTCATCTTGCTCTTTCCCATGTGTTTTCATTACTGTATCCTGCTCTTTTATTACACTCTGTTCGATCGATATATTTTTTTCGTGTCCAATTTCCTCAGACGACTTTTCCGGTCCACGTGTGGTCTTCGTCGTCCCTAGCCCTGATGGCGATTTGTGAGGATCCGCCATAATTCCAGATCCGGGGAGAATGAAGAACAGATGCCGTTGAGCAGGCGGTGTCTGATCTTCAATGTGCTGTAATCATCGATATCCTTGCTTTTCCGGCACCAGATTCGCTTTTCCGATGATCTCGTCTAGTCCCCGCTGCCTTGACCTCGGCCTATCCAGCGCATGAAAATGTTCTCTGTGGTTTGAAGCTCCTCTACACGTCTGCTTGCCCACAGTCCTCGCGATACCTATTGATCCAAAATTGTGCCGCCAATTGAATCGACGCGTAAGAGAAGAGAGGAAGGCCAAAGTGCTCGACGCCATGTTTATCGGGCAGGAACTAAGATACCGGCGTGAAGTTTGGCCAATGAATCAGGACTGGTGCCGAAACTTCCCCCTGCGGAGTCATGGCCCGCTGTGGGGTGGTTGTCCCCTCGCATGCTTATATCCGGAGGGGCATGCGACCAGACCTTTCGAGTCATCATCCTTTATCTGTCTCTCTTCGATGCAGCTAGTGGCCATTCTTGCGTCACATAGCTACGTTCTATTGCTTAGCTTGCTCCTCAACATCAAAGGACAGGTTTGTGCGAAGCTATCCATACTTCGTACCTGGTCGCTTGTGGCCCAAGCTCCTTCACCAAACAGCTGCCATCGCCGCTACTGTTGTCGTGATTAGCGGGGCCGCTGTCATCATGGATATACCGAGGTGTACCGTTCCATCTCATCTGGCGTTTCCAAGGTTCGCTAATCGCACTATCTGGCCTTGAAACCAAACTCTTGTTGGCGGACCGTCGATCTGAAGTAAGCGATGTCGTACACAAAATCCTAAGCTTTCACCTCCCAGCCACCACACCGTTAGCATTTCACCATACTTTGTTACTTGCACCAAACCTCCGCCATCCAACCATTGACGCCTACCCGAAGCTCTTGTCAAAGCTTCCCGCGAGCTCATATCGTATACGATTACTCACTCCGGCAATCCACACCACATAAAACACAATGGCATCGCAGAACCAAGACCGCCTGCGTACACACTTTGCCGACGCGCCCGTTTCCTCGCACAACGACCGCTGGGACGACCTCTGGAAAGAGGGCACATTCCTCCCCTGGGACAGAGGCTACGCGAATCCTGCTCTGATAGACCTCCTGCAACGCCGCCCATCCACGTCCCCCGACGCGAACCCCTCACCTGGCGCACCACCTTCGAATGGGTCTGGCGCCGACAACTACACGTCAATTCCTTCTACCATAAAGGCTGATGGTACGCGTTGCCGCGTGCTAATACCTGGGTGTGGGAAGGGGTATGATATCGTCTTGTTTGCGGCACATGGGTATGATGCGTATGGGCTGGAGGTGTCGTCACATGCAGCAAACGCGGCGAAAAAATACATAGATGCAATTCAGAAGAGTGAGGGGCTTGATAGCAAGGACAGAGAGGGACCGCTGGAGGGCGAGTATCTTGCTGCGTCGAGTAGTCACAAGGTAGGGTATGGGAGCATGAATGTTTTGCTAGGGGACTATTTTAGCGATGAGTGGTTGAAAGAGGTTCAGGGGTGGAACCTAGGGGAAGGGTTTGATATCATTTACGATAATACGGTAAGTCTTCGTGTCTTACAATCTTTGCCATTGGCGGTATCAAGGTCTGGCAAGTATGGGTTGACTGACAGCACGATAACAGTTCCTTTGCGCTCTCCCGCCTTTCTTGCGCCCTAAATGGGCTTCTCGCACTGTGTCACTCCTCCGCCATCGGACAGACCTCAATACTACACAACCTAGTCCTAGTGAGGATGCTCTGTTGGTCTGTCTCGAATTCCCTACACACAAGCCCGCAGCCTCTGCCGGCCCACCGTGGTCGCTGCCGCCGACTGTACACGCTGAACTGCTGAAGCAGCCTGGAGAGGAGATATCATATGATGATAAGGGCGTCGTGGTAGAGACAGACAGGCCAGATGCAGATAACGCGTTAGTCAGAGTCGCACATTATACACCGAGGCGAACACATACAGTTGGCGTCGTCAACGGCATCGTGAGGGATTGCGTGAGCCTTTGGCGACACAAGTCGGAAGTCTAAGAGCGAGAGATTCCACCAGATGCTTGTTGGAGGGCGGAAGAGCACATAAGTAGCCTGACATGCGGATGCTATGCGAATTGCAACCAATGTGTCGAGTCGTAATTCAGCCAGTTTTCCGCAGGGAGTTGTAATGCTCCCCCAACCCATGGCTATGCTTGTAGTATCCCAGCCATATCTCTTCCAACTCCTTGTCCGCAGTCTCTTCCTCAGGCTGCATCTTATCAACTTGTCCATCGCTATGCAGCACACATATTCTTACGCCATACGTCCTGGCTAGTGCAAGCAACTCCAAATGCCCGCCCCACTCGCCTGTCTGCCGAATTTTGCGAACGTGTTCGGGTACCGAGTCTTCCATGAAGCCCGCGAAGTCGTCCGCGTGCGCCTGTATCCAGTCGGCTGCCGCATATCTGACCTTCTTGTATTCTTCCACTTTCCCGTTTTCTGCACCCCCACTTCCACCCTCAACCATCGTAATAGGTATCTTGGGTGCCAGACCCAGCTCCCTCGTCACCAACTGATCCGCAACCGCAGCATACAGGCAATGTCCATTTGCGCGTATTTCATGCAAAGAGAGCTTGTGGCGTTGCAGTTGCAAAGCCATGCGCTCGCGCTCTAGTTCGCGCGGGTTGGGGGCGTTTGCAGCTTCGCGTTCTGCGTCGGCGATGAGAGCTGATTGTTCCGCGGCGCGGCGGGCGAGGCGTGCCTTTGCGCGGTTGGGCCTTTTCTTTCGATCAGCTTGCGCTGCATTTGCATCTTCTTCCCCATTGACGCTGCTGTCCTTGCTCTCGTTGCTCGCGCCGTTCACGCTGAGCTTCGCAATGCCCTGCTCAGCCCATTGATTCTCGCTATCGTTCTCGTCCTCGTCCTCCTCCTCTTCTACCTCCTCGACAACTCCCTCCCCATTTAGCGCCGCAACCTCCGCCTCCTGTCTCTCCTTCAACTCTCTCTCCAACCCCTCACACTCCTCGTTTACACCTTTGCGCGTTTTCTTACTCGCTTGTTTCTTCTTTTGAGTTATGCGGGACACGAGGTCGCGCTGTTCTTTACGGTGTCGCGACTGGAGGGCTTCGAGGGTTTCGGGTGCAGTGTCTATTGCTGTATCGGCCATGGCGGTTTTGAAGGAGGACAAAAAAGCAAAGGAGACGGGTATAGAAGGCGAACGGGCAAGGTAAAGACTGTGGAATTTGGGACATACAGGGTTGATAGAGGATGGTGGGGTGGAGGGGAACTTTGAGCCTCTGGTGTCGGTGCCATGTTTCGCCGCGTGTTAACCATCATCAGCCATGCGTCATGCTGCCCTCCTTCGCTCTCCTCGACATCCCCATCTATCCCCAGAATCATCGCTCAGGCTGCTCGTGAAAAATGTTTCCATACGCGAAGTGACCGAGCTATAGGTCCTAGTGTCCAAATTACAACGATAGGTAATTCAACCCAGTTCCATATTCTCTATCTTCATCTGCTACACTGGACTTCTCCATTCAGCTATAATATGGTCTCTAAGAACATCCGCTTCGTCTTCACCAGCTCCCCCGTACCAAATATAGGTTTTCTCCTGTCTAATAGGACGTGCTTTCTATCTCTCCTAAGCGATGTGCATTGGTTTGATTAAACTTATCTGGACCCCCATACTCTGCAATTGCGAGTTCTTTCATATATCTCTAAACATCGTGGTCTGGCTAAACCTTTTCTCGTTGAGTTCAAAACATCCTAGCTTGCAAGGATAGAGTTGGTCCAGCGCATTTGACCTCATTTGTCAATCAACCAACTGCCTCGGGGGTTCTCTATGCAAGATACCTAGAACACGCAGTTCACGGTTGGAGGTACGATGTAGGTACCAGGCCCATAGCTGACTGCTCTCCGCGTAAGTGCTGCACTTCCGTTGTAATGTAATTCAGGATCCGAGAAGGTAACAGGTCCTCGCAACCTAGTTTCGATTAGCCCAGTGTTCTTCTCATGAGATTCCTATCTTTCTTATTACGCCTTCTTTTCAATCTCCCTTAATTTTTACAAATTCAAGTCGACATATGGTCACGGCGCGTTTGAACTCCTACACTGAGCGCCAACAATATGCCATCTTTTACTGCATCTGCTTCATTCTACTCAAACTTAGACATGCGATTCATGAGACAACGCCCCAAATAATAAGCCCCTTGCGCTCGGCCACGTCGATCTTACCTGAGCTCCTGCTCCTTGTTACAAACGACAACCTTGTTATGCCTAGGTGGGTGGTGCGATGAATCGCGCTTTCACTTTTCGCTTGGCGAGTTCTACTACCGTCATCAAATACACACTCAGAGCCCCACCACAACAATACATCGCGTCACTCGATACACACAATCACTTGATCTACACCCATCTCTTACAGAATGCCATTCCGCGATGGATCCTGGGAAGACTTCCAGCGCGACTGTGCCCTCTTCCCCGCATACACCGATTACATCTTCGGCCCTGACCTGCGACCAGAAGTGACTAACGAGCCTGGTCTACACCCAATGCTGTTCCCACCTCAGCCACACGCACCGATTCGATATACGAATAGCTTTCCGTCGAGAACTAGGACTTACAGTGGCACGCAAGGTTTCATGCAGCCTAGAAATGGAGCGAAGGGGCCCCAGTCTAGGTCGGGTGAAGACATGGCATATATAGGACTGGGTAGAGAAGACAGCGGTAGCAGTATCACTGGGATGGACCTGCGATCGCATATAGGAAGCTCCATAAGCGACCTCATACCACCACAGTCAGTACGCCCCGTTTCCGTAGCAGAGATGACAAGTCGGAGAATGTTAAACGCTTCTCAACGCCGTCCGTTGGCCGTATCGCTCGCTACGCTAGACTCTTCTAAACCATTTCCTAGGAACTTTTTGCGGCAGGCTCAGGTAGAAAACGGACCAAACCCTTGGTCGGGCCCAGCAGGTCGCGCTCCAGATCCGTCCCTGGTCCGCTCTTCATCCGCAACAGATGTAGATGAGCAGCTCGCCCAGATGGCAGCTCGAAGAGGTCCTATGCTTTCTCCTTCGGCATCACCGTCACCGTTGCTCTCTTACCCAGCTCGGCTGCCGCAACACCAGTCACACCAAGTCTCTCTCGCTGCATCGAACCCTCTTCCGTCTGCCCACACTCATCTCCAAGCCCAGGCTACGCAGAACTCAACTCTGCAGATCCCACTCGTCCAGCCAGATGATCTCGTGAGTAATCCTCGATACTTCTTCGTCGCCTATGAGAACCGCCGGAAGCTCAACGAGCAGATCATAGGACGTTGGGATATTGTCGACAGTCAGTCAAGCACCGAGTTAAGAGCGCAGGCCATGATGGAGATTGAGCATGTCAGTCAAAGTCTATACAATGCGACAAGGAAATATGAAGAGGAGGTGCGGCAAAACATGGAGTTGAAGAGACAAGTGCGAGCTTCAGCTGAACAGCACGGCTACATGCAACCTCCAAGCGAGAGTTTGCTACAGTCTCCGAATTTCCATACGGCTCCCCAGTTAGGTTCGCGACAACAAAGTCCTATCCCGGCCCAACAGCTCTCCCCTCATTCACCGAAAGAAAGCTTGCTTCCGCCCCAACAACCCCCGAGACAGATCTCGCAAGAGCTACGCATAAAGATTGACGCTGTTTTCCCTACGCTCTGGCGATGTCTCCAGGTCGTCAATGCTCTGCCTCCTGGTTCTCCCCCTTTCCCCCTAGATCTTGTTGCGGAGAAGCAGCAGGCACATCACTGGCTTTCAAGCTTCAAGGCGAAGCTTCCACTGGAAGGTCATCAGTACGTCGAGCAGGTAGTAATGCGGATGTGGAAGGCCAAAGCTGAGGGGAGAGATGTTTTGGAAGAAATTGGTAAGTAACTGAAGGGGAAGTGCGGTGAGAGGAGGGGGAAGGAGAGAGAGCTCAATGGTGATCGGGCTATACTGAGAGGTTTGCAATACATCAGGCAGGCTTTGAGCATAGTTTCATGTGTAAATGGCGTCTTTTACCCTTCCACATGGTCCTTCACATCAAAGGCTCCACCCCTGGGAGCATTGAGATGTAAACATCACGAGAGAATTTGAGAACAGGAGTAGCGTTGTTAAATGACATACACCCCTGGCCAACATCACACCTCTCCGTCAATTCGGTCCCAGTAAAGAAGCTCCTGGTCTGCGAAGACTCGCGGGATTAAACCTTTTGGAGATTTGAAGAAGTTCAAGATGCCGCAACTTGTAACCTTGGTAAAACCCATTATTGATTACGTTGAGAAGTCGCTCCTGCCACACGCTGGCCACTGATCACCTTGCTCTTTCCCTCTCCTTCAAGTGTTGTAAAGTTGGGCCTTAAAATGACAGGAGCCAGTTATCTTCACGCCAACCGAAAATTGCATCTTCCGTTACTCGAAAGTGATCTCACGCAGCATACTATGCTTGGGTGTATCTGTCATACTGCAGCTCATTTAGACAATCCTGTGAGTGGCGACGATCCTTCCTCGCCCCCTCGTTGTGGCCGGCCTCTTCGCAATACAATCTAACGTCCCCAATGTCTTCTCTCTTCTCCCACATCATCGAATTACGATGTCAGACTCAGAGAAACCGCAAACCCAGAGCCCGGCAACGGGGTGTGTTCCAACGTGGGACACTACCGATCCTCTCCAACAGGAAGTCACCCGCATACTAAAAAGCTTCAAGCTTGACATCCTCGGCATCTTGAATCTTGGTAAAGATGGTGTGTTGCGCTCTCTAACCGCGGATCGCAAGGTGCTCTCTGCGGAGGCTATGAGTACAGTCTTTCTATCTCCTCCTTTCTCACACTACGACTGACTGCATCACGCAGGTCCACAACTTATCACAGCCTTTCATAGTCGCTTCCCTCAGGACTTCAGAGAACAGATAGAAGTGGAAGGTATTGACGGTAGGCATACAGCAAAGGGAAGATGGTACCAACCTGACGAAGGGATCCTCCCTGAACCTCTGTCGCAAGAACGTAGTGATGAAGTGAGGAATATGAGCGAGGAGAAGAAAGATCGACTTAGGAAGCGTATTGAAGAAGACGAGAGGTATGTTCTCGCGCATCACTATGTGACTCAAAGACTGAAATTGCGCAGGTTAGTCGATGCAAGCGGAGTATTGAGATGAGCAAAAGGGAGTAGGCCAGTCTAGAAGAGAAGAAAGTGATAAGCTCGTAGATCCCTATGCAAAGTGTAAATTCAGTATGACAATATAATAAATAGAATGGTACGGCGACGCCAAATGTTGCTACATCGTACTGCGAGACTAAACTAAACACGTATTGAGATATGTAAAAGGTGCTACCTAGGCAGTCTGTCAGGAAGCCCATCATCTCAACCAGACTTAGTAGTCATCATCATAGTGCTTCGGGAATACTAAAAGTGATAGTAACATATTGTGAAAGATAATGTTGGCAGGCTGCACTGAAAGCGCTTGCCCTCGCGATAGGGTATGACGTCGTGACGTAAACACACTCGTGTTTGGGCCTTCGCGACCCCATCACCTTTCACTTACGGGCTCAATTATGCGCCTCGCGTACTTCATGGCTGGTGCCATATTCTCTTGCTTCACTGGTCCCCACGTTCAACCTCAAGTCACTCAATCTCAACGAGAATGTCGTACGTGCCTTTTATCATCCCGGGTTATTGGCGACGCTAATAAATGCAGGAAATCTAGCATCAAGCGCGATTGCACATCCCCTAGTATAGAGCCCGGTCGTACAGTTGAGGAGGAATTCCAGCGAAAGCGCGCAAAACGAGAGCCGGAATTATCGACCCCCCCTAGCTCAGAAGCGAATGGAGAGCAAGATGAGAGTAGACCATCCACGAGCGTTAGCTCACGAAATCTTACGCAGCATGATCTCAAGTCATCGAAACTTCGTATCCTACCTGGAGGTGAGTGTTATATGGGCTTCCCACTTATGTAAATATATGTGCTGATTGTTTTGTAGAGATCAAGAACCGCAGTAAGTAACGTTGGAACACGAATTGCATGTGTTTCATATATTGACTTGTACCTCAACCTTTAGTCTACAGCTTCCTTATCCCAGATGGTTTGCCAAGTTTGACTGGCGCCAACATGGAAACTAGCAGGAACGCCGCCATTCGGGTGAAACTCCAGATTGGCAAAGTGGATCTCAGCCCACATCAGATTGCCGACTATGCAAACCTGACACGAGTTTGCCGATCTATCAGAACCGAATTCATCTCTTACCTTCTCGGACAAGTGGACATTGAAATTGAGCTCGATTTCATCGATAGATATGCTATCTGCTTCGACCGAGCGTTCAGGCACTGCAAAGGTTCGCTCATCGTCACATTCGATCGACTGTGGACGAATAAATGCACCGAGCTGTTTCCACTACTACGCCTGTCCAATGACGCGCCAAAACTCACGATTTGCTTTATTCCATCCCGCAAGACGCTTTCGTTACCAAATGACCTGACTCTGGCACATGATCTCAACCTGTTGATCGATTTATGTCGCCAGAATAAGAAGTTGAGACAACATTTGGACGAATCTATTACGACAGTAACTTTCTACCCTCGGAATCGATTCGAAGATAATTTTGGGGAGCGCTGCCTCAGGAATGAGCCCTGTATTCAGGTTGAATTCTCCAAGCAATCGAAACAGAAATGGATGGAAGGTACTCATAGCTTGAATGATCTCCAGACGTTCTTGGCGGAGACCGGACTCGATGGGTTGACAACGGTGGACGTTCGGGTAGGTTTGACGTCGATGAGAAACGAGAAGCGCGGGAAAGGGTTACAGACACAGGAAGAGCGTGATGTGATTGATTGGCTCCTAGGTCGGAGCTCGCAGGTACCATCTATGTAAGCAAATTGTAGGCTATCTAGTAGAGTGACTGCAAAAACGAACGGCATTTTGAGAGTGGATGCGACTCTGGTAATGGTCAATACGGCGAAATCTCAAGAGTTTAGCAGAAATGTAATGCACGCTAGTCTGATCTACTTTTGTGGCGGTTGCTTCTTCTGACGTCTTCGGTACCGCGGCATTGGGCCCTCCTTCACCTCGTCGATCTTGGGCACGCGTCGCTACGAGCCTAGTTCGATATTTTCCTGTGAGCCTGCTACAAATTGCTTTGTCGTGATTCGCCAATGACGTGAGGCTTGGGATCCTGCAGCCTTGCCCGCGACTGCCCACTATTTTTCGTCGCGTCGTCCGCTCCAACTACAAGCCTTTCGATCCTTTCGCCAAAATGACACCTCTAGCTTATAGAGCATTTAAGCACCGCGCTGGTTTCCTGGACCTTGCAGGAGGTAGGTGATATGTCGTACCCTCTTTACTCTAACGTCTGACAAGGCTATACTAGAGATCCGCAACCAAATCTACGAGCTCGTGATGCTGAATGCAGAAAGGGCCATCGATATGGTCACTCTGGTCCACTACCCGCGAGAGGTGTTCTCGCCTCAAACACTTGGCTACCGCGGTCTCACTCAAACCTGCCGCCAGGTCCGCCGGGAATTCCTGCCTCTCTACAATAAGCGCAATGTATACGTCGAAATCGATATCAGGGATATTACGCGCTTCGTCAACACATTCTACCACCCCAAGGATTTGGAGAGGCTCAAAAAGACGAGTGGAAGCATTGAAATCAGCCTAGATCGTGAGATGACCAATCCTCGCGTCGACCTATCCGACGAACTGGACTTGCTCCCGCTCTTGAGACTGCTCATCAAGGTGCCTCATCTACACGCCCGACTGGTTGCTACAACATACATCCACGAAGATGGTGTACCCCGGTTCATCCACGATTTGGGCACACTTTTTCGCCTTGTAAAGACCGACAAGAAGATGTTATATCATATTCTACACTCGATGCAACGGCTTGTGCTCAAACCCCTTCCATCTCGAGAACCGGAGGCACCACGACCAGAGCTTGAGATGTGGTTGGCAGCAGTACCAACGGGTCGGGATATCGCATTGCAGAAGATGATTGCTCGAGATACTGGCTTTTCGGATCTCAAAGCGTTGGCCATCTCCTTTCCTTACTTTTATACGACTACGAGATGATAGACTGGCGAGTGCCTGATGCTAGTCAGGGCATTTGATGATGCTACAGCAGATCTACAGTCCATTGTCGACCCTATATCTTCCTACTCCAACCGGAGTATACACGTTTCAATACCCCACTTCCGCATTTCCTATTTTCTAGCAGCCGCTGTGTTCTCGCAGCTGTCATTTGTACCGTAAATAGATCATGGCATGCAACTTTCTCAGCTCCTATAATGTTCGCGCTTCATTAGTCTAGTTATCATAGTATGGATGGCAGCTATGTTTTGGACTGAAGCTCTTCCAGCGGCAATCAGATGGGATCCCATGATTTCATCCCCATGCTCCAATCTGCAGCCTCTCGAGTAATTGTAAGCTGTTGGAGTACAGTCTTTCCCGCTCTATCATGTATACACTCAATCCATATCACGTTCGTTAAATGCTTCTTCGCTTCAGCCCAGTTGACCGCTATACCTGCTGCCCTCCACGCTTCTCGGAACCAATCTTCCTCGGCCCTAGTCACTGAAATCGCAACTACCATCAATAACCACAGTTGCAAGGCTTTGCTGTTCTTGTTTATACTATCAATAGCGCCTATGTACGCCTTTTCAATCTTCTTTGCGACCCAAATATATGGTATCTTTCTCCCGGGGACTTCGAATGTCGTAGTTAGAAGCGCAAGCAAAGATAGGCGAACCAACTCCTCAATAGAATCATGATGTGGAGACTCGAGATACATTAGCCGCGATTGAAGCGAGCTGAGGATGGTTTGAAAACACGCTGCATTGTAGCGTGCGTGCTTCCGGACATTTTCGTTGATGGTTACGGCTAGAAGTTGGAAGTCGCGGAATAGATCAGCCAGTCGGATGTCCCAGTCAGCGGGCGGCTGATATAAGGAGGAATCAGACAACCGTAGTTGCAGGATCGGTTCCCAGGATGTGATTGGAAGAAGAAAGAATGGGTTATTGCCTGAGCTGAGGGACCATGCAAGATCAAGACTTCAGGGGTCGAGTCAGCATTTGGAAGCAACCTAGAAATCGCCGTTTACTCACCGATCGAGCTTTAGATGTAGTTTCGGTCTTGAACGCAAGAAATCGACACCGCCTCTTAACTGCACAATTTTCTGTAGCCCAGCGAAATGTGCGGCAGCAGCTTTCCAATCATCATAGATAACAGCGAGGAGCGCTAGGTTGATTACTACGTGCAACACGGCCTCATCCTCATGCACATTGATGGTTTCCATCTTCCTCGCGAGTAATGCCAAGGTCTTGCGCAGATGCGAAACCATCTTCCTTCCGGGCTGCCCGTCCCACGATGGCAGCACAAGATCATTGATTGCGTAGCTGACAAATAGAATCGAGTGCAGGAACACTGCGTCAGAGAAGTACCATTGGAAAGATGCAGATTCGATATAATCAAAGTCGACGCAACGATCAAGCGGAGACGGAGGGTTCGCAACGTTGTACGTAAACGCTTTGAAAATGAGGCCTTGGGCTTCGGCGTCGATATCGCTCGCGAACCGGATTAGGGCGAAGTCATTCAGAGATGGTGGGATTGCTTGGACTGAGGGAAGGTCGGGCTTGGTACTGGATTCCGCCTTGTGAGTTGCGGCAGCTCTCCTTATTGCCCGTTGGGACCTGCGAGAACTTTCACGTTTGTTTTTGCCTTGCATGCAACGACTGCGGATCAACGAGCTTTTGCCAGGCTTGAGGCTAATCGATGGATCGGTTGAAATGAACTCGAATTGATTCGACATTTTGAGCGTTTTAGATGCCCATCTCCAATGCGAAAGACCAGATTGTTGACTTCTTTGGGGCTTAAGTATACGAGGCCGCAGTAAACGGTCTAATTTCAGCCCGTCAGAACGAAGAGGGGCAAATTTTTGGCTTGGATATGCACCAGGAGCAAATCAGAGAGGCAGACATGTCGTTGGATAGGGTGAGCGAGATGACGAATGGCAGAGGTGGAGACGGAAGCTAATTGACCTTGACGAGCACGGACTAAATTGCCAAGAACGACCAGATGGTTGACCCTTTTTGGAAGGCGCTAAACCCCTTCAGCTCACTGGCAGAGATGTTAAGCAAATCCTTTACACCACCTAGCGAAGGCAGAACGCCTCTACCTTGCCGTAAATTGTCCGTGAATGCAAGTCTAAAACAAGAAATATACATAAGTAAACTGTGATCACTCATCTGTGTTGCATCCATCTCCCCAACATCACCTTTATGAGACCCTCATAACAATGGCATCTATGAACCTCCCACCAAGCCATGACACGGTTTTGAAACTCTTTTTGCGAGGTAGCCGCACACCGAATAATAAATACCCAAATGTCTCCCTTGGCGGTCAAACAGTCCTCGTCACCGGCAGCAACAGCGGCATCGGCCTGGCATGCGCCCACATCCTCCCAACCCTCGGGGTCTCTCACCTAATCCTCGCCGTCCGGTCTACCATAAAGGGGGAAGAAGCAGCTACTCCCATACGCAAAGCCCATCCAGGCACGAAGGTCGAGGTCTGGGAGCTAGACATGTTATCCTATCCCTCCATTCAAGCCTTCGCCCGAAAATGCGCAACCTTACCTCGCATCGACATCGCAATCCTCAATGCAGGTGTATCCAGCGGGTCAGTCTCCAAAATCAACGCGTCAACCGGCCACGAAGAGACTTTCCAAGTCAACTACTTCTCCACGGCACTCCTATCACTGCTATTACTCCCTGTACTGAAGCCCAAATCATCAGACCGATATGACCAGCCTGGTCGTCTGACCATCGTCGGGTCGGGAATGGGTCTCCTGTCTACCTTTGAGAATAGAAATACCGTACCGTTAATCCCGTCTTTCGATGTGCCGTTCTCGGGCTTCCAAGCGGCAGGGGAACGATACGCTGTCACCAAGACGCTCGTCATGATGCTTGTTCACAAGCTCAGTGAAGCCGTTGACGCAGACGATGTCATTGTCAATACTGTCGAACCGGGCTTCACGTCGGGCACGGCTCTGCATCGTGACTACTCGTGGGCGGGCAAGATTTCCATGGCGCTTATGAAAAAGTTTCTCAGTCGAACACCGGAACAGGCTGCTTGGACGTATCTTGATGCGGCGGCTGTGAAGGGGAGGGAGAGTCATGGGGGGTTCGTCATGTTTTGGGAGGTGTTTCCGTGAGTAGATTGCATGCTAGACGCACTGCCTCTATGAAAAGATTAGGCTGACATTGACAGGTTCCATCAGATGATGCATACGCGCGAGGGAAAGCAAACGATGGAAAGGCTGTGGGATGAGACGATGGCGGAGCTGGAGTTTGCGGGTGTAAGACAAATATTGGAGTCGATACGTAGGAAGCAGTAGTTGAAGAAATCATAGGAGTTCCTTGAGATGTATCGCTACATGGTCTTCCCCTCTGCCGTGTTACTCCACGTCTGTTCAAATCCCTGCCACCCACCCTGTGGCGGCTCCTCACACATCTTCACGTCACTAATAATCAGGTCATAATACCCATCGCGCGGCAACTTGCCCTGACACACGTTCCCACCCATGGCAATGTTAATCATGAGCCTGAAATCCTCCATCCTCCTCGTGCCTAGCGGAATATTGCCCTTCATAACGGGCCTGCCGTCAATGTACCATACCATTCTGCCTCTCCAGTCTGGTATGCCTTCCTCTTCGATCCAGGCGAAGCCAAAGGTGTGTGGCTGTTTTGGCATGGCTGGGAGATGCGTTTCGATAACGCGGTGTTTGTTCCAGTCTTCGCCATTGTATTGGCCCCAATGCAGGCATGAGTGGTTTACACAATCCCCGTTCCAGCTCTCAAAGATGTCCACCTCGCCATCGTTTGGCCACTGGAATGGATCTTTCGGCAGCATCCAATACGCTGGCCATATGCCCTCGGCGACAGGCGGCAGTATCGTCGCTGTCAAATAACCCCGCGGTCGTGACAGTGTTTGGTGCGACGTCAGGCGCGCTGAGGTGTAGCTACCGCTCTGCACCAGTGCGCGAATTATGAGGCGGCTATCGTGGTGGAAAGAATTAGCCGGGTTGTCCGTGTACATTTGCTTCTCGTTGTTGCCCCAGCCATGGTCCCCTATTTCATGCCGGAAGTTTTGGGATACGGGCGTTGCGGCGTCAAAGGAAGGCTTCCAGTACACCTGTTCGCCTTGCGAGGGTGGAAGATTCTGCGGGGGTGGAGGCTGCGCAGATAGCGGGCGGTTCTGAGGTATGGGTGGCCCTTGAGGCTGCGGCGAGTGGGGTTTGCTAGCTTGGGGGATGGGCGGCGGAAGAGATTGTTGTTGTGGAGGCGGCGGGCCCCATTGCTGCTGTTGCTGCTGGGGAGGACCCCATTGATTCTGGGGAGCGCCCCATTGCTGATTCTGGGGGGGATACTGCTGGTTCTGGTATTGCGGTGGGTATTGCTGCGGCGGATACTGGCCGCCAGAGTACTGTCCCTGGTTTTGAGGCGGGTAGCCCTGTGGAGGCTGCTGCCCGGGGTAGCCTTGTTGTTGTTGTTGCTGGTGGGATGGAGGCTGGCTCGTGAACTCCTTGACTTTGGCCTTGCCCTTCGCGAAGAGCTTGTCGAAAGTGCCGGACATGGTGATGGAATGCGGTGCGGTAGCGCATCAACCTTGGGACGAGACAGGTTGCGCGCCTCAGCCGAGCCGCCATGACGTAAGCGGGGAAGGTGTGCCTGTCAAACTTCACAACCACACAACCAGTTTCGTCCTCGGCGGCCTAGGGGCTTTGCAAAAGGCTCACTACTCCAGCTATGCTGTCTCCAACCATCGCAATGTTAACAGACTCCAAGAAAAATGCAAGACCAGGAGCTAATATGTCTCTTGGAATTAGAGGCGGACATCAACTGACCAGCTTCCCAACGCGCACTTGCTTTCATCGTGTCTAATCCATTCTAGTACTCTCTAGCATCCTTATCGTGCCTTCATCTCTACGCGCCGACTCTCTTCCCAATGTACCTACGAGTTCCGTCGTCTGTCCCACGTCTCTCACGGCCCGCCAACTGGCATTCACTCTGGTCGCACCGCTGACGTCACCCTCACCCAAACAAAGCGCAACGCGCTGCATTCACCCGCATAGCCAACCAGCCACCTCGATAACGCCCCAAATCGCCGGCAAGGGAAAGGAGAAACAGGAAGCGCAACCGACATCACGTAGCTGCAGCGTCATTGCAGGGCAAACCTTGGAAGCGATAAAGCTGTTCTGGAGCAGTCACGCTCGTCGCAAACAAACACCACCTCTCTCTGCGCCTCGCTACAAATCTCACCACACCTCCACGCACCATTCGCGATACAACCTTCCACTCTCCCATCACATCAGACCAAACTCACAAACTATAAACTGCCTTTTACAAACAAGCCGACATGTCGTCCATCGTCAATGCCCTCTCCGACGTCGTCTCCTCACTCGTTGAGCTTGTCTGGTCCTTCTTCACCACCGCCGGCAATCTGATCCAGAACACCGCCCAGTTCGCGCTCAAGTTCGTCACCGAGATCCTCGACCTCGTTGTCAGCTTCTTCAGGGGTCTTGTTGACCTGGCTGGCGGTCTCGTGAGCTTCGTCCTCGGTGAGCAGTCCCATCCAATGAGAGTGACGTGCGACGATGGCAATACTAATGTGACAACAGGCAACGTCCTCATTCTCGGAGTCGTGGCTGCCGCCGTCTTCGCCTTCTTGCAGTATCAGCGCAGTCAGGGCAGGACCGTCGCGGTCGGAAACAAGAAGCTGAACTAGAGCACAGTCCTCTACATTCCAGCGCAGCAATCACGACATCGCGATCTGGCGAGTAATGAGGAGGCGGATCCGGACTTTCAATTTTCCCTACGATGGCAAGAAATTGTGATACCCTTCAATAATGGCAGCGAATACCCTAGGCGCTTAAACATGACAGGCTAGCCTTACCCTATACCCCAATCAGAAAATACCTTTGTTCTCAAACGAGCACTCATTACATGTTCGCTCAAGCTTCTAGAAGCCTTGCACGTGAAAACTACACTACACAGGGCTTACCCCATTGGTATCTGAATACACTATGCACGTGCCCTCTCTCACTACAATACCGTCGCAAATCACCTCCGACCTTTCACTAATATATACTGATATTTATTATTCCAATTCAAGTCCTTTGACTTTGATTCAGTCAAACTTTCCTACAGCTATGCAGCACCTTAATCCCTTCTCCAACTCCAAAACGACCCCATACCACCGAATCTCCAAAGAATTCTCCGAAAACGATAGCGACCGCGGCCTCGATAGCGGCTCTGCCACGTCCCCAGCGCTAGCTCCAAAAGATGACTACGAGAATGAGAAAGACTATCTCATCGGGCGGAACTTGCACCGACCGCGCCGCTCCTCGAAATTGCGACACACATTTTGTTACCTATTTGCGATCGTAGTGAGCATGTTGGTCGGGCTTGTGCTGGGAGAGATGTTTCGGGTTGAGTATGAGATTGATGGATATATCGGTGCGCTCCCACAGCTTAGCTCCCTCCCTCCCTCCAAGTACCTTCGTGGTGCATAGGGCATTGGACGATATGCTTACATTGTACCAGCGCCGTACGGCCACACCCACCGCACAATCAAAGACGTGGTGTGGCAGCAAAACGACACCTTTGCCCAGGAACCAAGCGCAATAACGGAAAAGGCGTGGGCGGACCTAATTCCTGAAGGACGGGGATTCGTCACGCATCCAAAGCTCGCAATAGAGATGAAGAGCGTGAGCGTGTTTCATGAAATACACTGCTTGGTACGTCACAATTGTCTCCAGTGTCTGCAGCGCAACCGAGTTGAGACAACCACGTAATTCGAGAGACGGAGATATCAATTACGCATGAAGAATCATCATTTGACTGACATTTTCAGCACGGTATACGCACTGCATACTTCACATCCGATTATCTCTACCGCAAACTCCAACACGCTCAATCCCAAACCCTCGACCCCAAATCCCCCACTGACCATCCCCACATCCACGAAGAATTCGTCATCAATGCCTTTCTAGAAGAGCAGATCAAGCACCCGGAGCATGCACACGGTCTCGCGACTGGGCACGTCAAGCACTGTTTTGATTATCTAAGGCAGGCGCTGATGTGTGCTGCGGATACCAATCTAGAGGATACGAGTGTGGAGGATGGAGAAGAGGGGGCGCCGGGGTGGGGATCGAAGAGGGTGTGTAGAGACTTTGACGCGGTGAAGGAATGGAGTAAGAAGTGGAGGGAGGGAGATGGTATGGGGATTGTGTAGGTGGGTGGGTTAAATGGTTGGATGGTATAGGGATGGGAGATTTTCGTCACAAATGAAGGTCTATGCTCTACATCTCTCTGTATATGGCTTCACACTCTCTCAAGCCCAAACAAGAACTTCTTCAGCCTTTCAACCTTGTAATGAACTCGCAGAGGGGGACCACGCGCGCAGTGTGTGTCGCTCTGGCGTGACTGTATCGTCGCACTCGAGGAGTGGGGTGGTGAAGCCGTGGCCGGGGTCTTTTCTGTGCGTATCGTAGAGCCCGGACGTAGGCATTATGAACGTCTTGCTTAGCCCAGCAGCTGCTACATCTATCCTTCCACAGCAGGCCCTTTCCAATTCCATTGCCAACCCTCTCCCCTCTGAGCCTCCCAAATATCGCCTCTCTTCCCCAGTTTCTCAATTATATCCTCACTTCCCTCACCTCTTAACTCTGTCCCCCAATCCCGAATGCCAGATTGTTCTTCCTCGGTAAACGTCATCCCAAACCACTTCTGCATTGCCACTAACCTTTGTTGTTCTGTCTTACAATCCTCGACGACCCTAGTTCTACCTCCCAGGTTCTCTTTAACAACACCATTGACCAACATGCGCTTGCCATAGATTTTTTCATCCGCTTCGTTGCCGTCTGCGCTACCCTCCTTCAAGCGACGCAGGAACTTGACGACGAGGCAAGTATAAGTCTGAAAGCTTTCAGGATGTGCGCCTGTATACCAGTTCAGATTATGAAAGTCGGCCTCCATGGCTTCTGCCTCGGAAGAGAACGCATAAAAGGAATTCCACTCTTTCTGGGCGCTATTGCGGAACTGGTAGATCCAGAGTTTCGTCTCCGTCGTTCTGAGCAGCTGCATGGGGATCCAATCGTGCCATAATCGTATCTCCTGACTGCCTAGGTTCTTTTGCGGGTGATTGTGGATGAGTTGAATCGGTGCTGTCGGGCCATCGCCACCGAAGCCAACGTCCATTGACCATCTTGTACCGTCGGAAAGAGTGATGATATTGACCAGGTGTCGCCAGCCGCCGTAGTCGCCCTGTGGAATGCCATCAACTCGAAGCCGAATCCGGACTGCGGTGAGGTATGCTTGGAAACCTAACCCGCGGAGAATGTGGTTAAAGAATATCGACACCTGAAAGCAATAACCTCCCCGTCCACGGTTGTTGATGACGACATTAGAATAGGTGTCCTGCGGCCTGATAGTGTTCGTATGCTTGGGGTTGTAATGCAGCCAAAGGTTCTCGTAGGGGACTGTAGAGATCATATGGGTGTGGAGTCGAGTGAGGAAGTGGAGGTCTTTGGATGCATCGCCAGAGCATCGTTGCTGTTGAAGGGAAAGAGGCAGGCCCACGTATTTGAGAAAAGTTGAGAGTTGGTTCTCGCTGAAGACGGAAGGAATGGCCATGCCAGAGAAAATGGATGAGTCTTGGTGTTGGGGGGTTTTCAGATCAAATGGGGTTCGTCGTCATACGCGACGTGTGACTCAAGGAAAGGAGCCAATTAGAAGCCGGCAAGAGCACGACAACCCGATTTCCTGTTAGTTTCGATTTCGACGCCGATATCGTCCTAAGCAGAGACCTAAGTATTCTATAGATAAAGTATATCTAAATATCCTTCTTTTCGATCCGCACGAGATGAGAGGCTGAACTATAAATTCTAAAACCTCTCCACGTCATTCAGGAAAATCCTCATCAAACGGACTGTCTCTTCACCCTACTTCGCATCTCTTCAAACTGACGGCCCCAAAATCACATCCCCAAGAGATGTCTCCACGACTGGGCCCTTATACACTTTCTTGCCGTGTATGAACCAGAACGCCACTGCGAAGACCACAACAGCGCTCCAAAGCACACAGCTCCAGTTCATACCCACCGCAGTAAAAGGCACACTTGTAGGCCAAAAGCTAAAGAACATTACGACAAGGCTCCAAAGAATGGCGAATCCGTTAACGAACGGACCCCATTTTCCCAGTGTCCACGGCCCCGGAGCAATCCTGTCCGGATGCCGTAATCGCGTGTACAAAAAGAGGTTGAAAGGGATGAGGTATGAGCCGAAGAAGCCCGCAACAGTGAGAGAGACTATGGCGTTGAAGACTGCTGCACTGCCGATGTTAATCAGACTCAACAAACAGGTTATTAACGCTGTGACCACAATGCTGACTACAGGTACCTTCATGCCCGGATGCACATATGAGAGCAGGCGCGCGTTGGGAACTGCGTTGTCTCGTGCAAAAGCCCAGAGCTGCCTTGACGCCGTTGCAATGACACCGAGTGTCGCAAGGGCGTACATTACGACGAGGAGCGCGGAAATAGCAGTCCCGCCCGCAACTGAGCCAGAGCCTTGTGTCAGAATCTCAATGAAGGGGTACCCTGTTGGCGTGGTGAGGGCGGCTTCTATGTCGCCGATGCAGTAGAGTATAGCGATGAGAATGGCGAAGCCCGTTATGCCGTTGATAGCTATCGAGTCTGTTTGTGCTGCGTCAGTAATACATCTCAAAGGAAATCGCTTGAAACGTACTCATCATTGCCCATGGCACGACGCGGCTCGCGTTGCGAATCTCTTCGCTCATATGCACGACGCCATCTGCGCCGCTGAATGCAAAGACAGGAGTAATTAGCCCAACGAAAAAGCTCAATCCTTTGCTCTCGTAACCCCCTTGATTGAGGAACAGCGTCCACACTTCAGCGTTACTACTTTTTTGCGGCGCCATGACTGTCAAGACGACTAACACCACGATGAACAAAGTAATGTGCAAAACTAAAATGCAAGTCTCGACGTGCGGGAATAGTTTAGACAGAAAGGTGTTGAACACGAGAAAGGCAAGAATGATCGCGAAGATCATCAGAGTTCCGTGCCACCGCGAAGGATTGTAAGACGGCTGGCTGTTGATAATGACGCCCTGGAGCGTAGTCGCGGTGAGGTAGGATGCGGATGCTGTAAGAGCCTGCCAGGCTACTACAGACTGCCTATATATGGTCATATCAGCCTCAGTTCGATTCCAAGCCAAATACGTATCACGAGTCCTTTCATCCCTAGGGACCCCGCTACGCTGGAAAATACATACCACCCAGTGACATAGCTCAAAACGACCTTCCACCTCTCTGGAGCCAACATATACGTCCAATGATACTGCCCTCCTGCTGTAGGCCATATGCTTGCCAACTCCCCCATCGTCGCAACTACAGCCGCCCAGCCGATCCAGCAGAACACATAACCATATATAAGTCCGCCTGGTCCGCCATTCAACAGGCCGAAGATGAGGACGCTGAACATGGCTTCCCACGTTATAACGATGGAGCAGGAGAGCCCGAGGATAGAGATGCGTGAGAAGTTGCGCTGTATAAGTTAGTGTGTGACTCTCAGGTGCAAGAGAGAGGAGGTAGAACGAACACGGAGGACGCTTTTCTTGCCCATTGCGGCCAATTCTCGTTCGTCGACATCTGAGATGGTGTCTAAGGTGTTGTAGACATCCTCGTGTGTTTCCTCTCCCTTCGTCGCCATTATTTCGTTTTCCGAATGTGTAAAAAGCACGCCTATAGCTCAACAGGTAACACTGGGGCGTCGACGCTCTTCAAATCCTCTTTTGAATCGAACACCTCTTCTTGCTATTCAATAACCTTGGGGCTCTCGGCGATTTAAAGTCTTAGGGTCGTCTTGCAATATTTTCTTCTCTCGTGCGCATGTGATAGCATTTGAGGCCGATAGTAAATTATTGAAGAGGCTGCATCTGAAGGGGTGTTTATCCGGATCTCTTGAAAATACCCTGCCCGCTCAGGCTTACTGTGTCGAAAACGCAAAGTTCACCGTTTACCAGACAGTTGGCGCCGTGTAACCTATCACGAACTCGACGCTAGGGATTTCCATCTGCACATTAGATTTCGGGCTTAATAACACCCATGTCCATGCTGTCAGACTTGTTGACATCTATCGAATGCCGCAGCTAGAAATGCGATGCTAGCTGAAATGCGCGTAGTCCGCTCGAGATTCGAGTTATTGTAAAGACATGGGGCTACCCCGGCAAGCAGTAGGAGAAGGAAGGTGGGTATGCAGGTGCGGATAGCCGATCTGTACGATAAGATATCATCACCAGCAACTGCAAATGACACACACAGGGAACAGCTTTCACATATAACCATAAGACACTAGAGGTTAATTCTCTTGTCCAATCTGCTGCTTGGTAAGGCACCGTTTTCAGGATTTAGTAGTACATACTCACGTTCTTAGTCTACAAGTCTGACCTTACCATAGCCTACTATGTTTAGGTCTATTTGTTTTCTCGTCAGCGACGAGACTGAAGCTAGTCATGTATGGCTGTAGACGCTCTTATGCGTTATATCTAATTTTGCAGCCCCTAGGGCTGCATTGCTTTAGGTAGCTCCTTGTTACCCCGCACATCTTAACCTCCCGCTTCTCTTTGATCGCTTCCAATTGTTCCAAACATAGACAAGCACTTTGCCTCATCTCATGTTTAGCGTTGTGAGCTTAGGTAGTAATGATAGGGAAAGGCATCCGATCAGTAAACCGCACTCGTCTAAAAAGCGCACCGCAGCCCTTGACCATCAAAGATATGAAGAAAGCTTCGGGTATGCAGGAGATTCTCGAGTCTCACATCTCGCGTCTTATTTCTCGACAATGCATAGCAAGATCGGTGTCATCAATTTGACCCCACCTGACTTCATCCGTGTAACGGCACCCTTTCAAGCTTGGCATTTCCGCGTGATGAACTACCAACGACTAGGTTACAGAGGGCTGTAGAATGACAGGTGAATCAGGTCCTATCACATTTTGGAAGAATCTGGAATACGAGTGACACAAGGAACCGATTTTCAGGAGGCCTGTTCATCAAATTCGATAGTTGATGCGGATATCCAATTACTCAGCTAGTATGATCACTTTGAGTGTACCCTTTCTCAGGTTGATAGTCCTTAGCAGAAAATCCAACAATTCTTGTCGTATGACTGTGACAGCTTATTAAAATAGATTTCCCGTCTTTTCCTGTCACCAAAGGATGCACAAAGTATGGATAGCTGCACTGACTACTCTTCTCCGAACTACAATCGATATCTAGCACCCGCTAATGCTTTGAATCTCTCTACATGATGCCTCAGCCTTCGTAAGCACATTTCCATCTACTCGTCATCTTGAATATCGACGACAGTCTTCGTCCATTGGCGAGCCGGGACTTTACGCTTGAATAAGATGTCAATCTCGCGATAGGATCGACCCTTCATCTCAGGCAAGAAGAAGTATGCCAAGACGAAGCAAACAAAACCAGTAGCACCCCAGACGTAGCCGCACTTGCCGCCGAGGTTTGCCTCCTATACTTCGTTAGCAACTAGTTACCACAAGAAAAGGAGAAAGGTCTTACTTCAGGGTTGAGCATATAACTTGCAAGGAAGATGCAAGGAATGTTCACGATGTAGTATGAAGCGCGTCCAATTCCCGTTGTTAGAGGCCTAAGGCGGATGGCGGACGTCTCTCCAATAATGACCCACGATGCGGGCGCAGGTCCCAAGGTAAACAATACGGAGACGATGAGGCCCAAAGAAGCCTGCGCCAGGGAAGCTGCATTCGAGACGCCAACAGAGCCTGCAACACCGAGAGCGATGAGGAAGCCTACGTTAATGAGAGAGCCCCAGACGTAGATGGTACGTCGGCCAAGATATGAGGTGAGTATCCAGGAGAGCATGACAAAGAGCCACTGGAGGCCGGAGGTGATAAGACCCATGGCGAATGCAGTATCTGTCGACATGCCAGCCTCTGTGGTCAATTTAGCATATGTATTTTACCCAGAAAGAGTAATGATGACAACTTACGCTCGAAAAAGTAGACGGCCTGATTGGCGATGAGGTTACCCGTAAGGTTCTGTGCCGCGTATACACCACACACAATGGCGGTCCGGTAGAGGTCAGTGCCTTTGAACAGTTCCAGGTGATTGGGCTCCTTGACTGATTTCTCGAGCTCAATGGTACGGCGCATCATGGCAACAGCCTCGCTGAGGTTCAGCCTCGTTTTGCGTCCCAACCGTCCAACCGCATGTTCTGCTGCTTCGAGACGTCCCTTTCGAACCAGCCACCAGGGCGACTCGGGCGCCATCCAGAGGAGTATAGCAAGAGGGGTTGGGAACATCCATTGAAGCGCAATAGGAATTCTAGATCTTGTGTTAGAGAAGGAGTTGCTTGTGAAGCTGAAGAGGAAGAGTATGTACCTATACGCGCTTGGATCAAGCTTACTGTTGAAATGATAGGTGACGCCACCTACGATAATAGCACCAATGGCCCAAAACATTTGTAACATCTGGGTAGCAGGAGCTCGCAGTTGGATCGGTGTGATTTCGCTGCAGTATGCTGGTGCGTTGGCAATGAAGATGCCCCATGGAATTCCTTCGAGAAGCTGGGATGCGAACATGACCGGAAGCGAATCGGCAAAATAGAACACAAAGATAAAGGCGTTCAAGAGCATGAGGCCGGATATGGTCGCCCAACGGTATCCGATACGGCTGGTAAGGGGACCAGCCAGGCAGACGCCGATAATTGCACCAACTGGTCCACCCATTTGAAGCGCAGACTGCCAACTGGCCACGATAACAAATTTGTCCTTCTCGGCGCTATACACACCGTACTTGTTCGCGAACGCAGGCAGGGCGATGAAATTACCCATCAGGAAGACACAATAGGCCTCCATAATCTAAAGATGGTATTAGCTGCAAATATCAGACGTAAGGGAAGCAAGGCGCCTGACAATAGTGCAAGACATGACAAAAGCCCACAACGCAGCCATAGGGTACGCCTTAACAGCCTCTAGCACCCCCATGTCGTGCTCTGCGTTCTCTGCCTCGACAGCAGCCGCCTTGTACAGAGCGCTTTGCGCTTTCTCGTCGAGGTTAGAGGCATCTTCCACTCGAGCGGTGGCCTTCTCGACGCTTGGAGCGTCGCCGTATGACTTGCGCTCCATAGGATCACTCATATCTGCTGATTGGGGCCGAGGTGGCAGATCTGTCGCGTAGGGGAGATGGCAGGGAAAGAGAAACAGCAACGATGTAACCGGAAAGGCCACTACCTTTTAAACAGCACATGGGCAAAGGGCCGGCATCTAGGATTCCTATGTAATCTTAAACTTCCATCAATCACAGAAGATCGCTTTCAGGCCGGTCTCACGCCAACCCCAAGCCGTGTGGTTTGACCGTCACGACCTCGTTGCGTCTGATCCTGCTGGGCGAGGCCTTCCTTAGCACCGGAAGGGTCGGTAGCGCTTTGTAGGTGGCCGTTTACTGTTGAAGTCCTCGGCGGTTTCTGTCATGAAGGGTAACCACCCCGCAGCTCCAGACTCCGGATCGCAACACAGCAGCCTATGAGAACCTTGGTCGCAAAGCTTTGTCCAACGCTACCCCAACACCGCACGCCAGGGAGACAATTTATCCGGGGGATGGAGCCCCAGGTTTCCAACTTCTCCACCCACCGACTCCCCGCTAACGGTGTTAGCTCGCGTTAGTGATACACCGAGAGGTGGGACCGCAGGAATATTACCTTCCTCATCCCCGAGATTGGATCATGCCAGCGGGCGGAGTGCAAAAAGGAGTTTGGCGTCCTCTTTTTCAAATCGTGCCAGCGGGCGGATCACGAAGAAGAGTTTGGCGTATTCTTCTACAATTAGAAATAGCTCCGTGCTAAACTGTCGCAGAAGGCGGAGACGAACGAAGGGATAGGAATGTATTGAAGAACGTACGGGGTGGCCCCGGGCGGTCATCGGCATTACAGAACCGACCACCCCGACAGAACTCACATGTGATGAGCAGAATACCTTTGCCAAGACCCCATCAACATCACGACTATTTTGCAACAGTAAATTAAGACAACCGCAAGAAACTCACTTCTGGAAATCAGCCCAGTTTATCACGCGCAGAAATCCGCTAGAGACGTTGTTCTATTACCCAGCACTTGGACAGCGCCCACTGCTTCCAAGGCTTCTAGCGACACGTGGTCTTGAGGGTTGTCATGGTTGACCTAAATTCGCGAGTACGCTACATAGCTTAGTTCTTTTCTCATGACGCACTGTACCTTATTAAGCGCATTAGTAGCCAGTCATTGCTAGCAGACATAGTTAGCAACATCATCTGCGGCTCATCAACGTTCGTCCTAACGATACAGCACACACTTAATCGCATAGACTAAGGTCAATGCCACAACGAAGTCTAGACACTCATGTCCGAGAAATAGTCGAGGCAATCAATAACACAAACAGAACAGCACAACAACCAAGTTCGTCGAATCAGAGTTACGTTTAATGAAGGAAGAATGCATAATAGTGCTTGCAGAGGCGAAAGCGCTCAGGCCATCAATACGGACGGACTGTTGGGGGCCTAAGCTCCATATAGCCCTTGATAATCCCCGTGGCAATTATTGTCTACAACGACTTCCTAAATTGAGACGAAGTAGTTGCCATGTGTTTAGAGCTCCAGCTTCGTTTCTGGAAATAAAGGATTGATGGCGGACAAGGACGTCACTAACGAATCGCGCGCGGTCGATGAGACCGGAGAGCGTAAGTACCACGGTTTCAAACAAATAACGTGTCCGAGTGTGTGGGTAGAACCTTCTGTACCTCATGCTCACCTGTCCGCGAGAGGAAGGCTACCATGATGCATCTGTGTGTAAGTTGACAGAGGAGGAAAATATAATTGATGGGGCACAGAATGCCGCATCGCGTCACACTCGCATTTAAATGCATACACCACATAGTATTATTACTGAAAAGGCTATCAAATTATCCTGCGTGCTTAAAAAGTAGTGGTATTGATCTTTAGACAATATAAATAACATACCGTTCATCTGGAAAATCTGGATTCTGGACGACCTCAGCACACACACTCTCTGCCACTGAAGCTGCTCCCTGTTTAAAGGCCTTTAGAAACGGTTCAAGATATTCCTTCTCTTTTTTATCAGGTCCTTCATAAATGATTTCATCCTTCCAGAATTGAAACATTCCAATTCGACAAAACTGCCCAGCCACACCACCGCTCTCCCTTAGAAGAATCCCGCAAATCATCATCTCAGCTATTGATTTGCCTTCGTCAACGTATCTCCCGCTCCCGGTTTTCCCACCCAAGAGTGGCAACAAATACACGGTGCTACCACCGCTCCTCCACTCGTCATCTAGACAGTCTGGTGAAACCGGGTATTCTGCATCTGCATTTATATCTCTCTCATCAGATTCAATCTTGACTGTACCCCCCTCATCAAATCTCGCAGCCAGCATACCAGAGCATGCAATGCGTAGTCTCCCCCCACTGACCTCACCAAAAGGATTCTGACCTAGAAATGTCATCTCGGCATCCAAGACGTGCGCATAGATATCATCCAGAATTCCAGATTGCCTCACTTTATACGAGACGCCTCCATCAATAGAAGCCCACGACCAACTGGGTGCACGCCACGATGGGCGCCTCCTCGGATTCGTGGCCTTCCAGCAGAGTTGCGCTTCAATATCATCTTCTCGCCACATTCCTGCCAGATACTGTCCGCCTCTCTCATTATGGATTTGTCGTACTATTCCAGAAAGTGCGGGGAGCTTATCTTGACTATAAGTCAAATCAGTGGTAGAATACAGTCTTACAACATCATCCCACCAGTATTCAAAGGAGCTTTGCCTTGTCCGCTGATTAATCAGACCACTGCCAAGTTGCCTTTTAAATCCATCCGGCAAGAATTCATTTGCAGTCATGGTCCTACATTCCCAAAAGGCGCCGCGATTGCCAAAATGGATGGTTCGGGGTGGGAGAATCTTTTCTTGGAATGCCCATGCACGTGTTGCTAGATGTGAATCTGTCGTAGACATTCTGTAGACGGATTGGGAACGAAAGTCTCGTACCAGATTGCCTCCGCTCACGGTGATAGATGCCCGTAGTCCATCTACGAGGTGGGGTGTTTTCAGGAAACAACCTTCGTGCACGCTGACGGCAGAGGCTGCAGCTATATTAATGAATGAGCCGCCGTAAACGGAGCTCATTAAGCTTGCTTCTCGTCGCCAGTCTTCCGTGTTTCCTTGTATTATGCATAATGAATCGATCCATAGGTATTCTAATCCGAGTCGCCGGCTGATGTGGATAGCGTCTCTAAACGTCTTAGGGAGCTCTTGGAGAGGTATCATCGACAACAAAGAGTTTTGATTCTCTTCGGTGAGTTTGAGGAAATTCTCGTCGCCCCAGCGATGGCTGAGGGTACTATAACGAGGCCTCATCTCCCATCCTTTAGTAAGGACCAATCGTGGCACATCGCTGGCGATAGAGATCAACCTGGAGGGCAAGACATCTTGGTCATTGTTGTTGCAATCCTCATGATTTTCGGAGCAGCGCTCTATCCAGCTATTTGCAATGTCAAGCACATCCCTTTGCTTATCGTAGGTATCGGCTACAATGTGTGAGAAATGCTATGAATCTTCTTGAGTCACTTACCAGAATGCTCCAGGGCTGCCGATTCAAAATTTGCTTCTAGCGCGATACCGTAATTACAATGATCACAAACCTTTCCAGGGAAGTTGATCCATAGCAGCTGGGATGAATTCCTGCCCCAATTCTGCACAGACAAAGATGCCATTGCCTTGTCGTCAAGATACTCCAACCGGGCCTCAATCTTTCGGAAGATTTCCAGTACCTTGGCATCTCTCATCACTTGCATTACAAAAGCGCAAAAGCGACAACCGTTCCGCGCAGCCGCTTCGAGAACTAGCGAATGACATTCTTGGGCAACAGTGTGCTTCCAATCCGCACCTGAGCCTGGCCAATGCAGTCCTGTACTCGGGTCCTTGACTTCGGGATCACTAAGATCCGGCCAGTTGTTAAATAGGTGCTGGCAATCGCCACAGAATCCGTTCGTAACAGGAACCTCTCCAGCCAGCTCGGTTATACATCTTTCGACAGTGTCTTCATCAAGCGTGTCGATTTGGACTTCTTGGATGATAGCATCATCTAATTTGAGATTCCCGTCGGCTGCATTGTATTCTTTATGCCATTTCTGAAGCAGTTGAAGGCTCAGTGCCGTTGGTTTCCGGAAGCATCTTTGGATTACGAGGTGACGCTTTGCCTTGAGTTGACTTCGATCGGCTATTCGTTCGATGGAAGCGACGTTCTGAATGCTGTCGCCATGGTCTTGCTCCATATTCAAGGAAATTAGGCTCCGATATTCTTCTCTGGAGAGTGGCGAAGACTTGTGCGATCAGGGACACTAAGTAGAGCTCTCCGCGCTGTTCTGAATCAACAAAGAAAGGGACGGATATATGGCCCGAAGCCACGGTGATATGAAGTGTGAAGGTTAAAATGTCCCCGAGTTGTTAATACATAGAGAAGGGCATACGAGAAGGATGCACTGCCCCTCATTTCGATAAGCAAACATTCCTTTTTAGCTTAGCGTGACTATCTGCACAAGGCGCACCTATTTACTGGCTATTCAAGTCCGTAAGTAGAGCATTAGCTGTATTAGTGCTATTGTTGCCGCCCCCTCAGCCATACAAAAGTAGCATGCCGGATGATTAGTAATTAGACTGACGAATCCCCGCTGCTGTATTTTCTTTTGGTCATAGATTCTCCGAACGAGCACACTTGGCCTATTGATGCTAGCCGCACCTTGAACACCAGACGTAGACATCAACAAGATCACTCGCAAGAGACACACACTTGCGATATCAAAGAAAGAGACAAAAGCACCATTCTTGCATCCTACTTTCAGCCTCCAACATGGCCTAGATACTGCGTCCACGATGGCGCCGTCACGTACACATCTGCTGTCGCCACTCTAAACCTTAAAAACGCGCCAACCAACAAGTACAACCGTAATGCCACATATCCGAGGCAACACATCCCAACATACACGTCTGCGACTCTATCCAGCAGCCCCGGTTTCTCAGCCCTAAGTGCATTTCGCTCATGTGCAATCTGCCGAAGGGGGAGGCAGGAGATGCAAACAATGCCCAGGAAAGTGATGCGCCAGAGTAGAGATTGTGTCTCGTGCGTAGGGCCTATGCGGTAGCAGAAGTTCAAGACGCCAGCCGTGCCGAGAGCAAGGAGAATAAGAGCGAAGATGTGCCATCTTTTGCGCGTGTACCAAATGTAGAAAGGAGAATTAAGGTCAGCTACGCCCCCACGTCCTTCTCCGCTGCCGCCTAAATAGTCAATGTCCGTTCCTTCATGTGACCATTTCGACTGGAACGGGTCCTGTAGTTCCTGCGGTTTCGAATATCGTAGTGCGGATACGAGGACTGCGTAGATGAGGTAGTTTAGCGCGATGAACTCCAGGCGTGCGAGTCTGTACTTGTGGCGGTATCGCATCCAACAGTTCCCTATAAAGTAGACCCCTTGGAACAGGGCAATCGCCTTGTCGGTGTAGTCCTTTTTGGCGCGACGCGAAATCTGTGCGTGGGTAGGGAAAATGGCAAAGCTCATTTTGCGGCGCAGGACTAGCTGGTCGAAATCCTGTGTTGCTTCGAGACCAGGGACTAGGATGCCGCCCATGGCGATAAGATGTGCTTGCTTGAGTGAGAAGCTTTCCCAGCCCTCTACTTTGCTTGTAGCGCGCCGTATATACCATGCTACAATGACCTCTTCAACTGCCACGACTACACCCGTCTCTGGGAACAGGACCGTGATGACAGCCTCGAGAATCTTCCTCGAAGTGAAGTTCGGAAACTCGACATCACTCATGTAGTCATCTGCCTCCTTGCGTAGAAGTCTCCGCCATGGGGACCAGAAGTAGTAGGTCCCGGTCTGGAGCAAGGATTTATACCAGAGAGGCGAGTGCAGGGTGCGTGTACTGAGGTGGATGGTGGACCAGACGGCGAAGATCATGACAGTGAGGCAGTTCCAGATTATGGAGGCGGTACCGCGGCCGCAAGTTGATTCAGCGTGAAATCCAATGGTAGTATTGGAGGGAACGACTGACTTGCAAGAGATGAGAACCAAAGAGGAGTTTGTGATGGTAGTCATAGTTGCTCTTTCTCGGCAGGATTGACCATGGAGGTCTGAGTTGATTGCAATGCTAGTGCATCGACAATATCACCATCCTACCTATATACTTCAGCTACAAAGGCTATGCTGCGTTTCAGCTCTACGAGGCTTGCAGGACAGGTCAATCTTTTCACAACTTGCATCGCTGTCTGAAAGCGTGGCGTCGAGACAATAAACCTAACCTGCAAGCCCACAAGGTTTTAGTTCCGAACGGTCGTGGATGCGCTCCATTTCCAAGCCTCTCATCTGAGGCGTATTGAAGAATGAGGGGTCGTTATCGTTTGCGACATTTCAGCCGCAGCCTAGATCTCTTCGACACGATAATAAGTAGGTATCGGGCCGGCTCCCCATCTAGCGAGTGCAGATGCGCAGGAGCGATTGCAGTGTCTTATCGGTGCAGGAAATAAAATAGAATCTGTTGCATGAGCCCCAACGAAGGTGCAAATTATGAGGCCAAGTTAGGTTGAGGGGATTGCTGGCTTTTTGTTCTGCTGCTGCTGTAGGCAGCAGCATCGCTGTTACGTGGCTAGACTCAATTCTATGGTTCTGTGACTGACCGTCGCGGTACCGTACTGTTTGTTATATTGCAATACTGCTTTTATGACTTGCAGAGAGCTCTCCGAGCTTTACAACTTATTCTTCTCTTAGGTTGAGGTCCATTGACAGCCTTTGTGAAGGCCTGGACTGCAATTGAGGTAGGACAGGTTGTAACCACGAGCTCGCGCGCAACGTTTTACATTTCAATTGCCACGCGAAATGGTTGGACTGTGATGTGTCCGATCTTGGAAAGGCGCCTGCTTCAGTTTTGCTAGACAAAAGGTATCGCAAATGGCTTTCCGCGCTGTGCGCTTTTGTTTTTCTGCGATTGGCTGCCCACTATATCCTCACATATGTCATCAGTAACTGGACATCGCGTGCTCAAGAGAAAAGATGCCAAACAGTGTTTGTCATCAGCAATCTCGAGGAAAATCAGGGGATCGTAATCGTTGCAATAACTGCCGAAGCTAAAGAGTACTGTAACAACTCGGTAGTCCCGAACCAGTCGGTTGGCATTAAAGGTCCTATAGTAGGTTCGCTAAGTTATCTCAACACATAACTCCAGTGATAAGTTCTCGTCTTCCATCCTCCTCTAGAATGTATTTCGCTCTGTCATGGCTAGACACGATGCCGATGACTTGTGCGCAAGGTCGCTATTCTCGTTTAACCCTCGTGTGGCGCCCTAGTCATTCTTCCCGTTGAACGGGTGCCAAGCACTCCAAGACCACGGACGATACGAGTCTTGTCCCCCGCCTCGATGCTAGTGTCTTGGACGTCGTTGCTTATACGTTGTCGGTGGTATTGACGGGCGCATACGAGGAGAGACGGGCATTTGAAGCCTTCCAAGAGGCGTACTTTCTGACTACGAAGCTGTAGGGTATAAGTCGTTGATCTGTGCAACCCAGGAACCCATGTCTATACTGATTCTGAATCTATGGTATGGTGCGAGATGCAACTTACTATAAGACCAATACGACAAAAATAAGTATGAAGACATTTGCGATTGGATGCGCGATGCTCCTCCCCAGCTTGTCGCCTGCACCCGATCTCTGATCTGGCGTGCTGCCGTTGCCGCGCTCGGCTTTGCGCGCCAGATCCAGGACCCAGGCCGCAGCCTCGTCACTATACTTGTCGAAGTAGCTCAGGTGGTTCGACATGTCCGTTTTGCCGGAATCTGGTGCGCAGATGGGATCGCCCGGCTGGCAGTACTCGCGGAGGAGGTTGGCGTCGGCATAGGGCTGTAGGCCTGAGAGTTGTTCTGATGTGCGAGGGCGGGAACCGTTGAATGCGTCGCCGCCACCGACAGTCCAGGACTGGTGCGCGGAGCGGCGTGTGGGTCCGAAGACGAGGGCTGCAGCGACTGGATGAATGTCAGTATGCTTGGTTTTCAACGTCGACAGCAGAGGGGAAGGGGACGTGCCCTTGGAGCCTGGGGCCGTGGTAATGTCCATTTTGGGGTTCTCTTCTTGCACGCATCCCCAGAGCTCGCCACCACCCCCGCCTAACACGTCGAGCAGGACACTCCCGCCCTGGCTGAAGCCCATGAGGATCAGATGGCTATCTGGACACCTCGCAGTGTAGTTGCTCATTTGCTCGGCGCCATTGACTGCGCCCTCGTGCGAGGACGAGCACCACTTATCCCCATTCAAGGCAGGGTACTGGACATCCTCATATCCACAGGCCTTGGAGTTCTCGTTTGTATTCAGCGCATTGCACACTTTGCCAACCGTTTCAAGAACGTGGCCAGGGTAGGACGATGTCGAGCCGCGAGCGACGAAGTGGTGGTAGGTCTGACATTCGGCCGTCTTGAGGTGTTGGTACTGCGGGCAGTCTTCGAGTTTGGTGCACACGGCGAGCACGCTCGAGGCGTAGAAGAGCGCGGAAAAAGCAGCCCGGGGTATCATTGCGAGCGTGGACAGACAGCGAACTTGCACGAGGAAGACGCAAGTGCAAAGGAGACGCGCGTGTAGAGAAGATGCAAATGCAAAGCAAGCAAGGGAAGACGCTCAACTACAGTTCAAGCGCGCACGAGACCAGCTTGTCGCAGTGCGTTGCCTCGAAAGGGAAGAAAGGTAAGTGAAGATAGGGTGAACATGTCGAATTGAAGGGTAGAGTGGAGACGCCCTGTTGCCCTTGCAAGTGCTTGCTAGTAGTAGTAGAGACATGCGCGTCGTCCTCCATGGCCAAGAGTGTAGGTCATGCGTGAGACGGGCGTTGAGTGGCTGGCGTGGTTGCGATGCGTGAAGATTGTCGTCAGCCCAGCCACTTAGCGCATGGAGAGCCGGCAGCAACGGCTTTTGGTGTGGTGGCCACGCGCACTGCCACAGATGGCGCCTCGTATTTTCGCTTCGACTTGCGGCATTCGAGTACCAACAATGTTTTGCTTTTGTGTCCCTTTGGCGCCCGGCTGTGATGTCTTGAGTCGCATCGTGGTTGCACCTTGCTCGCGGCCACCCTCCGCTAGGGACAAGCAGGAGACGGGGAAGAGCCATCACCAATCTCTCTAGTACACAGGGCCGCGTCATCCCCTTTTCTTCACCCTACGCCTTCTGTAAAATACCCCTTCAACATCCCCATCTCACAGTTGGTCTGTGTTGCTCGCAGTCTTAACGAGAGTAGTCTTTTCAAAGTTGTTTTGGCAGCCTGGTGCCGGTCTTTTCCGCGGCTATCGGAAAACACGACTATGAAAGTTCTGCTCACCGCCCGTGCCTCGAATCAAATATGCCAACGCGATTTCATTTGAGACGATACGTCCCGTCGTCACATTCCAGGCGACACAGGAGTGCTACGCAGTGACGAAACGACTGGACGCGGAACACCTCTTCTCGACCTAGTGGTCCCCATGGATGCAAAGGCCTCACCATGGGGTCAGAAGCAGTATTTCCTGAGCTGCCCGAGCTCGTACTCTGACAGCCGGCGATCTCTGGTGAAGAAACCAACCAGATGGCACCCTGTCGCTGTCAGGAGAATTATCCCTGGCACGACGTCATATATTGGTCTTCCCCCAATCGCTGTACAACCTCCTTCTCCTGGACTCGGAGCAAGAACGCTTCTTTAGGCATCCAGCGTTGTCATATTCAGTTTCGAACCAACTAAGCGACATGAACCGGGCTCAAAAGCCTCACTTTTCTAGATGCCAGCACTGCCAAGTGTCATTCATGGGACAATGCGGCACGTCTGTCTTGAAAGGCTCTTCAGGATTAAAGGCAATTCTATTTCTCTATCGTACGCGATCGCTATCCTCTCGCAATCGTCGAATTCTGGACCCCAAGATGTTAAGCGGATCGTGACCATGTCTCGGAAGATGCGGCTCTGCCTAGCACGGCCCCTCCCGAACCCGATCTACAGCTACAGCGACGTCACCAAGCCCTTTCTCGGCTCTACCGCTGTGCCTTAAAGAAGTGTGGAGACAAAGATGAAGATTACTGTTACATTTGGGCCTTGGAAATACCCCAGGTCATCGTCACTTTCAATCTGATCTGATTTTTTGTTACTAATAGCTTCATCTTAGGGTCCCACATGCTTGAAGTGGACCATAATGCCATTGTCTCCACGTGGATCAAGAGGCCGCCGACACCGCTACCTACCTTGGCTATCCTTTCCAAACTTTCTCGTCGAGATTTTATGCACACTTCGTCTGAGCTCATATGTGCTACCACCACCTACTGTCCTGGCGGCCGCAATAGTGCACACTACGTGATGTTCCAGGTGCTTTAGATCTCTCCACAGTGGTTTTTAGTCCCCTTCATCCCGCATCGGTCCGTCTCACGCAGTTTGTTTATATGGCTTGTTCCTCTTCGGTTCCCTGAGACAATACCGATCTCATCGACGACCATCACTTACTCCATTTCTTCCGTCGTTGCTCAACAGTACAAGTATTAGTACACTTAGGCGTGCATCTTGGCTTGCCTAACATGGACAGACAAGATGCCATTGCCGACCATGGCGACCTTCACAAACAGCCTTCAGACACCCTCTACGATCAACGCAAAGCTACCGACAACAAGCCGCTATCCGCCAATCGACCCATGCCATCCTTCGTAGCAGATGCGACACACGACCCAGAAGATCCTCTACGCCATCATGGCTTTGCCGAAAGCGAGAAGGACAGTGCACATTTCGACAGCGATACGAAGCTCGGCGACGTCTCAGATGTTCAGAATGCGAGTAAACTACCTACAAGTGGAGAGCCAACCACAAGAAAAAAGCTCACCACCACACAAGCTGTTATCATCTTCATCACAAACGAAGTCGGTATCGGCATGTTGTCGCTTCCTTCTGCGCTTAATACTCTCGGCTTCTTCCCTGGTCTTCTGTGCATAGTCGGCATGGGGATGCTCAGTTTGTATACCGCATACAACCTGATCCAGTACTGGAGGAAGTACCCTTACATGCTTAACATCGTCGACTACGGCCGTGTGCTCGGCGGTCCCTGGGTTGAAGGCATCTTCGCCGTTGGCTTCTTGATCAACATGGCGCTAATCAGCGCATCAGCACTTGTCACGCTCACCATTGGTCTAAACACTGTAAGTGAACATGCGACCTGCACGGTCGTCTTCGCAGTCATCGCAGCTCTCGTGATGTGGGCTATGTGCGTTCCACACAGCATGCGCGTGGTCACCTGGCTTTCTTGGCCATGTACGGCATCCATCATTGCGACAGTCCTCATCGTCATGATCACACTCGGTGTGCAAGGCCCAAAAGATCCAGAGGCACCGCTCAACCTCAAGGCCATCGGCAACCCAACCTTTACGCAAGCCGTCTCCGCCTTCCTGAACATCGCCTTTGCATACGCCGGTAATCAGGCCTTCCCGACGGTGCTTGCAGAGATGGAGAACCCCTCCCGCGATTTCCCTCGCGCTGTCACAATTGAGAAAAGCATATCAACCGTTATTTACGTTGTCGTGGCATCTACTGTTTACGCACTATCCGGCGAGCAAGTCGCGTCTCCTGCTATTGGTTCGTTGCAAATCACCATGGCCAAAGTCTCATATGGAGTCTCATTTGTCGGGCTTATGGGGACTGGTTTGATCTTTGGCATGACATCCGCACGCTACCTGTATGTCTTTTTCATGCGCCAAATTAGTCTTTTCAAGCATAACAAGAATCTCAAAGACGGAAGCGCACGTCGAAGTTCCGTCACTTCCGATCCCTCGCGTGGTCGCCGTTCCTCCTTCGCCCTCCCCGAGGCAAGCAAAAGAACCGAACGAGCTGTCTGGCTTTTCGCCGTCACGCTTTTCTGGGTCGTAGTCTGGATCCTCGCAAACGCTATCCCTGTCTTCAACTCGCTACTCAACATTTCTTCGTCTCTATTGCTTTCGTGGTTTACCTGGGGCGTCACGGTGCTCTTCTGGTTCCATCTCAACTGGAACGGCAAGTGGCGATCGAGTCGGAAGAAACTGGCTCTCGCGGCGTTCAATGTGTTTATCATGGCTCTGGTGCTCTTCATGATGGTGCCGGGCATGTATGCGAGTATTTCTGCACTGCTGGCAGTGTTTGCGGATCCGAATCAGAGCGTAAACGGGGCGTTTACTTGCGCTGATAATAGTGCAATATAAGCACATTGTCAGGATAGATGAATGCATTATGATACCCACGAGAAGTTTAGTCTAATGTCTTGCGATTACTACCCTATTGCTGTTTGTACCTTTTAGAACACTAGGCTTTGTGCTCGTACGCCATGACTGATGCTCATTCACATCCCCCAAGGGGATAACCAGCAAAGAGAACAAGAAGAACGGTGGACAACCTCAGATGGAAATGGAATGAAGAAGCTAAGCTTTTACGATTTGCAGAGAGCTCTCCGAGCTTTACAACTTTTCTTCTCAATGAAGAAGCTACAAGTTTGAGGGTACGAAATGTCTTAGTCCTAAGCTATCATTGGCATCTTATCGAGGCCCCTACTAATAGATATCATAATCTTGTCCTTTGTCAAACGTTAGCACACCTTGAAGTCCCACTGTAGAGAAACTAGAGAGACTTACAAACACCCACTGCGGCATAAACGGTACGGCCCACCTGATGATCGCCGTGTTTCCCCCTCGCCACACTTTCCCCGATTTACCGCTCATCACATCAGCCACAACCTGGCTTGCGAACTTCTTCGTAGGCATGGTATCCCACGTATAATCAGCGGCTATCTGCTTTTCAATCGGCAGATACATTGATGTTGAAGGAAGAGAAGCGGGCGGCGGCCCGTTGACGTCGATGTTCGATGCGACGTTACCCACCATAAGGGTGATGACGCGGACGTTGAGTGGTGCAAGTTCGAGGCGCAATATCTCAGAGAGCATGATGATTGCCGCCTTCGAGGCGTGGTACTGGCCTTCCAACACATTAGTAATGTGGATCCATATATTCGCAGATGTGAGAGGGCGGGTTCAAGGGAAGATGTTTTTGCACGAACTCTGGAACGGCACCGTTACTACCCCAGCAGTGGAGCCCACGTTGACAACTACTCCTCTCGCGGCAATCAACATCTGTGCAAATTCTTGTATCATCCTCAAAGCTGCCCAGTAGTTCACGTCGAATAGACCCTTCGCCTTCTCAATGTTCACATCCAGCGCTGGCATCACGAATTGTTGACCTGCATTATTCACCAGTATGTCTAGCCTTCCGCCCGTCCGTACTCCCACCTCTTTCACAGCGGTGGAAATTGACACGGGATCCGTGACGTCGAGAGATAACAGATGGATGTTTGGTAGGGAGGCGAGGTCTTGCATCTTGTTCAGTGAGCGTGCAGTTGCGAATACCGTCAGGCCGCGCTCTTGAAAGGCAAGTGCAAGCGCGTGGCCGATGCCACCAGCGCTACAGCCTGTGATAAGGACGGACTTGGATGGCATTGTGTATTGAGTAGGTAAAGACCCCAACTCCTCACTGGGCCTGATGGAAAGCCAAAATGTATTGAAGAATCGAAGAATTGATGAGAATCGTATTATCAGTCTGGATAACCAAATCCTCTGTGCAGTGTTACAGGAATCATATATAGCTGTCAACTAAACGGATATAATTGCACACTCGGAGGAACTAAGCGCACTATAGAGTAAGAAACACACATAATTGCACACACGGAGAAACTAAGCGCGCCGCGGAGGGATCTTACATGCTCATTAGAGGATATGGGGAATCCGTTGTGGTGATGCCGCGAAAGTGATCACGATTGAGTTCCGCGTTTCGTCCGGAACCCTAGACCCTTTGACCAATTACCACTGCGTGTGTATGCGCCACCATCACGTGTGCAACGATATAAACGAACATTCTTATCCTGGACATGTTACAATGGCACATGCGTGATATTGTTCAATCCAGATATGATTCTACATGCAGCGTTCAGCGTTTAAGACTATGGCCTCTTATCTTTCAAAGTGTTCTAAAACCGGCTTCGGCTTGACGAGAAAGTAGTCAGTACCTTCTGTTGCCATCGTCGGTAAGCGTTGAATTTTCCCTACGATTTTGAACTCTCGAAGGGATCTCATATGTCCTTGGTACTCCGATGGTACTCATAAGTTGGAGGATGTCGCGCCCGCAAACTTGTGACGACGAACTACTGACAGAACAAATTCGCTTCGCTATTGCATTAGCTACAAAAGAATTAGTTATTTTGCGATATGACAAGATGCGTAAAAACTACGTGCGCACCAAGCAGCTGCACATCAATCTCAACAAAAACAGCGTGTGGAATAATACAAGGTAGCATATAGCTCTATCACTTTCTTCAACAAATACTGCCAAGACAGTTGAGACCATACATCAGACAACGAGTTGCTGGGGAATGATAAGACGATAAGTCTGCGTCCAAAGAGTTAGATACAAGGCAAGGCGCTTATGACTCATCGCTCACCGCGCATTTGGGTGCACTTGCGCCTCGCAATTCCCAATACAGTCTTGCAGACACGGCCTTTCAGTGCTGCCATCCTACATTAAGTTTCATTTTAGTCTACTGAAAGCACAAGAGGTGTGAGAGCGGTTACGCCAAAGGTACCTCCGTTATGAAAAGGAAGTCGTTGGGTAGAGCGAGCTTCGGCTCTCCACTGTGCGGCCGCCTCAGGTCGCGCACATGGACGCATTTCCGTCCCGACACAACATGCTATACACCGGGAAAAACACCGGAAACAAGCACTTGAAATCTGCTAGCATCATTTTTCTAAGGTTAAAAAAGCCGTGCTTACTACATACTAGACAAGGAGTATAGCAATAAGAGGCCTAAGCCAAAATCCAAAAATTCACGACACAGCAAATAGAAGACCCACGATAGATCTAGTTCCCCGCTAAAATCTGAATGTTCAGGCTACGCTCCCGAACCAGGGGTAGGTGTATGCCTGAAGTACACTAACGCTGACACCCGAAGTGGTCCGCCCCACATAAGCATGTGCTGGTATTCACCGATAGCCCGGTCATTAACGCCGTGTTGTGGCGCCCTCGATATTAGTCCATACTTAAAATCGATGGAGTCCTCATGGAAAGTTTCCCAATCTCTCAAGAATCCAGAGTCTTAGCACATGCTTTTGCTCGGATCAGCTATCGACAGCTTGACCTACGACCGAGAATAGGAAATTGACGAACCTCTGGATACTCTCTGACGGCGAAACTTCCTACAAATCACTTGAGCAAGCCTTCGAATTGTTTCAGCCTTAGTTTTCAAAAATGGCTTCGTTCATTCTGCGCGACGTTCGCATCTTCACAGGTGAAGAGACAATCGAGGAAGGCTTCATTCACGTCGAAGATGGCAAGATTAAATCCATTGGTCCGGTGTCAGATGCAACCCACGCCTCTATCAAAACCTACTCCAAACCGGGACATACGCTTCTACCGGGCCTAATCGACTGCCACATCCACGCCGATATGGCCGATCCAGAAGCCCTTCCCCAGGCCCTGCGGTTGGGCGTAACGACTGTTTGCGAAATGCAGAACGAGCTAGACAACGTACGGAAGCTTAAAAAGCAGACACTAGAGCCAGATACTGCTTCATACAAGACAGCCGGTCAGGCAGCGACCATTGAGAACGGATGGCCAATCCCGGTGATTCTAGCACATAACAGCAGCCCGGAAGTTTTGGCGGAGATTTCCAAATGGCCTAAATTGACAAATCGGGAGAACGTGATCGAGTACCTGGAGTGGTCGACGAATGAGATGCAGCCTGACTATATTAAGCTGATGCATGAGAGCGGGGCGATGATGGGTCGCAAACTCGATTATCCAACTGTTGAACTGCAACGCATTATCGTGGAGGAAGCGAAGAAGCGCGGATATCTGACTGTCGCACATGCTACATCTCTACAAGATACGCTTGACGTTCTGGAAGCGGGCGTGAACGGTCTTACGCACACATTTTGCGACAAGCCACCAACCAAGGAAATCATTGATGCGTACAAGAAGAACAACGCTTGGCTCAACCCGACTCTTGCAGCAATGGGTAGTTTGACGACCGAGGGCAAAGATCTTCAACACCAGTTCGCCCACGACCCAAGGGTGAAGGGCTTGATCAATGAAGACCGAGTGGGCAACATGTGCCAGTGCATGGCTTTTGCTCTAGAGCATGGAAAGGTTCAGTACGCATATGAGAGCGTTAAGGTGTTACGGGAGGCGGGTGTTGACATCCTTTGGTACGCTTTCGTTTTGGAGCCATGTGACATGCAGGCTAACAATTGAGCAGTGGTAGCGACTCCGCAGGTCCTGCGAAAGGGACCGCATTTGGGCTCTCTATGCACCACGAGTTGCATCTATTTGTGCACAAAGTGGGCATGAGTCCCCAAGAAGCCTTGCGCTCAGCTACCAGCTTAGTCGCGAAACGCTTTAAGTTCGACGATCGCGGTCGTTTGGAGGAGGGGTTGAACGCCGATCTGCTGCTGGTCGAGGGCAATCCGCTAGAAGATATCGATGCGACTTTGAATATTCGCGGCGTTTGGCGTGATGGGAACTTATGCAGTGCGCATGCTTCGAAGATGGAAACGGGTACACCCTGAGCAACAGTGCGCACACTTGTGTTGAAACGAACTTACATGTCGAAGCACAGGATGACACGTTGAAATTACAGTAGCTTCATGAACAATTAACTCAAGATATACTCAAGATACCCGCTACTACGCCCCTTAGCGTCTTAACCCAACCCATCTAGTTTCTCGTACCACTGTTGTTGCTCTGCTCGAAAGCTCGCAAATTACACTCTACTCTACCAAAAAATCCAGACTGACAGTAATAAACAATTCAATAGAGTTCTAATACAAGTTAAAAAACATTCATAGGTCATCCAACAAACATCAGCGGGAAGGTCCTTGAGTGGTCGGCTGATCAGGATCTCCGACCTAATAGAGAGATAGTCGAAAACGCCCTCTCACTATATGCAATCGTATTTGTAAGATGTGGATTCCGGAATCTCGGATGCGCGAGACACGGGGCATGCTTGGTAAACAGGAGCGGAAGAGCCCCGCAGTTAATCGCGCGGGGCCGAAGCGCGCTAGATTACGAGCGCACAATTTACGAACATAAAGACATCCAAGTCGTGCATAGTGAATTTGGTTTAGGGGAAAAATTTGGGATCTTACACTTGCAAAATGTCGAGCACTGTAAGTTATAGTAAACCAGTCAGCAACGATGGGCGATAGTGGTTAACACCTGCCAGAACGACACCCACAACTTCGCAGAAAAGGACGGTCAATTCCGGCGTCAAGCTTCTCAATTTCGCAACTTCATCTCCTCCAACCAGAGTTCAGACTTTCCAGCCGAGAAAGATCGATATGCGCTCTACATTCAGCTCGGCTGCCCATGGGCCCATCGCACCAACATTGTCCGTAGCTTAAAAGGGCTTGAGGATGTCATCCAGTTGATTGCATGGGATGCGTCCCTCCTCCATGAAGGTAAGGGATGGGCGATGTCCGGGAAGCCTGGATTTGAAAAGGAGCCGTTGTATGGGTTTACAAATGCGAGGCAGTTATACGAGAAGGCGGATCCGGGGTATACGGGGAGGTATCTAGTACCAACGCTTTGGGACAAAAAGAAGGGTTAGCTTGCCTGTTGCCAACATGGGAGAGAGGTACTAACACCACCTGCAGAGACCATTGTGAGCAATGAGTCCAGCGAAATCATTCGAATGTTCTACACCGAATTTGATGCTCTCATCCCAGAGCATCTACGCGAATCCGCCAAAGGTGACAAAGGCCTCTTTCCATCCCATCTCCGTCAAGAAATTGAAGCTATGAACGACTGGGTCTACAATACTATCAATAATGGTGTCTACAAGACTGGTTTTGCAACCACGCAAGAAGCATATGAGGAGCACGTGTACCCCATCTTCGCATCTCTCGATCGCCTGGAAGAGCACCTCGGACAGCCAGGGCACGGCCCGTACCTCTTTGGAGATTATATTACGGAAGCGGATATACGACTGTATCCTACGCTAATTAGATTCGACGTTGCGTATTTTACCATATTCAAGTGCAATTTAAAGATGATCCGGTATGATTATCCGAGGTTGCATGAGTGGTTAAGGAGGCTGTATTGGGATAAGAGTGAGAAGACGAATGGTGGGGCGTTCAAGAAGGACGTGAACTTCCAGGCGGTAAGCACAGGATATTGCCCAATTCTAGATCCGCCGTTAACAGTTAACAGTATAGAAACGGGTACGCGAGCGCCATCAAAGCCAAGGTCGTCCCTGTCGGACCGAAACCCGACATCCTACCCTTGTAGGCGGAAATGGACAATCTTGCAAGGTGCATCAGAACGGCTCGAGTGTGAACATCGTGGTTGTGGCTGAGTCGTTATCGACAGCAACGACGCCTCCCCCGTCTCATCCCTAGCGTATGACTCATCCACCTGCTTGGAATACATCAAGATAGGATAGTTGAACCCTATTCCGTCTCCGTTCGTCATCCTCTAGACTACTCTTAGCGTCAACAAGATGTTATCTGAAGCTTACAGTTTTTGCAAACCTGCACACGGACGCCTAATTCCTCAGCAGTCAAATTACTCATCTTGCGTGTGCAAATGCTTACAGGCCAACGCCGAAATACCGAAACGCGAAATCGCAAAGCCGCGAAATCATGATTATGCAAAAGACTTTTGCACATTTATAAACAATAATAAGAATTATAAGATATAAGATGGATGTATAAAGGAAGGTGAGATGTATCATTCACCACACGACAGCTAATCAAAACGCAACTATTTCGAGATAGACCTATTACGACCGAAAGGAAGCAGGTATCGATACATAGTCGACGAAATTACAGTCAATATCGAATTCAATATCATTCTTCAAATCGCTGAAATTTGGTCCTCGCGTCTCAATCGCACAACATCAAAGATGTCGCACTTCGCAATAGACTACTCGCAACCGAAGTCGCATCACAAACAGAAAGTAAAGCCTTCATCACGAGAATCACAACACCTTTTCACATTGCTTGAGGACTGTCAGGTCCTCTACGTCCGATCTCAGTTATCGCAAACCATCAGCCGGCAATTGCAAGCCACGCTCAAAAACTCAAAAACTCCCGTCACCACAATACTCTCGCTCGGCCTCGGCAGTCTCCTAGTATTAAAAGGGCAAACGCGGAGAGTGAAGCAACTCACGATATTACTAGCTATCCGGGACTCTTTGCGACAGTTCTCTCAATTGTCGATAGAAGCCTACGCACAAGACCCAACATTTACTCGCGCCGATGAGACCTTCCTTACTAATCTGGGAATCCGCATATTAAGGACACCATCCGGATCGGAACTCGGAGAAGCGGCAGCCATCATAGGCCCCTCAACCATGATTTATTCTCCCTTCTTGACGCTCGAAGCGTATGAGCAGCTACTGATAAACGCTGCATCGCCGGTGCAGTACCTCCTGGGCGATGACTTCAATGCGCTGCTTAACAAGTGGCCAAAGCACAGCGCTGAGCGGACGCAAGTGGAGCGCGTGATGAAGTCAGGATTGTTGTCATATCGGAGAAGAGTAGTGAATGGAGAAGGTTTCTGGACGAAAGGGGACGGGACGTTTCCTATGGCTGTATATGAAAGATTAGATGGGCACTCTAGAAGGACAGTGAACGCTAGGATATAAGAGTAGAAAACAACTAGATAAACATTTAATTATTCGTCTTCCCGGTAACTCTACGATGCTTGTTGCGCATTTCTAATCTATAATCACTCTTTAGAGGCATGACACCCACTATCCAAACAGCGCTTAGTCATTTCCGCACGTCTCGTCACTTCTCCTGTGAGTATTACCAAGTACCAAACTCCAAGATAGAGTAACGATAGACACTGTGCATAACCAAGCCCACCAAACAAGACCGACGGCGTCCATCTCTATGCCCTTCGCCAACAGCAAACCCCCGATCGCCGGGCCACACGCACTTGAAAATGCGCTAAGCGTATTACCAGCACCATGAACAGTGCCGAGGACTCTACGATGAGGTACAGCTTCTGTGAGTAAGATAACACTGCTTGGGATCGCCATGGTGCGTGCGATGATCTGTGTGAATAGAACGGCGGCCATTGCGATGTACTTTGCTATTCCGTAGCCGGAGAGAAGAGCGACGTACGGCGCAAAGATATAGGCGAGCGGAAAGATGAAGCTAGCGAGGCGGAACACACCCAGTGTTCCTATACGGCTTTGAATGCGCGGGTATATAAATAGTTGCAGGAGAATGCCAGCAATGCCAAATGTGGCAAGATAGAGACCAACGGTTGGAGATGCGAGGCCGAGACCACCCGTAAAATGAAAGATGCTTGGACTTGGTTTGGCCATAGTTGGCATGCTCAGAAAGACTGGAAATACGTGAAGAAACGTTGCCGTGTGAAGTGGTAGGAGAGCAAAGAGCAGCAGGACTTTTAGGAGTCGACCACTCCATATGTCGCGCAACAGCGGGCGACATGTGTAATTGATCGGTGATGTAGAGCCAGTGGAAGGTGACGCAATCGAAACACCGGATATCGCTGGCTCCATTTCGTCCATCTGAATCATCGCGTACCCACTGGCTGGCTTTCTCAGAACACTTCGCTTGATGAAGCTGGAAAGCGCTTCGCCCAAAGCAAGACCGAAATCTTGATGATTTTCTTTCGTGGACAGGCTTTCGCGGAGCCATAACGTCGCCAGTACAAGACATAGCGCAAGTACTGCGCCATTGAAGACCGCTGGAAGTGCGTATGGATATTTAAGTGCCCATTTCACGCCGTTCGGGTTTCTAGAGACGTTGAAGAGGCCTTCCGGTCCAAAAATAGCGGGCAAATTGTCAACCGGGTCTGCGAGACAACCTCCAACCGCTAAGGCAACCACTCTTCCGGAGTTGAAGATTACTGGTGCAGCTAAGAATGCTCTTGGCTGATGTTTGCGCTCTTTGACAATCTCGGCAGTCATAGTTCGCATTACCCCCAGGATACCGTTCGCCATTCCAGCCACGACTCTCCAGAAAACCAATGTACCGATCGTACGCGAGAAACCAAATGCCAGATTAGCAACTACGCTTATAGCGAGTCCAAACAGTATGACTGGCTTCCGACCATATAAATCCGAAACCCGGCCCCATAGCATGCTGGTCGACATTTGTCCCAGCGGGTATGCTGCTACAAGAAGCCCGGTCAACCGCGATATCTGTTGAGGTGCGGCTGGATGTTCTGGGTCCGAAAGGATCGACTTGACAAGGAAGTAGAGATACGGTAGAAGGCAAGCATTCGAAAGCGGGGTCGAGAGGCGGCACAGCGCAAGCAAGAGCAACTGCCTCTTGTGTGGTAGGTTTCTCCATGATGCCTTTTCTTCCTCCGCTTGGATACTGAACAAAGGCCCCTTCTCATCGATCAGAGTGTCTATATTGCATTAGTAGGCTTCCTCGTGTTTGTTAGAATTGGCTCACCTTCAAGGAGCGTCTCCTGCTCTGCTTTGCGATCAGTAACACCCATCGTGAAGCTACATGCCCTTGCCTAAGCACGGAGGTAGCAGTGAAAAGCCGCTGTCTTCAGCACCTAATGCGATTAGAAGTTTTCTCCGTGTGCCCAGTCATCTGCGTCATGAGAAAAGTAACGTGAGTGCTGGTGGTACGTGTTACATTCCAGAAAGGCGTCATTTTGAGGGTTTGCGGACTGCCTGCCCTGACCTAAGCACAATCTCGAGAGTATTTGAGTCCGGGAAAACCCCTAAACAGTGCAAGTAAATATGGGTCAACTCAATTAGCTAATTCATGCAAATGGAGAGATTGAACGTCGGTACTTGGTTATATTGAAGAATCGGGAAGGTCGAGTTCGATATAGATGACTAAAGGTATGTGATTGGCTAGCAGCGAGATGGAGCGATGATAGCGATCGGCAATTGCTTTTAGCCTGGTTGACAGGTACTGAACCCGCTACAAAACACTGGAGACTTCTCAATATCGTGTCGGCTCGCTGCAAATGATCAAGTTGGGCGAGGAGGAGCGTTCGTTCATGGTTTCCGGCTACCTCGAGTCCAGCATTTGCGGTCGTTCGGCCTGTTTTATGAGAACGGCAGCTTCAGAAACATCTGCAGAAAGGAACAATCAATCTCAATGTAACAATGTAGCACATGCAAGGTCTAGGGTGTTGCGTGCGAGGCTTGGAGTGCGGCGGGGTGGAGGAGGGCAGACGAAGCTGACGCGTGTACGCCAAGCAACTTCTCTGGGACCCTCACGCACTCTGCTGTTCCGCGATGGCACTACCAAACGTCGATAACGCCCTACTGTTAACTGCTTCAACAAACTCAGATCAAGAAATGCAAATTAAAGCGCCCGATATGTTGTCGATGGCCATCTTCTCTTATACTGTAGTAGCTTAGTCTTCAGCCATCCATCACATGACCTGACGTAAGCGCCTTCCTACTTACGAAAGATTGCAGGATACCACCTACAGGTTCAGCTCAAGCACCATCATGCTTTCCGTGAGGGACGTAGTTTCAAGATGCGACTCGGTAGTTGTGTCTGCGGATTATTGAAAGCGCGGGATGCAGCTGCAGGGGAGCGCCACAACTACAGGATTGGGTGCATCTGCAGATCAGCTATACCCACCAGCGTGCGCTGCGGCTCATGATCACTTTTACAACGAACTCGCGCTTTCCTTGGGCACTGAATATGTTAGGTCATTTTCTGCCGACCAGGGCGACCACAAGGCTGCTAGCGGTTAGCCTCTTCTTTGGGGTTGCTTCCCTAGCCTGGGGGTACGTGAATCATGCCCAATTTTGGCAGCATACTGACGTGGAGCAAGATATAACATTGGAATAATGGCGTCCATATACGTGCACCCGGGTTTTCAAAAGTCGCTCAACCATCCATCCAAGGGCATGACCGGCTTCATCACATCTATCTATTATTTTGGAACATTGGTTAGCTACCTCTTCATCGCACATCCACTAGCCGATCAATATGGCCGGAGATTAGCAGCCGCAGCCGGCGCGCTTACCACCATTATTGGTGCGGTGCTTCAGACTGGCGCCAAAGATTCTCACGGTGTTGAAGCGATGGTTGTTGGCCGCATAGTATGCGGGATTGGTCTTGCTATCGTCTCGACCTCTGTCCCGCTATATCAAAGGTGGATATACCGAATTTGGCATCATGAGAATCGTTGCTGAGGTCTTTGTAGCGAAGTATCCCCGGCAAAAAATCGTGGCCGTTACGTCGTGATCAATCATCTCGGCTTAGTCGTGGGCCTAGCAACCGCTTTCTGGTACCTATCATAAGTTCTAATGCACCTTTCCATGCTCACACTTACAGGGTTGGGTATGGGATAAGCCATTGGGAAACTACACGCGGCACATATTACGGCTGGAGACTTTCAATGGCGCTGCAACTTATCCCAGAAACGCTGTTTCTCGGTGGGGTCTTCGTCTGCCCTGAAAGGTAAGACAACCTAATCTCTGAGTATAGCATGGCTGAGATATGACAGTCCTCGCTGGCTCGTTGAGCATGGTCGCGGCGCGGCAGCTAGAAACAGTCTCGCCTGGCTTCGAGCTATGGATCCAACTCACGAAGAGATCATCAACGAAGTGCATGAGATTGAACAAGACGTACAACGACGAAAGGTCGAATCCAGTCAAAGCTGGACAGCCTTGTTCACGCATCGCCCTCTGTTCAACCGCTTGTGGCGTGCTTCACTACTCCAATTCATGGCGCAGATGTGCGGTAACGTTTCCCTGAAGTACTATCTGCCTACTGTTCTGATGGGCTTGGGGGTTCCGCGAAAAACAACATTGTTAATCGGTGGCATCGAGCTGACATTCAAGATTGGCTTCACCATTGTTGACACTTGGTTGGTAGACCATTACGGCAGAAGCCCAACACTCGTCGCTTCTTGCCTCGTTATGGGCATCGCACTGATGGTACGTATCTCATGTGAGCCACGTACACTAGATGTCGACTAATACTTTATAGCTAAATGGAGCTTTACCCATCGCGTATCCAAACAACGTGAATCATGCGGCGGACTACACTTGCATAGCTTTCATATTCGTCTATACTTTCGCCTTCTCGATCGGCTTTGGGCCTGCGGCTTGGGTTTACGGTTCAGAGATCTTTCCTACTAACTTTCGAGCAAGGGGACTGAATCTAGCCGCTTCAGGGTCCTCGATCGGTGCCATCATCTCCTCCCAGATCTGGCCCATCGGCATGCAAACGATTGGCTCGAAAACCCACTTTATCTTTATGAGCACGAACCTCGTGTCTGGGATTGTTATCTGTACGTCTCTAACACTTCGGACAAGTGTATATTGGCGATCTTGTTAATGACTGGTGACAGGGCTCTTCTACCCTGAGACTAGCGGCCGAAGCCTTGAAGCTATGGAAGCTCTGTTCGACAAAAGCTACATCCCACGCACTCCGCTAGCGAACGAGCTTGACCAATACCATGACGATGATGATAGTGAGGGTCATTATGATGAGGGTGACGAAGAAGTGGATGCGACCTTTTCTGAGACAGGGCGGATGCACCACGAGCTAATATAAAGCATTCAAAGCTTTTGTCATTGACGACCAGAATTTTTTACGAAAAGCAAGCGAAAATAACAAGTAGAAACTGTTTGCGAGATGAAAGAGTCCGTGTTTTTACACCCATAACATTCAGAGCGTGTACATAACGAATCGATGCAGTATAGTGTAAGTTATACGTGAGTTACAGGCGGCTAATTGCAAAGGTGAAAACAAGCGTGGGGCTCCTGCATGCACCCCGCATGTGGATCATGAAGTAGACAGAATCCGAGTACGTCACAAGCCGTACTCAAAAGATTTCTCAAGACCTTAGCTAAGAACTTCTAACCAAATTCAAGAACTTCCCACAATGAGTTCCAGCTATTTTCCTTCGAGTCGATGAACTGAGGATGCTCTCCGCAGAGCCTGCCCAAGAACGTCGCCCAACAGAATCCGAAGCCCCACCACGCGCACCGCACCCCTCCTTCGTCCCCTTCCACATTGTCACGGGAGTCTCCAACTTCCGCGACATAGGCGGTTGGCCCATCACCCCATCTTTCCCATCAAGTTCCTCCACCACCGCGACACCTCATCATGTGCGCCGTGGCATCCTATTCCGCGGTTCAGACACAACCCGAATCACTCCCGCCGGGATCGCGAAGCTGCAGGAACTCCATGTAAAGGTAGATTTCGATCTAAGGAGTAAACAGCAGATTGAGAAAGCCGGCGGTTTCAAAGACATGCGAGAATGGCGCATCGAAAGAGTATGGGCCCCGGTGTTTAGTGATGAAGAGTATACAGAGGAGAAGGCGAGGGAGAGATATGAGTTGTATGCTAGTGAAGACCCAGCGGTACGTAACGCGCATATGCTGTGAAGCAGTCAAGGCCAAGAAAGCTAATGGGTTGTAGGGTATTGTGGAAGCGTTCATCGAGATCCTAACCTCCGGTGCAACTATGATGAGGACGGTCATGCGTCGCCTACTGTCAACGATCTCAGAGGTCCCCGCAGAGCAGAATGCTGACTGGTCGCCCGCACTGTTTATGCATTGCACAACAGGCAACAACCGCACGGGGATTTTCATCTCCCTCCTCTTGCTCCTGCTCCATGTCCCTTCCACCCTGATCGTACATGAGTACACACTCTCAGAGCAAGGCTTGGCCCCAACGCGACATATCAACGTTGAAAGGCTATTGAAGAAGGGTGCATTCATCGAGTATGGGCCTGAGGAGGCGAGAAGAAAGTGTGAACGCATGATCGGCGCGAGGGGGGAGAGTATGGAAGCATTACTCGAAGAGGTGGGGAGGCGGTGGGGTGGCGCTGAGGGGTACTTCAGGGACGTTGTGGGACTGAGTGAGGAAGAAGTGCGGAGAGTTAGGGAGGTGATGACTGCAGAAGGGGAAGGATGCGTTCCTGGGGCTCAGGCTGCGCAACTATGAATGGGTGTCGATCTACTCATCGCATGGTGGTATCGGAACGTTGTGTGAACATGGCTTATAAGTATGCCCTAACGCTTATGTTCTTATCATCTAGATATGATCTTCCCCGGCAGTGGTGCTGTTGTCTCCACTCTCTGCGTCTCCTTTGCATCAGCCTCCTGTCGCGTCTGTACTCTGCCTTCTCTACCACCTTGCGACGCACATCACGATACGCCTGCTCTATTTTGCCCTTCACAAATGGCCACTCGAGAACAATAGAGATAGTGCTGGGGGATGGTTCGAGGGGATGTGTGTGAGCATGGGGCGGCGACGTGGAGGTGGTGTTTTGTGCTCAAAGCTTCAAGGCTGATACGAGAGAGAGAGGCAGAGGCAGGCACGGAGCTTGCCGTGATGCAAGCAAGTACGAACAGTCAAATCCATGAGGATGAGGGTAAAGATTAGGCTCTGAATCAGGAGCAGGAGCAGGCTCCGTGATGTTGTCTAAGTCGTAGGAAGATGGTGAATTAAAATGTCCGAATGCAACTGTACTGCTTGGTGATTCAAAATTGATAATATGTTTGTTAGGAGACCTTAAAAAACAATACCCAGAAGACGACCCGTCGAACGCGAGGCATGTTGTGCTGATGGAGCTGTTGCTATTTTGGGCTGGAGCAGACGTGGAGTGATCGGTTGCGCCTTCCTGGGAGGCGCAACTGTGATTCGTTCCCTTCCCCACACCCCCACATCTTGGGATGGATAGCCTTCACCTGATATCCGCCTTGTTTTCTCAATACACGTTCCTTTTGCGAAAGCCCTAGGCCATATATTAGCTAGTGTTATTGCGTCCCTTTATTTCGTCACTGCAGCTTTCATCCGGCGGCATACATTTGCAAGGGTCACTTGACATGGCACGCTCTCACAAAGGTAAAGGTCGCCTTGATAGTGTTGGGGGCGAGAATAGCTAGCCACTCAAAGCTAAGGGCGTGTATTGCTTTGTATGATCACTTGAGCAAGGGCCGGTCGGATAAATGACGAACCCAGTTTCTCATCAGCCTACCTCAAATGACCGTTGCTTCAGCCCCAGGGAGGATTATGTGGCTTGGTTCTACCTTGGCGTCGAACCACGTTAAGCGAAGTTGATACGAGGTAAGCTGATGCGCTGATAATTGAAAGACAGGTATTTAGCATATGCCCGAACGCGTCCCTAACATCCTAACAAGCATATTGAACCGCAAAGCATGGCACCGTCTGACACCAATCAAGCCTTCCTCACAAAAGAAACGCCGACAAGAGATGAAAATCACAGCCATGGACCAACTAATAGATTTCTGCATCGGTGGAGGTCATCATGGCAAGCGCCAACCACGATGGTAGGCCTACTTTGCCTAGGTGGCGCTCTAGCTCTCGGCCATCATTTTTTCTACCGATCACTCCAGGGCACAAGAACACCAGACAATTATTCTCAGCAGCTCAACACTGCCTACGGCACTGCGTTCGCCTTCCTTGCAAAGGCCTCGCTGATCGGCGCTATCAGCTCAGCATATACTCAACATATGTGGTTCGATTTTCGCACAAAATTCACGAAGATATCGACCATCGATTCCAAATTCACAGCGCTATCCAATATCTTCTCGTTGCTAGATCCCCAGTTCCTGTGGAAGTCCAAAATTGGTGTTATTTTGGCATTGTTCTCCTGGTATGTTGTGGTATTGTATTTCGGTATCAGAATTTCAACTCTAAATCTGCAGTTAGGTTACTGCCACTTGCGGCCATAGTTACGCCCGCCACTCTTTCCGTCCGCACGACACAATCTTCAAACATTACCATGTTGCCCGTTCCGAAAGCCGATTTTGCGTCCTTTCCAGTACCTGTTGCCGGGAATGCTCTGAACCCGTCATTAGACCGACTTTCAAGGTTGGTGAGTTCTGGCATGCAGATCCCACCCGTCAGCGCTTTCATTCCTGACGCAACGTACTCCTTGGAGTTTCTGGGCCCGTCTCTTCGATGCAGCACCGCTGCTAACAATGTCCTCAAGAACATTGACACCGTGTTCGACACGATCGGTAATAAGACTGGATCACAACCAAATGCTGTGTACATGGCTTTCAGTCCATTTACGCCCGTCACTTACAGCGGCCGTGCCTGGCCGATAGACGACCCCGGACAGGTTTCCGAAAATTCAAAGGATTGGAAAACCTTCGTTTCCTTATGTCTTACAGGTTCGAGCACCGTCTGCTCATTCATCCAGCCGGCCATCTATGGAAGACCGGATAACTCGACCGTAGGTCAGGGCAAGACAATCGACACTGCAAATGCTCTCTGGCTTCGTCTCGGCGACGAACGCCTTGCATGCTCAATCCAACGGACTCAGTTCAATGTCCAATTCGATTCTCGTAACCCTTTCTCTGCATTGAAGAGCTACAGTTATGCACATCAAGGCACTTTCGATGCAACATCCAACGAAACTCGCGGCTATGTCGTCGCAACTCAACCCCTACTAAACATCCTCTCGGGTGCAACCTGGTTTATTCCCCGCTTCTGCAGCCTTTCCCAGGCGCAAATGACTAAGTGCACATCGGATATTTCATACAGAACATCGCGAACCGCCATCCATGAAACAGCGCTTACAGCATTTGTTTCTTCAAAAGCCAATGAAACCTATCAGGAAATATTGAATATAGGACTGAAGGAAAGCGGCGGCGTCAACTCGGTCATGGGAAGTAGCAGCCCGCCGCCGGAAGTCGACATGCTAGACCTAAAGCTTTCCCGCAATCTTACAATCGGTGCCATCATCGAAGAAATGAGCAGGAACATGACGTTAAGTTACTTCACAGACGCGAGATACTTGTCATTCAACAGCACTACCGTCTCAGTGACTACGACTAAATCTTTCAACGTCTATGTGTATAACGTCCGTAACCTCGTTCTTGCCTACGCCATCGCGGTTGGCGCATCGCTCCTCGCAGTCCTCGCGGGGATGTATGTTTATATTTTGAACGGCCGCATCAACACCACGTCGACATTCTCGACTATTTTGTGTGCGACAGTTCAAAATCGGAGATTGATTGACATTGTGGAGCGGGCCGCGCCTTTGTATGCGTTTGGAAAAAAGGCTAATTCATTACTCGCTGCACCAGAGATGTTGGAGGCAAGGTTGAAATATGGCAGGTTAATAGAGCAGCATGGCGGAGGTGGGCAAAGAAGGGAATATGAGGAGGCTGGTGGATTTAGAGGTGCGGAGGCTTTTGGGGCGCCAGACCAGGTATTGTGATCATCTATAGAAACCACGAAAAGATGGATTAGAGATTCAGTTAAATCGATCCTGGCTTTTTTGTCTATGTAACATTATATTACACTCTTTCTAGGGGGCCCAAGGTATGCATTAGAGAGGGAGAGAGAGAGAGAAAAGAAAAGGTTATAAGTTTAGGGGGCTCTCTACGAATTGTAAAAGCAGTGTTGCAATACTAAAAGAAGAAAAGATTACAAAGCTTAAAAAGCTATCTGCAAATTGTAAAAGCAGTGTTGCAATACTAAAAGAAGAAAAGATTACAAAGCTTAAAAAGCTATCTGCAAATTGTAAAAGCAGTACTATAATATAATAAAGAGTAGAGTACTGTCAGTGCGACGCAAAAACCTAGTTATAGAATACAAAACTAAATTTAGCTATATAATAGTAAGATTGCTGCCTATAGCAGTAGAATAGAAATCCAACACTAGGTATGCAGTAGATGTATACAGTTCATATTGAGATATTGTTGTGAATACTAGATTTTAGTGGGGGCTTAGTATAGTACGCGCCTTCTCGTGTGAGCGGTTCGCTTATGAGATATGTTAATTAGGAATACTTCAATTTTGGCCCCAATCAGCCAGATGACGAGCGGGGGAAGCTGCACCACATCAATCCCATCACAGCAGAAATTGCAACATAACGGAGAGTAATAACCACTACTTGCCCCGGCCTTTACCACGGTTGAAGCAATTTACAGGCGCCATGTCAGAGAAGCAAAGCGCGATTGCGAAGGCTCGCAGACGAACTGTGATCTATATCGAAAAGTTGAAAAATGGCGTGTACAGCTCCTTTGTCCAATCTCTCTCCCAGACCCTACATTTACGGGACACCACGATTCAGAGCATCCCGGAACTGTTACACTCAAAAGAACTGTTTGAGCGTGGTGAGAAGTGGACACTCGCACGATGGCTCAAGACTACTAAGGGAAGGAAAGCGACAGAATCTAAAGACGTCGTCTTTGCCGGACTGTCACTGTTGGAGCCCAGCACTCTATTGATTGATCAGAGCCTGCAGCTGGAGGACTCTAATCTGAGCCACCCCAGAAGTTCACATAGCTCAGAAGCTCCAATTACGACTTTCCCAAAGTTATGGCCCTCTCTCCACGCGGACTACAGCGTGGAAACCTTTGGGGTGCTTCTCAATCTTGCCGCCTGTCTTTTGACAAGTTCGACTTGGCAAGACTTATTCTACATGGCATTGCGCTTCCGCGACCCTCCAGGCGAGTTTCCAAAAGGTGGACTACCTCTATATCCTCACCCATCTTGGATGCCTGACCCATCTAACTGGACCTCGCGTCCCATGGAACCTTTTTTCATGTTCAATAATAAGAATATACCGCTTCGATTACCGACTCATATCCAAGACACAGGTCCTAAGCTTTCCTCGGATGGCTCAACGCTCTTTCTAACCGCGGTGGAATTTGACACTGTGACGGCGCATTCCTCCTTGGCGGGTTTGACATACCCGAGTTTCGGAGAGCTCATCCATTTTCTAACCTGGCTTGCGCAATCTGTTCCACGCGTTTATGGCCCAGCGGGCTCATTGGGTATAGAAGCGCTGACAAGTGTTCTCACACCTAGGCATCGTTTGGCAGCTGATACTACAAAAAAAGCCGAGAGTGCCGACCTTCTACTGTGCCTTTGCCGTGTGATAAACTACAACGTCAATGAAAGCTTCAAACAGCTCGACCTAGGGTACAATCCGATGCAAATCGCCCTTGATCCACGCCTATCAGAACCATCAGAGCCGAAGAAGAAACACCTACGCGAAGCCTTTGAGGCAGCAAAACAAGCACATCCAGATGCACCCTGGTCTGGTGTAGATGCATCTACAGGTACCAGGATTATCTCAAAGCTCGAGGAAGGTTGGAGGGCTCATCGTACGGAATATCTTCTAGGCGCAGAAGACGAACAACGCGTTGAAGGGGCCAATAAAGAAGAAGAACCAAATTACCTCGACATATACACCCTAATCGAATTTTTGAACATGCAGGGCATGCCCAATCATCACATGCACTTATTTATGATTAAGAAGGGTTACATGGGAGTTGGTCTAGCCTGGCTACCGGGGGACGACAAGTTATTTTTCATTGTTGATGGGGCAACACCGTATATTTTTGCTCATGCAGATAATGTGCTGCGAAGAAGGGCGCAGCAGATACGTGAACAGATTAATGATAAACACACGAAAGCCTCGAAGACAGACCTTGCCACAGAACTTCAGGATGTGGAAACTCGAATTGGAAGCAGAGATGCATGGCAGTTGATGGGCGAAGCATATGTAGAAGGAATAATGGAGGGATCGCTGCAGAGATATAGCTTTGTCTAGATCAAGCTAACTCGCTAACGTCACTTTGGGAACTCGTTGATTCGATATTAGCAACGAAACTGTACCTGTACGATTTGGTTGATTGGTTGCGTAATGACTTTACTAGTCTAATTTAAGGTGAGATCTGACAGTTTGCATCTGTCTGGGGCTCGGAGTGAAGTATGAGGATCCTTTGATCTAACATGGACCCACCCTCCAGGTAGAACTCGGTTCGTGGCGCTTGTAACTACTTATGGTCCATATGTGAGTGCCTGCGCGACGTAATTCGACTTCTCGCCGACGGAGCTCGTGCTGTCCCTCACTTCTGCTTCTTTTAATGCATCTTCGAGTGCAGTGAGGTCAGCTTGTAGGTAGAGCAGATTACGCGCATTGAGAGCGCCGAAGCGACGGAAGATGGCGACTTCAGGGTGAACTCCCATCCAGCGGGCCAGCTTAGGGTAACCCTGGACATGCCCGTTGAGAGGTGTGGATCTTGGTGGCTTTGGCATTGCGGACGACTACCAATAGAGGAGAAAAGTGGTTGGCAAAATTGGAGTTGGAGGTCGCAAGATCGTTATATTGTTGTTACTTCCATGTGACTCGGTGAATGGTGTTACGTGGTCAGGGTCTATACTCTTGACGAATACAAACACTCTATGCCCCCTCAAAAAATCTCCTGATCATCATAAGCCCTCACACTCTCCAATCGCTCCCTGACCTTTGAATAATCCCTACAAACATGTTTACTATCCCACCCATCGCTCCCACCATTATGATCCGGGAACGTCGTCTCCAAGCCTTCGAGACTCATATCCGCACTGCACATGATAGTCTGGCGCAGGTAGTCGAAGCAATGAATCATGTGCCAGTGATGGTCCTCTTCCAACTCGTGGCCCGACGTCATGCCGCTGTACACTGCGACGACGGCGTACAAGCAGTGCAGCTGGTGCGTCATGGAGGTTGTGTAGACGGTGGCGTTGGGCCATACGATGGGCGTGGGGAGGTCGTGGTAGTTTTCTGGGTCGGGCATTTCTTGGAAGCCCATGCCGACTAGCAAGGGAAATGGTGTTAGTACATGTGTGTGGTGGGGAGTGAGAGGCTAGATGAGCTTACCGGGCATCAGCTCGTTCCAGGCTCGCAGCGTTTCGGGCTTGAAGAAGTCGGATGTATTATTTGGTGCGAAAGTTTGGTTGATCTCGAACTTGGTGATTTGGGTGGGGACTGTGGTAGTTTAATTAGTCTCGATTTCTATGCGCAATCCTGCGAAACGCATACTGTGTGGTCCCCATCCTGTCACGTCGCCGCCGACCTCATTCGCGCTTGTCGATGGACCTCGCCATCTTGTTGATTGCAGGAGTCCTTGTTCTCGTGCTAATAGCCCAATGATTAAGAGCTGCAGTCCTATCACGAGAATCCATCGCAATGCAGCGATGATTGGCGGACAAAGTATGTGCCTTCTCGACGGAGGTGTACGGTCATCGAACTCGCCAGCTGTCCAGGGCTTTTCCAATCCAATAAGAGATTCCACCTCGGTTGATGAGTCGTCGTCGGGATGGGGATCATGTGGACGAACGTTCGTGTACTGGTGTTGCGGCTCCATCATATCTTCGATTAACAAACGACACCCGGTCGCTCAACGCAAAAGATTATTGGGAAGCGAAAAAGGGAGCACAGCTAAAGAGCCAAAGGTGACAGCGCAGTCGAGTCGACATGTACTGAGCCCTTCTAGCAGGTCACCCCACTCGGAGACTGTGCAACCACAGATGTTTTACTTCTTATGCCTGCCAGAGATGCCATCACTGTTAGGCCGAGCACCAGCAATCAAAGGGCAAGCTTAAGCGTGACACGCAAGGTCTGAAACGGTAATAAACGCCTAGACTAACCGATGTTCGTTAGTTAGCTGGGATGAAACAGAGGATGAATCGCCAAGAGTGAGACGCTAGTCCATCGACCACTCCAAGCGAGCATGGCGTGAAACCCAATCCAAACGTCGTTAGTGAACGTATAAAGTCGCATACTTCGTTGCGTCTCTATAATTGATCGCTGTCACTGGGTTCGAATTTCGTAGGAATGTAAGTTGGGGCAACGACAGCTATCGGCCCAACAAAGCAAGGGCCATATGGCTTTGAGAACCTCCTCACTGGCCGAATGGGTCCAGAAGCGTTCGACCTAAGCCCACTGCGCCCTGGTTCTAGAGTTGACATATGATGGTGAATTTGGATAAATCATGGTTCTGTGCCTCCGATTACTACCCACCGCTTGAACATTTTGCTCTTGAAGGCTGTGCGTCGCAATTTGTTGCACAAAGATCTGCGTCGGATGTTCTGGGTCGAATTGCACGGAAATTTGGATGGCACTCATGAGCATCCATTGTCCAGGTCACCGCCTAACGCAGAGATCACTCCGGATGACCCATTTCTCGCCCTCGAGAACCTCGCGTCCTTCGTGAAGCATGCATTCGGCCCCATGTCGATGCAGTAGTGCGAGACCAACTTCTGGGCCGACAACACAGGGTGCAGGCGGTGGATCTTTGCTTTTCTTCTTGGGTGGGTCAGGGTAGAAGACAGTCTCTCCCCCGACACAGCCTGTGGCGGGGGAGGTGAGGTAGAGTAGCAGGGTCCAAGTGGTGCGTGCTGGTGTAGACGGAGGGCCAGCTATAGTAACATGGTTGTAGTCGTCATCTGGTTCTCATTAGCACGGTACATGCCTGGTCTGCAGCTTGCTGGGACCGATGGAAGTTCTGCCAGAAGATTACGCACAGTGTTGGTCGAAGAACTGCCCTTTCGAGTAGCGATAGATCCGAATATTCGGGTTTAGACCAATGACGTCGCCGCCCCAGAGTTCGTTGGGCTGAGTCTGGACGAGGGTTTTCAACGCAGTCTCAGTCCACAGTCTCTCGGCGAAAGCAGCGTCGTCGATTTGGTAGCGATCGTTCACGCGGACAGCATGGCCCTTTTTGGGCTTCCCGGGTGTTGTGGCTAAGGGGAGCGAGGAGAGAAATGACACATAGTTTTTGCATAGCGTCGCTGTCCACAGGTTCCTTATGGTGACTATTTGGCCAGGCAGTAGCTCCTCCAGCGCCAGATGCGACTCTGGGATGAGAGGGGTGAAGGCGGGCCAGTTGGGTGGTGGTTGCCGCGCAGGCTGAGAGGAAGATGAAGCGACAGGCTTGGACTCTGGCTTGCCTTTCTTCTTGGGCACCATGGTGAAGGGTATTGACCTATGCAGACTGGCTGACTGGGAGTAGTACTGCCTTGCGCCAAGTGAAGGTACCGTGGGTGGCTCTTCCCCGACCCCAATTCAGCGGTACAGTGAAGGGCGCGTCAATAAGCAGAGTTTCGCTGGGAGAAATCTGTAAGCATGTCCCCGTCTTGCGTAGCTGGGCTCTTCTAGCATTCAACTCTTTCGTCGCTGTCCATCCCACTCCTGTCGCCTCGTGAGCGCGCTGGCGTAGAGGCCAGGGCAAAAGGCAAGTCACTATGGCAGAGGGGCTATGGGGCAGTGCGCAGTGGATAGAAGAAGAAGAAGAATACTCGTCTCCTCCTTTCGATCCGTCGTATACGCGCGAGTACCAGCACATACAAGAGGCGCTGGACTGGTGTCGTTCGCTGCCCGCGCAGCAATCGGGCTCTGCGGACATGTCTAGCGTCGCACGTGCACCAGCAGCACCAGCACCAGCGCCGACGCCAACAGCAGCACCAAGCCGACCAGCGACTCAAGCCTCTTACGGCCGCCCTCCACCGACGTCCGAAGACGTCTCACCACCCGCGGCTCCCTCTGCGCCCATCTCCTACGCCGAGTGGCTGCTACCAGACGCTCTATTCACAGGTATGCGTTGCGCGCGACGCCCCAGCGAGAGCTCCTCTGCCAGCCCAGCGCGCGCGAAAAGTGGCTGCCGCTAACCTCGTGCAGACGCCAACGACGCCAACCCCGACAATCCCCCATACCAACACCGCCGCACCCACGCCCACGCCTACGCCTACGCTCTCGACGACTACCATGGCGACGCCAGCATGGTCGTAGTCTCTCCCGGCCGTCTCCACCACAATGTCAGCGCCCACCATGACACTCGCGACGGTCCTCTCTCGCCCGCCGCCGCCCCTGCACCTCGAATCGCCAACATGCAAGTTGCGACTGCTGCCAATGCGACGGCCCAGGCGATACCTGCCCTCGACGGCGAAGGCGTGCCTGACACCCACGACCTAATGGACCTCACGCCAAACAATGCCCTGGGCGCCCTCGACCCTCCCATCTCCTTTTCAGCAGCGCCTGCGCAACATGCCAATGGCCTCGCCATGGACCCAGCCTTTGCACCCATGGACTTTTCCCAGCCCGCCATGACCGACGAGCGTCTGACCGCCTTCGCACGCCTTCGCTTCGACGATGGCTCCTACTACATGCACACGTACCAGATCATCCTCGGCCGCAACATTGCCCTCGCCCACAGGGACATGCGTCGCCTGGCCAAGGTCGACCAACTGCACGCCGAGGGCCAGCCCCAAGCAGCCGAGGAACTACTGAATGGGAACAAGGACAAGGACAAGGAAAAGGAAAAGAAGAAAAAGCGCGACCGACGTGGCGCACGCAGCGTCATCAGCGAGAAGGGCGGCATCGTCAGTGCGCCCATCGAGTCCATGCCCATGGAGTACCAGCAGCGTCGCCAGAGCAATGCATCGCACTCCCTCAGCTCTGGCTCTCACCCCAACGGTGAGCCGGGCGAGGAGAAACCGACAGAACGCGCCCCGCAAGACGTGCTCATGCAGGCCTTCCCAGAAGTCCCTGCCCAGTTCGATGGCCATGTTCCCGAAGATCCAAACGACTGCCCCGTTGTGCCCATACACCCTCAACACATCACCGCTAAGACCGGTGTCCAGGGCCCCAAGGGCATTTCTCGACACCACGCCAAGATCTTCTACGACTTCGACAGCGGTAACTTCAGTGTTGAAGTGCTCGGTTCCAATGGCCTGCATCACGAAAATCAATTCATTCACCAGGGCGAAATCATCCCTTTGGATCATGGTGACCACCTGCTGATCGGTGCCGTCAACATTCAATTCTACCTCCCTGACATCGCGCTCACTGAAGACCAACGGCATCGCCAAGAGTCTGGTTCTCGTCCCATGAGCTTCTCTTTCGAGAATGGCCACGGCGAGCTAGAAAGCGACGAGCAGATGAGCTCTGAAAGCGAAGGAGAACAGAGTATCAACCCACGGCATGTGTACCACTACCCTGTTGACAGCGATCTCGATTCTGAAGATGCGGCTGGCGACGAAGACATGGACGACTATGAAGAACCTGTACCACGACCGCGACAAAAGCAGAGTCTCAAGATCAAGATCAAAGCTCCTCCACCTCCACCTCCACCTCCGAAAGACATCAAGAAAGTGCACAAGAGGAAGCATCGTGAGCCCACCCCTGAAGAGCCCCCCATGAAGAAGGTAAAGACCAAGTTCAAAGATCCGGTCAGAGAACCTGTGAAGGAACCAAAGCTTCCAAAAGAGCCAAGGGAACCGAAGGCTTCGAAAGAGCCAAAGGAAATCAAGGAGCCAAAGGAAACTAAAGAACCCAAGGAAAAGGGCAAAGCACCGGCCAAGGCCCCCTCAAAGACAATTGTCAAAGCCGAGACCCCAGTAGAGGAAGTTGCAAAAGAGACCCCTACAAAGGAGCGAGCCGAGCCGACCAAGCCCGCACCTAATGACAGTCCTCCTCTGCTTCGCAAACCTTTCGAGGGCGAAATCGAGGCTGGGGAAATCGAGGGTCTCATCACCGAAGAGTTGGCCAGACAACATAATCTACCGTCCAACCTGATCGGCCACGTCGTCGAGAAGCGAAAGGGACCCGGTAGACCGCCAAAGGACGGCATCATGTCGAAGCGTCAAAGATCTCAGCTCATCAAGCAAGCCAAGGAGATCGAAAAGGCCAAGGCCGCTGGTCTTGACCCGGCTGATATACCCCTGCCCACCGTCAAGCCCAAAGCCCCGAAACGCAAAGAGTCGAATGCCGCTGATGGCGAAGATGACGATATCATGGAGTCAACCGAGAAGGGCGACGGCACAATGGCGGGCGACAAGAAACAGGCCAAGCCAATCAAACCTCCCAGGACTCCATCGCCCGAGATGCGTATTGAAGATTACACCGAAGAACAGCTGCAGCGTCCATCAGCCAACTACGTTGTCCTCATTCATGAGGCCATCTCATCATCCGGTACTGGCCAGATGAATCTTCAGCAGATCTACAATTACATTGAGAAAAAGTACCCCTGGTACAAGTTCAAGACTACAACCAGTGGTTGGCAATCGAGCGTGCGACACAACCTCGGCCAGCATGACGCTTTCGTAAAGGGAGACAAGGAAGGCAAGGGTTTCAATTGGAGAGTCAATCCTGAAATTTCCATCGAGAAGGAACGCAGAAAGAGACAAATCAGCCCTCCAATTAACCATGCCCAACGACAACCGTACTATCCACCTCCGAATGGATACCCTGCCTATCCTCAGCCCGGTTACCCCTATCATCCGGGTATGCCCCATGCTATGCCACAAGCTGCTCCAAGATTGCCACCCAGTCTTGCACAGCCTCGTCTTCCTCCGAGTATGGCCCGTGATGCAAATGCGACAGCGCCCTCTGCGCCACAGGGTGCACCTCACCACGCTTCGCCATATGCATCTCCGTGGGCTGGCGGAAACGCCGCAGGTAGCCCCCCAGCACCACAGCCTCCTCGTCCATATCCGCAGCCTAGCTCCCAAACACCGCCAGTTGGCTCAGCAGCCGGCCCAAGTGGTCAGTATGGTGTCCTCTACCCGACTGCTGCCCCACAGACATACAGTGGCCCTCCAACCGCAAGCCCTTACGGTGGACAGCAGTATGCCACAACAGGTGCTAGTCCGTATGCCCAAGGGCCTCCCCGACCGTATGCACCTTATCCTCCTCCAGGCCAGCAATCAGCTCCTCCTCCAGCACCATCTGCCCATGCTTCAGCATCACCATATGCGCAGCAAACCCCTTATGGTCCTCCACCTCAAGGGCCCCTTCATGATGGCGCCATTCCTCATTCATCTGGTCGCTACCCTCTCGCCACGCACACAGATCTAATCCGCCAACTTGAGGCCTTTCGAAAGGTCTACCTCGAAGCCAGACTTGAGCCTGGCGAAGACAAAAAGGTCGATAATGCGATTAGAGCTTGTGTAGATACCACTGTGCCAGAAGCCAGTCTGACGGATTCGGAGAGACTGCTCCTCAAGTCCATTCGCAGCATTGAGGGTGTTGCAAAGCATCTCACTAGTGCACCAGCGATCAAAGAGGAGAATGCCCCCGCTGTCAATGTGCCTGCGACAACGAGTACGGTTGCGGCCGGCACAGCGGCAGCAATTGCGGCGGATGCTGTGGTCGCGCAACAGTCTACGCCTCCGGCCACTGCTCCATCGCTAGCCCCGTCACAGCAAGCGACAGGCGAACCACACAAACCCACGCCTACCATGACCAGCGGGCCGCCTCCTGCACCTTTATCTTCTGGTCCTATACATAACCTTCCCACCTCTCATCGACCCAGCGTCGAGCCGCTTACGCCGTTGCCAGGGACCCCGGTGCCTGGGTCGCCAGCGGTGCAGAACGGCACGCCGCTCAGGCAATCAGTCAATGTAGGCGACGCGGGAAGTACAGAGGTCACCAAGAATGCGGGTGAAGATGTGGTGCCGAAGACAGAGTAGAGTCTTTGTTTCCTGAAATGGTGTCTCGGTCGCGGCGATGGCCGGGAGGACGTTACGTTCATGAAGAGCTTCAATTATTAGATTGGGCTTCTCGTACTTGCTATTGGTCTTTCGCGCAGCACGACTACGACACGCATTTCATGTTGATTTTGGCGTTCGGGTACTTTCTCTGTTATTGATACCCATCACAGCGCGGTTGGGTTCAGGGCTGCTCAAAAGTGGATTTCGCGTTACGTGCATACATGGTCATGGTCATGATCGGGATTTATACTACATGGGTGGATGGATGCGAGCGAGGACTGTACTACGTTAGGTAGCTTAGGCGCATGGAATACTGATAGATACGTGGATGTTCCGTACTTGCCTGGATTGCATGCTCTCTATGTGATGTGTTGGAGATGTGCTTGTGCTGTCATATTTGCCAAATTACTCCTGCTGCCTGCGAGATAGTAGTGAATAACACGGTCAAACCCGAAAAAAAGCACAAAGTTGGGAACTTGACGCGTTCAAAGTGTAGAAGGTGTGGTATTGCAAGGTATATCCATCCGCCGCTTCCGGCAGTCCGCATCTCCTGAAAATGTAAGGCTGAAAGAAAGATTCAAGCCTTCAAATGCCTGCGGCGCAATCAAAACGCATGAAAATGGGGAAAGTAAGACCCCGCCGCTGAATCGCCGTACGCCTATAGTGTCTCACTCTACTCGTGCTATTCACCAAGAGATGGCAGCCCATGTTCCCGCCGCCCAAACAGACGCTCACATAGCCATCTCGGCTTGCAACTTCCGTAGCTCCTCCTCTTCATCATCCTCCTCCGCCCTCTGCGGTGCCTTGCCCTTGACCTCTGTGTGCGGCGCTTGGGGTAGTCTCCCCACAGTATCGCCAACGGGCACGTTGCCTGTCTTTAACATGGCCTCGTCGAGCTTCTCTTGTTGTAGTTCCGCGAGTTCCTCGTCGAGCTCGTCTTCGTCGATACCGGTCGACGCTACGCCCGAGGTTATCGCTTCGCTGATTTCTTCGCCGATTGCGTGTTGCTCGCGCAAATCTTCCCTATAACATCCCATGATTAGCAAGTGTGTTCAAGGCTGCAGAGAGCTGGAAGGCAGGGGAAAAGACGTGGTTATGGACAAGGACGTACATGATATTGTCCACCTTGTCGATGGTAAGGCCGGCATGTATCTGCTTCATGGCGGTCTTTGCGTTCTGCATGGCATCGAGCGTCTCCTTGTTGATATTGGCCGTCTCGATCGAGTAGATCTCGCGTTCTAGTGTCATGATCTGGGAGCTCGTTTGCTCTAGTGAGTGCTCAAATTGCTTCTTCCGCCGTAACGCCGCTTTCGCCGCTTTACACTACATTAGCAAGGTCGCTGGTGGGGGTAGTTGTGAAGGCAACAGTACCGGTTTTGTTGCTTGAGACATATTTCCGCGCCAGCGTATCTTGCTCGTCCATCTGATTTTGCAGGTGCTTCTCCCTCTTATTCAGCATCTCAAGTTGCCCTCGCAGCTGAAGTATTGCTTTCTTGGGTGCCTCCTTCTTCGCCTGGCCTCCCCCAAACCAGCCCAGGCCCCAGCCGCTCATGTTGAAGTAGGTCCTGAACGCTTTCAGTCAGCTTTGCACACCTGTAGGACCACATCAGAGACCCGTGTAAGGATCAGGTGGGATATCCGGCAGCCAGATTGCGGGGGAGGGTTGGCAGATAACAGGAGGGTTTTACATACTTTTCGGAGAAGCAAAAAGAGATAATAATCGGGCAGTCTAAGGAGATTCGCGGAGGTATGCAGCGGTGAGGTGGTCGTGCAAGAGGATCGAAGGTTGCCTGGCAGGTCAGTATCGGGCCTGGACGCATGAGGGTATGATGTCGCTCACGCTAAAAGTGGCACGTGCGCTCCCGGCCTCGGTCATAGGATTCGCCGTGTTGAGACGAAGTCAACACCATGTCTGGACCTATAGCCTCGAATCTTGTACTGCTGGCCGATCTCGAGGATTGCAAGCCTGGGACAAAGGTTCGCTTTCTGGGCTGGTAGTGTGACCACATTTAGTGGAAACGACGTCAGCTGACCTTGGTCCAGCGTCCATGAGTACATCGTTAAGACGGCGACATTGCGCCTGAAGCACAACCACCCCGCTTCCACTCCGCCGACCATTGCGAATGTCGATGTCGAACATAACCTTGAGCGGATAAAACGCCATGAGCTCGATGTCGGCGCCTGGATCAACGTGATCGGCTATGTCGAACGTCGCAAAGACAAAGGCATCTTCGTACAAGCAGTCGCGGTCTGGGATGCTGGCAACATTGACCTCATCGCGTACGAGAATGCAGTTGCGAAACGGAAAGAAGCTGGATAATGGTCGTGGAGCGTGACGCATCGTATAAAACAACTTTGAGCTATTGAGGGCAGAACAATTCCCCGAGCCATGCGTGCAGACGACGATGACCCGGTGACAAGCAGCGCGAGCTCTCATCGACGTAAAAGCGCCTGTCTGCAGATTCCGCTTTGAAGTGTTGGAACTTGGCTGGAGGCAGATGGCGACAACCGGACAGTACCTTTCGGATGGTTGGAAATCATTGCGAAGGGAAGCGCCTGGCCTGCACTGGCGACAAATAAACCCAATAGACGTTGTCCGACTGAACTCTTCGTACCACGTCACGAACTTGACTTCTTACCTTCGAGTTGATAATTTTTCCCGCCTTCTACTCAGTTATCTGATGAACTCCACAACTAGCAAATATCACCAAAAAGGCCTGCTACTATCTTCAGCTCGCAGTCATAGAAGAAGTAAGCCTCTCAAGCCCTAAACTGCTCCATGAAGAGAAAAATTCCATAGCCTTGAAAAGCATGATCCCCAATTTGATTGTGGATGCTATAACGCTCCAGCATAAAGTCCAGCGAGAAACTTGGCTGTGCATTAGTATACCAGAACGTCCCCATCTTGCCATAAAGCACGTGGCACATTTGCAGCTATAAGATGTGCAGATATGCTATGGGCGTTGATCATCGCCCCACCCGTTCGCCAACTCCCAACTGCGCCCCTTGAGCATCACCAACAACCCTCTTCGAAAGCATCGCATTCATTTTCATTCCGGATATTCAGCACACCTTCCATGCAGGATCACCCATCTATGCGGTAACCCTCGCAATGACGTGCATCCAGCGCATGAACGGGTCAAGGGTCTGTAGTGCGTAGTAGCCGCCGAGAGTCGGGACGTACCGCTCATCCATCCCTGCGCTAGGAGATGAGTAGCATGTCGGAACAACGTGCAAAGGCCCCTTGCCTACGCGTACGATCTAAAGAAAGTAAAATCTGATTCAGACGATGCGAAGGAAGACACCCTTCATTCCGGAAGATCGGCTTCAATACGCGCTTTTCATCGCATGGAGGCATTTCATATCTACTCCACCCAGGCGACACACCAAACGGCATCTCTCCACCCGCAATCCTTACGAGAACGTATTTCTCAGCAGCAGCAGTACCAGTGGTAGTTGAAATTTCCGTCTTCAATCCACTCGCCTTGCACGCCTCCCAATATATCGTCCCACTTCGCTAAACCCACCCCAAGCGCCCACGTTCACTTTGGTACTACCACTTTCCCCCACCGGGCGCCAAGCGGAATACCCGCCGCCCACCTTCTCAATGTAGGACAGGCCAGCCGGTGATTCAGTATTGGAACCTTCGATAGATTTGCATCCCAGCGGGTGGCTGCCGGCAACGCGTCCACGTTCTCGGCGGGCGCGTGGGATGCTTGGAAGGAAGAAACGGGTGGTAAATGGACTCTGAATAAAAGAAGGAAAGGAATCAGCGAAGCTTTGCCGATAGCCTTGAAAAGATCTTACAGAGGCGCATGCGGCACTGTGTGTTGGAAGACATGCAGGATTCTGTGCCGCAACGCGATCGGTGTCGTGCAGTTTCTATCGTAATCATGGTCAGAACATTACACGTTGGTGGAGGCGCGGCTTGATCTGTGCCGTATCGGTGAGAAGCTCGTGAGAAGACGTGGGAATGCTGCTGTCAGCTACGTCCCTTCCCTTTGCGGCACTGGCGGCGTGGAGTACATGGGTGTTCTCGTGGCGTATTGCAGGTGACCCGCCATATGCGCACTCGATTCGGAGACACGGGGGATGGATCGTGAATACCGTCAGCACACGTTGCACATACAGCTATCGAAGACGTTCAGTTCTGCGTCTAAACACGTAAATACCACCGCCCGTAAAGACATAAAGAGTAGAGACACGATGTCGCAATATGAGCCAGCAAAGATGGAAAGTCGAACTTTTGATATTATTGTAGGTGATCTATTCTCCGTCACCTTCAAATGAGCCACCCATGTTTTGCTCCGGGAACGCCTAAGATTTGGTGATGGAAAGGTCACCACCAAATATGCATGATGACGGGTATCGTAAAGACAAGGAAAGGTAAATACAGAAAAGGAAGCGCCACGCCACCAGTCATCGTGTCAATATAAGACGAATGCAGTGACGCGTAATTAGGCCAGGCATGTCCTAGCAGACGCATAATATGTATGAGCGTTCCGACACGTTCGAAACGATAACCGCAAGTTCGGCGCCTAGTTCTTAGGACCAAAGACCCAGTCTGCGAATAGTGTTAGCGATCAGGTCAACGTTGTGAGTCTATCCAGGGCATACGTACATTGCGCCGCGTATTTGACCTCCCATGAAGGCTTCATGCCCTTGCAGGTAGCAGGCTTGTTACCGCCGGCCGTCTCAACACGATAGACGGTGTTGATGCCACCTTGGGAGATGTTCTTGGTGTCCTTGAGGTAGAGCCACTTGATCGCACCGAGGCCGTTGTTGCCGGGGCAGGAGGTCGCGGGGGCATCCGTCTCGTTGAGCTTGCTGACCTGGGCCAATGGCTGGGGCTGAAGGCTAAGCTTGTCGAGGGCAAAGATTGGCGTGTTGATGTCAGAAATCTTGCCGAAGAAGTGGTGACCGGCGATCTTGTCGAAACCTTGGGACTTGAGGCCCATTGTCAACGTCTTGGGCAGAGCGCTTAGAGCGAGAGCGAGGGGAGAGATGGAACCGATTTTCCACTTGGCCATGGGGTCGTCGTTGAGCTTGGAGCCGATGTCGTAGAGCGTCGCTTTATGGATGTCAGTTGTAATCCCTCGTCCAAGTACAAGATTGACTTACCAACAGCACCAGTAGTTCCAGGAACAGCGTTCTCGTCACCAGGGGGACAGGTGTAGTTCTGCGTGCCGATACCGAGGAGCACATATTTGAGGCTTTCGTTTGGTGCGGGTAGCGAGCTCTCGGGGAATAGCTTTGCGAGTCTGCTGAGGTCGCGAGCAGGAGTGTAAGTTGCAACTTCCTGAGCGGGCCAAGGCAAGGCATTGGCAGAGCTGGCAAGCAGCACGAGAGCCGTGGAAAGCGCAGTGAAGAGCATGTTGGCTGAGGTTGCGACTTGATGGAGGTGCTGGCGAGCAGGGCTAGTTGTAGGAATGGGGATGTTGTGGAGAATAGATCAGTGAGGTTGTAGGCTTGTAGTTGAAGAAGCCAGTGTCCAGTTAGGGAAGGAGGAAGGCGCGTGAAGTGATGGTGATAGATAATTTGTGAGCTCCAATCGACTAGACGAGAATAGACTTGGGAAAGGATGATTAGAGATGATAAAGATGCGCAGCAGAGAAGGGGTTTGGAGATGTACGATGGCACCACGTCGCTACCTGCCTCTTCGTAGATGAATCAAACAGTCAAGGTTGGTATTGGGGTTCCACGACTTGCTCGACCAGGCGGTTGACGACCTTATACCCACCCACCCTCGTCCTCTGCGCACTCGCATCCCTGGCGCTCAGCCGTTGGACAGGCGGCCTGGCCTGCAGGCCGCCATGTGCATGTACGCGGACACAGACCACCGTCTCGACCAGAAGTCGCTCTGCCATCCTTGAAGCGACATGCAAAGCCAAATTGGTGAGACCTGGAGATGCACTGTAGCGGGCCCAGGGTGCTTCTTCTCCCGCATGCCGCCTTACTGAGAGCGGCAAGCTGGCAAAGCATGCCTGCGCTTGCTGTAAGCGCTGATACGTGCAATTTCGCGATCGGATACATGGGTCTGGAAAGCGATACGATAGCCTTGCCTGTCTCTCTCGTGGAGCCGCATGGCTGCTGCGGCATTGCCTCGTCGTGTTGAGCCTCCATTCGCGCGACCGACTCTTGTAAATGTTGGACGACGTCGACATGGCCTCCACCAAGGTCCCCAATCTGACAGCGACAGGACGCAGCAAATCTGCCTTGGGTGCCCCCCGTCTGCCATGGAGCAACCTTTAGTTTCAGTGCTCAGGCCCCTAAAACAAAGTCTAAACGTACCGGCAAAGTACCCACAGCGTACGGGTTGGGGCTCTCTCACCTACCCGATGCGAACAAGAGGTTGGATAGAGGCCGAGATGCCGGGCTTTCACCCGCAGTCCGTGCGCTGCAGACGCCATGCATACACGGCCGGTAATTTGGCCTGATCAGGTCAATCAAAGCCAGCAAATGACCCGATAGTGGCATGCACGAACTATCGAAAGTTGCCACTTCGAGCTTAATTGTTGGCTAATTAATCGGCGGCGTCAGCATAGAGTGCGCCGCGAGGTTGGTCGATTACTTGCGTGGAACGATATCCGGTGTAGCGCAAGAACAAGAGCTGGATGGCTTGTCAACGCTCCACAATTTGCAGTAGAAAAGCGCATCAGCTGTTGAGCTACAAGACCTCCAGTCTCAACCTGAATCAAGTCAGTTGCTCTCAACTCGTAAAGAGCTAATGGTATGCCGATCATCAGATAGGCGAGACACTGCTTACGCAAAGCTATACCTCCATCATAAGAGGATCTCTTGACAGCTGCACTCTGAGATAAAAATCTCTCTCGGGCGTGAGATAGATGGGGAGGCCCCAACACCGAGGCCCGTATGGTCCACAAATTAAGTGAAATTGGGCCATGGTTTTGGCCCCAAAAGGCATAAAAGAGGGGTTGTGTTGGGTCATGTTGGCCTCGTTAGCCTGCTGCAAGGCCGCCAAAACAGCAAAATTAGCCCTCATTCTCGCCGTCCGCGCAGCACTGAGCTCGGGACACGTCTTGAGGATATGCGCGTGGTGTATGCGCGTCCGACGCCGTCACAGTCAGTTGGCGTTTCGTTTTGCCATGTGGAGCGGCGTCGTCAGTTCAGTTCTTGACTTGACAAGCGTTTCACGCCCGTCGACTTCAGGTCAAGCCGTCTCAGAGTTCAACGGAACCGTTTCAGACGACGATCATCCCACAGAACTTTGTAACACCCGCCGAGCGGAAAAACTAACTCGAACGCTTCAAGGGGGAACCTTGATTTAGTTGGAAACGATTGAGATACGCGGAGGTTGGGCTCCTGTCAGCGTTCTGCGGTGCTTTTCAAACCTTTGGAGAGCTCCTGCATGGTCTGCATGGTGGCTTGCGAGACAGTGATACCCACCGCGACAACGAGGGTTCCCCACTTCATCTACCCATCGCCCGAAAGTCCAGTCCTGCCATGCCCGTCTAGACCGAGCTGACATTGCCGGCACTCCTAACAACCGTAAAGCAGGTATCATACGGTGCCCATAGTGTTCCGCTCACACCTGGGGCTCGAATCTGTTTGCGCTAGTACTACTACCGTCCCGAGGTCACTAATGCAACTTGGCAAGATGCCCGATTATTCGAACATGCTTTTGAATCCATTAAGGGAATGTGATATATATTCAACACTAGTGCATCTATATGCGCCTGCATCTCGAGCCAAATAGGAAAGGCCAATTAGAGCTATGCTGCGGGGAAGGACCATGCGTCCCCAACCCCCACGATGATCATCGTCCGTGTTCGAGCACCACGGCAACCAGCGAGCACCCCAATATGCCTGCCACTGCATGATAGGCCGTTTGAAAGTTCACGACTTTGTGATAACATGAGTATCCCAGCTCATTTTTCTGTACACCCACTCCAACAACATCTTTGTACGATGCAATGTACCGTCATACGCAGGAGATTCGCGGAACCTTTGAAAAGGAAAAGGAAATACTATCGCGTCGACAGGCAACTTACCCACGTCTTCCGAACCGGCACGAGTCAACATTAAGTAATCTTCCGCGCAATTTATCTCACATTCGATGTTTGAGGCACTTGAAAATATGTGAAACACACTTTTGTATAACTCTTTCAGCTAGTGAAATCTGGGCAGCTTGAGCTGCCACGCAGTCAGAAAGCCGTCGAAATACATGTCCGATACCCTTGAAATCAGCCATGTCGTCATGCCATCATTGAGTCCTCATTCTCGTATTCTCGTTGTGATTCAGGATCGTGAAGGCCTTCGTGAAGTGTATACCGCCTACCAGCCGCCGCCACTTGCAGCAGCGCCTCCACCCCAGGAGGACTCGGCTCCACCAGCAGCCGTAGCATCTCCTGCGGTATCCCAACCTCCAGCAGCCTCAACCGGACCACCGTCACCCATGCCATCTCCCCCCGTGATCGGAGCCTTGCAACGCTATCATAGATTAGCTTGTTTCTAAGGTTCTATCAGGAGTAGCTTACCTTGATAGTGTGACCCATCTCTTCGCAGTTGCTACACTTGACCTTGCTCCAGTCCTTGGGCTCAGGGCAGTCACGTGAAAAGTGGCCTTGCTTCTCGCAATTGCGGCACGTAACAGTATCCGGGTTACGAGGCTGGTCGCACTCCTTGGCCATGTGGTCTTCCGAGCCGCAGTTACGGCAGGTCCTCGGGGGACGCGCCTCGACGTTAGGGCACTGTCATATGTTAGTCAGGACTGGAGTTTCCCGACTTGGATCCAAGGCTCGATAGATAATCTTAGCCTGGACTGGAATTTTGACTTTACTTACATCCCGGGAAAAGTGACCGGTCTGGTTGCACTTGTGGCACTCGACGCCTTCGGCTGAGCGAGGCTCGGGGCATTCTTTGGCATTATGTCCCTCCTGCTTGCAGTTTTTGCACGCATACTGGTTGACACGCTCCTTGGGGCAATCACGTGCACGATGGCCGTCCTCCTTACAGTAAACGCATTGAACGACGGGCTGCATGGACTCGCGCTCGACTTGTTCTTCCTTGCAGTGCTTGGGAAAAGTTAGCTTGAAGTACACTGACCCTTAGATTGACTTGGCTTAGGCTTACCTTGCGAATGTGACCGAGCTCACCGCAGTTGCCGCAGAGCGGAACACCTCGGTCCTCAACGAAGCCAGCAGAAGCAAGACGCTCGATGTTCTGTGCGGCGCTCTCAGGCCAACCCTGAGCGAGCTTCGCGCGACGAGGTTTGTCGGACAGCTGGACAGAAAGCACATACTTACGGTCCGGATTGCCCACCAAGTCGATGATAGTCAGGTTGACGGCAACCTCCTGCTCCTTGGCGATCAAGTGGACACCCAAGCCATCCTCTCGCAGAGCCTCCTCTACCGCAGGAAGGCTGAACTGCTCCATGGTGGCGCGAGCATAAGCCCTCAGACACGTCCGAAAGGTATCCAGATCCTTCTCCTTGGCCGCATCAATCAAGGCGGACCAAGCATCCTCAGCATCCATCTCGGGGACGCCATACCAGTTGACGATGCGACGAGACTTGCAGTCAAGAGCCTTGTGACCTTCCTCGTCGCAGAGTCTACACTTCATGGGGTTGGTGGGGCAGCTGCGCGCAGCATGTCCCTCTTGACCGCAGGAGTTGCAAGTGCCGGAAAAGGCGCGTTCGACGCGAGGGTTGGTACAATCAGCCTTGTTGTGACCGACTTCACCGCAGTTGTAGCATTCTCCGGTGAGACCGCCTCCCTCGGGCTTGTCAGGGCATTCGCGGGCGTAGTGACCAGTCTGATGGCAACTATGACCAGAGTTAGTACATCGAAAGGGTGCGCATGTGCGCATGGTAAAACTCACACTCGGCAAGTCTCATCACCACCGTTGCCTGCTCCTCCACCGCCGGTGTCACCACCACCGCCCCAAGAGTCGGCACCGCCAGCATCGGCACCAGCTTCAGTGCCCGTAGGCACCGAGTTCCAGGAGTCACCTCCGCCTGTGAGGTATCAGGACGAGGTTTGAAACGTGTGTGCGACTAAGAAACATACCAGTTCCGGTATCCCAGCTCATGATTGTAGAATTTCAGTGATGCGCTCTGAGAGTTGTGATGTGAATTTCAGTCGAGGTAGATCTAGAGAGGGTGAAGTCAGCGTGTTGTCGTGAGGCAACCAATTTGGCCGATGATGTTTGCCAATGCGTAGAGTGTGGGAAGAGCAGACTCACGAACCTATGCGGAGCTCGAAGTAGTGTTGAGCAGGTGCAGCAAGAGGCGCGCGCTCAAACTGCAGTATGTGTATGATGAGTACGCTTGCAGCACGCAGCGAGATGAGTTGAATTAAGTTAAGTGGTACGAATTGGGTGAGGGCGAGGAAATAGCAAGACAGCAGATATTCTATGGTGACTGAGCGCACGGTCCATGCTAACTGTGTTGTGATGACGACAAGGTGAAGGCAAACATGATAAAGTAGAAGGTGCGTGATATGAGAGTAGCTTGGGGTGTTCGTAGGAAGCAGCATGGTGAGAGAGCCTGGATAATTGGATCAAAACAAACAATTTTGAGACGAATAGCTCAATCAAAGTACCTAATACGCGTGCTCTTTTCGTAAAGTGGTATCTAGTCATAGACATCGCATACGGGAGGCTAAATTCCATCAAGGTACTGTTACCTGGCCCGATTAACATGCTCAACGCCAACCGATGATCGTAACTCCTTACTTCGCCGGAGCAAATCCTGCTCAGACACCGCGGAACTGTTGACATGGTTAGTAATCTGCGAATTTCGGTATGAGGGAGCCTAAAGGCCATAGCGGCACTCACCATTCGAACCACCAAGAACCACATAGCACCAGTAAATCTGAAAGCAGCCAATCCTGCTACGCTGTAGAGGACCACCGCTAAATAAATTGTTGCCGCTTGGGTTTGTTTTTTCTGCGCCTCGTCTGGATTGCTGACTGTGAGCTCCAGGCCGCCTGCCTGCAGAACGAGGGCAGAAAGCCCGAGATTGCAAAACATCCAAAACAAGACGACCCCAGATCGGAAACCCCTGTAGTAATCTTCTTGTTTGTCCCCCGCTGAAACCACCTTCTTCTCCTCTTTCCATTTCGTGCTGAAGACGCGAAGTTCGGTCTCATATTGTGTGTTGAGATCTGCATCGTCCGTTGGTGCTTGAATATCCGCTTTACCGTCGGCCTTTGTCGTGACTGAAGGAAGTTTCTCCGGCTTATCATCGCCCTTTGTTCCCCAAGTAATGTCGTGGGTGTTGCAGAACGCGTAGACGTTTAGGATGTTGATGTACGTTGGTGTCATGAGGAGGTATTGTATAAACGAGGTGAACATATGCCATGGGTCGAGGAAGATTATGGATACGACGAAATACATCACGTACGTCGATAGTAGTGATATAATCAGAGTCGCAAATATCTTATCCTTGAAGAGATCCGCAACGTTGAAGCCGTTGTTCTCCTTGATTTGGGTTTGAACAGATTTCACAGTGATGAAGATTGATGCGAACATGAGGTATGCCATGATGATACACCAGAAGCATACCATGGACATGTACCACTTGTTAGAACCCTGCGGCCGATTACCGAGTGACAAGATAAAACACGTTATCAACACAGCGATGTACAGCCATTCGAAGACGATAAAGAGCACCTTGCCGGTCGTACCGAGTTCGTTTTGTAATGAACCTGTGAGGATGCGGAAGACCAGAAAGAAATTACCGAGGGCAAACCAGGCGAAGATCATGCTAATAGTTTGGTAAACGAATTCGACGAGGAACATCATTTTGCGCAGGAACGAATGATCACTGCGGAAGATATCGAAAGAATGGGCCAGGGCGTATACAGCAGCGAAGAAGGATCCGTTGAGCCAGCGGCGACGCTGACTGATAAATTCAGACATGGTGGTCGGTACGTCCGTCTCACCGGTCGCAGACTTGACGTACTGTAAGATCCAGTGGCAATTCCTCTTGGAGACCAGTTCGAAGCAAAGAATACGATCTTCTGCTAGGTACATGTTGGCCGTGAAGATGCCAGCGTTGGCGCCGTGCATCTTCTCGCCTGCAAAGTACTTTTCCAGCGGTCCTTGTCCAGTCTTGTCGTTCTGAAGTGCAATGTATCGATAGGCGGAGAAGGCACCGGGAAGCACACTAATGAAACCGAATGCTGATTCCAAAGGTTTGTCCAGGATATTACTCATCTTGTACTCGAAATTTTGTGTTGCAACCAGGGGGTTCAGGAGCTTCTTTCCGTGAACCAACATGGCCTTGATCTCACCACAAGCACCAGCGCACATGGGCTCCAAGTCGAATGCCTTCCAGAGTTGGTAAACGGAGTCCTTGCCGGGTTTTGTACCCGCATCGATCAGGACACAGATGTTGGGATCCAGAACGGCGCCAAACGCTTGGAAAAACCATCGATGGGAATTGATCTTCTTCTGGTTCTTCTCCTTCAGACAGAACAGCATCTGTACCGGCGTGTTTCCTTTTTTAACGCCAACCACGCCTTTCTTGATGTCGAGGGTCATCTGCGTAGTATATTCGTAGATATGTGCCGTCACGTCTTTACCGTTGACTTGTTGCTTGGCAATGCCATCTTGATAGACACCGAGTCCAGCTAGCACAGCTCGCGTTCGCGGATTGATCTTGGCACGTCCATCGCTAACCACGCAGACAACAATTTTCTTCCAAGCGTCCTTGCCCCACGTCTTACTATTCGTCCGTGAATTCATGTATTCAATGTTTTTGATCACACCGGTCATGGTTCGCGCGAACAGCTCGTCCTCCTCGTTGTACATGGTAATGACAATGAAGAGCTCGGTATGCCTGGGCTTTGCGAAGAGCTTCTGGCGCAAAGTAAAGCGCTCTGCGTCAAAGTCTGCAGGATCGCACGTAGCAGCCGAATAACGCATATGTGTGAATTCGTCACGCTCTGGGGGCTGCGCATGTGGTACCTGGTTGAGTAACCGAGGGGGAATAGGGCAATCCAGCACCAAATTGCCCTTGAACAACTGGACTTCCTTTACAGTTTTCCATCGCTTTATTGGGGCTGGACTAGGCGTAGGCAGAGGCTCGTCGTGGAACGGGTTCTCTGGATCCATATGGTCCATATGGTCGAGCCCCTCTCCATCGTGCGGATCTGGGCCGTACGAATTTGCGCCAGCCATCATGGGCCTTTGATCCTCTTCATCTTGCCAGTAGTGGGTTGGCTGCGTGCCATAGCCTGGATGTGGGATCTCGTCATGCGGAGAGGGATCGTAGGGCGGGTTGTAGTATGCGTCGTGATGCGCTTGGGGATCAAGTGAGTAGTCGCTGTCCAGGCGCTGGCCGGGAGGGCGTGGATCATAATCATCGTGGTAGTTACCAGAGGCGTAGGGGATATTCTCGACAGAATACTGGGTATTGGTTAGCGGTGAAGACGCTTCATGACCATAGTTTCTCGAGTAATGACAGCTGAACTGCAAGGTAGGGTAGGTAGGACATGGGATTTGCGCAACCACTCACACTTGGCTGGAGTGGTAGCCGGTCTGCAGAAGCGGCTGCTGTATTTGGTCCCATGGGAATCTCCAAAACACCAGGCTGTGGAGAGGGAGAGGCATATCGGTCTTCGAGCTGGTAGCCTCGTAGTGGCTGGCCCGGAGAGGGCGTTCTGCCAGGTCTTCGCGGATCCATTTCGTAGTGGTGGTCGTCGGCGCCGCCTGTTGAACCTATGCAATGTCGCCGTCAGTGGTGGAAGCTCGCCGGGTAGGAGGAATGAAGAGGTGTGTAACGTCTGGGGACACAAAGCGACCAGGGGCCCGCAAAAGCTCGGCGCAGCAAGGTGTACGACGCGACGCAATCTTGGTAGCCGTGATTACAGGTAGAAGGTAGGTTACTCACCCAGTCGGTCGTAGCCAGACATCCTGGCACGTCTTAGTTCCTTTCGGTTGTTGCTGCGCCCTCTGCCGACGCGAACGCGGTTGCCCAGGAAGTCAGGAAGTGGAGATGTGCTTTGATGATGATGATGAATGGGCGAATGCGCGTTGCGGCAATCCGGCTAGTGAGGTTGGTTTCAGATGTGTTTGGTGGGTGCGAATAGCGTCGCCGAGGGAGCACCGCAGTGTTTACCACAGCAACGGCGGGTGTGATGATGTAACAGCGGGGAGGAGACCAAGGAGGGAAGAGGAGGGAGGAAATCTACAGCTGGGTCTTGAGGAGGTGTATACGAGTGCAGCCAGCGGTCACGCAGCCTTCAGCCTTGGTGCCAGAGCTGGCTCTTCATCACGTTTGTTCTTTCAAGCGCCGCCCGCCAAGCAGACGCAGCCCTGTAACTAAACTTCCCTGCCACTGCGGATAATTCGCTGCGCCTTTCGCGTGGCGCACCATTTTCACAGCCGCATCAACTTACGAAGCCGTGCTATTTTAGGCAAAGTATGAAGTCATTCAACGACTATCAGAGGGCCGGAGTCGTTACAGCCGGTTTATCTCCATGGAGGGGCAAGATCTTCTTTTTTGTTGTTGATCTACCGCTTGTTGCTCTTCACCAGGCAGGTGAATACTCACCACTTTCGAAGCGCACACTCAGCCTTAGTGCGGCTGACAATCCATGGAACGGATGATATGATGCACGCCTGTACACTTCCGGGCGTTTTAAGCGAAGACAAACTAAGCAACGAGACTTGCGGCTGGAGACGGGATACAGCCTCGGGCCTGAGTAGGATACGAGCAATCGAGTCTAAATGGGAGCCTAGGAGGGAAGAAGTCGTCAAAATATTCCCCATTGAGTATGGCTTGGTATTGCACTTGTCGATGTATCTTTGAGTACTAGGACCTCACCCAAGTTGACCAATGCTCAAAGAATACGAGTCCCTTCGTCTAGAGAGTTGGAGGCTATATGAAAAATTATACTACAACTATCTAGAGTGTATGCAAAGTCAATGGGTATCACATCGATCCTATCCTCCATCCAAACCATGTCATCAGCTCAACTCCCCCTGCTCCAATTTCTCCAGAAACGCCTTTGAAAACCTCACACTCTGCTCAAACGCAGCCGTAAACCCCTCTTTGCCCCCATAATACGGATCCTGCACTTCCTCCCCCGGCCCTCCCCTCTTGCTCCCCCCAAACTCGCCAAACAGCATGACCTGCCCAACACCGTCCTCACCCCCCAGCTTCTTCACCTCCCTCTGCCGCAACCGCAGCAGGTCGTCTAGATTATCGTCATCCATGGCGAGTATGTAGTCGAATGTTTTGAAGTCCGAGGACGGGGCGAATTTGCGCGCGGCGTGGCGGTACGTCGTTATGCCGTTCTTTGAAAGCGTGGACATGGTGCGCGAGTCCGGGCCGTCGCCGACATGGTATGCGCCCGTGCCGCACGAATCGATGGTCGCTACCAAGGGGTGTGGTGGTTTGCCGTCCGGTCGGGTTAGGGACTGGAAGACGCCTTCTGCCATGGTTGAGCGGCCTTGGGAGTGGAGGGGCAAAGATTAGTAGCCTGTGGTGGTGCGGGGGAGGGGCAAGGGGACGTACAGATGTTTCCGAGACAGACGAAGAGGACTGAGACGGATTTTGGCGTGTTGGATTCGCTCATTGTGGAGGGAGGGGCTGTTACTACTTCTCTCGCGGTTGGTCCAGTGCGTTTGGTGTGTTATCTGGGTGTAGAGTGTCGACGGAACTTTTCCCAGTGATGCCAAGACATGATCGACAGGTACACTTGGAGGTATAGTCTATATTATCGTCGTGTGCTGTACTATGTTATAGAAAAACGGCCGTTTACATTGTTCCTACAGTTCATTGGATACACTTGCTGCCGTCCATGTCATTACGCCTTGTTCCGTTTCGACGATCAACGGGGGACGAAGCCCTTATAATACTCTCTTCTTCAGAAGCACCTTGCTGTGAGAGCTTGCTTGCCAAATCATCTATGCCTTCTGCTTCATCTGCCCCTCAAGCTGCTGTAACCGCTCCACCATCTTCCCCCTCATAAACTCCGTCATCCCCAGTATGCCCTCGCGCGTAACAATCCGATAGGTGCCACTGTCCTGCCACGTCCCATCGCTAAACTGCCCAGCACGGTCCACCTCGACACTCCCCAGAATATCCTCGGGCCATGCTATCCTGCCATAATCTGGCGGATTCCGCAGGTCACTCACATGTATCCAGCCACCATGCTGTCCTGCACCCGCAGAGCCTGGGGAGGCATAGGCGGAGGCTTGTTGAATCACGTAGGGATCTGATGTTGCGTGGGTGGCGTAGACGGAGGACAGGATGGGCTGGAAGGAGGGGTTTGGGGTGAAGTTGTTTGGTGTGACGGGGAGGGACTCGCAGGTTCCTATCGCGAGCTGGGGGGTTGGCGGTTCGGTGGGGAGGAGGGATAGCAAGGATTTGTGCGGGTCTAGAGGGTGCTTGTGTACATACTATATCTCTTGGTGAGTTTGACAAGGGAAGATGGGTAGAGGTGGCACTGTACGATGTGTGGGTTCTCTGGTAATGTCGAGGCATTTCGGGCACCGCGGAGACGGAGGGGTTGTGCTCTGCGGGTATACCGTAGGTTGCGCGCTGAGCGCACAAAGTTGTTCGCGAACATCTGATATACTACCGGACACATTGGACTATGGGGTGTGAAGCTCAAGTGCTGCACGCGATGGATGCTCAGGAATTCATGATGATGACCAAACAACCTAGTCCCAGCGCCCAAGCTCCCATGCTTCCAGTAGCGGGCGGAACGTGGAAGATCATCCGTAGACCCCTCATCCAGCTTAGTACACCTGCCATTCCATAGTTCTGGCTGGATGCTTCAAAAGCTCCATCCATCCATGCTCAAAAACAAATTTCGGCCTCGGGCCCAAACCATGTTTCCGAGCGCGCGTGTTGTCCCGCATGGAGGACGTTCAAGATGCACGCTCGTTCCCTAAACCACTGCTAGCGTACCCCACGCGCAATGGAAAATTTGTAGTCAACGAATGAGACGAGCAGAAACAGAGCCGGCCGGCGTCGGCTTAGACCGTTGGTTGAGTGCATTGCTCGGCGCCGCAAGATGGTATATATCTTCTCGTCCTGCCTCGCCGCTCCTCGGTTGGTAACTGCGTGTTGCCCTCACTCGCGAACGAACAGCCGCCATGGCATCACAGACCATTGGGCGGGCTCCGCCGGAGAAGCACCTCGAGGAGCCGAATGCAGTAAAGCAGGGAGAGATGCAACGGGACGTTGAAGTGGGACCTGAAGTGGAACCTGACATGGTCGATATTGATAGGATAGAGAGAGTATACTCGTGAGTGCCTAACTAAACCTTGCACTTTGAATTCCTGCGATATACCAACGCCCATGCAGCAAACTCGACCGCCGAATTCTTCCAGCCTTCTGGATTCTCTACTTCCTATGCTCCGCAATCCGTTCCAATGTCGGACTTGCTCAGACCATGAACCTGAAAGAGGGCCATGATCTTGCCTCCGTGCTCAAAATCACCCCCAAACAAGTGTCTACTGGTCTGGCGCTATTCTACGTCTGCTATGTCATCTTTGACTTGCCGTCCAACCTCGTCATGTCAAGAGTCAGTCCGCATGCGTGGATGAGTAGGATTGTCACTTGTGTTGGCATCATTGGCATGTGCTTGACTGCGATGAAGGCAGCATGGAGCTTTTAGTGAGTTGTCCTCGTGCATAGATGGGCATAATAGACTAACAGTGGGGGCAGCCTACTTCGATTGCTTCTGGGCATTGTTATTGCGGGTATGTGGCCTGGCATGTCGTACTACTTGACTCTCTTTTACCCCCCTTCGCGAACCGGCAAGCGTATTGGGCGCTACTTCACAGCATCCCAAATGTCCGCGGCCGTCGTCGGCTTGGTCTCGGCTGGGTTCCAGAAGATGGATGGAGTAGGGGGCCTCGTCGGTTTCCAGTGGATGTTCCTTCTCTACGGCATCATTGGCTTCATTGTGGGCATATCGCTCCTGTGGTGGTTGCCAGACAGGCCACTTCCTCCTGGCGAAGTCCGCAACCGATCGGGATGGTTGAAATTCTTGCCAGAGGGCAAACCAGCGTTGACTGGAGAGGATGCAAGGATTCATTACGAGGACCTAACGCGCGTGTACCATCGCTCCACGTGGACCATGAAAGATCTCTGGAATGTGGTGATTGACTGGAGGATTTATCCACTAGTCATCATGTACTTTGGCGTTGTAGGTGTTGGCAACGGAACACAGGCCTACGCTACGGTCATCATCCGAGGCATCAACCCCAAATTGACGGGCATCCAGCTCAGTCTGCTGTCTGCGCCCATCTGGCTTGTAAGTGTTAGGACATCACGTGCGACGATGTGAGCTAACCATGTCAGATGGATCTCCTGGCCATCCTGCTGGTCACGCCTCTCTCGGATCGCTTCCACCACCACCGCGCTCTTTTCTTCAGTGGCGCTGTCATGGTCCAGATCACCGGGCTCCTGGTGGCTACATTCGCTAAGAACTGGTCGCGATATGGCGGCATCTTGCTGGTGGGCTTCGGGCTGGGACCAACGGTGCCCATCTGCATGACTTGGGCCAACGAGATCTTCCAACCGCGCCACGGCGAAGTGGGTGTAGCCGCAGCCGCCGCGCTGGTGTCTGGGTTGGGGAATCTGGGAAGTATCCTGACTACCTATGCACTGTACTCGGGGTGGCCGGAAGATGCCAAGGTGGGACCGCATAGGTACCGCAAGAGCAACCTGGTCATGATCGGGATACTATGTGGCAGTATTCTGAGTGCGGCGAGCATGGTTATTTTGCTGAAGATTTTCGGCATTAGCAAGGCCAAGCAGATCAGCAGCGCGAGCTCGACCAGCGAGGGCGAGGCTGTCTACGTGGACGGAGCCGCAAGGCGCGAGGTACAGCAGCGGGGACTAGGACGCATGTTCTGTTTCCGATGATGGCAGGCTGCCCTGGACAGACAAACGTTGATTGGAGCGGCAGGCAGCGATCAGAAATTTGGGTCCCTTTGGACGGGGCATGTGTGGATTTGGCCATGGCGGGTGGGAGGTGGGAGGTGGGTAGTAGTCACGAGGGGGGGTCAAGTCCTAGTCGCGTGGAGGCGGGAGCGACGAGGACTCGTTGCTTATATTATGCAGGTCAACATCCCCGGGGGGCTGACGGCATAGCTGCGAACTGCTGTTATAGCGTGCAACCGGGGGAAGACGTTAGGGAAACTTATATAGGGGACCATTCTTGTAGACAACTATATACTATAACAGCATTTGCATCGTCGAGGCCGATAAGCCGACCGACTATGGCGCTCAGGCTCGGCAAGGCGTTCACGAAGCGTTCCCCAAGTGGCCGCACACGCATGAGGAGGGGCTCTCACGACACCCACACCCACACATGCCCGTCGTCCACCACCTGCTCTTGTCTTGATTGATTCTTTTCTTCTTACCCTCGTTGCATGCAATTGCTTTGCCAGCCCTCGCAGTGTTTGTTTCATTCTTGCAGCGCCCCACTCGTCCGTACCGCCCGCCAGCTGTCCAAGCACCGCAGCCCACGACAAGCAATCAACAGCCGCAGGACCCTCGCTGCACACCCCGACCGATCAGGGCACCCTCTGGCGACCGCTTTCTGCCACACGCATAGCCCTCATACCCGCCTGCATTCCTTCTTCTTCTCGTGCATGGGTTGCCTTTCTCAGTGCATGCGCGAGCGGGGCAGTGAGTCCGTCCAAGCGCGGTCTACTCTTCGATCCCTCCCCCCCTCCCCACCCCCCAGCTCCCACGGTCGCGCATCGCTATAGTCTGACGTAAGTGACTCTCTCCCCGTGTCATGGATAGTAGCCATCTTCTATGCTGCACATGCATGCCAGCACCTCTGGTCTTCGCTTGGCCCTTGCCCCAGTCTGCATCGGATCGCCTGCTAATACTTTCCCTTGGTATAGCTAGCCGCGCGCCCACGCCATAGCCCTCAATATGTCGGCCGCAATCGACAACGACGACCTGGAGGAGCTCTCCATCTCCATGCCTTCCCAGCGCCGCGGAGGACCGAGTACCGCCAAAATGGTCGACTTCTCTCCTGCGCCCCTCACGACAGCCGCGCAGGAGAGCAAGAGCAAGGACTCCAAGACAAACCAACGCCTGGGCCAGTACACGATAGTCAAGACGCTCGGCGAGGGCTCGTTTGGAAAAGTCAAGCTTGCAACGCACCAGGTCAGCGGCCAGAAGGTCGCCCTGAAGATCATCAACCGCAAGAGACTGGTGACGAGAGATATGGCGGGCAGGATAGAGCGCGAGATTCAATATCTACAGCTGCTTCGCCATCCGCATATTATCAAGCTGTATGTTTTTTGGCACCCACTACAACTATCCACGTGTACAACTCTATACTAACCCTGCTCTAGATACACAGTCATAACCACGCCGACTGAGATCATCATGGTCCTCGAATACGCCGGCGGAGAGCTGTTCGACTACATTGTGAACAACGGGAGGCTACAAGAGGACAAGGCACGCAAGTTCTTCCAACAAATCGTATGCGCCGTCGAGTACTGCCATCGACACAAGATCGTCCATCGGGACTTGAAGCCCGAGAACCTGCTTCTGGACGACCACTACAATGTCAAAATCGCCGACTTCGGACTGAGCAACATTATGACGGACGGAAACTTCCTCAAAACAAGCTGCGGTAGCCCCAACTATGCTGCACCCGAGGTCATATCTGGCAAGCTGTATGCCGGGCCCGAGGTAGACGTCTGGAGCTGTGGTGTCATCCTTTACGTTCTGCTCGTTGGACGGCTGCCCTTCGACGACGAATACATCCCCACGCTTTTTAAGAAGATCGCCGCGGGCAACTATAGCATACCAAACTACCTATCTCCAGGCGCTGTCTCGCTCATCAAGAAGATGTTGATGGTTAACCCAGTGCACCGCATCACCATCCCAGACTTGCGCAGAGACCCATGGTTCACCAAAGACCTGCCCTCCTACCTCGAGCCGCCAGTGCAAGAGTTCTACGAGAGCGGTGCAGATCCGAACAAGGCCATCGACCCTAAGGTCCTAGCACCCTCTGCACCTGCCCCCGTCGTACAAAAGCTGCACGAAACGGTCGTGACAAAACTAGGGAAAACCATGGGCTATGCCAAGCACGACGTCCAAGAAGCATTGGCGCGTGACGAGCCAAGCGCAATCAAGGATGCATACTTGATTGTCCGCGAGAACCAAATCATGAAAACAAACCGTAAGTAAACTCCCTAGACCAAAATAGCACCAGATACTCTACAGCTGGATCCATCAGACTAACACTCATGTGTAGCTTTGTTGACCAACGAGAAGAATCTCCAGCCATTCTTCGCACAATCACCACCTAATAATGAGAGCTATTTGAGTACCTCAATACCCCACAACCTTGCCACCATGTCGCGTCCACAAGTCATCCCGCCACCTCCATCCGAACACGAGCGCGCGCGCCAAGGTTCAAACGCTAGCAGTCAACTTGCAACTGTCCGAAGTCCTGTTAGCACCATCGCCATTCTCCCCAGCAGTCTGACCGAGTACCACAAGGCATACATGAAAGGGCACCCTAGGCCGCCTAACAGGCCACAAGAGGATGGTCCGCCTACCCCTGAACAGACCGAAGAGCAGCGGCAGATATCAGCTCGACGGCTGAAGCCCAACTTCCGCGCAATTCCAGAGGCACACAGACAAAGACCGGAACCAATGACGAGTATACCTGCCAAGAAACCTCGACCGACGAAATGGCAATTCGGTATCCGCTCGAGAAACCAGCCAGCCGAAGCTATGCTAGCCATCTTCAAGGCACTGAAGGCGATGGGTGCTGACTGGGAAGTACAAAGGATACGCAAGGCTGGCGGGCGCAGTGGATCTCGCAGTCGTAGCGCTTCGCGAGAGTCACCAGAAGAGTCAAGATCAAGGAGCCGCTCGCGGGGTTCCTCGATATCGTCGCACTCTTCCCAAGAAGATCAGGGCGACAGAGCCAATTCGCCGCATCGCGAGCCGCTTACTGTACGTAACGGTAATGTAGACGAACAGGAAAGGCGAGGGCGGCAAAAGAGGCACTACAACCACACCAATGACTGGGGTTACCATATCCCCGAAGATCCATGGGTCATCAACGCCCGCTTCCGAAAAGACGGCATGTTTCCACCCGGAGTCGCGCATCCCTCATCCACCCACTCCTCGCGCGTCGATCTCGCCAATGATCCCTCTGGTCTACGGAGACGCAGCTCTACGCACACCAGCACCTCCAGTCTCAATCACGGTGTCGAGAATATGACCATGGCAGAGCGAGCAGCCTACCTGGGCGAGGATTACCCGCAACCTGATGAGGCGGTCTGGATCTACATGTCCATACAACTCTACAGCATTGACCGCGACTTCTTCGTCGTAGATTTCAGGTGCGCAGGCTACGAGCGCCTTGTGTCCAATCTCGTCCGCGAGATCAAGGCATCTTCCACGTCTAGTACCTCGATCAGCAATCTGGCCCTGTCATCTTCACAACCTGCTCATCATCATGAAGACGGCTGGGACGACGAACAGGGTATATGGCGCAGGCTTGGTGAGGGCGAGCCTCTGCCAGAGGATCTAGCGCGTGAGTTGAGAAATGGCGGTAAAGGTGTGATGCGGGAGAGGACCGAGGAAGTCGGCGTGGGAAGAACCGATGGAGAGAAGATTGTTACGAGCCCTTTTCCCTTTTTGGATGTTGCGAGTACCCTTATTTTGCAGTTGAGCGGGGAGTAGTTGGGAAGCCAAATGGCTCGAGACAACAAGACATCGGGCCAGCCGGCGACATGAAATGCCACAAAACAACCTCCTAGCCTTCAGTATTCATGTCCCCACGTGTTGCATGGGACGCACTGCACTCTGCAATAAGTAAATAGAGTCGAATATCAAACGGCATACCAATATCCCTTTACTACACAATATATATTCATGGTGCATGGTATGGGGGCTATGTGATATAATGTGGGAGTGGGGAATTTGAGTTCATTATAATAGGGGCTGGTCGACATTTTTGCACACAAGCCTTTCCTCGCATGATACACACACATCGCTCACATGACTCTCATCGCATGTAAAGATAGAATCAATACTCCATCCATTCAATGCTATACATGTACAAGAGCGGAAGAGAGCATTACAACGCCGTTTCAACTGTCCTTTTGCCAGAACGTCCAATAGAGTGGTAAGTACAGATTGGGAACAAAGTGGAGAAGAGGCGAAATGTACGGGGTTTACCGCATCGCGCCAAATCCTGCTCCGCCTGCTCCGCCGCCCATGGCGCCTAGTCTTGACGCAAGCTTGGGGTATTTCTCTTGCACCTGGAGTCTTCATGTTAGTATTGCTCCCCAGATTGGTACAAGATGACTGTTGGCTACCACCGTAGGCGTAGGAACAACCGGCAGATGGTAAAGGGCTTGTACATACCTCAAGCTGTGTCCTTGTCGCCTCCGCATAACTCAAGGCATTGACAATCTCACCCTCTGTTCTCGACAACTCAGCCGCGCGTTCGAAATACTTCAACGCCTCCGTAACCTTGCCCTGCTGCAACAGCAACTGCGCCATAGTCGCAACCGCAATGTCGCATTCCGGGTCGATGATCAACGCCTTCTCGCATAGCTTCTCTGCCTCGGAAAAGTCATTCTTCCACTGGAAGAGTGCGAGCGCCTTGTTGATGAGTGGCAAGACGTTCATTCCCAGGGGCTTGGATGTCTTCTCCATGTCAACAGCCGTGTCAAACTTCTCGATTGCTTCTTGGTACTTCTGCTGGTCGAGGAGGAGCTCGCCGTAGTAGTTGTATACATCTGGGACTTGAGTGAAGTTCTTCATGCAGCGGCGGAAAGTAGCCATTGAAGAGGCGATGCTGCCCATTTTGTATTGTGTGACGCCGAGCTGGATGTGCGAGAAGATGAAGTCTTTGTCCAGGTCGATAGATTTCTGGTAGTCCTTGGCAGCCTCACCGAATTCTGACTTGATGAAGTGGAGTTGTGCGCGGTGGTAGTAGATATCTGGGTCGTTCGAGTTTTGCTCTAGGGCAGCAGCGAAATCGGCTTCGGCGGCTTCGGGGTTGGCCAGCTCCAGGTGCATGCTGGCACGCTTGATGAAGCTCTGTGTCAGTGTGGGTTGCAACTCAATGCTCTTGTCCATGTCCTTGAGGGCATCCTCGTTATCACCCTTGAGGTAGCTGAAGGTTCCGCGCATGTTGTACGCGAAAGCCTCGTGCTCTCCGAGATCTCCGAGCTCAAGCGCGCGGTCGAAGGCTCCCGCGGCTTCGGTATAGCCCTCTCCCGTCTTGGTGGCCATGGCCTTCAATCCCTTGCGCAATTGGCCCTTTCCGCTCTCCTCTTCTAGCTCCGCATCGTCTTCCAGACCCGCTGGTGGTGGCTTCGGTCGGAAACTCTGCAGGTAGTTTGTGACAAAGGTTGGGCTTGGGAGCTTCTTCTCTTTGGATGTTAGAATGGCCTTGCCCTTGGTCTCGGCCACCTTCTTAAGTAGACGCTCCACGCTCTGGGCGCTGTTCTCGTTGCGGAAGCCATCAATGATGCAGCTGGCAGTGTAGTCGAGCAGAGCCTCGCTATTGCGCTCGACCTGCTCGTATGCATTCGCTCGCCGGTTTAGGGCCTTGACGTACTCGTTGTCGAGGTTGATGGCGGCCGTGGTGTCCTCGATGACCTTGTCCCAGTCTGACATGGCATTGTAGCAGGCAGCGCGGTTTGAGTAGAAGACGGGGTCTTGCTTGCAAAGGATGGCCTTGGCGTAGAGGTCGATGGCGCGATTGTAGTCTTTTGAGCCGTATGCCTTGTTGCCTGCGGCCTTGAGCTTGGCCGCATAGTCCTTTCGCTCCTGTGACATGTTAGCCTAGGGGAACGTCGCGTGTCAGGGCGCATAATTGATCGTACCTCTTCTGACAGAGCGCCCACGGAGCTCTCGTCAACGTCTGGCAACTCATCCTCGCTCGTCGCCGTTACCGAGGCCTTCTTGGGTTCTATCGTCTGATCAGCGCTAGTCTTTCAGCATCTCCATCACTCCACCTACCACTCGCTGTCTCTGATGTGCTCTCCTTATCCGTAGCAGAGCCCTTCTCCGCCCTCTCCTTTGCGCGCTTTCGCTCGCGCTGCCTCTTCCGCTTGTTCGCCGAAGACTCAGTCGCGCCACCGTCTGAACTCGAATCGGCATTCGAGAAGTAGTAGACAGCACCGCCAGCGCCCACCACTAATGTTATGCCCGCAATCGTATAAACAACGCCCTTGTTCTCCGAGGCCCAGTTTGAAAGTCGGTCCCACAGTGAACTTGTGCCTTGGTCCACGGGAATTTGAACTGGGAAGGGACCCGGCGAGTTGGGCAGAGGGGCGTTGGTCGGCGCCATGGTGATATCAGGGCGAGTATTAAAGAGATGGAGGGGTGAAGGGACGGGGGACGCAATGCTCAGCGACTGTTGTTGCAGCAGATGGATAGGCTGTGTCGAAAAGTTTGGGCTAGGGAGCTTGGGTCCTGGCCTGAGCTTTCAATGGGGACGTCATCAGCATCTATCAGTGCATACTTCAATGTCTTCAGCGTCTGCAACACATAATGCCCTGAACACCTATAGTCTAGTCTTACTGCGGGCTGCCTGATAATGTGAAATTGCGAACTTAACATTGCCACCTTCATGTTCAGCAGCGTCAGACTTCAATGGCTTCACGTGACGCAGCTCACACCGACTCTATTCCTGCTACAAATGCTCAGGACAGTTGGAGTTCCCCCCCACAATACCCTTGACTAGTCATGTCTCGTGCATCGTCTGCTCTATAGAGACTATTAGATCTTTCAATTACGGTGTTGCGTTGCCACGTCTTCGTGCATGACGACCGCCCTCGGCGGAATCGGAGTTTAGACGTGAATCACTGGAAGACGCTAGTCCACCACAACACGACTCATCAACATAGACAAGAGAGAAATCACCTTTGGAGCAAGACCGTGGACGAATGCAGGGCTCGAGAATTCTTGTAACGCGTATTCAATAATCGAGTCGATCCTCTCTATCCATACCATCGGTCCAGGATTCATACAGGTGGTACCTAAACGTACTTGTACCAGGAACCTCCGTCAATATGGCGTCCGAAAATGAGTTTCAACTCTTCACCTCCCTTCGCTACGACCCTCTCCTTCTGTCTTCAGAGGAAAATTCAAGGCCGGAGCTAAACTTAGTCACGCCGTCACCGTTCTACATGCTTGCGTACCACAGAGATCGCATGATAGAAGCTGCACAGCATTTCGACTTCCATGAAGTCGAAAAAAGATTAAGAGATGGGAAAGCGCTGCATGAACATCTATTGCGGGAGGTCAACAGGTGGGTTGAGAAGGGCGGGCATGATCAGGCCTTGAAGGTAAACTAATAAAACAAGGAAGACTTCAAGTAGAGGGGCTGATGAACGACAGCTGAGGCTTCTATTCGACAAGTCCGCAAATCTCACAGTCGAAATCTCCGCCGTACCTGCAGTCCCTTTATCAACACTCTACCCACCCTCCCTGAATCCCCCAAACCCGAAAACAGAACCTCATCCAGCCAACACCTTCAAACCCTCTCCTCTAACAGGTGGTGTCCTCACACTTGGGCCGACTGACTCTCTTCCTGCTGCAACATCAACACCACCGTCTCCCCCGCAGTGGAATATCAGGCTAGATACAGCACCCACGCCTTCCTCCCCATTCACGCTTCTCAAAACTACGAGGCGCGAAATGTATGACAAGTCACGGGACCGCGCACTACCAGAGAACGCTGCTGGGCCTGCGTACAGAGAAGTAATGCTATACAACGAAGTCAACGAACTCACCGAAGGTACACTAACATCATTGTACCTATTCCGCGGAGGGCGATGGGTCACACCGCCCGTTGGAGTACCTTCGGGCGAGTTCACGTCAAAGACTCTAAATGACGGAAATGAAGACGAGGGCGAACTGAGGAAACCATTTGCTGGGCGTTGGGGCCACTCAGTGCGAAGCGCAAAGGTAGGTGCTGGAGGACAGCGAGGCACTAGTCGGAGATGGGCGCTCGGAAAGGGCTACTGTATGGAGGAGCCAGTCGGTGTGGACACAGTGAAGGTGGGTGAAGGAGTATGGGTTAGCAATGGTGTGAGAGGATTTGGGTATGGGAAGGTGGTTGAGTAGTTTTCACTCCTCTAAAGACAACGTTTAAAGAACGGAGAGAAGTCCTGTTACTCAACTTACGATGAGATTTGACTTATCTAGCCGTAGAAGAAATGACGCGTTATGCGAACAGATAATCTCGCAAAGCATGTGTGGTGTTCTGTAAAGCAAATTCTTGGGTATCATAATATCATGTCGAGCTATATGCTCGATGACTCAACGAAAATTGCACAGAAGCTCACTATAGTTCTCGTAGAGCAAAGACACCCAGAGCGCATATGAGCATGTGACGTCCGATACATCATGGTACAGCTCCCAAACAAACCTCATTCGCGCCAAGAATGTCGCCCTCTGAAGTACGAGGTATCCACCCCGCCCCTTATCAAGAACTTGCCGTTGTCGGTCTCGGTGTTTCCTTCTCTTTCTCCCTCTTCTTCTCACCTTTCCTCTTTTTCCTCTCCGGCTTATACACGTCATTGAAGTTGATATTAACCGCTAGCATCTTCAACTCGCCATCTGGTGAATGCACCAAGTCACCCAACAGCGCACTAATCTTGCTTTTGAACTCTTCAATAAGATGACCCAACCGCTTCTGGAGGGCAGGAAGAACATCATCTTCGCCGGAGCCGGCGGTGCCAATCTTGAGGAGGGGAGGCGGGAGGGGTGAGTCGGGATCATGTCGGGATGCTGCGCGTGATGCTGAAAAAGGGTCCAGTAACGAAGAGCGGCGTGTGTCTTTCTCGGAGAGACCCCATCGACCGGCTGCGGTGCGTGTTTCGATCTTAGCAGCGTGCTCTTGACGGCGAGTGAACTCTGCCACGGAGAAAGAGTACAACCCATCTACCGCATCTTTGTATGCAAGCATCGTCTTCAATAGCTCGTGCAGTTGCCCGGTAAAATCAATACTCTGGCTTCCGAGAAGGCCTTTCCGGGTGATGTTATTGAGATATCTCGCATGCGCTTCTATCATGTCGTCAAGTGTACTCTCTGGCTTGTTCAGCGCTTTCTGAAGATCGATCCAGGATGACTCAATGACCTCAAAGAGAATGTAATGCTGTAGTTGATTGACGAAATGGACCATCTCAGCCATTGCACAGCGCGCCTTCTTCCAGTCTGTACCAACCTTGTCGGACACTGTGCCAAGAACCCCGCGAGCACCGGTCATGCAGCGACGCCATGTTGATCCAAGTGCGAATTCAACACGCTTTACTCGCCATAGGAAGTTGAAGACTTTCAAGTATTGCTTAGATCCAAACGGCGTTACGATTACATCAACAGGTGCATCGATCTTGTACTCGAGGGTGAAGACATCCCAACCAATCTCGCCATGCGAGAGTTCGAGCATTCGCGAGTCGAGGCGTCGCAGGACATCCGATGTGTCGAACTGTGCATTCGAATTGCGAACAGCGTGCTCAAGCTGAGCTGTGAGCGTATGCCGATATTGCGTGTTTGCTGGCCTGTCGAGATTGGACGATAAAGACTCCATGAGCACTGCGATGAAGTCGCCAGCACCGAGGAGCATATACTGCTTCAGCGCCTGTAGATGGTCAAATAGCTTGAACTTGTTCGCCATGAGGTCAATGAGGCGTGCCATTGTCGTCTTGTACGCGTCACCGATAGATCGCTCGAGGTTCGCAGTGTCGCCGTACTGTAGCTCTTTGGAGGCTTCTTTTGAATATGTGTCCACCCAAGCTGCGTCACCACAGCCGTATCGGATAAAGTTCAAGGTCTTACCGATGAGGAAGACTTTCTTGGCGAAGTCGTCCGTAACGATGGTCGGCACCATTTTGTCGTTTAGCTTGTACTTGTCTTCCCAGACACTTGTTGCGCCTCCCTTGCCCTCGTTGCCGCTAGCTTCGTTGATTTCATCCTCGCTCGGCTCTGAGACGAAGAACTCACCAAAGGGGTCAGAAAGCTCGCCGTCATATACCCATTGCCTAAGCATATCGTAAAAGGGTCGCGTAACATCGGATAGAAGGCGCTCCGCAAACGCCATGACGTACGGATCCCCGTGATTGAGTGAGAAGGAGTGGATGAGGGCTATCAACTCGCCTCCTTTCTTGCTCTTCGATTCCTCAACCATCAGACTCATCAGTCGCAGGCCCATGGTGGGTTCACGGATCCAGATGACGCATCGTTTGAGTGTGACGCCAGCCTTACTGACGCCTTGGTGCGCTGGCCCCTCACTCAGCTGCGTGAGCGCTCTTCTAATCTGCCCCTCTAGTGTCGCGACTAGTCCCAGGTATGCCCGTAGTTCCTTAGCTAAGGCTGAGCGGAAACTCTGTCCTATGAGACCTCCGTCGCCCGACTCGACAAACTCCGAAAGCCCCCTGTAGAGTATCGCAGGCTCGGCGAGCGTGTGTAGAAGACTGATAATGGGGACTGGGAGGTTCGCGGGGAGCTTAAGCGTGGTCGAAGAGGGGAATACGAGGTTCGTCGAAGAAAGGCCTTGTAGGGTGAACGGTAGATCACGCAGTAGCGCAGGTTCTGATGGTGCCACGTCGGCCTTCTCTACATGACTCCCATCGGTTTGCTGCTCTTTGCTTGTCTCTGGTACACGGCGCTCCTTCCGCCTCTCTGATCTATCCGGTATTGGCGCAGGACGTAACACTGCTTTGGGCGACCCATCATTGACCGGTAGGCGGGACAAGCCTGGTTTCGCGAAAGTGTCACGGAATGCTGGACTGGTAAGTGCTTGAGCACCTGAGCTCGGCTGCTTTGATGGCGTTGTGGGTTCGCGAGAGCGGCCTTGAGGGTGATGGGGGATAGCCTTTTCTATCGTAGGCGCTGGGTTGTCGGAGAGGTTATAGAGAAGGTATAGCATGCGCCACTTCTGATCCAGGACGGTTTGCGTCTCAAGGCGGGAGAGAAGGTTGTGGAAGCGGGCGCTCTTTTGCCGGTCATTTCCAGGCCCAGCAACTGATCGAATTGTTACTTAACTATTCACAGGAATCGCAATAGTAACCGTACCTCGTCTATCGATCAGGCTAGCAATATGATTGACGTCGGGGACGAGAGAGGGATCCCCTGCAGCAGCCAGTTCCTCGATTGCGAATTCAAAGGCGTCCTCGAAGCGCTGGTTGGCTGCTTCTTCATCATCGTCGGCATCCTCTGGAATAATCCGAACGAGCAGCTCGTTCAACGCGTGTTCGACGCGTTCGCGGTGGAGGGTGGCCATGATTACGCGCTGTTTTCTGACGTCCAAGTCGTGTTGACAACGATCACCGCGGGGGTTTCGACATGGACCGTGCATCGGGGCCCAAACATCGTCATTCACACCTCCTACCTCCTTTTTTCTCGCACTCTGCTGTGCTCCAACGCCCAGTAGTCAACAGCGAGTATGCCTTCAGCCATATCTTTGGTACGCTCGAGATTGACGAGATGTACTACGTTTAATCGGATTGTAGGCATATGCCAATAATCGTCAGCTAAACAGTGACCCACTACTGAGTACATCTGAAGACGGGATTATACCCGGCCGTAGGCGATCTCTAGGCTAAAGGTCACTAAGAGTTGATTGTAGTTTTTAAGATGCGGGGTTCTCTTACCTATGGCTTGCTGCCCTCGTAGCACTAAGGTTGAGGTAAAAGGCAATGAGGACAGCCCTTCAAAGCAAGCATATAAACTTCCTTAATCTTCGTCCGTCAATCATCACCCAACCTTTCTTCATATCTGTAGCTCGATAAAATCCAATTAATCAACAACAGCTGCTACTTGCTCTCGACAATGGAGCGTACTAGACATACCACGCCTCTTACCACTCCATCTCGAGCTTCAACCATTGCTCTCGACAGCAGTGAGCGTGGGGCTCAAACGAGCCCATCGATGTCCAGTTCTCAGAGCTCGGATACGGAGCGCCTTCTCATGCAAGCCGAGATTGATGCTCATACTCATTACAAACAAGCCCCCGTCCAAGAGTTCAAACCTCTTCAGTAAGTGTCGTATAGATGTGAATATGAGTGCGACATATAACTAAAAAACTCAGGATGCTCATGGAGACGCCGATATCAATCGAGTACGGAGATGATCTCACCTCCCAGCTCACTATGCACGAAGAACTCCTCCGTTGTCATAGCAAGTCCTTCGACCAACTGTGCGGCAAGGCTAAGGCTCTCCGAGAACAATATGCCCAGGCGGATATCCTTATGCAGAGTTTGGCGAAATTTGTGTTCCCGGAAGTCACTATCAAGCAGTTTGAGAGCGCTGCTATGGAGGGAAAGGTACGTTCTTGTTGAGCTGGTGTAGATGGCTTGTAGTATCTATTGGTATTACGAGCACTCGATTCGATGCGGGTTACTCTATAGAAGTTGCTAACGCTAACGACTCTGTAGGTAATCCCTCTGATCCTCCAGATTGCCAATAGTCATCCCCTCCAGGAGTACCACAACAACATCAAGAAAGTCATCGACGTAGCTGTGGAGAATCAGTTCACACTGAAAAACAGCAAAGTCCCTCAATCAACTGGAGGAGTCTCCAAGAAGAGGGATAGTAAGGACACGAGTTGCGATATGAGTCTCAGAGGACGTATACCTCTGCTCAATTCGCGAGGCGTACAGACAGTGGCTGAGAGATTATATGCCGCGCTCCACAGGATGAAAAGGGCAGAGGCAGGGATGGCGAAGGAGGATCCGGTGAGGGCTGTCGCCCAGCGAAGGATACTCTTGCCCGGCATCCAGGACACCACCGTTCGCCTGTTCGTTCAGTGGGTCTATCAAGGATCGCTGTACTACGAAGATGCGGAGCAGCTGTACGCTCTCCTGAATCTGGCCACTAGCTTAGGCGCGGATGTGCTTGCAGAAATGTGTCTCAGCAAGCTTACGACCGCTGCAACCGATAGTATCACGACTGCCCTGACCGATGGTATTCCCCTCCAAACATTGATTGCATACGGCTCAGGCAACAAGGACAACGTCCTGGAGGTCATCTTCATTAACGTGTTCAAGGACGAGAACCCACCAAAGAGACTCCTGAAGCTTGTGATCGACACTTTAGCCAAGAGCCTCGATATGGCGCTATGGGCTCAGATTAAGGATTTGATTGGCCACAAAATGGCTCTGGACCTCATCGAAGCCATGGTCGTTCGGAAGCAGGTCAAGACCGAGCAGTTCTACCAGACGAGCATGAAATCAGAGAGCGACGTCACGACTCCCGAGTAGTCGCTCTTCATCACTAACGAGAAGCGCTGAGTACCCGCATCGGCAAAGTATTTTGATGGAATGTGCATGGGCCCCGATTGATTCTAGACATGCGTGAAGGGATTTGGAGTCTTGACGCCACGACAACGATCTGCACGACCTTGGTTTTTACGGCGAACAGCGATCCATTGCATCACTCTATGGAAGAGTTTATTTTCATTTCTACTGATTTTCTGCATATTATTATTGGCCTGGGGCGGCGGCAGGACCCAACAGGAGGCGGGTCTAGCTCATGGAATCTCATATTCTTAATCAAAAGCTTTGCCTAAGTCCGCCCCTTCGCCCTTGGGACTGGAGAACTTGAGATACTCGCAATTGCTAACCGGCAATAGACACATTCAAATGACACAGGCCACCAAAATAAGTCGGAGAAAATACGTGGGTGGTACGATCGATGCTGGCTCAAACAGGCACCACGATAGCTGTCGTGTCAGGACACAAGACCCCAGATGGACGAATCCAGATGATGATGCACTCAAACATAAACACGCCTGCATGTGGTTCCACGGCGGCCGTTTGTGGGTGACACGGCGCATCGACATGCATCGACAGCCTCAAGATCGGCAATGTACCGAAACGTCAGAACGCTTAGGGAACTAATGCAGCGAGTTGAAAACTCTGCTCACTTTGGTACAACAGGCTCTCGCAGATGCGCACAAGAGACTCGACCTAAGCTGGCTTGAGTGTCCCTTGCGTGTAACGAGCCAGGCTCACAAGGACCCAACTACCCGGTTGAGGGAGAATAGCGTGCTCACACACGCAAGACCAAGACGATGCGGTGCGTTAGATCGTTAGATCCGCGCGCACTGGTTGATGTCGATGAGGGCGCGAAACATCAAACATGCGGGTGGGCAGGTAGGACGAATATACTTGACGCCATCTGCTAGTGCCTGCGACCTGGGCCATGCGAGGGTTTTTTTTTGGTTTGCGTAGTTTGGAGGCAAATGGATCGAGGTGACTCTTTCTCTCCCTAGCACCTTGCACGGCCTAACTTGATCCCCAACCTGCGACCGTCACAGGCTCGTTTGGGAAAGCTTTGGAAACACACTGGTCCTGCGAAGCGGTGGCTAGCAACCGTGGCGTGTGTACCTTGCAGCACTTGTTTGGATACAACGCGCGTACCTAGTAGGTAGTTGCTGCACTGCGTCTGCAGCGCCGATGCGCCCCGCATCTGGACACGCAGCGTGTACAACACTCACCCAGGGCCCGAGCTTTGCCATCGTCCAGGACGCCGCGGGCATCTTGTGAAGCCCAGGGCAATTTGTTGCGTGGTAGTTCCCAGGGGTTATGGCCATGACAACATCGTCATGCCGCCAAGGACCCTGGAATGGGGTTGATTCATCTCAGCAAAAATCCAATCGCGCGCGATGCACAACAACACAACACAACACGAGGCGAGTCCCATGGGTGTGAGCCAGGCTCATTCTCCCCGACTACATTCTCCCCCACCAACAAAACACCTGGCTATCAATTACCCATGACAACACCCACCAACAGAGGCAAGATGCGCCCCTTCCTGGCCGTGGTCGAGCTGGACGCGTCTGGGTGGAGGGCTCTTGCCTACCATGCACAAGTGGAGACGGGGGCTGCTTCACTGATATGCAAGACATCTGTCGTGCCTTCCCAGAATGCATTCCACGTGGGCAAAAGTCAAACTGTAGTTCCCCCTTTGGGCATGCCGATGATCCGACACACCATGGCTGAGGCAAGTCCATAGCATCCACTCGTTCTTGTGTCCCCTCTCATTTCGTCACTTGCCCTCCTTGCCGCTTCTTCCAGCCGGCAGCGTGTGCTAGCACCCAACAGGTTTCTGCGAGAACGGCTTGTTTATCCAGGTTGCTGGTCTGCGACCGAGTTTGCCCACAGTATAAACATTACCTTTCCTTTACCCGGTTTGGTTTGCACAACCCATCCCGCAACGTTCCTTCCTACGGCTCCCTACGGCCCATCACGTCTCACAAGGTCATACAGCAAACAGTGCGCGGAATGGACACCTCTGCGAGTATCCGCTGCGAGTACGAGCATTGGTGGAGGAGGAGAAGAATGCCGGCTAGCAACAAACACCGCCAGGTTGACCAAAGCACCCTATCGCTACCTGTTCCCTCATTCCCGCCCGCGTTGGACTTTGATCCAGACCAGTTTTTGCTGCCACCCTCCTACGAAGAAGTCATTGATCTCGAGAAAGCCCTCCATCTCGTCCCTTCTCGACGCTGTACCAGCAACGATGCATCAACTCTCGGCCCTTCTGCGACTTCCCCAGACGCTTCTCGAAGCACTGCCAGGACACAGCAAGCACAAGCACCCTCCCCACCTAACAGATGCATACGAATTGTCCGTCATCTCCGGTATAGCCTCTTCACCGTCTATCGACGTCTCTTTACCCTCGTCTTTCTGCTCAACCTCGTTGGCCTCATCATCCTACTCCAACATCACTCCTACAACCCCTACAACATCATCCACCTCGACACTCTCGCAACTTTCGCATCATCCAACTTCCTTCTCGCACTTTTCATACGACAGGACTGCGTCGTTAATCTACTTTTCCGAACTGCGTGGTTGGTCCCGTGGTTTCTACCGCTGAGCATCAGGACCATCATGTCGAGAGTGTATTGCTATGGCGGCATTCACAGTGGTGCGGCAGTCGCGGGGACCCTGTGGTGGCTCATCTTTACTGGAGTCTTGAGCTGGACTTCCATGAAAGAAACCTCGCTTACCTTTCCCGTCATCGTCATCACATGGATGATACTACTTCTTTTGATATCAATCCTGATGCTGGCTTTTCCGATTATACGCGCCAAATACCATGACACGTTCGAGCTGACGCACCGTTTCCTGGGCTGGACCTCTATCGGCCTGTTTTGGGCCCAGCTTCTCCTCCTCGCACACAACAAGTCGGCACATTCGGAACCTTCTCAAACCATAGGAGCTTGTCTTCTTCGCACGCCGACCTTCTGGAACCTCTCCATCATGACTCTCCTCATCATCTACCCCTGGCTTCGCCTCCGCCGCTGGACTTTTACCGCGCACCCACTCTCCTCGCATGCCCTCCAGCTCTCCTTTCCAAACCAAGTATATAAATTCTCTTGTCTGAGCATTTCTTCTTCTCCACTTCGCGAGTGGCACCCTTTCGCTACATTTCCTTCTACCGACCCAAACGAGCTAGGTGCTAGCATGGTCATCTCCGACGCTGGAGACTGGACGAAGAACATCATTCAACACGCCCAAATGCGAAACACGGTGCAAAACGCCATTACGAAAAGCCAATTGGGAAGCGAGAAGGACTTGCAAACAGAAGCCGGTGTGGAAATGAGATTCTGGGTCAAGAGCCATCCAAAGGCAGGCGTCCTCTCCCTCTCTTGTCTATTCCCCCGCGTCCTAATCGTGACAACGGGGTCTGGCATCGGTCCCAGCCTCTCGTCTCTCCTAGACCGTCCTCCAACGCAGTTCGCACGTCTTGTCTGGAGTACCCGCTCCCCACAAGCCACCTTCGGCCCTAAAATCCTCTCCCTCGTCCACAAGGCGGACTCTGATGCCCTCATCATCGACACATCTGAGATGGGGCGACCGAATTTGCTAGAGGTGGCATGGGGAATGGCCAAAGAGATACAGGCCGAGGCAGTGTTTGTGCTAAGTAATGATGTTGTCACGAAAGCAGTGGTGGGAGGTTTGGAGAGGAGGGGGCTGAGGGCCTTTGGTCCGATATGGGACAGTTAGGCGGAATGGGGATGGCGATGTGACCTCTCTCTAATTATTATTCTTCGTGTGGTTTAGACGGATATATGATACCCAACGGATCTTACGCTTTGTCGTTTTAGTGTTGTATCGCTTATAATGTTCAATATTATATATATTTTCAGATGCTAATCAGATGATTATCAGCGTAAACAGCCATAGAAGTCAAATACTAAACGTTTATATTTTGAATTGTTTCATTTGCTTTTACTTCGTGGTCGTACATGGTATGCCGACACAGGTCGTTATAATACAAAAGACCGCCTGCTACTGAAACTCATTGCTTTGTGAACGAGGCAGGAATGCGAAAAATAAGCCGTAGTAAACAGGACCCGACTCAGCCAATTGGTAGAAGCGAAGGGTGGTGGAGGAAGAGGCCAAGTAGGGAGAGAAACCATTGCGCCGTCGCTAAAATAACGTTTGTTCCGTGACCATGAAAGGTCTTTTTTAGATTTTTCCCAAGAACACCATGCGCAACACGAGTATCACTTGTGGAGTTGTTGGGGTCTTACTCGTTGTCCCCTCGACGTGGGAGTGCTAGAGGACGACCGGCGAGAATGGCTTCTCTGTCTTGACGCATGCCGTCCAATACAGCCACGAGACCGCCTTCTCGCATGCGCTCCAGCACCACCTTCATGCCCTCTCGCGCATTCGGCTGGCTTCGCTGAGCACGAGTAAGGCCGATCTTCTCGATGTTGCGCTGAAGAGCGGCTGTACCCCAGCTTCTCAAGAAACCCACCTTCTGTGGCTGTTCCTCTTCGACCGCGCCCTCGCGGGCAGCCTCGCGCTTCTTCTTCCACGCCTCGCCGATGTGACTATGTAGTGTGACCGAGCTCGTCACGTCCGTGGTTTCGCCCGAATCTTCGACCTTGGCACCAGCGCCCATGCCACCAAAATTGATAAAGCCGTGTCGTCGTGCTGCACCTTCCATGCCCTGCCATATGGTTTCCTCGTTCGGCACCGCTGGCGGTGCAGGACGCTTGAACATCTGTCGCTCAACAACCGACAGCACACCCGTCCACTCCAGATTCCGTGACTCGGTGTCCATCCATCCCTCCTTGACATCCACAACGCTCTTCTCGAGAATGTAAGATTGTGTGTCTCCGCTGGCCGAAGCACCGAGTAGCGAGCGAGGCAGAAGCTTAAGCACAGCAGAGGGCAGTTTTGAGCGCTTAAGATGTAGACGGATTGTGGTCAAGCGCTGTGCTTCGGGGTCGTAGTGTCGCGAGATGGTGTCGGTGGAGAGCACATGTGTGGAGTAGGGGTTCGGGTAGCGGAGGAAGTAGGCGAGGGTTACCGCGGGGAAAGGGTACGCGTAGGTCTCGCTGGACGAATAGAATTTGACCATGTTTCCTCTTTCTCTCTTCTAATATATTGGAGTTCGAGGATTTGCAGCCTGATATAGAGTTGCTCGGTCGTTGTAGTCGAGGGTGTGTAAGTAAGGAGCTCTGAGCCACCTGTGATGCGCGTTTCACTATCTTAGGTGACGAAGTGGCATTGTCAAGTGTATGCAAATACTCCTTCACAATTCGACAGGCAATCGGGTCGCTGAAGGGGGGTGGAAGGAGTGAAGTTAGGCAGCGTGACGACAGCAGAAGCATCTGGAGCTCTGACGTCCGTCACGAGTTTTGCCTCCTCGTCGGAATTCCTGTCCGCTTCCGCCGATGTGGCTGAGCAAGGTGTGGCACAGTGCGGGGCAGCGATCCAAATTGCGGCGGGGGTCTTTGCTCATTGTTTGAGTCAATATTATAGCGGACGTATGCCACCGCGCCCTGCTACCCTCCCATAATCATAATACTCTCACCACATTTACTGCGCCAAGCATGACTGAGCCCGAGCCGCCCTCAGTCGCCGCCCTCTCCGTCGCGGACACTGCGACCCAGCCCGTATCCAAAGCAACCGAGCAGGAAATCAATCCATGGGACGTGCAAGCCGCCGTTGACGACGACGGCAATGTCAAAGAATTCGACTATGTCAAGATCTCGCAGCAGTGGGCGACGAAGCTCGTAGACGATGCACTTCTGGAGCGCTTCGAGCGCGTCACAGGACACAAGCCGCATCGCTGGCTACGGCGACGATTGTTCTTCTCGCACCGAGATCTGGAGCTCATTCTAGACACATATGAGCGAGGAGAAGATTTCCTCCTCTACACCGGCCGCGGCCCGAGCAGCGATGCCATGCACATTGGCCACACGATACCTTTCGAATTCACAAAGTGGCTGCAGGACGTCTTCGATGTACCACTCGTCATCATGTTGACGGACGACGAAAAGTTTCTTTTCAAAGAGAAACTCAAGCAGAGCGAGGTGTATGAGTTCGCAAGGCAGAATGCCAAAGACATCATTTCTATCGGCTTCGACGTCAAGAAGACGTTCATATACATCGATTCCGAATTCTTATCATCAGGCTACAACAGGCACTTCAGCCTTAACGCTACCGAATTTGAGAAGCTGATTACGAATAACCAAGTGCGCGGCGCGTTCGGCTTCCACGGCTCAACGAACATCGGTAGCAATGCATTTGCTGCAAAGCAGTGCGTTGCTGCCTTCGCCTCATCATACCCCTTTATCTGGGGAGACGACATAAAGACTTATCACCGCTCAAAGAAGCTGGCAGCCATACCATGCCTCATACCCTGTGCCATCGACCAAGATCCGTACTTCCGCCTCGTGCGTGAAAATTGCAGCAGAATGGAACTTCCCTCACCAAAGCCCGCGCTCATCCACTCCAAGTTTTTGACTGCACTACAAGGCGCAGGCGGAAAAATGAGCGCGTCTGATCCCAACTCCGCCATATTCATGAGCGACACCGAAAAGCAGGTCAAGAAAAAGATCAACAACAATGCTTTCTCTGGGGGCCAAGAGACACTTGAGCTGCACCGCGAGAAGGGCGGCAACCCCGACGTTGATGTCCCATATCAATACCTCGCCTACTTCGAAGACGACGATGAGAAGCTCACGCGACTCGCGGACGAGTACCGAAAGGGTGAGCTGTTGACCGGCGAGATGAAGAAAGAGTGCATTGATATGATGTCGCAATACGTCAAAGGGTTTCAAGAAGCGAGGGCGAAGGTCACAGACGAAGATCTTGAAGAGTTCCTACGGCCACGGAGACTTGAGTGGAAGGGCAACCCGAATCCCACAAAGCCCAAGGTAGAGAAGGCAGAAGAGAAGACCGAGGGTGCGACCACGCTGGACTCCGATGGTAAGCCAATGACAAAGAATGCCCTGAAGAAGGCATTAAAGATGGCGGAGATAGAGAGGAAAAAGAAGGAGAAGGAGGCTGCGGCTGCTGCGAAGCAATAGGTGAGCTTGCAGTGCTGCAGTAGACGTAGACGTAATACAATAAGAAACTTTCGATTCCAATAGCCTCTCTTCGTGCAAATCTCTAATATGACACATCCCTAGAACATCTCCCTGATTGCAACCAGTAAATGTTCAACATCTCTTCAAATTGTTCACTTGACCAACTGCAGGTATCCACGAGCGAGGGTCGGCAATTTAGCCTGAAATGGCTAAATCCTGGCCCACTAGCTATATCCTGAATTGATCAAGGATGATAATAGTCTTCGACATGTGGGGGGTTCCAATGTTTGAATCCGACTAATTATGGTATACAAGTCGCTTGCTCCCGCTCGGCCCGCCGCACCCTACGGGAAAGCTTATCTTTGTAAGGCCTATTAAATTATTAACGTGCGTCGACTAGAGTGCTGCCGTTCTCGATAGATCAGCTGTTAAGTCCGTTCCGAAATGTGATGCTTTCATTCTACGAGTCTCGCCCTAACCAGAGAGGCCGCAATGAACCAGGGCCAGCACTGATATCTCGCCGTCGTTGGACTATTAAAATGACCATTACACCGTGAATGATAAATGCCACGACTGAAGAGGTGGACGTTTGGGGAGCTGAACGAACTTATCGAGATGGACTTTTCCGCAAGAAGATTCCGAACAATTAAATGTATTGAGGCGAGACAAGAAGAAACGTGGAAATTCGAGGTCGCAAAATGGGGGTGAGATTAGGTGGACGGCGATTGAAATACTGTGTACGTATACATATTGCGTTGTCACTACCTCGTTTCGCGTGCATGCATTCCAGATCGCATAAAAATGTAGGGAATAACGCAAGTTTTAAAAAACAGCCAATATGAACATAAAATGTTACTATAGGTCGCGCCCTAGCGACTTGGTTCATGCACTACTTTGATTTCAGACAGTGCGGATCGATGAGAGCTACAACGGTAAAAGGTCGATTAGGAAATTGGTGCAACATCCAACCCAATGCGTTACAACATGAGTCGGATATACAGCAGGAAAGGGCATTGGTGGCAGAAATTAGAAGAAGACACCTGATTAGTTTCACCAGGATGTGTTAGATGATGTTGCTGCATAACGAGAAAGACAGGACGCGAGACGTAAAATGGTGGTAAAAACAAGCTATGTTACAAAGCGAAGCCCACTAGAATGGAGCTTGCCAACAGCCAGCGTCCACATAACATTCTCGGGTGATGCAAACATTGCCGGCACGCTTAACCAGTAAGTCAAACCGACATTCACCACTCTCAACTACCATCGCACGCCGACTCCTCTTTTGGCAAAAGCACCGTCCTGGGTACTTCTAGGCCATCCATGGGCTACACTCTAGATCTATAGGTAGCCATGAACCTTCTATACGCTCACACCCACTCATCTCTTCCTCGTCACCCATACGCAACCTGTTCTTCCTAGGAAGTACAAGAATCCAATGAAGCGGATGATAGACAAAATAGCAGTGGCGTAGAGCAAAATGCGGAAGTAGATGGGTGTTCTTGTTTTCGAAGCCTCCTAGACCATTGGTTAGCACAATTATACGCGGCAGGATGTTAGTTGATGAGAGAATGGTTTTGACGTACCCCGACACCGATGGTTTTGAAATCATCGCTCGTTACTCCAATGATCAACAGAATATTCGACAGCAGCCATGAGTAAACCAAACCAGTGCGGAAACTCTTGTACGAGTCCTCCGTGTCCTTTACTGCTGGTTTCCCGTCCCCGCTCTTACTCGGCGTCAATGCTCGTTTCACAACCTTCTCAAACTTCTCGTCAATGTCTTCCTGCTCTACTATCTCCTCTTCAACAACTGCAGCCTCTCCTTTCACAACGTTCGCCGAAGGTAATGACTCAGCGACGTCGCTTCCCTTGGTACCCCAACTGACATCATGCCAGTTGTTGAACGCATACACCATGAGAACATTGATATACGTGCTCATAAGCACAAGGTACTGAGGGAAGGAATGGAACATGTGCCAAGGATCGAGGTACAAGAAGCTTGCGACGAAATTGAGACCGTAAATCGTGATTAGCGCGATGAGAATCAAACCTGCAACACCTGTTTTTCCGCCAAAGAATGAGTCGAAGAAGGCCTTGCCCGATTCGAACGAGATCTGATCCTCGATAGGTTTTGTGCTAAAGGCGCGGTAGACGAGGTAGGTGGTCAAGACGAGGATGTAAGCCTGTATGACACCGAAAACGATGAAAGAGGCCATGTAGCTGTGTCGTGAACCTTTAGGACGATTTCCAAGGGCGAGGATAAATTGCAGGATAAGAAAGGCGACGTAGATGTAGGCGATGACGTGATTCAATATAGGCGTTACTTTGTCTCCGAAGGGCCAGCCGTGATACTGAGCTAGGGGTTGAGGTGTACCGACAAGGTCCATAATGACGGTTGTTGTGAGGTAGTACGAGGCGAGCGAGAACCAGGTGAACACGACGTTGGCGATGTTGTAAGCGAGTTGAATGTGTAAGAACATGAGACGGATAATGCCATGCCCGGAAGAGTAAAGCCTGCTAAAGTGCATGATGGAGTAAAGAGACGCAGCGAAGGATCCGTTAAGCCATCTTCGGCGTTGGCCAATGAACTCGGGAACTCCATTAGGGACATCTGTTTCACCTTTGGAGGCTTTGACATATGAGAGATGCCATTTTTGCCCTAAGCATGAGTTAGTATATGTCTCGGGTGTAGTTGCTACTTCACACCACTTACCAGCCTTTGCCACCAGCTCGAAGCAGAGGATTCGATCCTCAGCCAAAAACATGTTCTTCTTGAAGATGTTCATTCCATCAATACCTTTCTTGCCAAGTATCTTCGACAGTGTGTGATCACCATGAAAATACTGCTCTAGCGGACGGCCCATAATAGCTCGGAAACGATATGCCGAAAATGCGCCTGGAAGGACGCTCACATAACCAAACGCACTCTCAAGAGGCTTGTCCAAGACATTGGATATCTTGTACTCGAAGTTTTGAATGGCGACCAACGGATTTAGCAGCGCCTTTCCACCTTCGAGCATGGCATGAATCTCACCACACGCGCCGCCAAGATCCTTATCGTTGTAGAAGGCCTCCCAGAGCGAGAGTAAGGAACGAGGGCCTGGCTTCGTACCAGCGTCAATCAGGATGGCAACCTCTGGATTCAAGATCCTACCGAAAGCATTGAATAGCCATCGGTGAGAGTTGATCTTCTTACTATTCTTCTGCTTGAGACAGAAGATGAACTGCACTGGTGGTAGATTCGAAGCACTTTCATCGGCGCCAGGCCGAACAAGCTGGTGCTCAGGCGTGACTGAGATCTGGCTAGTGTACTCGAAGATATGTGCAACCGTCTCCTTGCCATTCACGTCCTTCTTGAGGATACCGTCTTGGTAGATGCCGACCGTCGCGAGAACGTCAAACACATCCTTGTCGACGTTATCGATACCATCAAACACCAGACATACGACAATCTTTTGCCAAGCAGGGCCACCAGTGTTCCAGAACTGCGATTTCTTGAGATTGACAATGTCGCGAATATTACGCATCGTTCCGTGGAGGGTACGAGCTAAAAGAGTTTTATCCTCATTGTAATACGTGATCGCAATAAGGAGCTCCGTGTGACGACCGTACATGCGCGGGCGAAGGTTAAAGCCGTTTGAGAGGGTGAAATCGTTTGGATCACAGGTGGCAGCGGTGTAGCGCATCTTTGTGAACTCCTCGTCGAAAGCACCCCCGGCATTGCGGTAGCGAGGCTCAACAGCATTCTGTACTGCACTTGGTACGGGGTAGTCGGTGCTGAGAATTGAGCCCTGAACGAGCTTGACCTTGCGCGTCTTGGAACGCTTCGCGCCACCTGGCTTACGGACCGTCTGCTGCCGCTGGACCCAGCTGTCCTCGGGAGACGGAGACGGAGCCCCTGGGGCATAACCACCATTGTATGTGCCGTACTGTTCACCGACGCCGTACTCTGTAGGCGGAGGGCGCACTGAGGAGTAGGTCTCGCTTAGGCTGTATACTGAAGATGGAGACGCTGTCTCGTATCGGGACGGCTCATTGCCGTGAGTGAGGGTAGGATTTAGCAGGTGTTGGCCCGCGTCGTCCTCATCGGGTGGAGGAGCATGGTATTGGAACTGATAGACCGTTCGATTAGTGCTCAGATGCCGAAATCAGGAGGAAGAGTACTTACGGACTGCGTAGGAGGAGGCAGATCCTCTAGTTGATGCCCCTGATAGAGTTCTCCATCATTCTTGTTGTACGCCATCCAAGCGACTAATCGTCTCTGAACTCCACTTCCAGCTACTAACGGTCAATGCGGCTACTCAAGGGATTCCTGCGTCGGACTGTCAATCCCCGGATATCCAGGAAACAATGGAGGACTAGAGGCACCGGAACGTTGAAGGTAGGGCTGCCGAAAAGTGGGAAAAGTGGAAAGACCAAGGAACAAGCCTTTGACGAAAAGAGTGTTATGAATCTCAACCATCTCGTCCAAGCTCTGTGCGCCCCTTCACAGCCTACCACTGCTGTCAAGGCCATCCCTGAATATTTAGCGACTACGATTGTATTTGTGTGAATTGATGGGTCAAGATGCTCGGCGCAGCCATAAATATTCGGCTGGCAGCACCGACTAAAAATAGTCGCCGAGAGCATTGCCTTCGAAAGGCATAGGCTTACAATATAAGTCACTTACGCCCGATACTACTAGATGGGAGAAATAGAGGTGTAGTAGAGAAGGCGGAGTGAGTGGTAATTGTGGGAGTAGTGGGGTTGACGCGTTGTTGACTGTGGCTTACGTTGGTTTAGGTGTGACGTGGGAAGCACAAGCGGAGAGAACTCCGCCGCGTGACTCGCTGAGATTCCACGCTCTCACGTAAGTATACCGCAATATCAGCACTGCGGCTCAATTGTTGCACCACCTCGCATTCGCCTCAAAGGATTCAGAGCGGGTCCGGAAACTTCACGAAATTCCAATACGACGTCTTTAGGTGAACATCGATACTATACACCGCCATCTTCGGTCTACCTATCCTTTGATCAATAGCATGGATAAGAAAGAGAACGAAATTAGTAACTCTTGCGCGGAATGTTTGAGCGTTGGCCACCAGGTTCCACTTAGGTGGTAGAAAGAAGTCCAGGATGCATTCTTTCCAGTCGGGTGATAGTTTAGCTCCTTGCAATCAACATACTGGTACACGTCGCGCTCCTTTGGGCGTACCTGTGCAATCCGCAAAGAGTAAGCCATATGAGACGAATGGAACAACACGATACCAAGCAATTTTGAACAAACGGGATCTAATCAGCGGGGCGAATTTCCAACTATTATATTTCTGCTTTGCGGGCAACGTAAAATGCTACCACGATGCCGGATCTTGCGTAAGATTCTACTAAGATTGTCAATTTCTAGTAGATATAAAACATGATACTGGATAGTAAGGTTAAGGAGGGATAGCTTAGAGTATTTAGGTTTGGTTAAGCCTAGTACACTTCCTACTTTTGGTAAGTCTTCTATAAATCTAAATCATTATGTGTAAGAAATGTGATGAATATAGGGACTCGTTCCTCTATAGCCTACCTGGAGAGTATCCAATTGTACTAGATATGGAAGAGCATTAAGAGCCCTATAAAGTAAACGGCACAAAACAATACAAAATGGTAAGGGTAGCAGTCTTTCGTTCAGCTTCTAGACCAAATTAATGAGCACTACCTACGGTTCCCTCGCTACTCATCATCTGTATCTTCCGGACAAGCATCAAACATCAACCTGTCCGGGACATATCCTAGTACATAGACATTCTTTATCTTGCCGTCCCGTACACCGCTTTTGACCGATTTGCCCAACCGCCTTAGGTCCACCGTCGCGAGGTATACACCGAGCTCATCACCGCCTTGTTTATCCTGGACACCTTTTGGTAGGGACGGTATTCTGTTTAGGGGTACTCGAATATCGACTGTGGTTCTGCATTCGTTTATGGGGACCACGATGTAATCTGGGTTATGATTTAGGGGTGCACTATGAGGGAACGCGGAGGGCTGCTTACGTCCGCATTCGAGTGCTTTTCGCGAGCCTTGAAAAAGTGTTTGGTTCAAAGGATCGTACATGATTGCGCTATCTGTGCTGAAATCGACGTGTCGTGTTCGGTTGGCAGTCTGTATGCCCTTACTTATCGTGCGTGCCAACATTTGTGGTGAGCGCTGAGGGCAAAAAAGCGTATGATTTAATGAAAAGCCAACTAAAGAGTCGGCAAATGATAAAAGGACGGCGATTGATTACTGTGCTAGTCTCGGATGAATCGCAACGTCCTATGACATTGATTGACACAGGAGACCAGCAGCCGACTGGCGATCTTATATACTCCAGCATCGAAATTGATCAGGCTGAGGAGATCAAGCATGACCCGTTTTGGCCTCGTTACACATTGAACACACATGTTCGCAACACATGGCTGGATTATGGCATGAGGCAACCCTCGCATCCAACCCTGTCTCAGTATCGGCAACCCTTGCCCTGTTGCCCTGTTGCCTTCTTGCCGACTAGAATGCCTGATCCATAAAGATCATCAGAAAAGTTTTCGAGCGTGTGGCTATAAGAGTCAATGAAGCCACTTCCAGGCGCAGTCGCGCAGGTGAAGTATGGTGGTGGCTGTGTAAGCACGCGAAGTTAGCATGTGATGGCGTCTACACCGCTAAGTCCGAACGTACGCCCTTGTTTACTCGTGAGCTTTTATCACGTCCTATTCTAGTACGTGGGAGGATATCGTTCGGCTTTGACTGCGAACTCTGCGGACAGAGTAGAGTAGTCTGCGAATGATATCAAGACGCGAGTCGGAGAACGCATCCACAAGGTAAGTCTTAGGTGCCTCGATGCAGCCCCCCATTTTACACGGCTAAATCTTCAGCTGCTCAGCCTGGCTGCCCCGGCACTTCCGATAACTTTAGGTGTGACATGAGTGGCCCAACATCGCCCCCCCCCTCTCCAAAAAAAACAAAGATTTCTCAAAGGCGGTACAATTGGTAATTCATCAAGATGACTCCATATTAGGCTTATGGCGTGTTAATCTAACTGTGCTTCGTGGGGGTTATCAGCTAACGGCTACCCTTCGTGCGAGCAAGTAAAGTACATTTAAAAGGTAACATATAACAACCCATTCATTCTAGTAATAATCAAATTACCGGAGGTAGTGCTCATCTTACAATTTTAGTTATAGCCAGAAGTAGCCAGGCTACACTTGCTGCCAGCCACAAGGCTATGGACAATCTCGAGGTAGTTGCTGTGGAGGCGCATCGCTCTTGATAGCCTGATCCGGCGAGTGAACATCAATATGGAGGGGAACTGACATGAATATCTGAGGGATGGAGGGGTAAGCAAAGCCACTTTCTGCAAGTTTTTGACGAGAGCCGTCCCATTGGAGATTTGGAAATAAGCGGCTCTGTGAGGATATATGGTTCGTGCTCTCAGCCTTGTGATGGGTAGGTGTTCATATAGCAGCTAGCATACCTGGATTAACCTCAATCGATATTGTCACCTTGACTCTGAAATCTTTGAGACCGGACCACGATAGAAAATCATGGCGACCGAAGTGACTGCTGTCAGCGTCATTGAGAGATCGATCCCAGGCAGCCCTGAGGCCAATTCGGCGGCAGACGAGCCGCGCCCTGGAATCCTGCGACGATCAACCGTTCAGTTCCAGAACATGAATGGTCCAGCGCATCTGACTACAGATGATGATGCTCAAAGGGTACCAGGATCTACGATACTTCCTATTAGCGAAAGAACTGGAACCGTAGATACACAAGCTTCGCGAGCCTCCTCGCAACTGGATCCTCGTTGGAAGGCACAGACAGTCTTATCTTTTGGTAATTAAGCTTATGCTGGTCTCAGATTTCCTTACTTACTTTGCAATAGATGGTGGAGGGATCAGAGGTTATTCCAGTCTATTGATCCTTAAGGAAATCATGAAAGTGATTGAAGACTTGGAAAAGCAAGATGACGTTGCGGTAGACTCCAGCTTCCATCCAGAGACTTACGTTGCTCCTCACAACAAAAGGAAAAACCCATCGCCAGGTATTGCCAACATTGATAGTAAGCAAGATTTAAAAGGCGGCGAGTCTTGTCGCTATCTTCCTTGCCACTACTTCGACTATGTTGGTGGCACTAGTACAGGGTGAGTGGGCTCACTACGGCACTTTCGTTTAGCTGACATATTAGGGGTCTCATTGCGATCATGCTTGGAAGATTGAGAATGGGCATCGACCAATGCTTGGAAGAGTATGAAAGCTTCGGAGGCGAGATATTCGGCCACCCAAGGTGGTTCTCAATAAGAGGTCCCCTGCCCTCGTTCAAAGAGAAGTACAATGGCAAGAGACTCCAGAGAGCCGTGGAAAACGTCGTGGAGAATCGGTCGTCGCCAGAACAGAAAGCTGTCGGGGCCGGCTACTTCGGATCTGCTAGAGAGCTGTGCAAGACGTAAGCATAACCAAGCCCACCAAGTAGCCTCTTCTCACCGCTAGTAGTATAGTTGTAGCCTATCGCTGGAAAGATGAATCCTCGGCGCCTAGGTATGGAAACGAGGTATTAGATGGAATCGCCTTTCCCAATACGACTCGAGCCGCTCCTACACAATCGGGGGCATATCTCTTCAGAAGCTACGACCACTGGGGAACGCCTAACAAAAAGGGTGGGCACAATATCTTCGAGCGCAATCCAGGACCTGCAGATAACATCCCCATATGGCAAGTGGCACGGGCTACAACTGCAGCGCCAACATACTTTGACCCCGTTCCTATCCAGAATAACACTTTCGGAGACGGTGGGCTCGGCTCGAATAACCCTGTTCAGGAGATATTTTGGGAAGTCGCCACCATGCATGGAAACAATGCCTCAGTTATCAATTTGGTCGTCAGCATCGGAACCGGACAAGCAGATTCTGTTAAGCTTCACCCCTCAGGACCGAAGAAAGTCATTTCGTACTTTACTGCCACAAAAGCACTCGCAACGGAGTCCGAGCAAAAGCACGCGGCTATGGGGGCACTCATAGAGACTACGGAGAGCTCGGACGCAGTACATTACCAGCGATTTAACCTATCGAGCGAACAAGGTTTGAAGAACATGAAGCTGGACGAATGGAAGATAGAAGGGAAACGCCGGCTTACGAAACATGGGTTTAAACGCCGAGAAGAGAGCACCCTCGATAAGATCAAGCGTCTGACCCAGAACTACTGCGCCAGTGATGAAGTCCAGGAGGATATCCGTAAGGTGGCGCGGAAACTCGTGGATCATCGTCGGGCTCGATGTTCCGACCAGAGAAAGTGGGAACTGTGGGCGACTGGGATCCGTTATCGGTGCACTGTGAAGAGGTGCGACAAAGCTCAAAAACTGAGGCCATCAAAAGCTGATCTCAAATATCATATCGAGAAAATCCATCCAAACTCTTTCCGGGGGAAGACGGATATTGAAAAAAGGTGCGTACTGGAGGAGTTGATAAGAAAAGGCACTTGTCCGTATTAGCTGTCATATATATCTTAGCATGTTATTTTTTGAGCTGTACGCGTAGTACAAATTAATAGATTTACTATCACGCTAAAGATTTCATTAATAGTGGTATACTCTTGGCTCTTTGATTACTATCATGATGTTGCGAACCAGGGCGGATGCCCCACCTTGCAGCGATGTCGTGATTGCGCGCTTCGCCGAATTTGTAAGCCCCAGGCAGGCGTAAGAACATAATAGAGGCCTTCAAGTGACGCCTTCGAAGGCTTCTAGAACATCAACTTTTGACAGCAGCAAGACCTAAAGTGTCATGTCGTCTTCAAAACAGCTCCACCTGACCGCATTTATGCGCCCCGTCTCCCTCCACACAGGAGCATGGCGTTATCCTGGGGCCTATCCAGACGCCAACTTCAACCTCAAGCACCTGAAGTCCTTCATCCAAGCTCTTGAAGCTGCAAAGTTTGATGCGTTCTTCATGGCCGATCACCTTGCCGTGCTCAACATGCCCGTCGAAGCGCTGAAGCGCAGCCATACTGTGACTTCGTTCGAGCCCTTCACTTTGCTCTCGGCATTATCGCAAGTGACGGAAAGGATCGGACTTGCCGCGACCGCATCAACGACGTACGATGAGCCGTACCATATTGCGCGACGATTTGCAAGTCTGGATCATCTTAGCGAGGGAAGAGCAGCGTGGAATATTGTTACGACAGGCAATCCGGAATCATCCAAGAACTTTGGACTTGATGAGCATGTGCAGCACAGCGAGCGGTATAAGCGTGCAAGAGAGTTTTATGACGTAGTAACTGGGTTGTGGGATAGTTTTGCCGACGATGCGTTCGTCCGCGACCCCGAGAGTGGCATCTATGTTGATCCGGAGAAAATACACACCCTGAATCACAAGGGCGATGACCTGAAAGTCAAAGGGCCACTAAACATTGCAAGGCCAGTGCAAGGTTGGCCCGTCATTGTGCAAGCTGGGCAATCGGAGCCTGGTCGCCAGTTGGCAGCTGAGACCGCTGAGGTGGTGTTTTGCTCACCACGAGACCTTGAGGCGAGCAAGCTTTTGTATGATGATATCAAAGGTCGTACGAAAGCCGCCGGTAGGAATCCTGATCACATCAAGATCCTACCTGCTGCGATGGTACTCATCAGTGATTCGGTAGAAGAGGCACAACAAAAGCGGTTGAAGTTGGACAGTTTGGTACATTACGATAGCGCTATTTCCTCACTTTCGATTTCGCTGGGTACAGATGCGTCAAAATTCGATCCGGATGGTCCGCTTCCCCCCGAGGAAGCTCTTCCCGCGACTAATGCGAGTCACACTAGTCGTGCCAGCGTCATCAAACTCGCAGAAACGGAAGGACTTACCGTCCGTCAGCTTGCTGGTCGTTATGGAGGATACGCCGGTCTTGCGTTTGTGGGGACTGCAGAGACAGTGGCCGATGAAATGGAACAATGGCTGGAAGAAGGAGCATCGGATGGGTTTACGGTGACATTACCATTCTTGCCTGAGGGCTTGGACGCAGTCACTCAAAAGCTGGTCCCAGAGTTGCAACGAAGGGGACTTTTCCGAAAGGAGTACGAAGGCACAACATTGCGAGAGCATCTAGGCCTCCCGAGGCCAGGTAATCGATTTTTTGAGAAGGAGGTCAGTAATGCAGTCAATGGTGGGAGTAGGACACTCGCTATGAATGGGAAGAGAGATCTCGATGTGGATGATGACTTACCAGAAGTGAAGAAAAGGAAAGCCCAAAGCTAGACGGTAGATTCATGGTACAATAGTACATACGTGTTACAACAACACTGGGGATTGATTAATTATTTCTGATGCTGCTAACCTTAGACAAGAGAACTCACCAAAAACCTAATTGCCACAGAACGCAGACTAGAATGAAGTTGTTGAACCTTTGGGGAGTCGCTTTGTCGTAGTTTATATGTCTGGAAAAAGGAAAGACTTGAACATGGGTCCATCCGAAATCAAGTAGTGTTGGGTTTGATTGAGGCCTGATTGCGAGGTAGAAGTACATAGTAGTTTATTACCTAGCTTACCCCGCTTACCTAGGTATCCACTACGCCAACTCGACACGACATTCATCGCAAGTGAACCGCATACCATCGCACCGATAGCGACCACACTGTTCATATTTAGCATCCAGCATGGGAACTCTGGGCGCTTATGAACATTATCGACAGTCCCGACCGCGATGAGCGCGAGCGCGACCAGGCCTGCAATGAGTGCCGCCGCCGCAAAGCACGATGCGACAAGACGTTGCCCGAGTGCGGGCCTTGCAAGAAGAATCGACGGCATTGTCTGTACGAGCGACATAGCAAGACGCCACTGACGCGTAAACACCTGACCCAGGTCGAAGAGCAGCTTCGCCGCGTACAAGTGCAAGCCGCCCGGGCAGAGCGACGCGCCCAGCTGGCCGAAGCGCGCCTGCAACAGCTGGAGACGGTCAATGTTAATAATCTACGAATGCCTAACGAAAGCGATGCTGCGACCGATCCGACCGCCCATGATGAGCCGCCGATAGAGGTGCCTCTTGAAGGGCCGCCATCGGGGCCTGCCGACTTTAGCTGGGACGAACAGACACAGGACAATGGCCCACCCGAGATGGATGCGGACGCTGCGCCCACAAAAACATCCCAAGCGGAAGACGAGCGGGTGGTGGATGGCATGGCCTCGCTGACGGTGGATGAGAACGAAGCGGGCTATTTGGGCGTGGCTTCGGGCGCTGCTATGCTGAGATTGCTACTTCCTGATGCGCAGAACGCGTATCGAAAGGCACCGAATCTAGCAAGCTCCGTCTCTCAGGCTACACTGTATAGTGAACACTGCCTATATACACCATTGTGGGACAGTCTCGACTTAGAGCCTGTGGATCTAGATGCCGCCATCCATGCATACTTTGGCTTGTACCACAACTCATACCCACTGGTCGAAGAGCACACTTTCCGAGCCCAGTACGCACAAGTCATCCCTCGTCCCAGCGGGCGTAGCTGGCATGCGCTCGCCTTTATGATCGCCGCTGTTGGCCATTTCACGGCAGCAACGGGCCCCACGGACACGGATCGGAAGCTTTTCCTCGCGGCCAAGTCCAACATGTCGATTGACAGCTTAGAGATGGGCAATCTCACTCTTGTGCAGACGCTCACTCTCATGTCCAACTACCTCCAAAAACGGAACAAGCCTAACAGCGGCTACAACTACCTTGGGCTCGCTCTACATATGGCCATGGGCCTCGGACTTCACAAGGAGTTTCATGACTGGAACATCTCGCCTCTCAATATGGAGATTCGCAGGCGCGTCTGGTGGACCATGTTTGTCTTCAACGTGGGCGCAGCCGTCACCTTTGGCCGCCCGCTTGCCTGGCCAAACAAAAACGTCGAAGTACATCTGCCACTGAATGTGTCCGACAGGACTCTCACCAACTTGTCGCGGACTCTTCCGGGCGAAGCAGACCAAGTTACTACGTACAGCTCCGTCATAATGCAGTCCAAGTTCCACATGCTGACCAACGACATCTACACGCGGGTCATATCGATGCCCTTTCCATCAGCCACTGAACTCGTTCGGCTGGACGACACGTTGATTATGAAATGGGAGTCCTCTGTGCCTGCTTGGTATCGCCGCGATGCATCCATACCTGCCCGATTCTCAACTGGCCACGCCATCATGTGGTGGCGCGTGAGCAACTTCAGAATCATCATGTACAGGCCATATGTGATGTTTCGCGTACTACAAGCGAGGTCGCAAGACGGTAGCAGCGTCGTCCCAGATGCCGTTCACGAGGCTTACCATCGATGTCTCCGTGAAGCCGAAGGAAGCATCGTTACAATTAGCGACTTTTGGGCTTCGTCGCCGCCGACCCGGATGTCTGCGTGGTATGCCTTGTATTTCCTTTTCCAAGCTTCGCTTATTCCCTGTGTCTGCCTGCGCAACGAGCCCACTTCGCCCATGTCTGCGAGCTGGCGCTTTCAAATCAGCCAAACCTTGCGCACTATGCAGCTTATGTCGCCAGTCAATCCAAGCGCGCAAGAATGTTATGATGTGATTCAACGCCTTTGTGGCCCGTTTTTGCGACCTCAAGCCGCTGCTCAGGATCAAAATTTTGTTGCGACGCCGAACGAACCCATTCTGGGAGATCCCACAGAAGAGTCTCCACAGACACAGATCAATGATGTGTACGCCATGATGTGGCCCGACGCGAATCACGTCGAAGCCGATGTGCTCATGCAAGAGGGGATTTGGACAGACTTCTTTCCAGGTATGGCTGAGGCAGTAGAGCGTGGTACTAGTGGACCGAGCGATGGCAACGAGGTGCAATTTCCATGGAGTTGAAGACTTTGTTTGCTATCGTTATCATCCACATTCTTTATAAACTGTAGGAGCCCAGACGAATAGATACTACGCTTTAGTAATGCGAACAACGAAGCAGTGCTCAACGATTTATATCTCTGGGCTATAAAATGTACAACCGTGGGAACCTCGCTTAAGACACCTCAATATACTCCTTTTTATGGACTTCATCTTTCTCCACAAGATCCACATTAGGCGAAGCTCCAGGCCCGTCAAAGATCTCTGCAATCTCTTCTAATGACCGACCCCTGGTCTCTGGAAAGAACATGTATGTAACTATCAGGAAAACTACCAGCAGGCAGCAGAATACGATATAATATTTCCACTGGAGGTTTTCCATTCCAATAGGGTTGACAAACGCTTGGATCACCAGGGAGACGTAGATGGAGAGCAGCTCGCAGCTCATGCCCTTGGATCGGAGACTATACGGAAAGATCTCGGTCGGATACGACATGAGGAGTGGCGTATAGGCAATGTCATAATGGAAGAAGAACGCAAAGAGGCACACCACGACAACATAACCTGCTGTTTTGTTGTTCTGTTCGGCATTCACTGCCGAGCAAGCGGTCCAGATGATGTAGGAGACGAGCATGCCAATACCGCTCCAGATGAACAAGGTTCGTCTTCCGAGCCGATCAACTAGGAGAGCGGCGCTCACAGCTGCTGCGAAGTTGAAGATCTGAAGTAGGCCGTTGATGAGTGTCTGGTAAAAAGGGTCCGTTATGCCGATCGAGTTCAGGACCAGAGTGAGGTAGTAGCTGACAACGCCGATACCGTTCCATTGAGCGAATGAGCCGAGACACATCGCGATAAACAATCGCCGTCGATTGCCGGGGGTGGCTACAAGCGCGCTCCACTTCACTGATTTCGCGGCCACTTCTTGCCGAATTGCAAGTACAATTTCGCTCATCTCTCTTGTTACCAGTGGGCTATCCTCGTCTCCGCCGGAATGATATCTAGCGAGGATCTCACGGGCTTCTGCATTGCGCTCTTTGGCGACAAGCCATCTAGAATCTCATCAGTGTATGCTCCATGAAATGAGTTGCCGGCAACCTACCTAGGTGACTCAGGCAACGCCCAAAAGAAGGCAAGTTGAATACATGGATATCCTACCTGAAGAATGGTAGGTATCCTCCAGCTCCAATTGCTTCCAAGTTTCTGGGTGCCAAATGTAGTCCAGGCGGCAAGAATGGCACCTAGGTAGTACATAGTCCAAAAGGCACTAGTATATTTTCCTCGATGTGTCGGGTAGGCAAGTTCTGCAATAAGCATGGGAGACGGCTGTACTACGAACATGCCAGCAGCGCCGACCACAAACCTTGAGACAACAAACTGGGCCAGGGTAGTCGAAGTTGCCTGAATAATTGTTGCTACAACAACTCCAAGGAGTCCGCTTAAAAGAACGATGCGCCTTCCGTATTTATCCGACAGTATTCCCACGAAAGGTAGAACCACGACTGATCCGGCAGACTGAGCGGCGTTCACAAGGCCAAGCAAAGCACCTGTAGGGTGACCGAAGTACTCTTTCCATTGTGTCAACGACTGGATGCCGTTCATCAGGGAGCCTGCTAGATGTAAGAAAGAACCTGCCAACTATAGCTAGATGAATCTTACCATCGTATCCAGCTACTGCGGAAGACAGGAGAGGGATAAGCAAGATCAAGTTCAGTCGGCGCAGATGCGGTATCTGGAACCAGTATTTGGTGGTCTGAGGAAGCACCTCAGCAATGGCGTGGCCTACAATATCCGCGTCCTTCATAGTGGTTCGATGAGACTAAGTACTAGAGAGAAGATAGGAAGAACGAAGATGCCTCAGTCGCAGAGGCTGTCGGTTGATTTAATACCCTGGCTATGAAGATAGCCATCTCCGCACGCGTCGCACATGGATACCCCATAACCCCAGGTTTAGTAGTAGATCCTAGTACCCGAATTGCGGGTTACAGCAGTCGCCCGGAAATATGATGCGCGAGTCATACTAGGTCACGGTCCACGGGTGACTGTCACCCCAACGCTAGTTCGAACTAACGGGATAGCATGACGCCATTTAATATCCCCTCAACTCACTGGTCTTGATTCACCGCCGTTGCCTTGCTACAGTAGAGACGCATGCGACCGAGGATGTTCAGAAAGGTTAATCATTTCCGCGCATAGACTTGCAAGGGGTGCAGCGGACAATATGGTGGATAGCAGCTGTAAGTGGCGAGGGCTGTTGGTTTGGATTCCCAACACGTGATTCATCATGTGCCCGACACGCTAGTCCACATACGGACTAGCTTACTCTGGTTTCACTCCCCTCTGTATATAAACATAGTTTCCCCCCACACATAGAACATCATCAATACGATCATCTTTCTTCAGTTCTACAAGGGCGCGACTCTGATGAGAGCTTCAACAGATGACTCCTGACTCATTGCAGGATTCTATTTAGCACTTAGATTCGTGATTACTCGTAGCTTACTGTGTTCTTGAAGCTTCCTTCGGTTGCTATTGCCGTTCATCATAGTTTCTCGAACTTACTAAAGCTTGAGTAGAGCTTCATTATTCCTGCTTCTCATATATTCTATGCTTAAAGCCAACAAACATGAGATGCGGACAACAGCTACTTGACGACTCGACTTCGTCGTCTTCCGGGCTACGATTCCATCGATGCGAAATAAAAAGCAAGTCTTGTGGCTAGCCAAGTCGAAGCACTGTTACTTCAAAGCAAAATAAAATAGAGATCCATGACATATTCATACTATTCGTGCAGGATTTACTGGACGCCTTCAATAATGACCTTGAACACACCTTCTTGAGCCGCTTTTACAAGTTCAAATGCCTTTTCCGCCTCTTCGAACTTGAATCTATTTGTGATCAACCTCTTCACATCGACCTTTCCTGATGCCACCAGCTCCACGGCGTTCGGATAGCAGCCAGTCGAGTATCGGATAGAGCCTTTGATGGTCAAAGCTCGAATACAGGCCGTTGTGATGGGAAATATGACGTTCTTTGGGTTTTCCATTAGCACCAACTGTAAATATAGTAGAGGGGCATGTAGCAGTGTACTTACCTCTTTCCCCATACCGGCCTGAACATACGTAGCACCCTTCTTTGCCACATTGATCCCGGCTTGTATGCAGGGCTCGGCGCCTGTACATTCCAGTACAACATCTGCGCCTTCACCAAGATCAAATTCTCGCTTGATTAGGGCAGCAATTTTCTCCGAATGTGCGACGGCATCCGCCCCTTCCTCTGCCTTGGGAGGTAGAAAGATTCCATCTGCCGCATACGACTTTGCGAAATCTAGTCTCGCTTGCGAAATGTCGACTGCAATAACCTTTCTTGCTCCTGATGCCTTAGCTACTGCTTGCGAGAGCACCCCAATTGGGCCGGCGCCGAATACAACGACAGTTTGGTTCGCCCTCAAGTCCGCGACTTTGCAAATCTGCACCGCTACCGAGACTGGTTCAACCATAGCAGCTTCCTCCATATTCATATGGTCCGGGATCCTATAACAATAATCACTTGCCACAGTGTAGTACTTGGCAAGCGTTCCGTCCCATGGTGGCGTGGCCGCGAAGATGGTATCATTGCATAGATTGTACGAGCCAGCGCGACAGTAATCGCACCGTCTGCACGGAACGCCGGGCTCAATGGCCACACGGTCACCTACGTTTAGGTTTTTGACTTGAGATCCAATCTCGACGACTGTTCCAGAACTTTCGTGACCAAGAATGATGGGGCTGTTAAGAACAAAGTCGCCGATTCGCCCACGCTGCCAGTAGTGGACGTCGCTACCACAGATGCCAGTTTGTGCTATATGGACGCGAACTTCATGTTGGTCGCGTAGTTGAGGGACTTCGCGGTCTTCAAATGCGACGTCTTTCACCGCACGAAGCACGAAGGCTGGGTTCTGGCACAGACGTTAGCTTGAGGCAAGAAAGCTGGTAAAGGACCGCTCTTACCCTCTCAGCAATATTAGCAGACGACATCTTTTTTATTTGCCTGTGTTACCAGGTTGAGTTAAGCCCAACAACCACATTTTGTAGAGCCCCTACATGGTCAGATGTTGCGCCTCCGGGGGTGTGGGGTCAAGGGCATCCGTCAACCTTCGCGGGGGTGGAGGATCCCCGACGTGCGCTGCACGATGACCAACAACCTCCACATACCCTTGAAAACGTTAGGATGCAGGTGCACCCACTCCGAAGGCCTACCAACTAGTATATCCGCATCACAACGGTTTGACACAATGCAAAGCTGCCTCTTCGTTTCGTTTGCACTTATCTTTTGTATTCCTGATCATTGCATACAATGCCACTCTACAAGCCTTCTAACCCCGATGTCCACGTTACGTCGCAATTTTCGCTAAAAGGCAAAAATGCAGCTGTAACAGGAGGCGTCCGCGGAATTGGTCTTGCTGCCTCTAAGGCCCTCGCTGAAGCTGGCGCGAACGTCGCCATCCTGTACACTAGCACTAAAGATGCAGAAGAGATCGCAGCTAAGCTGGCATCCGAGACTGGCGTTACGGTCAAAGCATACAAGGCATCAGTGGAAAATAAGGATGAAATCACCACAGTTCTCAACACTGTTGCCTCGGACTTTGGCTCCCTAGACATTGTGGTCGCAAACGCGGGCATTGCGTCCCACCATCCAGCTGAAGACTACACCGAAGACCAATGGCGAGCGATCATGAACGTCAACCTTGACGGCGCGTTCTGGACTGCTCAAGCCGCGGGCAACATCTTCAAGAAGCAAGGCCGCGGAAATCTCATCTTCACAGCTTCGGTATCGGCCATATTAGTCAACGTCCCGCAGAAACAGGCCGCATACAACGCGTCCAAGGCTGGCGTTGTGCAGCTCGCACGATGTTTGAGCGTTGAATGGGTCGATTTCGCGAGAGTCAATTGCATCAGTCCTGGCTTCATCGCGACGGATATGCTGGCAGTGCACCCACAGGAATGGAGGGAAAAGTGGTTTAGTATGATACCAGCGAACAGACTATGCGACCCAGCGGAGTTGAAGGGCGCATATGTCTTCCTAGCGAGCGATGCGAGCACATATATGAGTAAGTCTTTATTTGTGTTTCCATGTTGAACTGCATGTGTGCTAACATATTTCACAGCTGGCGCAAATATTGTCATTGATGGAGGTTATACTTTACCATGAAGGAGGTAAATAACTCTTCAAGTATTAGTGAATGAATAGTCATCTACCAAGAAATCTGGCACATCTTGCTGTGCAAAACCCAGGTTAAAAACCGTAGTAATGACACCCTCATCACCAGGAATCCTCAGTCTGTAGTTACGACATCCGGCTTGATAAGTGAAGACATTATCAGATCTCCGTTCGGAAGATCATTCTGCTCCGCTCTCTTTGCAGCCGCGACCGCAGAAGTCTCAATGCTCGTATGCAGATGTCTCTGCACCAAACGCTGTTTCCCTTTTATCTACGTCAATAAACCACCGTATCGCACACAACTCTGGGATCTTCTTCCATGGCCGTTGATTCAAAAGCATATAATTTCCTCCAATGATGATTAATTGGTTGTGGGAGGATATTGGGATGGCAGCTTGAACCGGGTCCTTGGTAGCATGGTCGAAACTAGGCGCGTAAAGGAACTGTTCAGTTTCGTTGGCGGACGTAACAGACATTTTTTAACGGCTTCGACTAGCTTGACGAACGCTTCAACATGAAACATGAATAGTACCCCGCCCGCCTCAAAGCCAGTGCAAAGTCTGGAAATGTTGATTTCGCTTTAGGGTAGTGGAACTGTCCTGTACCATGGTTAATCTGAGCGCTATATGAAGCAAAGAGCATATGTGGTTTAGGTATAGCAAACGTACCATAGGTATAATGGATACATGACGTGTTAAGGTACTGGGTATAGCACCTGAACTGTGGTTTTACACTGATCTCTCTTACTGCGTTGAATGATCCGCCCTAGCGTTGACTTTACTTTCAAACAAAGAAATTCTAAGTATTAGTAAGGTTGTAGCAAAACCTAGCTACTTGCCTTAACCGGCCACTCGCCCTAGAAGTATTTTACTACATAATAATATACTTTGTTGCTTGGAAAGAAGTAGAGGTAATGTTTAAGATAGTTATACGTCTCTATTACGCACAGTATAGTTGCGAGTGTTACAACCCCCGGGTTGCATTCGCATTGACAGAATCAATGAAATCACAATCATCTCCGGATTCAAAGTACTTTCACAGAACCGGGGATAGCTCAAGTAGGGCGTAGGCGCTTTAGAAATCCTCCTATGACAGCTATCGGCAATATGGTTGTTGCTGACCTAACAGCCGTTACATATGTTCTGGTGCCTACTAACTGTTACTTTGAGTATTTTGTGGGTCCTATTAATTCCTAACTCCGTATTCCTAACTCCGGCAGCGCCTCCGCATTTCTAACTCCGGCTGTCGTTACTAACAATTCATAACGATAGTTCTGAAATACTAGACTATAAGTAAGAATATGTAATCGCACCGTTCCTGAGGCTAGCCAGAATCTACCGACACGCTCCTCGTCCTATGCCATGTCCCGGTCCTTGCCGCAAGGTCTCAACAACATGTCATCCACTCAATCGCAACAAACCATAGTCGTCGTTGGCGCCACGGGAATCCAAGGCTCTGGCGTTGTTCAGGCATTATTGAGCAACGAATATGGTGGTCCTTGGTTTGTCCGAGCTCTTACCCAAGATCCCAGATCAGGAAAAGCACAGAAGCTTTTGTCAGAATACCAAACTACTGACAATCGTCTGAGCTTGGTCAGTGGCCATGTTTACGATGAAACGAGCCTACGGAGCGCCTTTACGGGTGCACACGGCGTCTTCGCCATGACCAGTGAACGGTACCCTGGTAAAATTATTACTGAAGAGGAGGAGTTGAAACACGAGATTGATGCAGGGCGCAATATTATCTCCGCTGCCAAGGAGTGCTGCATCAAGCATTTGGTGTATAGCAGCTTACCTGATACTGTCAAAGCAAGCGACGGCCAGTTCAAACGAATACATCACATGAACAACAAGTATACTATTGAGCAATTGGCAAGAAAAGAGCTTGAAGGCTTTACCTCCTTGATTCCTGGTGAGTACTCTGTAGCGGGTATCTCTACAACTTCGAAAATATTCGCGGGGTTACTGACGTGTCCGTCATGTATAGGCTTTTTTTACACCAACTTGGTTTGGTCACAGTATTGCCGGCTTCGTGGTTTGTATCCCTCTCTTATTTCCCCAAAATTCAAATGACATATCGATACCAGAACTAATGGATTTGTTCCTTAGAGGATGGTGTGGTACAATTTTGTATGCCCCTACCCGGGAATCAAACGGTCCAATGGACAGATCCTGTACGCGACATAGGAGCCTTTTCCGCAAGTAAGTGCTCACCACTACATTCAACAGCTGTCTTCCCCCTAGCAAGTCAAGGCTGACAATCACTTGAAGAGATATTTGGCTTAGGTATTGAAAAGACTAAAGGGCAAACCTATCTTGCTTTGGGTCCTAGGATAACTCCCGAAGGTATGGCGAAAGCTTTCACGCGCGTTACTGGAAAACCGGCCGTTCATTCTCTAATTTCGTTCGAGGAGTTCGGTAATTTGAGCTCTGCGCTCGTTGGCCCAGCATTCAAGGAGGACGCCATTGGAATGATGCAATGGGCTGCTATAGCTCCAACCGACAAGACCTGCTATGGAGCCTTTGAACTAGAGGTTGAACAATCTAGCGAGGAGCTGGGTCTTACTGCTAGCTCTTTTGAAGATTGGCTAAGGCGTAGCGGATGGACTGGTCCGTAGGTGTATCTATTCTGCGAGATAGACGGTATATTTATTCTCTAAAATAGAATACAATTTCACAGCCAACGCATTAAACCCTACGTCCTTGACCGAGAACAACCAAGGAAGTGGTAGATGAAAGAATGCTAAGATTAAAAATACCGAACGACCTCAGGCACTTGCAATGATTGTAGATTCTAGCAGCGGAGAATTCTCCGGGCTTGCAGGTCCGGACCGGGCCACAGTCACCCTTGAGCTTCCTCCTCAGCCTCCAATATTCTTACTTGTATCGCTAGCAAGCGACTTACTATATAGTAGGCATATAGTTGATCTATAGTAAACATTTAGTGCAAGATAGTAGGCGAGATGCCATGACGCGTGTTGCCAGGTCCCTCCCAGTGCAGCTACTCACTCGTAAGCACCCACGCACCCAACACACCTGAACTTACCTTGAGCTATTCGTTCTCGACCTCGCCATCTTCCTTTTATCGCTACAGGCACTCTTTTGTTGAGCAATGTCCAGGTCGCAGGCTAGTGACCGAAAAGGCGGTCATAGAGGTTGATGTTTCATGCTGGAGCCTAGCTAGCCAATCAGCAATCGCTTGATAACGCTGACAATGACGTTGACATCAAGACCCCCTGCAAATCCGGGGTAGCTCGAAAACGGCCATGAAGGGCAACTAAAAGTGGCCGGTTTCGTACACCGCCCTATTTGATGGTCTTTTTGTCCTTCTCACGCGATATTTCCTCTCACGCCATCCTTCCTCTCAAATTTTACATCAAAGCATTGAGCATATTCAAAGAAGATTTCCAAAGCGCCTACGCCCATTGAAAGAATATCATCAATATGGCTTGCCCAGTCATCGGAACAACAAACGACGTGCTCCCACCAAACCACCCTTCTGTCGACCTTAGCAAAGATGGACAGACTGTACGGTCCCTTCGTTACTGCGCACCGTCCCTTTAATACTAACTAGCTCAGTGCCCCGTCGTAGGAGCAACCACGAACCACCACCACAACCTACACACACACCCCTCCATCCCTGGGATACTCCCTGCCAATTCCACCACGGCAACGCAGTGCCCCGCCCTCAAGTCTGCCGTTAACGGCCCCAGGGCCCAAGAAATGGACGACGCCCTCTGCCCGGTTGTTGGGACTGCTACAACAGTACTCCCACCTGATCATCCAGATATGTTGAAGGCGAGCGCGGGAGACGTGTGCCCGGTGACCAAAGCGACGGTTGGGCATCATAAGGATAAGGTTGTTACACATCCGAGTGTAGCAGGTACAGCTGATGGAGCTGTTTGTCCAGTCACGGGCCAGAAACACTTGGCATAGAACTATCGGGAGAATAAAATACAATCGCTGATAATGAGATATGGGTATATTGCTTGTGGCGTCAGGGACGTAGCTTCGGTCAGCTAATGGACCCCTCATCCACCGAGGGTATTGATCTCATCTCTTTACTGTAGTCAACCTCCACGCCAATCCTCAACACCTATTGAGTTGCTCTGTCACCCTTCGGCCAGCCTCAATTCTAACTGCCAAGGTGATTACCCGAGTTACATAAATAGGACCTCTATGAGACTGATGGAGTCGTGGGGGCCAAAAAACCACAGTTGTGATATCCTTATCGCTGCAAGAGAGCAATGGCCAGGTGCTTCACCAGGAACATGACGGAGTAAAAAATTCACCAGGAACATGACGGAGTAAAAAAGGAAGAAATCATTGTATGTAGGTTGAGGAAACTCTGGCAGTCTTCTGAGTCTCGCAGTTGATCTCGACGTGCTTCTAAAGCTTTTGTATCGCTTCTGCAAGTGGCTGCACCATGGTCTTGGCTGCAGCAAGGCTACGACAGCCCCGTCGCCTCTTCAGCCTTCTCACCAACCCAGTATTCTTGCCCTTTGACGCAAACCCAAGCTCACCACGCAACACGATGGCGGAACTTTGTGAAATATGCAATACACCAGCAAGCATGACATGCGCAGGTTGCGACAATAGTCGCTATTGTTCGAAGTTGTGCCGGAAGCGCGCCTGGAAGAAACATAAACTTCTTTGCTCTATATTCAAGGAATTTAGCGACGACAAAAGACCGACCCCAATGCATAGACGGGCCATCTACTTCCCCGTCGACGACGACAAGCCACGCTTCATTTGGTTGGAGTTCGAACGACGATTTGACGATGACCTCGAAGACGACGAGCCTGAAGATGATGGATATGACTACCCACAGAAGCGCAACTTGCTAGGACCCAATACAGCGGTGGAATACAAGCCAATCAAACATAACGACGTCTTGGATCGCCCACTACGACATACTATCTCCTTGATGATACGCGAGGCGGGCATGATCGACGGGTCCGCTCCCAACCGTAGTACTCCAAATTGTGTGGATGGTTCTCCGCAATGGCCTTTTCGTTGGTATGGACCCATACTTGCGATTGGGGAAGAGGGACTCTCTATAGATCCAAATCGGAGCGATGACCTTGACATGACAGACTTCCGTCACATCGTAGATCGCTTGAGCACATGGTCATTCCCAGGCACTAGGATGGAGCTACGACACATTAGGGGTATAGCTCCCGCTAAACACTCCTATGAGACTCAGGATACTGAAAGAGCGCGGGAAGAAGGAGCGATCGTTAAGACACAACCCAAGGCCGCCACAGCACACTTACAAGTTAAACCAGTCGAGACCCGAGTCATATTGGGCGTACGAATCAACTGCACGAAAGACGTCGTGTCAGGAAGACCGAAGTATGAGCCCACCGAGCTCTCGGCCGGCCACCCAGTGTTCGATCAGACCACTACTTCCCAAGTTTCAACCCGGATTGAGTTGCCACTGCACATCCTTAGAGTAGAGCACATCCCCGAATCTACTCGAAATAGCCAGGTAGCTGTCGATGTGTCCTTGGACTGTTCCAACCCAGAAGCCAGCTCACTTTTCCTCATTTGTGATTTCGAAAACCTAAATAAATACCCAGGCGCACGATGGGGCGAAATCCAACCGTCGGATCAAGGAAGAATCGGTAGTGTCATAGTCTTCCGGCAAGATAAAAAAGTACTATTTCCAGAACATATCGACGCGCTATGTCGCTTCTCTCAGTACAAGCTGCCGCCTGTTTTTGGTCGCGCTCATGGTCACTTTGGACGGGATTATACAATCACGAAGGAGAACGTGTTGAGTGAGATCACGAAACCGAAATTTGCAACGTATTACGACGACTGGTTGACATGTCAAGAAGCACGAAAGAAATTGCATGGATCGCCATACATGGTTGTGGAAGACGGTGAAGCATCGAGGGTGCCTTTTGTGGAGAGGGTAGATACTCGGTCTATGATAGAGAAAGGTCTATCGATGGAAGCATTTCAGCAGATTGCAGCAAACTGGCTAACGCACATAATGGTCGGCGTAATTGTCGGTTGGTTGTGTAATCGCTGATTATAACGAAAAAGGGGCGTTGGCAATAGCAGTCGATGGGGCTCTTTCGAGTATTTGAATAATTTCCACATGCCTCTCTATTTGCCCGCCCGCTCTCCCACCTTTCTTTTGCATATGCCTGTTATTCTCTATTGTTGCTATAATGGAGATATTGAGGAATGTTATGGACGCATGCCGCAGACTCAACATACATCCCCAAGCTAAAAGAACTCTAGACGGTCCTTTCCCAACATATCAAAGAAGAAGGAAGAGAGAGATGACCTGCCCGCCCTTGAGAAGGCGCTAAGTTAAAATGAAAATCGTGGATCGTCGGAGAGCCTAGCAAAGAACTTTGGTAGGACTAAAGCCTCCGTGCTGTCAAGGAGCCATCCCAGTGCGGGCGAAGACCCGTGGTTCGAGGGATCTATGGACATGCTCGCTGCTCCAGTTGGTCACATTGCCAACATCTTCCGCAAATTTCCCAATGGGGTAATCAGCCCTAATCCGTCTAAGAAATGGATTGTTCTACATCGACAACAAGGAGTTGATTCCCTAATTTCACAAAAAAGGAAAAGGAACTGTTGAAGGGCATGTATTATATGCTGCGTTTTAGAGTTTGTATGCATTCAATTAGCGATTTAAATGTACAAGCATCTAAATACATTCAACCCACACGGCTATCCCTCAACTATACGAAGGAACTTGTATCTTTGTAGCATTAGCCGTCTTAAGCTCACTGCGCTTAAGAAAGTATAACAACAGCAAGGTACGTCTAAACTCTCTTAAGAATTTCTAGTAGACTTTTAATATAGTACTTAAATATATTATAAAGTCTTTTAAAAATATTTCATGATAGCTACTTTGTTCTGGAAGAGTGATTTTATCAGTTACGGATTAGCTTATCTTTTGTGATACTCCCATTTTCTCGTTGTATATAAAACCTAAAAATAAATAGAACTACTTTATCGTAGATGTTGTACGTAAAGCTTGATTTTAGCCCCACCACTCAAAATAAATGAGCTCCTTTGTAATGTACCCCACATTAAATGTATTCTTCATCTCCTCGCATCTTCATCCAACTTCAACTCCGATTCGAGATCTGTCCTTTGATTTGGCGGTTCTTTCTTTTAGTAAACAAACTATTCCTTTGCTGGCATCACGAATAGCTTCACAATATGCTACTCAGTCTTCGCTAGTCTATAATCATGGTTATCGCACAGGCGCTATATACACCACTTCAGCCTCATCAGACCCGAATTATACATCTACTTCGTGCCGACACTGCACCTAATGCGCCACTAGTCTGCAGAATGTATGTCGCGGATATATTACATGCCAAATTCGAGGGCCTTGGAGTGCATACGCCTGCTGGCAATCGCTTGATTGAATACGATGCGCTGTCATACAGCTGGGGAAGTGAGGAGACACCGCAAATTCTTGTGTGCAATGGTGTCGAGATTTCTATCGGAGAAAACCTCTCGGCGGCTCTGCGATCAATTCGAAATTTCGAGGGCAAGGATAAATACCTTTGGGTAGATGCTATTTGTATTGATCAGAGCGCCAACGAGGAGCGTGGCAAACAAGTATCAAACATGTTTATCATATATCAGAAAGCTGCAAAGGTCATTGCCTGGATAGATTCTGCCGACGAGGGGCCAATACAAGACGTGGCAACCTTCATAAACTACACACGCGACTGTCAGCTACAACCTGCCATCGACAAAGATTTTGACTTCTGGGGGATTCACGAGGCGTTGTCATATATCTATTCAAGGGCTTGGTTCATGCGAATGTGGGTGCAACAAGAGGTGTTTGCCGCTCGAAAGTTACGATTTCAATGTGGGCGTTGTCGTTTCGAGTGGAACGACCTGTTAGCTCAACCCGGTCGGCTACTAGAATTAGCGGACCTTGACTCATACGAAAAGTCGGGTCATCAAAAGCCTTTGCTTTTGCATCGAAGACGAGCGCCTCCGGAAATTAGCCACAAAGCTCCCACTGAAGAGATTGCGTCTCAACTGGATGCCATCGCTAGGCTGAATCAACTGCATAGCTCTCGCCTCAACTGCTTCGAAATAGTCCATCGAGCAAGAGGCAACCTAGACTTAATAGAGACATTATTAGACACAGGGGTTCTGGGCGCGAAGAACCCAAGAGATCACATATATGGGGTCCTCGGGATAACAGGCCTCCCTGCAAGAGCAATGTCAATTGAGACTTGGACTATGACAAGGCACAATGCTATTTTCATCCCCATCGACTATTCCGCAGACATGGCCTCGATTCTTTCAACAGTCACTTGGGCGATACTAATGCAAGCGAATGAAAAAGGTCGTTCAGCGCTCACATTACTCGCGAAGCTCAAGATTTTCGACAAGTGCGAGTACAAAGGCAATTGCGAGAAACCCATACCTTCATGGGCGATTGACTGGCCGCTTGTGGCCTCAAACTTTCGGAATCCTGGACCTAGAATCTCTTCTTGGGCTCATCTAGGTTTTGAGGAGACGTGGAATTCCCCCCACCCATATCCAGCCTTACGGAAACAATTCCGCGACGATAATACGAGTAGTAAACTGCCATGCGGCAAGCTCATTCTTCGTGGCTTTGTAGAGACGCGTTACCAAGTTAGAAATGGTCGAGTCTGTCCGACGACATATCATCGCACTGTCGGGACCATCTATAACCGCCTCCACGAGCTTCAAAACAAGCTGTATTGGGATCTCGATTTCGAAGCTGATTCAAATGATCTCATTGTCTTCTTTCCCTTGCAAACGATCAATATCAAGCCTCTCGGACTATGGCTATTGAGACCTGTCAACAAAGACGAGTTTATACTTTTAGCATACATGTCGTGGGACCCAGAGCGCTTACTTGCTTTCAATTCGTGGATTCACTTGTCGGAAAAGTTTGGTGGACTGACTACTCAAGAACGCCAACCTGGTCTGCATCGCCGACTCTTTATCGAACGGCGAACCAAACACACCCATTTCACCAGATTGACTAGTTTTAAACCTCCCGTGAAAAGAGATGAGCTTTTGAATGGACGGAAATTTACGATTATATGATGTTCTTGTCTGAAGTAACAACTGGAAAGCACAGTGTCTATATATTGTAATTATGCGCAGGTGTGCTCTTTGTAGAATCGCGATCCTGGGTTGTTCGAGGTTGAGAAGGTAACAAAGGTTCGAATGGGTAAACGGGAAACATAAGTGGCAGACTAGACATATTGAAGAAGCACAAATTGCAGTGTTGATACGCGTGAAAAATCCGAGATAAATGACTATGGCATGCACATGACGCTGCGATGATACTTTCATAGCACCGTGTAGCGAAAAGAGGACTACATATCGTAATTAGGCCGGAGCCATATTCAGCGACCAATACCGGGTGGAATTCCAGTTCCATTCATGCCGCAGCCGTCAACAAAACATGCGCTCACAGTATGAATGTACCGTATCTTGCCCTGCTCGACCCTGAACAGGTGGCTATCTGGTGTGCCTTCCTTTGGCCTCGTGCGATCCAAGCCTGTAAATCCTAAGAAGATGTCTACGACGCCCATCACCTCATCAATAACGTATCTACGGCTGAGCATTGGAATGTGTTCCGGAAGCCCGCCAATGTTACACGTATTCGCTGACAAATTTCCTCGACCAGTGTACGCGCCGCCTTCGAGCCGTGCACAAGGCGTTCCAAAGGGTACCTGCACCGTAACATCGTTGCATCGATCCGCGTAAGCGTCGCCGGCGGCCTTAATAGCTTCGCGAGATATGCGCTCGGTCTCGGGAATAGGGTCCCACTTCTCTTGACTGTTCCAGTACCGATATCCTGTAGCATTGAACGCCCAGTCGCCTTTGTCCGTGACCAGACTGTCAATTAATTGCACATTTCCCTCGTTGTCGAGAGTCATTTGCGTATGAATGACATATGGATGTAGCGGGTCCGTGACGATAATCTCCGTAAATGTCTTGCATTGTGTCGTGTCGTAAAGGGACCGGTTGGTGTCAATGGTCATACCGAAAGCTGGAGTGCCGTTGAGAATTGACAATGTCTTGTTGTTTTCGACGTATACCATGGTGTACGCGAGGTTCTCGAAGCGGTCGTGTTGGCCCGTCGCCATCATGCCGATATACTGGTTTGCTACATCTTGCAGATGCTCCCGTGTGCAGTTGAAAGCTGTGACATAGGCTGCCATTGCGGCGAGAGTGAGAATGTGAGACACCATAGCGAAACCAATACTGTCTTCGACTGTAAATCACCCGCCCTGAGGCCGGACATCATGTCTCTATAAACTTGTAACTCTAATTCTGGACGCAACCCAAGAAGTGCTAGTCCTTCTAAGCGGCGAAAAGCCACGCTGCTGGGATCTCTAAGCCAATAGCAATCGCAAAATGCCAAATTTGGCAATTTGGGGTCATGAAGCATTGTTTTTCCATATAGATAGATGGTGTGGGGCTAGCCGGCACTGATCATTTATCCTCGAGTACTCAAAGTAACCCCACACGATGCGGGAACAGCAGCAAACAACAATTTTGCTTTCCTAAAATGAACAAACCGCCGTGCGACAACGGGAAGTTCAATCTCTGTCGGGAAGGCTGCTAGACGTGATGCTAGCCATCTTGGAGGTATGGAGTGGTCGCTCTCGACAAGTCATCTCAGCAGGTACCGATTCTTGCATACAGCTATCTTCACAGCTCTTGTTTTCTGACATCTGGGCGGTCGTCGCAGTGTCTTAGCCGACAGGCAATCCATGATGCTTCGCAGACGTTTTTGCAATGGTCCTCATCCCATTGGTCCCATAGCGTGTTCATCGATTCAGCCTGCATTCTCGTTAGACGCAAACCCTCTCTTCCAGCAGACATTACAGAACTCACGATCTCTTGAGGCGACGGCTTTCGCTCGGAGTCGTCGAAGACCTGAGGCTTGGGGTGCTGCTCGTCCCACAGCAGCCAGAAGCCATAGAAGACGGTGCCGAGGAGTAACGCTGTGAGGATGAGAACAAGCATACAATGTGCAATGCGAAAGGGCGTTTTCATGCTGGGCTCACCGCCACAAAAGCTGATAATACAGATGAACAAAGATGTGCTGTGGCTGGGCTTCAATGTTTGCGTACGCGTTTTCACTAATTGGCAGGGTTTGGCAACGCGCTACCAAGCGAGCGTATTTCCGTTGCCACGCGCCAGCCAGCCCCGTGTCTCTTGCCATTTGCCATCCACTGTCCGCATCGCGTTACTCTTACACGGTCTCAGGAATTGCCAACTACCGTCGACATAGATATCGTGATATCGTACCCCAAGGTGTTGATGAAATGATAGCCGCCGCTCGCTGTAGAACACCCTCGGGGTCCTATCGCCACTGCTCACCTCCTAGTCTTGGCTCGTCACATGCAGGATTGTCTGCCCCATAGTAATACCGCGCATGAAACATTGTCGACAATGGAGGATGCCAAATCCAACCCACGTCTTTCGGCGATTGCTGCAACGCGCAAGATGATCTTTACTGGAAGCACTTGGCGTGGGAGATTCAGGTAAAATGGCTAGTAGTGTACAAGGAAGCGCACGCTGCCGGAGCTCAACCCACCCCAGTAAACCCTTTGGTGTGTCGGCGAAAGGCCCCGCTCGACCATTCTCTGATATATCGGCCCGGAGCTACCCCTGATCTCATGAAACTTTTGTCTCTTGAGTCCTATCGAAAACCCCACCCGTAAATGTTTAGCGTTGAAATTTTCAAGCGTGACGTTCGCCACCCAACTTCACGCCACCACCTAACGCTTCTTTCCGTATATATCGTCCCCATGGTACTCTATACCACTGATAGCTTTTCTTTTACACTTCCTGTACTTGCACCTATCCGCCAAACGCTGTGAGGGTCTCTGGCATCGACATGGGCCTTCTGGATCTTCCATATGAGATTCTTGATCTTGTCATAGATCTAACTTTGCCAAGCGGTCTCGAGGGCTTTGTACTCTCATGCAAGACAGTGTACCGACGGTCGAAATCCCAGATCGAGCGACACAACGCGTTGAAGAAGCAATGGAGCTACACAACAAACGCCAACCCAACACGGCGCGCAGATACCTTGAGCATCATATACAAGATATCACAGGAACCCATCATCGCCCAGTACATCGAGTCCTTGAACTTGTGGGATCGACGCTCATTGGTAGACGTTCGTATGAGTTCCGATACATATCAATTTCGGGACGACGAAGCTGCTATAAAAGATATCAAAAGTCTCTTGTATTCTGCCGAATACTTTACCAAAGCGGACCCGGAAGAATGGTGGCAAAGCATTGTCAACGAGGACAGCACAGACGACAGCGAGGATGCGGACAAGCTGTATGCGACTATCGCTCTACTCTCACTTCTGCCAAACCTCAAGACACTACAACTACCGGACAGATGGCATGAAGTCAGAAACACGGAGGCCGCCGAAGCCTTGGTGCCCTCTATTGAGTCACTAGTATCAACGTCAAATAGTGTTGGAATTCGATCAAAACCATTAGCGTCACTCGAGACTATCTTTCCGTTCGTCGAGGAAGGCTACGACGTCAGAGTCGGCCTTCAATGTCTTCAGCCTTTCATGGTGCTTAAAAGCATTCGAAACCTCTATGCTGTGAGCTGCGTAGCTGTCAACGATGACTGGGGAGGCATACCGTTCGAATGGCCAAGCCTCAGTCCCAAGTCGCCGCTAACGAGATTGGAACTTGCGTGCTGCTGTATGGACGCCACCGCTCTCGCGACACTACTAGCGAACACGCCAGCTCTCACGACCTTCAGGTACTCCCATCAGACAAAATGGGACGGCCTCGAATACGACTGGAATGCAGGAGAATTCATGGAAACATTAGCCAACTACTGCGGCGAGCAACTCCTCGACCTCGCTATCACTATCGATGAGCTACACGGCGACGTCGTCAACGGTCTTTCTTCCTTTATGCGCTTTCCAAAGCTCCAAAAGCTCGAAGTAGACGTCCAAGCCTTCTGCGGACCACCTCTAGAGAGCGGCCAGCGACTAGGTCGCAATGCCAGCATTCCCGAAGGCGCAAGAGCTTGGGAGTACATTGATATACCGTGCATGGGCGACATGCTGCCCAAAAGCATCTGCGAGTTGCACGTCAACACTGATTACCCCCATCCCTCGGAACAGGCGCTAAAGGCGCTTTTCAAGAATATCAAAGACCGCCGATTTGACAAACTTCTCTTGCTACAAACTGTGGTCATTCGACAATATAGATCCAGTACAGCAAAAGATACGGCTGAAAATCTCGGTATCACTTTGGAGCCCTTTGATGAAAGTGCTGCGCAGCCGAAACCAAGATCGATGATGCCACAGTGGAAGAGGGAGTTCGATCGTTTAGTTGGTGGCATAGTGATGACGGAGACATAGTGAGGGACTGTATTATTTTAATTCCAGCGCTGCAAATCTGCAAAGCTGGTCGGTCCATGGGCGAGTGACATGGCTGGATAACCTTGCTCTCGAAATCAATAGTACGTCTAGCGTCTGGAACGCATAATTCATAGCCTAGCCCTTATTATTTTCTTGTTCATTATACCAAGCTCTCCGGCTTCATTCGTCTCTTTGTAACTCATCTCTACAGTTTCGATAGTTTCTCACCATCTAACGTCCTCTTAATCGGTCCCAACAGATTCTCAATAAACTTCTCGTCCATCATCTCTTGGCCCGTGCCCTCTCCTTGTGGTGGCGGCACGTTCCACTCCGGAATCACTCTCGAGCCTGTTAAAGTAACTTCTAGAACGCTTCCACAGGGATATTCTCTCTTCTGCAACAGGTCCAGCATGTGCTCAGCGCATGTCTCTGGGGTGAGTGACCGTCCTTCGGTGACTGAATACTGCGTCAGTTTGACTGTGTCAAAGAGCGGCGTTAGGACCACTCCAGGACAGAGTGTAGTGATTTTCACGCCGGTAAGAGCTTCTGTGTCCTTCATAGATTTGACGAAACCAACTATTGCGTGTTTTGTCGCGCAGTAGAGTGGTGCGGCTATACTGCCTGCTAAGCCGCCAACCGATGCCTATTGTACAATCAGCCACGCGTATCACGATATTCCGGGAAGCTAATCTATCGTGATGTGCCTCTTGCTTACTGTTCTTGAGACTCGAAATACTCACAATAATGCAAACACTAGCCCTCTTTCCCCGACTCAAACTCTTCCTTAGCGCTAACCTCGTCAACTTGATGGGATGATTCACATTTACATCGACTTGCTTATAACCCTCCTCTTGCTCTGGATCTTGCCAAAAGTTGGAGAATGGCGGGTCGAAAAGGCCGGCGCAAATACCATATGCATCAGGCACATCATTCCACTTGTCTTCGCAAGCGGCGAAAACCTTGTTGAAATCGGGCCAGTGCGTGACGTCGGCTTGCACGTAAAGTATGTTAGATTTGCCAGAGGCGAAAACGTCGAACTCAGGTGTAGTTTTGATGTCAGCGATTAGAACTCTTGCGCCGAGTTCATGGGCTTTTTTGGTCACTGACAGACCGATTCCTGGAACTATTAGACTATTTGTGCTACCGACGGTCTAAGGATGCTGGGTACCGGATGCGCCTCCCGTGAGGAGAAGGATTTTGCCTTTAATCGGTTGGTCTATGGATGACATTTTGTGTGAGGAAAGATTGTCTTGCACCGTTTATTCTCTTCAATACATTTTGGGTGCCAGGGGGAGTTTGTAATATTTTGGCTTCCCGCGTTGAAGCTCCTCTGTTATGTAGGGCCGGATAAGGGATCCCGAAGCTCTGACCCGAGCGTGCGCAACCTTGAGATGAGGGGTTCAAAGAAGCACCATCTCGGAACATTTGCTTGTATGCATGAGTTGAATTAGTTTTGGGACGTCTTTATATGCCCCGATGCTTCCTATCCTCTGGCCAGTAGTTGAAGATCGGGCTAACGGAGCTGAAGCTGCGAGGCAATCAGCTCCTAGAGCGCAATTAGGGCAGAGGATGTGATAGCTATTCTCTGACTTCCTTGATCCAATGACACATGTTGCTATACTGTGTTGCGTGTTGTTTCATCGTGAAATGGTCAGTCATTACGAAGTATGGTTGGCGCTGTTTTGCAAAGTTGGGTTCGCGTGGGGGTGTAAATTCCGTGCTTCCAAGTTTTACTTTCCCAACGAAATCCTACAGCAGCACGGGAACAACACAAAAACATAAGCTAACCAGCCAACGATAGTAACCCATATTTCACAACTATTCCAATGGAAAGAGCCCTGCCTGAAGATTGACATACATCAAAACTTCCCCGTATGCTCCTACACCACCTTTCTGCCTTCATGAAGTTGAAAGGCACCTTCGAAAGTGATTCGACAAAGGTGGTATAGCACTGCTGACTACTAGATCTAACAATACCACCCTCCATCTATCGGCATGGCGTTTCCTGTGATGAATGAAGCTGCATCAGAAATGAGAAACTCAATCAGGGGCGGAACTTCCTTCTGATCTGCCGCTCGTCCTAGTGGAAGAAAGCTATAGTCGGTAGGATGTCCGTTGATCTCGTACGACTTCCTCAACATGGGCGTGTCGATAGGCCCTCTGCCTCCAGTTAGCAATATGTCTATCGACAGGGAGTAGAACCTACGGGCAGAAGCAGTTGACTCGGATCTTCTTCGGACCGAGTTCTTTCGCTGCCGATCTCGTCATACCAACAACAGCATGCTTCGACGCGCAGTAAGCTAGATTGTTCGGCGCACCAATGAGTCCCAATATGCTCGCTGCATTGACGATGGAACCTCCCTCGTTCATATGCGGGATTTGAGCTCGCAAACAATTCCGCATTCCAATAACGTTGACACCGAAGACAAAGTCCCAGTCTGCATCGTCCAAGTCTTGGATGGCAGCAACGCTGCTCTGCTTGCCAATGACGCCCGCGAGATTCGCAGCACCGTCTAGTTTACCGAACTTCTCCACTGTGGCTGTGATCCAGTTCTCGACGTCTTTGCGGTTACTGACATCGACTACGTGGGAGATGACCTGAGCGCCTGATTGCTGGAGTTCGGCTTCAAGGTCCTTCAGCGGCTTCTCTTGAATGTCAGCCAGCGAGAGCTTTGCCCCTTTCGCGGCGAAGAGACGGGCGGTTTCCAAGCCTATGCCCGACGCGGCTCCCGTAATGACAATGACTTTGTCCTTAATCGACATGCTGGCGAGTACTGAAAGTCAAATAGGAGGAATGGGCCTGCTTTTCGAGACGAGAGAGCGAGAAAGCGCAAAAATTCTTCCATTGCGCGCGTACTTTCGTACCTATATGTACGACACAGAGACCTTAAACCTATCCGGTATCTCCAGGTTAGCTCATGAGGCTACGACATGCAAAGGAATTCCGGCCAAGGGACTACCGAGAATCCGAGCCATATACAATTGTGCACGTGGTAACAGTGGATGGAGGAAGATCTTTCCCGGCGTGACATCAGAATGTTAGTCAATCCTGAGAGTCACTTTCAGAAATCACCCCCACACGAGGTTGCGCAGGAAAAAAAGCGGGCTTATGCCACGCCTCTTAGTTTGGATTGATGTAAAAGAACAAAAAACAAAAATGAACAGGGCCGAACCGGAGTCGAACCGGTGACTTCGGGATAACGACTATGATGGGCTGCAATCCTACACTCTACCACTGAGTTACCGGCCCGTGTTGATGATGACTAAGTGAATTATTATCTTTATATACAAACGACAAAAGAGTTGTCGAAGGAAAAAAGGGCAGCTCTATCTAACGAGACATTACATATCGTGATGATGAAGAGACGTGTGCGGGAAGGTGGGGCTAAAATGTCGAACCGAGGATGACTCATTAGGGCGGTGGATTCCACGAAAGGTATTTAGTACGAGCCTTTTGCTTATTTTAAACCAATGCCACCTTCGTAGTACAATAAGAACGTCAATGGTACAACATGCTAATGGCTATTAGAGACAGACGTACACAAGATCTCAAGTAGGATTGGATGACGATTATGCCCTCGAGGATGTCTGATCAAAGATTAGCTCAAGTGCGAATTGACCAAGTTCTGAATGGCTCTCACATAGCCTAGCCCGACCACATGTTATACAGGAATAGCGAATTATTTAGAGCAGACTTGAAGGCAACAACTAAGATTCGCGTTAGCGATGTTTACTCTCACAGTAAAGTCGGTTTGAGGCTTGCTTCCTCTCTTGAAGGTTCTCCATGTGATAGCAGCGACGAATGAAGAAGGGCCACCATAACCGCTCGAGCGCTGAAGCTGAAGAGTCATGGTCTGTCATGGAATTTGCATTTCGATTTAAGAGAATTCCTACTCGCGCGTTGCTCAGCCCTCGGAATAGACCACGCTCCATATGCTATGAAGATCTTCTGCGTTATGGTTATGATACTGGCGACTGCATGTGTGGCAGTACCCATGAAAAGACACACGCGTGACGAGAATATTTCACATGCAAAGCCCCGTTCCGAACATAACCAATCTCTCCAAGCCAGCAGACCACCTGGCTGTAGAGCTACTCGACCATCACCAGCCACGAGCTCAACACCAACACCAACACCAACACCTACTCCAACACCCACGGCACCAAAACCCTACACATTCAACATCGAGATTAGCAACGAGCGCCAGCATATCGGGAGTTTTTACGGCACCTTCATCCGTGACGATTTCAGGAAATTCCTCGAAAAGAAGTGCTCAAAAGGCGGGCAACCATGCAAAACCAGCGTACATACTTTTGTCAGCATCGAGCACTCAAACAAGGGTGGCACCGTTGAAAGATCCAAAGCCGATGTACATATCGCCAGCGCCTCTATCCCAGAAGAATACCGCAAAGGTCTGCAGCAAGCTTTCATCGAGCAGATCGCAGACACGTTCATGCTTGCCACCATCGACGACAAGAACTGTTACAAGTTTGATCGCAAGTCGACCATATGCGCGCTCTGCAAAAATTCGTGGTGCGTGGTGCTGCCGGATCGCGATAACAAGCTTGATGAGCCGGATAAGCGCGGTAGAGTCATCAGGTGGTGCAATGCGCCGGCGTATGTGAAGGTGAGTGTCTCGGATTCTGATGGGAAGGAGGTTGCACATATGAGGGTCGATCTAAAATTCAGGGGCGTCACGGACCAGGGGAAGTTTGATTGTGTCGGTACTATAGCTGCTGTTGACGGGAACGCGCGCGATAACCGGCAGGGTAAGCTGGAGGAAGCTATGGGCGGTAAAGACTTCGATACAGCGGTGACTTGTTCGAGCCAGGAGGTTACAGGGAGCTGTCCGAATGAGGAGTGTTTGTATCAGGTAGGTTCCTGCTTCAAATGAGTGCAAGTAGGTGGTTATTCGGGGAACTCGTGGACTTCAACAATGCTTTCATTTCCCCATTCGTTTCTCATCATATCTCTTGCTTATATTCCTTGTTAAACGCTCTTCCAATGACCATCCGCCTGACCTCACTTGTCCCAGCCCCGATCTCATACAGCTTTGCGTCTCTCAATATCCTGCCCACAGGGACTTCGTTCATGTATCCCATGCCACCCATCAACTGCACCGCATCAGCTGCTACCTCGCTCGCTCTCTCTGCCGCATATAGAATAGCGCCCGCGCAGTCTTGTGTTCTGATATCGGGGGAGGCGTGAGATTCGTCGACCGCTCGGGCTACGGTGTAGGTGAAGGATTGGGAGGCGCGGAATTTGGTGTACATGTCTGCGAGTTTGCCTTGGACGAGCTGGTTATGTGCTATGGGTATACCGAACTGTTTTCTTTGGTGCGTATACGGCAAGACAGTGTCAAGACTTGCCTGCATAAGGCCCAAGGGTCCAGCGCTTAACACCAACCGCTCCAAGTCTAAGCCTTCCATGAGCACGCGCACGCCGCGGTTCACTTCGCCCAAGATATTTTCTTTAGGCACAAATACATCCTCAAAGACAAGCTCGCCAGTGTTGGAGCCGCGCATCCCAAACTTGTCTAACTTGTTGGCGACACTGAAGCCTTTGGCGGTTGTTTCGACGATGAACGCTGTTATGCCTTTCGATGAAGCATCGGGCTGGGTTTTCGCGTAGACGACGATTGTGTGGGCGTCCGGTCCGTTTGTGATCCACATCTTGGTGCCATTGAGCAAGTATCCGCCGTCTACTTCCTTAGCTGTCGCCTTCATGCTAACAACATCTGAACCAGCAGAGTGTTCGCTCATGGCCAGCGCGCCAATTTGCTCGCCACTGATGAGGCCGGGGAGGTATTTCTTCTTCTGCTCCGGCGAGCCGTTTAGCATTAATTGATTTACACAGAGCTGCGAGTGCGCTGCGTATGACAAGCCTATGCTTCCTGCAAGTTGTCAGTATTACTCCCCTCAGCCTTCCAAGCCACTACAAGCGGAAAGGGTATTCTCAAACGTACCACTCGCCCGACTAATTTCCTCCATGACGACACAATGCGCTTGATACCCCATGGCTAAGCCACCAAACTCCTCGTCCGCCGTTATGCCCAAGAAGCCTGCCTCGCCAAACTTCCTCCACATGTCGTTGGGGAACTCATTCTCTTTATCTGTCCGAGCGGCGAGATCTCCTGATATCTCTCTTCGTGTAAAGTCGCGGACGGATTCGCGGAGTTCGTCGAGGTCGGATTGTGAGGGTGGTGTGAAGTTGGACGGGTGTTTGGTTGAGGCGTAACGCTGTGCAGAGAGGAGCCATGGGTGGGGTTGGCGCACGCGAAGGCAGCGGGTGAAGAGTCGAGGAGATAGGGACGCCATCATGGGCTGGATTGTAGATTCTACAAAATTTGGAGAGAGCACAGAAGGAAGAGGGTAGAGGTGTTTGTTAAGACAAGTTCGGTTTGCGCCGGCTGAACGACCGAGGCTCCTTCCCTTTGGAGTTGCGGGGAGCGCACAGGGCAAGAGCGGTGACGCGCTGAGATCTGGGGAAGACGCAAGTACCCGAGAAGCATCATCTCTAGCTGGTAGCAAAGTCTTTGCTAGTCGCCTGCAAATTACTATTGTTGGGTGCATGATCTCTCTCATGGATCCACATGTCATTTGGCCGCTATTCACAGATCTTTGACCTTCTTCATGTCGTTACCGTTGTTCTCCCCCACGTCTAGGGCCACCAGAACTCTCGAGACACAGTTGTACGCCGCAATGGTAGTCGTCAGCTCCACTATCTGCTTGTCGCTCAAGAATCCCTTCAGCTTTTTTGCAACAGCGTCCTCCACCTCCACGCCGATTGTCATCTGATCTGTATAACTCAGCACTGCATACTCGTCCTCAGCGAACCCCAGCGTGTCGTTACTCTCCACCAAGCCCTTCTTCGTGACCGGCAGATCGAAGACAAGTTGCATAGCGTCTCTCGAGATACCGGCTTTTACAGCGAGCGCGGCGTGGATGTCCCACTCATGCACGGCTTTGTTGAGTACAGCGACGCGTGAAATGGCAAGTTCTCTCAAGCCTTCTGGCACACTGGTTTTGGTGCGTATGGCGCCAATGAACGAGTTCCAGCCATCTGCCACGGCGGGGTTATGGAGGAGGGCGAGATCGAGGGGGATGAGTGGGCGAGGCTTGCGTCGTTCTGCGATGCGTTCATATACAGGTCGAGCTTCCTCGGTCTGGGGCTCGCTGGGGGCGTAAGGGACGCGCATCCTGGCTGATGGGAATGCTACGAAGGCTCGATGGAGTGAGGTTGCCAAGATGGTACGTGACCGTAGCTGTGGTAGAATAGGCCGAGTCAGGGTTGACAGCGCGCCGTACATGAGTTGTGAAGGCAGAGGCCGAGGAAGCGGATATACGGCTTGCGGAACTCAGTTCCGCTATTTCTTCGGTAGCGATAACGGCCAACGGTTGTCCGCCTTCTGAACACGGGATGCACATGGCCTCTTCTTATCTTGGAGGCTTGAGACAGAGAAGAACATTATACATTGCCTAGTTGCAATAGGTATTACTTATGTGAAGCACGCCGTAGGGCCCCCGGTAATGAGGCTTGCTTGCGTAGGCGGAGCTACCCCGCATACGTAACGGGTACTTTGACCTTGAGCCGCGACCGAGGCGCCTGGCACAACATCTCTCCAAGCACACAAGAAAGATGCTCGGACATAGGTCCTCCATCGTCTTGCGGTGTCGATGTGAAGATGCTGCGGACTGTTCTCGCACGCTCTACTAGATTTCCTTTGCTTCCCTCCAGCCCATGTCGCGGCCTTCTAACCAAAGCATTCGCTGTGGGGTCGAATGAGGTGTGTACCCCAGCTTTCACAACTGCCAGTCGCCATGACTGACAGGTGTGATAGCCTCCGCTCCTGGAGCAAACCGTTCCACAACACTTTGCGGGTGTTGTCAGGCAGTATGGGGACCGTAACGCGTCAGTGCACCCTAAGACGCCTATATGTGAAGCTCGACTGAAGCTACATCAGGGTGATATCCCACCACCAGCAAATAACCCTTACCTACGAAACCCTCGACCGCGACTCGAATGCCCTAGCCCGAGGACTGCAGAAGCTTGGTGTGAAGAAGGGCGATAGAGTTGCCGTGTCGTTGGGGAATAATGTCGAGTTCGCTACGGTACACCATCTCAGGACGGGCTTCAAGAGACATAAGCTAATGTATTACAAGACTACATATGCGCTGTTCAAGCTTGGGGCAGTATTAGTATGTAATATACATCGTCAAGGTTGAGCCACTGAAACTAACCTATCCTGCAGGTACCATTAAATCCGGCCTTCAACGCGCCGCAAGTCCTCTCCGCACTCAACCATCTTTCCGCCTCCCACCTGATCATCGGTGCCGAAACAAATATCCCCCGGAAAGATCCGCGTTCCAATATCCCTCTCCTCACACATCTCGTACCCAACCTCTCAGCTTCAGCTCTCGAGTCCGAACTCGTGCCCTCGCTCCAGAACGTTGTGTTGGTGAATAACGCGCAGGGACGGGTGGATCTGGATGATTACAAGAGCATACAGAGATATGAGAACCTGGCTGAAGATGGCGGCAGCGGGAGTGCGCTGGAGAATCTGAGATTAGATCAGAATGAGATTGCAAATATTCAGTTTACTTCCGGTACGACAAGCATGCCAAAGGCAGCGTGCTTGACCCATAGGAGTATCTTGAACAATGGGAACAATATTGGAGATAGGATGCTGCTTACACCAGATGATGTTGTATGCTGTCCGCCGCCGCTGTTTCAGTACGTTTCCACTTCATATATAGCAAGAAGACGGCTAACAACATAAGCTGCTTTGGATGCATCCTTGGGTACATGGCTACAGCAACCCACGGCAGTGCAATTGTGTTTCCTAAAGAAGCCTTCGATCCACTAGCTACCCTCGAAGCGGTCCGCGAACACAAATGCACAGCCCTCTACGGTGTCCCTACCATGTTTGTCGCTGAACTCGATCTACTCGCCCATGGCGCCGTGCCGCATGACGGCTTCCAGTATCTGCGAACCGGTATTGCAGCAGGCTCGTCGATTCCCTCGGAGCTCATGCGAAAGCTGCACAAGAAACTCAACTTGACAGAGCTTACCATCTGCTACGGCATGACGGAAACTAGTCCTGTCTCTTGCATGACTACAACTGATGACCCAATGGAAAAGCGCACAGACAGCGTCGGACGGCTCCTCCCGCACGTCAAGGCCAAAGTCGTCGATCCCTCGGACTGGTCTCGCATTCTTGATGTAAACCAACGTGGTGAACTCGCTGTATCTGGCTACCTCTTGATGAAAGGGTATTGGGATGACGAAGCGAAGACACGCGAATCTCTAGTCCCAGATGAAGATGGCGTGCTCTGGATGCACACTGGCGATGAAGCGTCCATGGACGAAGAGGGCTATGTGAAGATCACGGGTAGGATCAAAGACCTCATCATCAGAGGTGGAGAAAACATTCATCCCCTAGAGGTTGAAAACTGTCTTTTTGGGCATCCGGCGGTTAGTGAAGTCAGCGTGGTAGGGTTGCCGGATCATCGGTATGGAGAGGTAGTTGCGGCATTCATTGTCAAGCAATCAGGCGATGAGGGAAATGTCTCTGCGCATGACATTCGCAGTTGGGTGCGGGAAAAGTTAAGCAATCATCTCGGTGAGTTTGTGCTTTGTCCTGAAAGCAAAAGGTATAAGAATCAGTGCTGACAGTAGAGTGATAGTGCCAAAGTATGTCTTTTGGGTAGATACGTATCCTAAGACTGCAAGCGGGAAGATCCAGAAGTTCAAGCTGACAGAGATGGGTATTGCTCTAGTGAAGGAGGGTAAGGGTATAGTATGATGAATGTGTATAGCCCCCTTGCACTATCCGAGCAAAATCTTCGCTCAAGCTGATGTAGCTTTCTAAATTTTGCCAAGGCTTAGTGATGTTAGGGATATGGTCAGTAGGAGAAGAGGTGATGAAGTCTATTGGAAATAGTGTTATGGAAAACCCTCTAGCCTGTGCTGATATCGAGTATTCGAAACAGCAGATTGTTCTAGAGGACTTGTTTCTCAAAGATGATACTTGAATAATGGGCTTCGGTCCCCCATCTTCTCCAACTGCCCTTCCGTGTAGATGGCCCGCCACTCGTCTTCCGTCTTCTCAGCGTTCTTGCTATTGATCTTCCAGAAAAGGTACTCGAGCGTAAACGCACACAGCATTCCCGCAGCAGCGAAGGAGAGAGAGGTTCCAAAACCAGTGGGGTATCTGGGAGACTCGCGTTCTTGGTAGATGAAGGAGCCTACAATTCCGCCTAGGTTTCCTATACATATCATAGTCGCAATGCTAAAACCTGTAAGTAATGTTCAGGCGAGTAAGGCACTGAGCATACGTACCCAACTGCTCGCTTCTCAGGGCCAGCAAGGTTGTTAATTGTCCAAGCATTGCATCCTGGCAAGATCGGGTATATGCCAACGCAGGCAACGTGGACAGCAAAGTAGCAGAGCGCTACATTGTCTTTGATGGCCTCGGCTTTGGCAAAAAGGATGGCGTATGCGATGATTAGCAGGGCCTGTGCACCCGCGATAAATGGCATGCGCCACGTATACCGGTCAGCTAAGAGGGCGGAGAGAAGTGCGGAGATGGCGCCACAGGCGTACGGCGGTGCGGTCATCAGCTGCGCGTTGGTGGAAGTGAAGCCCACTATAAACCTCAGTGAGTAAGCGTGGCTTCCCTTCTTAGACGGAGCACTCACTATTCTTCAGAATCTGGGGCATCGTAAACTTCAAGCCATAGTTTGGCACCGCGTTCGATGCGAAGATCATGGCTTGAAGGTAGATCTGCCAGTCCTTTGCGACCTGGCCAAAAAGACTCCACTTGACTCTTTCCTTTTTGCCGTCAGGGTTGACCTTCTTTTTGGTCGCCATGCCACGCGTTACGATATGATTTAGTCGCAAAAACCGGGCTTCATCGTGCGTTAGCCACCGACCAGCTGCATGCTCTGGCGAGTCCGGAAGGAGCCAGAATACAGCGACGCCCATAAAAACAGTAGCGATGCCTTCGATGATGAAGATCCAACGCCAGCCTTCATAGTTACCCACACCTTTTCTACATCAGCAGGCTCCGCTCAGTCACAGTTAACACAACATACCGTTCATCTTTGCAATGCCTGCCGCCAGCAAGCCCGAGAAAGCTCCACTAGCTGCACTCGCACAATAAAACAATGCCATACGAAACTGCGTGCGCTCAGGTGGATACCATTGCCCAACGAGGTAAATCGCACCGGGGAAGAAGCCGGCCTCAAAGAACCCCAAAAGAAAGCGTGTAACGCAGAGGCCACCGAAACTCTGCACTACGCCCATGCACGTCATGACGATACCCCAGCAGAGGATCAGGACGCCCATGTATACGGACGGCTTAGAGAACCGGGAGAGCAGCATGTTGGAGGGTATTTCGCAAAGGACGTATGGGATAAAGAAGACCATGAGGGCGACGTTGTAGTCTGTTCCGGTCATGTTGAGCGTTTTCTCCAAGCCTTCAATTTTAGCGTTTCTGTATGTCCATCAGCCTGATTCTGTGCGAGGATGGCACGATCAACGATGGACGTACCCGATATTTGCCCTAGGTTTAGGTTAGTCAGTTGATACATCTGGCGAATTGGGCTTCACTTACCGATCCAAGTGCGATATGAGGTACAAGACTGCTAGCATGGGACATAGTCTCCAATCAACTTTGTGAAAGATCTTGTTCTGTTCGTCTTTAGATATTTCGTGGAGAAATTGCGCGTCCTCCTGGTTCAGACCAGCTTTCATGGATACGTGTAAGTATTCTGGGGATGAAGCCCACGGTACCTTCTCAGGCCCCGTCTCTTCAAAGATGGAACTTCTCTCCATGGTTGAATTCTTCTCTTCTAATGCCATGTTGATAGTTGGAGGAGGTTGCTGTACGTCCACCGTTAAACGGGCCTGGAGTCCGTCAGAGATGAGGGATCAAAATATGATCTTGCAGAAGAAATTCACGCCTTATGTAATAACGGGGGTAACAGTAGCCGTTAAGCGCACGTTCCCATCTGAAGGATTGGGGTGTACAGGGTGTCATCATGCCAACGGGTATCCAATCTTGACGAGCAAATAAGAGTTTCAATCTCAGATCATGCAGACCGTCCAATTGGATTAAAAATACCAGGATACGACTTAGCGTGTGAACACCCTTGTAGTATTTAGGATTCAGTCCCTTCGTTGTTCTGGGGAGCGAGACTGCCAAGTATAGGAAGTGCGGGGGATGTGCATGGGAAGCCTCTTGGCGACAGTCTGAGCTGACACGATATAGATGATCGCCGTCAATGGGCAATCGCTCGGAGTCTGAAGAAATGCCGATTTTGGTTTGTTTCAAAAGGGTTGAGTTTGAGCCCTATCCGAATGTCGAGTATGATGACCGAAGTAACTGCGAGCTTCTCACCTTGGATGTGGAGTGAATCAACAACCCGAAAAGAAATGTAAGAGGTCATTACATCGGATTCCGGGTGCTCAGAGGTATGCAAATTCGAGCTGATATCGTCAAGATGGACTAGACGATGATTCTATTTCCAAGAGGTGCGAAGGATCATCTCAGGGTACCAGTACTGTCCACTGCTCAAGTAGCACATCGACAATATCATCCTTTTCTTCAATTCCAAATTCCTCGGTCTCAGAACGCTCTTGTACAAAGTGGTCCATCAGTGGAACAGAATCCGTTATAGACCTCTCTATGTTGGTATGTGTTGATCGCCGCTTTCTCGGAGCAGATTCGGGTGTCAATGCATCGGATGCGACTTTTCTCTTCCTTCGACCCGTATTCCTAGCATCCATACCCTCAGGTAGATTGTTTACAGATGGGCGTTGTTGTGCAAAAGGGTTGGCTACAGCGTTTCGAGGCTGTGTCGTATTACCTGTCTCAAACATAATGTCATCAGCGGAGCCATATGTTTGGCCTGCGTCTGGAGGCAGCCATTGTTCATTATTGCCAACCAGAGATAGATTAGGCTCTTTATTATCTCTTGGGAGTATAAAAGCGTCTCCGGTGATCTCAATGCCCCTACTACAGTCCTGATAAGGGGTGTAGGTTTGTTGGGCATGCAGCCTAAGACAGGAGCTGCAAGGTGTGTTGGAATCACACTGCACGATGTAAGTAAAACCCTGTGAGGTTCTCAAAACTTCACTTACCTTGAGCTTAAGTTCTTTACAGTTGGTACAGGCCCTTATGCACCGCATCCTATGCGCTCTGTTTCTATGTGCCTCTGTGAGAGGTCCCTGTCTCCTTCTTTGTGTTGCAACACCGCTTTTACGATATGTAGAGAGCTCTCCGAGCTTTCTTTCATCTGATGCATCTGCATAGTCGGCAAAATTCATCGTAGGGGATTGTACCTTCAAGGGTTCGAATACTGGCGGAGGAAGGATAGGAGTACCAATGATTTGCGATTCGAATTGACGGCAAAATCGTCGGTACATCTTGTGCACTTGTTTCTTCTGATGTAAAGCGGGCTTTTGACTGCTCTCGGACTTTTGCTGAAGTTCGGTGATGCGTTTCAGCAACTTATGCACATGCTTCGCGCAATTTGCAAGTTCTTCTGTTGAGATATGCTCATCATCGTAGTCAGTAGCTGTCGCATCACTATCAGATATCTCTGTATCATCTGATATTGATCTTTCGTCCGTAACCATAGTCGTGTCTGTGTCTGTTCGAGTGGTTGTTTCGCCAAATGGTAGTAGTCCCACAGGCTCAGCTTTGAGTAACATATTAAATGTCGATTCCCGTGAAGTCGTATTGGATCCTGGGAGTGTTTCCTTCTCATCTAATGCAATTCGACAGAACTTGTACTCTAAAGCTTGCAGGCTCTTCAGCGAGTCCTGCTGCCGCTGGTGAAGCTCACGAATCTTCTCGCGTTCTTCTTCCACGGCGGTTTTTTCCACCTTTCTGTGAGTATCATCAGCAAGGGTAATATTCTTGATGACGTAGCATGCGCATACCCTCGAACCTGCCCTTGCGCGAGCTGTAGCACATGTAGAAACAAAATAAGGCTGTGTTTCAAGCTTTCTAGTCTTTTCCGATTCAATTCCACTCTTTGCTCTCTCATCGGCCAAGACAGCTTGCCCATTATACTCAAGCTCTTCTTTCCGTCCTTTCCCACTTTTGTCCTCTTCTCAATCATCTGCGAGACCTCATTGAACACTTCTTCGCATCGCTTGATGATTTGATTCGCATCCTGGATTGCCTTCTTCGACACAATGGATTTGGCATCTTCTGTTTCAAATACTTCCCCGACGCTCTCAAGCGCATTTGATGTAAGTTCTACATCGCCGGCAATATCTCTGATCTCTTGGTCTGCGCGGGCTGCTGAACTGGTGAAGTTGTACAAAGCTGTCGAGAGCTTAGCGCCTGCGCCGGCGATCTGGATGACGCTAGCTGCGAGGCCAAGGATCTCTGCCATTATGAGGTATTAATTGTGCGCAAGCTTGAGTGTACATCTGTAGGCATTCATTGTCAAGGGAAATGTGCAGATGGAAGTTCGGTGGCTGAGATGAGGAGATCAAAAGGGGGCTGTGTCTAGACCCCTGCACGCTGAGGCTGTGTCGCGAAGGCGTTGTGAAAATCATGTGATAATGAACAACTGCCTGGGTAGCTTTGACATGTAAAAAGGGATATCTAAAACTATAGAGAAAGAAGCTTGAGTATATACAAGTTACGTTTTTAGTTGGTTGATAGAAAAATCCTCTTGTAATGTTAGGACCGAATTGCTAAAGGAAGATAAAGCTTGGCATTTTGTTACACTAGCAACGGGAACTTTCAAAGCTCTCAATACAAACTTGACCTTGACATGGGAGGGTGTTAGTTCGTTTCGAACCACAAAAATCTAATTTAGCGCCGGAAGTAGTTACGCGTAAATCCCCCCCCCCCCCACCTTCGACGTTATCTCTCCAGTCTACCACTTGCTATTTTCCAACTCCTTCGCATTGCTTTCTTCGAACGGATAATCCTGCTCCGATGCCCTGATCAACTCCTCATGCGCCTTAGATCTTGGTGTAATCGAACACCGATACGGCTTTGGGTGACTGATAGCCCCAGGCTCGAATTTGACCTCCGGCTCTATGGTTTTACCGTTTTCAACGGACTTGTTGACATTAAAAACAGCGAGGGACTGCGCAATCGTAATAAACAGAGCGTTGTCTGCTACATATCGACCTGGACAGATACGTCGGCCATAGCCGAAGATAAACTTTCGCGGATCGGGCTCAGGCTTGTGGGTGGACGTCTCAAGATAGCGCTCCGGTCGGAAGGTCATAGGCTCAGGATAAACTGTCGGGTCGTGTGTGAAGTGCCAGTTATTAGGCAGGAGGATCGCGCCTTTTGGAATACGATATCCGCGGCAGATATCCTCCTCTACGCTAGAGTGCGGAAGACCCATAGGCAAGACAAGGTGCCAGCGATGAGTCTCTTTCATGACGGCTTCAATGTAGGGGAGAGATTCGCGATCTGCGCTCACTGGGAGACGGCTATTACCAATCACACGGTCAAGTTCTTCTTGAGCTTTTTTTTGAACTTCCGGAAAAATAGATATGGCGAGAAAGAAGGTCATTGTAGAAGAGACGGTCTGTGAACGTGTTAGCCGTACGATCTCGGATTTGGTGCCAGTATATTGGGCTTACTGTATCAGCACCACCGAGGTAGAGGGCGAGTGCGGCCCACTTGTGAACGAACTCCATCTCTGGATCGGTGCCGATATCGTCAATGCATTGAGACAGGAACGAATTTGGATGCTTCTTCTCCCGCATCTGCTGTTTGACGAACTGATACGGTTGCTCGACACACTTCTTCAGTTGAATTTTCATCTGCCTCGCCGTACCCTTGAATGCAGTTCCCGGGAACCAGTCTGGTAGATATCTCACTTGTTCCAGTTAGATGCGGTCTCTAGTACTCAATCAAAGAGACTTACAGAAAGGCAGGAGATCAACCATCCACTTGCCTGGAACAGTAGCTTCAGCGAACTGCTCCATGGTTTTGCCAGCCAAATCAACGAGGGGATCATTGCCGTGAGCAACGGTCGTATAACCGTATGTAATCTTAAGGATTACACTGCCAGCCTCCTTTCGAATATGATCGAACAATTTGTCTGGGGAGTCTAAGAGGTTGAGTAGGAAATGGACGGACTCGACCTCTTGGACGCGATCGAAAACCGAGATGGAGACATTAGTGCTAGCGATCTTGGTGATGTTCTTCCTGTGAATCTTCCAAGTCTCCGAGTAAGGACTCATAGCAGTTGCGTGTCGCCAACCCACCCTAGACGCCTGGTTAACATTTTACACGCCTACATGTCGGCTCATGGCCGAGTCTAAGCTTAGACCTACATCTCACCACTGAAAACCTGACCTGGCCGCGACGAGTGGATCGCCGAGCGGTCTCTCAGGAGTTCAAAAGCAATTTCGGGGTCATTAATAATGACGAACGTCTGGCCCAACACAGTAACCGAACTAATTGGGCCATAGAGATCTTTGTGCTGTAGCCAGTGATGACACTCAAGCATGCCGGGTTTAGGCATATCATTCACATTACCAAGGAGTGGAATTCCCTTGGGTCCCGGCGGTAGGGGTCGAGCATGCTTCCCCTGTAAGCGCCACTTGATCACATACAGGGTTCCAATAGCGAGAAAGATGCAAATGGTAGCTGGCGTTATGATAGCCATGACGAATAGAACTGGGAGCAGAAGGCCAAGTATTAGGGGTCGAGAATCATGAAAAAAGGAGTATTGAAGAAGTGGGCTACTTGTTATAACCGACTTCTAGGGGCATTAGGTTGTTGATAGCGGCAGCGCATGCGGCATGCGGCATGCGACATGCGACATGTATCAACAGGCGGACTCTAAAGAAGCGGGGGCGTCTCCCGCATCCCCGTTCTTACGAGGTCGTTGAAGAAGGCGGGACGTTAGAGGTGCTAATTTGGCGTGATCCTGTCACACTGACTCGGTTCAATCCCAAATTTAAACACAAACTCTTTTTTCAAGGTTGTTAACCGGCAGGGGAAAGAGATGCCTACATGGTGATAGGACGATTAGGACAAGAGAGTGCAGCAATACTTGGAAACAGTTGTTTTCCGCGATATGTGCTTACTGTGATGATGCAAAGCGGCAGACACAATTGGTTTACAGGTATTGGGGTGTTAATCAGGGGCGTGCGGAGCTGTCAGGCCCGCTGCCGCTTCCCGTTCCGGCCTTCTGCAGCTTCCCGTGGGGTCGGTGCTGTCGGTGCTCAGAAGCTGAATTAGGGGGGCAAGGGTAAGACTTTAGCTGCGCCTCCTTGCGCTTACTAGTAAAAAGCTAGTTTTAAATAAATATTAGCGTGCTGTATAATTTTTAAAAATAAATTATTTTTTTATTATATAATTTTATACTAAAAATTTTAAAAATAATAAGAGTGCAAAAGTAAATAAAAATATTTATTTTATAACATACTTCTATAACAAATAGTTGGTTAGGACAAGTAGTTAGTCTCTGCCAAGCTTTTACTAAAACTTACTATTGCTTATAGTATATTGTAATAGATTAATATAATAACGTGTTATTAGCTTAAAAAAAATATTAAATATAAAATATAATTTAAGCTATTAAATAAAATGCAAATTTTTTAATTTATTATACTGTAAAATACTATAACGTATTTAAATTAATATTTAAAAAATAACTTACTAGAACTACTTTTTAATGCAACTGCACGCCCAATTTAATAAAGCTTACTATAATAAAAAAAAAAAAATTATTAATTATATATTTAATTTTGCTATAAGAAGATACCTGCCTAAGCTTATTAAAATTAAAAATATAGCTAATTTTTTATTTATTAAGCATTACTAAAATTTAATTAGTTTAAAATAAATTAATATATTTATTAAACGCTAGCCTAAGCTTAAAATAAAATTTAATTAAAAATATAATTATAAAATTTTTTTTTGCGAAAATCCTAATGCTATATAAAACTAATTTTAGCTAGTATAAAATATAAAAGTAAAGTATAGTATTATAAATAAAAATATTTATAATTTTAATAAAACAGGCTTTATAATAAGTATAATATTAACTAAAGCTATTATTACAAGCTCTAACTATTAAAAACAGGCAATAATAGTATAGTAAAGTAATTAAAAATAAATAATAGTAATTTAGGGTATTAGCGCGGCTAGTTAAGTAATTTTACTTTTTATTATTTTTGCAAGTAAGTACTACTTTTTTGCCTAGTATAAAAAAAATAGCTTATTTTAAAATTAAGCTATTGCTGTTTTTATAAATAGCTAAATAATTAATAAGTATAGCCTTAAGTAAATAAAGCACTTTAATAAATATATAAAAAGGCGTACTATTAGCACGCATTATTTTTTAATTATAAATAGCTATAAAAGCTATAATTTATCGACAGCTACGGCGAGGGCAAAGAGGCCCTCTAAGGTCGGTCACAAAAACTAAGCTGCAAAAATTTGGATTTTTACTTAAGTAGGTGACCAAATTTGGCAAAAAAGAAGAAAAATACAGCTTTTATTATTAGAAACTGCAGGATTTAAACTCAGTTTACTGCATATAATTCGGATATAATTAGGATATAACTCGGGTATAATTCAGGTTTATTCTAATATAATTTAGATTTAATTAGACAATTTATTGAACTTAGCTATATAGTTAACTGAATTATTAAAGTTTTTAGAGCCGTAGAAGCTTTTCCTTAATAGGCTACAATATTCGAATTTAACTACAATTGTATAGCTGCAACAGCAGCTCAGGCCTCTATTTTTAAAAAAAAAAAAAAAAGCTATAATTTAATTAAGTTCTACTAGTACTATAAAAAAAATAGTATTATTACTTTTTATATGCTTCTGTATTTGTCGCACCTGCTATAGCTACTTAATATAAACTATTTTACTTTTTTAAAAAAAGTATATAAGTACTAAGCTAAAATCCTAATGCGCAATTGTATTAACTATATTACTAAAATTAAGTTTTTACTGTACTTTAAAGCTACTTTTAATACTGCTATTATAAAAAGTAATATTTTAAAAAGCTTTTAAAGTGCTGGCTTAGTACTACTTAACTTAAAAGCTATAATATTAAAACTTAATATTTAGTTATATATTTTATTATTACTTACTATTAAAAACAGTGCTTAAGAATTAAAAATACTTAATAATATTTTAAAATTTAAGTTGCAATTAACGCTCTTAAAAAAAAAGATTTAAAAAGATTTAAATAGCTTTTCTATTTTAATAGTAAATACTTTTGCAAAATTTACTAAAAGTGCAGAAATAATAGTATATTTAATAGTATTAATGCAAAAATAAAATTTTAAATTTTAAGCTGCTAATAAAGCTACTACGCAATATAAATTGCATAAAAAAAAGTAAATATAAAAAAAAAAACTTTTATAATAAAAAATAGTTTTTAATTAATAATTCTAAAAGAATTTAAAGCGCGTAGTAATAAAAAAAAAGTAAAAAAAAAAGCGCGCGCTAAGGCAAGTAAGCTTTTTTAAAAGTATTATAAATACTATAATAAAACAGGGCATAACGCGCGCACATATAAAAATAATATAAAAAATATTATAAATTAATACTATATACTATTAGCTATAGTATAATATACTATAATTATAATATACTATAAGTAATAGTAGGTTTTAGTAGGGGCTTAGCAGAGACTAACTACTTGTCCTAACTAACTACTCGTTATAGAAGTATGTTAATTTAAAATAAATAATAATTTTTAAAAAAAAGCTTAATATATATAAAATATATTAAAAATAAAAATAGTTAAAATTATAATTATTTTTTTATATACTTTTTAGGTACTGCGCATTTTTAAAAACTAAAATTTAGATTTTAATATAAATAAGCTTGCATTTTTTTTTAAAATTTTTTAAAAAAATTAAAAAAGCTAGCAAAGTTTTTTAAAAATATTAAATATTTTAAAAATAATTATTTATACTTTTAACTTTTGTATTATTTACTATTAGAATAGTTTTTTATAGTTATTTTATATTTACTATAAAGAATATATTGCAGTTTCTATATTTAAAAATTAAAAAAATTAAAAATATAGCCTTAAATACTTATTTTTACTTTAATTTAAAAAATATAGGCAGCGTATATATAAGCTTTATTTACTGCTAGTTTTAAATATTAAACTTATACTAGTAGATATTATGCTATTTTTTATAATATTTAAAATATTAAAATAAAAAAAATAGTACTTATTTTTATTATTAATATAAAAAAATAAAATATAATACTAAAGCAGCGTTAATATTTTAAAAATAAAAGCTTAAAAGTACTAATATTTTTTACTTATATAATAAAAAAGTTTATATACTTAATTAGAAAAAAGCAAAATAAATAAAAATAAGTTTTTTATTAGCTTTTATAAATAATATACTTAAAAATTTTAATATATAAATAAATAGCTAAACTATAATTATAGTTTATAAATATACTAACTTTTACATTTTTAGTTTAAACTATTTTCTAGCATTATTAATATTTAGTAAAAAAAGTTTTAAAGTATCTAAAGTTTTTTAAAAAAATAGCAGTAACTTTAGTAGCTACTTTAATAATAAAAAAGCAAATATATAAATATAATAAAATTAAATTAAATTTTTTTGCATTTACTTTAATAGGCAGCAAATAATATTTAAATATTTTTAATATAAATTAAAGAAGCTTATAAGTATTAAAATTTTAAAAAAATAAAATACTTAGCTAAAAAAAATAAGTAAAAAAAGAGCAATACTATAAAATAAATTAGTATATTTAAGAATATACACAGTAAATGCTTATAAATATAAAAAATATATATACTAAATTTATTTTTATATATACTAGGCTAAAGCATACTAACTAAAGCTTAAAAAAAATAAGGTTACTTAAAAAAAAAATCTAAATTTATAATATTTTAAAGTTAATTAATTATTTAGCACAGTTATAGAAGTATAAAAAGCAGATATATAAAAAAATAAGTTAAAAATATTAAAAAATAATTTTTTTTTTTTTTTTTTTTTTAAATTTTACAACTTGTTTTTTAATTCTTTTTAAATAAAGGGTAAAAACTTTACTAAGCCTACTTTTAGAATTTACAGCATTATTACTTTTTA